GTCAGTGCAAATCAGTTGAAAGTAAAATCTCGCATGGTTTTCGCCACGTCCGCAAATTTTCGAATAAAAAACTAGCAGATTCATGCAGGGGCGTAACTTGGCCAATAGGTTTGGGGGGGTGAAAAGGGTTTCTGCCCTGCAAAACTGAGTGGTGCCCTGCAGACCTCGTAGCAACGGTTTGTCTATAGGTTACTAGTGAAAGCTTTACCAGTGTACACTGGTCTTTACCAAGGACAAACTTCTAAGCAATAAAAACAAACTTGAAACTTCATTGCCTATGAAATATCTATTTCTCTACTTGAGCGTAAATTGTTTCTTTTATATTCACTTTATTTAATGTTGGTTTGCAAAATACTAGCTAATAAACAGCTAATTGGGGGGGAGGGGGAGGGTACATGATGTAGACAGTGCAACGAAATTTAGCCCAGTGGGGCTAAGAATCAAGTTTAGTGAGGTAGGAGGACCCACCGGTTGGGTCCGACGTGAAGAAAATTTTTGAAATTATACCTTGTAAAAGGGCTAAAAAGCATCTTTCAGACAAAAATTTAGCAAAATACTATTGTGCTAAAAGAACTGATTGTTTATTGAAAATATTATTGTTTATTGGGAAAAATAGGGAGGGGGATGTCATGCTAAAACTCTAGTATTAGACGTTGGGGAAGGAAAGAAACGACAACCTTTCGTTTCAGATTGCACGTAGTTGTGAATGACAGAGGAAGATGTTGTTTTGATTGGGGGAATTTTATTTCCTGAACAGAAATGTGCAGTTTCTTGCATCGAGAAGGCCATGTTTACACATCCAAAATTAAAACATTGCAATGATACAGAAAGTGATTTACTGAATTAATGCAAATAAAAGAAAAATAATAAAAATATACGTAAGTTAGCAATTAGATGAAACAAAATCGGTATCTTAACGATTTATTATGTTTTTTAGTTCATGCCCTGTTAAAAAGTAATAGAAAAAATGATAAAAAAATTCTTATCTTGACCAAAGTGAGGGCCTTCAGCCTCTTATTCCCCTCCAGTGACGACGTGATTCTCATGAAAATAATTTACAACTTAAATTAACTTGTATGGACTCAACCTTGCCCTCATAGACATATGCATCAATCATTGCATCCATTGGCTATGACTTTCGGTAAGAAATGCTTTCGCTTTGCAAATAACGGAGCTTTTCCTTACATACCTGTTCCGTTCTCTAAAATGCAATGTCAGGAAGGGAGGTTCATAACAAATACGATATTTCCATTTCAAAATTCCTAAACGGCCCTTTACGAACTTCAGAGGTGGCATTTCTGCGTGGCAATAAAGCTCTTCTTGGCGCCCTGCGAAATCTTCGATTGCCCTGCGAAATCGACTATTTTTTGGATTGGGGGGGGTCACACCCCCCCCCCCCCCACACCCCCCCGGTAGTTTCGCCCCTGCATTGTCATGAATAGGCGTTCACTAACAAAACAGGACCTAGAAAGACATGTGATTTTAACACGCAACCGAAACATTACTTACTTGATTGATCAATTATAAATTGATGGATACAAAAGCCAGCCAGTTATACAGGCACAATGCGAAAATACCCAGGAATTCAATTCTATGCCAAATGATTTTTGCGCAAAAATTTATTTTCAGCATATGTAACAGCACATTTAACAAGGCTCAGCATCCATGTATATTTAAATTTTTGTTGACCGACGACCTCTCCTTTAAGAGTTTCGTATTTTTTAACAAAGGAAGGACTAAATAAGATTAGTTTTACGCGAAAACTTTTAGCCAAAATCATTGCCGAATTGAGCCCAACTTTGGTCTGATGTCACAGCACAAAAGGGACCTATCATTGGGCCTATTTCATGGATGTGCCTAATGCTGCAGCAACAATAGCACCCAGTTTAATCCGGCCCTATTTTCAATTCCTTGAAATTTAGCAACTTTTATGGAAACTTTGGCATGCAGGAAGAACTGAGAGGCCGTCCAAAAATTAGGTAACGACCTATGGGGAAGGGGGTACTGGTTATGATAAATTGAGAGAAAGGTTGTACATAACATGTCTCAGCAACATGTTACGTACTGGCAAAAAGTCGAAACAATTATTTTCTAAAACACGTAGGTAAAAAATTACCTCCAGTATACTCCAGTATTCCTAAATTCCCACGTTGTAATGGCTTCATTTTGGATCGAAATTTCGAACTTAGAGCTTTCAAACTTTCGAACATAATGAAAACATTGCCAGATTTCAATTTGGCTTCACCGTGCAAGCAAAAACATGTTCTTGTTTTTTCCCAACACAGCACATTCGATAAAATACAGATGGTTCGTACAAGGTAAAGGAAGCACGTTGTGGTTCGAATAAAGTTTTTTTAGGAGCTTCGTTTAATATTGCAAAGATCAAAATGCCTGATAATTTTAAGTTCCAGCTTCACGGTAAAGAGTACACCCAGAAGCGTGCCGGCTTAAGAAAGAAACTGGCTTGAAAAAAGTAGGTTTTGTCGATTTGAGAGGATATCTGAACAAGAAGTATCCGAAAGCATCCAAAAAAGAGAGACTGTTAGAACTTAGAAAACTTGGGTCATGCTGAAATGAAAACTTGGGTCATGTCTTGTGGAATCTGAGGGGAATTTTTAGAATGTTTAATCTTCACTTTTCCCCAAGGTGAAATTAGGTAACGAAAGTCTAGCCTGCGCGCAGTCTTTTTTTGCTGGATTTTTTTCCTGCGCGCAGGCTAACGAAAGTCGTAAATGTGCACTTGTAGTCAAAATATTTAACTTGCTTTTATGTAATATAAACTAGACTAGGAAGGGTTTGCTTAAGAAATATGAGACAAACTAACATTTTAAAACTATAAGCGTTTATCAAGCGTACGCAGAAAAGCTTTTTCATGTTATCCAAGTGATGCTGAATCTGGAGTTCTTAAACTTGATGTTGTAGCTGCATGTCGAATTTTAGAAAACTTATCTCATTGTACAATATTAATGACCGTGATAGTATAAAAACGGTTCGTCACCCACGGATGTGCTCCTCTTGCCTGCATGTGCCCCCCCCCCTCCCTACTACAAATACATCTAACGTCTGTGCTTCTCTTGCTTCAGAGCTAAAGCTTTGAAACCCAGCCAGGCAGACACTGTTTAATTGAAGAGGCTCTAGTTTCTAAACTGCTTGTAAGTGATTTGCTATACATTGGGTACAAATATACATTGAAGTATAAAAACCTACATGAAACTTTATTCTGAAAAACGAATATTTGATGCTTGCTCCTAATATTGTTTGTCAATCGTCAATTGAAAGAAGAGCTTTAGATAAATAAATCTAAATCTTGCTAAGACATCTGGGATTAGCCAGGCTAAACGGTACGAAACATGATCAAGTAGTAACTTTAAGAAATCCATCTGTAATAAACGGGGTTAACATTTTTATATAAGGATTTGCTTTCACTTTTTAAACGATACAGAATGATAGAATTGCTTTCAATGATGATAACGATGATTACCATGATACCTGATCATGATATGATGGTGATAAAGATGATAACAATGAAGATGCTGATGATTATGATAATGATGATGTTGATTGACAATGATGCCTGATTATGAAGGCGATTGTACTGCTAGTGAAGTGATTATGATTTCTGATTATAATGTCGATTGATTATGATTTCTGATTATAATGTCGATTGATTATGATGCATGATTAATATGTCGATTGTGTTGTTAATTATTATGATGATCAATGATTATAATGTCTTATTATGATGATTACAATGTTGATTGATTATGATGCCTGATTTCTTTGGCGATTGTGCTGATTGATGTTGATTGGTGATGATGCCTGATTCTGATGGTGAGGGTGTTGCTGGAGTTTACTAGAAATTCAAAAAGCGAGATGCTTTGTTTATGAAAAAGTCTCTATCCCGACAGAATTAGTATTCATCCTATCATCGACGTAACTCTAGTCAAAAAGTAATTTTCCTGGATGTCTTTAATGTCAGTATTGCAGTCACCCATTATTCAAGCTTACATTTCATCCAATTTCATCACGAGAAGTAGGTCTATACTCTACAACAATGTTGACAGTGATTAGAAATTTAAAGTCTAAAAATAATTGCACTTTTTCAAAAATTCTTTAAAACCTCTGAATATTACATAGATTCACACCCAGTGTTGACAAATTGATGACATGACAAGGAAAAATGTTGTCACAAACTTTTAACAATATCCATCCAAATTTTTCGAAGAAGATAAGAGCCATACCAGGGTCCCTTGAAATTGACATATTGTGATCGATGTACTTGGTCAAAACCAGTGATATGAAACATAACTTCCACTAACACTTTTTTATAAGAACCAGTCAATTTAAGTTCAGGCTTGATTGTTCTTAATTTGTTCTTAAATTAATAGGGTGTAAGCAGTGCGATCGTTCTAAGGAGGTGTTCAGGCCTCCCTGCTTTTTACAGTAGCTCAGCCTTGGGTTGTTTTTAATTTGTTCTTAACTTTTGATCAAATTTGAGGCTCGTGTTCTTATATAAAAACAGAGTGTAAACACTAACACCGTGAAAAGCCATGTTGAAAATATCTATGCCATCACGGCCGTCGCTATGGGAAGGGGGCATGCGGGGTTGACAGCTAGGGGTGCCTCGCAAGCAGATTTTCTTCTAACGTGTCAGCAAAAGTAAACTTGAAAAGTGGAGAAAATATAACCAAAAGTAACATCATTTTTGTACCACCAGCTAGCAATTCAAGGTACCAGTTACATCTTTAGTATCTTTTCAAAATCGCAACTGCTCGCTTTCACGAGAACAAATTGATTTTATTCCATATACCTAAAGGCGAATTCTAATGTTGTAATTCCACGTCAAATATCTGAGAAAGCATTCCCTGAATGAAAGTGACCGTACCGAAATTTGAAATTGTTTGCATGGAGTATGTCAGTGATGTCAGCAACATCAAAATATCTACGTTGGTCGATATCCGGGGGGAGCCTACACAGACGTTTCTATTTCATTCAACAAGGAGAAATTGGCAGTTTGGTGGCACTAAAAACTTCATTCAAGAAAATACAATGCAAATCAAATATACTTGGTAAATTGTTTGCAAATATGAAGCCGAAGATATCATTTCAGAAAATGGAGTTCTATTGATAGCAAGAAAATATTTAATGTCAGTAAACTACAAGAAAGGGGGTGAGAAAAAGATACAAGGGAATATCTCATTTCCGAGCAGAACTTCATGCAACGTAAAAAGAAAGACAACAACTGTAAAAAACTAGCAGGCATCCAGTTATGTAGAGATCAGAGCAAAGACGTTGAGTTTGTCTCTTCCATTGAGGGAGTGATTAGTGTTCAGCAAATCCATGCCCCCATCTATGGATAGCGGATGCGGGGAACTGAGGTACTTAGCCCCCAAAAATTACCCACGATGCATTTGAAACCACATAATAAATCATATATTGCTCTTGGCTTTTTTGCACGTTGACTTCCCCCCATTTCAAACAATTTTTTACTTCTCGTATCTGTGATACCCCCGGATGTTGGTGAAACTAGACACGCTGTCGCTGGAATTTCTGATCGTCAGTAAAGTGAGAAGCAAGAAATCGCAAGAAATCTGGTGGATATTCTATAAACTCTTTTGTTTTCATTGCGTCACCGCCGCTAAGGCAAAGGACAGGTTTATTGAAAAAAGTAATCAATTATTTGCATAAGTAAGATGATGTTACAGCGGCAGTAAACAACAACAGATGCGTCATGCAACTCTCGTAAAGTTTTTGGCTTGTTTACAAACAGAAATTCATGGTTATCGATGCTTTTCGGTGATGCGATCAAGAACATGGCTTAACACATTAATTCGTTACAGAGCCAGGATTTAGAGACACGGATTTAGAGACACGGCAAAGTTTTTTTATACTGAGAAATCAAAGACTGCAATTTCTTTCTGGGCTAACGACACTTTTTCTTGGGGACAAAAATCGATAAGCTTGCAGTGTTTTAAAATGTAGAAATTCACAAATTGGGTCCCAATTTGCCCAAATTTCGACTTAAACGAAGTCCTTTGAGATGATTTCAAACATGGCCTCTCATGTACATAGACCTTCTCACAGCACATGATCAATTTGAAGACAATTGGGACAGGTATCCTTCGAGCCAAAATCGTTCTTCAAATGGATGTGAACGATGGAATTAAAGTGTTTGCTTTTGGCATGGCGATACTTCTAACAGTAATTCTGAATGGCGTTATATTGGTCACAATTCTTATTGAAAAGCGTCCACGATTCAGTACCAGATGCATCCACGTTCTTGTCACAAATTTGGCCGTTTGTCAGTTTCTTATTGGAATGTTGGTGATGCCTTTCGTTGAAGTTTCTGTTCTACATGACAGCTGGAAGAACTCCACAGCGCTTTGCCAGGTACACTCTTTTTTATAAGAACCAGTAAATTGAAGTTCAGGCTGCTGGCTGTTCTTATTTTGAAAATCTGAAAGAATCTAAAAATCGTATATAGAAAACCTGAGGCTGGATTGTTCTTAATTTGTTCTTAAATTATAAGGGTGCAATGCTAGGGAAGTGTTCAGGCCTCATTTGCCAAAAAATGATTGAGATAACCTTTATTTGGCGACAAATTTGAAAATTCACCGAAAAAGCATCCCTAGATTGCAAAATCTACTCGTTTTTGAGATGAAGCATTGTCCAAAATTAGATTTCAAAGTTTATCAGCCTCAGCTTGTTCTGATTTTGTTCTTAACTTTCTACCAATTTTGAGGCTCGTGTTCTTACAAAAAATATTGTTAGCCAATAAACAAAGATCAGGTTAGAAGGATCAGTAATCATCGAGGACACTGGCCAGCCCCCAGCCAGTAATCTATCTGGTCAACCATATTGAGGCTATTACGCACCACTCAAAAACATCACTCATTGCTTCATACTTTCGATTTGTCTGATAAATCTAGGAAACTAGCTTAAAATTTAGGACAGGGCGGGGAAAACATAGAAGGAAAAATTGACAGGAAATTTTAAAACATTTTCACAGAAAAATACGCCATAGCACACTTTAAACTGTTGTAGTTATTGGACTTTAGTAAAGGGAACATGAAGCAAGACTAACTTTAGAATTAAAAGTTAATTTGAATTTCTAGTTAATTTCTGACAAATTTCTGAAAGATATAAAATGATAGCTATCTATTCACATGTATGACACAAGTCGTTTTAAAAGGATGCCTTGAAAAGAGAAAGGTACCTTTTAAAATTACAAGCAGCATAAATTTAACCCGAAGTTAATTTTTGGATTATTAATTATCATTATTACTATTATTATGTTGGTCCTGATGATTATTATCAACCCTATAACTCAGTCGCGTTAAGTCGTACCCCGGATAACTTGGACTTTACCTCAGGATTTTCCTGCCTTAATAAAGTCAAACGTTCTTCCCCCCGATAAGTCTGACATTCATTTATGCCATATAATAATAATATTAAGTCAGACCATTTTCATACCGGCCTTAAAGGTCCGACGGGATTCAACGGTTTATCCTTTGAAAGGCCTTTCCCGGTTGTAGAATCGTGTCCAGATAAGTGGTCTTATGCAAGAACGACAATGACTGGTCGATCGATTCAAATTACTACGATTTTCTAACAAAATTTGATCAACTCTTTAAACTAACAAAGAAAAAAAAGGAAAAGACTTGAAAGCGGTGTCAGACTCGTCAAGGCTTCAATTTTTGGCAATATTCAAAGACTTCTTATAGATTTTTGTCAGGTAAACAATAAAGAAATGTTTGTTTGGTATTGAATAACAGCAGGAGGTTTTTCTTGAAGAGACTCATAAAAGCTCAAATTGGAATTTCGCTACGATGTTTGGATTGCCTTTGTCATGCATGTGAAGAATTAGCTCTGTGATTGCAGAAATCGATTTCATGATTGCTTTTGTAATAAGATCTGGACCAGCTTTGAATGAAGCGAATTCTTTTTACCTGTAAGTTGTTCGATATTCAATTATCGTGTGCACAATTGATTAAAAAAGCACGAACAGAGTTGTGTTATTCAATGGAAAAACTTTTCAGACCGGAAAGCTCAAACTGGCTTTACTTCTAGATGAAACTATTCTTGTAAATGAAGCAGATGAAGAAAAGCAAGTTAATTTTATTTCTTTTGAAAAGAAATGCAAAGGAAAACAAGTACCGCCCATCCACTTAGTTAGTACAGTCGAACCACGATCGATTACTGTTATCTCGAACGCCCGCTATCTCGAACGCCCTTCATCTCGAACGCCCGCTTGCTCGAACTGCTTTTTTCTCCTATGGTTTCGTTAAATGGTATACTTTATGTACAAAAGAACTCCAGATAATTCGCCAAATTTCGAACTCTTTTCCGTAAATAAAGTTTTTGATTGACAATTTCTTACAAAAATCCATGAACTTGTTTGCGTTCAGAAAAGAATCTTTTTGCAAATTTCCAGGATTCTTATTATGCCCGTTTTGGCGGAACTTCGAAGCAAAATTCGACTTTCAGGATACCTTGAAAAGTCAAAACCTCAATAAAACGAATAATGACAAATTTGGCGGTCCCACCATATCATACTAATATTGCCAAGGGTCCAGGCAGGGTCATTGTCACTTTTTCTAGGACCTTGACAACTTACTGAATCAGCTTTTCCTATTGTGTTTCTATTCCAAAAAAGGAACCTAGGAACATGACGAGGAATTGAGGTTAGAAATTGGTGAAATTTGATAATCAATTATGATCAATATAATTTCATTTAATTTCTTTATTTTTTTGGATATAACTTTTTTGCAAACAAGCCCAAATTTCACGCAAAAAGTCTGACGAATTTTATAATATCTTAAACACCGCAAACATTCTCTTTATTTCGGCTTGGTGTCAGCTTTTCAAGGTTCCTGAATCCTGATCAACTGTGTAACTTTATTTTGTTCTTTCACAGTTCAATGGCTTCACTACGTCAACATGTTTCTACACTGCAGTGCTTACACTGTGCACCATCAGCCTCGATCGGTTTGTGGCTATCGTCTTAGCAACAAGGTATCAAAAACTGCTGACAAAGAAACGAGGCTGCATAATCGTGTGTCTGATTTGGACGACTTCATCGTTATTGTCAACGCCACCTCTGATTGGCTGGTCAACTTACCAGTATCATCCGGGAACTCTTCACTGTTCGCCGTTATGGATTGGCCAGTGTGGCTATTTCTATTTTACATTTACCATTTCTGTTATTATTCCGACATCTCTGACAGTTTTGAGTTACATTATAATCTTTTGGAAAGTTCGAAAGCACCGAAAACGCGTCGCCATGTGGCAAAACGCGAGAGGACGCGGGTTATCTTCGAAATCGGAAGGTGCGGAAAGCGATATAGAAATGAGTCAGGCAGTAACAATACATAAAAGTCCCGCAGTAGCTCGCAGAAACGGCAGTGTTATGCACAGTAGGAGCGAGTTGCACACAAACAGCCCAACAACGAGTCATAAATCGCTTTCGCCTACAACTGGCTTGCGGGTGTATAAACCGAGAAGTAACTCCCAGAAAAAAGGCAGCTTCCAGGAAGGAAGTCTTGCACCAAATGGATTTCTAAGAAAAGGGAAGTTCATTGAATTCCACGGTGAAGGTATATTTTACAATCCTAAAAAACACGAGCCGTCGAAATTAGCGCAGAATCTAGGTGAACCTGTTGTTGTAAAGGAATTTGAAAATGTTGAAGATAAGGCAGATGGTACGAAGAGCGAAGTAGTCCAATCAAGAGGGGAGGACAATAATAAGGAAATTACCGCTACAGAGCCAGTTACAACAAATTCGAGTAAAAACGTTGTGACAAATGTCACTGAAAATAGAGGTGAAAGCGATAGGAACACTAAGAAAAGAGTCCACAAAGCTAATTTAGGGAGATTAGTGAAGATCAGTCGAACCCAAATGACCGATAATTCGAAAATGAGCGAAGAAGACGCCAATGGCCTTTTAAACCTTAGTGAAGATAATGGGGGGAGTTCTGTGCCTAAAAGCGAAAGCTCAACACAAAACACAGAGGCATCAAACTTGAATAATGATCTAGGAGCAACAAACGCCGAAGGAGATATGGATAACAATGCGCCCAAAGGAGGAAACAAAATAAGTACAATTGCAATGGCCCTGATCACATCGATGACCTCAAAGTCAAGTGAAACAATAAAATCAAAGCGAGGCTCGCGTAGAAAGACAAAGCATGTCAATAGGACGCTGCGAGAATTCCAAGTTGCCAAAACGGGGGCGATTTTGCTCTCAGTTTTCATGGTGTGTTATGGACCTTATACGGTCGTCCATTTATGTCATTTACCGTTTCCAGTCCCCATTTGGGCTCAGCACTTCGCAATGTGGTGTGTGTTCCTCAACAGTATACTGACACCTTTAGTCTACGGGCTTATGAACAAGGACACGCGACAAAAGATAAAGGCAGCAATGAAGAGATGTTGGAGATAGCATGACGTTGCAGCCAGAGCTCATTACAAACATCTCATTTCTGCAGCACGGTAGTCCATGTTGCAGATTGATTGTCCTTCTACACGCACAGTTCACTCACAGTTGTCGGGAACTATTTTTTGGCCGGCAATTAAGGACCTATTTATCATTTACAGATAGCAGTGATTAGTTAAAAATTTCGAACACTTTCACTTTCAGAATAAAGTTCAAAATAGATGATCTCACAAAACTCTATTTTCAGTATTTTTTATTACATTCAGTAGTTTTAGTCACATAAAACAAACAGGATTATTAAATAGACCTAGCTATGGAAAATCAGTTAAATGTGACACAAAATTGAATGAGATATGGCCATACGAGCAGAAGATCTTTCCCTGTCAAATCATTGTGATTTGGTCGTGGCTCAACGATCTATCAACCAGGCCAAGGCCATAGTAAAACATTAGCAAGACCAAATTTCTTTCCTTGCCTTATCTCATTTTCGAAATTGAGAATCGATTGTCAATTTTCGAAAGATTTAGCATTTTGAGCGATCTCGCGATTTCAAAATATTTAGTCAAAAGTAAAAAATTTCAATTGAATAAATTTTTGATGACGACACACTTTGGCAGTTAAGCCAGTCTTGAAAAAGTTTGAGACCTTATTAAGAGAATGAAATTTCTATAAGCTTCAAATTCACTGAGAACCACAATTGCTGAAAATCTATCAATGGCATCCACATCATAACAATCTGTGCGGTTCTTCTCTCTGCGGTTTAAATACATTTGCTATGTAACTGGCAAACCAGAAAGACATATTACATTAAAGAACATATTTTTTAAAATAGATCTACGATTATTGCATAGAAACATATTATGAAATTCACTTGTTTATTAATTTTCTGTACATCGAGCATGCTTAAGTCACATTTTAATGTTTGTTTATTTAACTACTTTTTGTTATGGGGATGGTTCAACGTCGGACTTTGCTCAGATGTTGGAATTACTACTTCTTAAAAGAAAACGAATTTTGTGTTAATTTGTAAGCAGTTTTTGGCAACGGAGCCAAGGCTCGTAACAGTTTGATTTGACAGTTCTTCGTTGGTCAAGTAACAACACTTAAATTAATCCTTCCAGGAAAAAGGTCATCAACATAAATCAGGCCTTGTCAGCTGCAACTCGAATTTGAACAATCATTTCTCGAGCCTTCAAATTGCAAGAGCTAATAGTACTACCCACTTTCTTAAACATTTGCTAACTGTTTCCAAACTGAATAACCAGCGTCAAATTGAGCATTTGTACATGCGTGTATTCTACACAGCAATAGATTGTTCTAAGCCCATAAGAACCAAACATGAACTACGCATCAACGGAAAGGCCGCCTCAACCTAAAAGTTTTATTCATAAGCTGAATCGGCGGCAGAATTAAAGCATCTACAAATTTATTCAGCAATATTGGCTTTAATATTAATTTTCTAATACTTGTGATATAGGTCGATATTATGGTCAAAAGATTTACAAAAAAACCAAATTCAGCTTGACCGAAAGCAATTTTTACAAAATTCTTCCCCTGCGTAAACGGTAGCAAACATTGAATGTACTCATGCATTTCTTAATTTTTTGATGTCATCCTGTGAATGACACTTCAGCCCCAAAATTCAGCAGTTTTTCCAATCATTGCCTAAATTCAACAGCAAGTACCTGGCGAGCAGAGGATCAGGCCTTCTCAGCAAACCTCAATACTTGTGATATGGCATAGCGAGGCACCAGGAGCTGCTGCTAAGAGGAATTCGATATCTCGTTGCAATGCGTTAATTTTCCTTGAAATAATTTCTTTTATGGTATCAGGAATCCAAATCCGTCGGACAGACACGTCGATCTTTGCAGCAGTAGTAGTGGACTATAATACCATTCGGGTATCTTGCGAATGCACTGCGGAGAAATGCACATGGAGCCATGTTAGATGCATTTGGAGCCTAAAATGCCTTTTTCATTCATTAAGTGTCCAATAAAGTTTCTGAAATAGTTTATAGTTTAGCGATTGAAAAAAATTGTAAACTCTATCCCAAATTTTTGTTACTGGTGGCCACTTTTGTTACTGGTGATCAATAGTATTCTCAAATTTAAAGACCATGAATCTTTTATTTATATTTACTGATAATGAATTGATAATGATAATCTATCTCCAAGTCACTTTCTCAACTAGAACAACTTTCTCAGAGGCCATTGAAGACCGGGTTGGCGTCGAATGGGGGCTTATCTGCCTCAAGGGTAGTGGGGGGAGGGGTCTTAAGTCCTGGTTGATAACTCTTCTAGTGATGTTGTCATTGGTTTTTGGTAACGCTGAAACCAGTACCTATGCATTTGTGACGGTCCTCCCACCAGCAGGTGTTTCATGGCAAAGCAGCCTAGGCTCGGTCGAAGTAGTGAAGATGAAGCAAGGATAACTGAAGTAGTGAAGATGTTGTTTTTGTACTATGAAGCTCAATTAAAGTTTTTAGATATGAATGATACAATATACAATGGATCAGCTGTTAGAAGTAAAATCCTTGATGTGAAAACACTAAAGATAGAACAAATTAGCCATGGTGTAGAAAGACTTGCTAAACAGAACAAGGATATGAACAACCGGGCTTGTTACAGAAAACACATGGACAGACAAGAAAACTGTAAAGAAAAAGATCAAGATGTCTTGCTAAGAAAATAGAGAATGAAATGAAATGGGCTGCAAATTTGTAAAGAGGAAAATAAACAAGAAATAAAACCAAAAAAGTAAGGATGAGTTCAAGAGAAGGAGGAAACATGAAAAAACAAAACAACTGGAAATAAGAGGCTCTACATGGCCACTATATTAGACAGACAGGGGGCCTAGCGGAAAAGCAACAATGGGTTGCGAATGCAGTTTAAGGATGGCAGTTTAAAGTGAGTACTAGTTATGGCAACTCAAGAGCAGGCAATTTGAATAACAATCCTTGCTAAAATTACTGAAACACCCACATAACATCTTCACACTTTATTAAAGCTGATTCCCGTCCCCCATAAAGTGTTGCGAAGTAGCAATATTGCATGATTTTCGACGAAAATAATACTAGGATTGAACGCATAAACACGTCATTTAACTAATTTTGGCAAGGATAGTCTCTAAGAGATGACGTCACGCAATTCAAACATTCTAAGAATGTTTTTTTGTGACGTCACACTTAAGAACTCTTTTGTAGCTACGGTAACAAAAGAAAAGATAGACACAAGGCAGAACATGAAAAGAAATGCAAAATGCATGGCCAAGCTGATGAAAGTACAAATCAAATAATGCGCGAGTAAAGATAAATTCCAAAAAAGGAAATACAAGCGTTGACAAGATTGAGCTGGAAAATGTTGAGTCAATATAACAAGAAGTGGTATGACAGGAGACAGATTCTATCAATGAGAGTGATTACTTCCATACCTTATGAAAGTACAAACAGGCCATGTGATTGAAGCGAAAAGACCTCACATAATTGATTGTAACGGACAAAACATCAAAGGATGCAAGAAAAATGATTGCAAATTGCTTTATGGTATTAGGGTGGACGAAAGGGAAATAGGAAAAATTACCTACCCATGGAACTACTGGAAATCTGGAAAAAACGACCAAATATCGGCATAATAATTAAAAAGGTGCCAAGAGAAAAAGAAACCAGGAAATGTGGTAGTGGATGTGGTTTTCTTCCCCTCTCCCATCCAATGTTACTCCATACTTTCCAAGGCAGCCTTGAAATATTTAATCAGAAATTTCACATTGTGTTCAAATGGAGAACATCCTATATTTGTTTGAAGCCTATTTTACTTTGCAAAAATTAGAACCTCACCTGGTTCCAATTTTTTTATGGCAAACTCGGCATGCCCTTTCATCTGTGACCGTACATTTCTTGCTTTGGTAAAATACTCGTTGCTCGTGGACCTAGAAGGTTCCAAAATTTAGAATTATACATTTGTAGTTCAGGAATCATTAAAGCTACATTCAAAAGGGCACTAAGGGCTACGTATCAGAACTACGAATCTAGTTTTGAGGTTTTAATGGAAAAAGATGAATCAATTAATTCTGTGCGCAAGATAATTTTGCTACATCTAATGACCGAAATGTCCAAGACCAACAATGGCTTGAATCCAGCCTTCATGAGGTTTTTTGTAAACATGAAGGTCAGTTTAATCTGAGTAACTCTGACGATTTTTCTCTTCATTTTGAAAATTGAAACTGTTACTTATGGCTCGGAAACCTCGTCGCATTTATCCAATATGTATGTTTGTTAAAATGTTGGGTCGCTTAAACACTTGAGCCATCATTACTTGGTGCGCACGTAGATGATCTAAACGTTGGATTGTCTAACTTTTGAAATGTTGAATTGTCTAAATGGTACTTGATATATTTATAAATGCAATCAAATGCAGTTAAGATTGGATTGAAGAGGCAAACAGAAACTGATTTCCAACCTACGACTTCCTAAAATCAGCAAGAAAGAGCATCGTTTTGAAACAGGGTAAGACATATCCTACCTGTCAGAGGGTTTTTCTATGGAGAGTTTTTCACATAATTTGTCAGAAAATTACGAACGGGTTTGAAAGAAAATAAGATCGAATTAGGGCCAGTTTTGACACAAATAACTTGAGAAAATCGTCACTTTCAAGGCCTTGATAAACTACCATTCTGATCGAAATTGCAAAATTCAGCTGCAGCAACTAACATAAAAAAAATGTTTCATTTGAAATTATTCAAAAATTGATCACTTAAAAAAATTCACTGAAAAAATCAGTGTTGTGCTGGAGGTCGTTCAGTGAAAAGTCCAGTTCATTTGTCTAAGGCCTAAGCCAAGAAAACTAAGGTACGGCTGCAGGGTGAATAAGTCTTTTGTTTACACGTGCAATAGTTTGATTCATGAAAATATCTTGATCTTTACTTATAATGATTTCTTCTGAAAAACTACAAGCTCTGTAAGACCCTTCAAATCTCCTTCTCTAACAAAAGCTTCCTTTTTTAGAAACTCACTTGCAAATGTTCCGAATACAACAAACTTTTGTACACTTGACTTTTCCTCCGTTGTGCCATTTTGTCTTCCAAAATGTTATTCAAGAAGGAGCGTATAGCTGTAATTTGAGTGGCTGCTGGTAGTAATTCAAGGGCCTATGGGAGAGAAATTGACAACAATGGATACACGGGCATCAGGAGTGGTTGAAGATTTGGAAAATATTTGAATTGCTAGGTAATATTGGCCAGCCCACAAAAAATAACAAACGAAGGGGGCTTATACGTGGGGTGATTCGAGGATTTACGGCAAATCCTCCGTTTTATCTTTAAGACAATGCTAAGCCTGCAGAATCGCCTTTAAATTTCAAGTTTAGATTTCACACACTGCTGATCCTGCGAGCTTACAGTTGAGATTATTAGAGCAATAATCATCAATTTCGTCACCATCAAAAATCTCTTAAGGGTAAGGTAAGGTAATGTTACCCCATGTTCATACTTTAAATGTCACCTTCAAATGTGATACAATGATAGGATTATTTAGAAAACTGACTAGATATAAAATACTTTTGATACGAGGCTCTTGATAAAATTTGGAAACGAGGCTACTAGAACATTTAATACGATGCTGGAATAAAATTGAAGAAAAGTTGCCATTAATGTAAAAAACGATAAGGAAAAAGAATGCTAACCTGAGTTACGTCGATTTTGTGATGATTGGCATTCATGATTTCGATAGCTGCATCAATGTCAGGTTTCATCTCGACACCTTCGAGTATTGAATTTTGCAGCCTCAATGTTGGTACTTCTGTTGGCTTCAAGTACATCTTCAACAAGCTTAAGTATACCTGTAGGAGGCAAATCGTACAATGGAAATGGTTAGAGCGAATCCTCATTTCGTTGCGTACAGATTAATAGCCAGTTAATGCAGGGCCCACGCCACCGGGAGGCGGGGTGGCCATGCCTCTCCCCGCTTTTTTGCGACTTTGATAAACTTTTTGTCTATTTCCCTGAAAACTGAAGTTGAACTTATCAGAAGGCTCCTTGTTTTTGGTACGCTTGTGGGAAAATATGTCGGAAAATTGGTTTCTTTTTGCCTGCCCAAGAATTCGATCACCACAAATCCTCTGGGGGTGGGGGTTCACTCAAAACTAGGGGGACTTATTCGAGAGGCAAATTTAAACGAATTATGCGGTTTACGAGAGAGAGCTGGACAGGAAAATGAAAAATGTAGAAAGTCAAAAAAAAATCATAAACAATATCAAAATAATGGGAATCTGGAAGTTTTAAATAGATTTAAATCTCTGATATTTGGGAAATCATGAATATATTTTGTTACTGAAAATAAAAATGGAAGAGCATAGAAATAAGTTAAAAATGGAATTGCTCGTAGTTTTTCAATATTTTAATTTCAATTGACATTTCAACAACTTTTATACGGTACAAATAAAAAAACTTACATCTCTATTTTCCTCTTTGTCGAATTCATATTGCTTTCTGCAGAATCTAAAGATAAGAAAACCTTTGTTGTTCATCTGCAGACATGGAAAAACTCATGTATCTAATAAAAATTCCTGTAAAGATGGTGTTGAGATTGTCACCCCCTTACTTTCAGTTAAAGGCTGACGTATTCACTTTCAAACTACCATACATAGACTCAAACTTTGAATAGGGATAACAACTGTCATCAGGACACTTAGTCGTTGATTCATTCAACAAAGATCCATTACCAAAAGCAGTACTGGGGCATTTGGATTTTCAGTGCAACACTCTCTTTGTCACGTAAATTAAAATCTGACGATAAACGGCACAAAAAGTTTCATAAAATGTATACTCATTCGATGTTAATAAAATGTATTTTCGATTCGTTTGATCGATTCATGAAATTTTAGAATTAAAAATATTGTCAATGTGTTAATAACGATATCAGGCAGATTTCACGCAGAACAATTGTCCATATTTTTGCCTCTCTTCTTTCTTGCTGGTTCTAAAGCTATGCTAAGATAAGACAAACACTGTTTTGCTTCCGTCTCCTGGTACTCTTCAGGCAATCTATCCAATTCATTCAACCTTTTGTTGCTTTCGCATTAAACTCGGTTACCTTTGTCGTCCTTAAACTTGCCTCTTCCTATGTTTAAGCTCCAGTAATATTTTTCTTTTATTAAATAAAAAACAACGAATCAAAGCTTTTATAAGACTCCAAGGGAACGAAAATCAAGCTAGTCGTTCTAACACCTGGTTGCAATTTTCTCTGCTAAATAGAATCCCAGTTGTGTCTTAATGATGGTGTAGGAATAAAGAATTAACAGCAAAAAGAATAACTTACTGTTCAGCCATTTGTTTGTCTTTAAGGACGTAAATGTAAATTGCAAAAGCTTCCTCATGTCTCCCCGCTCTTCCAAAAAGTATTGCTCGCTCTTCAAAGAGGCCTAGATTCATGAAATTATTCATTGCACAACAAATGCATTCATCACATCTCTTTAACAATTAATTTGAGTCTTATATCTCGGAAACGAGAAAGATGCTGTATTATAAAAAAACATTTTTAGCATAAAAACATAGAAGTTAAAATCAATTGAGGCCTAAGTTTGAGATAAGAGTGTGACATAGACGGCAGTGGCAAGTTTCTCAAGACCAAGATGACTTCGCAGCTAAACTCAGTATAAGCTGTAGAATATTTGATAAATTCTGGGACTGTAGCCCAAACTTGCGGGCCTCTAAAGCGGATGGATTATACTGATCTCCGTGTTTACAAAACCCCTCTCCTAAAGGCTTGATTCAAGCCATTTTTGGTCTTGCACATTTCGGTCATGAGAAGTTTCAAAATTTTCTGGTGCGCAGCTATTGATCCATCCTTTTCCATTAAACGCTCAAAACTAGATTCTTAGTCCCGATAAGTAGCTTTTAGTGCCCTCTCTTGTATTTCGTTAACTTTGTGTGGAATATCCACGCAGAGGGACAATACCAATAAGGACTGTTTATAAAGGCTCTCATTAAATACCTTAATTTGCCTTGATTCATGAAGGCGGCAATACACGAGAGAGCATACAATTATTGCTAGCCTTTTGACAGAGCCCGGCTGCTCAAATGCCAGTTTACTATCTATATTAAGACCTCAAGTGCAACTTTTTCTGAGTGCCATTTTGCACAAATGCATTACTTATCATAATGGTAACAGAATTAAAAAATGACGTCACATTTAGCATACGTAGTTTAGTAATGATGGCAAAAGGATGTATCTCTTCAAAATCGCAATCAATAAGCGAGTACCTTATACATTTTCTGAAAATCATAATCCAGGACTGATTCAATAAATTTTTCCGGTAAATAATGTAACAAATTTTGTTTACATTACAATCTCGAAAACTGTAAGTGAGGATAATGCCATACTCACAATCAGTTGGAAAATTCCTGAGCAGCTTCAATGGCTGATAATTAGTAGAAGTCTCTAAGAAAAATATTAATTTGGTGCGAAGTGCGCCAAGATCTCCAGGCTCCTTCCCAGCTTTCACAAATGATGCTGCAGAACCTTTGACAAAACAAAAATAATTTCGTGTAATTATTACTATATTTTAGCAGATTTTGTCGTTGCAATTATTGAACTAAGTTTCTTTAGCATTTTTTGGAAATGTAATTATTTAAATAGCGTTCAGATGAGATATGGGAGCTTACCCAGTATGTCGATGTGATGGGGGGATAGGGTTTCCATTACTAGAAAAGGAAGAGCTCTTTCAGAAACGGGTAATGAAAAATTGCATGCTCCTCGAAACAGCCACAGCATTTCTATAAAACAGAGTCAGGAATCTAAAACATTAGTTGTTACCCCTAACGCTATGATATATACAGTTCTAAAATTCACTGACGGTTGGTACTATCACGACCTTTCGAAGTAAACAGATAGAAACTTATTATCAACATCCATCAGTTCACATAGGTGTGTTTTCGTCCAATCCTAAAAGCAGAAGCAAAGTAAGAGGGGCAAGAGGGGGACGCACCTCCCCGTAATGACAAAATATCTCTATAAAAAGGGCACTTTTTGGCGCGTTCTTAAGTGTGTAGAGCCCCATTTTTCATCGCTCAATTCGCCTTCTCAATCCCCCCCCCCCCAATCTTACCAGACTGGCTACCAAACTGCCTAAAGGGGCGCGAAATCATTATAACCCCGGCGCTTTTCCAATAGCATAAATTGAGATTCAATTTGAAAGCATGATTTGAAAGAATGACTTTATTCTTCAAATTACGTCCATCGAATACTTGTGGGTTGATTAAAGATATAAGTCAAGAGATTTGAGGCGAGAATCAGTCACAAAAACATGGTTTTTAGAAAGGGTTTACATCCAAAGGTGATATCTAGGTAGCTAATCTTTCAAAGTACTGTTATTATAGTCAACTTTACAGAGGGCTCCAGAATTCATTGAAACCGTTGAAATAGCATTAGGCTTGAATTAAAATTATTTCATAGTAATGATTTTCATGACACTTATTATTTGAATGGTTTGCAAAACATATCCGGAAAGCGGATGATTATCTGCTTCTTTCAAATACAGTGAAACCGATATCGTGATCTATCGAAGTTACTGAGATATAAAGAGATTGCTTCCCCAAGGCTTTGGACATATGAAAGAAATTCTAGGAAGAAATTGCTTTTCGATATCTATACGGGTAGCTACTGTGGCTGATTCTAAGATGGCAGGCTGATTCAGATTATTCGGTGCGCAAGGACTTTCATTACCGTACAAGAAAAACTTGCAGATATGAAATGACAGTATAAAGCCATGAGGGGAATACATGGATTTAAGGATTATGTGAATGAGTTATTTTGCTGCTAGGTCAACGCCGTTTTAAGCTCGTTCTTATAATTGACTTAAAGCAAAAGATCCTGACTGCGAGAAACAGTGAAATTTTGAGAATGCAAAGCTCCAAAGACGTAAATTCAGTCATCTGACAAAGGGGTACTCAACTACAGGAGCAAAGGCAAAGAAAATTCACATTCACGTGGACAAAAATCCAAACCTTTCCATATTGTTTATGTTTGATAAAAAACTCTAAAGAAGAGAGAGAGAGCTCTGGCGTTTGACTAAATTAATTTCTACCCGAAATTTGCAGCACCCTATGCAGCGTTTATGAGTCAAAGTTCCAATGAGAGCCAGGGAAACTGAAACTTATTAGCTGTTTCTGACTAATAAGGATACTGGCACAATTGGGGAACTTTTAAACTCTGTAATCCCCTAAAGAGTCTTATCCATTGTCATCTTTTGTCTCGCAGTTAAACGGCCTGCCCCACTCGTTGTGTAATTGTGTGTGTGTAGGGACAGATGACACAAGGGAAGAAACAAGCTATAAGAAAAAACGAACACGGAAGCAAAAGCATAGCAGAAAAGAAGACGAGCCAAAAAACAGACAGAAGATGGTACCAGGAATGCACCAGAAAGATTTGATTGCTGACACTGGGAGAGGGGATGCTGTGTATATAAACTCAGTACCAATCTTTGGGGATTACTCGAAATGAATTTATCACCGACTCGCCGTCTTCACCGATTATCTATTTAATAAATGGGCAAGGAAATCTCAGTCTTCTGCTGCCCGACGTTTCCCCAGAAAGCCAGTGGGTCCTACAGGGCTTGCTTCATAAATGACTCAAGAGATTCGATGGCAACGATTGAGTGCTAAACCTGATAATTAAAACAAGGATTCAATCAAACGCGATTTGGTTTTAAAATATTTTGGCAGCTGTTCTAAAATCTGAATCTTTGATCTTTGTCTTTCAGAACTTTATATTTTTATAACTCTTATATTTGAGTAACAAAATAATAGATGGATTATCGCATATATCCTGCATCATGATTATGATTATAACAACTATTATATCAAAGATGGTGAGTGATTGATTCATCTTGTGCCTTGTGTTGTTTTTAAACCAACCTTTTTGCTGTGCATCCTTGAATTCCAAATACAAAGGGACAATTTTTTCTGTGTAGCCGACAATTAATCGATTGTGAAATTCAGGCTTTGTTTCTTTCCAGTCAGTGATGACATGTTCCTGTCGATGGAAAATTAAATTTCAAAGGGCAATTGCAACAGAAGGTGGAATAAAGTGGATGGTTTTTGTATGGATGGGGGAGCATAAAGTTCACCTGACGTTCTATCGGCAAATTATTAGGATCTTCATTGTCGCCAACAAAATCTAAGTGGCTTCACGCTTGAATTTAACAGCATTTTTCAGCTTAACAAAAAGGGTTGTCTATAACCTTAGCTTTTCGCTCAGCCCTCTACTTTCAGAAGAATGTTTTCTATGCTAAACGCAGAATTTTAAAAAATGTAGAATTTTATAATTTTCTGCTCTGACTTAAACGAGACAACAAGAGAAGAGGCTGAGCGACAGTTTGGGTATTTCGGTGGAACTGCGTCGCAAACTGAAGGCTCATAACTAAAAAACCTAATATGAATAGCACGTGGCGAGAAATGACGTCATTGTGCATACTGCGTTGTGGGCTTTGTTCATAGGACTTTGCTATTTCATCTAATTTCAGAAAATCTCATAGGACATCTAATTTCAGAAAATCTGTAAAAGCGCGCAAATCACTTTAAAAGCGGATTCAATCAATTTATTTTACAGTGTGCTCACAAAATTTTTCTTGCAATGGTTTGCAGTAAAACTGGATTTTGGAGAGTACAACTACCATAAAAAAGATTATCACAATTGTGTCCTTCTTTTAACCTAGTGTTATTCATTTCCATAATCATTCTTTTGTATAGGTTTATATATGTTACGACGTATAGGTTTATATATGTTACGACAAAGGTAGAAGCTTGCTGTAAACGTTCGTAGGAAATCGCTCATCAACCTTAAATTTATTTAGTTCTAGAAAAGATGCATGAAAGTTTATGCATGCAGTACTTGATATCATGAATTGCTTTAAGTATAGAAATAAGGTAACAAAACGAAATGTTGGGTATTTGCTAGGACTGCTTTAGGAAGCAATGCCACAAAAGACATTTATAAAATTTGCTTAAAATACAGTGCACTTGTTGACTTAAACATAATTTCGACACGGTATTTGAAATTCATCAGGAAGATGTCTCTCGCATACAAACTACTTGCAACAAGGTCATACCTAGTTTAGAAATACGAATCTGGGCCAAAGCTTGGTTCGTTAGAGCGTCTATACTTCATATTATTCTCGGAAAATTTAAAAAAGGCCACTGGTATGATTGAAAAGGAAAGAGTCATATCAAACTCACCAAGTATTGCATTACAAGTTGGGGTGCATGTGTGTTTAGGTGCTGCAGAACATTCTCCCTTGGTAGGCTTTCTATCTCTGGCATATCTTCAGTAAAAATCTTAAATGCAAAAAACATAAAAAATCATGTGTTTAGATACCAAGATGGACCTGAACTACAATCACTGAAAAAATAACTTGGAATATCCAACACTTTGCGCTGTGCTTTTCTATTTTCCATTTGTTTTCCCCAATACAACTACTTCCGCCCCTCTCCCCCCTCCCCCGCCCCAGAACAAAGTAACAGAAAAATAAATGATTTGGGCGTTGCATTGCTACATTAAAATGTTTGGAACGGAAGAAAGAAATGGACTATTTGAACTGCGCAAGTTTTAAAAAGAGTTCCACAATGGGACATCTAAAAATGATATATTTTCAAGATTTTTTAACTTTAACTCTCGACAGCGTTTAAATTCTGCTCATACAATTAAATAGTTCTCAGCTAACAGAAATTAATCATTAAGCAAAGCTATCGAAAACAATCCAAACCAAGCTTTTTTGTGGAAATCCAAACCAGTTTTTTAATAGATCGATAGCCTGCGCCCCATACCACACATTCTGTCACATTTATGGACTGTGCAATATTGATAAATATTTTGTCCAGGCAGAGGTCTGGGTCTAGTTAACGAAAATAATTTATGCAATGAAACCATTGAAATGTTGCATAAAAAATCCCCGAAGAAATATGCACTGAAGCCAAACAGAACGTGGATAAGATGGTAAACATGACGAGTTTGAAGTCTTGCAAGGTTTGAGCCTTTGACAATGTAAGCTAATTGCATAATTTTGAGGGATGCATAAATTACCACTAGATTCTGGTGGAAACTGAAGACAGGATATTCATCGATATTGCACAGTCCACAAATGTGGCAGCAATAGTGGACTGGGACGCAGGCTAGATCGATCGCTTTAAGCAAATGATTGATGGAAAGGCAACAAAATGATAAATAAATGCAAAAACGCTTTGAAATCAATGACACAAGGTATGCGATTAATCACACGAGACATACCTTTAATCCATCTTCGGGTTCTTTCTTCAAAATTCCTGCAGAATAATCCAGGATCAAATCCATGTGGTCTGGGCCTAAAAGGGAATAGTTGAAGTGGATTAAAAACTTGAATACGTTCTTTAATATATAGCTAGATTAGATTCAAAGAAATAACTTAAATTGTTTTGAATGTAAATCCAATTTTGATACAAACCTAACTTCTGCAAGTATTCGACGACCTTCTCGTGACCTTTTAACTTCCCAGCCTTTTCATTGCCCTTCCCAACACCTCCTTGCCTATCTGCAAGTCTCAAAAGTAGATCCAAAGCTGTAAAAGCAAAAAGGAAACATCACGCATGCATATTATTCTGTTAAGACAGATCAGCGGACTCTTTTTATAAGTATATATTATATTTTTACAAATGTCTCAGTCTTTTGACTGTACCCAGGGTAGGTAGAGCACTTATAGCACTGATCCTGGCGAGGGGCAAATCACTCCAAGAAAATCTCGTACACCTATTGTTTTAACTGAAAATCCCCAGAAATCCTTTTGTTTTAGGTAAAATTTCATAGGCTCTTTGCAAGAGTGAATAACCCCTCGGACCCTGGTTTAAGAAAGTGAGAACAGTTCCAGCATTGGAGGTATGGTTAACTGTTATGGCGTGCTTAAAAAGTGTTGGCATTAAGGGAGAGAAGATAAGTATGAAAAGCTTGTCCTTTGGATAAGATAACTGAAAGACTGTGTCTAAAGTTAAAATGTAACACTGAAAGGATAAATTGCAAAATCTGATAAGGTAAAATTAGGTAGATAATTCAAGTAATTTGTATAATTTAATCTTTGAAACAAGAAATTTTAAAGAATAATGTAAATTGTTGTCCAGTCCTGATCCACAACAGAACGTTTCTTTTAAAATGGCCATCTCAATTATTCAAAGCCATAAAATCTGGAAAAAATCAAAGCTTTCCATAGTCACTTCATCCTATTTTCAATACAGTTCGTCTCATCACACATGTACTTGAATCACAAATGCCTTAATCCTCTACTACTGATGTTAAGCCGAATAAAATACTATATCAATTTTCGAATTGTAAAAATTAGGAGGAGGGGTTGGGATATATTTGCAAGTGGTAGAATTTATGGCATATCATAATCGGATAGTTTGACATCGGAAAAGAAAATAAAAAGAGCGAAACAAGCAACTCAGCTCCCTCAATTTTCCTCATGCAAAGGGTTGCAAGCAACGATTAGTTTGTCTGCTTCTACGTCACAAGAAAAGTACGATGAAATATTTACCTTTCTTGTGAATTCCTTTATTCTGATACAGTAAGACAAGCTCGTTGTACTTTTTTGCTTTTTTCAAAACCCTCTCGCATTCTTCTACATGGCAGTTGTTCCCAACTCGGAGCAAGGGGGCAATCATTCCTTCATTTGTGTGAAGATAGCACTTTAGAAGAGATGTATCCACAACTTGTGCCAGCATCTTTTTGGCACTGAGTTTCTCTATCAATAGAAATCAAGGTCACTTTTACAAAATAAAGGTTAAAGAAACTCAAATCTCACAAGAACAAACAGAAACAAATTTAAAGAAAATTTCACTGTATAGGACCAACAGTAAAGACTAAAATTAACTGATACTTTAAAAATACCTTGACAAGAAATTGTTCGGCAAGATGTATTTCGTAAAGCACTTAATACTACAACATTACGATGTCCTAGGCCCTAGGGGCTGAAAAAGGAATTTGCCCGCGGGAAATCACGCGCTCAGTTTTGGAGTCCCTTGATAGATATCCAGCAATTTATGTATACAATCTATATTCAATAAAAGTATTCTCCTGTGGATTTCATCATACAATACCGAAATCCCATTGCGTTTAAACTTTCTATTTTTATTTCTACGCAGCTAAAGCGGCTGGGATGACTCGTGTATTTCAATGTTTACACATTTCGTTCCATGCCTTCGTTAATGGAAAAATTTAAACAAATGGTGCACAAACCATCAACCGTTGTCTCCATGTCAGCCATATTCTTTTTGCGTATCTAAGAAAAATGAAATACAACTAAGACATCAAAATAAGACAAGAAGATATAAAAAGATAGAAATGAAAAACAGTGCTTTTGTTGGAAAAAATAAATATCAACACAATAAAATGAATTTAAATCGTATTTTTCAAACATTAGGCTCTGTTCTTCCATGTCGTTTTGAACGACAAGCGCACTGCAGACCACCCATTTTTCACTTTCAGAACATACAAACCTGCTAATTTTTAAATTTGGGATGATGTTGCCAAGGCTTGATGTTGAAGAAAACAATTTTGCAGGATTTAGAGAAATGGAAGCAGTTTTTTGAATTCTAGTTGATATTCGATCAAATATTGTAGTATTAAGTGCTTCTTGAGCTTTATGAACGGATTTCCCGCAAACAGTTCTTACAAAATGGGTGAATTAAAACAGGGTAAAACATTCACTCAATCGTTAACAGTCATTGGAAAAATACTATAATGATTTACTCGTAACAAAAATAACGAGCCGTAAAAAATTCTATAAAGCCGAAAATTTTACCCCTTTTTTTAGCGTTATGTCAAAAAACATGATAAAATTTCATGAACTTTATAAAAGGCTAACCTCTTGCAATGCAGTAACATTTTCGCGAAGAGATAGATTGAAAAATATAAGTTAGTTACGAGGCAATCAGCAATAAGGAAATTTTCTTAGATATTTGAAACTGCAGGGAGGTTATCAGAGGGAAGGATAAAAGGAACAAAAATGAAAAACCGAATTCTCAGATTTGGGATTTTTTTGAAGAGACCTCCCAAGAGAAAAAAACATTTTAAATTCTTAAGAAGAAGACCCAGTGGGAATTGGTGTTTACAAAGATAAATTCTACAATATATCTTATAATTCAATTTTCACTGAAGTTGGTTTATATCTTAATTAGGAGTGGAAAACTTAAAGACAAACCAACACTCTTCAGACTTTTGTCCGACACTCTTCTGAGTATAAAATACCAGAAAGATGATTGAAATTTTAAGCAAGGAAATACACTTAGGGTACAAAAATATGGAAACGGTAGTTAAAAATGACGGCTCACAGTGGCCAAGGGCCTAAGGCAATAAATTTCCGAAACATATCAGTTTAAACATAAACGTATCCAGATTTAAGCATGAATGAAATATGTTGTGCTTCTTCAAAATTTCCAACATTTTATCTTAATTGTTTATCACTGCTTCGATAATTTTTTCAGAATTTTACTGAATGTTGGTTCAACGTTTCCCCTTTTTTTGTTCTTAAAACAGTTGAATAATCCTTCAAATTTATTTTTATTTCAAAGCCATTGAAATGACGCATTGTTTTCCTGCCGAAGTCACTAGCAACGAAGACCTCTTCACCTAGTAATTTTGTTTCGAAGATTTATCGCCTTAGGCCCTTGGCCACTGTGAGCCGCCATTATTGACTATCGTTTCCATACTTTTGTACCCTAAGTGTATATATATCCAGTTGTGAATCGAAATAGGCCGGTGACAAATCCAAAAACACTGGCCAGTCAGTGCCGGGTATAGAGTCTATATTCCTTGCTTAGAATTTCCTACAATTATTCTGACATTATATACTCCGAAGAGTAGCAGACGAGAAGCCTAAGTGGGCTTTTTAAAATTCGTTTTTAAACTGAATAGAATTATGATTAAAAACCGTTTTTAAAACAGATATTTAATAAGAAAGAAGATTATAAAAAGCAATTCTGTTACTTGTTAGAGTCCGCCAAATAAACTAAAAGCATAATGTCATTTTGATAGCAAAGTATAAGCGATTGATGTTGAATCGTGCAAATGAGAGCATTTCGTTTAGAATGCAGTGCAAAAGGTTACCTTGGCTAGATATCCTGTTAGGTGGTGCAAGCCCTTCTCTAATGCCCCGTCGCTGAAGTCAGGTAGCGGGTACGGATAGGTGACATTCTTTCGGTAGGGCTCGGGCAACAAGTTGGGGAAAACACCAATCACCAACAGGGGGTCTGTAATTAGGCAAAATGAGATATTAAAAAGATAAAATACGAAGCAACACAGAAGAGAGTAAAGCGGGTTTCTACAAGGCGAATATTGCAATTCGTCAAGAATCAAAATTTTGATTCCAACGTTATTTAAAATGAAGATGTCCATTTTAAGAACTGTAAAAATGACGAATGAAAACAAGGTATTATTTTCAGAAAAACGAATATTTGAAGCTATTGAATCTAAAACGTAAAGGAAAATTTACGATGCTAAGATTGGTTGGGAAAATTCTTCGCCAGAAAATATTGAACCGTCCTATGTGCTTGCTAGATCATAAACATTAATTCGTGTTTTTTCAGACCCTTATTCTGATGTTTTATCATCTGAAGAGTGTCAGACGAAAAAGCTTTTAGCCAAAATGTTGTAAAATGTTTGCTTTTTTCAAAGCCATTTTCAAGTTCTGTACTGCCAAAAAACTGTAAACATAATTGTACATTCACAGTTCCGTTTCTTTGCGAATTCGCTGGAATATTCACCTCGTATAAATCCGTTTAAGAGGAAGCAGTATCAAACAAAATTAGCAGATATAGCTTACAAGTCAATACATTTCTCGAGGATTCTCAAACCTGTTAAATATTTAACCAAAGGTTTCCACCACTGTTGAAGAATCATTGCAACTAATATAAGGATCAGTATAAATTTCCTTAAACGTACGAACCAGTGTCGATTTTGGTAAAAAGATAAAGAGCTTCTTCAAATTTTTTCTTCCTGAACATCAAGTCAAACGCATACAGATTCTCGATTTCGTGTGTCGTTCTTTCTTTGTCTTTGTCACTTCCGTCCATCATTTTCTGCAAAAAGATTCACAAACAAAAGTTAATACTTAGCATGATCTGGAAATGAGTGGAAGAAAAGAAAAAAGGTTTGATGTTTTTTAAAAAGGGCAAATCCACAGTTAATTACACAAGCCATTACTAAAATTCTTGCTACATCACGAAGAGGGTTGAATAGCTGAATAGCAGGGCTGCGACGTCACAAAGAGTGGGTTGAATAGAAGGGACCTAAGAGAGTAAATTGTAAAATCAGATTGTTTCAAGGGGGCATAAAAAGAGTGGACATTTATTTCATTTGGCTGATCTAATAAAGAGGGGTGTAAATGATAAGGAAATCAATCTGTCTGCCCCCTCCCATCCAGGCAAATGCTGACTTTAACATCTCGAGTTATGATTTCACGTTCAAATAACAAAAGTGGTTGACAAAGGAACATGACTTAAACTGAATATTCACCGCAAATCGAGGTGTTTTTCAATATAGTTCAGAGCACAGATCTCATACTTACAATTAAACTCAGGGCGACCTCGAACTGTTTATCGTCTGTTAACTGCTGAATCTGTCTGTTAATAGGCACTGGCACCAGCCTCCATACATGATTCTGTGAGTATACGTAACAATCTTGGTGCTGAACGATCGATTTTAGCTTTGAGCCAGGCAAGTCGATTTTCTGAATGAATACTTTTGGGTCACGGGACCAAATTTCAATTGACTTAGGAAAAATCGCAATAATGTACGGGGAGATGTATTCTGTGAGAAAAAGCAGAAAAAAGCATTGAGATAAGATGATTATGATGCAGGCAAGAATAGTATAGTCGATGAAAATTTCGTGCCGCTTTCGCAAAATGGATGATTGATTAATCGATGCTTACCTATATCCAAAGGGTCGTCTGACCACGTGACCGAATGCCTGTTTTCTGCAGAGGAACCTTTGCCAGCACTCAAGAAAACGGTCATTTTGTCTTGATTTAAAGCAAGTTCGCCAGACTTCAGTGTACGAATGTATGGCTCGTGTTGGCTTCCAACTGGAAAAAGGTCTTTTAAGTTTCCAGAATCAGCCTAGGATTGAATTTTAAAAGATCAATAAAGTTTTCATAGTGAAGCTTACTGGAGAACCCTTAGAATTAAGGTTTTCTCACTGGGATAAATGTGGCCTTTACTAAGTCCCAGCATTAACACTACTGCGAGCAAAAATCGGATTGATTGTGATCCACCAGGTCTTTTAAGGCTAACATTTTTTTTATTGAAAATTGAAAGACATTTTATTTTACTTAATCAAATGCACAGAATCCAGAAAAATCTTATTTTTCTATATTAATAAATATTAATTAAGTATCAGCTTAACATTAAAGTAATTTAAAATGCTCATTTATGACTTCCAAAAAATAATTACAATCAATGCTACGAATTATGCTTCAGTAAATTTGCTATTTTATTCGAGTTTTACAAGGTGATTAAATAATTTGGTAAAACCTCTGTTTAGTGAACAAATCCTCTGTTTGGTAAATAATTTTTTTAGTTTGCATTTGAATGAGTGAGATAATATTGTTTAGAAAAGGAATACGTTTGCTTTTTCATAACTTTTCTTTTTAAATCAAATATTGAGGAAGTACCAAAGCAATAAAAGGAAAAAGACTCAACATAAACCAAATATATGCTATGTTCTTCCCTCTTGCAAAAATATCAATATTCTAATAAACGCTTCCTAAAACCCCCGGTTCGTTTATTATTTCAAGGAGCATTGAAAGGACGACATATAAATGGGAGGCATCAAGGCGTCAAAGAAAGTGTTAAAAGAGGGGGGTTACCAGACCTGAACTAGGTGAAAATGGTAACAGCTGCAAGATCAACAACGAATCTAAACACAATCTAAAGGTTGATGCGTTGTATAACAAATAAAAATGAGATGAAAAATAGAGGGTATACCTTGATAAGGTAATAGTCACGCTTCCCTCCATAGCAAATGTAATCGCCATACCATGCTATGACCTTCGGTGTTTCTGCTAAACCAAGATCTGGGTACAACTCCTGAAATTCCCCATTTATCCAATAATAGAGCTGAAAAAATAGAAAGTAGAAAGTAGAAAATAAGTACAAAATAAAGTAGTTAAATAGGCAGAATAACTATTGAGTTTAATATCTGTTTTATCGTATCTATTATAGCCTGCACGCAGAGTCGACTGGCTTTCCCAGATATTAACTTAGTTGAATGGAAAATTCACGACTTTGGGTGAATAAAAATGGGTGAATTCTTTCACGACTTTGGGTGAATAAAATGGGTGAATTCTGCTTCTGAACGATAAATAGTCGTCAATGCAAACTCTTCGTACCCCTTCGTAAAATGTCTGGCAACATTGCTGCAGATAAACAAAATATTTGAAGAAAATGTATTTACTCTAATTATACTTAGACCAAATAACTTTCCTGTGGTTAATTTTACATCAATTATTTTGAAAATGGCTTTGAAAAAAGCAAACATTTTACAACATACTTAAAGCTTTTTCGTCTGACACTCCTCAGAGCATAAACACGAAAAAACACGATGGAAAAATATATACCCAGTTGTGGATCGAAAGAGAACAGAACAGCCTCCTCGATCTTGTAGGTCTAGAAACACTGTTAAAACAAGTGATTCTGCCATTGGTCAACATCTTTTAGACAACCCAGATTGTGCAAAACTCTATAATGACGACATGTTTCGGATAATTGGCAGAGCCCGGTCGTCCTTCCATCTAGCAGTTTTGGAGTCAATCTACATAAAAACGAAAAAGCCGTCATTGTGTAGACAAAAGGAGTTCGTTTTCTCTCTTGGACTCCATTGGTAATTTTTCTTTAGGCTCGCGGCACTGATTGGTCAACTATACCGGTCTTGTGCTTGCGTTTTTCTGATTGGCCTATTTCGATCCACAACTGGGTACATATTTTTCCATCGTGTTTTTTCGGAACCTATTCTGACGTTTTATGCTCTGAGGAGTGTCAGACGAAAAAGCTTTAAGTATGTTGTAAAATGTTTGCTTTTTTCAAAGCCATTTTCAAATTCTGTACCGCAAAAAAATTGATCAATTATTTTCAATTACCTAAAATTAATGCAAATCAAAACCAAAACGGGATCGTAGCCTTGTGCTAATTCAAAAAGTTAGAAAATCATCAAGTTATTGATAGACAAGATCGGTTAAGCTAGGTTCAACGCAATTATTCGCATATCGACAAAACATAGCATACCATCAGTTTTCTTTTGACTATGAAACAAAGACGAAGTTGGAACGGGGGTCCAAGATCTACAGAAAATGATAGCAAGATCATTGTAAATACAAACCATTTACATAATTTAACCACGATAAATTTCCCATTATCTCTAATCTCAAACGACAAAGAATACTGTAAATGGAAATTATATAAAATTGACCAAAGTAGATTGTGCATAGCAAAATCAGTCAATCGGCCGCAACGAGTCAGTTTTCGTATGATAGGACCTGGTTCTTTCGCTTCTCTTCATTTTTTTTTCCATCCCACAATTCATATCCATTCATACAATTTTTATACAATTTTTACCTTTGAGAGGAAATATTGTTTAATTCAAAGAGCAATATAAAAAGACATGAAATAGAGAAAACGGATGAATTTCTACAAACCTTGATCATTGTCACGTTTCTAAAAGAAAACGTAAACAATTTTTACAATAGCTGTTTACATTTACATACAAGTCTGTACATGCACAAAATGTATGAAAATCAATTAACTTGGTGTGTAGGAAACAATTCTAAATTGCAACTCGAAAGTTGCACTTAATGCAATCATTAGGCAACTGTAGAGATGACATCTAACACTACAACAAACCGGTAGAACAGTAACTTCCATTAGAAATAAACAAAAACAATAATAATTTATCATCTTATTTTATTACAAAACACTTTTTTCGCGAAAAACTTTACCAAGTGTAACACAAGTTTTTAGTGAAAAGTTTTTGCCAGACAATCCCATCTTTTGCTAGTTCACTAGCTTCTTTCCATTCGATGCTATATATGTCCTATAGTTTTGACTTCATTCTTGACAACCACGTTAGCTCTAAGTGGCCTTTTGGTCCTGTATATCATTCATACTCTTGTATATTCCTTGGTCTGTTATACAGATAATTAAAGGCAATCGACAGATGTGAAAGTGTCATCTGTCATCTGTCTGTCAATCAATATTAGCCAATCATTGAGCGTATGAGTGGGATCACACTCAATGATTGGTCAATTTTAGATTGAAAGGAGGCTTAGCCCCTTTAGGATCTGTCAATTGCCTTTAAGATCCACATATTCGGCAGTGGAATTTGAAGGGTGGGCGTGGGGAGAGTCAAATGAAATCTTACCTTCAAGTCGGTTGCAAAAAATGATGCGCCTTTGAATTTGTGTAACTGACACTTCAACGAGAATGACTGAAGGTCGTGGACGCTGATGAGGCCATCTAGAATTCAACATGTAGGGGTGATAAGAAGAACAGAATGCTAAGTAGTATCAATAGAGGATTGTCCGCATTCAACTCTCAAAATATGTTACAAAATCACCAAGTTTAAAACTCAGTGCAATAAGCAAGTGCAAAAATGCCTACACCTACTAACTTCATCAGCATAACATAGCAAGTTAATGACCACAGAGAAATTTAAAAGTACAAAGAAAAAAATAGAAATCGACAAAAGCCCAGCAACTACTTTATTTTCAATTCATTATTGATTCATGTCATATTGTTGGAGGATTTTCGTTCTTGTGTAGTCCTATTTTCCTGTTTCAGTAATCTGCTACCACTAGATTTTGAATTTAAATAAAACAAGGTCCTAGCAACTGTTGTCTTGTGGCTAGAGCCCCCCCTCCCCCTACAAACACAAATTTACAAAAACCCTTTGTTTCCAGTAAAAAATATCTTTTACCCTATTGTTCTCAAACAGTGGTGCCCCGTCCCCAAATAATTCTATCCTTCCTACGACATGGAATTTAGGTTAACAGCAAAGAGTTCTGTCCCTTTTATCTAATTGCAAGAACGAGACATTTAAAACAAAATCCATTTGTAGATTCCTAAAAAGTATATAACAGTTAAAGTGATGTTGAATAGTTTTCATATCTTAATTTTATTTACCCTCAAAATATGTGCCTCTTTAACTTTGAGTTCTTATAAATTACAAATAGTAAAATAAATATCAGAATGTGAAGTGGTAAATGGAATGAATAAATTTGTAAACTATCACCTGATAAGCTAATCAGAAGTTCAAGCTCTTTCACGATTGTCATCTGAAAACAATGCAAATTATTTCAAAATCTTGAATGAATAAGAACACTATCATTTGATAATATTCCAAGACAGCTTTGTTGTTCTATCAAATTTCGTAGAAAGATTGATTTGGAGAAATAATTTTTGACATCTTACAAATAACATTATGTCCTTATGATCAAAAAAGAAAAGTGTTATGAACTGCAAAAGTAATTAACAGGTAAAACATTTAAACATTCTGATTATCCAATCATTTAATTTCATTTTTCATTTAATTTCATTGTCTATTTGAAATTCAACATACATGCAAGTTTAACTATGAATAAAATTGTAACAAAAGATAAATCTAATACAAAAGTAGTAGATGGTAACCAGAATACCTCTATTAAGCTATCAGGGGCTTATTTATTTTCTTCAATCCTAGAGGGTGGCTTAAAAGAGAGGGGGCTTATTAGAGAGGGGGCTTATTAATAATTTAACGTAAATAATGTTATAAAAATGGTCTTATGCATTTTTTGTTATGAAAATGTCATACAAATGTTCTCGAAAACTTTGTTAGCAGCTTCAAAAATTTCTAAAAATCATTCAATTACAATATCCTCATCTTCATCAGAATCACCAGGATCAATTGATATCCCCAGGGACATCTAAACAAAATTCGACTAAATTCTAAGGTGTACAAGTAATATTTACATGAGCCATATTTAATGCACACAATCTTATCATCATCACACCCATCAAGAGACCCAATCAATAGACATGTTTTCTTTGTTTGAGATCGGGGGCTTAAGAAGGGGGCTTAAAAAAGAGCAGGCTTATTTAAATTTTTTGCTTGTTATGGGGGGGCTTAATAGAGAGGAGGGCTTAAGAGAGAGGGGGGTTTAATAAAGCTTTATGGTATATACTGAAAAGTTCTGTCTAATTTGCAGATGTTAGAATTATTTCAAGGAAGAACTCCCCTACTAGTTCCAAAACTAACAAGAAGACAGCCCACCCTTGGTTGAGAAAATATCTATTAAACTCAAGAACATATATTTGAAATTTCTTAACCACATATTTTCAATTGAACAGTTACAAAGAAAAGTTGAATGTAAAGGGGAATCTAGATTGAGAATTTTTATTCCTTCTGGCAAATCATTCCACATTCTTGCCCCCTGATAGCAAATGGACTTCAAAACACAATTGAGGCTATTTTATGGATCAAGAATATATCTCCAAGCCTGGTCATAAGACTTTTAACAGAAAACAGTAAACAGCTCCCTTCCAGGTGAGCTATTTGTACATAAATAAGAACAGAAACAAAGGAAAAATTGATTTCAAGGAGAGCAATTTGCTTTTTGAAGCAATTTAGGAGAGCAATCTGTAGCTCCCCTCCAGTATTTGAGGAGGGCCTGGAGGGGAGCAAGAGCTATGGCTATCCTCAAAAGGCCAGGCCTGGGAATCCCCATGATGGGATTTTCTTCTATAATATTGATGAATACATTGAATAATGTTGATCATTGACTGGTGTTAAAAAATTCCTTACTTGAGTGATGGGCTTTCTTGAAAATGCTTTGTTCGATCGTTGTAACTCTGGTTCAAATCTTGAGTCATACTTGTCTGAAACAATTTTAATACCATTACTAGCATTTGGAATATGCTCTTATAAATACGTTTTAAATAAATTCTAAATTTAATTCAGTGAATACTAGCAAATCCTGATAGGTCTTAATTGCAAAAATATAAACAACAAAGTATATTTATGTATTGATAATGCTCACACAAGAAAAACAAATCAGTTTTTAGCAAGCGTAACAATGAATGACATTAAAGAGAAGAGAAACCAGCAATATTTTGGTAAAATACACAAAATATTGATATAATTCTTATATAAACAAAACAGTAGTAATAACTGGATAAAAGTTAAGCTCAATAACTCCACAAGGGCTCATTAAATTAATTGGAACTGCATGGCTGTCATTTCTTTGCAGAAATTTTCAACTTTACTGAATTTTCAAAATTTAGAAATATAATGTCTTGAATCAATGATTGATACCTATGTTGATCTGACTATGAATCATTAAATCCAGTTGGATAGTGAGTCATTAATTGATAATCCCTAAACCCTATAAAAAATATCTACTGACCTTTCTCTCTCACTTCATATACTAGTAAATGTCCCTTATTTGTTCCCACAAGTAAATTGTTATCTGAAAAGCATAAAATTTTCTTTCACAAAGGGAAAATCTAAAAACACACTGCAAAAAATCAAATGCTAAGGGTATATAAAGCTATTTGACAACAAATACTAATTTGCACAATATATCAAGCTTAAAGATCTTATACTATTCAAATTAAAGAAATAACCACAAAGGTTTTTTATCAAAGAAGAGCCATACAGAAATTTTATTTAACCTCTACCATTGCAACTAAAGAGCTATGACTTTTGACCAACAAAAGACATTTAATGACAAATGACAATAGTTGACATTTTGTACTTTAACATGTTTTCAAAGAAGCTGCTTATTAAACTGACTGAGCGGATAAAGTAGTTACAGTTTTAAGCAAAGCTTGATTATTTGATGTGGAATCACATATGCTTCTCTTTAACCACAGTGTTTGACATTCCACTCAACATGCATATGACTTCTGACACTGATCTAGCAAACTTTACCATTTTAACAGCCAGGCTCTTATCACTGCATAATTTTTGCCAATTTGAATACTGTGACATATTTTTAACAGGAGTATCTTGCAGCACATCATTTCAGGCTGCATTTGCTTATATCCAGATATAAACATAGTCTGCTTATAAGTAGGCCTTAATCTTCAGGATTCTGTGAGAAAGATTAAAATACAAGAAACAGCAATATGGATATCTATTTTCTCTTTGACCACATTTACATCCTTCAGCGATTACTTCCCTTGCATTATCAATTCCTTCAAATTGTCCTTTGAGTAGACAACCTTGTTGAAGAACACCTGAATGAGGGACTCATGATCATTGATAATGACAAGGATCCTGTGAAAGTTGACATTGGGTTGACATTACCAACCCGATTTTCATTTTTTCAAATATCTTATACATAAATAAGCATTTTCTGTTATTTCTGTGTCTCTCATTAGACAATTTCAGAAATTATTAATAACATAATTGAATGGATAAATTGAATGGATGAATTTTCTTAAAGAAGGGAACTTTCTCAGTAGCTATATAATCATCATATGTATCTAATAATAGACCAGTCTGCAGAGTATGGCACTTTTCGACGAGATCTCCGGTGTGCACGAGCAAAAAGCCTGGTGTGACGGTGTGCACCACCAAAAATGTCTGGTGTGCTGGTGTGCACCGACTATTTTTCCCTGTTGTGGTTAAAATTTGTGAATTTGCATTTCACCGTAAAAATGCGTGTGAAGCATACTGTTGAAGATAGCGCAAGTTTTTATTTGTATATTTGTCAAGTAAGATTCATGATATCTCAAATTGTTCATACACAACTGTGCTTGTTTTTATCAGCTGACTTTTTCTATGGGACCACACCCAGCCACACCCATCTTAGTTGCCACACCCAAAAATATGGGTGTGCAACAGGTTTTGCACAAAAATATCTCCGGTGTGCACATGCCATACTCTGCAGACTGGATAATAGACAAGGAAAGGAAGACATCATGGCTTACCCACAGTCCCAACACTATCAATGGGCAAGGGCATTCGTTCCAATATAGGAACGCATTCAAACGCGTTGTGCATCTTGACTGCTTACTCTTTTACCTTCATTTCTGTGTTGATTTGTGCCAAAATTAACGATGTTTTCTTTAGAAACAATCTACCTCCATCATGGGTGATAGTATCACATGACTCGAGGTTACATCCAAAAGAGGTTTAGGTAAGGGGGGTGGGGCACCGAAAGAAAATGATAAGAAAAGATTACCCGGCAGGTAGAAATAGATATCATAAGAAGAACAAGTTCCTTCTTTTGTTGATCACAAGACTTTGCCCAAATTTATGTTCACAAAGAAAGGAGCGAAACTGAAACTGCTATGTTTTCGGATGAAAGGAAAATTATTTTTGAACACTAGTGATTAATGTCGAGCTCTGAGAAAGGTGACGAAGATACCAAACAGGATATTTGGTTTTTTCGTAGAAAAAAATCATAAATGGCTTCTTTTAATCTTTGAAGTCTTCGGCATAACCATTTCTTTCAATTTCTAAACTATGTTTTTTGACCCCTTCAAATACATGTACCCTGTTCATCAAACCAACTGGAATTTATCTCACCTAATTTTTCTCCATTATTTCTCACATTGTCAATTATGCCAGATATCTGCGATATTCACAGGCGGAATACTCAAATGGAAGTGTAGAGTGGTGTTCCAAAATTTTGGACCACCGTTTGGTTCAAGAGGTTTCATAGCCAACTTCCTATAGAATTAGAAGATTATTCTACATTTCTTGGCTTTCAACAAATATAAACTTTGTTATCAAGTTAGTAAATTTTTGTCCTTTGTAAATAAGAAAAAATTGAATATTGCTAGGAAAAACTTTTGATGTAAAAATTGGGTAAAGACAAAAATAAAGTAGTCCGGAATATCCTTTCCGGATATTCTTTTGGCTCTAGGCAACGCTTGACAAGGCCTTTCCGGTAAATGGAGCTCTCTGAATATGAAACTAAAAAATATCTTTTAGGGTTGCATTAGTGATGTAGTTAATTCTGTTTCCCAAAATCGGAAGAAGTAGAACATGGCTGGAAGTATGAGCAAGAGTATACATTTTTACCAATTTGGTTCCTCAAATCACAGTCCCCTAACACAGCTAGGGGTTGGACTCAGTAAGCTAAATTTCCAAAAATCAAACAAAATTATAAGCAGGGGCGCCTACACAGGGGGGGGCTGGAGGGGCAGCTGCCCCTCCCGTTTTCTTCGAAGAGGGGCAGAGGGGGAAAGAAGTGCCCTGGAATATAAGAAAATACTATAGAATTTTATCGATAATCGATGACCACTTTGACTACACTCGTTATGTTAATATTTACTGTATTAGAAAATGTTAGAAAAATGATAACACCCGCACAAAAACGTAGAGAATGAAAAGTTTGTCTGTGACAGGGTCGGCCACAAGAGGGAGAGCGGCAAAGATAATAGATGATAAACAAAAGACGTGTTCCCTCAGAAGTACTCCAGAAACCAAAGGAGGATAAATCGGTATAAAAACTTGGCGGGCAAACAAAATTTTACAACCAGCCCATTTATAACAGCCATGATTTTTAGAAAACCTAATATTGTGTAAAGTGACAAGGCCATTTAATACCCTTTTTAATGTATGGATAATTTCGTCAACATTTTCTCTATGTTTAGAATCTTTGATGGTAAGAGCCCCAGCTGTATTAGTGGCACATATTCAAGTTGATATTTTGTTATGTTACCCCACCCTTGCCCCCCTCCCACCTAGGAATACTCGATTATGTTAGTAGAAAAATTTCACGATTTGCCCTCGGCACCAACACTGCCCCTCCTGCCCTAAGCTGGTGCAGGCGTCCCTGATTTATAAGGATACTTTGAGCCCTTTACACTTTATACTAAATGATGGTGTTGAGGACACGGAGCACTATTTTCTGCTCTGCCATACTTATGATGTAAATAGACATGATCTTCTCAACAGTGTAGATGCGATATTGTTGCCTCATGGCTTGCTTAATCTTTCAAATAAAGAGCTACTAAAAGTCATCCTTCATGACCATGAAAATTTACCATTTGATCTCAATGCAAAAATCCTGACGGCAACACTGAAGTATATCCAGGCCTCCAAACGGTTTGAATAACGCAGGAACAAAAATCTTTAAATCTCACCTCTATTTATTTCGGTTTTTGCGGTTTATTTAATTATAAAATCATTTTTTAATATTGTGATTTACGTATATGTCTAATGCTAGGAGGTAGTCATGATATATTGCTCCTCAAGGCCGTTTTTGTAATGTGGTCCAATGTAGTATAGAATTTTCCGTTCTGTATAGTTTTAGGTAATTTTGTTTGTAGCTTTTTATACCGAATAAAAAAATTTAAAGCAAAATAAACATAAAAACGTCTGAACATAACAAAAGATTTATTTATTCCAGTTCCGATGTCGTTATGTGATGTTAAAATTTTTGAAAAAATATAAATGCTTGTTAGATTTTTGTCGGAAAATCAAAGTTTCTCACCCTTCCTGTGAATTTTCCTGTCTACGCCATTGTCTGGTGGCTATACTACTTTTGTTTGCTATTTGATATAATTTTGGCATAAATGATATCATAACACCATAATGCAAAAGATGAAAATTTCTAAGAAATTTTGAAAGTCTTAGAAAATGAAAAACGTTTAACTTTTTTATTTAAATTCGATCATACTGTTACACTGTTACAAATAGATGCGCAAGCCAAAGTGTAGATCTGTATAGCTGTATGTTGCCCTGTTGCAATCACATTCTTTGAAAAAATTCAGAAGCAGTAGCGGCGCCACGGGGGGACACTTCCCCTCCCCCAGTTCTCTGCAGGATCAACTTTTTTTCGTCTAAATCTGATGAGAAAGTGTTGAGGGAGAGGTAGTATTTCGGCAACATACTTTTTGAATGTAATGCTATGAGTTTCAAACTGCCTTTACGTAACCAAAATTTAATTGTAGGCTTGCCCTTTAGGTAAAATTTGCGTTCCATGTTGGTAAAAGGGCGTTTTCTGGTGTAAAATGGACGTGGCCTAAACATTTTTGCCCCCCCCCCCCCCAAAAGCCTAGTGGCTGGCGCCGCCATTCTTCAGAAGCTTTTCAGCTTCTTTATCCCAAGTCTACAATGATAGGAAGATCTTAACAAAAAGAATATTTAACACAAAGGTAGTCAAAGACTCAAACTGCTTCTACCCTACTTCATTCATATACTTTTGCCATTATTGTCTCTACTAATGGCAGTTTCTGGTAATTTAGGGGCTCGATTGTTACTTGGAAATTTCTTTTAGTGAATTTTTATTCATAGGCCCTTATTATAGCCAAGGGTCCCGGGGTCAGTGACCCCCTGATCCTCCCTCTCCTCAGCACTGTCTGTCCAGAGTGTTATTTTCTTCAAGACTTCTTGTGACCGTAAACTTTTTGAAAAAATTTCCTGTGAAATTAGTTTGGACTTTGTGATTCAAAAACCTCAATAATGCGATAAAATTATGTTGTTGAAGACAAAAGGAGTCACATGAGTAAAATATGAAAGTACAGATTTTATCAGAAATGTTTTGCCATATTTATAATCAGAACTGCACAGAGGTTTCGGAGTTCCTAGGACAAAACCGAAGGTCAAGGCCCCCAGTGAGCGGAGAGAACAGAAAATATTTGTCACCAAGCCCTTAGGATTAGCTTAAAATGCATTTCAGAATATTTCTTGCAGTCATTTCTTGCAAATATTTTAACACCTTACGTTCTTAAGCATACTTTTGCTACAATTGATTTATTCCATTCCTAACATAGCGCAATCAACCCTGAGGCCCCCTGGGGCATTTTGCCCCTGATCCCCCCTTTCAGCAGCCCCACTTATAGTGAATGCTATTGTCAAAACTCTTTCAAAGGGTTAGCAAAGAAATGTGGAACATTGCCATTCTTGCATAAATGAGCGAGCATTAAAATGGCAATTCCTGCGTCTTGATAAATGAAGCGATTTTATGAAAGACTCATACCAAAAACTATAACTTTGTACAAAGGAGATTTATCTGTAGTGTTGTGAGTGAGCTACAAGCAGAAAAGTCTTGCAAAAATACACCTGTGATACGGGAGGTTGGTTCTTTCTTTATAGCCTGCATTTAAAAATATCTCAAACACTAATAACGGTATGGGGTCGTAATGACATATCAGTAATGACATAATTGTTACTTTTTGCAACGAAAGCTGATCCCCTTGATCTCCCTCAGCACAGTATTACTTTTCGAAACATAGTTATGATCTTTTTCAGTGCAATGAGTTCATTTCTTCTGAGCATTTAAATTCTTTCCAACCTGTTAACCTTCTGTTAAGTGTATAAAACTTTTCTATTATTCATCCAAGGTTGAGAAATTTCCTGTGAGAAAAATATTCTAACTGATTTCCTGTGACCAATGGTCACACGGTCACGGGGAAAATAACGCCCTGTGTCTGTCTAGGGCCGTCGCTAATCACTTTCACTTAAGGGGGTGCCAGTCACAAATTTGCCGACAAAATAGGGCGTGGCCTACGGTATTTCAATTTTTGGGTGTGGTATTTTGACGCAATTGATTTTGTTTATCAAAGAGTATGTTCTCGTTAGTCAATTATCGCTTCAATTTTCGAGTGACTGTGGATACTTAATTTGCATGAGTAGATCTTACTAATAGGACCCCCAAGAGGTTTCGAAGGCCTTGAAAGAAACCCGAAAGACGAGGCTCCTGCGAGCGGAGCGAGCAGAAATTTTTGCGACCACGCCCTTTAGATTGTCTTAAAATGCATTTCAGAATATTTTTTGCAGTCATTTCTTGCAATCGTTTAAAACTTTTAAGTATTTTTAGGCATAATTCTTCTACGTTTCATTGTTTCATTCTTAAAATGGAGTTCATTACTCCTTGAGGCCCCATCAACCTCAAGGCCCTGAGGCACTTTGCCCCCTTGCTCCCCTCAGCAGCCCTGCTTACAGTGGCTTCCAGTACCTCCAGGATCAACGTTCAGAGTTTTTCAATAAACTTTGACCCTAAACTTTAGGTAGAAATTAGGTCGCCCTGGATATTGGACATTAGATTCTAGACTCCGGCTGCCGACAGGAAGTCATTTGAAATTTTTGGTGGACATTTGCCCCTCAGTGACACCCATTGCGCCATCTGTACCTATTTTGAATTGCTGAGGGTTTTTTGGTGATACTTTTTTGGTCCTATCCTCATCTTACCCAAAATTTTTGCTAAAGTTATCGCATTGAGAACTTCAAAAGTAGTAAAACCCGACAAAACTCTACTTTTAGAAAATTTGCCGACAAGAATTTTCTAGGGGGGGTGCCGCACCCCCCGCACCCCCCCTCCCGCTAGCGACGGCCCTGTGTCTATTTGTCTGTCTGTCTGTTTACGAACTATGCTTCATAACTCATATTTCCTCGCCCCACCTCCATTGCTCTAGTAAACTTTGGAAACCTTTACCACAGAAAAGGAAATAGGCAGAAGGGTAACTCTCGTCGGTTCCTTTGTTGTTTTTGAAGCCTGAGTCAACAATATTCCTTAATGCCCCTTCAACCTCGATTTCATTAGACGAACTTAGCCATGACAAATTATCATTCATTAATCAGATATAAACGATTTATGATACATAATTGAATTTGTTCACTGTCATGGGGCATTTCGTCTCAAATAAAGTTGTCGACTTTCAATCTTTTTTAAAATTTCCGCATGCGCTTGTTTTTTCCTGCTTCACCTGATAGGCAGGAGTTCCCCTTCTGCCTAATTCCTATTCTGTGCCTTTACCCTTCTTTGTACTTCCTCTTCCTTCTCAGATACACAGGGAGCTAGAAGAAGAAAGTCATGCGTTGCCATGGAAATGTACTCAAATATCAGTGGGACATGTTTTCTGTAATCCATATTTCCTTCGAAGATTCTTTGTTTGCCCGTGTTTCAGGAAATTCCTCATTACTGATGTGTTTGCTACAAAGCTGCTAAGTGTCTTTTAACTTACCTTCGCTTGGATATTGGTTTAGTGCTCTGAAACTGACGACGAGAATCCGACTACTATCACGAGAGGAGATTTCGGCCTAAAATGGCCTATCGTGTCGCCCCTAAACTTACTTCAACAACCCACGATACTTACCGACATCCACATTTTGATCAACTTGATTACAAGTATTATCACCCTCAGCTGTTTACAAGTAAGGTCCATCATTATGCGCCTGACAAAGGAACAAGAGAATTCTTCCACGACTACCGAAGGTCTCATATCAGTGAGAAAACTTTGCAACGAAACCTTGAAAAATTCCAGCTTCAAACACCACTCAGGCCAACGTGGGAAAGTGATAAACCAGACCGTGTTTTAGGAAGAAGAAAATTTGATCGCGAAGCTCTCTTTCCAGTGATCCATAATAATCCTGTCTATACACTCAGTAACAGGATACCTGATAGAGAAAGAGACAGAGACAAAAAGTTCATGGAAGAAGCAGCCTATCATCGTTTGCAATACAAAGATCTGACTGGCAGCTTACACACACAGTCTCCGTTCTTCCATTGCCCAGATCCAGCAAGCAAAGTTTTCATTCCAAAGACACGACAGACAAGTTTCCATGGAGAATACCCCAGCAGTTTCAGGTCTGTTGAAGAGTCCACATATGGCCCTGACAGGGAGAAGCCATTGGTGAATCACATGACAACTGACGTAGCTTAGGTTTGAAATGTAACCGAGTGGCAAATATATTACTTCTAAATGTATTTGTGTTTAAAAATCACAACAACCCTCTTTTACCAAAAGAGAACACCCATTTCCCTAACTACCCATGAAACCCTAAACCCAGTTCTTAAGCTATCAAAATTAGGTCTTTCAAGGATGATTAATTGCTGATTTTTTTTCTTTTTTACAAGTTTCCTGCATTATCTCAACATTTTTCAGCAGTTTTATACTGTTACAAACTCATGTTGTGTTGTAATATATCGGCAGTTAAATTTGTCACACCTCTTAGTTAACATAGGGATATCAAAATTGTTTGATGATGAATCTCTTCTCTTAAAATGTACATTTGTTTCCATTTTTGAATACACATTTCCACTGCTTCCAAGTAGGAAAGTGGTAACTTGACCTGTTAGCAACCCACTCCACCTACAATGAGGTCTCATTTTTCTTTTGATGTAAGCATTATAAGGCTTAATGTTTAAGAAAGTATTTTTTTCAGATTTCACTTCATTGTAGTTTCTTTGATTTAGGAAATAAGTTTCTTTTAAGGAAAAACTAATAATTTTGTTGACAATTATATCATACCACTAAGTTCACTAAAGTTTATTTGTTTTGTGTATCACAGGTTGAGAAAATCAGTTTGTTGTTAGTTGTTAATAAGCAACCTTTTTGCAGGGCAAATGTATTGTCTTTGGTTCAAAAGAAAGTGACTGGGATAAATTGAAAAAAGGCTATTTAGATGATTTAGTTTCTGCTTTTCTTGTGAAATCCTCAAACTTTTATGTAATACATATAGTGCCCAAAAACTTTGAGTTTGTGAAAATTCTTAGACACAGATTTCAAAAGTGACAATTACATTAGAAAAAATAACAACACACAATTTAGTTAATGTTATCTGTGATCCAGTGGTGATATCACATCAGAAAATCTCACACCCCAATAATTCTTAATTCAAGTGCTCACCTTTTTTAAGAAGCTGTTGTGAAGGTTTTTGACACTGTCTTTTGCTTCATGAGCCTAATGCTAAAGTACTGGTGGAAGTCCTTTCTCAGTTTTATGCATATTATCTAGTTCATACCATCCTTAAGAAGCAAAGCAAACAGGATAGAACAAAGCAAAACAACTGTATCAATTTTGCGTTTTTTCCAGAATACATGACATTCATACCTAAAACTACTTTGAATCAGATACACAAGTTAAGATACAAAGGAATATATAATTTTATGTATATATAGAATATTTATATTTATGAGAAATATAAAATCACAGCACCCTCTAAAACCATTACAATCCAAAGTGGCAATTGCAAGTTCTAAATAGTTATTCAGTGAAAATATGCTAGCACTGCATATAACACAGAAAATTAATCAACGTATATCAAGCCTGGAAAAGATGAATTAATGAGAAGCAGCCCTTACAGGGCTAATAAAAACTGACGGTCTTGCTACTATATACAAGAAAAACTTTTGTTTTACATTTAACTAGGTGTTACCAGAACATTGTCAAATACTGTCACTCCATTCAAAAACAAAGCTTACTTGTCACACTGGATGACAAAAAAACATTAAGACCTCCAAAAGTTGCACCATTCCTCTTGATTACCACGACAATTTTACTTTCAATTGGACATATAAAGTTAGATACAATAAATAAAATGTTGCATCCTACAGAGATGCAAAAATAAAAAAGGAGCAGTTAAGTTGGTATGTGACCTAATTAGGCAGTAAGATGTATTAATGACGCTGTATACTATTTCTAACATAAAAATACTTTTCAAAAAATGTACAGAAAGATGAATGCAATTAAAATTGTTTGAGAGGGTGTATTTTTATGACCATCTAATCAAGGGTTAATTCATGACCATATAACTGCAACTTGACTTCATTGAACTATCAAAGAAGAATTAACACAGAAAATTTACCGCAGCCGCATATGTAGAATCTTTGAATTCACAAAGAGCAGAATGGTGAAAGAAACAATAAAATGGCAAGCAGATCAACACAGCAGATCAAACTGCAAAGTAGTTTCACTCATACAGTCTTGTGGATTGGAGCCTGAGGATTTATCCATTTTGTAGATCACTGATTCTATCATTGTGGATACTGTCAGCAATCAAGCCTATAGTATTACTTAGCCATTAACACAAAAAAATATCCCAATTGACCATCGCATGCCATAAACAAGGGATATAACAAAACTAAAGATAATTGCTAGCAGTTTTTTCCAGTAGGTCCTGCTTTGCAAGCCTAGATGCAATTTATGATATACACATTGGGGATATTGGGTCTTCAAGAGAAATACAGCTTGACACGGTGTGGTAGAAAAGACAATCTGATTTTCCTACGCATGGCAAAATGAGATGCAGCATCGAACACCAAAGTAATGCTTGCCTTTACCACCTTAGGCCATAATTTAACCTCTAGGCCTTTCTGCTTGGGAAACAGAGCTGCCAAGGGTGCAGCATAACTGGTCAATGACAGCTCTTTCCCCTTTGTCATTATATAATGGCGATCACTCATTGTGAGATGACAGCTGGGCTCTGATTTCATCAACACTCCATTACCATTTTGGCATTGAACTACGTTCTCACACCATACTTTTCACAAATTTGACCAAGATTCTTTTTAACTCTTAGAGCTGTCAGCCTTGCTGCTCCATCATGGTACCAGCATTCTTTCATTATTTTCATAATGCGTACCATCACCTTTGAAAATGAAATATTTAAATTAAATGTTTGTAACATTTTCTACAAAATCCATAATTTTTTTTTCTATGATGGACATATTCCTGTATAAGATTCACCCTTACAAAAATCACCATTTTCTTCTTGTTTGAAACTAATGTGATATATTTCAATCTAGCTTCATTATTTACTTGAAATTGTTAGCAAACAAAAACTCAGTTTTGTTGAAATTGTTGTCAACTGCACTTCTACAGAAATTTGTGTGGATCAAACCACATGACACTAGACCTTCAATTACGTCACAGATTCTCTAATTCGTTCACAGCTTAGGCAAAACTTTGAACGGCAATAGCAATAAAATGAAACGCAATGTAGCAATTCAAAAAAGAACTGAGACCAGATAGGTAAAATGTATTTTTTAAACTAAAGTTATTTCTTGATCTTAGAAGCACTTTAATTCCTTGTTAAAACTCTAAGAAAATATATTTAATGGTGTCAAATTTTGTTTAGGATGCGCCCCCTTTCTTCACTACCTGCAAAGATTGCATATTTCAATGAAAAAAATAAACTTAGGAATACTCTAAAGAAACTCGTTTTACAAAAATTCTTTCAAACCCAACATGTGTAAAATTATCAGATAGAAATGACAGGTTTTAAAATCCATGAAATTATTTCTTGAACATTTGCTTTGTTAATTCCAAAGTTTCTCCTCGCTTTTCCATTTCAATGTGTCGAAGCAACTTTAATTTGAGACCAGCAGGATAGGACATGCCTTAAAAACCAGACTAGGTTAACATAAAGGGTATTTTTGACAACCTTAAGTTTGATGTGTCACCAGTGGCAGAATTATTGTCTTGTAAATGTAACTGACTTCTCAAACTACATTGAGACATTACTTAAGGTTTGGTTGTTGTTTTTGTCTTTTTCCTGATTCATTGTTACATTCAAGTGGCACGGGGACGTTCCCTCCCTCTGTGAGGAGAATATATCCAATAAAAGAGCTGGTTTTATTGAAGAGACCAGATTTGAGTCCAGTTAATAATGGGAAAGCTGATGGTACTGTAGTGACTCTGCTTAGGCCTGTTTACATAAATTTTTCTTCCTCATTCATTCCATCACATTCTCACATCACAGCACAGGTATCATCTAAGTCACTCTCATATCACACATTCACAATCCATATTCTTTACTTCATCTTTGCCACACTATTCAATTTACTCATCACCTTTATTCACCTTTCCAAACATTTGTTATTCTCACATTATTCATGTTAAGTCTTTCTGAAACTAAGAAGCATGACACACCCATTACCATAAAATAAAAACTGTTGCATAGATAAAATGTTCCTACAACAAAAAATGACTTACATCATGATTTTCCCACGATAGCTGCATAAGTGGCCTTTTCCCTTCATCGCACACAACACTTCTCACATTTTCCAATGTTGGATCAGACGGAAGCATGTCGTAATAAGGTGGTTGATACTCAGCGACAAAACCTGAAACGAAAAAAGGCAGAGTTAAACCAAAATAAAATATCACCATGAAAACTGATTTAACATAAATTATCATATGCCGCACAAGTTAATTCCAAAACTATGGTACCCCAAGAATAAGGGATAGGAAAAAAGGTTAGACAGCATTTGGAAAAGTAATTACGAAAATTTTTAAGTTTGATAAGAAACATGTTCTCATGACCCAAATCAAAAGATTGATTCCTGAACTAATTAAAGGTTATCTTTTATCAAAAGTTGATAAATACAATAGTAAAAGTCATATTTCATATTTATGCAAATTAAGTTGTTCCATTAATTATATTAGTGTTATCGATCAAAGATCTGTAAAATCAAGCAAGCAGTTGGACAATTGTAGCAAAAAAAATTCAAAGTTTTTGAACCTCACTTATCACAACCTACATTAGCTGAATGAGCAGACAAGAATCATACCATCTAGTTGATTGTAATTTTAATGCTGTTGCTGCGACAGAGAAGACATAGCAATGCTTGAAGATAAGTAAAGCATTGATGCCCTAAAAGGATAAAAACCAAGATAACAAATGACAAAAACTAACCATTTATCACATAACGGCGACATGCTTCCCAGAAAACTAAGCCCATGGCATATACATCTGCCCTTTTATGAGAGTCAAAATATAATACATTGAATACATCATTGAGAATTTCTGGAGCCAAATATCTTTTTGTACCAATTCTGTTATTAGTTGGTATATCAACACTGTCTCCTTTGGTAGATGAATGCAGAACAGCAAGGCCAAAATCAGCAATGCAACATGTTCCTAGAGGAAAATAGGGAGTCAATCTTTTGTTGGTACAAAACTTGAAAATGGATTTGAAAAAAGCAAACATTTAGTAAACTAAAGCTTTTCGTCTGACACTCTTCAGAGTTTAAAACGTCAGAACATAGACCGAAAACTCTACGCTAGGAAATATATATACTCAGTTGTGGATCGAAATAGCCAATCAGAAACACGAACACATGACTGTTGAGGTTGATCAATCAGTGCCGGTGCCTATTGAGAATGTTACCAATGGAGTCCTAAGGTGAAAACGAACTCCTTTTGTCTACACAGTAGCGGTTTTTTCGTGCTTATGTAGATAGATTCCAAAAGTGGGAGTGAAATAGGGAGTGTTGGTGTATTGAACAGGACAGTCCTCATGCAAGTATAGAATAATAATTACAAGAAATATAATAATGAGATTTCAAGACAATCAATTGATGGGATGCAACTTTGAACTGAAATTATTGGGGATACGAGTTCCTAAAGTTTAGGGCTTTTTCCATGCACATCAGGATGAAGGCTTTCGGACCAAGTTTAAACCACTTGGTGTTTTACGATACTCAACCAAAACTATTACACTGCATACATTATAGTTGCATCATATAAACAAGAGATTCATTCTCACTCGTCTCAAGAAACATTTTCTCTAACTTTTCTTTGTATTGAGACTGGCATCTCAAAATAACATCATTGATTCTAACTGCACATGTGTATATGAATGAAAATTTTAAAATCCAGCGGACATTTAGACAAATGCTGGTTCGTCTCGACAACAAGAAATAGATTTCAGTGATCACAGACAGTGATAATCTTGCCCATCTCTGGATCGCCTGTTGCAGCAGCCTTTGTTTTCAAAGTCTTGGAAAAAACCTGCCATTTTCTCAACTGATTAGAAAGGAGACAGTCCTCTAAACAAACATTTCACATCGCTTTGTTTCAGAGACAGACACTTCTTGGAAAAATGTATTTCTGTTTTAGAGTAGATTCTGTGGTAAGGCGCTTCATAACGATCTACAAACATCCTGGTTAGGGATAATCTGGCAAAAAGAATAATTTAGTTATGCATATGGATGGATGAAGTGAATATTATAATTTGAGTTCCACTGTTTGTTTGTTTGTTTGTTTGTTTGTTTGTTTATTTACCTGGCATTTCAGAGGCAGGGATGTAGAGCTAGGAGGCTCAGAGGGGGGGGGGGCTGAGCCCCCTTGTTGAAGTCGAAAATTGGAAAATTGATTTTTCCAAACATTTTGTGCAAGAGCCCTCTTGTTATTTTGATAGCACTACATCACTTTCAAGGGGACCAGCTGCCCCCAAAGACACATTTATCTTCTATTGTTTGAAACGATAGGCCATTGTTTTCCTCTCCAGGCAAACAGAGGCTCAACCCGCTCCTTTAGAAAAGCCTGTACCACTTTGGCAAGTGAAGAAACAAGGAACCCTGTTGTTGCTTGCGACACCATCAAGCTTGTTGCATTATTCAAAGGATTAAGCTGCCTACCGCAGCAGACATTCTCGGCTAGCTTCAAAATCGCATTAAAAAACTGAAGTAAGCAGTAATTGGCTATTCTGTGAAACTGGTTAACATTTGACCCTTCAGAAATAGACCAAACTACGGCAGCACGAAACGCCAACTTTAGAAATGTGCGTGGTTATATAAGAAACATATGGAAAAACCCTATCCATAACACAATCCGTCGGGCGTCATTCGAACTTTTTATAAAGAGGGGGGCAAACCTACAATTGTGGGTAAGAATAATTTTATAACTTTTAGTACTTGATTTGATATTAATGGGTGCAACCAACACATAACAAACTAAACAACATAAATAAGAGTAAATATTTCCCATCAAAATGTAAACCGAATGGATCAGTTTGATCTGCATACAATTGTGTATCTCGCTTCCAAGGTTCGATGCTTTTAATCAATTAATCAATTTTTACAAAAAGTATGAATTTGTTGTGGTAATTCCATGAACGCCATATAGGCAACCACAGATGGCAAAAATCATCAAATGGAGGGGTCCAATTCGAGAATTCACGGTCGCAGTGGGGACTTTTTCGAGAGGGGGGCTTTTTGACAATTTGTAGTTCTAGGGTGGGGGCTTGTTCTAAAGTGGGGGCTTGTTCTAAAGTGGGGGCTTGTTCTAAGGAGGCCAATTCGAGAATTTACGGTAGCGTATAAACTAAAAATTAAAGGAAACTGACGAGGTTACCATGACAATGTGCTCAGCGACATGATTTTGAATTTCGATTTATTTTTGGGTCCCATCAAAACGTTTTAGTATACTTATGGATCTGATTAATATATCGTTAAATTAGTTTTCTAAGTATTGCAATCTGCTGTAATCTCTTCAAGTTAAGCCTATCTTTAGTCTAATAGGATGCTGGTCTCAAAAACCGGATCGGTTATTTCTCAGTGCCTTTAGTAATTTCTTACCCATTATGCTTTAGTTCCTCTCAGATTACTTGTTTAGATGCCTAACTGTATGCGTGTAAACTGCTTAAATAGTAACTATCCTGTGACACAACATCAAATAATAACTAATTTTTTCGCGTACTTCAAGAAAAACATTTTCAGATTATTTTGAATTTTTAATCTATTCATCAAACTGAGCGAAAATATTGGAAACTTTTGAAGACCCCTTTATCTATTCAATATCACAAATTGGGTAATATTTCTAACTGGCTTTCGAGAAGACTTTATTCACTGCCGTGTATACACGAGGATTCGGTGTTGGCAGAATGCATATTTTCTAGAGGGTTGAAAGCAGTCTTGAGGCGCGATTTTCCAAATTATCAATTGTTTACGCCACTCAAATTGAACAAAAACACTCAAGGCCGTGTCTGGATTCAGAAACGTTATGAGGCGCAGAAAAATAGAAAACGGAAAAAAACGAAATAGAAACGATGTCATAAAAGGAATATTACGACCTGGCTGGTATTCAGACAGAAATCCAACTTGATGGAAAGCTAAAAGACTTGCCAAAATTGACCAAATATAATAATCTGATTGACAAAAACTTAGCATTCAACATGGAGACTATCCGTTAAATTTTGGAAAATCGTTTTCAAGAGTTAAAGCGTAAAGGCATTAGGTTATAAGAGGCAAATCTTTTAATGTTGTTTATTTGTTTGTTTCTTTAGATTTATTCATGAAAAGGGATCAGGATTTAAGTTATCCTGTCAAACTGAAGCATGCTGTTAAGAGCTGGAGAATACTTGACCTGAAGATCAATTCTACCCCATTTACTTTTTGCATTGGGAAAAGCTCGATCCTGAGATTGGACAATGCAAGAAACGTTATTTTCAACTATCAGTCTTGCCCCAAAGTTGGGATACTACACTGATGATCCAAAAGGCTTGGTCATACTAACAGAGCTACTGGTTGAGCTCAGCAAGCTAAACCAGAACAAATTTAAGCATAACTTCATTAATATCTTGAACCCTTTGTGCCTGACAAAAGATAATGTGAATTTCAGCTGTGGAAATGCGATGTCGTTGGCTCATTGTAAAGTAAATCTTTCAAAGAAAGAGTTGCTAAAAGCATTCCTATATGCCCATGAATAGTCAACGTTCGATTCAAGTACAATAATTCTTGAACAGAAATGCTGGAATATGTTTAGGCCTCCAAAAGTTTTCAATGAATTGGTTTATAGAAACCTCTAAATTTTCCTCTCTCTTTGCCAAATTGTTTTTGCTCATATCACATTTGGGGATAGCCAAATAAAGTGTTAATGAATCATCGAAATCATCGAAAACAAATTTGAAATTTGCGTAGCATTTTTAGAAGTTTTTTGTATTAAAAACATTCGCGATGTAGAGGTTTACCTTTTATGTGAGGTATACCCTTTGGGTAGTCCTCGTTTCACTTAGTGTATCATCCTTGTAAGATCAATTGCGCTTCATTGCAACCTCGTTTCCAAAACACCTACTCAAGATGACGTATTTCCTGAACATCCAAAAAAATGCTGATGTCGTACTAAATGCTTGATTAAGTCATTAAAACTGCTATTAAATCTGACGTACTTTCAATTTTTTGACGGCGTCAAACTGAAACTTTCCAGGAAAGAGGAAACATTTCATCACAGAATAAGAATAATTATTCTGTGATTTCATCAACATTGGGTTAGGTATTTTCGTCCAAAAGCCATCTCAGAAATACGTTCAATATTCTTAACTCCTTTTAGACAAAGTACACAACACCAGTTTACGATTAAAGCCACGAATACAATTTTGTTTGCCCAGTTAGATACGGACACCTTTGTTCTATGAGTATTTCGTTTTAAGTGCTAACCTGAATTCGTCAGCTTCTACCAGAGGTCTTTGAAAAACCCTCCAATCAGTGAACGAAAATGCCAAATTAAAAGATTCGGGCTTTCGAATACAAAAATTCCCTGAGTAGTGGCATGCGAAATCTTTTGAAAGCATGTAAAACTTGAGTAGTTGTAACAAGCTTATCTAAATCTACACTTCTTAAGTATTTTGGCTTGTTTTCGAAGAAACAGTTCTTATTTTTATTAGGGTTTTCAAATCCAGATAAGTACTTTCTTAACATGTGAAAAAGGTTTTATAGGAAAATGTGATAAAATGACAAAACCACACGAAACCGAACCAAGATATAGTTATTACTCATTCAAATCTCGAAACTTTTCTGTTGTACCCACAGCAGAAATTAAATTTCTAGTTTTCAGTAACAAGTGCGTAAATTTATGGGCTATATAGATCTCATCAAAATTAACAGTGAACAAGATGTCCAAGACCAAATTGCCCACGACAAACTAGTTAAGCCTTTAAAATAGCAGATCAGCGAAAACCCGCATTGTGATATATCACTTTGACAGTTACGTCACTCAAATCTAACTGCTATTTTTAGCAAAAAAAGGATGTGGCTTCAAAAAGTGTTGGTTTAGAAAAAAGGCAAAGTCTTGGAAATTTTCCGTCACTTCTGGGTTACTGCTTCGTTAAAATGCGAACTTTAGAACAAACTTGAGGAACTTAGAAGCCACTGATAAGATAATGGTTTGGAAATAGTAAGGTTATTTTAATGATTTTTATAAGACAATCAGATAAAGATTGGGTAACAGTAAGGCAGTTGTATGGTTACTGGAAGAAATGGCAAATGTGAGGCAAATGTGTGGGAAACGTCAGGCAAAGGTGAGGTAAAGGTGAGGTAAAGGTAAGTTACGGTAAACCAATGATAATGGTAGGAATTTTGAGCTGACAAAAGGTAAACTAACATCAGGAAAAACGGAAATACGTTGCTTGCATACCAGAATTTGATTTCGCTATTTAGCGAAATGTCTGAACTTTTCTGGCCATCGTGACATTGAGGTAAAAAATATCAATTACGACTCACCATCATATTTGACGAGAATATTTTTGCTTTTTATATCGCGATGTGCTATGGAAGGCTTTCCCTCAGTTCCAAGGACCTCTAGATGCAAATGTGCAACACCATTGGCTATGCTGTATACAATATTTAACAGTTCTTTCACGTTCAAGGTTTTCCTTTGCAGATAGTCATACAACGATCCATTCTCTTGGTACTCACAAACGATCCAAAGTTCGGTCCAAATTCCGTTATCCTTGTTGTCCGCTGCGATGAAGCCTGGAAATAATAACATAATTTAAACTATTCATCTGTGTTTTACGGTAAATGTTATTCAATCCAACATTGGGCAAACAGGATTTCTGAAACTTAGTGCACGTCAAATAAGGCTTTAACTGGTTCAAACACGATTCCATCACGTTTACATCTTACTGGGGCCAATTTGCTTACTTGAAAGATTCATTCTAAACTATTGACTCATTTAAAAAACAAATTGGAGTGATAACTCCTCCGTCAATATTATCAAAGCCTTCAAAGTCCTTTAAGGAATGATCTTAGTGCAGGTCAACGGAGCAAAGAACACGAACTTTACAAGAAACTGTTAAAAAATTAGTAATTATAATCATAATAAATCTAATTTTTACAAAGTTTAAACCAGCACTGTTTTCAATATTTTCAAAATTTTACAGAGATCAGCTCGAGATCGGTGAACTTAAAGAAAAAATCTCAAATTTTTCTATTGAAGAGTAATTTAGAATTAAAACTCCTTGTTATTTAAAGAGAACAGACATGAAAGTGGCCATCGATGCATTTATGAACAGATAAACACTCGCAATTAAACTCCTTTTGCTACTGTTTAACTTATGTGCAAAATAAAAGGGTCGAAACAATTGAAGCTATTTAAGCATTCAGTTATTCCAAGGGTCGAAACATCTTACCCTAAGGTGCCCAATAGACACAGGGGTGCGAAAATACGTAGGGGGATGCTGGAATCGCAGAAAGATTTGATAAGAGGAGGTTGCAAAGAAAGGGACAGGGTTGATTTGGGAAGGTCAAGAAAAATATCAAGGTAAAAATCTCTATGGGATAAAGATGCAAAATACAAGCAAGGAAGAACATCAATTAAAAAAAGAGAAACCTGGAGAATTTGACTGACTGGAAGAATTATAACAAAAATATTTTTCAGGTCAACCTTCAAGGTCAACGGTCAAAAGCATTAATAAGTGACGGGGGTCCTTACAAGAGATGGGAAAGTTGTAAGCGGGGGCAATAATAAGGCACCTTAGAGTATGCATCTTGAAGCCAAACAGAAAGTTAAAGGCTCTAGGAAAGAAATGAAAGGAACCCAACCTAGAATGCTTTTGTGTCGCAGCATCGTCGTTTGATAAATCTGGGCCTCCCGGAACCAGGAAGACTCTTCGTGTGATGTGAATATCTTTACGGCAACGCTCTCCCCATTCCACGTGCCTCTGAAGACTTCGCCGAATCGCCCTTTGCCTATCGACTCGAACAAAAGAATTTGCCTTGCAATCGTTCTCTGAGTCAGCAATGGCAAGCCAGCACCACTTCCTGAAATATCGAAAAAGATTGACTTAAGCCAATGAAATAATTGCTTGCGGAAAACATGACGTAATATCATTGATAAATAATTTCACAGCGTCAACTTTGCTACTAAGATTTAAACGAGAGATCGTGCTACTTAGCAATAATTTCATCGACGTCAACCACATTTTCTTTGTCGTATCTTCGCCTTAATTCAACGCAAGTTTAAAAATAAAAAATCAAAGAAAGTTTGCATACATTCGAATTTTTGAATGACCAAAGATAAGAAAGTGTTAACACTGCCAAGAAATGTTATGTTCACGAGAACAGAGCCTTGTCTATGAATTTTCCTAAGAAGATAACGGGAGAAGATTGCGGAAGAAAGTTTTATTAGGAAGAACAAAAGTAAGAGGCTAGAGAATCTGAAATAAACTTCTCGAATATTGGGGAAATTTTAAAAATTTGATAAGACTATAGATGATATCTCAAAATTCAGAGTTAAACTAAAATCCAAATAATAAAGCAGTTTTAATAAATAAATTCAAAAGGTTACCTGACATGCTTTGATCAATTATGTCACTCAGTTTCTTGCTTTTGCTAATATCGAGGCTTGGACCCATGAGCTCTTTGCCAACTTCTACGTCCACGTAGCGTCGCAGGCCCATGGCTCTTTTGCTGTGTTGTTTGTTGTACCACAAAATGAAAATGATCCCCAGAATGCAAATAATGGCACTTGGAATGGCGATCACTAACGCAACGCCCACAGCTGACAAATTGCCTTTCTGGTTGCCATCGGATTTCGTAGCTACAAATCAATAATTGAGCACTTTAAAAAACGGCCAGATGCTTGATTTAATTACGAGGTGAGCATTGTGGTTGGAGTTACAAAATATTGGATTGAGCACAGGGACACAATACTTTAAAAGCTTCAACCTCCAAGTAGTTCATGAGAATATTTCATGATAATATTCTTATGAGAACAAAATCGTTTCATACCCAAGCGCGTATTATTTCCAAGAAAACTGAAAGAAGAAAGGACCTGCAAGGGCGGTTTTTGCAGGCCTAAAACCATATAATTGCAACAAAACGGCGACTAACATTGAACTAACTATTGCATGCTGAGCTCAATGCTTTCAGTTAAATGCAATAATGACCACTTATGGCTATGGAACTGCCCGGCTTTGGTTTTTGGCATTTTAGCCCCCCCCCCCAAAAAAATGTTTTAGCCCCAACAACCTGTAATATGCTCCGCGGTCCGCGGTAAGAAGTCAGGTTAGCTTCAAGGAAACGGACCAGACAAATGGCATCACAATTACATTTAGCTGTCTGTTTCTAGTCTAATTTGAAATAATATTCGAGCCACTTCTAGAAGCAAGGCTTACTTAGTTTCAATAAGTTTTTCACAGTAGGTTCTGTTAGAAACAGGAATATAAAACGAAAATGCTTTGTTTACAACGAGTAAAAGGAATTCTGCTTGACGAACTTGTTTTGAAACCGTCATTTTTTCGAGAAAGAAATTAATACACAAGCCAGAAAACTGGTCTGATCGCTCTGACCATGTGCTTAGAGGATGGATGCATTTGTACTCTCTTTATACCCGTCCATTCTTTAGATATAGTTAGAATACCTCTTGCTATTCAAAGCTTTATTTTGATATTTTTTTACTCGCGTAATCCTTCACTTTGCTACTTATAATAAACGATCAATTATAGTATTTTAAGAATAGTATTGATCGATTTTCTAATAACTGTGGCCCCCTGTATTCCCAAACTATTTACAGACTGCGTCAGCATGAATGCCTTTCAGTGGGGACTCTTGAGAACCAGTCATCATACAGCGGGAAGGTCCGTTTAATGGCCTAACCGTGACGATCACTATCATATACCGTAGCGATTCACTTTCTATTATATATCCGTGTCTTTTAAACCTTAGGTATCCCGCCAATAATTTAATTGACGCCACACAAAGCGGGCAGTAACCTGAAAACATATTCCCGCTGCGAGAAAGAAAACCCAAAAGCATTCAAAGTTGTTTGCTATACAAATCCATTATTATGAATAATCGAGCATCGATGAATATTGTTATTGTCACGTTGCGGAGGAGCAAAGAGCTTTGACGTATGCGCAGCTATTTACAAAAAAGTCTGCACGCAGGCTAAGCTGTACAAACTTTCTTTGAGCTTTTAGACAAGGATCTTGAAGTGACAGAAGCACTAACCGAATTTATGAAGAAAGGACGGTTGCCTAGATCGCAATAAAGAAGTAAAACCCGCGCTAATTTTAAGATATTGGATTTAATCATTTCTATTCACAGCAATAAGCAGTTCCTGAGGGGATGGTGGACTTGTAAGGATTCCAAAAAAATGCATACGTTGAAATTCATATGATATATTTGCCTATTTGTTTATTTGTTTATCATCTCGTTTTTGTCTATAAAAATATTTTCAGGTCAACGGATTTTGGCATTTTGGGGTACTCCTTAAGTATCTTCCAGTTTGCAATATTACTGGCGAGTCACGTTCGCGAATCACAAATCACGCCCATAACCATTTATTCAATCAACTGAAATCACCTGGGTGATCGCAGCAGCTACAAGCTACCAAAAAACTAAATCTCACCTTTACGAGACAAGGGTAGCGTCAATCGGCTTTCTTTATTGCACATGTTTTCGTAACAGCAAGAGACATTTTTATCAGCTTGGACAGTCTTGCAGAATATCAGGGCCAAATTGGCTGGGTCGAGACAGCCTTTAGTCTCAACCAGGGGACCGTCTTTCTCTCTTTCAAGCTTTACGTAGCAGGTTTTGCTTTTAGCTAAGCAAGTATTGTTCGTTGAGTGCGGGCAGTCGTTGCATTCGCAGTAAAAACTGGCACCTGCGGAACAATGATAAACATTTATGGCTTGCGAAGAAATACTGTCGAGTAAATGAATCGCTTTACAATACGGGCTTATTACGAAACATGCAGATGAAAGAATTTGAACTGCAAGGCACAGACATGATAAGCGAGAGAGGTAGCACGTTTGAACTGCTCTCAACACAAGCAGATAAGGATTAATACGTTATATAGATAGGATACACAATACCTTTAATGGTTTCACTTTACAGTAAATTACATATGAATACTGAAACGATATTTCTGTAGAGTAGGGTCGTAAAAGGGTTGGTTTTAAAAGCGTCGATGAGTATGACAACGATGATTTCGAGGGGGTGGGGGGGGGGGGCGATTCGAGCATTTACTGTATTTCTTTTTGCGCAATTTTCGTCTTTTCGTTGAACAGATCATAATCGTAGTCCACATATTCTCTGTCCCTTTTTATGAAATTTTCCAAAATTTAATCACTTTTGATGCGAAGTTAGATTTCAAGACCCTTTAATTTCCTTCTTGCTTGGGCTTACAAAGATAAGTCAAACCGAGGGGCAACCAACCCATCAAGAAGGTCATGGGTAGATTTTGTCTCGTCTGGCCCTTCACAGCAATCAGTTCCCTGAAAGTAAAGATGCTGCCCATTTGCAAAGACTTTGCCCAAATTGGATTAAGCAAACCTTATGTGAAATGCTAGCTCCTAATCATGCGGGTTATCTGGAAAAACAGCCCACCAAACCACTGGCAAACCTAACTGGACCACTGGAACTAGTGAATATAAAACTATGCAATTTCTTATCAGCGAGCAACATATATTCTTGGCTTTGCAAACAATACGAGATTTATTGATCTTTGTCTACAGAAAAGAAAGGGCAGACAGCATGGCTGGTTAGTTTTCAAACACTCAGACTATGGATTTCAACTATCTTTGATCATAATCAAGATAGATAGTTCACATGGGCTGATTCTAATGGCTTTTGTAGGCAATTCTGATAGCTTTTGCATTACATAATACACAACAGTCTGTGCCTAAAACATTATAACTTTGCTTTCACCCCTGTTCCCTGCAAACACTCTGGAAATTATTGCAGGGAAATGCTCCTTGTATTGAAAATGCTTTGACAAGGGAGCAAAATAAGATTTATAAGCAAAAATTCCTCTTCCATGCTGTTTTCAAATTGTAGAAAGATATGAAACCCAAGTAGACTTTTTTGGGAAATCAAGCAAAAATGACCAGTGGTTAACTAGATTTTAAATACATTCCTGCAAACACTAAAATCTCTAATACTAAAATGAACATTGCAAGAAAATGCCCTATATGGAATAGTTAAGGTCAATGGATAGGACACAACCTTATATACATGTACATGTACAAACTTTCATGGTGGTCTTAATCAAAAAATTTGTGCATCAGTTTGTTTGTGCAATGAAAGTAAAACAATTATTAAAATATTACTTGTAAATTCCATCAATTTATGTCTTTTTGAAGTAGGATTATTAAATCATGTTAAAAGTATAGTTATGAGTAAAACTGAACACAAAACAATAAATTCTACAAATATAACGAACTGAACATCAGATTAGTGGAATGAGATGAAAATAGGACGGTAAAGGGGAGGGTTCTCAGAATAATACGAGAAAGCTCTAAATTCTATGATATGTTACAAAAATGAAAGTAGTCATTCTTTGGTGTTTCACAAAGAGTTTCATGCTAAAAAATATAGTTCCTTTGATATCAAAGAACATATCCTTTGATACTCAAAAAGACAACAGTGAGAGAGAAAAGGCATTCACATGGTCAGAAAGTACAAAAACCTGGGCAAAACCAAGAAATAATGGAGAATTTTATTAAAAAATTAATTTCATAAATAGAAGGCATGGAACAGTCTGTGTGTTGGTTCAAATGTTTTCTTCAGTATCTCAGGCTTTCAAACTAAACATAAAGGATTATTCATTTTACAACAATCTCTGTTTTCTTTTTATCATTAGTTTTACTAAATCTTATAAGATCTTTAATTTGAAAGCAATCCAAATGGTCTATTTGAAGAAAAGGTGAATAGATTGAACTGATGTTTTATTACATCTATCAGATAATCTGAAGCTACCTACCAATAGTCACATTTAAAACTGTTATTTTAATGAAAATATCTTTTTAACTGATGAAAATTACTATCATATAGTGTTTTGTTGCCATGAAGGCATTGCTGTATTTCCATTGGCTGACAGAACAGGACAATGTTAAGTGGCACATCCTTGTTTAAGATTAATTGCAATCAGCAGGCTATTTTTCAAACCTAGCTACAATTTACAAATTAGTTTAAATCAAGTCAAAAGGATAGTTGAAAAAAAAATCTGTTGATAAAGGATGGTTCACAAGAAATAATTTTTTACCAAAATTCAATCCAGCTTTGAGTAGAACATAAACATGTGTAGCCAAGAAAACAAGAACAAAGAGTTTGTTAAATTGATGGTTCCGACAAAAAGAGAATTTGCACATGGCCAGAAAAAGGGATTCGTACCAAAGGTCTCCTAAAGAATTCAGTGTCATAGGAATTATCATCAAACTCAGAAGAATGGTTAAATACAAAAACAAATCGCAAACACGAATGTTATTGAAAGTAAACGTTAACGCTACCATAAAAGTTGATATGCATTTCCAACAGCCTATTATCTACAGGAATCTTACTCACGGAAGGGTTATATTGTAAACATTGCCAAATTTTGCTTAGACACCATCGGTCAACAAAGGCTTACATATGGTTAGACATTTCCGATCAAATCATTTTCAGTTTGGAGTAGATTTACATAAATTTCCCAGTTCGCTTACTTGCAGAAATTGGTGTTTGTAAACTGCGCTTGGAGCAAAAGCTACCTTCTTACAAAGTAACCTTATAAAAACACAGCCAAGGTCTTAAATACAGGAAATGCTTTGATAGAAAGAAAAAATGCTCACAAACAAGCAAATTAAGGTTGTTTCATCACTTACTGCAAATTCATTTTGGAGTCAAATATCTACAATAACAAAGTATGTACCGGGTTTTTAGATGACTGAACAGTCAGATTTCGCTATCAGTATCACTTGTCAGGTTGACGCTTGCCTCCTAAAACCATAGGAACTCAATCCAAACTTAATTGAACTTATAAGTCCATTATCAATAAATTAATATTTTCCCTGACGGCTATAACTTTCTCTATGGCACAAGAATTCTCTCTATGGCACAAACCCAAACAAACGAACCAAGGTGAACATTAACTCTTAAATAATCGGAAAATGTGCGAATGAAGTAACTGAAGGCAATGAAACGGGCGATCTCTGGCGAATTTACAGACAGAAAACCACAGTGCAATTGAAACCGCGAAGGCTGTACGGCATGCGGCCTAATTCACGGCGCCTGGATATGGAGGTAAATTCAAGACGGCTTAAAAATGATCGAACAAACCTGATAGATGCAGCAAGCAACCAATTAGTATCCCAATGTAAAGCATTTTCATCTTGACAGTTTTCTAAAATATCAGAAGCGTCAAAAGTTACCACATGCAAACAAAAGCAGCTAGTGTAATCTCCTAACCAAACGAATCTACTCACAGCGATCGGAATAATCATGTAGACCCCAAATAAGTGAAATAAACGCATGCGAGCCTCCTGCGCAACGACAAACACAAGTTGTTCCAGTTTTAACTGGACATAAGAAACTCCGCTTCTGCTGGGCTTCGAAATTTAACCTTAATTGAAACTTTAACCGTTTAAGACAGTTTTTCAAGTCATATGACTGTCTCTTATTCAGTCACATAAGGCATAATCGATTAACTTATAAACAGGGCTTTTTTAACATACTAACTAGGGGAGGGGGGAAGGGGGGCAATTGCACCTGCAGTCCCAATGACTTTCTATTTTTTTAAACAATAGACTATTGTCATTCTCCTAAAATAAACAAAGGTTTGCCCCCGCAGGTTATTTTCCTTGGTATAGGCTATGCTTATAAAAATCATATTTATGTTGGAAGTATATTTCAAAATGTTTCTATAAATTGAAGCAACTCAGATTTAGGTCCTTAAATTTTTTTGTGCTTTGATCTGCCCGGCTCGTTTAAAATACACACAAATATCTAATGTGAATGAAACAATCTGCTAAACATAGCCAGGGTGGTAAATAAAGAATTAAAATCTATGAAGATGTTGCAATGCTGTAACAAGCTTTTACCAAATACAGAAAATAAACAAACTATATTGTTTTTTTTAAATATGTCAATTTCCAAGAATTCTTTGGTGTGAGCATCTCAGTTAAAAAAAACCAACAGCTAGGCTTTATAACTAAATTTCTAACTAAATTAGGACAAGCAATTCCATTTGATGTTCTCATCATTCTAACATTTCAGGCAGAAAATGTTACCTTTTTGTTCCATTCAAACAAGATTTTCAAACATCTTAAGGATCATCTTAATATTTAAAAACATTGATTCTATTTGAAATCATCTATTTTTATCAAACAATTCTCTTGTAACTAACAACTTAGCTCATAATACTTAGCACTGGTCTGACCATTTTGTTTTTGTTTTCATAAAAAACAATAGGCTTTTCTTAGTAGCAGCAAATGTACTAAAGCTGATTGAATCACTCTCTATAAATAATGCATTATTATATTAAAACTTTCTATATGTGTCTTTTCTTTTTTTCAATATGGAATAATGGGTCAAACCTTACTCTACAACTCCTCAGATTGGCCCTCCAACTCTAAAAAATGTGTGCTTTTTCCCATAATAAAACTTCACCTTCCTGCTTTCATGATTTTTCTGCTATAGTTCATATTATCATCAACATTTAACAAGGCAATCTAATCAGGATGATTTATTTTTTACTCAAAAGAACAGTCCTTGGTATGGTTTAAATTCAATGTGCTACTTATATGCCAAGTTGAGGATCATCTTGCCTTTTGAAATTAGAAATTTCCCTTCCTCTTTATTCAAAAGAAACCCCAAAAATCATTTTAATTAACTGCTTGCTTCCCATTAGTCTATTTATTTAATGTGTTAATATTCCATGCCTTTATTAGATTTTCTGATTCTTATCTGCATCTGATCTGTTTCACTGCTTTTTAGTGTTTTATGATAATCTTGTACACTCCTCACACTATGTGAGATTAGTGGCTCTCTATTTCGCAAGACCAAGAAACTAATCAAATGCACCATTCTTCCCTTCAAGTTACTTTGAATTCAAATCAGAATATAAATGTATATACATATTTTTGTCACTATCTGACGTTGTTACTCTGAACGATTTTTTTATAAAAGTACATTAGCATGCTATGACTTTCTGCTTTTTTGTGTTTTCTTCCTGTGTTTTCTTCAAATTTGTGGCACCATAAAGGCTTTTTTGAATTTTGATAGAATCTAAAATATCTTAAATTGAATTTAAATAAAAACATAGACAATCTAAATAAAAATATGAATGAATACCCAATACAAGAGAGTAAGAATATAAAACATTATGCTATGTGAAACCAGAAATGGGTCTCAAAGTGTGGCAATCTACCATCCACCACCACACCCAGTTCTAAGATACAGCCTACTAACACCATTCATGTTGTCTTTTAATATGCATACTGATGATGCCAAGCTCTAAGCCAGTTTGTAAAGATTTAAACATGTTTTTAACAAGACATTATGAATTCTTTCTATTGAAAATAAACAATATTGTAATTCAAAGTGCTTAATATTATGTTTTATCCCTACTAATTGCTTTGACATAAAAACGATGTCACTTTAATCATAATTCCACCTGCCATGTCTGAATCATTCAAAAATAAAAAAATTCATTGCTCTGAAACTTTGAAATAGAATGTAACTGAGACAAAGTCAAATTTACAAAACAATACAGTTTACTAACTTTATACTCTGACATTTAGCATATATTTATCAAGCATTGATGTTTTTATTAATTTAGCTGTGAAACATATGTAGAATAAAAATGATAAATGCATCACTTTCAATTGAAATTCATCCCAGATGTTCGAGCAAAGTAGTACATTGTATGATCACAAATGTGCTTTTAATTTCCAGAAACAACTGCACTGAGCTACATTCTCCATGTAATTCATAAGAGTTTTAATTCCAATTTATTGAGAAATTGGATTCAGATTCTCAGTTGTATATAAAGCATTCCCATATGTTGAAGATTTTAATACCAGAAAAGTATGAAGAAATTTGCATTATTTAACATTTTCGTGATCATTATGACAGTAAACTACTGTAAAAGCTCTATTAAGCTCCAAGGAGCAGGGGGGGCTTGTTTATGTTTTTCTAGAGGGGGGCTTAAAAGAAAGGGGGGCTTAAAAAAAGGGGGGGCTCAAAAGAAAGGGGGGCTTAATATTTTGTTTATGAATAATTCAAAGTAAAAATGTTATATATAAAAATGCTGTTATGCATTTTTGTGTTATAAAAGTGTTAGACAAATTTTCTCCAAACTTTTCCAGCAGCAACTATCCCAGTTCATGTCAAAATACTTGCTTACAATCTTGCTTATTATGGAGAAAATAAAAGGAATGTGTAGGGCAAGCAGATTTAGAAAAATATTTTGCAGGTTATTGTTTGCATTGCATTATTACAATGACAAAGATAATAATAATTTTCTTTAAAATATCTCCCAACAACTTTTCTCACACCATTCAACTATCATTTAATTAGCCTCAATTAGGAAAAATTTCTGATAAACTCAAAGTAGCTTTTACAGAAAGTCTCAAACAGATTTTGTTTTGTTATTGTTACAACATTACACTTTTTTGATGTGGTTTTCAAATTAATTTATGAGCAAAAGATTCCTTGTGATCCAAAAAAACAATTGTTGAAACTTTCATGAATCATTTTAGTGAGTTTTAGACACCTTTTAGTTAGTTTTTATATTGTAAAAAGCTCTTTTAATAATAAGATGGGTGGTTTGAAATAAAAAGCCATTGATGCATTGTATTATATGTTTAGGCATCTGTTTTTGGCTAGAAAGAGATGCTCAATCTGATTATGTTTTTTGTTTACTTTGCTGGATAGATTGAATTTTGAGTCTGATCTTAAACACATGATCAATATTTAGAGTTTTTTCTTGTCCCAAATCACAAGCTTTTATCCTTGCACAAACCCTAAAGCTGTATGGAGCTTGTTTTATTTTTAAGCTATAGATGGGGCTAATTGCAATAGGTAGGGCTTATTATAGCACAATAGTGGATAAGGCTGCACCAAACAGCTAGCTAAATGTTGTTAATTTACAAGTCACTATCGTACCAATCATTGTCGCTTTAGGTTCACAGAATCGAGACCAAGGAAGGTCAAGAATAGAGTGGTTGTTAAAGGACAGGGTGGAATCCATGCAAATTTTACGCCTGACATTTGCCAATTAACAAAAGAAAAAAAAATGGGAAATAGTTAGTCCATGCCGAATAATTCTGGCATAAGCTAGGATCATAGCTTATTGTTGCATTAGTCGATTTAAAGTTACATGAGGAATTATGGTAGAACATGACAAAACCTTTTTCTTTAAACTTTAAGTTACTAAAATTAAAAATTGGAAATTTCATCCAAGATTCAAGAATGTATTTACAGTCTGTCACTATATTATTGACTGGACTGTCTGGAGGGGGGCTTAAAGAACAGGAATTGACTGGATTAAAATTTCTGCTTGGGGAAGAGGGGCCAGTAAAGAGGAGGGGTTAAAAGGAGGGGAAAGGTTAAACAAAACTTAATTACGGTATGTTATTAAAACATTACTAACAATGTACAGAAGCAGTTGAGAAAACCAAATATTTCGGAATGATATCTGGTTAAACTGAGCATAAAAATCCATCCCAACAAAAACCAAATTCACATGCGACTTCGAGACACAAACAACTACTTTAAGAGGAAAGACCCCATCATACGACGATACCTCTCGAAGGCGCACTATCCACTCGTAGTCCAGCAACTAAGTTTTGGGACTGCAAATACATGGCTCAATCACACCAACAATAAAAAAATGCATCATCGATAGAATTAGAGATGCTGCTGCTATCTACGACTTACCAATTGCATAAATCTGCAAACCTCCTTCATCTTTCCCGTCTCTGCCTTTCCTGTAATTTTCAACTTTGCAAACTTCTCCAAGAATTACGCATGCGTACTGACAGAGTATTTGACGTCAAAACACAATAATCGCCTCCGCATATTCACAAAAACTTCACCTGGTGGGACACTTGTTTTAAGGAAAATACAAAAAACATGTTTTTGATTTTCCGTGCTATCTTTGCATCATGTGGTATTTACATTTAAGGATTAACAGGGGGGGGGGGGATGAGAAGGTCGTGTGTGAAAGCTTTATTAATCAAATAGGCGTTTACACCAGGTTCCAGTTACCTGAAGGGTGTTGCACAATACTGGCAAAAAGACGATCACGCATAAGGACTCTCAGTACGGGAAATTGCAAGGCGATTATTTTTGGCTTAGAATAAATAGTTTGGGTTTTTGTTGAAGGTTGGCGTGCAGCATTTCGTTGTTTCGTGTGAGCTTAAAATGCCATTTTCATTATTCTTCTATTCTCTTTTTATTTAAGATAAGATTCTAAAGTAGATTTATATTTAAAGTTTTGATAAACAAGAGCAAAAATTCGATGCTAAAACGATATTCCCTGACTACTGATAGTTAAATCCTACAACTCACTGGTGATGTCAATTCATGAGTGGCGCAAAAGGGGCTGGGTAGACTTAATTTCAAAGGAATCAGGGTGTTCGGGTTTGATTTCTTTTATCTTCATATCAAGTCTTTTCACATAGAGTTACATGGACACATAGATATAAACAGGGCCACATTTTCCATTGGCCCAGTTTTATATGGTGCAATGGGGTTTTATGTGATTGCAATAGGTGAAATTCGATATTCTTATTTGACATGCAAATGTTCAATCTAATCAGATATCTGTGCTGAAACGAGGCTGCCTTTTGAAAATTTTGTGCCTCACTCAGCTACATTTTTGGAAAAATAAGGCTGTGCTTGAATGGAAGACCATTAAGCTATCACAATATTTTGATTTATCACAGAAATCCAAATGAAAGTTGAAAGCAAATGAAAATATCGGATGACCCCTGATGCTGCAATTCTTCTGCATGTGCCTAGGCCCAATGTTATTTGTGGTATGTATGTTGGTATTTGTTGGCACTGCAGAACGTTTAAAATCAGAAGATGATATTCAAATCGGTACAGTGTGGTCAAGACCTTTAGCAAAGATAGCACATAAACACTAACTTTCTCTGTATATGCACAGGGCTATCCTTGTTTTTTATCAAAGACGAAGACGATATACATATAGACAAAGCTAATAAAGCAAAAAATGCTATTTTGGAAGCAGCCCTTTTTATAAACGAAATAGTGACATCATTTGCATTTGGTGGCCTAAAGTTTGCATGTTTCCTAAATCTTTTCAGTTTAATAAAATTATGAAAAAACACTTGCTGGTATTTTAGGTTATTTCTCAATAAAATCAACTAACATAACAGCTAGTGATTTTTAAATGCTGCATGCCAGCCATACACCATGAGGTAATCACTGCAACTGATGGCTCTGCCTGCCATTCCAGAACCTCTACTCCTAGAAACTATAATCTTATAGCATCGTGAAAAGTCAAGCATGAAAAGGGGCCTTCCATCCCATTTTGTTTGAGCTCCACCAGAGGATGAGTTAAAAGTTTCTTTCAGATAACAACTTAAAAAAATATTTAATAGTCGACAAAGCTGCACTAAACAACTAGCTAGATGTTGTTGATTTGCAAGTCTCTATTCACTAATCATAGGGGCAAGAGGTAAATTGGAATTGGAAAGTCAAATAACTTGGAAAACACTCATTCAATAATTCTAAGCTTTCTGCCCCTCTTTTGAAATGAGGCCTTGAAACTTGATTTGAGAAGCTAATTGTGTGACTGGTTTTATCAATTGTTTCTTGAAACTGGCATAATTGGTTGAATAAAAGGCGGCTTCTTCAGAGGATTTCGCATATAATTACACGATCAATTGAAAAAGGTGATCAGAAAAATTTCCTGAAGTTTTCAATGTGAAAATTGGGAAAAAACATTTTTTAGACAAATTGCACTCATGGAGGCCAAGATGACCCTGGGAAATAGTTTTCACTTTGTGTTGAATGAGACTCTCAAGCTGAACTAGCCTATCGTTAAACGGGTTTTTTTATCTTCCATATTCCAAGGTCCTCAATGGGTGGCACTTTCCTTCAGCTGTACATTTTTTCTGCTTTGACCTTTTAGGAAAGACATTTTTGTAATCTTCTAGGTCAAAACTTCAGATAATCAAAGAATGATTCCCTTTAGTCAACAAGAAACCTTGCAGATTCATATGCATTTTGTATTGAGAAATAATCTGATCTAAAATCTCTTGATTCATAGTATGCAACTAAAGTGACCATAAGTCTGGTTTTGAACTTCATTCATGTTACACAGTTCAGATTAAGGAACTTTTTTGTATTTAAACCCTTATTATCAGAGCATTTTACATGGCTAAGTAGTTTTTCCCATACTTTTGGCATTCTTTTGTTCTTTGACGATCCATTCAAAACAGCTTCTTGAGGATTTTTACTTCCTTGATACTCTTTTCAAATTAATAATGATGTTTAATCATACGTTCATAAAATGAAAACTGTTGCCAGAACTGTTGCGATTTGTAGCATTCTGATGTAGACGTGTAAACTTTGTCTTGTAAACACCTGAATGTAGTATGAATCAATGATTAATTGGCAAAGAGGCAATGATTGGTTTTGATAAGGTACCTCATTGCCTTTCCAATATATTTGATACTTTGATAAGGCAGCCTCTGCAGTTCCTGTCCCATCAATCATAACCCAAGTGTGGTAAAATTGATCAACAGCCTGATAGGCATGACTATCAATTTTCATTGGATTGTCTTACAATTTTGATATAATACCCTCTTTAAAATCTAACAAAAAAACACATTATACTTCTAAATAATGAACCTTTACATCCAGTATCCATTTCTTCTTATGAACTAGACAAGAGATAGCACCACATAGAAGGAAATCTTTCATCGTCCTTTGCAACATATAGCTTATGATTTAGTCTTCTAATCTGGTCTCCCTGTGACATTGTTTTCATTCATTTGAAAAATGTTAACATTTGAAACATTCATGAGTCCCTTCTTTCTCCACCTTCCCACCTTTGCTTTCAGAACTACAATTATCACAATACCATCAAACATTGTTGATTTTTCAATCCCTGTAGCATTTACCAAAACAATAATACAAAAAGAAGGGACTCAGAACTGACTATAGGTGAACACTGTCTGAAGCACCAAAATTTGTGGTCAAGTTCCCAGCAATATCAACAACTGTTTCTTATTTATTGCCTTTACTTTTAAAAGCTCATTCCAACAACCTTCATTGGGATGATAGTAATATAACAGTAAAAATTTTGAATTATGTTACAAGCTTTTTTGAGATATTTTGTCAAACATAAGTTTCTTGTGTGTCCTTTTTTGAAATAATAATCATGCCAAGAAAATTCCAATTTTTGAAAAATTTTGTGAGTCTTCTCAAATTGAAAGGAGGAATTGTACAATTAAGCCACCCCTAATTTTGACCACACTAAATTTTTTAGAACTCAACAATTTTATCCAAAAATGATTAACTTTTTGCCACAGCACAACATCACAAGCTTTACTCAAATGAGGATCCACTAATGTTTAGTCTTGGTTATCAGTATCAGTGAACAGTAAAAGCAAGGAAGGAACAGCATGTTTGTAGATTTTATAAAGTTGATTCAGATTGTGAAGATGCCCCTGCTTTTATGAAGACCTGCAAAGCCCAGCATGTTCATATATTTTCATCAAAGGTTTTCAGAATCCTGTACTAAATTGACAGTATTTTTTGGCCTTTTTTAAAAGATGTGATCTTTTTAGTTTTCATAATTTCATAATAATAATAATTATATTGTTTCAATGAATTTCCTATGGCTTGAATAGCAAAAACTAGGGTTATGGAGTTACTGAAATGACATACCGTAACTTTGACATATTCTTGATATGCTATGATTCATTAACAGGAAATTGATAGGTAAGACCTGAGAAAAAAGGGGGCATATACTTAATAAAAGCAGGTTGATGATAGTCAATTGCTACATTTGCTATGTTTTCTACATAAAGTGGGGGTTTGCCCCCTGTCCCTCCCCCTGCTCCACTGTGTCACAGGAAGACTACCCTCTTATCTGCTGAGGCTACTCTTTGTGTTCCACACACAACCCTGTGTTTCATTGCATAGAAGAATAAAGTTGGTAGCTCTCAAATCAGATCATATACCCATTTGCACTTCGAGATGTAAATCATTCCTAGAGGTTCAATTTGGGTTCAAATCTGCTCTTGGGTGTTACCCTGTACACCAGGCTGGGCGGGTTACTTGCATGCTGTCCGTTGATTAGAGAGTGAGCTGGACCACATTTTTAAACTTTAAATATTAGATTATACAACACAGTTTTTAGAAACTTACAATTTTCATTTCTATTTTTGAATACATTCACAAAAAGGTGGGAAACACTTTCAATATCCCGACAGCCATATATATAGCTCAAAATAGATATTAGTGAAGTTGAAGGAATAGCCATTCAAAATTCCAGAAAAGTCACTGTTTGGGTCACAAGGCTTGCCTTCAGTATATTTTCATTGCCCATTAATATAGCGGGAAGCATCATTCTCTAGGTCATTGAGAGTCAAATCAAATCTAAGGATAATTTTTTTGCTTGTTTAGTTATATAAGCTAAAGTTATAACTATTTTCTGACCAATGACAAGACCACTGGGCGACTGCTATTAAAAGGCGTTTTTTGCCAGTAAGAAGGGTTTGCCCTAATTTTTTGCTCCGTACCCCACAGCCAAGTAGCTGGTGCTGCTGCTGTTTCTAACCTTAAAGTATCACCCACGATTGATTCATCCCTGAACAGAGGAGTGAACTTCATTAAAGCCGTCAATTTATGTAGAGAGGCTACTTTCCTGGCATTCCTAATTAAAGGCTTCTAGGTTGGGTAAACAAACATTTTGTAATTGTACCCAAAACTGTTTTGGTTGCAACTGTATTTGTTCAGTCTGTTGGCCACGGCAGGTCGTTTTAATGGCATGTCTCGGGTATTTGTGGTTACCTTCACTGACTTTATATCTAAGTCATCTCGGTAGCATGGAATCCAAAATTGCGTTCCTCTTTATCATCAGCTGATACTATTTTAAATGGAGAAAGAATCCTACATTCTTTAGCTTACTTTGAAAGTTTACCACAATCTGCATATAAATAATTGATCTTCTTCCAAAGCGCTTTAACATTTGCCTCAAGGTGTTTTGTAAAGTCGAATTGTGTTGAAATTATTAAGATCTTAGAAATGAAGAGTCTTCGCCAATCAAAAATATCTCATTTCTGGATTTGACCGTGTGATTCTCGACCTTTATCCTACATATACACAATGGTAATGTCAGATATTAACTGCAGCAGGGGGGTTTTGTGCACTTTTTCCCGGATCAAGAGATCCTTTCAGAGACATTCTGCGTGGTCTTCAGAACCGATATCTCACGACTGCTGACAGATTTCTGACAAAGAATTTAAACGTATTCTAGAATACACATGTTTAAATTGAAAGTTCTGGTCTCTTAAAATAACATGAACCTGTTATTTGAGACTACAAAGATCGAAGTGTTGAACCTTATTCTGAGTAAATGTTTATGTTATGTTGAGAACTTTTCAGAAATTTTGCTTTTTGCAACGATAACTGCAACCTTTTAGATGATATAAACAAAATTATTATAAAAAGGTAGAAAATTGTGCTTGTAAAAGAAGTTTTATAAATTTAAACTAAAAGGTGCAAGCAATATTAACTTTACTGTTCAGTGTAACCAAACAATGAGAAAATATTTTTATTATTTTTGTTCGACCCTGTTTTTAGAAACAACACCTGCTCATAAAACGCTCTTCTAAACTGACTTTAGAACTTTATCAGCATATAATGATCTTTTTGAAGAAGAATAACACTTCTTTTCCTACCGGTTTGTGTTTGATATGACGTTGTGGTGTATATTTCATGACGGTTAATATAAAATTGTCTTACTTGTCGATAATTGGTTGTCTGTCTGTGTTCCCTCACTCAGCGGTCCTTTAAGTTGCTTTTTAACAGAACGAAGGTTTTCCAGCTACGGGATGAAGCGAGTGGCAGCTAAATAGTGATCAAGTAGTTCATCTTTGTGTACGGTTTAGTTGCCAAAGGTCTTCAAGTTGCCGGATAATAGCTATGGTTTTTCAAAGCCTAGCTAATTAGCGGACCATGTAACCACATTACTGTGGAAGTTGGCCTGGGTGACCTTGCATAATGTTAAGATTGGTTCCTCAGCTTTCTTTCTGTAGACTTGTGTCGTTACTATGGCAGCCTAGATCAATGGTTTTTCTAGAAAATCACGTTATTCCTGGCACATTGACCAGCTTTGTTGAACTTGGAGGACAAACTAAAAACGTTGACACCGGGTGAAGGCGAGGCAATTTTACCTCAAAATCAGCTATTTCCGAAAACAGTTGAAGTATCATGTTATTTTTTTCTTTTAAAAATGTCTATGAAGCTTAATGCTTCCGCCTACCCTTTTTCTTTCTTTTCCACTTATCTTAACATTAGGGACAAGCATTGTCAAACATTCTATCATGAAACGCTTCGTCGTAGCTTCCTAATTTTGCTTGTCAAAATACCCTCTGCATTGAACTTTGCATCGCCATTTAATGATACTAGAGGTAGTCGAGTATTGTATTATATTATATTATATCTTATTATTATGTTGCGTTGATACTGGAGCAATCGCTAATTGCAGAAAAACAAGGTTTTCGCACTTTTCCAGCCTGGTCCACATTTTTGACCAGGCCATCCAGTCCATGTATAAATTATGCATGTAAAACACTAATAATAAACAATCGAAAATGTTGTAGCGTGATCCATGGATTTCATTTCTTGAGAATTGCATCTTCTGTGACCTCAAGATGCTGCACGGGATATACTTTAAAGAGCTTTCTTATCGAAGCACGAAACCAAGACTTCGTTATTTGGAGTGTGTTATCCTGCTGCGGTGCGCAACGGCACAGCCAAGCTTTGCAGAAATGCCCATGAGTTGGTCATCTGCAGACCCATGAAATGATTAATGCCTTAAAATCGCAGAGGATAGCGTTAGCTATAATTTTTTTGCCCTCCCCGTTGCAGGATGTTTTGCCTGTGAGCGCGCCTATTTAATCTTATACGCCTTGTTAGAGTCACGCGAGTTGCAAATCCATAAGAAGTGCAATAACCAAGCTGTGAATGATTCAATTGAAGTGCGCCTTTGTTGTATCATATGTGCAAGCATTTTGCCATTCCCTCAAGGCATCACGCTCATTGCCAGAACACACAAATACAAGCAGCCATTCAAAAATTCAGTTTCCGATTGGTTTTTAAGGCGAAGTGTTTGGTTTTCGTGTCGTGCAATCTATATCCGCCAGCTCAACTCGCAAATCGACTTTTGGTTTTCAACAGAAGTATTTCTATCAGTTTCTAAAACCAGCACATATTTTCACGAATGCTTTGTGTTTATAGAGTGGTTTTGTTGCCAGCATTCAGCTCTTTATCTAACGATGTGTTTGTATGGAAGCTGTAAAGAATAATGGATCAAGAATTGATGCATGAGGCATAGCACGATTTGGTGACCGTTTGACAGTAGGCGATGCTAACGTATTTGAAAATCACATTCCTAATAAAATATTTCTGAAGTCACAATAGTTTTTATCGATTGTTTTCTAATATTGGTTTTTTTATCAATCCATTGTCATACATAAAGCAAGTTTTATATTTTATTCTAAGAAATTATCGCCGATTCCCTAGTGTGTAGCAATCATATGCTCTTCATATTGGGTCGCAGTTGCTTGATCTGACATCTTGCTTACCCTAAAAATCAGTCCATGTAGAAATAGTTCAAAGATAGCATCTCCAGAGATTATGATTCTTTTATATAATTTAAGATATGTTTGTTTTTACTTGGATTGTTATGTTTTCTACAGGCCCGCGAAACTGGCAGCCCCAGTTATTACCATCGAAACCTCCATATTCCTTCGTCTTGGCAGTTTCGACTTTCCCAGTAATGGTCGATTCAGGCACAGATGACCTGGTTTATATGAGTAAACGGTGCTATAATCTATCTTGTGAATAAACAGATTGCAGGATTTCACGATTTAAAATTGTAGAACAAAGATCTACAAATGAATTAATTCCATATAAACGAGGCGCGTTAATTTTTCATAACTTGCCTCTTAATGAGAACATTTAGATGAAGCTTCAACTTAGTTTCTTGTGTTTTTAGCCAACACTCTTTCTTATCTATTCCTTTTTAAACCGTATACTGATGAGCTATTTTGCTTCCACCCTAATCAACCAGGGCACCTGTTTTGTTGAAGCCTGCAGTGCAAACCCTAAAAATTGTAAACCGGCTGTTCTTCATGTTATGATCCTTTGATAAATCTGAAGAAAATCTGATTGCTCATATGGTTAGAACCAGGACATTGGGCCTACTTATCAACAAATTTAAATGGAGTCACGACAGAGCTCGCATCTGTTAAGGATTAAACACAAGAGGTCATCCATGCATTGGCTTTATTTGAAGCGAATGGTACCTTGCGCGAAACATGACTCACCACCAGGTAGAAAATACGTTTCTCAGTTCATTACTGGTTTGATGTACCTGTTAAGACATTTGTTCAGTGTTAAATGTGACGTAATTTCTAAGCGATGCAATCTGTTAACGAACCTCTATGGCAACTTTGGCCGGCAAGGGTCAAGCAAAGCTTTCGTGGCTTTAATTGACACTAAAATTTATCACGAAATGATCTTCAAGTCTCTCTTTGTCTTTGTTTGGATGTCGTGTACTTTGTCACACAATCCAGGGTCAGGGGCAGGGGTGAACTCCCTCTGTTTTCAAATCGTGAAAGCTCATTTAACCATGACATGTAGATTTTGTCATTAAAGTGAAATCGTGAAGTAGTAGTATGTCTCCCCTTGACAATCCGCATGTGGTATGTGTGGTTGATATCCAAGAAAGCTTTTCAACACCCTCCAACTCCTACGGCACTGCTAACAGCATCTGCAAAAACGCTTGGGTTTTGGAAAAAATGTCATGAGCTTGGAACATTTGTAGCAAAGGCCTGAGTTACACGAAGCCGAATTGGGATCACTCCGGATTGGTTTTTTGCTACGGATAGGGTTTTCAATTACACGACACTGAGGCAATCCGAGGCGCTTTTTTTTTGTAAAATAGGCCTACACTAGCTTGTATATATGTAACTTGTTATATATGTATGTATATATGTATATATGTAAGAATGTAATTATTAATTATTCATTCTTAATTGCTTTTTATTCTGAATTTTTGTAAAGTCGGCCTTAATTAGCTTGTACATAAATTGTACATAAACAGCTATATTATACCCGCCTACTGTAAATAAATTGATTATTATTATTATTATTTTTTAAACCGGAGTGAAAGTCAATCCGCTTTGGAGACGAAGTCCTCGGCTTCTCGTTTTATCCCGTGCATACGTTCAATCCGAAGTGATTTTCACTCCGACGCCTCGCTCCTAAGCAAGCTGCCTCTTATCTCTCATCTTGTTCAGAAAAGTGCGCACTTTTCCAGAGAATAGTTTCGGCGTTGTGTAACTAAGGCCTTAAGGAATTTCGTTTCGGAATAAGGGTGTAAACAACGGTTGAGGATCTACAAATAATAGGGCTTTATTTGGGAAAAGTTCCCCTATAGAATTTTTTTTTGCCATTCGGTTTGCTCACTCACGGAAGTTGATAAACCCAGTTGTTTTTAAAAGCTCTTCCCTACTTTGCATACCATCTTCCTAAAATGAAGCTTATTAACGTTTGCGAAACTTTTATGCCTGAAAATTAGGCCTAACTTGTGAATTAGTTTGTGCTATGTTATATGAATATCTACCCAAAAACATGATTTGAATTTAGCTCTAGAACTGGAGTTCTATCACCACCACTTAAGAAGATGTCTTTTGATGTCGCAACTTTTGGGCCTATTTCTTATGTAGGCAAACCTGAAAAGAAGATCACGTCGTCTCTCTACTCAGTGTCCTTGAATATTGATTGACTCGATGGTCACTGTTTCGCAATCAGAAGTATAACTCTACTTTGATTGTTAGCCGAAGCTCGACTTGCTATGCATCTCCCATTAAGCATTAATGCAGCCACCCGTCACAGCACTTCACCCAAGCCTACGAGCAGTCGACGAAGCTTGCCTTGAAAATATAACACTGCTTTTGCAAACTCATTAACGCAGTTTCTTCATGCACATTGTAGTTATCTCGCGGAGAAAGAGAGAAAACGACTGAAGTAGAACAATCTTGTTGCTGATTAAGAGGAACAATAATTGAACGGATGAATGGCCTAATCAGATCCTGAGAAGCTCGTAATCAAACAGTTGCTCGTTATTTGGCGTTGTTGTTGCAAAGTTTGGAATTGTATTTCGCAAGTTAATGTGTATCTAGCGAAATTTGCTATCCTCATTAGCTGAAAAGAAGGCAGCTGTGCTTTCATTTACTCTTTTATGTATTGCTAGCGAGATTTGACATTGTTACTGCTTTGCCTGGTCGCCTGGTTGCCTCATTATCTTAACGAAGAAAAACCCACCTATCGTTTTTTCATATCTATTGATATTTTACTGGCTTTCATTGTTAATGTAACCTCTATCAGGAAGATTAGCACGCCCAGAAGATCCCTAATCTTCAACGATTTTTCAGCTCTGAGCCATCTTAGTGACAAGGAAAAGAAATCCAATTGATATAATCTTGGGTTTGGCCACTATTGTCTGGTTGTTTTTAACTTAAACAACGCGTGGTAGCTCATTTTGAATATGGCGGCTGATACTGATCCTGACATTGATTTGATCATGGGGGACAGTGATTCAGAGCTTGATCCATCAGTTCTGTCTTTCCAGGCCTCCGCTATAATCGCTGTGTGTGCGGCTGTACTTATTGGCAACGCTTTCATTTCTGCACTGAATTGTTTTCGATCGCATAACAATAGATTACATCACAGGTTTATCATGCTGGCCACAGGACTGAACTTGTTGTCCGCCATCGTTTGCATGCCCCTAATGGCCGCAGCACTGCTCGAGAGGGAATGGAAATATGGCTACTCCTTGTGCAAGATCACAGGGGTACTTTGCTTCATAAACATGACAGCGACTATGACTTTGACCGCTCTTGCGTCCGTATCCAAGATGTGCTTGTTTTTGCGCCTATATTTCTCGAAGCTGCTCTTCAAAGTTTTTCTTCATAAGGACCTTATGGCCACTTGCATTGTGTTTTTGTTTACCTTGGTATCCCAAGCAATGTTATTTGTGCTGATTTATACAAGCAATCTATGGAAAAATCCCTTACCAGGCCTTTGTAAATACACGAACTCGCCGAACGTGACTGGTTACAGAATGTTTTACCTCGTCTACTCAACTCTACTTACGTTAGCTGCACTCATATTGGTGATTCCTTTTGAGAACGAAAAGGAATCTTAAAAAAGGAGTCTTAGAAAAACACGGATCTTAATAAAAGAAGATTCTGGGAGTCCTAAGTTGTATGTAGTTTGATCCGCGTGTTTGTTCAAGCTCTCTTAATTTGTATACCTTCAATTTTACCTCTTTGCTTACTACAGTAGAAACCCGCATTAAAGAACCTGGATTTTTTTCTGGCAGCCTGGATAGCTTCTTAATTAACAGGCTGCTATTTTAAATTCCGGGCTGAAAGGTTCTTAGTAAGGTTTTTATAAACGTACAGGCCTTGCACACATTAACAATGTTTTCCACCGCAAGAATTCTAACAGACACATTTAATCCAGCTTTGCTTTTCATGTTAAATTTCAACCAACCAAATCAATTTGTGTTGTTAGATTGTCCAATTAGGATGCAACATACCATAAGGTGGTTTAATTTGCCAGTGTGAATAGGGTATAAAAGTACCATTCTAAAAAACCTTTTATATATATATATATAAGAACCTTTCCAAATTTCAGCCTCTTTGGGGTTCTTAATTATGGGGTTTGAAAGATTAATTTTTAGCCTCAAGTTTCTTATAAAAATAGGTTCTTTTAGGCGGGTTTCTACTGTATATTTCAATAGAAGGGGATAAATTAAAATCGACGAACTTGTTAAGCGAAGACTGTGATTTCTTGGTATGAGATGAAAATGATAAAAAACAAGCAGGACACTGCGGAATAACTCTAAACTGTAAAAACATCTTCGCAGACCCCCCCCCCCTAGATTTTTAATGGCCAAAGGGGTATGGGATCTTTTTTATTCCTTGGAAATTTTAGCCTACAATCTATAATCTGTTTGAGAAAAATAAATCCACGTTAAACCTTAGCCTGTTAGACAAAGTCAAGAAAAGGTTGAAGCAATATTTTTACAGTATGATTTTTTTTGCCCGATAAAGTGTTTTTTGTGTTTTATATACATTTGTTAATTCATGAAAATCAGCTGCTTATTGTTGACATCTTAACATTTTACTGACATCTTGATGAGACAGAGTGTTTATTTCAAGATAAATCCTTTAAAATCGTTTACTTCTGCTCAATTTAGTTTTCAGTTCAGTTTTTTTTAAATTCCTCTGCATAAAATTTATTGCAACTAACTGTTCAAAGTAAAACATTTCCATAACACAAGATTAGACAAGATTAATACATTAACATCTAACTAATCGAATATAAAAATTCAAAACGAGGAATATAAATTATCTGCCTGGGAATTATTTAAAGAAGGAACTTCCTCAGTAGATATACTAATCGAGGAGATAGCATCCCCTAATTCAGATTCTGTGCTGTCGTTCGATTGGCTACTTTTCGTGGAAAGTATCCAAAAAGAAAAATGGATCGAGATTAACAAAATTATAATACATTTCTGTATCTGTATTGAATTGTTGCAACGTTTTGAGCATAACTCTTCAACAAGTAACGAGAATAGGGAGAGCAACGGTAACATTCTAACTAGGAGGACAATTACACCTCCAGCCCCAGAGAGTTTCTACTGGTTTAAAAACAAAAGGCTCTCGTCCTTCTCTTTATATAAACATAGGCAGGCTCCCGCAGCTTAGGGTTTGGTCACATCAAACATTAAGTATACTTTTTCTAAGCCGCTATTAGCTAATTGCTGTTCTAAATACTTTTTTGGAAATCTGTCAAACTTCTATAGCTTCAAAGACTCTGCATTCTACATATATAGCTATTCTTTCGACTGTACTATTGTTTAAACCCCGGTCTTCCTATTCTCTTTACCAGGGAAGAGTTATGCTCCAATGTTATTCTATGAGAGAGTTTTATTCAACTTATATGTCTAAAGCTGTATTTCAGTTACGTACGTCTGCATTAATCATTCATTTTACCATATATGATATATGTTTCGACATACAACCCACTTAACTGCATTGATTATTAAATCCAATTAGAATGCCGTTACAATCTGTGTGATATTCGTCGTGACTTGTTGTTTGCTGTGACTCAATACAGCCACTCTTTGGTGTTTACAGTTTGGCGGGGACCATACCTACAATCCCGGGCAAAAATAGTTGAGACTTTTCAAGGAAACTTTATGTTTTCTCTTTCCTTTGAAAAACAGCTTACCCCCCCCCCCTTTGTAGCAGGACTGTATATCACGTGACATTATGCTAACCTCGCTTTCACTTATATGTAACCTTTGTTTAATTAAGAATGATTCGTCAGTTTATATTCTCGCTACGAGTCGCACGATATTTCTGTTTGCTCTTCGCTCTGACGACTACTCAAAGTAATAGGCACAACTAGACCTATTATACCTTCCCCAATTCAATGTTGAATGCATGATTTTGATACCAAAATGATAGAACTACAAATCCAACATTGCTTCGGGGTAAAGGGGAGGATTCGAATTTACAGGTGCAAGGTAGGGTAGAAAATTACAAAAATTGCATTTTGTCTCAACAGTTTTGTTCGGGATTGTAGACACCTTGGAACACCCCTAAAACATCCAATCTCATTTCAGTGTTTTCCCGGAGTTAGTTGCTTATTGATATCCTATTGCGGTTTTCTGTATTGACCACCTCATGTTCAAAACAGTTGGTTTGGTAGACTGTTTTTTTCCTTTTCTTGTCATTGGATTCGAAACTATTAAATTGTTTCAAATCAAACGTTGTATGTAGAGGAGGGCAATGCAAGTCGAGGCACTGGCGAATCTTTACACGCTTCAATCATAGCGGTGAGTTAACAGATCATTGTTTCATGAAACACGCCATTGCATGTAAATAGTTGGTCAGTATTAAAAATAGGCACATATTTTTCCAATGGATTTAAAGGGCTGACAGTGACTTGTAAGAATATTGATGCTAATTTAATTCTCTGTAATCTTTTATGATATCCACGTAATTGGACCATTATTTACCCGTTTAGGCTAATAACGAAACACGGAAATGTCTTGTAGCCTAACTATAGGCTCAACTTTTTGGCCTAAAGTGGCGAAAACGAAAGCTGTCACAAGGTTTTTTTAAAGCTTCTTTCCTGATCTCTTGGATCTTTTCGCTGTCTGTGTGTTATTCCCGCGTGGGGATATTGCTATTTTGAGTTGCCAAATGAAAAACCACATCGTGATGTGTACCATGAAAAAAGAAGGAGGACTGGGGCGACTCCAATAATTCTTAAAAGTAATTATAATGCAAACTTTTTATGTAAGTAAGAATGTCATAAATTATATTAAGGCTCAAAATCGCTGAAATTTAAGAATAATGCAAGGCTCAAGTTTCATCACGTTCAATTTTTTGTTTATTTGAGTTTCACGCTATCCGGCCTTGAAGTCAATAAAATTATAATGTGATTAAGTTACACCTTGTGTCGCTTGAAAATAATTTAAGAATAGCCTTGAGCTCTAAATTAAAAAAAATTAAGAATATTGAGGCTCAATTCATATGCTCCTCAGTCTCTGCTTGTACGGAAATGTTGTGCTTAAAAGGCAGGCAAAAGGTCGGAGTCCAGAAAACATCACGGTCGCGGGGCCATCGACTGGAAGGTTTGAGAAACAATAGAAATTTGAGGGAAGGTTTTGGTAAGATAGAATTTTAAAAAATAATCGAGACAACTCATTTTGCACTTGTTTCTTCGTTGTGCTTTTAAAACACACGTTGAATCTGTTGGAGAGTCAATTGATAGCGCGAACAGACACAAAATGTTTAGGCCATGCTCGTTTACCGCCAGAAAATTCATCTGAAAAGAGAATACTGCCCGTGTTCTATGGTTTTGAAACTTTTCCATTTTATATTATTTCATGATTATATCGATTTTATTATTCGACATTTAAAAACTAACATTACTCTTGGGTTATAATGCTTTGAATGTTATTCCAGCAAAGTTTTATCGTATGCGATGATTACCATCGACCCAAACAAATTACTTTGTCACGATTTATTGCGTCTGTCACCCCTTATGCCGTAGCCACGCCATAGCCACGCCCTGACCACGGTTATTGCCTGAAAAATTGGAGGAAGGTTTTGAGAGAGAAATTTGACTTTTCTGGATTATGCAAAAGGTACGAATGACACACCGCTTTAGCGAAATGATCGGAAATGACATTTGTAGTTGTGGCAACTTGCTTCCCGGGTGCAGCGAACGAAAGCATTGTGCTTTTAGTTTGAGGGCCTACGCAAGAAAGACACCTACGCAGAGTTTATGATAACAGCCTGCCGCTCTGTTGTCTAAAAAGCGGGTTTCCACTTCTGGTCGCCCGACTGAGCGAATGCACATTGGGGCATACGCAAGTTGAACTTCCTCATTCGCCGCGAATGCGCGACCATTCGCTGAATAGTTCAATTCAGTGGAAACCGGCCTTTATAAGCAAACTCGGACATTTTGCTCAGCATTTCTTTTTTCCACCATAAAGCCATGTTTTGAACAAACTCGAGGACGTTATTGAACATTACCATATCATGTCACGGTTTCTGTACAGTCAGCAGTTTCAAGTCCCTCGTTGCCCGTGGGTTTGGATTACAAATTGATTGTTAAGGGGAATCCCCCTTTTTGCTTTGTCATCTCTTGGAATTCTATTGCGTTTTCCCGCGTAAACTAGCCTCGAAATAACTACGCCGTAATAAGAGCTTTTGAAATCCCCTAGTGACCAAGTCTTTTAAGGCACTGTTGTTGAGTGTTTATTCAGAGTTTTCGTGATATTTGACACAAGAAGAAGAAATCAGATTCAAGGTAGCTTAAACAAATAATTTCTTTTTTACAGCAAATTTTGAGTCAATGAAAAATAATGTAAAATGTTCGCTTATATCGATTGATTCTCAGGACCTTTAAAAAGCAGAGGATGGCCAATAAATGATGCGACGTAAATCGGTTAAATTTTTCCTTCTTTTCTTTCGATAAAATCGTCCCGGCAGCTACATAACTTGCATGCTAACAACGGCATAATAATTAACGCGTGACATGGGCATAATCTTTCTCGAGAACTTTCACAAGCATCTTGCCCCTAAAACGGTGCATGCCTAAACTGCTTTCTCTTGCTGCTACTTTTCCATAATTCTTACTGCCTAAGATGAGGTACGGGGCTCCTATATATACTGAACTAAAAACAATAGACATACGTAAATGAAACGGTGAAAGGAAGTAATTTACTTAGTAACGAGTGGGGTGGGGTAGCGCGATATCATAAAATACTGGGTTGCTATGGCGATCTACTTAACATGCTGATAATTGACGTAGGTATGAAGTTACTCATAATATTACAAAGATTATCCTAATACACGTGATAGAAAAATGCGGAACGAGCAAGGAAAGATACAGATAAACAAGAGTGATTAGGTAAGGAAAATCAAACGAATGGACTAGAGAGAAAGGCCTAAAATTAGCAGTATTACAATAATATTTCTTGATCTTACTGAGATTTTTAAAGTATTTTGTCGTATTTAGTTTCAGAAACTAAATTATAAACAGCTAGATCTTTAAAAATTTAGAAACATTATGTGTAAAGCATTTTTCTCTAATTTCCTTTCTTTCTTGAAAAAATTTTCGTGAACAGGAGCTCCCAGAATGTAAGAGAGTAGCAAGATTTTTGTTCAATTCCACTTTTATTAACCGTTTTATTGCAGTTTCTTGATCATATATTTTGTAACAGAAGTCTTGCCGTGATCTGTAATAAAATCAGGGTACCCCCATTTTTGTATAAAGAACAGCACCTTTGTGACTGTGTCTCGAAAATTTTTTATTGTCAAGTTTTCAACTTTAAAACTTTTAACAGGCTTCTTTTTAATTTGTTTTCATTGTTTGTTTTTTATTTGATTTTTATTGTCTATAACTGAAAAGAAATCGCGTGTTGGAATGTATTGCAAAAGCAGAGACATCGTTTTGTAAATTTTCTGGTTTCGTTGAGATTTGTTCGGAAAGGCTTACGCTCTCTTGATCTTTTTTCTTTCGTTCGTTCAGCTTTAGAACGTTTTTTAACAACTTTGCCAACCTCCACATGAGCGCTATTATAATAGGACCTCTATTCAGGACCTTAAAGAAATAGAGGGCACATGTAACGCGTGTTTCGTTTAGCACACAATTCTTGGTTTTAATTTGTCAGAGGGTAAAGGGCCGAAAGGAGGCCGAAACTAGGCCGAAACTGTACTATCCTGACGTCAAGTAGCGGCCAAAAACCTCTTTGCTTGTTTGAGAATATTTTTCCTGCCAACCGCTTGGACCTCCTTGCCCCCCTCCCCCATCACAGTTTTTCTGAAATAAAGGAACACTGTTGGAGGCTTCTGTAAATGTTTCGTTGTTTTTACTTGACCCCTATTCATTCAGAGTCTTTTGATTTTCTGTGTAAGGATATTGAGCAAGCTTCCACAAAAGTCGAATTTTTTAAAAAGGTGGGGTTTTTGCCATTTTGGTGGGCTTCGACGACCATATCTATTTCCAAGAGGGTTTCATTGCTTGCACCCATGTTAGCTTCTTTAAACCCATGTTAGCTGATAATGAGTTGTGTAAGTTTTTAATGTTGTCACAATTTCATTTTTGTCGTATAGCTTTATGATGATTTTGCCAATGCGTGTTTTATTTTGTCGTTGTCCAACCGATGTTTTACTTCAGCATACTTGTTATGCAACCGATAACTTGCCACTTTGTAAATTACCTTTAAGATCTACATGTCGAGTTTTGTTTCTGAATCTGTTTTTCTTGGTAGGTTTAAAGAAGAGAATTATGGGATTCGGAAAGTTAGCTTCTGCAACTACAGGTAAGTTCTTTTATTTGCGCTATCCTTTTCCTCTGCTCCTTGGAAAAGAGTAAAGCCTTTTTAGGGCTTAAAATAGGAGCGTGGGAGGCACCCCTTTGCTCTTATGAATATATTCTATCGTCTTCAGTGAAAGAAAGGATTAACTGAACCCTCTAGTTAGTATGTAGAAAAGGCCTTGCCTCCTTGTCTCCTTCGGGGGATATAATCAATCAATTTTCGATACGGAAAGGCTGCTGTGCCAAGAAATAACAATTTTAGCATTGTACCCAAAACAGGGGCGTTGTGGCTAGGCAGGACACCGGGAGATTTCCCAGTGGGACTCTTTCAAGTGATTTTGTAAAAACTCAGGAAAATATTTAATACAAAATTGTAGAAGATTGCAAAATGACTCAAGAAATTTTCTGGAAAGGTTTGCGAAACTTTTCTGTCTAGGTGCCGATCTAATGGCGTCTTTGATTGGTTCCTTGTTTTGACCAATCAGCGAAAGACGGAAAGCGAACTGATTCAAAGTATTACTTCCATCCAGCCATTATTGTTGTGAAGTTTAAGGTTAGATATTGTCCCTCGCGTGCAAATATTGACCCTTAAGAGAACAGTAGCACGTGATAAGTGCAAAGTTCACGAGTCAGCCATGTATCAGATAGGAAGAACGGTAGTTAGTCAGTTTCGAGAAGGAGCTTCAAGAGATAGGTCGTAATATGATGTAACTCACGCGGATTTGATAGGTCGTAATAAGATGTAACTCACGCAGATTTGTCAAAGTAATAATCAACCGGATAGTCGTAATAAGGCCTTATGTAAATAGTACATATAAATATAAAAACGTCATCATGATGTCTTCATCGTCTCTGCCCTGAGAATCCAGAAATATAAATCTTTTAGCTTGATGAATTTGCCACTGGTAGGCCCAACATCAGTGTTGTTCATTGATATTTCTTTAGTTTTTACATCAAGCTCCCTGGCAGGATTTTCAAAATGTTACATGCCTCTTTTTTGGCTTTTCTCCTTTATTGTTCGGCAGTTTACACTTGATGCCTAGGGTTGCCATTTTGGTATGATTTTAATCTTTGTTCCAAGACTGATTACTCCAAGACTTTGGTATGATTTCTAAATTTGTTCCAAGACTGATTTTCCTTCCCTTGCTCTTTACCAGATGCATCCAAAATCTCTAAATCTTAAAAGGTTTTACATGTTTACATTGGTTACAACCTTTCTTTGAGCTTAGTATACATCAGTGGTGTCGCGGAGGGGGCTCACGGGGGCTTAGCCCCCTTGTTAAAACCCAGAGTGACTTTAGGGGGCACAGAATTAATTATTTAACGATGGAGACTAACCCTTTATTTTGCTACTGATTTTCGATGTATGAGCGACTTCCTGTCATTTTTTGAGTCGGTGAATAGTTTGAATGATTTCATAACACAAAGAGAATCTTTAACATCAATGGAGATATAAAATGTGTGACCATGGGTCTGGTCTTGGCTGTGGCTTCTAGATGTTGCATACAGCACCTAGCTTTTTAAGACGGCATCCATGGTTTTCATATTTCATACTAAGCTTTTTTCTGCAGGTAGAAGGCCAGATTTCGTGTCATGCTTCAATTCGAGGATAACGAAACATATTGGTGAGGATTTGGAACTAAACTGCATCATTTCTGGCAGTCCATTTCCGCAAGTAACTTGGTCGCATAATGATCGATTATTGGATACCAACAATCCAAGGTTCAGCTTTTCACAAGGATCAAGGAAACTCATGATAAAGACGCTGAATCTGGATGATGCTGGGTATTACACGTGCACAGCCAAGAACCAGTTAGCTGAGGTCTCAAGAACTTGCACCTTGGCTGTTCGAGGTAATTTTAAACTCATGTAGGGGGTAGTGTAGTCCTTTTCAACTTAGGTAATAGGGCAGCAGTGACCTCCCTTTAGAGAGAAAACCTCTTAGTCATGTAAGATGGATGACTGTAATGTTATCTTGACTTGCATTATCTCCAGCGCTTTTTTTGTTACATTGATCATTCCATGTTGCCAAGAATTTCTTGCGATTAGTTGTTATTCCCCATAATCAATTTATCTCACTGGAGCACCTGCTTTTTTTCTTTGCCCCCACCGAAGGCCCCCACACCCAAGAATCTTACCCTTTTGACTACAGTTAATTAGAGTAGCTGATTAGTGACTTTATTAGAATTTATTATTAGAATTGATCAATATTAATTCTAAAATTTTTTTCTAAAATTAGCAAGGCACTATATAAGACGATGTTTTTTTCAGCAAACCCACGATCCAATGCTCCGAAAGTTTTAAAGCAACCCCGTGAGGTTCGTGTTCAAGAAGGACAGGGGGCTGAACTGAGCTGTGTTGTGCACAACCCAAAAGGTATATTTTCTGCATTCTTGTGGAGCAAAAATGGTCATGATGTCGATGAAACATCTGTGCGCCTGTATAAAAGGGAAAAGACTGAGGAAGATGGGATCAAGGCCATTCTGGAATTTCTGAATGTGCAAAAGACAGACCAAGGGCGGTACCAGCTGAGATTTGTTAACATGTTCGGTGACGTCACTACCGACGAAGTAGCCCTATGCGTTGTCTGACTCGATATCCATTGAATTTTCACATTGAAATTTGCATTTTTGATGTGGTTAATTTAACTTCTTGTAATCAAGTAAAAATATGCAGAATTTTAGCTCCTTTTCCGATCGATAATTCTTGTCCTAAATTACTATCATATAAAGTAATTCTCTTAAAGAGGAAACCCATTGTATGTTGTTGTCAAGTCAGAGTTATCGACGTCTGATTCTACCATCCATGTTTGATGTAAGTAGCTCAAGATTACATATTGAGACACTTAAACAGGACATTATTTTACATCTCAAAGAACCAGTTTTTCAAACATGTTATGTCTTTTTATTGTTGGAATGCTCTTTTTCTTACATCGACCCTTAATTTAAAGGATGACTTTGAGTTTTTGATAGTTTGCGAGTTACGAAAAAATGGTTGGTGTCTGGAATGTTCGAGGTTTTTTCTAATGAAATAATGTGTCTTTGCTTTTGTAAACACAGCTTCGAGTTCTAGAATCAAAAAGCCATTGCGAATCTTGAATTTATAGCGAGTTTTTTGGATTAAGGATTAAGGATAGATCTTCTTACATAATCAGTTATTTCGGATACTTCAATCAAAACAGGTGTTTTACTGTATTTTAAAGTAGGGGGATAGTGCTATTAAAAAGGGTGGGCTCTTGTAAGAAGTCCGAAACTGATCACTTATTACTTTCATTGAGATTATGACTAGGGTAGATGGTAATCTTTTAGTGCCAATTATTCCAAGATCAGTTTTGGTAATTATTTTCAAAGAGGAAAGCTTTCAGTATACGTCGAAAGCTAACAGCAGACGGTGAAGTTTTATATCAGTCGGAATGCTACCCCAGCACTTAGCTTCAAAGTAACGGGCTGATCTAAGACCGTATTGAACATTTTTTTTTGAGTGAGAAAAACATAATTTTGAGTAGCTTGCCGTGTGCCATACTGATAAACAGAATGAACCAAATCAAAAAATTATGAAGTCAACGAGTGGAGATCTTATTAACACAGTCATAAAAAAGTAAGCAGTTTCAATTTGAAAGATCCCACAGCTTTGAAATCTTTAAATCAGAAAATTTCACATAAAAGGTTTTTTATAGGGAACAGGGGTGAAAATCCTATGAGTGTTGGGGGGATGTGATACTCACCCATTCACAAATATAGTGGATTTCGCAGGGCAGTCGAAGATTTCGCAGGGCGCTAAGAAGATATTTATCAATTTTGATTTCTTTCCCCAACGACTGTCACTAGAACTTTAGCGTGACACCTCCCCTTCCCAAATTTTCTAAGAAAAACAATCAGTGTTTCACTGAGTACTGAAAACAGTCTTGTTAACCCTACGTGATGAAAAATTTTGTTAAATTTTGGTCGGGGAGATGCCTTTTTAGCCCTTCTACAAGGAGTAATTTCAAAAAATTTCAGACCCAACCATGGTGGGCTCTCCTACGTCACTAAACTTGATTTTTGCCTCAAGGTTCATTTTCTTGGCGCTGTTCTTATCAGATAACAAAAAACATATGCCGTGAGATGTAAGCTTCATTGCAAAGAAAAATCAAAATTGACCTTTAATTTACGCCCACGTGGATAAATAGATATTTCATAGACAATTAAGTTTAAAATTTGTTTTCTATTGGTTAGAAATTTTTCTCTGGTAAAGACAACTTTACATCGATTAAGGTTACACTAACAACTTATAGACGAACCTTTGTTTCGAGGTCGGCAGGGCACAACTCCGTTTTGCAGAGCAGAAACCTTCGTCATCCCCAAACTTATTGGCCTAGTTACGCCCCTGATAGGGAACTTACCAATTTTGATGTAGATAGTTTTAAATGAAGAATGTTGAAGTGACTTCAAAATTATGAAATTAGTCTGCGAAGATTTACTAACCTCAAGCCATATCTTTACTTTTTTCAGTTCCTTATTAACCACACTTTGAAGTTCATGGAGATTTTCAGATTCACAATAGATACTAGCATCATCAGCAAGTAAGTAGCAGGCTAGTTTTGAGGATGAAAGAGGTAAGTCATTAATGTAAAGTAAGAAAACGAGAGGATCAAGAACAGAACCCTATGGAACCCCGCAGGTAATATTTAGATATCAAGATTAAGATCCATTCACTGAGACACATTGTTTCTTATCAGATAATAGATTAGATAAAAACCAATCTGACGTAATTCCTCGAAATCCGCAATGTTCTAGCTTAATTAATAGAATGTTATAATTCACTGTATCAAATGATTTCTGTAGATCAATAAATTTTCCACAGCCAATTTGTTTATTGTCTAGTGAATTTTAATGGATATTTTTTAGCTTTTTGAGTATTTGAGCTCTGATACACGTCATTTTTTAATTTTGCTGGCACTCAGGGTATGACATTGGGGGTTCAGCCCCCGAGTAGTTCACCATTACACCCCACCACGACGATATCGGTGTAAGTATAGACTGTTTGAACAGTTATTCTTAAAAGTGAACACCTCTTAAAAATACACCTATTGTAAGGCAAACTTTGTTTTTCTTTCTGCACATCATTTTTCAATCGTTGAACTTTCTTCTAACTGAGTCGTGTTTATGCTTCCAGAGAAAGATTGTCAACTCTATTTTACTAAAGCCAGATAAATTTTGCTGCGGTGCGTGCCTGGATGATCAATGTTTAATTGTTGTTAATGTTGTTCTCAATTCATAATCAAAATGTAACAAAATTTTTTAGGATATATTGTCTTTTCTTCAAATTTTTATCTGAAGCTGGCAATGTTCTTGCGTTGTTCTCTTTTTAAGAAATCGAGACTCGGCCTAAAAAGTTTGTATACCGTCTTTCAACAAGACAGACAGTGAATAATAAGAATAATATCCCATGAGTTTACCTAAACCCCCCATCAAATCAAACCCCCTCGCCCTGCTTTCCTCTGGTTTAAGGTAGGCTACTGGTCCAAAAATTGCAATTTTCCGTCAAAATTCGCATTTTTTGTTTTCGCTTTAAATCAATTCTTTATTTACTAGAGGATAGAACTGCAAACTTATTTGGCTCGAATCGTGACAGAAAAGGTGTAAATTTATGTCTAAAGCTGATCGGGATCCGTCAAACTAGCTACATTCAGCTGATTTTTTCTTTAGAAAGTTGTTTTCGAAGTGCAATTTTCAGAGTATGTCCCTCCTGCAACACAGGCAAACTATACACCAATTTGAAGCTCATTTCAAGCTTGTTCCGATCCTTGTATTGTTTAGAAAGTTTGAGCTACCTGTGGTAAGAAGTAAGCCTCGTTCGTTTATGTACTTTAGCAACTAGAGGCTGGTTCTATATGACGTCAGTTTATCTACGAAAGGTGATTGGCTAACGGATTGAAAAGGTCTTTCCGATTGGTTTATCTGTGTCACATGCTCTTCAAAATGGTGGCTCCAGGGATCTCGCAGCAGCCTAGTTCGTTTAGAATTGCCAAAGTAGGATTGATTTTGAAATAAAACTTGTTATTTTTGCAATAATTATGGGCAAGACAAAGTTTAGGACAAAGAGAGGTTACGTTGGAGGTTGAAGAAAGAGGATTGAAAGAAATTTAACTGCAGAAGAAGCTGGCGCTGTAGTTATGTCGGTATCAGGAAGGAACAGCACCTAGCAGACTTGTCTTCCAGTGCTAAGAAACAACAAGTATTTGGAGTTAACATGAACATCGATTCCTCGGTAAAGAATGATGACTGCACTGTTGAGAAGCCAGAAGATTGCTAGGTAATCGTACAGAAGGTTGCTGTAAATGAGTCGATAAGCTCACTTCTGTGGCCTATATGTAACAACTCTGGACTAACTTTTCATATTGAAAATAATAATGGATGTGGATTTTCAGCAAACGGAGTTATATTTTGCCAGACTTGTGAAACATCAGGAGGTATCTGATGATTGGAAAGAAAAACTTTGATGGGACAGCTGGTGCAATGGAGGTAGCTTGTGCAAAAAATCTGTTGTCAAGGTCAGTGCAAAAATGTAGATACAGATATACAACTATGCTTTGTGATGGTGACAGCAAGGCATTTTCTGCTGTTAGAAAACCAACTCCATATGGCCCTGATATTAAAATAGAAAAGGAAGACTGCATAAATCATGTCTCAAAGAGAATGGGATCTGCCTTGAGGAATCTAGTGGCTGAGTCAAAAGCACAAAAAGCCAGTTTCTGGAAAAGGAAAACTAACTCAAGAAAAGATGCTAAAGATTCAAAATTATTACAGGCAGGTGTGTAAGGAACAAAACTCAGAATCCAAATGAGTAACTGCATAACATTATTTGGAGACTTTGCCCAAAAACTACCTTTGTTGGAAGAAGAACATTGAAAACTGCAGTCATGTTGGCAATTTCTCAGTTCACAATGGGTGCGACATTCAAAGTTGTTCTCTGCCAAGCTCTAAGTCTCACTCCAGGGTCAACTTTAGAACTATCAGCAGCAAAAAAAGACCAAGAAAGGATTAAAAAGGCAGAGTTAGCTGTCAAAAGAGAAACAAAGAAAAAAGGAAGGAGCCTGAAGTATAAAAAAGACAACAGAGCATAAAAGGATAGTGCAAGAAGGCGAACAATATGCTTCCGAAAATATAATGCTTAAAAATATTAAATTATATGGTTAAAATTAGTTATTTATTAAATGTTATATGTTATTTCTGATTGAATTTCAAGTAAAGGGACATTTGTATTGAAGAAAGTTGAAAACATACCAATTCTAGTTTGCTACCTCTTGAAACATTACTCTTAAAACTTTAATCAGCATTTTCTAAGAATAGTGATTTCGGAAAACTGGTAGAGTTTAATGCAAAGAAATATTTTACCCCCTGAATATAACAAAACATGTCTATATACCAGAAGAAACCTTATACTTCAGACAGTGCACATAAGGTCTTCTTTTTTACATTAGGTAACCGTTTGTCTCATGATTGGACTGGAAAAGGAGAGATTTATAGCCATAAAACGTGAAATTTTGTAAAATGTGTAACAAAAAAGTATAAAATTTGAAAATTAAAATTTAAAGACCTTTTGTGCACTCCTCAGAGTCAAAGCAACTGTTTGATGTATCATTTTGGCTTGTATGATTAACTACAACTAAGAATAGCTTGCACTAAGCAATGCATGTTTTTCCCCATTCATTACCGGTTACCATAGCAACTACAAGTTATTTTAAGATTTTTATTGCATTTTTGTAAAAAGGGCAAAAAGTTACCCCAGGACCCCAAATTTTAACAGTGTAGCACTACAAACAAAGATTTTAGAATTTGGACCAGTAGCCTACCTTAACATCATTTCTTTTGGCCTCTTTTGGATGAAATGATACGACCTTGGGCCTCGTTGTCAGCTCCGCTCCTTGCTGCTGGAAAGTGACCAGAAGGAAATTGTTTTGCCAGAGCAGGAAGTTAATTTAACTTTCCATATGACCGGAAAACACCGTTTTTCAAACGTCCATTAAGTCAGTGTATGTATTTTAAAATTTTTATTTTCAAGAAAGTATTTGCTTCTACTTGTTGGCGAATAAAATATCTAATGTGGACCAACACAACGGCTCTTGCTCTTCTGTTCCCATGTGCGATTGTTTTTATCATTCTGTATTCATTTCGATTAATGATTTGTCTGCTAAAAACATACACGAAGCTGTTTCAGCTGGCGTTGTGGATGTTTATCTTCCTGGGTTTGCAAAGCACTGCAGTTCTGCATACATTGCAAGTAGCTTGTCTTGACATGCTTGAATGAAAACGAATTGTTACCACGCCCCATTGTCAATAGTTACAATAACCACATTATTACCGCATCATTGAACCCATTTTTGTCTTTCCGGGATCCTCATTTCAAATAAAATGGCTACTGTCATCCTTTAAAACTGACACAATCCAGCTTTAGAGGCTTTCTTGGCTTAACAAAGCTATACACAATGATGCAAAACAGATTTAAGGTAGGCATTTGTTCGGGAAAATTCCCTACTGTCATTTTTAGTAGCCTCTTCTGTAAACTTATATTTTGTTTCTAAAACTGAACGTTTCATCCAGTAATGATATTTTATACCATTAAGATTAATGAAAGTCAAGTTTTGCAAAGGGGATGTTATAATTTCTCAATGTTTTAGAAATTATTTATTGTTTTCAATACACTCTTTTCTAAGAACTAGAGAATTTAAGTTCAGGCTGACCGTTTTTAATTTTTTCAAAAGTCTGAGACTGGATTCTGCTTAATTTGTTCTTAAATTAAGAGGATGTAAGCAATGTGATTGCTAGCTGTTTGATCTAAGGAGGTGTTTAGGCCTCATTTGCCAACAAAGTGAGTGATAGCAACCTTCATTTGCCCACAAGTTTCAATATTCACCGAAAAAGCACCCACACATTGCTAAAAATCCACATTTTTGGGATTGGAAATGTTGTTCAAAATTGTATTTCACAGTAGCTCAGCCTCAGCTTGCTCTTAATTTGTTCTGAACTTTCGACCAATTTTGAGGCTTGTGTTCTTATAAAATTGTTCTTATAAGAAGGAAGTGTAGGGTGTATGTATCAATGCTTGCATTTTTCTCAATTCACTGCCCCAAGGAATTTTTTTATAATTTGCTGCTCCTATCATAGACCAATCCCATTCTTATGAGAAGAAACAAACTTTGGAGGCAGGATGATATTACAAACAATTTAAAGTTTTCTCAGTCAGTAATTTGATAACCTGTAAAGGCGATAAGGCGATAACTAAATACGATATGAAATGAAAATGTTTACTGTAAAGGTGATTAGGTGTGTGATCGGTGCCTATTTGTGAGATGCTATCGCACACCTTATCGAGAATGGTCTGAGATAAGACGACTGGTTTTTAAAAATTTAAGCCACATTGTTTCATACCTTTTTAACACATGACATTCTTATGCTTATTCATAAGTTTCTAAAATGGGAGTATGTTCTGTGAGGTAGTCATTAGTGACTTGAATATAAAAAGACCAAGTTGTTAAAGGTGAATAAGGGTTTGTCAATATTGAGTCTCTATTAATCAATCTATCTTTGTTTCTTTTTTGTTAGTCCATCACAGCAAATATGTCAGCTGCTAAGAGGCCTGTGGCTTCTCTAGACAGAAGAGAAAGACAGATCGACAAGCCTCCACTTTTAAACGGAGAAACAATTTTAGCAGAGGCTCAGTCAGTGCTGAAATACAACAAGATGTCAAAAAGAGGTTCTGGGGTTATGGGTAGCCTATATATTACAAATTTCAAGCTAGCATTCATGATGACAAAGATTGAGAGTACTTCTAGTTTGAACCAGAGAATGATGCAATTATCTTGCAGAGCTCTTGATGATCTTCTGGTTTATGATGAATCTTCCTCTGACAGTGAATTTATACCACTAACGAGCATCAGCTATTTAACAGCAATATCTACTGTAAAACAGGTGTCTAAAAGGCTAACACCAGGCAAAGTACCGTCAAAAAAATATGATATAATTGAGATTTCATGTAAAGATTTTCGTGTAGTACAATTTGACTTTTCTTTGTGTCGTGATAAGGAAAGGGCAGCAGTTATTAACACTATTCATGTGTATTCATCTCCAACTAGTCTTTACAAGTTGTTTGCATTTGATTATGCAAGAGGTGCAAACAATGCTGCAAAAGCCTCAGCAAGGGGAAGAGCATTTCATACATTCAGGCATGAAAAGGACTTAGAGCTTGAATTAGCAAGGCTACGGGCTCAAGAACATTGGAGAATAAGCAGAGTTAATGAAGATTTTGCTTTGTGCAAGACTTTGCCAGAGCTAAACTTGGTTCCATCAAGTCTTGATGATGACACACTGAAATCAGTTTCTGGGTTTTACGTGGATGGCAGGTTTCCAACATTAGTGTGGCATAGCAGAGAGACTGGAGCTGCACTGCTAAGCAGCTCAGCACCTAGGTAGCTATTTCATGTGCAACTTTTTTCCCCTTAATATATAGTAACGCTTGAAACCGCCAAAACTCAGTCAGTGCATGCTGAATACAATACAATACAATTCTTGCCAAAATTGCTGGAGCACAATACAAAATTTTTACAGTTTTGCAAAGCGGTCTCCTCTTCTGCAGATTACAATGTTGCCAAAATTCAAACATTTATTGTTGTTGTGAGAAACTGACTAGTTTTAGATGTACAAACATATTTAATTATTGATTAATCTTGAGCTCAGCAAGAGGAAAATTTTGTGACTGCATTGATACATTTAGTGGCTTATCATGACAAGTGCACAATACCTATAATGTGAATGGCTTCAATGGAATAAAGATCTTCTAAATGACATTGTTTTGTCTTGAGTTGTTTGTAAATGCTCCCCGCATGAAAGGTTCATTTCAATCCTGAATGTTTCTGGTTCTTTCATATCAGTACACAGTTTTACTAATAATTTGATTTTCTGATTTTCTCATACTCTGATTGTCAGCCAAATGGGATTCATGAATGGGCAGTCAACTCATTTAGCTTCATAATTTAAATCATCTCAATTTTGCCCACTCTTTTTCAGTGACCAAGAAGATGTGAATGGTGGGCATTCACAAAAGATCATTCAAGGAATTTGTGATGGGCTTTTTGGTACAGCCATGAAAGTACCTATTGTTGTGGATGCATCCTTGCTATTTCCGTCACTGAAAGAGCTCCAAGCTAGCTACTGTGAATTGTTTGGTAGCAGCCTTTATCACACAAGCAAAGACTACTGGGCATCTGATAGCACTTGGCTTAGCAAGGTGGACAACTCAAGGTACCTGATTGCTTTTCCTTCTGTACTCAAAGTCTTCATTAAGAACCCATACCATTCAATTGGTACTAGCCTCTTATCATGGCTTAGAGCCTTTGTCCTATTGTAACACTTTTATACAATGTGGGTCTCTTAACTAAGGTTGTGGATTTGGTCATTGTTCATTGAAGATATTTGTATTTGAAATCTCTTTTTGAGTTCCCACTCTTATTTACTTAGATGCATAAGTTTCCTCTTCAGTCTTGTATGAATCAGCAAAACCAAGCATTTTTATATGAAGGGTTATGTTTAAGATTTGCTTCAAGCTGTGAAAGAATTTCTGAGTAAGCAAAGTTGGAAATTGGCATAAATTACAGTGTGTCACAATTTTTAGCTTTTCTTTGTTATATTATTGTTCATTGTTGCTGAATTTATGAAGCAATTTGAAGATGGTTTATTAAAAAATCAACTTTTTCCCCTTGATATTTCTTTTATGGGGGTGTAATTACATTGTCTCGTGGTAAGGAGGCAGACATTTACAGGAGCCAGACCTTTACATGAGCCTCGCAGATAAGGTAGCCAAAATGGAATGCTCTTTAATCAGAATTGTAATTCTATTATTTTAACTTGTTAAAACCCATCCTATCAGACGTAACAGTGATTGAATTTGATCAGAATATGAGACAAAACTTGATGCTTCTTCATACTATAACTAGCAATATATTCGTTTAGGTATTTTACTTAAATGGTTTCAGGTACAACCGAGTAATTTTTTAACAATCCGGATTTAGAATCACCAATTTTCTTATTTTAAAGACAGGGCTGGAGACTTGTCTTTTATAAACACTAATTTAGTGCCAACCTCGGAGAAGATTTAGGTAGAGCCTCCTTCCTGGGAATATTTGGCACATTTTGGAATGCTGCACGTAGCTGTACCGTTTTGGGGGGCCTTTAAATTTTGTTTAAAAGAATGTTATGCATCTCTCAAACTAAGCTTTATTTGAATAATTTCAATTGAAATGGAATGAGCCATAAATAGCAAATCGTTTTTTTAGATTTGACAGTCATCAGAATCTTGGTTAACCAATAGATATCAGATGTGCCTACAATAACTCTTAAACGTTTAAGAAAGTAAATTTTTAATGCTGGGCCTTGTGTTATCTTTTAATTTGATTTGCAGCCCTATGCTATCTATCAATTTGTTATCAGTATTCAGTGCTACAAGTTTATTGAATTTCGTAGTTTCGCATTTGCTTCTAACTCCTCTTATCTCATTCTGCAGGTGGTTGCAATACGTACAAACTGCGCTTACAGCCGCTTCCGAAATCGCCAACTCATTGTTAATTGGACAGACATCAGTTATAGTACATGATTTATCTGGGCGTGACTTTACACCCTTGCTTGTTTCCTTGGTTCAGCTACTGGTGGATCCATATTATCGAACCGTTATAGGGCTGGAATCTTTAATCCAAAAGGAATGGGTCGTAAAAGGTCATCCGTTTTCTCAGAGGCTAGGTCCAATCAAAGAAGCGACAAAGAGCCCCAAGAACATGATTTTTTATAGAGACGAATATGTTTTAGATACAAACGAGTCTCCTATATTCATTCTGTTTTTGGACTGTGTGCATCAGCTGCTAACCCAGTTTCCGTCACGTTTTGGTTTTACGGAACAGTTTCTCTTGCTGTTAATTGACGGCGTCTACATGTGTCTGTTCGAGACTTTTCTCTTTGACACAGAATACGACAGAAAGAAGTTTAACAGCAATGCTTTAGAATCTCTTTGGGATTTCTTGGCAACCAAAATTCCCCCAGAAAAATTCAAGACTCTGTTTTTAAACCAGTTCTATAATATCGACAAGAACACGACACAGAACTATTACAGTTTATGAATGAATCAGAAAGCCTCGTTCAAGATCTACAGCTGGCAAGCTCCAATGAGCTGATGACATCGTTTAACATGAACTCGATTTCCAAGTCACCTAGAAAGTCGCGGAAACACCGGAAAGCGAGCCAGGCGCCACCCTCCATCGGAAAACAGTACCAGTCCGCAAATGATCCGAATGTGTTTGTTATCAACCCGGACTCTTCAAGCATTCATGTTGAGTTATGGTACGAGTACTTCTTACGATGGGCACCGACATCGGACCTCAGCAAAGGTTCCAGCTGCGGTTTCTCACAGTATCTCCAGCAAATGGAGCTTTTAGAAGAGATGAAATATCTTGAAGACCGGTTAGAGCACCTTCGGGCGAAAAGCATCGAGATGGATTCATGTGAAAACAGCGAAGAAAGTCCCACTAAACATAAACAATTGACAGTTAGAAGGTCAAGAAAAGGACTTAAGAAGTTCACTGAAGAAAGTTATGATCAATTGATCTGTCATTTCATGCTTTGCAAATTAATACATCCAGCCGTGGATAACACACAGTTATGAAAATTCAACTATCTAAGTGAATTCATGTCAGTAGTTGCGCTGGGCGTTTGTAGATAATAATGATTAATTATTATATATATATCTTAGTAAAAGTCATTTAATAGTCCTGACATGCACGATAATTGAATTGAGACATTGCTGCAGGGAAAAACACATCTATTTGGAAAGTAAGAATTCCTCTAAACTCGTGATTTTATGCAATAATAAATACACTTTTGATGGTACTAAACGTGAAAATGGCTTTGAAAGGTGTTACAAAACTTACCAATGGCGTCTGAAGAGTTTCAGATGAAAATCTTCAGTATGACCCAATATGTTTGCTTTTTTCAAAGCCATAAATTAATACGCTTCTTTTCAAGGTATACTTCTCCCCTTCGATTTCCCAATCAATTAACGGCTTTCTTTCAAATATTTATTTCCGGTAGATTGCCTTAACTCAAGTCTGTTTTCAATAGATGTTTTTTCACCTACACCCCTCAGTAATGTCATACTGAGCCGAATGTTGGTTGGAGCTGATTTGTTCCGTTTGGGCAACATTTTAACCCATGCTGCTTGCAGCTAAGAGCCATGCAATCTTCCTACCCCTAACCATAGCTATACTGACTAACTGATCTCTTATCTATCTTTGAGCTATTGATTTCTTTAAGCAATATTTGTTGATATCGATTCTACTTTAGAGCATTTATGATTTTGATTATGTCTTGGCAATGAATCTTTATTTTAACTAGCTTTTTTATGTAAAATAATTTTATTTAAGATATTCAGCCTGTTTATTGGCCGTTTAGTTAAGAACCTACTTGTCGTCTTTTTTTAAAGATGAAACAAAAATGGTGTGTTTTTAAAGGCGCAAAGATAGAGTATATTTTTAACTTGCTTTCTTTTTCAGAATTTAACAGTATCTTAAATGTGATATTTAATACCTATTCAACAATCTGTTGGCTGCTTCATTAATGCGAGTTTGATATTTTGAAGGTCAATTTCGTGGGGCTTTTCAAATGTGCTAAAGAGGGGGAAAATAGCTCCTTGATACTAAGTGACAATGGCCAACGGTCCTTTTTACAGAAATAATGGCTTGGCCACACCAGTTGAAAACCCATAAAAAGGCCATGTATCCTATTACCTCTAAAAATCTTCTACCCTCGAAAAAGCGCTCTCTTCGAAAAAGAGCCCCCTCAAAGCCAACAAAATTTTAAATGCACCTTCAACATTTTTCTTCAACGCAGTCGTGGAAAAAATTCTGGTCGAATTTTTGCGTCATATGCGGCAAGATCAATGTGGGGTGGAGGGGGCTCAGCCCCTTTTAAGATCAAGAGAGATTTTCGGGGGCTCAGCCCTCCTTAAGAACCCAGTTTGTGTTTTAAAAGCAAACACTAATACAGTTAAATAACGTCTTGATACGCGAAAGAAAGATATTTTCGTCGCTACAACAACAGCATCTCCCACAATGCATTGAGAAGTTGCCCTCTTGAAACCTAGCAACAAAAAGCGCCAAAGATGGCGATGTGTGTTTGCAAATCAATTCTGCAAAAACCTTGCTGAGACTTCTGCAATTAGACAAACTAACTGTAAATATCACGCAACACAAAAAAGGCTTTTTATGTCAAGCCGATCATGGATGTTCAGGTTTGTCGATAATTCTATCTACGGCCAACCGCAGTGGTAAAATCACCAGCTTAACTTTAGGCCATTTTTATGGCTGGAGATTAGTCGTCGGATTTCAAACTGGTTTTATACGAACAGGATTATAATCAGCGATTACAACTTTTTGTTAATTTTTTAATATGAAAGCCCAGAAAACAGACTTTTCATTGGGACTACTTTGGCTTGTTTAGTCTTTGGTGAGCAATTATACGTGACGCTCCTCGGTAAATATAAAAAGCTAAAATTGCACATTCGACAAGACGCTTGCTCCTGTTTTTAATTAAGGATGAAAACATAACTTTACATCGTTTCCAGGCCTTAATAGATGTCACGGAAACACTAGATAGTTTTGCACAATTTACAACATATAATTGCATAAAGATAATTGTCTGTTTATGTTCCAAAAGTAAGGCGGATTAAAAGAAGGCCGTTTTCTGATATTTTTTATTCATGATTCTTTCCAGGGAAAAAATGGTCACAAAAGCAAAGAAAAACTAAACAGCACGCAAGTCAGGTTCCTTCCAAGTCTACCAACGGTGAGTTTTTGACTTAGAAAAAACAAATGGCTTCTTTTAAACCTTTTCAATTGCACAGAATTTTAAACATTTGCAATTTCCTTAAATTTGTTATTGGTTTACGCAATGCCGTGTCAAGGGTATTTCATGGAAACATCTCAGCTAAAAAGAGCAAAATGAATTCTTTTTAATGATTTTGTTATTATAGTGAAAATTGTTTTATAAAGGCATAACAATTTATGATTCTAATACATGATATTTTTTACCAACATTTTCTTTTTAATTTATAATTATGTAGAATGGCCATTCTAAGAAATTTTGATAAAGTTGGAGAACATGTATTACACATCCCTTGTAATTCTTACATGCTTGCTTTTAATTGTATTTTTTATTGTTTTACAGACGAGAACTAAACCTACTTGGCAGCAGTCAGCACCACCTTTCAAACTTGAACAGTCAACAAAGATCGAGGAAGTAATTCCAGTCTCAGGTAAATTTATTAAATTTATCTGAATTAATAGAGTTTTATATAAATATTTGTGCTCAGATTATGGCCAACAATTTTATCTTGAATTACTTTGGCTCAATATTACATTTTTATAAATTTAGAAATGATCACTTTTGGTTTTCATAATAGGCTGTTGCACATAATTTCATTGTTTCTGCATGTAGCATCAAATTAATCTAAAATGTTCTGTCAATTGCAAATATTCCGTTGCTTTTCTAAACCTGAAAATCGAGGGCTAAGGATTTGTTTAGTCTATCATCTTTAAAGTAGATCTGGATTATCTAAAGACTTAACATTATTCAAACAGCATCATATTTGTGCCAAGGTAGCTAAATTTATGTATTTTCCTCTTTATATTTTGTGTTTGTGCTATCTGTATTATGATCCATTATTAACCCTACATCCACCTAACTAGCTGTTGACCTTCATAATGTTTTCTACCCTACTTTTGAAGGAAGTACAAGGAGACCAAAACGAGCTCATTCTAAATCATGGGATGTTTCCAGCTCAAGTGGAAAAATTAGTCCAGGTCATATAGGATCAAACAATGGGAATGGGAGAAGAACTGTCAATTATCCAAGCAGAGACAGAGAAGCTTTTCGACAAGCTCTTGTCAATATCATCATGTAAGTCTTTAGTGCATGCAACTTTACCACTGGTTGGCACTGTGCAGAAGTACACAGTTATGCATTTCATTAGCATTTTGTAACCTTATTTCTACTTTCAGAGTTTCATTTATAAGAACTTTATTGTTTTGTGTTAAAGAAAATTTCTCTTTTTTATACTATTAGTACACCCCTTTTGTTGATCATTTTGTAAATGGTTTTTATCTTATGAGCCAATGTATGTAGAATTTATTAACACAGTTTCATTTCATATCTCAGGCAAACAGATTCACCAACTGGTCCGCCAAAACTGCCCCCTATGGGGGAAGAGGATGCCTCTAGGTCTGAATCACCAACTCCTGCTGAGAAGGATATTTTGGTTAGCAACCTCATTTAGTTATATCAAATGCCTGCAGACTTTAGATGGCCTACTTTTAGTTAGTCATTATCTTAACATGCAAAGATGAAAATATGACCGTGTCACTACTCTGTGGATGGTTTATGAATATATATGTTTGCAATAAATTTTCCAAATACTGTTGCCTGTGGAACCTGGAAAAAAGTACCACACATAACTGATCTCATGCTAAAGATCTTAATCTGCTTAATAAAAGCATACTGCAAATATTTTGCATGTTTGTATATTATCAGTAAAACTTTTATAGCAACTGGCTAGGATTAACCAAGGTCTTTGTTTAATACTCTCAATTATCTTTAAAATTACAAGACCACTGATACCATTTAACATTATCCTATCTTCTAAGGTGGTATATGATAGTAGTTACAATAATGGTGCTCAAAGCTATTTATGCTACTGATTTATTTTTGCAACAGAGGTATTACTATTATATACATCATGGTATTGACACAGAGCATGTTGCCCCCATGGAAGATTCCTGGCTTGACCATGTCATGTTCATGGTGCCAGATAGGCTCAAGGTTTGTTCTTGTTATTTGATCCATAGATATTATAACTTAACTTTGATTTGGTTTAAATGTTATGATTAAGGCTGTTCACCGAAGGTCAAATAATCAGTATTCGGTTACCTGTTTCACTATTCGGTTAGCTGAAGCCCGAAGGGAATACTCAGTTACAAACAAATAGTTCAAATAGTATGATTACTTGGTAAACGATGAGTGCGAATAACCTCACTGTTTGAGGTAATAATGGTTGTTGAAATAACCTTGACTGATCGAATAGCTTTAACTATTCAAATAATAGTGACTATTCGAATAATCGTGACTGATCAAATGGCAATGACTGATCGAATAGCAATGACTGATTGAATAGCGTTGACTGGTCGAATCAGGAGACGTTTATGGATACGGGCCTTCTTCAAACATTGCAAACCTAGGGATAACAAAGCCAATAAAGCAATATTGGAAGGGGGCAGGGGGAGTGGAGCGTGGCTAGCGGGTGGTGGGGGTCAGGGGGGTTTTCCTCTGAAAGTTTTGTGCCATAAAGCGTGTTCACTTTTCAAAATGCTGGCAAACAACCCTTTTTGAAAACTAGTTGTAATAAAGTTATAACGTTGTTTTCACATTAATTTGATAGTGACTGTAGCCTTTCTGGCCATTGGGGGCAACTAGTGCTAGGGAAGGATTGAAAAGACATTTGACAAAAGAATCGTTTTGAAAAATTCCTATGCAGCACACAGGGAATATCAATAGGACCCAATAGAAAAACAAAAATCTAATAGTTCTGACTTATCGAATAGTTATGACTGATTAGCTGTTGTTTATTTTCATCAAATTACAATAATTTTTCAGATTGCAGTTTATGACCTCACTCTGCCACACCCATTTGGTCACACCCATATTTGCTGAATAAACCAATATTCGTTAAATTCTAAACCAAATAATCGAATAGGAATATCCAAAGGTTTGGACAGCCCTAGTTATGATATTATATAAAATGATTTAACATACTTTACTATAGTGTGCTATAATATAATATAATATAATATAATATAATATAATATAATATAATATAATATAATATAATATAATATATATATATATAAATAATATAATATAATAATAATATAAATAATATAAAATATATATAAATATAATATAATATAATATAATATAATAAATATATATAATATAATAATATAATAAATAATATAATTATATATAATATTATATAATATATATAATATTATATAATATAAAATGATACAATGTAATATAATATGATATGATATGATATTGAATTATGTAATATAGTATGAAACAATATCATATTATTTAATATTTATATACTATTATACACTATTATATAATATCATACATTTTTATTTGATATATAGGATAAGGTCATATCATATTTTCTTATTTCATAGATTTTGTACTTTTGTTTTGATATGTAATGAAATGTTTCTCTCTACCTATCATGTTTAGATATGCAACCCTAATTTATCGTCAATTTTTTATATTTTAGGCTGGTCTAGATGACTATATAGAAAATCTTTCAGATGAGATGAGAGAGGATTACTTATTGAGTGTTAAAAAAGCCATTGGTAAATCTATTTAAATGCTTTTAATTTCAATATTTTTGTGCATTTAGCAATTAAGAATCCTTGTGTCTTTTAGCAAGGAATTAGCATTCTAATGAATAGTCTATCATTCTGTATTCTTTTGGTATATTTATTCCTTTTAAACTGTGCTTTTCCTTTTCTCTTTTTCCACTCTTTTGCTATCTTTTGTCACCTTAAACTTTGGAGCATCCAATAGACCTTTGTAACTCCATTTCAATGGAACTCCATTCTTCTTTCAGCTCTCATCTTAATTTCATATTCACGAAATGTATGTGAAATGTACGTGTTTCATTTTTTCAGTCGACTTTGTGCTGAGAGATCCAAGAGATAAAGATGAAGAAAAAGAAGAAGAAACGCTTCCTCACAGAATCGAGTATGCTACAGCTCAGAATGATCCTATGTTACTCACTAGCTCTTACTTGCAACCAAAACTTTACATTCTCCATCATAAAGAACGCGTTTTTGTCCAAAAATTATTGTATTGGCTTCCCTTTTAAAAGATTCTCCCAATATTTGGCACCTCTAAAGAAAAAAGAATAATTTTTTTCCAAACTTGTTTCCTCCAGTTAAGTCCTTGTAAAAACAACCTTCAGACAACGGACACCTCCCTACAGAAAAGACCTACCCGACATTGGACACCTCTCTTCAACGGAAGCCTTCCAACAGCGTACAGATCCCTTTAACCGACCCCTCCCTTTAGAGGGTATTTCTCTACAGCAAATACCACCATACAACGGACAGTTCCCTACAAATGAACCCCTCCCAACAAAAGACAGCTTCCCAGAACGGCCACCGTTGTTTAAAAGACACCTCTTTTCAACGGGCACCTCTCTAAAATAGACCCCTTAGTATATTCCAGTCCAATATGTGTCTGCTATATGGATGTATCACTTGATATTATCGTTTGTCGATGATCAAAGCTCATATTCTAGATTGATGCAAGTACCAAAGCCTTGGAAAAAGACATTCTACATTACATGTTCTGTCATGGAGGAAGATCTCTTTGTCACAAACCCAACTATGTCTGGTGTTCTAGACTTGTGGCACAGATCCTTCGGGTAAATTATTTAAACATGCAAGATAATTTTCAAATTTTAGGAATTATATTATTTATCAATGCTTAGTTTGCTTCATATGCGCATATTAACCCCTTTCTTTGTGAGCTACAGGTTTCCAAAATATATAGGTGACTCTCAAGATCTAAGCATTACCATGTTTGTTATTTTGTGACATCTGAAGTGCAAATAACACTTTTCATAGAGAGCTGTATTTGAAGAATTTTTAATTTCTATCTTTAGGGATCTTTGCCTCGTAAATGCTCCTGACGTGTTATCAAGACCGGAAGCGATGGAACTGGCGTTCTTTCAAAACCTTATGATGCGACACATTGAAATGGCAAAAGATACCTTATTAAAAAAGTAATTTTACTCTGGTTTTATCAGGTCTTCTCTAATTTGAGATAAAGCTCTAAAAATGTTTAATTTGCGCTTCTACCGCTGAGCTCTTGGAGAAAGTTGAATTTTTTGGAAAGATTCATTTCTGTTTCATTGATACTAAAGAATATTTTTTTAAGTTTTGACGCATTAATTTAAAAGAGACTTTTTTTCGGGATTTTTATTTTCCAAACTCAAGAATCCTTCGGTTTTGCAGCAGAGAATTGCTGTACATATTTTGAAGAAAACAGGCGTAAAACGCAGTCACAAAAACCAGAAAGCATATGCGACATTTCTATAAATCTACACATGGAATGGGTTTTGCTTTGTTCCTAAAATATTGATTGTCGTTGATGTAATTGTTAACAGCCTCTTACTGGGATATAGACTTTTCAAAAAAATTGTCTTAAGCATGTTAATTTAATGTTTACAAAGCAGTTTAAAGAGGCACTGTAATAAATTTTAATAATAATTGTGCTATGATAAATCTTTTCTTCAAATTTTTGTGCTAAAATATACTTTCTCTCGGGGCTAAAATTGAGCGATTCTATCCTAGATGGTTTCCGGAAGTTCAGAACATTTATTATCAGGGCAACAAGAAAAGGCTTTTACCAAGCAACCAGAATGCCAAACGTCTTGAGAGCTTCTTCAATGCAGCAGGAGTGCTAATGACCAATATTTTGCAAGGACTGGCCTTGAGCTCGATTGATGCCTATGCGAAGATCTTTTGCCCCCCACCAGTGAGTTTGATAAAATGTTGCATCAAAATATTTGTACTTTTGAAACATGTGTGGTTCCTTGTGGAAGACGTGGAACTCTCCAATATTTAGTAGAATAAACCCACACAGTGCAGCCATAATAATAATCGTTATTTGTTTACTTTTCATGATTCCCAAAGATATTCAATTTCTGAATATTATTTCAACAGACGTCAAAAGTTTGTTTTCTAGTTGATTCTTTGCAAAACTTTTCTTGACATTCAAGACTTGAAAGCGGTTGGAACATGATTACAAAAAATGTAAAGAAAAAGCTAATCTTGGAATCTAACCAACAAAACTTGATAATTTTTAGCCTCATATTGTCCTGATCTTTAACTCAAGTTGGTGTTGTTTAGCAAAATTAATATTTATGCCATTGATATGTATGAACGTTTTCTTCCATGTTTTTGTATGATTCGAATACTATGTTACTACCATTTTTATAGAAAATTTTTATATCTTGAGGTATTTTAAATTTAAAGTTTAAAAATTTTTTGAATATTTTTGGGACATTTTATGCTATCTAGTGATATCCTGAAAAAACTTCCAGTTGAGGTCCAAAGTATTTATACCCAGCACTTTTACCTCATTTTTCTCCATTAGTTAATTTGTAGATTTTCTGATAATTGTAGCAAACGTTTTATTTAGACTTCCGTAAATGTGTACGAGCATCCAGGCTTTGTTTTGCGGCTGGTCGTGGAAGAAGACACTATCAAGTTTGAACCTGATTTCAAAGATTTCACAGTAAGTCAAACCGGACTCATTTCATTATTTATATCGCTAAGAGCCTCTTTACCAAACCAAAGCACTTAAAAATGCATAGGATCTTGTCATTTTTCTAAATGCTTTTCACGAATCACGCTTTATCGCATAACCATCAGTCAAAATTCTAAACATAGCCATTAAGCCTTCGGTAATGAAGATTTTGCGTCATCTGTTAATCATAGACTTGTCTTCAGTCCACGCCGTTCTCACATTCATCTATTGCATTATTCGCAGTTCTTGAAAAGGCTTCGTGAGCCACATGGATAAGCTGAGAATCAGGTTCACATGACAAGCTTTACTGGTTATTCTTTTATCATTTGCGATCATATTAGGGTAAAGCAAGTGATATTCCTTTTCCAAAGCCAATTTTAATGCTGGGAGACTTCCAGGGCTTTAGCCCCCTTTCTGTTTTTTAAGTCATTTTTCATTATATGCACGTTTTTGTATCTATCAGCTGAAGACATCCCAGTTTCATCCAAAAATCTTTTACAAGGCTTGGGTCGTCACAATATTACCTTTATGCTACTTGCTCCACTTTTGCTGTTTCTTCGAAATTTTCACCTCTTTCCCTGCCATGTAGATTTTTTATACTTAGTGAATTTACTTAGCTTGCAGTTGTAGAATTTTTCCATCAGATGCAAAATTTTGAAGTTGAGCAGTATGTAATTGGGTAAGGAAAACTTTCTCAAGCTTCTTTTACGTGTCTAAAGAATTTTGGCCAAAAGTACAGAATGCTGAATTGAGGAGAATTATTTATGATATATCTGTCTATGTTTCTAGATCGTGCTACTGAATGTGTTTGACGTCATGGTGAAGGCTGTGATGGTTGTACCTCGAGTTGAAACAAAACTTTACTCTGAATGGGTAGGTTAAATATTGGCAGGGAAAATTGGATGCAAACAAAACCAATTTTCTTCCAAATGCAATATTGGGTCAGATTTTTCTTCTTGTTTGATCTTTGGTATTATATTATTTTTATATAATCCTGGATTTGAGCGCATAAGAACTTCCATAAAGTCGTTAAGATGTTTAACAAAGTCGATAATGCAGAGGTATTGTCAATATCGCCTTTGTTTTTCGTAATGATACTCACAGGAAGAGAGTACTTTTTTCAATCGAAATTTAAAGTCGATGAATCGATGACATGAAATTTAGGAATCAGTTAATTGCGGCAGATTTTCACGGAAAAGGAGTTTTTTATTGACTTAAAATAAGATATTCCATTAAAGAAACAAGGCTTGGATTGCTTGATTAATTCCCTTTCCTATCGCAAATGTTCTTAAACATTTTCTTAACTTATTTTGCAATGTCAATTGAGTAGCAAAGAAATTAAAGGTCATTGCTGTTAACAGAACGGAGGTCACAGATCTTATGACATAAAATTTCAAGTTTTTGAAAAATTGTTCAGTCATATTTGACCTGATATGAATTTTTATCTTTGCTAACGTCTAGAATATCGAGGAAGAGAAGGAAATCGTTCAGCGTAGGAGAAGGTTTTGCAAACTCCTTCGCAGGTTTTGCCCACTAGAAACCAATAAGTTTCCACTGCGCCAGCATTTGAGGTGAAAAATTCCTAAATCGTGTCCAAACTTCTATCGTAAAATGTTTTTAATTTTTTATTCTTTAGTCTGGGAGCAAGAAGCACCTTAAACCCGTAATCGCAGAAGAAATTGTTGAAAACTTGAAGGAAAAGGCGAGTAGCAGTGTGCTTCTAATTTTATTTGGTTCTGAATTTAAACATATTTTTTATTTCTTTTTGTTATTTATAAAGAAATGGCTGAAAATTACTTTTCATTTGGCATGCCTCTCTGCAGGAGAATTTTTCAATATTGAAAAGCTACAGGCCGCCTCCCCCTTATTGGTGGTACTGACAAGAACAGCCAAGCCAGTTACAAATAATCAAGGCTTTCTTGTTACTTCCTCCATATTCAACTAAATGATCTCTTCCCTTTACCTAACCACCGACCCTTTCCACACGTGTGCACACGAGACAAGTATCGTTCCATAATGTCACTCCTTGGTACCGTTTTGTTTTACGACTGCCGTTTTTCGATCAATGTACACTTTAAAAGAGGATATTGTCATACCTTGCTTTGTACAAAATTCGCCTTCCCATTAATACAAGAATAATATCTTAATGTGTAAGTTTTTTTCTTATCTTCAAGATTGCTTTTTTCGTAATGTTTTATTTTTCTCCTGAAGGTCAAAGAAGTCATTTTAAAAGAAAGTGTTGGCCCACAAGAGCATTTGAAGTCATATGACATATACTCTAAACTGATAACAAAACAGGTATAAACCTCAAGATTAATGCTAAGTTCTCTTTGTAATCATGGAAATTACATAGATGCTTCTTTTTAATTTCCACCTCTCTATAAGTTTAAGCATGTTTATTCGTTTTTCACTTGCATTTTAGGCTGACAAAGAGGTTGACCAGTTCTTGTTAGAGGGTCATAATTTTGCAGAGTTTGCCAAGGTACTTCATCTTATCATTCTAATTTTTCAGATGAAATTTAACGAAAATGTGGAATGAATTTATGTCTTTAGCTGCTTGAAATTTGTCCAGATTTCCTTATTTAGCTGCTAACACAGACACCTTTTTTTAGGAAGTTAAAAAGTATGGTGACCTTGTTGACGAAATTCAGTACAATTCGCAGAAGGTGAGTTATCGCCATTGCTTTTTTCTCATTCACTCACAAGGAAAATAGTTTTGGGCTATGCATAATGTATTTTTGCGGGCTTAAAGGACAAGCAATCTTTGGTCGAGAATTTTTAACTGCGTTTTTACGTCAGTAAACAAGGTTTGTAATGATTTTCTGTCTGCAGTCCTCCCGGCTAGCTTTGATTTGCTCAAAGAATTAGCCTAGATACTTGCTCATTAATTGTGTTGGCGCAATCTTGACAGCGTTAATAATAATCTTGACTGCTCAAAAATTCAAAATTCAGCGTGTTTGACTACCGACATCTGTCCGGATGAAATTTCACTTTATCTAGTGGGAAAAATTCATTTTTTATTTCTGATGATTTTGTTTTTAATTATTTCTTATAAGGTGGTTCGAATTGGGATGTATGAAGTTCACTGTGATGAACTAATACGAGGCTTATGCAAGAGGGCAGAAAATCTGCGGGGAAAGCTCCTACAAAGAATGATGAAAGACCATCAAATGTACAACAAAAGGTGCATGAAATGAAATCGTTTTTATATCACCAATTCCTGTATCAATTCTGTTGCCATGAGCTATAAACCAACCACTAGAATTGCCAATAAATCTTTCATGTGTGTTACTTACAAGTACTGAAAATAAAGCTCTGGATCTAGCAGATTGCTTGACAAAATAAAGGGTTATGTTTCTTTCCATATTGTGCCCCTGTAAAGATCATTATACTGACAAGGAATGTTGGCATTTTTAGCATTAGGTGTATTTGCGTCGAGTGCCTATAACATGGCACCGCTACGATCAAAGAAGCTTAAATTAAACAATCTTTATAGAGTTTTCTTCCGCAGTTTTTAATTTCTAGGCAATCCATTACCTACTGCAACAACCTGTTCAATGCAATATACCACCATAAAACCTAGTCAAACTTAAAACTAAACCCAACTCATATCCCCTGCCATGTTTTGTTCCTACCCGCCTTTCTGACTCTAATCCATGTTCAACGCTTTTCCTTCAGGCTTTGCGAAGAATATGAAAAGATCGCCGAGAAGGCACTGACATCACCCGCTAACACAGATCATCTCATGGAATTGAAGGTCGGAATCTTTTCGTCTATGATTTTTCCAGAAACGCACTCTAATCCTGGACTATCTTTGTTCAATATTCAAGATAAAGAATTTCAAGCAAAGAAGCTCTAGAAAAGAGCTCATGATTCTGAAAAAGTTGTCTTGAAAACAATGTGATTTGGGGCTATTAAATGCTTTTTTAATTTTGGCAGTCCTCGTGAGCTTTGTCAGTTCATTGGCCGACTGAAAGTTAATTCCCCCGACTATTTACTTTATTTTGGTCACTCAAAAACTGTCAGCCAATCAAGTGCATCAGAAGCTACTGGTTTTCTCACGTGCGCCGGAAGCACGCTTCCATGTGTGATATCTTTTTCTGAATTTTTTTAGATAAGCCTAAGCTATTATCTTGAATTGCAGGCATACATAGAGAAAGTTGAAAATGAAACTTTCTACGACTTGGAGAAAAAGCTTATGGAAGTCAAGGACAGATTGAACTTTCTGGTAACACATTTTGAAATAAATGAGAATAGTCTTGTTTAGATGTCTGCATGCAAAACAACTTTGTATTGCAAGTTATTCGTATCAGAAACAATTTTGTGTATAATCAAATAGTGCTTTTAGCTCATACAGAATGGCTGTTTCATCAACGAGTGAATACTATGCTTGCAAGTAGGCCATTGTATGCGTTTGCGAAGGTTATGGGATACTAGGCGGCCCAACCCCCCCTCCCCCATTTTTCCAAGAATTGTTTTACGACTCTTTGCAAAGTAACGAGAAATCCCCAGTATTTATACCTGCCTTTTCCAATATAAATTTCATTTGACAGTTTGTAAGTTCATGGTCTACAGTGGCTGTTACTGAACTTGAAATGAACTCTTTTCTCTCTTCTTCACTTCTGTGCAGCTTAAGGTTTAGTTCCATTAGTCCCATTACCTCATGGCTTGTCCTTTAAACGAATGTTTTCAATCGGTATTTCATTATAATCGTGAACTAATCGCTACGGAGAAAATTCGTATTAGTGTAAAGTTGACCTAGATGAAGCCATACAGGGCTTACAAGGCACAGTAACGCATAGGATTACGAACACGATACATCACGTTGCTTTAACTTCCTCACCAGGTTGATTTTTCAACATTTGCTCCAGCGGATATTCGTCTCAACAATAATGTGTTCCAATGGCACCAAAGAATGCCTGATGTTTTTGAAGAACATCGCAAAATTATCCAACAAAATAAAGTCCAGTACGAGAATGCTCTTAAGGTACAATTATGAATTTACTTTATTTATGTATCCATACCAATTTTGATTCAAATAAGCATTAAGATGCTAATCGGTGTCTGAAAACATGAATTTGACGCAAATTGATAATTGCTGTAGATTTTCTGAGAAATTTATTTTGTTTGTTTATGACTTTTATTAAACTAAGGCTCAAAAAATTCTTAAGAAATTATTCAATTGTCAGTATTTGAATAATTTATAAATCTCCGACACTGAAAAATATATCAGCCTTTGGACAAATAAGTTTGAGAAATCACAGTAAGTTTTCTAGGTAAATGGAATTAAGATGTTTTTCATTCTAGCAAAGGATTTGCAAAATTTCCAAATAAAACAACTGAAATATTATACATCAAGACCCTTTCATCGGAAGTAAAGTTTATTTCAGTTTGTTCAGTTCAGTTTAGAGCAGCTCTACCTTCATTCTGTTTGTTCATATTTAAGATGCGGCGTGAAAGGTTCGTTGAAGAGTTGGATGGATATGCAAAACAAATCGAAGAATTCCAAGTGAGTGACTTTGTGAATAGCGAAAGCGTCTTTGAAATTTGAAAAATATACCTCTGGCTTTTTGGATTGGATCAAGAAGTTTGTATTCAACGTTGTAAGGTCCTCTTCATTTAGACGTTATGAAATGTATCTTCAAAAAAATGAAAAATCCTTAGTTGTTTAAACGTTCAGTAGAAAAAGTTCATCTTCTTTCTTGAGCACGTGAGGGTTTATCGGTCGCTGATTGGTGATAACAAGGAACCAATCAAATGCTCCATTCTTTCTCTAACTTCACCTTTGAACTGCACCTGGATGTAAACTTCCGTTCATCCTTTGGGCATTTCCGATGTTTTAAGGAGAAAGAAAATTGTACTTCAATAACATACGGTATTTTCCGCAAGTAAAGTATCATGGAACGAATTTAGATTAAAATCATTCGCAACATACGAGACTCAACTATATTTCTTGAAGAAGCGCTGGTGATATCGTAGCGGGTCTATCTTGTTCCTGTAAAACTTGTTCCTATCTAAATTGAAAGTTTCCGTGCTGTATTTTAAACAATTTTCTTTCCCTTTCTTAAGACTTTTGGAGACATGAACGAAATAAACCGTTATTTGAGAAAGGCCCAGGCGTTGCAGTCCAGGCTTGAATCAGCTTTGGAGAAGGTATGTAACTTTTCCTATCATTTCTTCTTTAATGAATTATTTAAACTGATTTGTCGGCTAAGTTTGGTAGACACTTTTGAAATGAATACAAAATTTCTAGCTGTCAACCTTTCTAACTGATATATTTCAAAGTTTTGCTTGTTGGAATTTCTCTATTATCTTTTGATGTTATGAATTCTTCGTATTATATGTAATCCTGCTCTTTACATCAAGTAGCGTGTACAGCTCTGCGTATACAGTATTGAGCACTTTATGACTAGGCCATTAATGAGAGACCGGTAAACAGTAATTCTTATTACTTCCTTATATGTGATACTAGATATGATGGTTCAGTGTTCAAAATGGCTTTAGAAAGGCAAAAAATTTTAAAATACTCTTAAGATTTGTATAGAATTGAAACTAATGAATAATGCTCGATTATCCCAAGCTAGGGAATATACGTACCCTGTTGTGAAGCAAATCGGCCATTCAGAAACGCGAGCACATGGCTGTTAAGGCTGCCAAATCAGTGCCCTTTGCCTGTTGAAAATATTACAAACTGGGTGAACGCATTTCCTAGCTTAGAATTTCTGACTATTATCCTGATGTTTTACACCCTGAAGCGTATCAGATGTAAAGTTTAAGTATGTTTTAAAATGTTTGCTCATTTTCAAAGCCATTAATGGCTATGTTTGCTCATTTTCAAAGCCATTAATGGCTGTACCCCTCTTTTTGTTACTTTGATAATAGCCCTTTGGTTGATCCTGTACTGCTCTGTTTGGCATTTCAGTAATGATGTTTTTCCTGACAGATACAAGCAATCAACAACGAAGAAGAGGCATTCGAATGGGATACCACAACATACCCTCAAAGACAGCAGATTATAAACACTCTGAGCCCCTACCTCAAATTATACGAAACCACCGTCGAATTCCAAAGCAAATACAAGTGAGAAAACACATTTCACTTATAAGTTCTTCTATGTAGAAAACAACATCTTTAATACTTTAATGAAGGCTACTGTCTGCATACTTTTGTAAATTGCTCGATGTCCTTTCATAGGTAGGCTCCAAGTCAAACCTTAGAGTTTCACGCTAAGTGTGATCGAGCAAAGGCTATATACTAACTTATTTAAACAGCTTAATTTATTATCATGATCAAATTTTACTACATAGACTCTGAAGTTGCTGGCCTAGCTAATAAATACTAACATCCGCTTTATTTGGGCCTTAAAAATTGCTATTCATTTCTCCGATAAAAATCATACCTAAAGATATTTCTTCATTAAACTAAGAATGTTTTGTTTTTGCCAGGTATTTGTTTATCCTTTCGGTTTCAAAGCCTTTTTCATCAAAAAAGATCGTCTTAAAGTGACGTTTTCCGTCTTTCTATGATTTAGGGGTTTTTAATTAGATGAATTGATGTCATCTCTGCCTGTGAAAGAAGAGGAAAAATGGAAACTAGTTTTGCTTTTTCATGACTGCAACTCTCTGTTCCATAGGGAATGGATGGAAGGGCCTCTTGGAGTGGTTGATCCAGATCATGTTGAGCAAGAAACTGGAAACTTCTGGAGAAGTCTGTATAAATCAGAAAAACAGTTTAATGAAGTGCCAACTGCACAAAAAATTGCTAAAAAGGTATGACATTTGTCGTATTTTCTGTGCCACTAGACTTCTGGAAATGGTTGATGTATGACATATGATGAAAAACTTTGTTGCTGCCATGCATACCTTCTCATTTTAGCCCATTGTAATATTTTTCAGTTTGTTTTTCATTTACCCAGACGGTACGTGAAGTTTGGCTTTGAAAATTCTGTTTATGTATTGAGTCTATTAAGTCTTTTAAGTCTTTTACAAATCTTAAAAGTAAGTCTGGGAAGAAATTAGCAAAACCAACCTTTTTAGGTAAAGACGAAAGTTGAAGAGTTTAAAGAGCATCTTCCATTGGTTGCTGTCTTATTCAACCCTGGCTTGAGAGACCGGCATTGGGAAAACATGTCAGAAATCGTTGGCTTTCCACTCAAGCCGGATGAGGACTCCTCGCTGTCCAAATTTGTCGAGATGAACTTAGAGCCATTTTTGGGGAAGTTTGAATCAATAAGCGAAGCAGCAAGCAAGGAATATTCTCTCGAGAAAGCTCTCGAAAAAATGATGAAAGAATGGGAAGAGGTAATTCTTTATTTGTTGATCATGACAATTTTTTGTTGCGTGGGTTTCAACTTAAAGAAGTATATTTATTTAGTGTATACATAAGTCAAACTATTTCAAGCAATAAGACAGACAAAAAGTGCACATTGTATGCCATGAAATGGATATCGTTATATTGTTGACAGTATAACACTAGCCTTTGTAACGGACAAGCATGATTAATCCCCACAGAACGAGGAGAGTTAACGTGACTACGTTTGACACTTGGTATATGAGCACTGTGTCATTTGCGAATTAAACTATCAAGAAGTAAATTGCCAACCGTAATCATTCAAGAGAACACTAGGCTTAGGTAGACCAGCACTATCTTTAATGCAGCTTAAGGGGTAGCAGGCCTCTTACACACTGCCTCTACTTCCCAAGTTTTCAAGTCTAAGTCAGGTACACATTCAATGTTGGGTGCAAAGGAAGTACGACTTCCAATTCCATGTATGAGTCAAAACTCGAACCTAGAACATTTTGCATCGATATGTGTTCATTATTGAATCCAACTGTATTTCAATGATTAATTCTCTACTTCAGATGGAGTTTGTCATCATCCCTTATCGAGAAAGTGGAACGTTTATCCTTTCATCCATTGACGATATTCAGAGTTTGCTAGACGACCAAATTGTGAAAACACAGACAATGCGAGGGTCGCCTTTTATCAAACCGTTTGAGAATGAAATCAAGTAAGCCTTCCCTGCTACATTTTTCCTTATAGTTCTTCTATTATTTTTCTGTAATTTCATAAAATGATCCTAATGGGCCGTAATGCAGCTTTGCTAGAAACTCTTTAATCTTCTTGTCTCTTTTTGTAACTTCCTTTAGTTGGAAAATCACTTCCCAGGCCGTTTAGCTTAAGCAAATGCCTATACTGTATGAAAAATCTCTTTCTTTGTCTGTATTTATTTTGCTCCAACTTACTTCCCAAAAGTTTGCTTAGATTAAAAACTAAGAGCTCCTTGCCTTATTACTTCCTGAGTTCTGATCTCATATTTTAAGGGTGCGTCCCATATTTTGAATCTCGGGAAAATTATTTACCTAATCATTTTGCCATGTCAGTTCTGAATTTCATTATCACAACAAGACTCTTTGTTTTCATTTCGTTTTATATTTTTCCATTTACTAATACTGTTTGCCTTGTTTCTTGTTTAGAGAATGGGAAGCCAAACTTCTTCTTATTCAAGAAATCCTCGACGAATGGCTCAAAGTCCAAGCTACGTGGCTCTATTTAGAGCCAATTTTCAGCTCACCGGATATCATGGCACAAATGCCTGAAGAAGGAAGGTAAACCCTGGCACCCTCTTGAATAGCAATTAGTTTTTTAAAGAGAGTTTTGATTCTTAGTTTCAAGGAAGATTTTACCTTCAGTCTTTTAAGGTAATTTCACCTCCATTTGTAGACGCTTCAGCACAGTTGACAAAAATTGGAGGGACATCATGAAAGCAGCTGTACAGGTAAGTTTTCTCCGATTTATTTTGCATTCGAAAAGATATTTTGAAATTCAAGGAAATTGTTTTTATCTTAGTGAGTCTTAATCACAGATTTGCCAAAAGTACGTCATAATTTGAATTTTTCTCCTTTGTGGTTGATAAAAAAATAATTCATGAGCATCCTACTCAATGCCGGGACCTGATGCAAAAAATATCGCCGTACCCCAGTTATTGTTGCAGCCACGTGTTTTAGTATTCCCTTTGTCCTGATCAATCCGTACATCGAAATTATCTTTTTTATTTTAGATATCAAACACTTGCATTGTTCATTTTCTGCATTAGACCTAGGAAAACATAAAGATATCACTTTTATTGTATTCTCCTGTTTTAGGACAAGCATGTTCTCGCTGTCTCTGATATAGAAAAGATTTTGGAAAGACTTAAGAAGTCGAACGAGCTACTGGAGCTAATTCTGAAAGTATGTAGAAATGTTCTTAGTCTTAATCAGACGTGCCTTTCCCTGAGGAAGACATATTATACTTTACGCACAAGTTGTTTCAATCTAGCTACCTTTTCACAAAGCTGAATTTCAATTTCGCTATGCTTTCTTCCTTGATAAAATTCCTTAAAGGCATTGCTTGATATCAATATCAGCTTTTATTTTTATTGAAACCAAACTTTTGAAAGATTCAACTTTGTTCTAAGTTGTAAATAGAATAATCCTTAGCCTAAAGACAATATCTAGGGAGAATATTTGGTGACTCTAGGGAGAATATTTGGTGACTCTAGGGAGAATATTTGGTGACTCTAGGGAGAATATTTGGTGACTCTAGGAAGAATATTTGGATGCTCCAAGTGACGTAGCTGTATCTAAGGATCATCTTGCTTCGATGGCAATTTATGGCACTTTCCAACTCTTTCAATGAAGTTTTGAATTTCGCAAATAGCACGCTATGATCCCAACATTAGATGACTAAAAGTATCACGAATTGCATTTTCTGTTGCCATGTTTGAAAAACTACCAGCAGCTAATTTTGTGGTGGTTGTACAGCAACCTTAACTGTAAATGTTATTGCCTATCAATTGCTTACTTGCATTTATAAAGGGGTGTACTTTAATATGCCATTAGCTGAAGGATAGCTCTTGAATCTCTTCTTTTGCTCCAATGCCGAATTTTGGCAATTATTTTTATGTTGTGTTCCAATCAGCTGGTTGAGGCTGTACTTGGATTTTTGCTGCACCGTTAACAATGCTTTATAAAACCTGTAAAACATTTAAATAATTGTGCAATAGATTTTAAAAATTATTTAAGTTGAGAGCGGTAAAGATCATAAAGGATGGTTCCTAGCCATTTTTGATCCATTGCTGTGCGCAGGTGTTTATGAATTAACTTCCTCTAGCCGTGAGAGATTACAATGTGTGTTATTAATATTTCTTTCTGAGAGATTAAAATCCTTTTATTTAACACTGGTAAACATCGTTTGCTTACGTCACTACCTCGTGCGATTCGCAGAAACAAGTCTCTAGTAAATATGTTTTTGATTAAAGACAATTACAACCGATCGGAAATTCGACCTCTCTCAATTTCAATTAAGCTCTATTGGGTTTTAATGAGTAAGGGTTAAGCTCAAATTGAGCTGTTAAGAGCCCTCTTTGATTAACTTAGGTGATAAGACATTCTGTAGTATCATCTAATAGTTTTGTCTAATATTCAGACAGAATGCTCAAGTATGACCTAAAATGTTTAATTTTTTTCAAAACCATATTTAAATTCTGTACCAGGAAAAGATTGTTTACATTCTGTAGTCAACAAATATTTGTATCAATTTCTTATGTTACTTATCTATCGTTGATTTTCATTTTATGTGCTTTTTAATGTTAGTCTTACGAGCCTATTTCGAATATGATTTTCATCTCCAACAGGGTTTGAATGAGTACCTAGAAAAGAAAAGACTGTACTTTCCGCGATTTTTCTTCTTGTCAAATGACGAACTTTTGGAAATTTTATCAGAGACAAAGGACCCAACAAGGTAAAAATTAATGTGTCAGTTTATTCAAATAAGGTTTTTAGAAGCATTTTTGAAGACACTTTTTAACGAAATCACTATTTAAACAAGATCTTTGTTGGAATAATCAAAGTTAAGAGTTAGGAAAATAGCAATTTGAATTTTTTTCTATCCGAATAAAAGTTACAAGGACAAAAGGAGGTTACAAGATGATGCTGCAGGGAAGATGGAAATACATACCAACCCTTACGACCATAACATTTAATATAATAACTCAACACTAATTTATACATCTAAATATCAAAGATTACATAATACAGATAACAATTACATAGAGTAGCAAAAAACACATAAAACACAAGTGAGGAGGTTTTCAACAACAACTTATCGAAATCGCTCTGAGGCACGGATGTATCTCAAGATTGCCTCGAGAACTTTCGTATTGGAATCAAAAGACAACCTTTCGTGACCGTACAAAATGATTTCGAGTAAATCTTTGTTAGAAAAGTTTACCAATCCATGGGGTCGCAATAGCGCAGCCACACTACTGAGAAGATTTGAAATCATCATGGATTTAGTTATTTCGTATTTCTCGTAAATCAAAGCTGATTTTAATAATCTTAAATTAATTAAAAATCTTCCAGTGTTTCCTAAATTTTCCAGAATATTTACAACGCTACGTCGTGGTTTTTCGTATTGCCGTATGTTAATGTTTTTTTCAATATTTTCATATTTTTATGACTTTTTTTATAAGTCTTTGTTGTCTAATCTGTTGAATAGTTTTCAATTAGAGCAGATTTTTCCCTTTGAAGATCTAGTATTCGAACTCTGCCCTTTTTAATGTTTCATGTTAAAATTTTTAGCATGTCTGTTTGCTCCAAGCTTTAAAAATGTCACTCTTTGAGGTAGCAGTTAAAACATGAATTATTTAATTCTGACCTAGTTGATTCTATTATTCTCTAGAGTTCAACCGCATCTCAAGAAATGCTTCGAGGGTATTGCCAAACTTGAGTTTACTGAGGATCTTGACATAACTCATATGAAAAGCTCGGAAGGGGAAGTTGTGCCTTTAAAAGAATCGATTTCAACATCAAAGGCGCGTGGACAGGTTGAGAAATGGCTCTTGGAATTGCAAGATCTTATGTTAGCAAGTCTCAAGAAGGTAGGCAGCCCTTTAATATATCTACCTAACTTAGGCCTATTTGAGGACTATCAAGAATCCACATTTTGGATAAAAGAGGAGAAGGGGGTCTTTTTAAAGGTTAAGAAATAAGAAAAACGATCTTATTCAATTTTTTGTAGCACTGAGCGTATAGTTCCACCAAACGCAGTAAGAACGAATAGATTTTAGATAGATTCAACTGGTTTTGTTGTTAAAGCTATTTAATAGCTCCCTGCTTGTAAAAGTACATAGCAACACTTCACGTACACATCTGATGAGCAACCATTCTGTAGTTTTTGCCAAGTACAAATGCTTTTGTCATTTCTTCAAAATTGTTTTCCATAGGTGATTATGGAATCTATAGAATCCTACAAAAACGTAGAGCGAGTCAAGTGGGTTACGTCATGGCCTGGCCAGGCTGTGCTGTGCGTATCCCAGTTTTACTGGACGCAGGAAGTTCATCTTGCTATCAAAGGAGGCCCAGAGGTACAGACTAGCCTGTTATAATTCGTATTGTCCTTGTTCTGGTAAAATCTAAATTTTTAGGTGTCTTTAAACAGGTTTTCAAAGATTTCACATTTTGATTTAGATACTCGCACAAAACTGACTGTTTGAATAAGTATATTTAACATTTTGCTCGCTCTCGTAGTTTTCTCGAGTCGGTCGTCGACATAAAACCAAGAATTGTTACTGTCTGGTTGAGCAACAGAATCTCATAAAGTCGCCTACTTGTGTCATTTCCAGGGTCATTTATGTCCTTTACGTCATCAATGGAATAATTTTAGGTTTTACTGCTTTACATTTTACGCGTAGACAGACAAAGGCATTTCTAGACATTCGAAAATAGCCCGGAAAAGTGGAAACTATCTTCATTTTTTGTGATGCCATTTTTTGTGGCATTTCTAACAGACTGAACGTCTTCAAAAACTTAAATTTGACGTACTCATGTTTATATCTCAACACTTAAGCCAGTTTCTGCTAAATCGTAGAAGCTGAAAGCCTACCTGTTACAAAACAACAAGCAAATCGATGACATTGTCGAGCTGGTACGTGGAAATTTATCGAAACAAAACAGAGCCACGCTTGGAGCTTTGGTAGTTTTGGATGTACATGCAAGGGACGTGCTTGAAAAGATAACAAATGACGGTATGTTTTCATTTCATTTTGGCATTTAATCAATGCTGTTACAAAGCCCACACGGAAGCTTTCGTTAACTTCCAGTCATCTTTTTAATCTTTGCCTTCCTGAATACCTCTATCATTGCTGTCTTTGCCTTCAATTTGTCATCATCGGATTGGCAACATTTGTCACATCCCATACTGTACTCTCCAATGCTTCCCCTTTCCTCATTTCCAAATATTATCCTTCCATCCCCCCTGGTTTCTTCTTTCTGTTTTTTCATTCTTTTGTCCATTTCACTTCTTCATTCCTCATTTTCTCATTTTTCTAGGATACTCAACGTTCCGTCCTTTAGGTCTTCCTCGTGATTCTCTGCTTCCAATAAAGCATCGTCCCCAAAACTGGATTTTTAATTGACCTGTTAATTTTGCAACCTATTCTTCAATTAAACCTGTTTCTATTGTCAGGAATTTCCGATGAAAATGACTTCAACTGGCTCGCCCAAATGCGATACTATTGGGAGGTATGTTATCCTTAATTTAGCAACCACTCCTTAGTTTTTGGATGCAACCGAGGCTATATCGTTCATCTTTATTTTCAAACGTCTCTTTACGGTGCTTGACGACTCATGTTTTCAAATCAATGGATTGCAAAAAAGAATCTTTTCGAGCAGAATATATTACTTATTTACCACTTTTTGACATTTTTGATCACATGTTTTGATCAAACAGCCATGTTTTTAATGAACTATTTGTCTAACCTAATAGTGTATTTAAAAGAGTGCTTCAAATTCCTTAATTACATACACATTCATGCAACTCTTGCTTAGAATTGTCTTTTTCATGCTTGTCAAAACATATCAGTTAGAATACATAGAATGAGCTGTACTTTTTGGTAGTCTCTGTAAAATAAATTTAGTTATTTGTCTTTTTATATGCTTTGTCTGCTCAAAGCTACGCAGACTTTTTAGTAGTCTCAAAACTGCTGAGCTACAAATATACGTATACTATATATGTCATCAATTTCCAGGACGATAATATGCTGACCAGAATGATCAGCGCCAGCCTTGCGTACGGCTATGAGTATCTTGGGAATTCCGGTCGACTCGTCATCACCCCCCTGACCGACCGTTGTTACAGGTAGGCCCATTTCACTTTTTTAGGAGGATGGCCCTGGAGCAGGTGATTCCTTTGAAGGGAACCCCAAGTTAAAGCATAACATCCATTTAAGATGAAGAATATTTCTTTCTTAACTATGAAACCGAAACTTTTTTCACAATGAATGTACAATAGATTTAAAAATTCAAGGTGAAAGGATGATGTAAATCTTAAAAGATTGTTTACAGCTTCTCATAGAGGATGTCCTCTTTCTTCTGACTGCAAGGGTATTTCACGCATCCGATGCTCTGAAGGAAAAATCATTTCTGCCAATAGCTAGCTGATCTTGCCAATCCGTCTTCTTTTTAGAACACTCTTTGGTGCACTGCAGTTGCATCTTGGAGGAGCACCTGAAGGTCCTGCAGGCACAGGGAAAACAGAGACCACAAAGGATCTCGCAAAAGCAGTTGCCAAACAGTGCGTCGTCTTCAACTGTTCCGATGGTCTGGATTTTATTGCTCTTGGCAAATTCTTCAAGGTAATTGATTTACGAAGTTAGAATATTTCATTGTGTACTTTATTTAATTTCTTTTTAAAAAGGAAACTTTCAAATATAATCTAATTTCTTTTTAAAGACACAAAGATACTCGGAAAGAAATGGAGTATTGTTTTAGGGAATTAATTTCAATTGAAATAACAGTTATAAAAAACTGAGAAGTTCAAATTATATCTTTTTTATTTGTGACAAAATTTTAGTTTTTAATCAGAAGCATTATGTCAAATGCATTCTCTCGTAGAGTTAAGCTTTTAAACATTCTACAGAAACCATGGATGAATTAAGTTGGTAAAAAAAATTTTCAGCATTTTTTAAGATTAAGTAAGATTTACAAAAAAAAGTTTTTACTGAGAGCTTAGACAGGAATACCTAACAGTGACAATGACATTCGAAGATCAGGATATATATCCTAATTTTTGTTAACATGATACTTTTTAGGTAAATTGAAACTTCCTTTGTTGATAGGTTTGCATATTGACAAAAAATTATCAGTTCAGTTCATCTTCTACTTCTTTTTTGCACCTAGGGACTCGCATCGTGTGGTGCCTGGTCCTGCTTTGATGAATTCAATCGTATTGATCTAGAAGTACTCTCTGTCGTCGCACAGCAAATTCTTACAATTCAGATGGGTAAGTGACTCAGCTCTGGGGCCTTTCAGTAATTTATTCTAATAATTTACCCATTTTGTAAAATTCAACTTCCAGGGGAGGGGGGGGGGTGCAATAAAATCTTTATTTGGGATTGGTAGACAGTTAAAATTTTCTGAAAATTCTTTTATACCTAGAAATGGGCATAAAGCAAGTCATATTGAAACTTAGTTGACTTCCTGCAACAGGGTGGGCCCTTTCCAACCCTATGTTCCTCTGGTCACTCGCCCCAAGCTTGATCTGCTATCTTTTTCATGTCGTTGCTACCTTAATGCGACTTCCTGATTTTATTTTCAGGTATTAACGCTGGACAAGATACTCTGTTATTTGAAGGGACAGAATTGAAATTAGATCCAACATGTGCAGTATTTATCACCATGAACCCAGGCTACGCTGGAAGATCAGAGCTGCCAGATAATCTCAAGGTAAAATTCTACTTTGCTGATATACTCAAGGACTGTAGTTTGAACCCATTTTAGCCTATTTTAGAATTTAATCTCTATTACCATTTTTAGCAAAGCCTAATTTAGAATTTTCTCAAGTATTTCTTGTAAATCTTTAAAACTTTTTGAAAATTTTATCAAGGCCATAGAAAACTAGCATATAAGTGGAATTAAAGAAAAAGAGTTATGTGGGAAAGATCTTTGAAATAGAAAACTAGGTGATTCCACTATTAAGGGAATATGGAAACAAGACTTTGTACTTGAGGATGGCACTGGTGCTTGGCAATAGCCAGGTTTGCTTCTGCGTCACGGACTGTCAGTGCCTATCTTGTTTTGATTTGTTTTTATGCCAAATTTTACCTATGTGTTTCTTTTTTTTTCCTTTTTCAGTACCATACATTTTTTTATATTTTCTTAGATTTTAAATCTGAGTTTAGCCTTCTAGTACAAAACAGACCTAACGTAATAGCAAATTTATTTTTAAAACTGTGCGAGTCGATTAGAATGCTTTCCTGTTTCAGTTATTGTCTTAAACCTCGATTTTATCCGACTATTGCCTATATTTCCGTGCATCAACTCTTCTTGTCTTGACTCGTTACTCTTTGTTGAATTTTTTAGGCTTTATTCAGAACAGTGGCTATGATGGTCCCAGACTATGCCCTTATCTCAGAAATTTCGCTTTACTCTTTTGGGTTTGTAAATGTAGGTATCGCAATTTTAATTCCTTTGCTCCTACGTTAACACCCTTGGAAAATACTGTATTTGTCAGCATATTTATAATTTATTATCATGCGATATTTATGTCATTCTACGGCGTTGCACATATTTTGTCTGTAACCATCATATCGAAACTATTGTCAGCAAACACTTGCAATTTAATATGCCATATTGATGTTATTGTTTACACATGCATGAGAATGCCAATGAAATATGCAAATATTCCCAAATTTAGTAATGTGGTGCAAAAGTAAACAGAAATCTTGTTTGTATTATTTAACCTTTCCTGTAATGTCTTTATATTGTTATTTATTTGAGTTAAACCAATTGTTGTGTCTCTTATGATTATTTCTCTCTCGATTTTTTTCGCTTGTCTTAAAGTTTCCATCATAGTAATAATTGCATTTTTTAATTGTTAACTGGTATCGTATCTTTGTAACTAACTTTATTTCTAACATAGCAGTAAACAATTTATTGGAAATTAAATCTGTCTGTATTGAAGTCCCGAAGGGGAAATATTAACCACTTTTAATTTTCTTGTGTTTGTTGTTGTTTGTTTTTGGCGTGTTGCGGCGTTCCTTTTTTCTCCATTAATTTCAAGGCTGTTTCTTCAGCTTCATATTTCCTGTTGTAGGCTCGTCCTCTGGCTGTGAAAATCGTGACGACATACAAACTCTGCTCAGAACAATTATCATCTCAGCATCATTATGATTATGGCATGAGAGCAGTGAAGTCTGTACTCACTGCAGCTGGAAATCTCAAGGTAATGTTTGCTCTATCTTGCCACTCGAGATTTTGGGTAGATTGTTAATTTTGCCTTTTGTTGAATATGGTATGGAGGGCTGTATTCTCTTCGTCTGTGATCGTTGTATCATAGCACTGTTATGGAACGTTGTATCATTGATGTTGTCAGATTTTATGTTTGTCTCAAATCCAACAGAAAGTTTTTTATTGTTAACTTCATATGATTGAAATATTTCTGTATCTTGAAAATACCAACCTTTCAATCCATTTTTGTTCAATTCGTGTTTTTTTGCAAATCTAAGGGAACAAGTGATTGACTAATCGCAGCTTTTTTCTTTATATCATAGCATGTTTTCGTTTCAAAGGATATCTTTTGCTTCAGAACGTAGAGGTTTTGGAAAATAATCCATACTACCTTTTTTCAGTATCTCATTTACTTTACACCTTCACAGCTTAAGTACCCCAAAGAAAACGAAGACGTGTTGGTTTTAAGATCAATCATCGATGTTAATCTTCCAAAGTTTCTTGGACACGATCTTCCACTTTTCAAGGTGAGAAATTATTTTTCTTCTTCTTCATTTATCATCAAACTAAAGAAGATATGAGGTGATGATAGCCTCAATTCACAGCCATCATGAAAATTTTAAGGTCTCAGGCTACGGATGCATCAATCCAATGTGCAAGCCATAGAGAATGCCTCTTGAACCTTTTGCTCTGACTAGACACTTAGATTTCTAGAATAGAAATACCGAGGTACGAGCAAAAGGAACAATCAAAGTACTGCTTCATAAACATAGATTTTCGTTGTCCTAAATATAAAGATCCCGTAACCTGTTTGAAATGAAAATCAGTTAAGATCATTTATCAAGAAGATGTATTAAAACGAAAGCTTAAATTTGATTTCTGTTCTAAAGAGATCGTACATTTAAAATCTCTTCCATATATTTTACGTTCTTTTGTTGTCAACTCATATCTTATATTTTAAATGTTTGCGTTAAATTTATGAATTCTCGTTGTAGGGGATAACCATGGATTTGTTCCCGGGAATCACCTTACCAGAGCCAGATTACAAGATCTTACTGACTGCAATCAAAGAGAACTGCGATAAACTGAATTTGCAGAAGACGGAGTTTTTCCTAACCAAGATCCTTCAGGTCCGTTGAATAGTTTGATTTTTGTATACATATTTATAAGTCTTATAAGTCAAAGAGAGACAGCATAGCGGACACATTAACTGTTTTTGTCACGATGCAGAAACTTTATATATTCCTATAGTAACTTAAATTTTCTTTTGCATATACTGCGAGCATAGTGTTTCTTCCTTTTAGGTTATTGACTCAATTGTTCCAGTCCTTGCATTTAGAGCCATGTTTTCTCTAAAATTTTACTCTTCAATTACTCCGTCTTTCTGTTTTTTTCTTATACTTAATCTACATGCATAATTTGTTCAGATTTACGAAATGATGATCGTTCGACATGGTTTTATGATCGTTGGAGAACCATTTGGTGGCAAAACAATGGCCTACAGAGTTCTAGCTGGAGCTCTCTCTGATATTGCTGAAAAGGTAGACATTTTATATGGTAGAAATGGTGGACGTTTTCAATCTTTGTTTGGAAAGTCAAAAGGATCTTTTTACAATATTTTAATATAGGTTTTAGGTTCATTTTGTGTTTGCAAGCTGTTTTTCGTCATATTTATGATCTTTAATGGTATATATACAAGCTGACGAGAACAACTTTTCGTGAGATGTTGTAGAATCTACGAAAATTGTTTTAGTGAGATTTTCAAGCTATCAGCGAAACACATCTCTATGTTAGGTGAACTTATATTCATTTGTAATCCAAAATTAAACTTGATTTTTTCACCTTAAAATGGCCCTTTAGTTTTGATTTTGCTGAATCTTTTAAATATTTACGGTACATAGTAAGTTTATGCATTTTTCTCGTTGCTTCCAGGGACTTATGGAAGAAAACAAGGTGCAATATGTTGTCATCAACCCAAAAGCTATAACAATGGGACAGCTGTATGGCTCATTTGACCCAGTGTCACATGAGTGGTCGGATGGAGTTTTGGCTGTCAACTATCGTGCTTTTGCCTCTTCACAGGTGATTTATTTATGGTTATTTTTAAGGAAAGCTAAACAAACTGATGAACTTGATTGCATATAAATCTAGCTAAGTCTTTACCACTTTAAGATAGATGAATTATAGCATTTTTATGGATTAGGGTTGTTTCTGTAAACAAACTGAGAAACTAAGGCTGTAAGAATTGTTTGGGAGGACTAATTGCTAATCTTTTGCATGAAGTTTGAAAATCATACTGACGTTTCTTGTAAAAATTGGTATTAATTTCTATCCAAGACATTTAAGTTCGTTTTTGTGGACGCTAGATGACCATGACTTTTTAAATGTTTGCAATGCTATTTTTCAAATGCTGGGACTTAAAACCAGACTAACTTGGGTCATAGTGTTCCTATTTTCTTTTGAGTGCATGCTTCTCCCTTCTTCAGCAATTATGATGTATCGTTTCTGAGTTTTAGCCAACATTTTTCCTTTTTTTCATAAAAGTGAGCGTTTTTACCTTGCCCCTTTATTGTAAGCATAATTTTGCAGACTCTCGACCGAAAATGGTTGATATTTGATGGGCCAGTCGATGCTGTGTGGATTGAAAACATGAATACGGTTCTTGATGATAACAAAAAGGTAACGATTATCTGTAACTTGAAATCCTGTTACGGGTGAAATGCCTAGTCTCTGTTTGATTGGAAACCTTTTGCTTTTTAGTTTGACATTTGATTTTTATCTTTTACGTCAACCTTTATGCGCTATTTAGTTTATACCTAACGGTTTGGCTAATAACTAACGGCTTTTTGCAGAATAGATCCTGTGATCTATATTATTAGCCTCACGTTCATATCTGAATCAATCACAGCCTTGTGGCTCATCATAATTCTTTCAGTTTAAGACAAAACTTTCAAATGAGCTCATTGCCACTATTTTCCTAACATAAGTCCTTGGTAAAGTCTGTTTTATAAGCATGACTTTATAACACTAAAAAAATGCTCTATACAGGGATGTTAGCTCCTGGGGACCAGTTTCACGTGCCCCCTTGCTTTTTGTAAAGTGACACTTTCTTAGAAATGTTCTCATTATAACTTTAGAAATAGTCCATTGTTCTGACATATAGTGCATTTTACTACCAACTCCCTAAAGCATTGAAATGATTTCAACGTCCCTGGGTTTTGTCATTTCAAAATTCATACTACTTTCACAAGTTTTTCAAGCACGTTTTTCATACCAATGCTGGAATGGTTGCAAATAATCTTGTTGTTTCTTTTAATTCAGCTCTGCTTGAACAGCGGTGAAATTATCCAGCTAGCCCCGACAACCAACCTTATATTTGAGCCAATGGATTTGGAAGTTGCTTCACCTGCCACTGTAAGTGCAGAATCAGTTTTGCTGATATTTCAGTTCATAGCCAGTATGGCTGCTATTCCACTCTCATATGAAATATAAAAATTTAAATTCTAAGTACCAATTGACCCCTTTCAGATATGTTTCAGTAATTTTATCAGATCATTTTTTTTTAATTTCAATCAACCTCATTTCTTTAAAGAACCTCTTCTTTTTTTCTTCCTGTTGCTTCAATATTGCGTTCGTATGACAGAAGATAAGCATAAACGAAAATGCATAACAAGGGAATTTTCAAGACCATGGTAAAATGACTCTAATACTGACTTACCATTATTCATGTGCCGTAATTTACATTGGCATCCTTTGTACAATGTCTCTTTTATATTTCTTTTAGGTTAGTCGTTGTGGTATGATTTATCTGGAGCCAGAAATGCTTGGCTGGCGGCCTCTTATGATTTCTTGGCTAGCAACACTGCCAAAGACTATCAACGAAGACATGAAGGACCTTGTCAAGGATTTGTTCGATCGAATGCTTCCGCCATTGTTGAACTTTGTCAGGAAAAGTGGAGCAAAAGTATGTCTAGGATGTTTTGTTTCCTTTTAAGGAGCTATTACTTTCCTCTGCCTGTTGTCAGTCCAATATCTCTGTTTATTCTAAGATTTATATAGCTTTTCCAGTTTTTTGAAAAAAAATGTTGAACGCTTCAGATAAATTGTGTTTAAGCTTAAATAATATTGAATACCCCCATTTTGAAGAATGTGATCGAGGCCACTCACTCATGTTCTGTTTTGGTTGATTTTTTCCATCCTTGCCTCTTTAAGTATAATTGCGTTATTTTACAAAAATATTTTACTGGTGTGTTAATTTACAGCAAGAATTCTGTCATATCTAATTTTGTCATCTACATTTTGCGTATTGAGTAGATTGCTTTGTGTTCCCTGTGTCATCTATTGATTTTATGTCATCTGTTTCATCTATTACCTATAAAATTCACTTTTTAATGAACAACGTTTTGTCCCGTGATACTGCCAAGACAATAACTAGAACATGTAAAATTATATCAGTTCAACATAGAATGACTTTTTTTAATTCTTGCCAACATATAAGACTAATAATGACAATATAAATTCACAATTAGTCCTTGCCCTTTTCTTTTTTTGTTCTAAAGTTAATGTATCCTTTTTTTACTTTCTTTTGAAGGAACTGTCACCAACAAATGACACGAATTTGGTCAAATCATTGATGAATTTGATGGACACACTGTTTGATGAATTCCATGATGAGGAACAATTCAAGGAGTTAAATGAAAGGGAGGTCGCTGCTTGGCTTGAGGTAATTACATTAATTGCCAATTCTTTTATTATTGTTTATGAATGTTAAAAAGTTAAAAAGTTGGCAAAATTTTACGAAAGTTTTGTCTGATGTCTAACAAACCTTTTTGTCTTTAACTCAGACTACCTTTCTTAATGAGTTGAAAGTTCTGTTCTGTGTTTTGGTTTTATAATATGCAACTTGCTTCAATCGTTCCATTTTAGTGCATCTTCTTGTTCTCCACCGTCTGGTCAGTTGGCGCTAGCATTACAGATGAAGGAAGGAGAAAGTTTGATTTCCTTCTTAGAGAGCTGATTGATGTGAGTAGCTATGATTAATTATTTTTGTTATTATGAATGTTTATTTATCTTTTCAATACAGCAAATCATTGGTGCAAATGACTCAAGCCAAAAAGCAAGGAAGTCTAAACTCCTTTTGCTTATCAAGTTTGCGTCTTATGCTAAGCCTTCCCTCTAGAATAATTACCTACTCAGTACGTCTTGCTGAAGTTCCTTTTCATAAACATTCCTTATCAAACGCTTCGATTCTTCACCTCCAAAGTTTAATGTTTTTGTATTGTGTTTTTGAAGAGCTTAAATTCATTTCATCATGTATTGTTTTAGTTATCAATTTCGCTGCTCTCTTTTTACAGGGACCACTTACTATCGAGTCTAAAACAGAGTTCCATATTCTCGAAATGGTTGATGCCCCACCAAGACCGTTTTTATGCCCCTTCCCACATCGGGGTAGTGTGTATGAGTACAGATTTATAAAAGAGGTATTTCATAGTTCATTACGCTACAGTGAGATTTTCGTTACTCCAAGCTTTGTACAGTACAAGTAACCTCATTAGGAAAGATTGTTGCGTTTTCGAGACAATAGCAAGACTGATTCTACTTTCCGGTCTGAAGGAGCGTTTCAATCCGGTTTTGAATAGATCAGGTCGTTATGATCTGTTTACTTTTAATACTAACAGACTTGCACTTTCTCACAAGTCCGGAGCAGTTTATTAATTTGACCTAACAGAGGTCTTGCATTAACTTAGGTCCTTTTTGATCGGAAACACTTTTTGAGTTGTGTCTGGAATAAAGAAAGAGTTATTTTTCCCTGTCATTATACAGGCTATCTTTCTAACCGTTCCATGTGCTGGTATTGTCCTTCTTACCGTTGCATCTTACCATAACGTTCGTATCATCTGTACTGCTTATATATGTGCAACAGTTGACCACGAAAATTTGTCTGTAAAGGTGTAGGAACTGTGTTTGTTGCATCTAAATTAATTTTCAGTTTTACTTATAACTGTAACAGTATATTTTTTATGAATATACAATGCAATGTAAACATATTTAAAAGATATTACCAATATCTGTGTTTATCGTTTAGGGAATGGGAAAATGGAGGCCATGGACCGACGAAATCAAAGATGCACCTCCTATACCAAAGGTATCATTTAATATGACTGATGTTTCCAGTGTCTTCTTAAGTATTCCGAAATCAAAAAAATATATCCATTTTTTTTAAATACACAAACATTTTGTGTGCAAATATCGTTAAGCATCTTCAAGAGCTTGATTGCGTGATATCGTGGTATAATTTCATACCATACTTCAGCAAATTTCATTCGACATTCCTCAAAATATAAAATGTTTGATAATGGCCAAGGATAAAGATAAAATAATCTGTTATGCGGATTGAAAGAAGCTTCCAAAGATAATTTCAGAGCTTTTAAGGGTACATTTTTGTCTAAACGAGGATTAACACTTTTCTGCACCAGTCAACAGCCCTAGTGCCCCAAAAGACAGTAAATGAAAACATTTTAGGATAATATATAAACATATTTTCTTATTGTTAATCATTATCAAGTTGATTTAACTTTTTATCCACGTTAGTTTTCATAGAGAAAATGTATTTTAGTCTTTGCCATACTTGATTTCCACCTGTAATAGAAAACTGTATCATTACAATACACATCCCATTTTCAAGCTTTGATTTCTACGTCATTTCTACCTTCTCTAGAGCTCTACATTCAACGAGATAATTGTGCCCACAATCGACACAGTTAGGTACACATACCTGATTAATCAGCTGATTACGCACGGAAAAGCTTGCCTTTTTGTTGGGCCGACAGGCACAGGGAAATCTGTTTACGTCACGGTTAGTTATGATCTTTATTATGTATTTTGATTTTTGGTGATAACATGCAGCGAACTTTCTTTCTTAAGACCACTTGTATATATTAGACAGTTTTATTAGCCAAATGATTTCTAATAGATTTTAAAGAAACGAACAAGTTTCGTTTACAAAAAATGAGAAAGCCCCTCAGAATTTGATATTTCCTCTACTCTTTCTTTCATCCACTGTTATTCTTCAATTGTAAGCCGCCATATTTTTAGCATCCCCTTCCGTCAAACACCGCTTTATTTGTGACAGAGAATTACTTATATAGTTGCCGCTTCTCCTTGTTGCTTTTTTTAAGTGTCAAACTACATATTCACAATAATTTAACGGCTACTTGCATATCAAACTATTGAATGTTTTTTGAGGGTTTTTTTTAAACTTCATCAAAGTCGTTTTGATAATCATAATTTATGTCGATATTCACGTGTTTGCTGAGTTATTCTGTAAACCACCTTTTGCAAAGTTTCTATTGTGAAGTTCTTAATTCTTATTTTGATTTTTTGTTAGGACTTTCTTTTGAAGAAGCTATCAGGTGACAAATACAAACCGTTATTGATAAACTTCTCTGCTCAAACGACGGCGAAGCAGACACAGGATATAATCATGTCGAAACTTGATAAAAGAAGAAAAGGAGTTTTTGGGCCACCTCTTGGCAAAAAGACGGTTTGTTTTCCATTCATTTAAAATTGTTAGTTTGTAAATAGATTTGAAGAGGAAAATGGCAGTTTGCAAATTGGTTTGAAGTGCCTCATGGAACCACTGTGAAATAAATGAAATTATTTAAATTGTCCTCAATGGTTTTAAAATGTACGATATTCTGAAATTTAGGAATATTAGTGGAGGGTGCCTTAAGTTGCAACGTAAATAGACTGTTTCGAGAAGGTTGACGGGAAGAGCCAATTACTGTGAAATATACTTAGGAGGACTATAAAGAAAACGATATAGGAAATTTGAAGGTACAATTTTCACAATCAGTTAAAAGTAAGACCCCAAAAGTTTAATACAGGGAATTTGAAAGTTAAACAAATCCCTGTTTTTAATTATTTTTGTCATTTTTTATTTTGTATTATCTTTTGGTTTCTTTGACATCTTGCCGTTTCTTCTTGTTTATATGGTCAACTAAATAGTTCCAGAAGGCATCCGAACATATGAAATCATTTTTATCCCTTTCATGTGTTAATTCATACGTTTTTCATGCGTTAGTTAACATCTATCATTGTAACATTTTTGCAGATTGTCTTTGTTGACGATCTGAACATGCCTGCGCGAGAAACATACGGAGCACAGCCACCAGTAGAGCTCTTACGACAGTGGCTTGATCACAAGACTTGGTAGGGGTTTTCAAGACTGAATAATTCTCTTCTCATATAAAACTATAAAATTTATACATCAGTTGCTATTAAACTGGTTTTTATCCATAGTTATCAGAAGAAATTTATCTTTATATCTTGTTCATATATCTATTCCTTTTTTCATATTTAATCAATTTTATTTCACTTAGCTTTTATTTCAATTTTATTTGAAGTTGAATAAAAGTAGGCCTGTATGAAGATTCTTAAAATGTTTCAATAATTTTATGAAAATGTGGGAAATTGACTTATTTGTTACCACCAAGCTTCGGAAGATATTTTTATGAGAACTGTGCTTCTCGAACAGTGCCCTGGTCTTTCGTCTTGATGTAAATTACAGATAGCAAGCAACTGTCCTCACTCTAAGTGAATGTTTGGTCATGGCGGGGACTCGAACCCCAGTCTCTTTGTTCTGTCGTCCGTCACCCTAACCACTGCACTATCCTCCCTCCTAGGTATTCACTTCATTTAAGCAAGAAATAAACTCCCTTTATATTTACAGGTTTTATAATTTTCACATTTCCTCTTAAGAAAACCTTTTTTTGCCTGTGGTAGATTCATCGATTTTCTAATAGCAATTAACTAGCCTATCTTAAAGTTACATTTACTTTAAAATGTTTCTATGCTTTTTTACCCTGTTTGCTATTTTCTGTTCTCAAGGTATGACCTGAAAGATACATCTCCAATCCACCTTGTTGATGTCCAATTGATTGGCGCCATGGGACCACCTGGCGGCGGTCGTAATCCAGTCACGCCAAGATTCTTGCGTCATTTTAATAACATTACTATCAATGAATTTCAGGACAGAACCATGAGCAGAATTTTTGAACGAATAATGGAATGGCATTTAAATGCAAAGTAGGTTCCAGTTTTATTAATTTCTTTCGGCAATAAAAAAAGTTTTGATTTGAAATACTCCTTTGTGATAGCATAGATCATGAAAAGCTTTCCTTTTTTGCAGGGGCTTCGCTAAAGAATTCCTTCCATCTGGACTTCGACTTGTGGCGGCAACAATGAATGTTTATAAAGCTTCTATGTTGAACCTGCTGCCAACCCCTGCCAAATCGCATTACCTTTTCAATTTGCGAGACTTTGCAAGGGTCATTCAGGGTTGCTTGCTATCAGCTCCAAATACGATACCAGACCAAGATTCACTGAAGAGGCTATGGACACATGAGGTATGATTTTTTAAAATACTCGATGTGTGTGCATAGTGCATATGTGAAGCAAACAACTTCCATTCGAAAGAACACCTAGGCTCTTATATGATTCAAAGAGATTAGTGTTCAAGAATATGGTTTCCAAGCCCCAGTTTTACTTTTACTATTAACTTTTTTTGTCATACAGCGATGCAATGAAATGAACTGCCACAATCTTCTTTGAAATATTAGTACTTACTTATTTTTCCGTTTTTCCTTCCAGGTTTTCAGGGTGTTTTATGATCGTCTGGTTGACGATGGTGATAGGTCGTGGCTGACAAATCACGTCAAAGAAGTCGTGAACATCGATCTGAAATCTAACTTCGATCAGCTGTTTCTGCATCTGGATTCCAGTGGAAACGGGGAGGTGAGCGAGCACGATCTACACAGCCTCATGTACTGCGATTTCATGGACAGCAAAGCCGACCCAAAGCCCTACCTTGAGGTGAATGATTTGGACAAGCTGAGAAAGATTGTCGAGGGGTACTTGGATGAATATAACAACATAAGCAAAAAGCCAATGAATCTTGTTCTGTTCAGGTGCGTCATCATTTCAATGTTATTCGGCTTTGTTTACAGTCAACTAGCAAATTTTAATGATATCATTATTGTCACAAATGGCTGATGGTAGTACACAAAGTTGTTGAAAGATTAAAACACGCAATGTTGACGTCTTTTGGAAGCTTTCTCTTTTTTTCCATATCAAGTGAACTCCAAAAATAATTGATTTCAAGACACATGGTCTTTGACGTCATTAGAGGAAAGCTTCCTTTACCTTAATAAAGCAAGACTTTCTCAAAGCGACTTTTTATGCTGTAAAATATTTGCTTTTTTCTAAGCCATTTCCAAATTTTGTACCGCCAAAAAATTGTTCAAATACAAGGGCCTAAAACAAGGTCGTTTTATTTTAAATAACTTTTTATATATCTTGCCTTGAATCAAAAAATTTCAAATAACATATTTTTGCAATTGCTTTCCTTACTGCTCGGTATAACAGTATTTGATCCTGTTAAGCAATTTAAAATGAAACTTTTGCCATCCATTTTTCAAAAATGTGATGCAATTTACGTGCTACCTAATGCAGTAAAGTGCCTTTTCAAATGAAACTTTCACTAAGTATGGCACAACTTGAAATTAAAACCGACCGAAATTTTTTTTCAGAAGCGATCAACTTTGGCATGTATTACCAAAAAACTCTGGTTTATTTTACCACTTGTATTCTTCATATATAAATCGTTTTTTTAATTCTTAGGTTTGCTATTGAGCATGTATCCCGTATATCACGTGTTCTCAAGCAACCACGTGGTCACTGTTTGTTGGTGGGCGTTGGCGGGAGTGGAAGACAGAGTTTGACTCGTTTAGCATCGCATATGGCTGACTACGACCTTCACCAGGTTTGCCTTATCTCGTCATTTTCGTATTTTTAAACTAAATCTAGGTACTGTTTTTTGCTGTAAACGATGTGGCTTTTGATAACATAGAAAAGGAGAAGCTTCTTTTTCTGTTTTTCCTTGCATTGGATGTGACATAGATAACTTTGATGGAAAAAAGAGTACCAGTTGCAAAACAATGGGCATAGATGACTTTTTCTCGAGCATAGATAAGTGTACTTCAAAATGACTTTGTGTATTAGCAAGCCAAATAAAGATACAATGCAAACGAAAAAGCCGCCATTGTATAGACAGAAGGAGTACGTTTTCTCTCTTGGACTCCATTGGTAATTTTTTTTAGGCTCGCGGCACTGATTGCTCAACTATACCGGTCTTGTGCTTGCGTTTTTCTGATTGGCCTATTTCGATCCACAACTGGGTATATATTTTCCATCGTGTTCTTTCGGAACCTTATTCTGACGTTTTATGCTCTGAGGAGTGTCAGACGAAAAGCTTTTAGTATATCGTAAAATGTTTGCTTTTTTCAAAGCCATTTTCAAAGATACAATACTTTGTTGCTGAATTTCATCTATTTATCTGGTTTTGTAGTGTTGCTTAAATACAAACAAAGTGAAAAACAAAGTGAGCCCCCAGAGAAAACTATGTTTAATAAAGATTTAGTTATTTTCTGAAGTCCCCTGGCAATAGACTTCTTTGTATAAGCAACGGACGAATGCCTTTTTTTGGTAGGTGGAGATTACTCGTGGGTATACAAGCATAGAATGGCGGGAAGATCTCAAGAGAATACTGCGCAAAACGACAGAAGGGGAAGTCCCTGGAGTCTTCTTGTTTACTGATACTCAGGTATTCATTCGAGCACTTTTGCTATTGTAAATCACGAAAAAACACAAAACTAGAGTGTACTAATAAAATTATATAAAAAATTAATCTTATTGAATAATTTCAATGAAACTTTGACGATTAAAGAGAAGGCTTAAAAAAATGATTCTATATATACTATGGTAGCATACTTCAATAAAAAGGTTTTATAATTGATATCTATTTTTCACGAACATTTTCCTTTCTATAATTTACAAGTTTATGTCTTTTTAAGACTTACAAGAGTCGTATTTTTGTAGATTAAAGAAGAATCGTTTTTGGAAGATCTTAATAATCTTCTTAATGCCGGTGAAGTACCGAATTTGTTTCCTTTGGATGAGCGACAAGAGATTTGCGAGAAGATGAGAATTATAGACAGGTTGGTCTAACTTGACTGTTTGGTTAAAATAACATATTTCCTTTTTCATTTTAGCTATATAAACTACAATTTGTTATATGTTTTATATAAAACAGTAGCTGTGAATTATTTTCACGCCTTTACTTCTTACTTTCCTAGACAAAGAGAAAAATCGAAGCAAACTGATGGCTCACCGTTGGCGTTATTCAATTTCTTTGTTGAGCGTACGCGTGAAATGCTTCATATCGTTCTGGCAATGAGCCCTATCGGTGATGCTTTCCGCAACAGATTACGAAAGTTCCCATCCCTTGTAAACTGCTGCACAATCGATTGGTTTCAGGTAGGTTTTCCATTTGGTATTAGTTTGAGTTTCCACGTGTTTGATGTATTATTCCTTCAATTGAAAGTCTGAATTCGTTAAAGCTTGTGTTATTGTGAATGTTTTAGTCACTTTTCTTTGCTTCTCTTAAGCGCAACTTTGTGTTCGTTTTTGAAAAAATCTTAAAAAGCATTTGTTTTATCATTTGTTATTTAAAGAGTAAAATCTGAAAACGGATTGATAATCTGACTGACATGTAATTTAATCAGAATTTATATAAAAATAAAAGGGTTTGTGTCTCTGTTTATGCATTTTGCCTTTCTCAAGATTTTATTTTTCCATCTGAAAATTTTTTTTTCAAGTTTAGGCTCATTTTGATTAAGCAATTGTTAGTTTGTTATAGACTTATGGCTAGAATGACTATCTTGTCTTGTAACCTTTTCTAATCACCAACAAAATCAATATCGAAAGGGTAAACCAATATTTCGGCAACTGGCTAATTTTTACTTGGGGAATTATGCAGTCATCTAATTTTCTTCAGCTCTGTTCGTACTCCATACCTGACCTTCTGTTTCTCTTCATATGTAGTCTTGGCCAGCAGATGCCCTCGAAGTGGTTGCACAGCGGTTTTTAGCAGAAGTCCACTTACCAGATGAAGTGATTGAAGGATGCGTGCAACTGTGTAAAGAATTCCACATGAGCACACGTGATCTTTCCCAGCGATTTTGGAACGAATTGAAACGGCACAATTACGTCACCCCTACGTCTTATTTGGAGTTGATCAGTACTTACAAAACACTGCTTAGCAAAAAGCAAGAGTAAGTTTTTGCTTCTTCCATTCCTATTTTTCATTTGTTGTTATGGTCTGCAATATTTATCTTCTTTTTATGCTTTTCACTTCCTGCTATGCGACCCTCTCAAAGGACACAATTACAAAATTTAAAAATCTTAGAATATCTCTAATGAAAATGGGCTTATGTTTTTTCAGTAAATGAAATTACAAGAAACGATAATACAAGCTTTCTACAGAAAAAAATTAATTAGTTGCATGCGATGACAGCAATGTGACATATTTGACTAAACTTTAGATCAGTTTTTGTCTACGCCTTTCAGCTTCGTTTCAGTTTAATTTTCCGCTCTTTTGAAGCTGCATCTTCCTTTGCAGCTGCATCCTCCAGCTCTTTTGCAGCTGCATCCTCCAGCTCTTTTGCAGCTGCATCCTCTAGTTCTTTTGCAGCTGCGTCCACCAGCTCTTTTGCAGCTGCATCCTCTAGTTCCTTTGCAGCTGCACCCTCCAGCTCTTTTGCAGCTGCACCCTCCAGCTCTTTTGCAGCTGCACCCTCTAGCTCTTTTGCAGCTGCATCCTACAGCTCTTTTGCAGCTACATCCTCCAGCTCTTTTGCAGCAGCATCCTCCAACTCTTTTGCAGCAGCATCCTCCAGCTCTTTTGCAGCTGCATCCTACAGCTCTTTTGCAGCTGCACCCTCCAGCTCTTTTGCAGCTGCAGCCTCCTGCCCTTTTGCAGCTGCATTCTACTGCTCTCTTGCAGCAGCATCCTCCAGCTCCTTTGCAGCTGCATCCTCCAGCTCTTTTGCAGCAGCATCCTCCAGCTCCTTTGCAGCTACATCCTCCAGCTCTTTTGCAGCAGCATCCTCCAACTCTTTTGCAGCAGCATCCTCCAGCTCTTTTGCAGCTGCATCCTCCACCTCTTTTGCAGCTGCATCCTCCAGCTCTTTTGCAGCTGTATCCTCCAGCCCTTCTGCAGCTGTATCCTCCAGCTCTTTTGCAGCTGCAGCTTCCTGCCTTTTTTCAGCTGCAGCCTCCTGCTCTTTTGCAGCTGTATCCTCTAACTCTTTGCAGCATTCTCCAGCTCTTGTGCTTTGAATTGGTATTAGTGATCATACTTAGCTGTTACCACTTATGAGGCACTGCGTTGAGATTTTTTTGTTGTTCTTAGTTTTGTAAAGAACGTATAATAGTTATTGTATTTGAATTTTGCATACAGTTTATTGCATTGTTTTTTTGTAGAGCTGTGATGAAACAAAAACAGCGATATGAAGTTGGCTTGCAAAAATTGGAGTCAGCTGCCTCACAGGTAACCTTAATGTGCCTCTTGTTTATCCTGATATAACTAGTTCGCATAGTTAATATCATTATTTGGAAAACAATTCAGACTGTTGGGGCAATTGGGGGAACATTTTCTTTTAAGAAAATTCAACTTCCCCTTCCTACCCAAATCTTCGTCAGGTAAACACTTGATAAACCTTTTTCCTTGCACGCAGCTGTAATTTCCTGCTTGTAAAGCTTTTTTGAGCTTTTTTCATGAAAAGTTATATTTTTAAGTTACAATCATTGCGATCCAGAATTGATTTATTCAATACGGTCGAGGCAAACAATAGCAAAGCGTTCGAATGTAACTGCATACCCAAGCACCTTGCAGCTGTTGTTAAAGAGCTGTATGGACTTGTATTGCCCTATAGGTATCAGGAACTAGGGTATCTCAGCTGTACCATTCAGTTTTAGAGAAACTAGTCCATCTAGCTGGACTTAGTAGCACCTTTATTCAAAGCTAAGCTATTTTGGCTAGATATGAATTAATATGGTGATCAGCAACTATCATTATTCTGAATTCTGGCTTTTTTTCAGGATTTTTGTCATTTGCTGAAGATCTGTTTATACCAGCAATTGTTTTGACATTCTAGGTCGCTGGCATGCAGGTGGAGCTAAAGGAGTTGCAGCCACAGCTCGTTCTTGCCAGTAAAGAGGTCGATGAAATCATGAAAGTTATCGAAAAAGATTCTGTCGAGGTTGCTAAAACAGAAAAGGTTAGTTAGCCTTCCGTGAGTGTTAAAGATGGGTATGTTGTAATCAATTTTGAACAGCACCTTTTTGCAAAAGGAAGCTTTTATTTTCTGTACAGAAAGGATAATGTGCTTTTTATTATCGAATATATTTCAGTAGCAAATCATGACTTTTTGCACAAAATAACTGGATCTTTTGGCTGCAAAAAAGTGCGAACTTTGTGTAGATGCTTTTCATCTGTAGTTGCCACTGTTATGTTTTGTTGAGAATCTATCGTTGTGCTTTTGGCCATAAAATCTCTCATTGTATTCTCTTCCAATTAGAAACCGTAGATGCTGATGCGAATCAGAAATCTTGTCTTGAATTCATGTTTGCGGTATAATATTAACTAAAACCTTTTCTTTAGATTGTTAAAGCGGACGAAGAAATAGCCAACGAGCAGGCGCGTGCAGCTCAAGCAATTAAGGATGAATGTGACCGTGATTTGGGTGAAGCACTGCCGATCCTTGAGGCTGCTCTCTCCGCCCTTGATACGCTAACGAGCAACGTAAGTTTTTCGTTTGTTATCTTTTGTATGGCTGATCAGAAGTTGAATGAACCTTGGATATTTTTTAGCTAGATCTACAATCCCAGAGTTTTCTCCCGCTCCCCTCCCCCCTCCCCCTTCTCCCAGTTAAAGTTTGATATCTCTGATACTAAAATATATACGGTCCAACTTTGAATGGAGGGGGAGAGAGAAAGGTAGATGTTGACTATACATTTATGCTACCGGGTATGTGTTAAAGGGTTTGTCTCAGCAGCGTTGTCTCAACAGACCAAACATTTCTTCAATAAAATAGACATAGTGTCACACATGACCCATTGAAATTTATTTTGTTTAACGAGGACTCGGTAAAATTGACTTTGATTGCTTTATCATTTTTAGAAAAATGATCCTGTTAGACTTTACTTATACTGTTAGATTGCAACAAGTTGTGTATGTGAAGTGCATATTGTGATGTGAAATGCTAATATGTGAAATGAAATGCAAAATTGACTCCCTTTACGTGTCAGCAATACATTAAAGAAGTACCATACTGTCACTAGAAAGTTGTCATTTCTGCCTCTTGAGATGTTGCGATATGCCTCAAAGGTTTTGCACGCGTATACCAAGACGATAAGTTATTCTAATGTTTTGTAGGATATTACCATCGTGAAGACAATGAAGAGCCCTCCAACCGGTGTTAAAATGGTCATGGAGGCAATTTGCATCCTTAAGGGTGTCAAGCCTGACAAAATACCCGATCCTAGTGGTTCAGGTTTGTCGCAATTCCAATCCAATTTTTTTTAGTATTTTTTCTTTTCATGCATTCAGCTCTCATGATTTTCTCATGATTCTCAAATTTGTCGACTTTTGCTGTAGGATAACTATCGCAACTGGTCATATTTGAGATGAAATTCAACTGATTAATCTAAAAGTAATCAGCAGAAATTTTCCAACCAAAGCATATAGCCATTTGAGAACCAAAGACTCACTCGCCATTGATATTGCCAACATCTCGTAAATCCATTTGATAAATCACATTCAACCTTTTGAGAAAGAGTCTATCTGCAAGAAAAGCTTTTAAACATTCTGAGAAAAGTTCGAGTTTAATTTTGTGATTCTTATGGTAATAAACTATTTATCACTTACTACGTAATTCTGATTTGTTCACCAGGTAAAAGGATAGAAGATTACTGGGGAGCTTCCAAGAGGTTGCTCGGAGACATGAAGTTTCTGGAATCACTGCGATCGTATGACAAGGTACGGTATACTATCTACTTTTGGAACGAAAATCGTTTGTAGGCCATATTTTGCTATAATGACCAAAAATATCAAAATTGGAATTCTACTGTCTGGTATGAGTTGAAACTTTTTGTCAATTAGGCATTTCGCCCATGTTCAATTTCAGTTTTTGGTGGTTTCAGATTTTACTAAAATTTTTATGATAATACAGTGATGAAATATCATATAAATACGAGATTTCTGCAATTTTTTGACTGTGCCGCTGTTTTCTTTGCAGGATAACATATCTCCAAACATAATCAAAGTCATCAGGACAACGTATTCCAGCAACCCTGACTTTGTTCCAGACAAGATCAAGCAAGCATCAACTGCTGCAGAAGGCCTCTGCAAATGGGTTCTCGCAATGGATTCCTATGACAAGTAATTACCTCTTACTTATAGCCATCTATCATCACCATTCACGATCATTATAATCATCATCACCAACATCATCCTTAGTCTCCATAATCATCATCACTTGTGTGATCAATGATAAACGTGATAGAGAAATGATATAATTATGATCATTGCGTGAACACGTTCTTGTTTTCTCGTTATTTTAGAGTAGCCAAAGTCGTTGCACCTAAAAAGGAAGCCTTGAGGGCTGCTGAAGCAGAACTAGCTGTGGCAATGGAAGTGAGTTATTTTTTTTATATAACCAACTATAAACCATTAGCTTAGTACTAAGTGGTTGACTGTGTATGACTTTAATTGTGACTCAAACAAAAACTGTTCTCATATCCCGAGTAGAGCTAGTAGTAAAAAATTCATATTCAGTCGTTCTTAATGATCTTTCTAGCAAAGTCAATGTAATTTTCGCTGTTTAAAAATGCTAAAAAAATATATTAATTTAAGGATCACATATAAGTTCTGTTTTGCACGTGCTGCTTAATATCATGCGTGCTAATTTTGAAGTTTTTTTTACTTTTCATGAGATCTTGCATAGTTAGATGTTTTTTCTTTTTATACTGAATGGAGGTAGCTATCCTGTTACAGGCGCTATATGCGTTTCATTGCTATGTGAATCTGTATTGCGAACAACTTTTAGAGGTCTTTCTGACACTCGACTTGTATTTTCTTCAGAGTCTTGAAAAGAAGCGTGCTGTTTTACGTGAAGTCCAAGACAATCTCGCCAAACTGCAAGAAAAGTTTGAGGCAAATACCCGAAAGAAAGAAGATTTAGAGAAACAGGTATTTTTTATTTCGACCTTTTTTGATATTTTGATTAATCGATACTGTGTCGATTTTCTTTTTCTCATTCTCTTTCTTGATTTTAGAGATTATTTTTTTAGAATTTTAGTACCTTTCTTTATGAAATCTTCTTTTTGACGTTTTTCTTGGACCAAAATTACTTCTTGGGACCCCTGGTCCGATACTCCCCCCCCCCTTATATAGTGAATGGGATAAGAGGCTAAGGCAATGCTCGTTGAAAATGTTACGAATTTTTATCTTTTAAATCATAGGTTGATCTATGCACTAAGAAACTGGTGCGTGCAGAGCAGCTTATTGGTGGCCTTGGAGGAGAAAAAGACCGCTGGAGCAAGATAGCAAAAGATCTAGGACTGTTGTATGACAATCTCGCAGGCGATGTCCTGGTGTCTTCAGGGGTGGTTGCATACCTCGGTGCATTTACGTCATCATATAGACAGGTCAGTGTTAGGATGTAGAGGGTTTTACATCTGTTTTTTAGCTGTTCAACAGATACATGCTCTGTTGTAAAGATTGATCATTATTTTAAGCGGATTGATTCTTCTGTATGTCTTGAGGCACGGAGGGCTGTTTAATGCAAATCATTTTTAAATAGCGGTACTAGGCTTCATTATATAAACAAAAAATAAGTTCAGATCAACATTCCTTCTTTAATGAAAGAGACAAGATATTTCAATTTATGATGTACTTCTTTGTATTTTTATCCATTTTTTCCTTTGCTTCCCTATTGTTTATATCCTTAGTGAATCTTTAGGCACCGTTTATACAGACTAAAATTATCCAGCTGGTCACTTATCATGGAGTATTGATATAGAATAGCTCTGGTGAACGAAGAAACTCTTTTTATAGGAGCAAGCAGCGATGTGGGTGAAAGACTGCAAGAAATTTGGTGTCTTGTGCTCAGATGAAGTCTCTTTGACCAGCACACTCGGTGACCCTGTGAAAATCAGGGACTGGAATATTGCAGGACTGCCAACTGACAATTTCTCCATAGAAAACGGCATCATTGTAGGGTATGTTTTTTCTGAATCCCCTTTGTTTTTTCAGCAGAATTTCATTGATTTTTAGGTACTTTTTGAAAATTTCATCCTAGAACTCCTTCCAATTGGGCAACCTTAAAAGTTAAGTGCTTGCGTTTCCGACTAGCCTATTTCAACACACAACTGGGTGAATATAGATATAGAGTTTTCGATCTTTGGTCTGACGTCTTATACCCCGATGTTGTTTGTCTTTATTTAAATTTTACACATAGATTTTGTAATTACCATGTTCTTATCCCCTGTTACAGAAATTCAAATCGTTGGCCACTGATGATAGATCCACAAGGACAGGCGAACAAGTGGATCAAAAACATGGAAAAGAAGAACCTTCACGTGATCAAGTTAACCGATCCTGATTACACGAGGACACTGGAAAATTGCATCCAGTTTGGGGCACCGGTGGGTTTCCTCTGGCTATCAATGCGTTGCGTTTAGACTAAGCCTTTTCGACAGGGGATGGGGGCTCCAGTTTTTTACCTTGAATCTTATAAGAATATTTGTTTTTTGTTACTTGCCTAGTTTTTCTAGCTTTTTTTTGTTATGATAGTCTCAAAGTTTGCCATCGACTATTACTTTCGTTTTATGGTACTACGCTATACCATGCCATTAGAGAAAACGTTTTACTAGGATATTTGTGTTCTGATTTTTAAGTTGCACCTTATTTCAAGCAGTCAACTCTTTTTAGACTTTCGAAACTTCAAGTTTATAGAACGTTTTCAAAAACATGGAAAATATTTTGTGATTACTCCTTACCCCTGTATACTGAGCAGCATTGGTGCAGTGTACTCAAATTGCATCTTCGCTTCCATAGGTTCTTCTAGAGAACATCAACGAAGAAATAGATCCAATTCTAGAGCCTCTGCTTCTTAAACAAGTTTTCAAGCAAGGGGGGTCTATTTGCATCAGGCTTGGTGACAGCACCATTGAATATTCAAAGGACTTCAGGTTTGCGAGCACTAGACTCTCTTTTTTGATTTAAAAGACGATATGATGTTTTATAATGCTACAAGCAGCAGTAGTTAATAGCTCTATTATTTTAATTAGGAGTGTCCTTTGGTTCTTCTCTTATGCACCGTAAATTAGCAGAGTCTACAAAATGGCATCTTGAAAATGTCATTGAATTCTGAAAACTTGAAAGCTGAATACTTTCGTAATTATTTTCTTCTCTTTTACTGAACAAAGGCTCTAATGGCCTTCGATACACCAAAAGCCATAAGTGTGAGGGGTTTTATTATTCATTAAGATTGCGTTGTAAGATTTGCCAATGGTTTTGCTGGTAGACTCTCTCAAAAGCCATTTGATAATAAAACATGATTTTTCCTTCTCGTTAGTTCATCAACTATGGTTACAATGGTCCATGTTATTTATTTACAATTATATATTTAGCTGGTAACGAAATAAGAATTAATACCAGTGATTTATTTTCTATTTTTCAGATTCTACATGACAACAAAACTACGAAATCCACATTACCCGCCTGAAACTGCTGTTAAGGTAAGAGTAACATCATTCTTTACCAAAACTTTTTGTTTCATACCCCGTCTTACATTTTTGTGCTTATCCGGCTATAATGTATTTCTAATGTCTTGGTAGACCACAAGAAATCCACATTTCGATCCACAACTGTGTATCTATATTTCCTAGCGTAGAGTTTTCGATCTATGTTCTGACTTTTTATACTCGTCAGTTTCAAGAGAGTGTCAGACGAAAAGCTTCAGTTTTTTTTCAAAATTTTTGCTTTTTCAAGGCCATTTTATATTTTTGTACCACCATGAATGGTACAAACGAATTGGCCATCTGTGTTACTACGTCAATGCGAAAATCTTTGGTATTGCAAGATTTATGCTTGGTAAGATATTGCTATAAATTTCCCTATTTGATGCTCAAAGAACGGTAAAAAGTTGCCTGTCCGAATTCTTCAAACAAACATTTGATAAAAACGAACAGTAACTGAATGTTTGAATCGCAGGTAACACTTTTGAACTTCATGATAACCCCCGAAGGCCTAGAAGATCAGCTCCTTGGCATTGTCGTGGCACGTGAACGACCTGAACTGGAGGAAGAGAAGAATTCCCTCATCTTGCAAAGTGCAGAAAATAAGCGGCAGCTTAAAGAGATCGAGGACAAGATCTTAGAAGTTCTTTCCTCATCTGAAGGAAATATTTTAGAAGATGAAACAGCAATTCAGGTGTTGTCATCGTCCAAGACTCTGTCTAATGAGATCGCTGAAAAACAGGTACTACAAACCTTTATGAAATTTCAATTCGAGAGCACCGGCAGCTGATTATTTTAAGTATGGTGTGATTGATTTTAAAGTCTTGATCATTTTACTGTCTTTGTACTTTTGTATGCAATTACTTTAACGTATCTTTTTTCCTCTTTCTTTATTTTTCATCTTCTTTTTAATTCTTTTTTAACGACGAAGATGTATATGAATAAAATTTTTCTTTTGTAAACCGTAACCGCGAAACTTTGTAACATGCATAAAAAAGAAAACATGTGATATTTAAAACACGGAAGTGTACATCAACCTATATAACCTCAATGAGTAATTGGCCACGTCTGTTTTATCAAATAACGATCTCTTTGATTCATGTTTGATAAATTATCAGATGCTAGAACAGTAAGTTACATAGAAATATCGAATTCTAAAATGATAGCTCAGATCTAAGAGGTCATTTATGAAAGAGTCTTTTTATAAATTAAAAAAGACACATTTTTGGCTTGACGAGCTCTTTGCATGTTTTCTAGAAAATAGGAAACTTGTCCACGAGACTCTCGTCTTCTTGTATATCTGTTGGTATAGATACGAACGTCACTTAATCGGAAACCTGCAGACATTATTTTTGTTACTCAAGGCGAGTGTTGTTATCTTATTCAGGCCATTGCTGAACAAACCGAAGCAAAAATCGACGAGACTCGAATGAGATATAAACCAATTGCTATCCACTCCACCGTGCTCTTCTTCTCCATTGCTGATCTAGCGAATATTGAGCCGATGTACCAATACTCTCTTGCCTGGTTCATCAATTTGTTTATCAGCTCGATAGACAACTCAGAAAAGGCTGACGATATTGATCAAAGGTATGCATTCTTGATTCCTTAGGAGGGGTGACTTACTTAGGTTCCCAATATCAAGCAAATGGCACTTACATATCTTCCCCTTTTTGATGTGAATGAAGATACAAACTAAGGTACTCTGTTTTCATTATTATCCAAAGATTCTTGTTATCTAGATTGTTGCAAAGGCGATTGGATATCGTAAAGTGCCTCGTTAGGCTCACCATTCATGATCAACCTCTCCACGATCAACCTGGTCAACCGCTTACGAAATTCATAGTATCATTTTTCTTAATTGTATCTTAAGATTTCGTCGGTCTGGCTCAACATCAATCACCAAAAGCAAAAAAGTCAGTCATTAAGGGTATACGGGAGCTGACTGAATGGAGTTTGCCTACCAGAACACAATAAAGTCCCCTTTCAATCTGAGTCACAACTAAACTAATGGGTTATTTTAGGGAGTGGGACCCAAAGGGTTAGATACTTTTGATCACGAACTGTTTTCACCCATGACCATCACTTTGGATCGGTAAAAAAATCGTCCAGAGAATTCTCCTAAGTGTCTATTCTGCCCTTTATTTATGCGAACCTAAAATAGATGTGTTAACGGCAAATGACAACGAATTTAACTTGGTTGGTTCCTTGAACAGATACAATTTTTTTATCGCAGAAATATTTCAGTCTGTTCCACCAGTACTGGAACACATAAAAATGTAAAAGTCACTTTTCAATACTGAGTCATCTCGAGTATTTCGTAACTGCTCGATAATCTTAGTGCTCGATTTTTATAAAAGGTTTCTATATGTTTGCAATTTCTGCAAATTTGTTTTATTGAACTATTTTAGGATGTTGATGGCTGATATAATTTTTGGAAAAGCAGAAATTGTGTTGATAGCCTAAGCGAACATTTTTTCCCAGAAATCGCAAGATTTTATGACTAATTTGTATCTCTAAATATTCTGTTTCATCTTTATCGACAGACTAAAGAATTTGAAAGACCACTGCACTTATTCTCTGTACTGCAACGTTTGCAGATCGTTATTTGAAAAAGACAAGGTAGTAATCTTCTCGCGATTACACATTTTCATTCAAAAACATGCTTGTTTGCAAAACTCTGACAGTGTTCGCATCTGCGACTGTGAAATTATTGCAAAAAGTAGTTTGTGTAACATCTTGACTAGAAATATGTCCTCCTTCATCCTGTGATAAATATCCTTATTATCAGCTGTAATCATGTTTCTGATGTCATGCACCACGTGTTGTCGTTCGATTTAGTGGCTTTCTTCCCAGTTATGTAACGAGCATGCACTAGAAGGCTCCTTCTACGTAATTTAGTGTGAGAATGATTTGTCTATTTGACTGAGAACGCCTTAGCAGAAAATCGAGATTGTAAAAAATAGTTACCCTTTTGGCGTTATTTTCCAAGCAAACAAAAATTTCAGCCTCAACCATAAGAAATATATTCATGTAAGTCCCCATTGATTCACATCTCCAATTAACGAAAAGCATTTGTTCCACAATTTTTCTCTCGCGCTCGATGTTTGGTATAAACTTCCTCTAAAAAAAATTCCCTTAAATAGAGAGCATCTCTGATCCCTTAGATGTCCGAAATATGAAGGTTTCATGGGAACTATTGACATTATTCTTTCTCTAGCTCAGCTTTCTACCCGAATCGTCATCTAAATGTATGCTTGATTATTGCCATAATCTAACTTTTATACTCTGAGTGGGGCCTTTAGCGGTAACAAAGGCTTGTTTGGGCATACCTGTGTATAAAAATGTCTTGTGCAGAAGCTTGAAGCCCGCGTATCATTGATTTGAAAGTCATCCTGTTCAGGTTTCACTAAGAGTTGTATGTTTATGCTTCACTGTTTGTCTTTGACTCCCTTTTAATCCTTTTATTTATTCACATTGCTAGCTGCTCTTCTCCCTGTTGCTCTGTGTCAATCTACTGAAGCATGACCATGAAGTCGAAGAACTAGAGTGGCGCTTTCTTCTTACTGGAGGTGTTGGCCTTGACAATCCCCACACAAACCCTGCAAGCTGGCTACCCAAGCAATCCTGGGACGAACTCTGCCGTCTTGATGAGCTGCCAAGGTCTGTCACTGTCGTATACCCTGCCTGTATGCCCTGCTTTTGGTCTCGGGTAATACAGCTCGTAGTCCGCAGCTGACCAGTGGCAAAATAGAATATTTTGCTTCCGATTATTTAGATTTTACTTCAACTAGTTTTTTTCAGCTAGAACATCTTGTCTTTCTTGTTGATGCTAAAAAAGTTTTCAACTTGCAGTCTAAATAATTTATCGAAACTACCTTCATTTCACCGATACCATCTTTGTTTAGATTGATCTTGATTCGATCGAATGTAACAGAAAAAAATTAACCTTATTTTTAGAAGTACCTTTTCTCCTCCCATGGCCGATTTTTTTTATTTTGTCTTGTTCTGCGGTTACGTATACTTTCTGAGATGGACAGGAAACATTTTGAATTTAATTTGACCACGGCATCAAATTTTCTAGCCCTCGACACCTCTCGTTTTCTTGTATTGTATTTTTCATATAAGATTGTCGAAAATCTAATAGTCAATTAGATTGTGTCTTTTTTTGTAGATTCAATGGCATAAGAAAAAAATTTCCAGCTTACAAAGATGGATGGCAAAAGATTTATGACAGCAACGTGAGGAACATTTGATTTTCAACTAGCATTTTCTTTTATCACTCCAATTTCCTGCCTGAAATAATCACTTTCGGCTCTTGCCCACTGTGACGTCTCACAACAGTGAAATCAATATGGTGTTGCCAGTCAAGCTAACTGCATGTTTTAATTCGACTTGAGTATATTGTGGCTCTCTGTAGTGCTTTCACTGTGCAAACATTGCTTGGGATTGAAGAAACCAAATGTATAATGAGAAATGCTTTTCAGGAACCACACCACGAGGAGTTGCCGGGAGAATGGAACGAGAGGCTCGAGATGTTTCAGAAGATGCTGGTATTGCGTTGCCTCCGACCGGATAAGGTAAGATTAGTTATACCGGATCGCATTGATAGAAAATGAACCGTTCTCTAATTTGAGTACCGTTAGAGTTATGAACCGGTTTGGCATTTCGAATCACAACTTGATTTTATTTATTAGAATTTAGTAAAATCTTCCACAAAATTTATAAATGTAAATTCAATATCCACTCTTTTTTCTCATTTAGTCTGCTATTTTTGGTAAAAAAGTTTCAGTTATTTTTTGCTGTAATCCTGTCACCGTACTCATGTTCTTTGGCTTTGTTCTCGTTCCGTAGATTGTCCCTGCTATTCAGGAGTTTGTCACAGCCAAATTTGGGAAACATTACATCGAACCACCCCCCTTCGACCTCGCCAAATCATTCAATGACTCAAGCAGCACCGCACCAATCATCTTTGTTCTATCACCTGGATCTGATCCAATGGTTTCCCTGCTTAAATTTGCTGATGATCAGGTAAAATAACCTTTCTACCCTGGATTTTATAAATGTTTGCATGAACGAAATGAATCAAGGCAGTCGGATTTTTCACGATTAACCACATAAGGAGTCACATATAGAAACAAAAAGTCGATGTGCCATTTAAAATTTATCGCAACCCACACAAAAAATACCACTTTGAGGTCTTATTGACTCCTTAAGGCTACCTTCACAAGGCTTCATAATCCTATTTTATGTTTGTTTTTTGGGTAGTTTATTGGTAGTTTTGTGAGGTATTGTCCCTTGGGCTTTGGTTTCAGAATCATTTGTCAAATATTTGTGGAAGTAGTGACATGCTGTTGTCGGCCTACCTGAAAACAAATTAACTTTTTCACTTAGCAAGAGGTCTTCATTTGCAGATACCCCGTAAACATCAACCCAGATTCAGTGATGCAGTTTTGACAACAACAGATTCCTACATTATAGACAAGAGTTTTGGTTGATTATTTCATAGATTAATAGATAAGGCCATTTTCAATGTATCACTGTAAAATCGCTATCAAGGTAAGTCACTCTGGGTAAAGCTTTGAGAAGAAAAGCGGAGGTGCTGATCATGGGAATTCTAGTAATAGAGTTTCTTTTACAGGGTTTTAGTGGATCAAAGCTCAGCTCCTTGTCACTCGGACAGGGCCAAGGACCCATTGCGTTAAAGATGATAGAGAAAGGCGTTCGTGAAGGGACATGGGTCGTGTTGCAGAACTGCCATCTTGCTGTCTCTTGGATGTCGACGCTCGAAAAAATCTGCGAGGTTAGTTGATCTTACAGACTTTTTTTATTTCTTTCATTTCTAACCCCAAAACGTCATTAATGATTAAATGTACTTTTTTAGGTTTTCAAAGAATTCTTAGCAGGCTGACTCCTGATCAGTGATACTTAACCGCATACGTAGCTACGCACGTATACTGCATCTGTTAACATTAACGTAATTGGCTACTTGATTTTTCTAACCATTTTGAATTTTTACATTTCAGGAACTGAACCCAGAATCTACTCATCCGGACTTTCGTCTTTGGTTGACCAGTTACCCATCTCCTCATTTTCCGGTCTCGGTCCTTCAAAACGGAGTCAAATTAACCAATGAACCACCAAAAGGCTTGCGATCCAATATTTACCGGTCATATCTCAGCGATCCTATAGCTGATCCTGACTTTTTCTCCAGCTGCAAAAAACCGGTAGGATGTAAATAGTAACTTTTTTTACTACGCCCCATTTTCCTGCTCTAAAATTTAAACGCCATTCAGTGTTTTCCTAAGTTAAGTAATTTGATACGTCAGTGTATTTTCTGTTCATAGCTAGAAGCACCATGCATGTGTTTACATTTATTTACGAAATAAATATATTGAAGTCTTTACTTTTCATTTGTGATCAATATTCCTAGTTTGTTATGCTCATCCTCCTCCCCCGCCCTCCCCCCCTAGTGCAATTTAAGAAATTTCCGAGTAATATGTTCGGCGTTTCATTCTATCTGGCTTCTCAATCCTGAATATTTTTTTGACGTAATCAACTTGCTAGATTTTCACATTTTTGTCGCAAATTTCGGATGTTCCGTCTGACTTTCTTAGTTATTTTCTCATTCAACAGCAAGCATTCAAAAAGCTTCTCTTTGGCTTGTGTTTTTTCCATGCCTTGGTGCAAGAAAGACGAAAATTTGGGCCTTTAGGCTGGAATATCCCGTACGAGTTCAACGAAACCGATTTGCGTATCAGCGTGAGGCAGCTTCATATGTTCCTTGACCAGTATGACGTAAGTATAGATAAGTTGATTTCGGTCCTCATTTGAAGAATTTCTGGATTTTTGAAACTTAAGTCTTATGTTTTGCAAAACGATATTAAACTGGTTTGTTTTGTGTGGAAATTACAATTACCTTGTTGGTTTTACTTTTAGTTATCACTTTTACAAATATTTCTGATATAAGATGCTTGTTAAAAGATTTCCCACCTTTCTTGTTGACCATTTTCCCCGTCTACACCGAATTTCGATAGTTATTCGTACTAATTGCTATATAAAAGTATTCGCACTAATTTTTTAATGCTATTTCTAAATGTCTATAAATAAAGATAGTTCAAGCTATTTTCAAATTTTGACAGAAGGTTTACAGCTCAAAGTTTACATCTTGAAGGCAAGCTCTATTACACCCATTCTGATTCGTTTGACCCTCGCTCAGAATACCTTTTTAAAACTTTTAAACAATTGGTTGCTGTTTTCCCAACACATTATTGCTAAAAAGTTACTAAACTACAAAAACTCCAATCCTTTAAACTGACTTTTGTTTCAGGACGTCCAATACGCCGCTCTCAAATACTTGACTGGTGAGTGCAACTATGGTGGCCGCGTGACCGATGACAGGGACCGGAGAACCTTGCTGACCGTTCTTGATTCATGTTATTGCAGCGAAATTATAACCGAAGAGAAGTATCTCTTTTCTCCAAGCGGAAAATACTTTGCCCCACCGGATGGAGATGTAAGCTATTCACCTCAACATTAATCTGCCCAGTGTTGGCGCTCTTTTTATGAACCTCCATGATCCATACTACGTTTTGTCCTTCAAATGCTTTGAGCTATTAACCTGAAAAAATGTTGTTCCGTATTGCGTTATTCATGTCTTTGAAGCAGAGCTGTACTGCTGAGGAAAGAGCAAGAAAGAGCTCTCACAAAAACAATTTGTACGAACTCACTGCTTTTGGCAAGGGACCCTGTACTCATGCTTTGAAGGTTGATTGAAAATTGGATGCATTTTTTAATGGAAGATTTCCCAGTTGCAGATTTTTGCATGTCATCTTTTGCCTTCGTTCACCATGGCTGATTGCTTCATTATAAGCATGAAATTCTTTATTTATCAAAGTTTAGGGGACTGGTGTGAGTCGAGAAAAGCCATGACTCCAACTGATATACTTTTATAATCAATGATAAGAGAAGAATGTAGTTTAAAGTGCCTGTGACATGATTTTCGTACTTTTGGGTTTATATATCTATTCTTATGTAAAAAGGCCTGTTATTTTCATTTCTGAGGTTAGTTTTTACGTTTCGTAAGAAATGAAGGAGTTATTGGCAATCTTCTACGCCAAAATTCGCCATCTTGGTTTTCAGAATGAGTAGACAGTGACGTCACGGGAGGGACCCGATCGCCTCCTCCTTCGAGTTTTTGTATCGTAGTCAGTGAGGGAAATCTAACAGGTCCAAGATGAGCGATATTTCCAGAGAAAGTAGTGGCAGCGAGGATGAGATTTTTGAAGGTAGCGCTTACATTGTTACAATAACGAGTTCCTCCCATGACGTCACAAGAGAACGGCGAATGATGATAAAGCGACTTGGCTAGGCCGCACTATTTTGCTTAATTTCAATATCAAAACGCTTTTATTTCAAAAAAAATTCAGATCTACGATAAGAGCAGTGCAACGCTTCAATTAAGAGAATAAAAAAAATCATGTCACAGGCACTTTAATTATAACTCTAATTGAAAACTTAATGTTTCATTATCTTAAATATTTGACTGAATTGTCCCTTTGGTGATGTACTTGAAATAACCTATTGTTTCCAACTCAACGTAAAGCATCTAGAAAACGATGCTTTATTTATATATAAGAAATGTATTTAGCAACTTGATGACCTTTTTGATGTTTTGCAATGTTTTTTTTACAGTATGAATCGTATACAGATTACGCCAAATCACTGCCAATCATGACCCACCCTGAGGTTTTTGGCATGCATGCAAACGCAGACATAACCAAGGACCAACAAGAAACCAATTTGTTGTTTGACAGCATACTTTTAACGCAGGTAAGAAATTAGTTGTTAATGGAGCCTACTGATTATTTGTGCTATTTACGACAAGTTGATTATTATTGGTGCTATTCCTTACAAGTGATCAAAAGATGAGAGTAGCCGTTTTCAATGAATCCTTTTTCCGGTTTTGTTTGAAAAGTTTGGGTTGCAACTGTTTTAAGTTGGGTTTTTCTTTTTCTCTACCGATATCTTATTATACACTGCATGTTATTTTATAGCCATGAGTTTAGACACCACATATTTTTATTTTCCAAGGCTCGGTCGTCATCAAGCGGTGGAAAATCAGACGATGAAGTCTTGACTGAGGTAGCCGAAGACATTTTGCAAAAGCTTCCAGCAAATTTTGACAACGAGGCTGCTTTACGAAAGTACCCCACAACGTATACACAGGTATGTCGAACTGCGATGTTCTGATATTGTAAGAGAAATATTCTTGTTTTCAAAAACTTTTGAAAGCAAGGCTATTAAGGTCCGTCACCTGTTTTCCAAGCTCAAAACTTTTGCCTCGTCCAAACGTAAAAAACAGCTTTAGCTTTCTGTAACTATGGAGATAATCACAAATAGTGTATAATGCAATGTGATTAGCGGCAGATCCTCCCTAAACGAGGTTTGCTTGACATGACTACCATCAAGAACTAAGAAATTATTCCTAATCTTAATTATGACCTAGTATGTGATCACAATTTCAACGCTTCTTTTCTCAGATAATTTGCATGTTAAAGAGTTTTTGCTATGGCTGTCCGCAAATTCATCATAAGATTAGAACCACGCTTTGTTATTTCGGTAATCAGCCTATCAAGTAGTTTGAATTTTACACCATTTCTCTTATTATGAAGCAAAAATACTGCCTTCGAGAACTGAAATCATCTTTTCGTACGGAAACCATTTCCTTTTGGCTTGGTTAATTTAACTTGCCCATGTGTATTCTTCTGTTTAACCTGACGTAAGTGACGGGGACATCTGAAGAGTCCTGGGATCTAGTTTTTTATATTTCTATTTAAAGATTGCTAGCTTATCAGTTGATCCACGAGGTAGAGCATTTTAGGACACATTACGATCCTCCTCCACACCCATACTACCTATCTCCATACTGCATTATGTAGAATAAAGTTGGTACTGCTTCCATGCTGTCCTTTAGCTTTATTTTTTCGTCCAAAACGTTGCCGCAAGTTACTCAAAATTTGTTTTGAAAGGAAGAAATGCAGGATAGGCTGTCCGCCGGATTCTGTGAATCTTGCGATGAGTAATAATGAGAAAAGTATTCAAGAAGAAAGCAACATGATGACGAGAATCCAATATAGTGTGATAGAATTTTTGGTTCTCATCAACGTGTCGCAAAAATTTCCATCCTTAACGTATTCCTTTGTAGCGCTACTGATAATAACTCAGTTTTTTCTTCAAAGCATGTAATTTTCTACTCTTGTTTGATAGAGCATGAATACAGTTTTGGTGCAAGAGATGGTGAGATTCAACAACCTTACGACAGTTGTACGAGAAAGCCTCATTAATCTCAAGAAGGCGATCAAGGTAAGCCTGCCAATGACAATTAACTTTAGTCGGCCTGCTTCATAAATTCTTTACTGCATTAGAAAGCTGTCAATTGCTTAAGCGAAGTGCCTTGATGACATTTGAGCTTCAGAACATAGTTTGAACCTTAATTTTCTACTTCTTTCCTCTGCCATTCAAGTTCTCTGCAGATGGTGAACTTCCATTTTTATCGACAGGGTTTGGTTGTGATGTCATCTGAACTGGAGGATCTGGCGCAAAGCATCCTTAATGGCAAAATACCGAATATGTGGAAGGCAAAATCATACCCGTCCTTGAAACCTCTAGGAAGCTACATTAAAGATTTATTAGATAGACTCAAATTCCTCCAAGAGTGGTATGACACCGGACCACCTGTTGTATTCTGGGTTTCCGGATTCTTCTTCACTCAAGCCTTCTTGACCGGTATGACATTTTGCACTGTTTATTAGAGTTTACTTATCTTTAAATAACATGTAATACTGCCTTCCACCTGACAACTTGCAATTGCTGAAGCTAGGTTGCAGTCGATTGAACCATGCTAATTAGCATGTTTCTTCAATAAGAAATATATTCAGCACAAAAATGTCCTATTTCGATGACCAATCGTATCTATATTCGAAAAAATTAACTGTCCTTGACACGCTGTTTACACAATAGCGGTTTTTAACTGTTAAAAAAAAGGAGTTTATTTTTCATTCTTGGACACGGTGGGTGATATAATAGAATATCAAAAGTAGATAAAGCAGTTTTTCAATGTTTTGTAATGTTCTATACTTTACAAAATTAAATATAATAAAACTTTTTCATTTTGTCAGTAATGACTTGGCAAAGTCACTGCTATTATTTTTAAGTCGTCTTTATGATCAACAATCTGCTTTATTCCAATACAGGAACGCAGCAGAATTTTGCTAGGAAGTATACAATCCCCATTGATTTACTTGGCTTCGATTTTGAGATGCTTGAAGACAAAGAATATGATAAGCCGCCTGAAGACGGTAAGTGGTGTCATATGCAGCTTGTGACATTTATTAAAGAGAACTAAAATCCGTGAACAAATCAAATTATAACTGAATATTGTATTTGTTGCTACCTAGTTTTCGAAAGTAGTTTTTAGGACACTGGGAATCTATGCTTATCGAGCAGTGCCCTGGCTCTACTTCTCAATGATACCAAAGCTTGTGATTCCTATACCTGGAGTTAAAGAGAGCTGGTTACTCCGCTCAGCTCTGAAAGCTTTGTCGAACCCCAGACCCTTGAATCTGTAGTCCGAGGCCCTAACCACTGGGCTAGCTAGTTAACGTAATTTAAAGTTGGTATGCAGAGGTTTGAGAACAGTTCTATTTCTTTTGAATTGGTGGACTTTTACAGTGCTTTCCACGCTACCATGACTTTCAGGCTACTTTCTTCTCTCTTGGACCACTTTTTTATCAATTATTGATTTCATGCAATTAGGATACCCGCGTGGATTCTTCAAAAGTCGCTGACAAATTTAGGGCTTATTTTTCATGGTAATGTGAGACGTAAGCTCGCTTTTAAAGATCGCCATTCCAGAGCTAATAGCTCTAATATTTGCAGGAAAAATTTTCTAAAACTTTTCGCTAATCCAGATTTTTGCGATTTTTACAGGCGTTTATGTCAAAGGGCTTTTCATGGAAGGTGCCCGCTGGGATCGAGAACAGAAAGTCATTGGAGAGTCCCGTCCTAAAGTTCTTCATGATGAAATGCCTGTTGTATGTATTGGTTTTTCTTATATGTTTTTCTGTTCAATATGATTCTTTCAGGGGGTCTTGTATCGTGCAGAGGAACAAAATCTCCATAAGCAGTTCTCAGAACTTTTTGATTAACTAACAACTAGTATATTTTAAGATGAGTTGGCATAATTTAAATCATTTTTCTCGCAAAACCCGATTCAGGCCAGTAGTCTGTATAAAGTATACCTATAGAAATCTTAAGAAATATTTGTAATCGTGTTATAACATCTTTACAAAATGTTACATTTTATATGGGTAGGCTACCAAATATTCCCAAAAATTATTTTCCTAGTTACAATAAGAGTGTATTTCTAATAACAGATCTGGCTGAAGCCATGCAAGAAAGGTGATGAAGTGGAGAGGCTTCATTACTCGTCCCCAGTCTACAAGACAAGCGAACGACGAGGCACGTTGTCTACGACGGGGCATTCCACCAATTTCGTCATGGAAATCAAACTACCATCTTCTCTGCCTTCAGCGCATTGGATCAAAAGAGGGGTGGCACTGCTCTGCCAACTCAACACTTAATTTTACGCAACAGTTTTATGGCATATTTTCTTGTATTTGGCACCAGATACGCCGGCATTTAGTAGTTTTGAAGTAACTTTTGAAGCAGCTGTATTTGTTTATCAAAAATTCAACATGTTCAAGATTGCCGTTCTAATGATTTGATAAATGAAGTTCACAGTGCAATTTTTTTTATATTATCGATATTTGTACAATACTGTTTCTGCATGCAGAATTTCGATACTAAGACAGAGCCAAATATTTGCAAAATGTTATAATTTTTATACAAGAAAATCTCAAATGTGGCGATCTTGAACTTGTTCCCATCATTTGCTTGTTGCTACAGGGGAATATATTTTTGTAAATTGTCAATCGTTGATCTGCCTTTTTGACAATATTTAGGTATTGTGTTGTAGAAAATCTCACCTGGTTGTAAATAATTAAATCCTGACGTTGTACGTTCATGAACTATTTTCCTCATTATATGACGTGTTTTTTGCTTCGACTATCTTTCTTTGTGCATATGATAAAATGTTTTTGTAAATTGGCTGCCTGACTAGATTAATGCCTTCGCTGATGAATACCTTTTTGAATATCATTCAAGGGCTTTTTAGCCAACCCTCCCTTCTGATCACATTCATTGCATTCTGTTTTTAAAGGATTAAAGGAATGAGCAAGCTTAAAATGAGGAAACAATGAAATAAAACTTGTGTAGTTCATAAATAAATCCTTTGTTGTTACGTGAAAGATAACCGTTACCATTTTGGTCTTGGAAAACCAAGAACACTTTGGAACATGCATAAGCAAGAGGTCGAAGACGTCTCGTTTTGTTGTTTTTAGATTTGTACGGGAAAGTGTTCATGTTATTTTTTGTGTGTATCTAGTCCAAGGGATCCCATGATAGATAATTCTACACTCATTCGAGTGGAATGTAAAAAGATGCCTGCTTCGTTAGGTTTTATCCCCTTGTGGGTTATCCTACTTCAAATCGATGCACAAAAGCAATCCCCTGGGCCCTTGCCACGCACAAGCGCTCACTCAAGAGACAGTGCATTCCCTTCTATCATTTCTATCCTTGAACGGTCAATGTCTAGGCCATTTTGAAACTAAGCATGTTCAGGTGCATCTTGCGCGGTAGAGAGACGGAATTTCTCAACTAAACTGCAGGTTTGTGTCACTTTGTTGGTTGAAATTACTTCTTACAATCATATTTGTCTTCTACCTTAAGGTTTAATCGTCTTGCGAAATGGTAAGCGTGTTCACCAGGAGCGGGAACAAAGTCAAACTATTCCAGATTTGTTTGAGTAAATTTTAGATACGAATTAAATATACCTCTAGATTTGAATGATATAATAAGTGTCAAGTATTTACCAAAACGCGAATGGAAAACACTTCTCACAAAATCGTGGCACAGCCGTTGAGACAAATGTCTAGCACGTGACATTTAAATCTCATACATAGTGTGCTCAATTGAAAAATCAGAGTTGTGTCAGAAAAAGTAAAGAACAATGCATATACATGTCATTTTACAAATATGCCAAGATCAAATTTGAAAACTTCGAACATTTTCGATTATTTATTATTGAATACAGTTCAAGTTGAGAATGGCTTTGATAAAAGCAAACATTTAGTAAGCTAAATCTTTTGGTCTGACACTCTTCAGAGTTTAAAACGTCAGAACATAGATCGAAAACTCTACGCTAGGAAATATATATACCAAGTTGTGGATCGAAATAGGCCAATCAGAAACACGAGCACATGACTGTTGAGGTTGACCAATCAGTGCCGCTTGCCTATTGAGAATGTTACCAATGGAGTCCTAAGGTGAAAACGAACTCCTTCTGTCTACACAGTAGCGGTTTTTAGTGCTTATGTAGATAGATTCCAAAATGCTAGGTGGAACGACGATCGGGCTTTACCAATAATCCGAAACATGTCGCCATTATAGTTTCTTGCACAATCTGGGTTTTCCAGTAAATGCTGCCCGATAGCAGAATCGCAGGTTTTAGTTGTAATTTTAGATTTGCAAGACCGAGGTGGCTGTTCTCTTTGGGGACGAATTTTGTTTTAATACTAGGCGTTATGTTCTGACGTTTTAAACTCTGAAGAGTGTCAGACGAAAAGCTTTAATTTACTAAATGTTTGCTTTTTCAAAGCCACTTTCAAGTTTTGTACCACCAAAAGATTGTTTGCACAGTTCAAGTTAGTTCATTCAATTTTCCATGCTCTTTTATGCAACTCAGTGTTTTTTCTTAACATACCTACCTATACTTTGGATGATCTACGCTTTCTATACCTGATTCGGGCCAAGAAAAATTTCCACCCAAGACATGGTTATTCCAGCTACCCCTTAAATCTAAATTGAAAAAATTCCCCATTAACTCCTTTTAATCCGGAACTCTTCTTTGAAAAACTATTCCGTAATGCTTGAAACCAGTGTTGAAGAACAAAATTTCTTATCAAATTGGGCTTTCGCAAACCAAGAGAACACATCTACATCCATTGGCTCTATCTATATGAGGCTGAACATGTAGCCTGTGTAATGCTCCGCCTGCTTTAGACAGAACTACAAAACCTACAACTAAACAACTTCCCTGTCTGAAATCAAGTCTGCTTTTCCAAAGGTTGACCTTTCTACTAACAAGGAGAAATATGTTTCTGTTATCGCATTTTTCTTGGAACAGAATTTAACAAGCGTTTCCAAGATTTCGCTGTCATTGAGAAAGATACTAAGCTGTGGTCGACAACCTTTCTGATGGATGCAGAAGTGGAAGAGGGTCTGCAGATATCAAGTGTCAAAATCAGCTTCTCCCCCTCCCTAGCTTCTGTCAGAGTTAGGATAATGACAAGTTCTACGTGAAAATTTCAGTACAGACTATTTATACCGACACAGTTTCATGTGCAAGAACAACTTGAAATCACTATGACGCTTGCGTGCGCAACTCTATTGTAACCTTCTTAAAGACTCTACTCTTTTCCTTCCTTCTATAATTAAATAAATTCAGTTTTATATTAAGCAAATATGAAATTCAGAGAGGATTGCAAAAAAATTGTACTCGTCATCTATGCTAAAATAAACAAGAAACTGTTTGTAGAAACATGAGTCACTGAAAATGATTTCGGTTGCGGGACTTCTTTCTGGTAATTTTAAGTTTATCAACTCAAATTACCTCTAATACAATGACCAATAAGGAAGATTAAATGTATAAGAATTAGTAAATATCAAACATTAGTTAAACACAATACTATCATACTGAATATCTGAGCAGTCATTAGTAATGAATATCAAAAAACAAACCAAATTCCTTACAAGAACTAACGTCAACTTGAAAATACAGGCAAATATAAAAAAGACCAAACCAACAGAACAAAGTAACATTTCCTAATATCCCATGCTTCATTGCTAGATAGGATTCAATGGATTCCCCTTCTTCAAACTTCCAACTTAGTTTTTAAATGGTCTGCAGCAAGATACTTAGGTTACTTCCCTCTATAAACTTCACCAAGTGCAAATAATAAACAAATTGTGAAAACAAACAAATGCTTATACGAATTGTGAACTTTAAATGCTAAATTTAACAGCAAGGAACAAATTCAACCAAATCTATAAGACATAAAATGAAATCTTATAGAAAGATTTGGACAGAAAGAGCACTGGGTAGGGCACTAGTGACATTCATAATCAGTAGAAATAAAGGATGCCTTTATTCAAATAATCAGGGAAGAAGGGCACAAGCAAGTTGCATACAGCAGAAAATGTTAATAACATACAAAAATGATCAAGTATAAAATGTTTAATGACATTATGCAGTAACCTTTGTTGACATAAGAGAGAGCTTTGCATTTAAGAGCAGTTCATCAGTTATTGAAAAAACCTTGTTGTTTGGAAGCAAAGAGTTGTTCAGACCAGTTTCTTTGAAAGACAGTTTCCAACCGAGAATCTGTTGCAAATAATTTCCAACAGAGAATTCATGCAAAAAGTTTGTAGATTTTGATGCACAGTTTGCTTTGCCATCATCATGGCGAACATCAGGGAAAAAAGAGAGCAGTGTGACTTTCTTTGAGGATGGTCTGATTTGTTTAGCTGTCTGAAGTGTTTCAGGGTCAGGAGGTTGCAGATCAGAGAGAGAATATGTTCTGGTTTGATCAACAGGATTTGTCAGTTCAGAGGATTTTAGAGAAAGGGAATTGTGAAATCCAAAATCACGATTTTCTCTCTGGAGACATTTTGGACAACAGCTACTCAAAGTGACATTTCCTTTTGGTTGCTGTGAATCCCGTTCTGTGTTTAAGGGACATTTGCATCTGCTCTCACTTAATATGTTGTCACCCAAATCTTGACAATGTGTTCTCTGACGAATTCTTGTTATTTCTCGATCTGCAAATGGGTGCAAAACATCAGACTTCATATTAGACAAGGATGTGGTTCTTTCCAAACATCTGATCTTTGTTGCAGCACTGACACAGAAAATTGTTCCAACCAAGACACTCACAGAGAGACTATACATCACAGTGCAGCCAAGCAGAACCTAAGCAACAAAACATCAACCAATTAATATAAAATAAGGACAGTTTGGTTATTTGGCATAATTCCATTAACAATTTCCAGCTGGCATAACCTCAGAGACCAATGCTACGTCACTGACAGGTCTTTCCCGGAGATGTCGGCTATAACCCTTACCGCCGTAAAATAAATTTATGAGGGCTTTTTTCGGCCCATGCACTTTTTCAAACCAATGTTCTCATTTAATTAGCTTGGCTTCCCAATATTCACCACTAAATATCAGGGTCTTAGTAAATAAAGAAAAAGAGGTCTTACGCATCTATGTGTTTATCATATGTTAACAAACTATTGTATTATCTGCTTGAACTTGCAATGGAATAGGAAATGTGTTCGCATGAAAGGAATAACATATACCGTGATTAATGCTACAAATAATTAAAGTAAGAAATGTTACACCATGCTGTCAAATACGAAACAATTCCTTTTCAAGTCACGACATATAAAAAATTAACAACAATTCTGCAAGGGCTAAATAGCCCACACATGCAGCCAAACTGGCAAGGGCTTTTTATAGTCTGTGTTGTTTTTTTCGGAGAGGCCTGATCACTTAATGTGAATTTCAAATTTTGATTCCACGAACAAGCCTTCAATAGATGAAAAATCAGACAATGAAAAGGCAGCTAATCTTTAAAACCAAACATATTAAAACCTAACCTGCATCAATTTATGCATAGATAACTTGGCAGCTTGAATGAAATGAATCTGGGCCAGTATGTTTGACAAATCAGTGTAAGAAAACCATCCTCTGTGTAGACCATGTTTTAAAGCAATACTGCAAAAAACAAAATTCATCATGAAATGGTACCCTAACAATAACAATAGACATGGAGTTAACAATATACAAAACCTATCTAGCTATGTATATATATTAAATATGTGTCTATAATATCAAAGTGCAAATATTTATTTAACACAAACAGATCTAAAAAGCACCCAATGAGAAGTTAAAGAGATTAAATGAAAACAAAATATATAAATTAATATGTAAGAATTTTGTGGAAAAATTTGAAATCGAGCTTGCATGTGATAAAGCCCTAAAACCATTAATTTAAAGGTTAAACATAAAGATGACTTTAAAGATAACTATTTTAAAAATAACATAGATGATCATATGAATGTTTGAAGTCTTCCACCAACCTTGTTTCAAGACGATTACAGAACTTTAAGAACTCTTTTGGGCTGACATAAGCCTTCCATTGCTGAAGAAGAAAACAAGAGAACATAATCACTATATTGAGTGAGCAACATGATCCCCCCTGATCTAACTTATCTCAATCTAACTTAAGGCAGCAAGTGAAATATTAAATATATTATCTAAAAATCTACACATAAATATCCTTATTAAACAGTATTTTTAAAAATCTACACATAATTATCCTTCTTAAACACTATTTCATATCATCAGGATATCATTTTCCTGATGCCACTTTACAGAATTAGCAATCCTTGCACAGATATTGTGACTCTAGAACCAGATGTATTCAAACAGTTTATAACCCTGCCATGCATTACATCTTTCTGATGAAGGTCTGACTGACAAATCATCACATCAAGTCTAAACAGTTCTGTCCACGAATTTTTAAAAAGATTCAGTCTGTGTCCCTAAGTGTCAATTCTGGATTTCAAGTGCACTTTGTTTTAATGTTCTAGGTCATGATTCAATTAACTCACCATGGCGTCCAAAAACTCTCTTTCCAACCGATTAACAGTGCTGACCCCTAAACCACCTGAAAAGAAAACAATGAAAATCAAAGTTAAAGGTAAGTGTATATATGACCAAGAAAAAATTTAGTAGCAGACAGATTCTAACGACACTTGCTTTTATCCTTACTGAAGAATATTACCTGCTTCTGCCCATTCATCGTTAAATATTTCATCATCTTCTCCTTCATCATTTAAAAATTTTGAAGCAACCACCTATAAAAAAAATTGTTTCAAATGAAATGCATCATTTGGATCAAATAATTAAAACACCAGACACATTTGAGCTAGAATAGATCAAATGATTACAAAAGTTACAGAATTTAGTCCTGAACAATTACAGCTGGAACTTGGATCAAGGCTCTGGCAGCTTATAGCTGATGTGGACCTAGAGATTGTGCCCCCAGATAAATATTCTAGAACTCATGCAAGGAACAAACAGCAAAACAGGGACTTATTTTTTAAAATAAATATTTTGAAAAATTCTTCTTTGATTGAATTTGAAATTAAAGAATTTAAAATAAATTAGAAACTATAACTTACAAGAGAAACAACAAAAAGGTCAGATGATGATATCTTGTTTAAATACTCTGGATTGATTTGGCGAAGTCTCTCACAGTAAAGAATTCCAAGAATCATGGTACAAGGGTTTATTGCCAACCGCCTGAAATGTAAAAAATTGCCAGATTAGGTACTACATATGAGGTTATTTGTTTAAATTATCAAATGTACTGTTGTTTAAATTCTTAAATGTACTGCTGAAATATCTTAGAAAATATGAGTTATTAATAAAACTTTTATTCTTTAAAGATTTTGATATAGTTTTTTGAAGATTTTAGTACACAGATCTTTGAACAAAATTTCACCTGACGTCACTGATATATGCTTGTTGTGATACACAGTTTATTTTCGATATGATAATAAATAATTCTTTAAAAAAATTAAAGTTCTCTTTGATCTTTTCAAAATCAGTACATTATAACTTTTCTTCAAAAATCTTACCTCGACAATGATCCAATATATCCAGGACTAAGCTTCCTTTTAGGAGATGGTGCAGCAGCAATATAAATTGACATTGCTAGGTCTATAAAAAGATGGAGATCTCCTAGAGCTAAAAATTTAAGGAATTTTGCAAGAAACTCAATTTATCAAACATCGTTATTTTAACAATTAAACTGAAAAGTTTTAGCAAGATAATATGAAAAAGGCTGTTGAAAAAATTTCTAGATAGATTTTATTTAGCTCAATTTTCTTATGATAAATGCAGGACTTGCCAGAAGACCAGGGGAGCAGTAAAAAGCTCTCCAAAAAAGTAAACAGCTTTGTAGGCAAATATGAATAGAAACAAAGGAAAAATTAATTTCAAGGCGAGCAATTTGCTTTTTAGAGCAATTTGTAGTTCCAATCCAGCACTAGGGAAAGCCTAAAGGGTAGCAAGAGCCAAGGCTCTTCTCAAATGGCCAGGCTGATAAATGATCAATTAGATGCTTTAATAAACAATTACCATGTTCACCTCTAATTAAAATTCTTGTGCTTACATACCTGATAGAGCAACTGGGGAAGCAGCAGGCATACAATCGTCTTTTCCACCATGATAAAGAGATTTCTTGAGTCTTCCTTCCAGATCCTCTGCACAGCCCCATGTGAAGTAGGGGAAAGCAGGCTAGAAATTGAATATAAAAAAGAGTCAGTAATGAGCATAAAAAGGCAAATTTCTAGGAGAGCAAGCATAAGCAGTGCTTCTGTGGTAAAACTTGTGAAATTTTTCACTGATTCAGATTAGTTAAATTACTTGAGTTTTCTGTTAAAAGACTTGAATAGGGTCTAAAGTTAGTTTTGACCTAAGAAGCATTTCAGCTGGTGATCCTCCAATCTTTCATACTTTTTTTGATTTCATATGGCAAGTTACCAAAGGTTACATTTTTTAAATTAAAAAGCTACTCTCCAATATGGTGTTAAGTAATCTGATTTTATATTTATCATCATTTAACTATATACAGCAGAATTTACAATTTTATGCCTATGAATCTAGAATGAGAACTGAACTGAGCTGAACTGATTTTTCCAAATACACCAGATGGAAGCTCTGTCTACATTGAAACAAACACTCTTTAACCAACCAACTACAAGTCATCTTAATTTTCAAATCCAACAAACGAAAGATCACAGAATACAAATGAGGTTTTCTATTCTTTTTTCTACTTTGTGATAAAATAGTATTTCACAAACTCATCTCAAACTAAATTAGACTTCTGGAATCTTTGATCTTAAAAGTGTTGGGGAAATGGATGCTGAACAAGGTATGTATCCACTATATTCAATAAAATATAGATGTCTTTGATCAATTTATCATATAAAATGTGTTAAGCAAGTTTAAAATAGCATCATTGACCTTATCTTGGGCGGACTAAGATACAAATAGGCTGCATCAGCTACAGTGTTACTTGTAGAGCAAAGCAAGATATGGCTAAGCCCATAAACTGAATAATTTGAGGAACAACGAGATGAATTTTGCTCACACAATGCGCCGGTCTGCGTGTAAAACTAAAAGTCGGCCTAAAAATGGCGCGAGATGTTAAGCAAGCTCACATGGAAATCAAAAGTTGACAACGAAATTACCTCTCCAATAGTCATCTTGAACGACAGAAAATGCTCTTCTCGTTATGCCTACTTTGCAAAAACACGTTGAGGCAGGTTTTATATATCTTCCTATAGAAACAACGCCATTATCTTGCGTCTAATTGTGCAACGCGGAAAGCACCAGTAGCGCAGGAAACGCACCCAATGCAAGAAACAGAATTCTGGGAAGGGTTTCACTTTTGTATGGTCCTGTGTCAATAGCACCACACCATAGAGAGAGGGGACCCACTGAGGGGACCCAATATGTTTTTCGGGGAATCGTAATTTTTAGAGTTTGAAATCGGGGATAGCAAATTTTTGTGAGCTGGATTCGGGGGAAAATAACACCGGGATGCATGAATTGATGGTCGGGAATCGGGCTAGCGTGAATCCGGCTCACAAAAATCGTTTATGATGATAAATCATTTTAAGTTTCGGATCAGCTGGTGAGAGCAGGGGTGTAGTAGCATGAAAAGAACAAAAACGGGGCTATTCAGTGGGGGTTTTTTCATAAAATTTCAGAGGGGGGGGATCAGTGTGAAATTTGCCGACTGTTTCATTGTAAATAGTGTGGCGCATAGTCATATCCTCTCAAAGCTGTCATGCATTGTTGTATGACTGCCAATAATAATAGAAAATAATAATATATTTATTTACAGTTGGTTTGGGCTATAGTTGATACCCATGTAAATTATGTAAAACTAATTAACGCCAACCATTCATATACAAAAATGAAAAAATCACAATATTAATCTACCTATTTACATATTTTACAGCTACATTTGTCTCCATTCCAGGCGTAAATGCCTTTTTTAAATATGGATAAGTTTTCCATATTCTATACTGTATCAGGTAAGGCGTTTCAGAGAATGCCCCCCCCCCAGAATGCCAATGAGTTTATTATCCCAAAGGATATCGTTTTAGTAGGCTAAAGTTGCAGCATACTTTTTCGCAAATCATAGGGGGGGGCGGGGGGCTCATAGGTCAATTCCCTCTGTACGAAAAACTCTCTCATGAATGATGGACTCTCGTGATATAACGATTTGAATACCTCATTATTTTCTGTAAGTTTTCTGCACGTTTATGTACTCGATCTATCTCCTTATTACATTGCTTTCCACAGGAGCTCCATATGAGAGGACAGTAGTTGAGATTTGATAGCAGAAAAGAATTGTTTAGTAATTCTAATTCTGTCTTGCCTATATCTAGGAGCATCAAATAAACATGAAAGCAAACCAACAAACTCCTTTTTAAATACCTTCTTCTTTGTATCGCATAAAAACGGATATTTTCTTACTGCTTCGATCAAACGTTCCATGTAAACCATTTTTCTGAAGCGTGAAAGTTGAATTTATCCAATTTTGACGCAACATCACGCATCGCTAAATAGGCAAATTAAAGACCCATAACACAATATTTTGCAAAACTGCTCTATTGTTTGCAAAATGCAGGGAGGCCATTCCTTCTTCGAGCTCTCCGTCGTTGCAGACCCTGGTTTCCTTATGTCTTTTATATATTTTATAGAAATTTACTGAGTCCAAGCAATGTTACTAGCTCACAAATCTGAGTGAAATGGGCATTGCGTGTTTCAGCTCCGTTATAATTTAAATATTTGGTTTTGGGGGGCCTTTTTTGGCTTCTAAAGAACCAGTGGTGGCGCCAGAGGGGGGGCAGGGGGGGCTACAGCCCCCCCGTCGGAGGAGGCTAGCCCCTCCGTCGGAAGATAAATTATGCTTGAATTTTTTTTGTCGGAGCGAATTTTTTAAGTTTTGGCGGAAATAGAAATTTCTAAAAGGACTGTTATCAGAATTCAGGAAGCTCATCCCAAAACAACTCATCGACACATCAATTTCATGGTAAATAATAATCTGTTATAAGAAGTTTGAATTGGTTGTTTAGATGTTCAGTACCAGGTGTTTTCCGCATGCTGTTAAATTTGATCTTATGTTATGGATAGTGCAGTTCGTCCAAATCTTGCTTGCTATAACCAACCTACAACATCGGAATATTTTTGTGCGATAGCGATATGGCAACAAATGTTACCCGTTTCAGTGTTAGATGTAGTATATGTAATGACGTATTTAACAATGATTACGCTGCCCGCCACACGAAGTCCAAGCACAAAGATTTGGCTGCAATGGGAAGGACTGCTCCTACGACGGCAATAGTTGAAACGGACTCGCAGCAGAGAAAAATAAAAACATTTTTTCAATCAAAAGGCGGTACTTTTCCAAAGAAACGAAAGGTTAATGATTTTGAAACTGAAAGAACAACAGAAGACCCCGAAGAACAAGAAGTTGAAATTTCGAAAATTCAAGACGAAGAGCAAATCGAACGTGGTATGTTATACGTTTTAATATTTAAGTCCTTTTAATACGAGGAAAAACACTTAGCAAAGGGCTTCAGCCATAAAAACAATCAAACTCATTTACGTAGTAGCTAAGCCATTTTACCCCATCCCAACCATACATATTTGTAGTGTTTTGCTTCTACGTACACGTTTTTTTATTTATAAGAAACTTGACTCAAGCCCAGAGTACTAATAGTTTCCAAATTTCTTATTTTTTACTATTTTTAAGGGAAACCATCTATTACTATTTACGATAAATCCTTCTAGTTTTTTTTATAAACAAGTTCCTTATTAAGAAAAAAACGTGTATTTTTATAGGAAACCTAGCTCTCCAGAAATTAAAAGTTTCTTATTTTCGGACCTATATAATATGGGATTTCACTGCGACTGCGACATATTTAAACAAATATACCTGGCTATGACTGGATGAGGAATAAACCTTGTTAGACGTATAAATTTCTTCGTTTTATTTACAAATAAAAATAATTTTTTGGATGATTTTGATATTAAGAGTCACAAAAGATTGATTAGTAAAAATGCCTTTTTGTCCATCTCCCAGGAGATATTATAATCTTTTTCACACATGTAAAACAGGGTAGTAAATCATTTGTTTAAACTTCCAGGTACAACTTCTAGCTTGGACCCCGAAGTCACGAATGTAGATGCTGACAACTACGTCACCATTTCGGAAGCCGAACAGTCGATGTCGGACATTGTGGAAGCAGCAAATGAAAGCGACAGCAACGAGGATATCGAGGAAAATTTGGAACAGTTGGAACTCGAGTTGGAAGATGAAGTTGATCCTGCAGGATTATCAGCCGAAGGTATACTAACTAGCTATCAGATATAATCGTAACTCTCCATTAACCAGCGGCGTAGGGGGGTACTAAAAAGTGGAAGGGCGCGTGAAAAAAGGGCACCTTGGTATGTAATTAAGACGAAGGCAAACCCTGCTAGAAGGGCACGGGGGCATGCACGCCCGGAAAAGTTTTGCATATAAGCAGCCACTTTGGCTCCCATAGCCTCTTTCGCACTAAAGCTCAAAGAAAAGTCTAAAACAATGAAAAGAGGCACTTCTCAGATATAAAATAGGGCACTGCCAAGAACTTAACAGGAAAAAAGTTTGCAAAGTGTGAGTGCGTATTCCACCGCTTAGGTCTGTTCCTATAAAGTTACGTTGTGTTCCAGTTTTCCTTAAGTTCAGTTGGTTGCTTTTTATTTAAATTCATACTTTCCAAAGATAGGCCCTACTTGAATTGGCAACGTTTGATGAGTTGTAAAGATTTAGAGTAGTTTTAAGCTTATCTAGAGGCAGCTTTCAAAAAAAATTTCCAGGGACGCCGGAGAAGGGGGGCGCGGGGGGCAAGCGCCCCTCCTGCCCTTTGCTAGGAGGGGCAAGGGAGGGGGCAAACGTGCCCTTAGTAATATGTCAAAAAACGTAGTAAAAAACACGATTACACCATTTTGATAGCATTTTTAGCCAATCTAATGGGTGTAGCCACCAAAATTTTCCCGGGGGAGTACCCCCGGACCCCCGAATTTTCGGCTCGCAACGCTCGCCTTCGGTCTCCAGTACCCTTACAATTCCTTGTCGCCCCCTAGCCCTATCGTTCTCTAAAAAAATTAGCCCCTCCGTCGGAAGTGCTAGCCCCTTTGTCGGAGGAAACCTAGCGCCACCACTGTAAAGAACATTGAAAAATTAAATTATCGTATTTTATCAACCTCACTATGATCAAATGGAGCACAACATCGAGGTTGTCAATCTGTACAGATCTCATGTGAAGCTAAGCTGTCAAGAAAGGCGTCCTTGTGAAGGACAATGATTTGTTAGTGGTGATGCGAACGTAAAAACGGAAATAAGTATTTTTACATCAAATAAAAACAATAACAAGGTACGTTTATTCGGAGTTTTCTACTTATAGAATAAATCAATGCACACGCAAGTTTATTTTTTGTTTCACAACAAAATAAATATTATTGTTACTTGCGCAAGAAATCAACGTTTCATCTGTCAGAGTCAGACTCGTTTCATTTCATTCCAAACATAAACTAGGAATCGAAAGTTGCCTAAAATAACAAAACATTTAATTGAAATTATTGTGAAGTCTCTGAATTAGGTGATCCGTACTTCTTGCAATGTTATATACGTGTCTCTGCAATACACAAAAACGGTTCACGTAGGCCTGTTTGTTGATGTTCTGATTTTTATAGTAAAGTGTTAGTGGCACTAATAATAAAATAAGCTGCTCAATAGATGTAATTTTAAACTCTTTACCATTTCTTTACATTGAATTTAATTAAACTTATTGATATATTTAGCCATGGACAAATCAAAACTAAAACCAGAATTACCAACAACAACAAAAGATGAAATGGTTAAAAAAGAAACCATTGCAGAGCGTATCACAAGATTAATGATCTTTGGCTCAAAAATCCTTGCAGCTATTATTATCATCGCTGTGTTTGGATGGCACACAGTGAGACTGTCTTTTCCAGGTATTATTTTTGTTTTTATGTTAAGTTTGTTTTTTGATCGTTCAGACTAAAGCCTGGTACTAACTGGACGATTGTCACGATTACCACGATAACCATGATAATGATTATCACCATAAAATATTTTCTTGACAGTAGGATGCTCAGCTAAATCATGTACTCACTGACGTATACTCGAAATGGCTGTTCACAGGAATAAAAACTCCTTGCAACGATGAGCGTTGTATTGTATACATCTTAAGAAAACATAGACAGAGAAGAGAATAGGTAAAAGATCGAGAGAAAAAGAAAGAGAAGGTTGTGGGTCAGAGATATTTTCAAAAATAAAACTTCTAGCAAACATCATGGATTGGTTCGAGAACAACAACTTAACGACCGCGAATTTCATTACAGATATTTTCTCACAGCTTCAGAAAGTTTCTCGTCGAATTGCTAGTTTTCACTCTACATTTCGAGATCAGAATGTTTGATGAGATATACTTAACATAACGCACACCGAATAACTAAAATGACAGTTTTTTTACATTTTGTTTGCATTGGGCACAGTGCCTGGACACTCCTTTCCCTTCATAAATTCTTCACATTATTTTGATGGTCATCGGATCACGATTACTGTGAAAAAGATATCAAAAATGTTTTATATCCTTTCGCGATAATCGTGATGGTTTCATCACGATTAGAGGGCATAACATGATTACATTTGATGTACTCACTGTGGATAAAGACAATTACAGCCTAATTGTTATCGTGATAATCGTGATAATCGTCTAGTGAGTACCAGGCTTAAGTGATATTTGTGCCCCATGATCTGTGGCATAATGGAGCAGTGTAGGGCCCTTACTTAAAGAAATGTTTTGGGGCCCCTCTGCTTTACTAAATTTGAGTCAAATTGTAGAGCCAAAGTACGTGCTCTTTGGGGTTTTCCTGAAAAAATTCCAAAGAAATAATAAACAACAGCATATGAAGAGAAAATCTGCAGCCTAAGATACTTCTTATGATCCCTGTAAGCTTTTCCTGTATTTCCATGGATCGAATAACAGAGCCATAGTCTTGGAACTGAAATGTTTTTAATATCTTTACTTTAATACCTAGCCCTAAATTTTGTAGGAAACAGATCAATCTTCCTTTGTGCACTCTATGAACCACCTGGTCGACATAGCCCATGCCCATGCTGCAAAGTCAATCTCTTAAGATCAGCATCAAGCATATCTTCACAAAGATGATCACGATCAGTTATATAGAACTTTGAAATATCAAGCTTGCGTGATTTTACTTGAGTTATAGGTTGACTCGCACTTTTGTCGTTCATTTCAGGAGTTTCAGAATATTAATCAAAGACAGAGCTCATAACTTTGTCTTCAGCCTTTTCTCCCTGTGGAAGGAGACTTGAGCTTTTTAGACCTTGGTCTCTGCTTTTTAAAAAGACAAAATTTCTTTGAGTTTGATGTACCAGCTTCGACTACACATATCATTTCGACCCTTTTGCTTGTATCAGATTCATAAAAATGCTTGGGATTGAAAGACATTGTGAAATGAAAACAAGCGCATTTGAAGACATTACTAAACTTGAAAGATAAACATTTTCAATCTGCTTCATTTAGGAAATCAATAAGATTTTAGGTATCTGTGATATCCTTGTAAATTAAGTGCAAAATTTTATAATGGTATAGATATGCATTTGAGGAAAACCTAATTGACATGCTTTATCTTACACCATTATTATATGGTTGCTCAAAAAGCACAGAAAGCTCATTTTAATGCTGCTAAGAATCATATGCTTTCATCCAAAAACCCTTTTTCGAGTAATTTCTAGGGGCCCCTTCAGGGCCCAAATGCTTGGGGGCCCTTAGTTTTGTACTTAAAGGTGCACACCAAGCGTTATGCCACTGCCCATGACCCCATGCTGTTAAGTTTTGTCTACTTTCTTAATCTGTTGGTACAAATTTAGGTATGACTGCAATTCTGTGCACTTGATTTTGCCTTGTTATCAGAGGTTGAAATCAGAGCATAACTATCTGTTTATATTTGGACCAACTGCAATGGAAAAAATTGTTTCACAAATCTCATTCAATCAGGGAAAAGGGTTTACTGGAGATGCCCTTAAAAAAATACTTTCTTTGTTCCTCAGTAATGTGTCTGATTCTTCTTGATAGCAGTGAAATCAGTGTAAATTCAGAAATTGTAATCAATGTTTTTTTTAATTTTCATTATGTGGTTCAGTTTTCATATATAGTATTCAAATAACTTAAAATATAAAAAACTTCCTATCCAGCTTCTAGGCTTACATTTATTGTTTCAGAATGACATTAACAAGTATCATTCATATTTTAACATACTAAAGGTATGTTTTAAACCTAGGCTCCTCTAGGCACTACCACAAGGGATAAAAGCTTCAGTATGCTAAGAACCAAGGAACAAAATCTCCCTCCCCCCTGAGAGAATAGCTTTCTTGGCCTTGCAGATCTAAGGCAGTAAAACACATACCTGTATCCAGCAAAAAAAGGCTTTCTAGTTTGACCATAATTCGCCTTTAAGCATTTTCTTTCACTTTGCTTTGTGGTTGTGTTTGCATTGCTTTTATTTGTTATGTAAGCATCAAATATTTTTATCAAGCCTTCAAGTAAATTTAAATTCAAGTCCTTTGCAAAGAAATTTCTCATTTTAGGAAGTGATACTTGTTCAATGCTGTTTGGTAGTGGAAACTGGCTGAAAGACCAGTGGAAACCCAATGGTTGTATGATGCATAGCTATATGGCAAGGTAACATTACGCCACAAGGCATTTGATCTTCACATCACCTTCTTTCAGAAGCAAACTTATCCTTAATCGAAATCGTTCTGGCTATTAAAGTGTTTAAGTGAAGTGTCAGAGGGCATGCAATTGGGATGTCTTTATCAAAAGGGGAATGATTTTTAGACCCAACATTTGTATGTGTGAAGAATAAGTACATTATCAGCCTTCGTCATAAAGATGTTGTTATGTGTGTGGTAAATCACATGCATAATATGCTTCATGCATGCGATTTTAAGTCTTACCCAGGCCTTCAACAGCAAATTGCCATGAGGCCATGCTTCCCCCCCCCCTCTTTTTTTGTGAAACCTTTTGTTATTAGTTTTTAATTTGCCCTTGTCCCCCACTTTCAGCTTGTGTCAGAGCCCATTTTAACCATCTTTGTTTATTTTTGAAAATGTTACTTTTGTTGGATGCTTGTTGTTGGTGTATTGTGGTGCATTGCATGTATTTTTGGAAGTTAAAAATCAAATTGGGAATTTTTGTGAATTTTGAATTGTGCTTTGTTTCAGAAACTTTATAGAAGGTACCTAATCATCTGAAATATCATTGCCTTCCAATCTTTAAAATAATAGTTTTCACGTATTTAAGCTGAGGTTGACCTGCACTATCAACATATTCAGTCTGGGCAAAGAGGGAAATGCAAAATTTTTCAGTGCTGCCACAAGACTGCCTTTTACCAGTGGAAGTTAAAAAACGCAAAATTATTAGCCCATTCACACAAAAAAAATTTTCAAACAATAATTCCTAACACAACACCCAGGGCTCAGAAACTAGGCATATGGGTGTCCGATTGTACCTAAAGATGAAGCTATTGTGTGTGCAAATAAAGTAAAAAGTATTACTTTGTACAGTAAAACTAGCAAGAAAAGAAACTTGGGAAATGCCTACTTTATTTTGTTTTTCTGCCTCGCAAAAATTGCAGATTGATTCTCAAAATTTTCTTGAAAAGTCTGTACCAAATGATGAAAATATGTTTTGTGAACTAATGACCAAAGGGAGAGGGGGGTGGGGGGTTCTCGAATTTATTTAGCATAGGTTTGCTCAGGCTGTAGTACAAACTATCAACCCAAAAGATAATTTCTAGCATACAAATTCACCCCAAAAAAGTAAGTTTTCATGCATGCACAAACAAGTTTGCAATTTTTCTCAATTGTTTTTTTTAAAACATGTATCATATTTGTGACCCAAAAATTAATTCAGAATTTCAAGAACCCAAAAAGTAATTGTACAAATGACTGGCCCAAAAAATAACTACACCCAATTTTACACCCGAAAAGAGTACACCCCCTAGGAATTAATGCTCGCATAAATGTCTTACATACAAAGATTTTTCACAGAGGAAACATTTTAAGATGCAAAATTTGCGATGAAAAAGACAGTGTTTTTATGAACTGCCTTTTATGGTGTTTTATTGACTGGTAGCCACGAGGTATTAATTTTGAGATTGGATATTTTGGTATGTTATATTCGCTGCATGTACACAGTTTTAAGGCTGCATACAACATCATATCTTCCCCGAAAAACCTATTGTTAGAATAAGGCATTGTTGCTCAACTTTTGGAAGCAAGACTTTCAATATTTCGCTGAAGAACTCAGTCTTCAAAAGGTCAATAGCGACGATCAAATATCTGACTCTTGCATGTGACTAACTGCTTGCTTTATTTGCTCCATGCATGTGCACATGCAATCACATGCATTAAACAACAAAGACTGCATTATTTTTCAGCAAGGAAATGGACTCCTATAAAATCATCAATGACTCCTAGATGTTGATGTCAAGATTTGATTTGATTTATGCTTCTTGTACTTCATAAGAGCATTTTGATAAACCTACTTAAAACGCTTTCTGTATTATAGCTGGAAGTTAAAAAAAAATATTTTCTTGAAGTGAAATAAGGACCTGCTTGAGATACAGTCAAGTAACATTTGTTGGTGACTCAAGAATGAGAGGTCTTTTCTTCAATCTTGCTGGTTTGTTGAGTGGAAAAAAGATCAAAAATGAAAAAGCTGTAAGTTTTCATTTTGGACAGGGATCATTTCTTTAATTGTATTTTGTATCTCATTGATGCTTTTAACACTAAAAACATCAATTACATTTTCTATGTAAAGGATCTATTGGATGGCCTCAAGGCCAATTGGTGAAGTAGGTTCCTCCAAGCCCTATGAGCTATTGCTTTGTGGTGCATTCAGGCTATATCAAATAATGGATGAGTGTTTCTGTGCCTTTAAACCAAATGTTATTGTCAATGGAACCTGGAGTGATATAGGGTTCATTCCAACAGTAGCCACTGCAATGCACTTTATTTGCATAGCAAAATTTTGATCTTTGGTATTGCGCTTTTATGTTCAGTTTTCATCATTGTGGAAATTTTTATCTCATTGACTCTACCATTGCCACTCAAATGCTCTGGAAGATTTGAACTGTGTGTTGGTTTGGTTTAGACGATTAGCAAAAGTTCAGTTTTCAGTTTTGGGAAAGTAATATCACAATCGGGCAACTACACTGTAAATAAAAATCAAGAGTAGAAACTCTTTTAATGCAATTGATATTTTGTTTCAGCACAATAACCTATATTATGCAGAACCTGGCAATATATCCGTGGTATGATATTTGAATCATTGTTTTTAACTGCAATGCAATGCAAATTTATAAATTCCTTCTTGAAGTTTTCTAAACTTAAAAAAGCTTTCCCTATTTGGCTTGATGTCTGCATGTTCTTAAAGTTTCACTTTCTAGCACATTCCTTAATTATTTTCAATTTCCCTGTATAATTCATAACCTTTGTGCAAAAAATTTGACAAACACAGCAACTCTTGAAGATGCTGTTTCTTTGTGGTTGTGTGATGATCATGCTGATGTCATAGTCTCAAATTCTTTTCCTATTTTTTCATGTCATCTTTTTTTGCATTGAAGAATTTCTTCTGGCAACCTCATGCCAACAAAGAAATGAATGAATTATTTCAATTATGGCTGAAGGTACGTGTTTATCAGTAGATACCACATTTAAACACCATGTTATATTTTTGTATCTTTTTTGTTTGAATTTAAATTATTTTTCATACTTGAAAGTAGGTTGGTTGCGAAGAGCATTGATTTTCTTTATAAGATCTGACTAAAATCATTATCATTTTTAGTAAACAGACTTGAGAATGTTGCAAAGGGCAAAGGGATAGCATCTAGTTTCTTATTATAATTTTCTTTTAGCTATGTAGAAGAATTTTACAAAACATAATATGTTTTTAATTGCTTTTCATGTTGGAACACTAGGCATGAATTTCCCTTATCTCAAGACCAACACTAAGCTTCTTGCATTTTGCTTGGTTTATAAGCCTAGTAAACAACGACCCACTTTTGTATTTTCAGGAAAAGGAAAAACTTCCTCAGCTGCTGATAGTTGGTGCTGGAGTGGTAAGGCCTTTTATGCATCTCGTATAGTATTTCCTTTTTTATTCAGAGAAACAAGTTCAATATAATTTGATGGATGACCATCTTTGGGCATTAAACAGTATTTTCATTATTGACACTGCTTCTTTATATGTGCATACTGATAGTTTGGTATGATCTTTCTTGTTTGGAAAGTGCATTTCTGTTTAAGAAAATTGAAAGGTACAGTTGCCACAATGCACATGCTCAAACTTTAAATATTCTGCCAAGCTAGAAGTTTGTACTGGAGATTTCCTGACCATATTTATGGTTCATTGCATTCTGTGAACTTAGAATATGAATTTTGCTTTTCAGTGGACGATAAAGGAGAAGTCAGTTAAAGCAGTCTTGGGATACCAAGGTTAGAAAATTCTCTATCCTGTTTAGATAAATCTAAATTTTATATCTAGAGCAGTTCCTGATGATCACATTGAGCGTGAAATTTTGAGTAGCAACTTATAACCGACCTCATCTACACACCAAATAGCGGAAATATATCTTATGTTTATAAAACTGTGTGGTTTAAGCCATAGACAATAACTTGTATTCTACAAAATAGTATGTTTGCTGTTTGTTTAATAGCTTTTAGGGGCAGATTTGAAAGCCACGTGTTAATTAATACCATGGCTCTTAGGGAAGCAGCATTTTTAAAAACAGACTTTCTAGCTCGTTCAATATGCATGACCTGTTCGGTGATCCATATTCTCAGATTGTGAAAACTACAAGACGTATAATAATAATCCTTGAACAAACAAGTAACAAAGAAGATTAGAAAATTTATCTTGTGTTTATAAACTGTGAAGCCTCCAAACATTGGACACACATGGGAGCGCATGTAGGACAAACTATTCGTTATAGAGATTTGAATATTCATCCTGTGGTGGCTGTTTCTACAGTGGCCAGGACGAAAAAATCAGGACAAAATTCGGTATCCGTTGTCGGATGTTTTCATTATTTGAAGGTGTCTGACACTCACTTCCTTATTGCCGTCCTTTGTAAAAGCGCTGAGACCAACCCAAAAATAAAAGCAATTTAAAAAAACCACAGTCTTGGGGCAAGGCCGTGAAAGGTTTTATAGCGAAAAAAGAAAATTCCTCAACATAGAGGTTTAAAGAATGTATATGCATCTAATATAGGATGTTCATTTCTTGGTGTGATTAATTTCCAGGAAAAAACAAGATTACTCTGCCGCAATTATCTGGCTTTTACAAATTGACATGACCAAACTTTCACTTAGAGTTAGGAGAGTTACCAGCCAGTGGCGGACACTTGGGGGGGCGAGGGGGGGCGACCGCCCCAATACTTTAGAGAACAATGGTCTTTTGTTCAAAAACAATAGGAAATGTGACGTCATCTTATTAAAACAATAGACTTGCCCCCCCCAATATTTGACCAAGTGTCCGCCACTGTTACCAGCTCCACGTGATTTCAGGTTAAGGAATAGTGAAGTGTGGTCACATTCAGAGGAAGAACAAGGACTGCTTGATAAGCACAGTTACTCCATGTCCTAAAATCTACCTTCAGAGGCTAGGTAGTAAAAGCCACAGAAGTACAAAAAATGTAGTGGAGGCGTGTATTTTCATAGTTTGGCCAATGCACGGTTGCCCTGCTGTAATCTCTGCAACCAGCTTTAACATTTGTTTGTATCTCCCGAGTTTTTATCCACAATTGCGATATTGATGGATATCCATAGAGTCAAAAGATAGCTTGGGGATGGAGGAGTGCCGTCCTCCCTGTGCTTGAAAGCAGGGTTGCCAGATGGAAAGGAAAGCAGGGTTGCCAGGTGAAAAAGAAAGCAGGGTTGCCAGATAAAGGAAAGTAGGGTTGCCAGATAAAGGAAAGTAGGGTTACCAGATAAAGGAAAGCAGGGTTGCCAGATGGGATTTACAAAAGAAGGCCAGACGGGTGACAAACTCAGGCCAAAATGCTCATGAAAAAGGCCAAATTAAAGAAATCCCCAAAAGTACACTGCACAAAGCGAAGTATATATTTCCACACATTAGCCTTTTAGATAATTTCCAAACTCAAACAAGAAACTGAGAAATTTTCTCCTTCCACCAAATTCCTTTGCTGATCGTTAGGTTAACTGATAATATTTGGCATTTGAGTTTACACTGTGTAGTATTGCTCTTTCCATTCATAATTTGTTTGTCACTTAGGGTGTTAATTTTTAAGGAATAAACTCATAATATTTAAAAAGGCCAAAAAGGCCAAACTTAAGTAGCAGACCAAAAACAAATTTTCCAGGCAATTTAACTCTGGAAAAGGGCAAAATTGGGAAATTTGGCCTGGAAAAGGCCAATCTGGCAACCCTGAAGGAATGTAGAGAGCGTCGTTTTTTGTAAGTTATTTCTTTTTAATTGCACCTTTAGAATAAAATATAACGATCTAGGATTATTATATTTATGTTATTGATATTTTAGAAAACTTGGAGAAAATTCGACAGACTCTAAGTGAAATAGGGACTACAATAGACCGTCAGACTTCTTCAGACGAATTATCGAAAGCTGATACATTGAGCCAAAGAGTGAAAACAAAACGACAGAAGCATCTGGTGAAGAAACAGTGGCTGAAAGTCGTCCCTCAAGTCATCTGGATGGTGCAAGGTTTGGAGCAGTTTTATTAATTACAAGTTGCAGCAAAAATGTGGGATGAAGCAGACTTTTCCTTACTACCTTTTTTCGTTCGTTGAGGCAAGAGGTAGAATTCTCCCTCGTTTTCCCTCTCCCTGCTTTCCTTTCTCCCTGCTTTCCGTCCTTCCTGCTTTCCGTTCTTCCTGCTTTCCCTTCACTTCAAATTTTCAAAGAGGGTAGCCCTTCAGCAACGCTGATTTTCAAGAGACCCTCAATTTACATAAATACAATTATGACAAATTAATGATAAGAATTAAAGTTTGTTAATTGTGATAAAGCCTGAAAAACTAAGTAAATAACTACTACCTAAAATTCAAGCCCTACAAATTTTGTCAGCTGTTTATAAAACCCTTAAAAACATTTGTTTTGGTTGCCTGTTTTGTTTCTGTTGACAGGCTTTTGCCTGTATTGCCCCTCTAAACGAGAATTTATTTTTCCCATTGTTATAATTTTTCTTTGGCAGCAGCAAGTCAGTATCTGTGTTTCGTAGATTGCGTTTGCTACTGCTTACTGTTTATGCAATCTCGAAGATAGAAACGACTAGATTGTTGAGGCTGTTGAATACTATTATTTGAGTTTGATTATCAATGAACTGTTGGTTCGTTAGCCAAACTAATCCCTGTATCAAAGGTTTACTGGGAGTGTCAACATTTCTGTCAGTTACAATACGGGCTGCTCTCTTCTGAAGCAGGAACTCTGTAGACCTGAAGCATCCCAAAACAGAGTAGCAACATTGGAAATAGGGTTTGCTTCTATATGGTGCTTCTATATAGAATTCTAGCTGTATCTCTAGGAAGATAGGTTTTACCATATTTCAAAAAACCTATTGCCCTTGAAGTTTTGGAAATGACAGTTTTCATGCGCCCCTTTCAAGAGAGGTTATGACCTATTTGAATATTTAGATATTTAGTGGTATTAGCAACTTTGATATGTTTATGTCGCATTGTAGAAGATTGAAAATTGTCAGTGATAGTCTCGAGTTGCTTTTTTTTCTGTTTGGTGGCAATGAACATAGCATGGAACTTTTTCAGCCATGACTCAAGTATTTTTCAGATCGTCTTTTTCACCTCGTTCAATTTCTTAGTATCATTAGTGGAGTAGTAGAGGCTTGTACCAAAATAAATGGACCAAGACAAGAGCCCTGTGGAACCCCTATCTCAGTATTCTCTATGGTGGAATCTACTCCATTGCCTCAACAATACTGTCTTCTCTTTTTAAGATAAGACTTGGTAAAGGGTGTGCAAATTACACCAAAGCATTCTGGTTTTCATTACACCAAAGGATTTCATGATCCACTGTATCAAATGCTTTTTTAAGAGCGGTAAAGATCATGTCAGCTAGCAAACGCCTATATATGTCTGAGTACCAGTCATCAGTGCATTTTAGAAGGGAACTGATTGTTGAGTGTAGAGCCCTAAAACCAGACTAGATTGATGGCAGGAAGCCATTTCTATCCATGGTAGATAAAGCTGGTTGAAAATTTGATGTAGTATCCTTCTTGGGTCTTCTATTGTAGTGCTCTTACTTTGACTGAGCCATCTTGAGTTATCTTTTTTCTTTAATGCCAGAAGGTATGCTATCTCCAGCACATGTAGCCTTTTTTCCACAAGTGTGCTTCATTTTCATCCACATTCGATTGCTTACATCGATTATTGACAAACAAGCAGATCTTTCAACAGTCTAATGTTGACTATTATTTTTGTTTTCACTTCGGAAATAGCCACTTTGTTTGAGGTTTTAGATTGTGGTGTTAGACTGGCTCATGTTTAGACCATTGACATCATGTTGTTTGTAGCGTTTTATTTTGTGTTCATCGGTTTTCTTTGCGACAAGTTATAGTTCATACTGTCTATTTCTTTGCTTCTATATGATTCCCACTTGGACCGAAGACTTGTTACTTATTGTTTCTGTTTTTTCGTTGCTTTGCAGTTCATCATTACCGCCTCTTGTAGTTCATCCAAGTCTTTTATCTACTGTTTTAAGGCCGTATTCTCATCAATTTTTGATGATAAATTCTTTGAAAGACTAACATTTCGACGCTGCTCTAGATGTAGCAGCTTATTTAGATCCTGGATGGAGTCAGCTAGTTTCCCTGTGACAACGAGAAAGCCTTACTTGCTGTCTAAAGAATTCGTGTTGGTATCAGGTGAAAATTGAAGTGATGGGGCAGATAATGGTAGACTGACATAATTTTGTCTGCAGAATTATCAGTAGGCTCTTTAACCTCTATTTTGCTGTCTTTTATCCCATCGTAGCCTTTATCTAACTTTAATGGGTCGAGTACGATTCCCTCTACGTGGCTTGTAGTAGATAGCGGCTGAATCGAGTGTCTAGTCAATGCTTTTGCTTTTCATCAAAGTCCATTTTTCGGTCACAGTCAGTTAGTGAGAATTTTATCGCAGTTTAACAGAGTGGATTTCACGGGGTTTCAACACGTGCGCTCTTTAACGGAATTCCGTCTCACTGTTTCCGTTCTCCCAACTTTCCACTGCTAAATTGGTGGAAATTCGTGCAACCTGAAGAGCATGTATGGCTGGATGAATTTATCAATTGCAAATACTTATAGGGACTCTTTTTGGCTTTTATATTTATTCTCCCTAGCGCCGAGGAGGGGAACTCATATGTATTTAAGATGTGGGTACTGTGAACCAAAATAATAATTTTCTTCTCCATGCACAAGAAAGTTTGCTATATATCTTTAAACTTTTTAAATATTCAAGACCTAGAAAAATAAGTCAAAAATTCATGAACCCTTTTTAGTAACTGTACAATTGACTGACCCAAAAAAGTAGGTTTCGTTCAAATTCTAGACCCAAAAAAATAGCCCAAGCACTCCTATCCTAAAAATATATTAGTAGCCCCGGGACTCTAGCGCATCAGTAGTAATTTCGATTCATATTGCTGTTAATTTGAAAGTCTTTCATTTTTGTTTCTACTTATAATGTACAGCAGGTTGCTGGTTTCTAAGTAGTTTTACATTATTTTATATGACTAATCCTTGACGTATTTCTAACGTGTCAATGATTTCTTTAAAGGTGAGATTGATTGGTATTCAGGCGTTGTTTAGGATGCAAAACAAGAGTCGGCCTGTAAGCATTTTTCTCGCGATTGGCAAAACTGTTCAGAATCATTTCTCGGCTAATTTAAGATTGTCTTTTTTAACATTTCAGACCCTGTTGTTGAGGCAAAGCTGAACCCAAGCAGAAAGACAATCACGAATGAAAAGATCGAGTTGTTCAACTTGGCTGCAGTTAAAGCCTTGTAAGTTATTTTGAGGTTTTTGGAGAGTGAAAGCAAAGATTTTATTATTTTCTTGTGGCAATGTATTGCCAAGAAACATCATGCCAGCTGTCGTAAATGCCGAAAAGATACAGTCATATGGTCTGTAGCTAGGAGGGAGGTGGGCGTTACCAGCTGGTTTGTCTGTCAAGCAGTGAGGTTATTTCTTCTATTGTGTAAAAACAGAAGACTTTGATTGTCAACTTTGATTGCAGTTGTTGCCTCACATTTTGACATACTTCCTCTTTCTGAAAACCCGATTTGTTTAAGTTTATCGTCTCCATCACCATCGCCTCTTTTAAATGTGTATATCTTTAGTCCGTTAACTTTTGCTCTGATTAAGCCCCGTATACCGGGGCGAAATATTAGCCTTCACTAATTTACGTGTATTTGTTGTTGTTTATTCTCGGCGCATTGCGGTGTTTCTTATTTACTACAATCTTGATTCTGCTGGTGATGTTGTCCAGGTCATCCTTCTGTAAAATGTATTCTGTAGAAATTTAGCTTTCTTTGTCAAATTGATCTTAAAGGCGTATGTTTGCAGTTATATATTTAAAATACCTTTATTTGTTACTTGAAAAGAGCCACATGTTTGCAAAATTCTGCCCTAAACACACGTTTTTGCTGCTTTTAGATCCTATAAGAAGCGTTAATACTGTATGTATAATTCGGTTTTGACCAAATGTTAGAGATGAAAAACCAGGTTCTTTTATTGATAGCTCGCGACTTGAAGCTAAAATCTTTTTTGATCTGTTAACATGCTGTTTTTCCGCACAGCTTTTACTGTCGAAGTATGGCTGTGGAAGCTCTTCGCATGTAAACATGTTTCTTCTCGGTAGTGAAGTTGAAATAAGATTTTCGCTTTCCTTATCGATCGCCATTCATTCTGGAGTATCGACAAACTGTGCTTTCTGGCGTCCAGTGAACGATGTGCAGCATTTCTTCCCGAGGAATACCTGATCCAACTGCCTTATGTCAGCTCTAAAAGCAAAATAATTGAAAGAAACATTGCGGGGCCTGTTTCTGTTGCCTCTTTTCCTACAAATGCTCCTGCATGAGTAGAAAATACTCCGAGATGCATCATATGTGAAATACCTCAGTACCAAAATTAAAGATTTTAAACCTTTTTTGTTAATTTATTCTTTCTCACGTATAACATATTGTCTGCATCTTAGGAAGTCACCCCAGATCAGAGTGCTGAATGCAAGCTCTGAAGTTGCCGCTTCGAAGCCTCAAGAGACTTCTGATGGTTTACACTACAGTCCAAAAGTCGAGAAAGTTGTATGTAGCGATTATCAGATTCTGTTTCTGATTTAAAAATTGTTGCGTGTTGTCAAGGATTTACAGCTTTCCTCAACTGTACTCGCAGTTTCAGAAGACATAATTTTTGATTTGATTTACTGTCTCGGACCATATTCTATGAAGATTTGATTTGACTGAAATTTTGTGAATATAGAAAAGGGAATTGCTTTCGTGTGTAGAACAGGAAAGCTCGAGTCTGAATTTGATGCTTGAAGGGATAAGCAGCCACGAGGATGTGATGAAATACTAGGTTGCACTTTGTGTATAGAACAGTTCCCTGATGGTCGCAATAAGCGTGGAACTCGGAAAAGCAACTCAGAACCGTCTATTTCTATACATCAAGCGTGTAGAACTCTGCCTGTACGGCATCGAGCACTTTCTTAGACTGTTAAACCGTAATATTCATTAGGGTACCAGGATGGATGGATTTGTATTGTTTTTGATGAAGCAGGATGTAACTAGCAAGTGCTTCTTTCCCCGATCTGAACTACTGATGTGATAACCTTATCCAATCACATTGACGGGCAGGATGTCATATGATTGACATTCCTCAAAGCTCAGTTATGGCTTCTGCTAATTTTCTATTTACCAGGCCTTTTTGCAAAACCATGCATTTCCAATTCATCACAGAGGGTCAGAAAAGGGCAATGCAGATTATTGGCCAACTCAGTGTTTCTTGTGTTTCATAATAATAATATTAAGGTTGTTATGACCAACGAAGATTTCAAAGCCATTATCTTCCTCGCTTTAGAACCGGGTTGAAATTGAAACACACCCTTCTCTGTTTTTTATATTTAAACCATATTAAAGAAAATATTATGTTGTTTGAGGTTCATTTCGAAAGACCCTGTCTGTTCTACTGAGACACAGCGTTCACTTGAATCAATATTTTATATTGCTAGAATTGAAATCATTGTAGTATGTAATAATTTCCACGGTGCATTCTAATGTTTTTTTGCATTTTTAGCAACTGGACATGATCTTGAACTCATTCTGCAATCAATACATGGTCCCCACTGACGCCTCCTGCTGCATAGAAATGGAAAAGATCACAAAACTGCAGTTTAATACCTTCGCAGTTTTTGCAACATGGTATTTCTTTTAATCTAGATTTTCAATTCACTGACCGATATTATCAAAGTAGCAATAAAAGCTTCCTCGTGCAGAACTCCAAGGGTCTAAGTACTCCAAGAAATAGCTATTATAACGCCCTAAGGGTTCCTCGTATGACATCGAAATTAACCAGTAAACGAACTGATGTGCTAGGCCAATGGGCCTAGGCTCTGAATAGATAACAGATAGAAGACAGTCCTTGGTTTATGTTTTTCTAAAATCTAAACACGAAGACTGACTAATCAAGTAACGAAAACTAACAAGCAATATGAGCGTCACACTGCATGTTGACAAGATAGAACATTACCATGAATAGGTGTTCACTAACACAACAGAACCGAACGAATAAAACGAGTGAAAAAAACTAAATCTCTAGGTATTATTGTGGACGAGAATCTCAACTGGAAGGAATACTTAAAATCTTTGAAAGGAAAAGTAGCAAGTGGTCTGTCTTCGTTAAAAAAACTGAAGCACATACTTCCACAATCCAAACTATGTGAGGTTTATCATGCGCTGGTTGAAAGTCACCTCCGATAAGGAAATGTTGTCTGGGGTAACCTGCCAAACACGAAGCTACAATCGCTTCAGCGTCTACAGGATAGGGCATTCTCAATTATTGACAATGCCAAACGAAAATACCCCTGGACTAGTGATTGGCTAAGCGTTGACCAGATTATCTTTTTTGATAGATCTATCATTTTACACAAAATAGTTAATAAGCAGTGCCCTGAAAGCCTCTGGAACAAGTATAATCAGAGGATTGAAATTTCTAGTTATAGCACAAGAAACAATAGAAATCTCGACATCTCAAAATTTAAGCTTGAGAGTACAAAAAAAGGATTCCACCTTTCTGGGCTTAAAGCTTGAAACAAAATACCCATAGAACTAAGGGAGATCCTCTTGCTCTATCAATTCAAGCGAAAATTAAAAGCTCACTTGAAAAGCTCAGGAAACCCGAATTAAAACACGATTACCAAGAAGATCAGACGTCAAATTCAATTTACTCATATAATTGAACAATTTTTTAAATTTTTTTTCCATCATTAGTTTTTTTTAACTTTTCATAACTTGTACTTAGGTTTCTGATGGGATATCGTGTTGAAATAAGAATTTAATTAAAATAAATGAACAAAAATCTGTCAGTTAGTGCTAGCCAGTCAATAACCGTGTAAATGATATCATGCTCACTGATTGGCCAATCATTGATTGACAGGTGTCTTAGCCATTTTAGTGTCTGTTGAATGCTTTTGATAGTTTTCATCATAAGTAAAGCTGACTCTGAATATTCAGCTAATGACATCTTCGAATTTTATCATTCGCAATTGCCCTGCAAGTGGTTTTAAAATTCTTTTGTATTCCTTTTCCAGTGTTCTTCTCTGGTTCGTAATGTTTTGTTTGAGAAGATGCTCAAGGTGCAAGCAAGGTAGTGTTTTTAAACTTATCCTTCATTTGCCTGCTTTAGGCCTAAAAAAACTGTGACTTTCGGATATATTTGCACTCATTTGGCCTAAGAAAATGGGCTAATTCCTACTATTGTCGTCCAGTTCACTTAAAAATGTCGATTCCACTACAGTCTGCATTTATATAATTTTGTTTAAATCTCCAAAGAGACTTGTCTTACTCCCTTTTCCATAGACTGCTGGTGTATTTTTATGCATCCAATGAACATGTCTTCCTTTTTCATTTAACAGTCGCTTTACAAATTCATCTTTTAAATTATTTGTCAAATCTCCTAAATGGAAGGAAGCTTTTAGGAGAATGTCTCTCTTAATTAATCTTCCTAGCTCGAAAACACCGTCAAAATTTTGCACATTTGAAGTTTAGAATAGCCATTAATTTTCATCTTTTAAAAGACAAGAGACCCATTTCGCTTTAAGAGAGATGCAATTTTCGCATGGGCTCCTCTCTAATGATACTTCATTTAGATTAAATTATATTTGGTCAAAAAACCCACCGTATTAGATTTTCTTATCATAGAGCATCTTATGTCATTTTGTAAATGCTAGCATCGGAAGTTAATCAAATTTCCACACTAAAAATAAGCATTCCAACATGATTTTTTTAATTTTGATAACAGCTGCATTCCTAGCCTCTAAGCCAGGGGTCGGCAACCCGCGGTCCACGAGCCACATGCGGCCCGCAAGGTACTTTTTTGTGGCCCGGAAGGCCCCTGTTAACTTGTAAATAATGTGGCCCAATGCACGAGTGTCGGCTCGATATTGATTCAGTGATCCTAGATTCTTGTCTAGATTAGCATTCCTCGTCAATATTAGCTACTAGTCACTCGAACAAGCTGAACAAAAAGCTTCAAGGCCATGGTCAATTTGTGAATGTCATGTATGAACATGTTGTCACGTTCGTGCTTATGCTACATCTTTGGAAAAATCAGCTAAATCAATGGAACTTGGTTCACTTTGGAGTTGATCGAGCTGCAGGGTACCAGTAAATTGAAACAGAAATACAAGGAAACTCATATCATCCAATTTTATATGGAGTATCTCCATTCACGTACAGCTTCCACGTTACAGTACATTTACCGATAAATACAACTTTATTGATTAGATTAGTAGTTAGGTAGAATTGGTATATATCAAAATTATACTATTTTTTGAGTTGTGGCCCTCGTATGCATTTCAAAAATCAAATTTGGCCCCCTGGTTAATAAAGTTTGCTGTCTAAGCTAGCTATTTCTATTTCTGGATACGCATTATTATTTCTTCAAAATAGCAAATGACTTTTATGCAATAAAGCTTTCGTCCAGCTAATAGCATCTTTGAACCAAGAACGTATGCTACAGGATCTGTTGATATATTTTTTATCATGAGAATCATCTAAAAGGCTCGAATACACGATCCGATGCTGTGATGGATTCTCAGTTATTCAGTATTCAATTCCCTATAATATTTGAAATGCTGAAAATAGTTCAGGAATTATTAAAGCCTCGTGGAGCCTCGTGGTACAAAATCAGATCAGTTGCATTTTCGTTTTCTTCGTGTTGATCTGTTGAAACCTAATGAAATCTTCCGGCTTGCGTCACAATTAGTCAAGACAGCTGAAAATGCTCTTTGCGTTTATTCTTTTTTCTCTCAGGATCTGTGCATATCGCCGTTAGAGCAACTTTGAAAAAACTATATTTATCCGTAATTATCATTTTTAAATTATATCCCAGTGGTATGTGTACTTGCAACTTTTCAAAAATATGGTTTTTGATCGGATTTCATTTTTCTTCATCATGTTCCGTCGTATTTTGTCGGATTCCATCGTATTTTATCGGATTTTATCGCATTTCCCCTTTTCCGTGATCTAAAATTCTGCCCTGCAGCTATGTTGTCCCAAGAAATAAAAAGTTCTCTGAGGGAGGGGGGGGGGACTATTTGAATCATAATGAAACATGACTCATAATTTTCATAAAATTCTTAAATTGCGAGTACGATGAACTTCTTCGTGAGTCATCTTTGTAAGGTCTTTATTTATGAACGAGAATAATTGTTTTCTTTCAGACCCAGAGCCTATCGAGCAGACTGGCCTTGCCTGGATGCACTCAGATACGATGTACTCTGTCTTGAAATCAATGGCCAAACTTGCCGTAATAATGGCGTATTTCTTTGTTTGCGATAGGTAAACCGTTTTCTCCATTTTAAGTTGCGAGAATTAAAAAAACGAGAACTTTGTTACGAGTTACGAGAACTTTGCTACAGGAACGAAAGCAAATTAAGTTAGTTTAACAACGAAATCAAGCATTTTCAAATAGCTTCACAATGGGCTATATTTGATTTTTGGAGTCATTTGTCTATGCATATTTGGAAGCCACATTAAAACTTTTAGAAAAGTTGCCTGATGACCACATCAAGCATGAAACTCGGAGTAGAACTTAAAACCGTCCTGTTCCATACACCAAATAGCGTAAAAAAACCTTTGGTAATGGGAAAAATTTTCCCTATCCCTTCTATTGGAGTTTCTGAATTTTCAGGACACTTAAGGCCGCCAAAGTTTATTCAAAGCGCTTTCTTATGAAATATCGATTTTAGATGTGTTTTTTAAGTTGACCGGCTTTATTGTGCTTGTACATCTTCTTTTACCTTCACTCTTTCACACCACCCATATTAATTATTCATTTCATGTGTAGTGACATCGTCACTAGCTGTCTCTAGGAGGGTGGGAAGACAGAAAAATCCGATGTCAAACAGTTTGTTTCTTAATAATGAAAACTTTACATCAATCTTTAAAATTTACAATTACGAGCTGACAAGGTCATATTGATTTCGGTTATTCTGGATTCATGTGAAGGCTATTTATCATGTATAGACATTAGGAGCTTGCTGTCTCTAATTGGTCTCTCTACGTTAGAGATAAAATGACATTGGTCAAAACCAGAGTTGGGCAAGATACTCGAAACAAGAATATCAATTACAAAGACGCAGTTATTGGCAAAATTCAGAATCTTATTACAAGATAAAAGATAAATAGCTTCCATCTGTGCATGTAGCATGTTTGTCCTTTTCTCGTGAAATTGCCTTTCGCTTAAAAAAGCATGTTTTTCCTTCGTCAGCGATTGTGTTTTGTCTGTAATTTTAAATGCTTTATCCGTGGGAGGAAAGTCCATTGAGGCATAAAAACTACTTAATTTCACGATCAACAGATATCATGTCACAAAACATGTCTCACCTTGGTGCTTATACTACGTTTGGGTTTCGCTATTTGTGGATAGTCTCAACCCAGTAACACATCATTGCTAATGTTGAGCCCTTCTTTTCAGTACTCCAACGAGCGACTTCTTGGAGGATCGGACATAGTTTCGTTCGAAGCTTAATTTTGCACAGAGTGTTTATAACGAATTCATTCGTCACATTTCGTAACATTTTATACCTGAAATTCTTAATTTGCCATCAATACCTGATATTCTTAAGCAACTTGTTATATCTTCCAACCTATATGTAAAAAATTTAGTCGCCGGCGACAAAAATCTAGCACGCCGCCGGCAAAATAAAATATCTAGCACGCCGGCGACAAAAATCTTGTGATGTTTTTCCCTGCAGACTAGCGATTTTGGTCGCCAGCGACGTGTGCGCTAGGCTGAAGTTAAAAAAAATTGTCAGGCAGACCAACTTTTGATGGTCGTGCTGACCTGCGCATATTTTCCCTTTTATGAAGTCTACATTTTCGATTTCTAGTAATGGAATTTCATGTTTCAGAGTAAATTATTTTATGTTGCACAGGTTATCTTTTCAAGTATTGAATTTCGAAATTCGTCTTTCAGGTGTTACGTGCTAATGAAAGCACCGAAAGAATTCTCTTGGGCTGCATTTTTCGTCCCAATTGGCGTCATGGTCCTCCTTGGGATTTATAAATTAGAAAAAACAACTGATGTAAGTGCTGTGAGATATTTTTTTTTCAAGTTTTCTCATAGTAAGATTTATATTTTATTATTTCTCCGAAAGATACTTTTACAGGAATTGTGGGGTATGCACCCCTCCCCCCCCCCATTATATGCACCCCCCATTATATTGTAATTGTACCAGTGTACCTTTGATTGCTATGTTATGAGATATGCTCTCAGATTCTCAAATTATGAGATATCGTATTTAGAACACATATGTTCGTAACGTAAAAACAATCTTATATGCTGTATGTTATTTTAGCTAACTTTACTGCACGGTGATCAATCCGATGAGTGGAAAGGCTGGATGATTTTTGTCATTCTGGTTTACAATTACACAGGCGCAGAGAAGGTATTCATTTTGTATTTAAAATACCTATTTATAGTAATATTTATCAAGCTCTTCACCTCAGTAATAAAGAGTTTAATGAAATATTGTATCCAAAGTCATTTTTATTTCTTTTTTATGTAGTTTCTTACTATGTTATCAGATGAAGCTTTCTTGCTGGTTTCGATCTTTACTAAGACCATTTTATTTGCAATGGAGAATTAATTATTTAAGTAATTATAACCCATTAATTAGTTCAGATATGTGTACTTCAGTCGAGTTTCGATATCCAAAAATCGGAGAATCGCTATCCCAAAAAAAGATTTTTACAAATCCAGTCCAGTAAAAATGTGATAAAACCATTTAATACGGAAAAACTTCATTTAAACCCTTCACATCTAGAATTTTTCAAGTCATCCTATAGCAGAATCAATTAAATCAAGTGCAATCAATTGCAATCAAGCTGCATCACTTCCAATCAAATTTTTGTGAAACCATTCATTGCTCTGTTTTGATATTTTCAGTTCATCGATCATTTTAGTTCACTACCAAATTATGCAGCATGAAACATTAAGTCCGACAAATATAAAGAGAAAGTCTACAAGCAAAGAATTTCAAAACTTTTCAAATGATTTTGAAGTTATTTACAAGTGACATTTGATAGTCTGGTGCTTAAACTCTTTCATATAATAAATGTTTTTATGCTTTGTTTACTCGTTGCCCTAACCGACTTGCTCCCTTGAATTTATAAGCTTCATTGACTGTGCTATCGGCAGTAAGCCTCGACATATAGCTCATATTTTATAGCTCATATTTTCTTTGTAGATTTTGCCGGTGTATCTCTTCATCGAAGTTTTGTTTGCATCATACTTGTTTATAATCGGCTTTGAGAGCTTCATGTATTTGTGGACAACAGGTGATTTTGGCTTGTACCGCGTCTGCAAGGTCTGTTTTGAATTTATAAACCAGTAGTTACGACCAGATTTGTCTCTCTTTTGCGCATGAAACAGTGGCTAATTGCAATTTTACGCTATGAAACTGCGCCATGCCCAGTAACTGCTTAAAAGAAGACATTTATTTTCATCAAGACGAAGGTCAAGTTGTTTTTTTGCGTAGCTTGATTAAGTTTTTTTATTTCATTCAGTATAGCTAGAAATTTGGTGCCAAATTACGCGACCAGCTAGCAAGATGGGAAGAAATATACCACATTTATAATTTGTGCATAGTTATGCATTCCACCAAACTATCTTTTTCTGGCTTCAGAATCGATTTCATATTTCATCTGCCAGGGAAAATGGATCTATTCCCTGCTACTTCCTTTTAAACAGATTCTGAAACGAGATTAGGCCTCAGGAACATCAATTCCTTTGTATGATCAATTAATTGAAAAAAGCAGCAACATAATTTTCTTGTAAGCGACAAAAGTCAAGCATTGCTAATCTAACTTTTTGTGGCTTCTTGAATCAAAGGCAACCCTCATCCTTGCCACAGAATAGAGAACGCTAAGTATGAGAAAGTAAAAATGAAGCGGACCCAAGCCTTTCCATGTAACATTTTCGGCATTTAGGTGCAGCTTGGAGTTTATTAGTACGGCCATTCGGCCATAGTCTCATATTCCTGCATAAAGCAATAACTTTATTCACCGCATTGAGGGTAACTCTTTGATCTAGAGCCGCCAAAAAGAATTTAGAATTGTTTCGCTGAGAGCTGCACAAGGAAAACAGTTTTCGTTTGTGTAACACCAGGAGATGGATGCGCTTGAGTATATTAAAGCAAGTAAATATGTCCTGGCGAGCTGGCTTTCGTAATTACGTTATTATACATTTATGTTGATTAAATGTATTCACATGAAGCTGGATATAAAACCCTGCCAAAGCCATAGCTACTTTGTTTTATCAAGGAGATGTGCTAGGCTTAACGGATAATATAATGCCCTAGACAAAGCATGTTACATTGCACTAACATATAGCTTTGGCCTTTTTTAACACTAAGCAGCTTAGAAACGAAAATATGTGATTAAGATATCTTCAATATGAAACGACCTTTGTCGAAGCTCTTTTTCCCATCAACTCCAACCGTACATCTGCCGTTATTACATCATTCGGCAGTCGAAAAACATCTTAAATTGCTTTCTGACTTTCACTGCCAGTAAAATGATATTTATTAAGTAATACAACCTCGAATAATTAAAGGACATATATTTAGAGTTTCCTGCTTTAATAAGTTTTCTGTCAGCTAGGGTTAAAGTTCATCTTTTGGTCCTTTGTGTCAACCATCACCCTCACGAGAATAGGATAGGGGAGGGGGACAAAGTTTGTGTGGTTGAGGCAAGTTGAAATCAAAGACAGTCTTACAAAACAACGGTTTGCTTAAGTTGAAATTCATCAGAGAACAGAATTGACGATTAATGCGATATAAAAGTAAGTTTTGGGTAAATTAATTAAGGCTTTTCTGTTTGGATTATGACTGAAATGATTGAACATTCCCTTACACCATGAATTTTCTGTTTTTTTCAAGGTGATGGCAAGACTGAACGTTATCCCCGTCGCAGCATGCCTCTTTATGGACAGACCATACCAGTTTTATTACCTAACTTCTATCCTGTCTATTTGGTTCATCTTCTTGTATCTGATGATGATATTCCCACCTAGGCTGACTGCAAAATATGTCGAAGGTAAGTAGGCCTAGTTTAAAGATACTTTTGTCACTAAGGTCTTCTAATTATTTTCAAAGCTTGTTTTTGTGTCGCCTTGTTCATTAAGAAATATAAACTAAATTTAGGAAATTCCTTTAGAAAAGGAATTAATTAATGAAATCTTTTCTTAGGTTGTTTAACCTTTTGTGGATGTTGTCTCTCTAATTAAGATACAAGAGTTACTAATTGGCGATTAATTTCTTCTTCTTCCCTTCAATGGGTTTTTGTTTCATTATATCGTTTGCTTTCTAGAAAATATAAAGAATTATATATGGGTTATGCTGAAATTCGGTGTTTTGTTTGCTTTGATTTTCATCATTTGGGGAAATGAGGTAAGCTGTTTCTTTTGCTATCAGTTTTGTCCAGAATTGGTATTATTTCGAATGTAACTTTTCATGAATAGAGGGGATGCTACAGTCTCTTTTAAGTATCTTGAAATTTTGCGTGCTTTCGCTAAGATATTGTCCTTAATGGTATGCATGCGTCGTTTGAATTCCAGAATAAATTAAACCGCATTTTGCTGCCGAAAATCAAAACATTTTGAGTATCTAGCCCCCTCCCCCCCTGCCTCCGTTTGCAATATTCCCAAAAATGAATGTTAATCTTTTACTCGCTTTACCCTTTGTGGCTTTTGTTTTTCAGACCGTCTGTGATTGGCTGTTTTCGCGCATCGCAATTAAAGAACTATTCATTGATACTTTCGATGGCGTTCACCAATGGACGCTGAGATCTGGCAGGGATCGATATGTAAGTTGCTTCCTTTTTCCTTTATTTCTGTTTCAAAAATCTTACATCTATACGACAAAACCACGTGTACCTTCCCCAAAATTTTTGATTAGCAACAGTCTCAAAGCCTAAAATAACTCTTTGTAATACTAACGAATCGTTGTAGTTTTTGGCTATTTAACCAACATTGTTTTGGGTCGATGTGGAGCAAATTCCGCATTTTAGAGAAATTTTCAATTTTGGTGTTCTAGATATTTTTAGCGGGGATTGGAGAATCGTCACTTTTCAAGGGCCCTGTTTGCTAAGGTGAAGATCCTCTGAAGAGAAAATTCTAATTAACGGGCTTGAATCAAATTCAGAAATCCAGAAAGGCAGTCTTTCATAGCTTGAGACATCTTTTATTATTCTGATCACGGTCTATTGCTTTTTTGACGGTTGATATTGGTTCTTTTTGCTACACTGTAATAGTCCCCGCCCCCAGTAAGAGTATGATGAAGATCATGTAAAGCAAGAAGAGCTTGCAGGGAGAGATGGCAATCGAGTAAAGGCGTGTTCGTATTGATTGGCTGCCTCAGTGGTCTAGAAGAAAGACAGGATTGAGCTTCTTATTGTCTTAAAACACCAAGTTTTGAAGCCTGTTCATTTTCAACAGAAAGAGGACCCCAATCAGAAGCGGAAAGCCATTCTTTAAAACCGATGTTGATTGATATGGATAGGCGAGCACCGAAAAATAAAAAGGTCGAAGTAGTTGAAAGAAGCATGATAAAGAGAAAATGAAAATGTTGTTAGGGGTGATAGTTGAAGTTGATAGAGACAATATAATAGTATAGGATTGATCACTTGCTCTGACACGTGGCAGTGTCTTCTTTTGCATCGCATGCTGCTACTTATTAATTATAACGAAATTTTTATCAAAATGCTAATATCGCTGTGCCTTTTGCATGAGAATTCTGTTTGCCTCTTTACCGACATCTGTAATTGGCAGTGTTATCAACTTTTGTAAGCTTTCTTTTCTCTCTTATTTCCTTCTCATTGATTGTAGGCTCAGGGAAACCCCTTAGCGTATAAGTTCGATAGGGTTAATGAAATAAGCTCCTGTCACGTCGTTCTCGAATATCAAAAGAATCCTGAATTGTGAAACTTTCATTAAGAGAATCAATGTAGATAGGACCCGGCATATCTGTAAAAATACTTATGCATCAGAGAAACCAAGATAAAGTAAGAATGTCCGCCAATGTTTGAGGAACAAATTGATGTGAAATTATTGAGGAACAAGTTCTTGACACGTCAATTAACAGGGAATCTAGATATGGCCTAGACAAAGTGCATCTTAGACAATGGGTCAATAAGCTCATTTTCTGTTGAATGTTGGGAAAGAAAACGAATAAATCCTTATTTTTTGACTAGACGATTGGTTTTAGGGTAGGCGAAAGTAAACTTTGCGAGTCGTTTAATGCTTCAAAGAAGTATTTTAGCAAATGTCTTTCAATTCTGTACCCTCGTAATGAATGTAAACTCACTCGATTTATTGATTCGGCCTTTCACCAAATGTCTTACTATTTCTGCAAACCTAAAACAGTATATTGGATTTCATTGCATTTTCTATTACATTGTATTTACTGATCATTCACATTGCATTTTCATCATGTTAATATTTCGAAATTTGTTTGTGTTCGATATCTAGAAAGCCGTAGCCGTAGAATTATTTTTTACTATTTTCTATCGTGTATTTTTTGCATGTTGCCTAAACTAACTGCTTTGTTCATTTCTTATTATTCTTTGTTTATTTTTTAGATTATTATCTATGCCATGTTTGCTGCCTTCGGTTATGTAACTGCCAGAAAATATGACATCGCTCAAGAGGATGCTGATAGCTATTGCTTGTTCAGGCGCAGGTCAACCGTGTTTGCTCTGATCTTTTCTCTTACTGGAGCTTCGGTAGGTGAAGTTTTGAACCCAGTGTTGATCAGTAACAATCAACATTGTGATCATCATAAACATTATATCGTGATCACCATATCAAGTCCATCATCAATATTCATCACAATCGTGATATTGTGATCAACATTAAGGTCGCCTCCAATTATCATCACCCTTTATTCTTAGATACAATACCGCATCGCCCTGTGTTCTTAGATACGGTACTCTGTGAAATGACTAGTGTCAAATATTCTGTGAAATGTCAGTGAACTCTGCAGATGGTAAGCCTGGGCTTATTTACAGTAAGCATGTCAACCTGAAGATGAAATCATGTTAAAATTGACTTTTTTATGGCATTTTCTGGGTTTAAGACGCACTGATCCAGCAAGCTACAGTTTCATGTCGTTTGACCTCGCAATCTGCCCAGAATCGTGTTAAGAAACGCTCCGTTTCTGGTGGATTACCTTTAAACCATTCTTCCTGGTGGATTTTGAACAAAAACCAGCGATCAAAAGAGAAACTTGCGTGTATTCTTGCAAGGAAATGTCTGCTTCCAAGGGAAATCCCACACGTTTTATTTAAAAAGTTGAGATGCCAAAATGTACCAGATTCCTTCACTGAATGTTGGCTATTTTTCGTGTAAATCTTGCGTGCAAACTTTCTTCTCTTTGTTACCAAAACAAAGACCTATTCTTGACTGTTGCAATGGGCTGGATCTCCCCTCGCAGATTTTCGAAGTCGCATTGCGATCGAAGTCGCAGAGCAGCGCAGATTTTAATGTTGCTATTATGGTGGGACATTTTTGTTTATCGGTCTTAGTATTATATGTTGTTTATCATAGGCGTAGACTTGCATTTTTTCCAGGGGGGGGGGGGGCTCAAAAAATTAATGACAATTCCTAATGGCAGCTGCTATTATCACGTCAGCAAAGATGGCACGTTGCTTTCCTCTGACGCTTCCAGCCTCTCTGAAGGACTGGCTTCGAGTTGGATCTGACCTTATGTTCACAATAATTTCATTCTTTATTTTGCTGTAAACGCAATTATCTAATGCAACAAATCTTATGCGTAAAACCAATAATATAACTAATCTAAAAATTGGTAAAGCACTTACTTATTTTCCAGGGCTCAGCCCCCCCTCGGTTTTCGTCAGGAGGGGCTGAAGCCCTAGAGCCCCCCCCCTAAGTTTACGCCTATGTTGTTTATATTTATTTTCATTCAAATGCCAAGGTGGTGATAAAAGAACTGAACACGTAAAAAAAACAATGTATTCCAAATTTTGGTGATGAAAATGCTCATACACATAGCATAGGATAGCTCACGTCAGAAAGAATACCTATGGTGTATGTGCCGACACATTCACGATCCATTGCACAAAGTTCTTTTCACTCATGATGCTACATATAAATATATTATCTTGCAGTTGTCATGTTTTATCTCCAATGAGTCACTTAAACCCTCTCTTCATTGTTTTTATAGCTGTTCGGCATTCATTTATTCGTCTGCAACGATCGCTCTGTTTGCAACGCAGCTCATGCAGTGGCGTCCTGTATACCTGTAAGTCCACAAAAGAAGCAAAAGCAGCTTTCGAAATTCAATCGATTTCTTAAACGCTGTCTTTATCTCAGGTTGAATGGCTATGTCATTTATATAACAAATCTCGTGGAAAGGTTATGAAAGGAATGCCTTGGAAAGGAAATATTAATTTCCCGAGATTAAATCTTCCATTTTCCTAAAATTTTGTTCCTATAATCTGGTCCAAGATACACATATTTCTGATTTATTTATGATTTCAAACATGCTTTCGTTCCTCTATTTCATTTACGTATATTATTCAAAATTTCAAATCTGGGTTAGTTATTTCTGAAATTTATGCTCCTTTTTCGTTTGGCTTCAACCTTGCTGTTTGCTTACTTTAATATTTTCATGTTTATAGATCACATCTTATCTGCTGTTACGAAACGTTCCAACTTGTATACGAACCAGATTTAGTTCGTTTTTTGCTTGGATTGGGAAAATGTCGGTTGAGGTAAATGTTTTTATTAATAATTTTAAACTTCTGCCCATTGACTCTTTATAAATACGTTTTTCAGAGATACACTGTCTAACAATTTTCTAGCAACGCGGCAAAATCTTGGATCCGAAAACCTCTCTAATGCGCATGCGCAATGCTGCATTTTAGATGGCAATTTTTTCCTACTGTTCAACAGAGTTTTTGTTTTCATCTCTTTTTCTTTTGCTTGTTTCATACGCAATCCATCGTCAAATAACAAGTATTTTACAAAAGCTTTGAAAAATTTGCCACAATCATCGATCCATCAGTTTCAAAGATAACTTCACAGACACTCAATAATTACGAAACATTTTATGACCTGTAATTTGTTTCCTTAAATCCTTGTTTGTTTGAAGAAGTGCTACGAAAAGGCTGTGTGAAACACGTAAGGATTAAGTGTTTTTTTAAACTCTTTGATCTTTCACGCGCCCAGAGACTCTTCCCATATAATTATTCATGAAGCTCGGCTTTTCCTCGATTTTTCTTTAGTTTCTCGTTGCCTGCTTGCCTTGCGTGTGAAAAACGTCATTTGTGATATCGCTTTGTTATTCAAACAAACAACCGCTTTTTAAAATATCGCAGAACACAGTTGACCCCAGCTCTGCTTAAGGTTATGTCATAAGCTTTGTTATTAACTTCTCTTAGATTCTATCTTTACTTATGCATCGTTAATAAATTGACCTTTGCCGGGCTGTAGTTCCTTAAACCTGCCCGATATCGTGAGATAAGCTATTGAGAAAAAAAGGGATGTATGTTTTTTAACGGAAAAAAGGGATGTATGTTTTTTAACGGACACCAAACATATATATGTAGTTTCAGAATGATTTCTGTCTGTTAGTCAAACTTATCACAATAAGCCGCATGCGTAATGTGTTTGAAAAACAACCGCATTGTTCTGATATTGGCATAAGAGCATTTTCTGATATTGGTATAAGAGCGTGGCCCAAAAATCTTTAAAAGTATCTCAACTACATGAACTTTCTTTAAATATATGGATATTATGAGGATTCATAATGATTGCTCCCCATTTATTGGCTTCTATCCTTTGTTTTTTGTCAATCAGATTGATTCATATTTCATAATCCATTGGCAGAGATATGTTGGTCTGTGTGCCCTGTGGCGATCCGAGTGTGCCCTGTGTCGTAACAGACGAAATGAAAACTTTCCATCTATAAAACAATCTGTGTGATGTCTGTACATCCTAATGAGTGTTTTCATCGTCTCTTCCACAAAATCTTTATTTTTTCCTTATTTTTTTAAATTGGTTGCTTGACTTTGATTTGACACACAATTCTTTGGATCCCAATTTCGGTTGGTAAAGGCTTTGTTTGCTGCTAAATTAAATATCAAGTCTTTGAGGCGTTTTCAATCACGGCTATCGGCTAAAGACACTGTTTATATCGAGTCAAACAATTCAAAAGATACAAGAATACGCAAATCTTTTGTTCAACGGTCAGCTTAATTTCAACTGTAATATCGAAACGTTACGCCTCTCGTTGTCTCTTTAAACTTGTTTGTGCTTTCCGAAATTAACCTAACAGATGATCGAGTGCAGTCATCCCATTATATCACAGTTTGCATTAATTTTAAAGCACCATTTTTAATCAAAATTTTTAATCGATCCTGTTTGTGAAATTAAATTCATTATTTCAACGACCTTGCAGTGATTGATTTGATATGTGCTTCTCAGATTGAAAGGTGTCTTGCTTTTAACTAGTCTGCTTCTCTTTACTATATTCAATTTTCTAAAAGTCAAACTGAATCAATCCTCTTAAACTATCTAAAAGTTATCTATGATTGCCACTACGTGTTTTTCGTGGACAAAATTTTTGAGGATTCTTCTAATAATCAAGCATTAATGTTTAATTTGTCCGAATGATTATTAGAAAAACTGATGTTTCGAGCTGTTTCACGTCATTATACACTCCTGCATCCTCCCACCTTTCTTGATCACCATCAAAGTGCAATTCTCGGCTCACTTTTTACACAGAATAAACGATAAGATTTTCCTTTGCAGCTCCGTGTCATTCCATTGGCTTATTTTCCCGAATGCTTCCCTCCTGCAGCTGCAACCTTGAATTATCTAAGCATTATCATCTTCCTTAATTAGGCATAACCAGACCTGATAAAAAGTAATTAAATCACTTGATCTGAACTCGTTGCTTATTTGCACTCCTTCTGCCTTGTCTCTTCTAACATTTAACCCTGAAACTGTAACCCATATTATCTCCATCTTCGTTTCAGTTGTTTGTGGCACAGTACCATATTTGGCTGGCCTCGGATTCACAGGGCCTGTTAGTATTCATTCCGAATTATTCGATAGTGAATGCCTTGCTAACTACGTTTGTGTTCCTGTGCGTTGTCATGGAGCTGCGTAACATTTCCGAAACACTTTCAGATGCTCTTGTTACAAAGGACGTTCGTATCATGCTACGTAGACTGGTTATTTTTATTCTCATGTTAATGATCATATGGTGGCACAAAAACCACGCTAAAAAACCACTACCAAGCTAGTTGACCAACCTTTTGCACCCTTTCTTTTGAGGCTCATCAGTAGTGTATAGCTAATCCATGTGTTGCTAATATCATTTAAATAGTTGAAACAGCTAATATATTATAGAAAAGCTAATAACTAATGTAAACAGATAACATATATTTCTGTTTTGTTGCTTTCAATTTTCAGCTGACCCCTATTGTCTGTTTAGCTACTGGCCTGTGGGCAGTTTTTTACAAAGTTTTGCCTTTGGTCGCCATTGCAGTTTAAGCCCGTGAACAGAAGGAAATGCTGCACACTATCTGTTGTAAAATATTTGATAACATATCATTGAAACATCTCATGCGAAAATCCTCCCCCATCTCTTCTTGATATATTTTCATGAAGTGGCAGGGACACGCCCATCCCCTCTTCTTATCTAAGCCAAGATCAATTTCGGCTTGTGCAGTTTTAAACAAAGATGATCAAGTGTGAAATAAGATCTGTATTCTTGCATTCTTAGAGGGCGTGGCATATGACGATCTTTCTACCCACGCTCCTTTTCTTAACCCAGCTATAGAAGGCAGCTTTTGTCATTATTCGCTGCAGCCTTGATAAAGGGAATACGGATCAAATCAGCTCTACACTAACTCTGATTTTCAAGAATTTAAATAATTGTATATGAATTTTGAATTGTGACTAGAACTTTGTAGATTGTGACAAAAATGAATGCGATTTGTGTCTTTATTCATTATTTGTATTCTTGTTTCACATATTACTGGACACTGTTACGAATTTTGCTATTTACAATGTTACGAAAATCTCTATTAATAAAGGCCTACCAGCTGCCTCTGTTAACTTTTGTGAGCACAGGCATAGAGTGTTATTTTGTCGGAGGGGGGGTAGGGTGCAAAGAAAACTACTTAAACCAACAAGGGGCTATTTACAATGTTACGAAAATCTCTATTAATAAAGGCCTACCAGCTGCCTCTGTTAACTTTTGTGAGCACAGGCATAGAGTGTTATTTTGTCGGAGGGGGGGTAGGGTGCAAAGAAAACTACTTAAACCAACAAGGGGCTATTTACAATGTTACGAAAATCTCTATTAATAAAGGCCTACCAGCTGCCTCTGTTAACTTTTGTGAGCACAGGCATAGAGTGTTATTTTGTCGGAGGAGGGGTTTGGGGGTAGGGTGCAAAGAAAACTACTTAAACTAACAAGGGGCTATTTTGCCAATATCATTCTAGGTTTAAAAGTGTGCTTTATTTCATTATCAAATTACAAACAGTTTGAATTGTATTACAACACTTAACATCAACTGGCATTATGTGAATAAACAACAAGGTGCAATTGCACAAATGATACCCTGCAAAGTATTATTTCTCTAGTGCACCAGTCCAAGGGGGCAGAGCTTCTTAGAGCTTGATTGCCCCTCCCCTTCTTCACTCTATGCCTATAGCTGCAAGTCTTCTTAATGTCAAACTGTGTAGTTGCACTTAAGTCACATTAGCAAAGATTATACAAGATAAGTTAACTTTTCTCTCTACGATAGCAGGTGCCTAACGAAGGGACTTTTGAACTCTTTACAATAACTCTTAGTGCAATTTTTAACTTAGTTCTGCTTTGGAAAATTAATGGATTCAAAGGGTATTTCTCGGCAGTTGTCGTCACTGATGATTTTTAATCAATATAAATAAAGTATCTAACAGCCACTAATCATATTGACATTTTTCTTTTATTCATTTCCTGTTGCTGTGGTGATTAGTTGGTATCTCAGACACCCAAACGAGGCTGCGTCGTTACATTTAATAGTGCGATTTTATCGGTAGAAAGACATACTGGCATTTGTATTAGGCTGAATCAACTTAAAAACATAGACAAGGTTGCTTTTATAAAATTTCAGTTTGTAATACGTGCACCATAGCTTTTCGTGTGTCTACCCATACTTACAAAACCTTATGCAAAATAAGCTTTCGCTGTGCGTCCCGTTTACATTTACAATGCACCTTTCTTTTGTGCTGTGTTACTTGCTTGGTATCTTTTTTAATATTTCCCAATATATCGATCTCTCTCCACGATCTACTAAGATTTGATATTCCCTGTCCTCATTTAGCATTCTTTCCATTTTACTATGTCGGTCTTTATATTTGTCTAAATGTCCTGCAATCTGAATCGTGGGTGGCACGACACGGTTTACTTTTGACTCTCAGTCGTTTTGGTGCAAACAAATAATATAAAAAGTCATCAAGCAATGGGGAAGAATAAGGAAAAATAGTGGCCGGAATATAAGCTTGGAATGATTGATACAGTAGAAAACCGCATAGAAGAACCTACATTTTTCAGTTTAGCCTAGTCAGTGTCTTTAACAAAAAGGGGCCTAACGGTCTAGTTGATTCGAACGTGGTCTTTAATTTCATCTTTTCAGATATTCAAGTCTTGTTGCTTCATTTTTTTTATTTATATGTTGACTGTACTGCACCACTGAAATCTGCTCTGAAAATGTAAGTTTAAAGAATTCTAAACCATTTAAATACGACCATTGTTTGAAATTTAGGTTTATAAGGTGTTTATGAAAGTGGCATAAAATATCCCTTTTTGGGTTCAAGTTATTATGAAAGTAGGTACTTTAATGAGTTTCACTGTATTGCAGTTTCAAGCAGTGGCGGCGCCAGCTACTGCAGAGTGGGAGAATAATGGGTGTCGCCCATGAGACCACGCCCTATTGACCTCGTTTCAGTTATTTATATCAGGTCAAATTTCCTTAGGAAATGTGATCTACCCTTACCTAGTGCTTTCTAATCCGTTTTTAGACGAAATATGTAGACCATGTTTCGCCTAAAATGGGGGGGGGGGGCTCTTGACGGCATACCACCTCTTGACGCCGCCACTGGTTTCAAGAGATTTTTATTTAGCTTAATGGTGCCTTCGATTGCAAGCCAGTTGTTGTCGTGGGTATCGATATATGGATCTCACTTACTGTTCAAAATAAAGTTTTGCGAGTCAGCCAACCTTTGTGGCCCCTTACAGGAAAAAAATCAACCCGCGTTGAATTTCGTGCCGATTGTGCTAGAAATTCCTCCAATGGAATCTCTACCCAGATCGAGCTTAACACGTTTTTTAACCCGGGTTGAAGTCTGTTGAGAGAAAATTTGGTAAACAGATAATCTGTAAGCCCGGCGATGTTTAAGCAAAACGAATTATGCCTAAAATTGAAACTCCCATACAAAGGAAAGCAGCGAAATGTTCACCAGCGGTATAATCTCAATGGCAAGGGCCGCGCCCTTGGGGACAATGTGGAGGGAATATTGAATAGAAAAAATTTAGTCATCAAATTGTACAACATATCTCGAAAACACAGTGGGAACAAATATCTCCCTTGCATGTTTTCTAATTGGGAGGAGGGAATAGTTAATTAATGAAACTATGGGAATGGAAAGATATAGGCCTATAACCAGAAGTCACTGGGTTTAAATTTTGTAGTCGATAGCTAGGTAAGAAAGATTTTTTGCGATTTTTGTTTTTCAGACACAACGATGAATGATTTTGTGGCTCAACAATCATTTACTGAAGGGCCAAAAAATTGCTGTTTCTTTCAATAGATTCTCAAAATGGCTCAGCATTTTCCCAAGTTTGTTAGGCCCGTACCTGTACTGAAAACATGTGTTTCAACAGGTTGTAGATTTTGCCTTTTCGATGCTGTCCTTGAATAATTTACAAATGTAACTATACAATGATTTCCATGCTTTCTCGACGTCTCTTGTCCACAATCCAGCTGGTGTCAAGTCTCTGACCGTTTCGATAATTGCAGCCCCCATAAGCTGGAAAATCAAATTCTTGCATCAGGACACTACTTGCGATACATATTGGCTGTTTTGTAAATCAACAACTAATAAGCTGGTTTTGTAATAATAACCGAAATAGCGATAAATTCCTTGTTTATATTTGGATATCATTGATATCTAAACTACTGTTACTTCAGGCCAACGTAAGCAAAGCGAACAATTCTTTAAAGCCCTGTTTAGGATTGTTTACAAATCTACAGCTGTACATTTCCCATTTCACCGTTTATAATGTTTCTTAAAATATATCAAGTTACAGGGCCGTAAATCGAATTAGGGGGGGGGGGGGGTTCAGCAGAGCAAATAAATATAAAGTGTGCGGTGGGGTCATTGCACCACAAGCAATTTATGATATGTGTTATGGATACAGTTTGAGGGGTAAACGACATAGAAAACTAAAATCAAGATTATTGGATTTACTAAGAATTTTAAAGCTCTACAGAAGGTACTTACAGTTATTCCTTAGGACGTGACTTTCATAAAATTTGATGGATAGCATTTTCAGAGACGGTGACACGAAATTGAACCCGGGGTGTTAAGAATGTAGTTTAATGACGTATGAGGACCCACCATGGCTGGGTCCGACGGGAAAGAAATTTTTTAAAATCATACCTTCTAGAGAGACTAAAAAAGGATCTCCCAGACCAAGTTTAACAAAATTCCAAACCGCTCGGGATAGACAATTCGACGTTTCCCAGAAGAACACAGATTATTGTTTCTTGGGAGAAATTGGGTAGGGGAAGAGTCATGCAAAAATTCTAGTGACAGAAGTTGGAAGAGGGAAAAAGTGGGATCTTTGGCTTAGAGTGCATATTTTCTGTAGTTGCTTTTCTCGCAATGTTGACTACAGAGAATCGCAATACTGACATTATTCGCTTCTTCAAAACGTGTGTTTTCTATTCAAGAGCAAGATTTTTATTGAAACAATATTGGATCGAAAAATATGGATATATCTGCAAAAACATATTCGGGATCAGAAAGAAAGTTTCTCAATAATATTGAGGCAAAGACTGTGGTGCTATCCGCGTTGTTTACAGTTTGCTGTCCCTTTGAAAATGTCATCAACGAAAATTTCAAGTAAAGGAGGCACCAGGAGAAACCCTTAGTTCATTTTTACTTAGTGTGAGCATAACTAAACGTGACAATAGCAAGATTGATTCAGAGCAATCTTAAAAAGCATGAAAAGATCCTTTGTCGCACATTATCTTCATATTGGTTAACGTAAGCTTATCTTGAGGTGTCTATAAAAGGGAAGAATAAATCAGAATTAGTTGGAAATAGCAAACTGCTTACATACCTCCATGTCGTTATCCGACATTTTGTCAATGTGTTTGTATCCTATGCTCTCTATCTTTTCAATGAAGGCAAGTCCATCATCAATCGAGTCTATGGCAAGATTGAATGCAAAGGATAATTTTCTTGGGTGCCCTTTTAGCAAATGCCAACTTTTCATTTCTTCTAGATCATCCATACTTTTGAATTCAGGAAATTTGTTGATCAGTTCGGGGCGCTTCAAGAAGACACTATGGAAAATCAAAGGAAACGATTATTAAATTGACCGGTAGAAATGATGAATAAAAATGCATCACAATATTTTATGATGTCTTCAATCATTACCAATACTTAAAAATAACATTTTGAGTTAAAGTATAGTCGGTACTTTGCTAATTGATAGTCGATAATCTGTCTTGTTGAATCGAGTATAACTCACCTTGTCCGGCCCTGCCTCGAACAGAATCTTGACAATCGTCTGAAAATGAAAATTATGATGCATTGCTACGCCCAGAACCGTAGCCACTTGTGTTATTTGGGGAGGAGACAGCGTGAATGTTAGTGCTGACTTGTGGTGTGTTTTTAGTTAGTGCTGACTTATTGCCGTAAGCGTTTCTCTAGTAAATTTACAACTTAAAAACATTCACGTTGTCCTTAAAAAGGGAGATTTATGAAAAACCTTTGTTTCCAATCAACAATCCCTTTTTGTTCCTCAAACAATGGCCCCCCCCCCTCTAATGATTCTATCTTTCCTACGGTGCGGGCCCGCCAATGTCATAAACAGCGATGAATATATAGCTAATTGGCATTCTTTTTCCTTCTTTTGATCAACTTCTTTTGCCCCCTATGCCTTCTTTTGATCACCTTCTTTTGCCCCCTATGCCTTCTTTTGATTACCTTCACTTCAACAATAGGTCCATATCAAGTTGTTAAGAAGTTTAAATTGCTACACTTTTTCAATATTTCAGCTTTGCTATGAAATTTCCTGTAGCTTTTGAAGTTAATGATCTTAAATTGGAACTACCGATCCTTCTGTCCTATAATCCCAAGAGTTTCGAAAATCGAATGCTGCTTTTTTACATGTGAGGGCATTTATCATCATTCTCTGCTTTAAATAATCAGTCCAAAATTGTAGAGAATATTTCCTAATATATGATAGGATATGTGATTCTTCTTTGTGATATTTTACTGTGATATGTACTGTCAAAACTTTTAGAACACTAGCGTCAGTTCTCTATACCAAATTCAGTCATCTCCTTTCCACCATATTAATAATCAGTCATTTTGAAGGCTGTTTCTTCTTTTAAACTCTCAAGGAGTTTGTTCATTCCATACTTGAAAGGGGCATTTAGCACTTGACCGCTGTTGTGATGCATACCCAGTCACGGGATATAAAAAATCATCGCCAAAAAGGAATTTTTCACTCTCCTCCTACTTTTGTTTGCGACAAGCTTTGCCTCCAAATTCTCGGAGGAGAATATTCCTTTGACAAAATTTCATCAAAACTCTTTTGAATTTTCAACATCTGTCAAAAACATGACTTTCTTCAACACAGCTCACGCCTACGGTAATTTTCAGCGCGGAAAGCGGCAAATATCAGTGCTGCTATTCAGATGCTGTTACACATAAGAGAGAACAATTTGTTGCATAATATTTTCATTGGAACAATATTAAAAGCCTACTTCCCAAAACTTTCAGTTGTTTGAAGACGCTATTTTACTTTGACTTTATTTAGAGTCTTTGGAAACCAAGAATGTATGCAGTCATTATTGCAATATAAGACAAAGCAAGATAAGGATTTTGAATTATGAGAAACTACAAATGCATAAACAAGACAGTTAGGATTTCCTCAGGTTTCTTCTCCTGCTTTTTTTCTTCTTATGGAAATCGTTACTTTGAAAAGCTTAATATCCAAGGAATGCAGAAGATTTGAGACTATTGGCTTTCCTAAACCTCTCCTATTGATCCCTGATGTGTTTGTGAGAAACTCTTCTTTGCTAACGAGGTCATTGCAGATAACACGTTTTATCTCACGCTATCATCAGGCCGTTCTTGTTTTGAACTATTGTCTTTTTAATCATTGTTTATGCAAATGGTCTGCAAATGGTGTTGTTAAAAGTAACAATCGAAGCCAAAACCATACTACACTTATCATTTTTCAGTTTGTTGCCTAAAGTTACCATTTGTTCGAATTAACTTCTTTATTTGTGTCAATAATGTACTTTGGTAATAAACGCCTGGTTATTTGAACTTTTAAGGGGAAGTGAAATTGATTTAACAGTCGTTGGCCTAAAGTGGGATGTTTTTGAAAGACCTATTTTCGTTTTTGAACGACTCAAGGAAGATGTAAAATAACCAGGCAGTAGAAATTCGAACGTAAACTGAACAGTTCGTCGTACTCTGCTGCTCATGATGTGAAACCTAATAAAGTATCTGCGACAAAGAGCATATGCTTCTTGCACTGGCCGTGACAATCTTATTAATTCTGACGAAAGTTGATAGCATAGCACCTATTGATAGCCTTATTTTCTTATTTATATAAGGAACGGATGATGAGCGTAATTAAAAAATTTGCCGGAAACCATGAATATGTACCGATCACGGTGTCCTGGTTGCTCTCTGATCTGGCCTGCGTACAGATTTTTCTGCTTCCTATTTTTCGTTGAGTTGGATTTGCTTGGCCCATTCAACTCATGCACGTGGACTTGGAGCCGAAAAATGAATATTTGATACCATTCTACGCGAAATAGGTGACAGTAGATTATGCATGGAAACTTCCTTTGCCTCTCCATGCTTGAACCTTTACTCAAATGAGCTATTGAAATTATTTCAATAATATTTTTACATATTGTTTGACAGAAAGACGCGAGGTTAATTCATTCGAATGAAATTTTTGCAATAAGGCTTGTAGGCCGAAATGGCCCATCGCCAACACAATTACTATATTTACAAGTTAACATAATTACAAATTAACAAACGAATTTAATTGCTTACCAATGACAAAAATAATTTCAACATTGCTCATTTCGACAATAGTTTGAGTCATCTTAATGAATAAGTGTGGCTCTAACAGTGATTTCAAAAACGTAACATTTGTGAATGAATGAAAAATTCCAAAATAAAAAGAGTCAAAAAAGAGGTTTTTACTTCATTCAACCCTGCTCGTTTTTAAATGAATTTTATTGACAAAATTACAAGAAAGCAATTCATTGCAAATCCAGTAGCTTGCAAATACCTATGTGAAATCTACTTTTAGTTCAAAATAACTGGGCGCTTAAAGGTCAAAGAAGTCTTTCATTATAATGTAAGGCAGACTTCTGTTATTTTACAGTTTCAGAGTTTAACGCCTGATGAGTGTTGTGCTAAAAAGCTGCATAACAAAGGTGTGTTTTTAGTTAGTGCTGACTTATTGCCGTAAACGTTAGCCCTTTAAAGCATGCGTTTCTCTAGTAAATGTAAAACTTAAAAATATTCACGTTATCCTTAAAAAAGAAGAAAGAAATTACCTTTGAAAGAGTCCAACACCGAATTCAACTTGCTTTGCCTCGAGCTGCCTCCAGCTAGACTTCAGCAAGTATTTATCGTAAACAGAAATGGGAAATGTTATCGGCTCGATTTTTTGCTTCATTTTCTTGCGAGCTACGGTCGCTCTCGACACAGCTATGCCCATGGCTTCCTTTTAGCCAGTTGCAAGCAGCGACTTTGCTTTGCTGTCCGTCTAAAACTTGATCACATACTGAACTGCTGCGAGATTCGCGGATTTGTGAGAAAGAGCGTGTTTACAAGCAGATGTACGCTAGTCACGAGGCTTCGTATAAATAAAATATATATCACGCCTCGGTCCAGAGGCTCCCATTTTTTCACGCACTGGGCAAACCAACTCTCCCAAATATTCTTTAGACTTAGTGGCTTCAACTAAACAGTCGCAGATGAAAAGATTACACTCAGCTTATTGTAGGAGTAGATGGGGAACCCATCATTTGTTTAGATCAATGGAAGCAGTTCGGTTGGACGCTTTCCGAATCACTGGAGGGAAGAAGAATACGACATTGTAATAAGCTTGGTTTTTAAATTCCGCCACAGAATAGAGGAAGGGCTGAAGTGAAACTCTCCTCGGCCCTTTGCTTTTTTCCAAAGCGAGGAGTTCTCATCTGGTTAACCTTGATTTAGGGAAAGAATGTCAGACAAACGATGTGGCCATACTTTGGCTGCAAAAAACAGCTGGTAAGCTGCAATCCGCGAGAAAGGGCATCCTTCGCAATTTGCATAACAAATTTGCTATGAGTGAGCTTGCCCGATGGCCAACTTGGGTAGCCTCGTTTACATTCGCATGTGCGCTGGCAAAATTGTCGAATATTTATGAATGAAGTTTCCCTTCTGTAAGAAAAAAAACCTCGCTTCATAAAAAAATCCAATCCTTGTGAATTATCAGATGTCCTGTTTCATGTTATCTAGTGTTACGTTTTTCTTTAATGTATCCCTAGCATTTTATGTTTAATTAATTTTTTAGAAACTTTTCAGCACTGAAATAAATAATAATAGCCTGGGTGCCTCGATCAAAACTGCGGATACCTCGATTTCTTCACCGCCTTGGTAAGGTCGGTAAAATATTAATCATACCTGTTAATGTGTTTTTTGTAAACAAGATGAAATATTTCGAGCGCGCCATATTTATATTCACAAGAGCGTGCTTTGATATTTGAAACTGAAAATATTGATGTTTGTAATTGTAATTTTTATGAAATTTTCTACACAGATTGAAGTTTTAATTGGTAGTTCCCTTCAGTAAATGTTTGTAAACTTTACTGCTTTCATTATGAGATGTTCATACTGAGTCAATTGTTTTTATTATTGACATTAAATTTTCAGTTTGCATTTGTTTTGAAACAACTTAATAACGAATGACAAAAGATGCAGCATTCTTTTATAATTTAATTACCGTTTTATACACAAAAATTATGGTTGTAGACGCAAAATCTTACGGCAGGACACAACAGTAGCTATACAGGTATGAATAATTTTCATAAGATAAAGACCTGTAAACTTAAAGGGGGATAGGATAATTAAATAAAGAGTGAAAACTGTGTTTAGAACTTCTGCAATCGTCTTGATGACCTCATTAAATTTCATCAAAGGGTGCCATTGAAAGTTGAGAAATCATAAAAAAGTCCGCTACAAGTATTTCTGTTCGTCTTTGGAAAGAAAGTTTAAAAACGTATTTCGCAACTGACTCCCGGATTCGATGCCATTATAAATTTGGCAATTCTTGTTACAATTTTGTTGCTTCATTTTGCATTAATGTTGTTCGGGTATGATTCTATGGGTCCATTTAATGGGTGATATATCAGTCAAGGCATCAATGATGGCTTAAATTCAAGCAAAGGCGTAGGAACCGTGGGGGGGGGGCACAGTGGATACGTATCCCCCTTTTGTCCATTTATTAGATGGCATGTGTAAATAAACTATTGTATTGTTGTGTTTATTCTGTCTTATTTTATCCTAAGCTAGGTTTGTACTTATATGAAATGTATTTAGGTATATTTATCAATGAAACTGAACTGATCAAGCCGCTATACGCGCACAACCGTTTGGCAGCACAAGGATTCACGGTTTTGTTACCGCAGGCACGGTTGTGCCTAGAAAAGATGTTTCTTTAAAAGAAGAGATTGTTTCTTCCAGCAATTCCAGAAGTTTGGTATAGTTGACACGAAATTATGGGGGTTCAGGGGACTCCAAGTCGCTAAGCAATTGAAGAGTCAGCCTGTAGCGTACTAATATTGGAAGAGATTCGGTTTTGATATCAGCTAACGGTATAGCCTTTTCTCTTTGCTTGCATTTATTTTCAATGCCCAGTCAGTTCTTGTTGAGAGGTGATCCCACGTGAATTCACACAATCTCAAAAAAATTATCACTTTAGCTCTGTGCAGTGGTAGATCTATGCAAAAGTGCTGTGAATTTGATACTATTTCGACCATATGGGTAAATAATATCATCCCTATTTAGCAATTTTAGCGTTTCGCCAGATGGCCTAGAAATTTGACGTAAAAGAAACGCCAACTATAAAGCGTGGTTTCCACTGCGCGATTAACGCGATAAAGGCGACAAAGTCAACTGGCTTCTCGCTAATCGAGCAGTGGAGACATAAACGTATTGTGATAATCGCCAATGAGTCTTTTTTGTGTAATAATGCTCAAAACATTGCAAAATATTCATTTTAGGGAAGCACGGAACAGCGCTATTTCTTCATCCCCCGGGGTACGAAGCTTCTTTGAAATTGAAATACCAAAATTTTGAAATAACGTAACTTTTTACCAATTTGATTGGCTATTGTCTGAAAAAGCCAATCACTGGTGACAGCCCTGTGAATTGACCAATGAACATGCTATTCTGTACTAAAAGTTATTTCTGCAACAACGTCTATTCATTTCTTTGAGTCACAAGACATCCAACGAAAGGCAAGTGCTTCTTTCTATGATGCATTCATCTTTCCCCTACATTAACTAAACCCTGGTTAGCTGGGGTGGGGCCAAGCCTAGTCCCTACATCCCCTATCTGAATACCCTCAACCTACTGGATTTGTACAAGATAGAATGTGCAAAATTCATGTTTGATATTTCAAAAGGAAAAAAGATACCATTTTCAGATTTCTTCTAATAGCTCAACAAGAAACACAAAGTTCAAGCCCGATTACTCGGCAAAAAAAATCAGGTGAATTCTTTTCCCCAGAGCAAGAACCAAGTATGTGAATAAATTTATTTCAATATATGCATTAAAATTTGATCTGGGCTTTTGATCCCTCCTGAAATTCGTACAGCTCCAAACACGAGAAGCCTTTGCAAAACGTTGCAAGCAACATCTGGTTTTTCGTGTTAACTGTAAGCATCGTCTTTCTGTATTCTTCTAAAGAAATTATGATATGCTGATAAAAACATGATTAATCAGTTCTTATCAAATCTAATCTCTGAATACATGCAGCTCAAATGTATGTAGATATGATCATATGATGTTAACAGGCACGAAGTCATTCTGGATAGGGCAGAAATATCTGCCCAGATTGTCGTTTACCAAGAGACAGTAAAAATGCTTACACAAACCGTGTCGCTCTTCAATCAAGTCATAGCTCGTAGTACGAGATTTTTGCGTATATCAAGATTTTAAGAGTAACGATTTCCACCGATGAACAAACAGACCTTGGGATACTAATGTAAATGGGATGTGAACGGCCTACTTTCCTCCCTTTCTTTGGAATATTAGGTCTTTGCAATTACCTGATTTGCTTGTAATTCTGCATTGCTTCTTATATTGAAGTGAGAATCTTGCTACATAAACATAAATCAAAATGGAAGTTTTCCTAGCAACAGAGGCGCCGGAAGCTTTGTGATGCGGCGGGGGCAGGAACGGCAGAAAGGGCACCTTGGGGTGTCGAAGTTTGCTGATGAATCAGATCGCGAACCGTCGTTTAGCCAGTGACTAAGCCTGGTTGTAGGTGAAAGGCCTGTCAAGGGAGAACGGGTCGGTGTTCTGGGTGCATAGCCCCTGGGGAAATTTTGCGTTACTACGCCCTAAAGACTCTCGGAAATGAAGGCAATACTCATAAAAAATACTTTGAATCAAGGCTACAGTCAAACGTCATTCTCGAAATTCCTTTCACCCCAACATCAACAATCAAGGGAGACTGGACTCAACTTTACTTCATATTAAAACAAAATTTTGTTCTGATGACCATCTACATGGCCTGAAATAACTTTTGGATATAACTCATCTGAACTTACTGTTTTTTCTTAATGTTGATACAATCTGCAGCTATTCAAGCAAAATAAAGCCAACTAATCTAAATTACCAACGCTAAATATAATTGAATCAAATATAACTGATGTTGCATACGTATTTCTTGTAAAGATTACAAGTATTGAAAGATGAAAATTCTGAAACTTTTTCTTTAATTTTTGTAAAGTTAGGGAGTACTTATTTGATTTTGAACTAAGTTCCATAATTGGCTCAATCTGTTTGACAAAGATCTTGAGAGCAGAAGGAATCATAGCATTCTACTTTTGTTAAAGAGGCTGTTACATAAACCCTGGTTAAAATTATATAGATATAATTTTTTGGCTTAGTTTGTGTGTAGTGCCGCGGATAAGTTTCAGAGGCCTTGCGGCAGAACTGAAAGTGAAACCTCTTGCGAGCGAAGCGAGCAGAAAAAATTTTGGCCACCATGCCCTTTCGACTATCTAAAAATTCATTTCAGAAATTTTTTTTGCAGTCACCTTCTTGCAATCGTTTAAAAAATTGCACAATTTTGTTATGTCCTACTAATTGCTTTCACAAACTGGAAATCTTAGGAGCGCCCTAAACCTCAAGGCCCATGGCCAATTTTCCATTACCACCACCTTTCGGTAACCCTTGTTATGAGCTTGTATTTTGGTGTTTCTAAAAGCAGAACGAAAAGAAACACTTTAGATTTTGGCTGGCTCAGAAAGGTCACCCCTTTGCTCATTTCGTATAGCAACTAAGCAATCCAAGGGCACTTTTTGGTTATACAGTTGGCAAAAAGAGCAACTGGGTTACCTGCAAAGGGGCAGGTAAACTGAATTTTGGAAAAAGGGGGTACGTGCCCAGTATGCCCCCTAGTTCCTACGCCTTTGCTTGAATTTAAGACATCATTGATGCCTTGACTGATCTATCGAGCATACGCGAGCCAACGTTGGTAGCAATCTGAAATCGGTTCAGCATGATCATGAAAGTTAAAGAGAACTTATCAACGAAAATAACTTTGTTGGTCAAATTGCTTTGCAAGTCGGTTTTCAGTTTCCATCAAAATGGAAAATATTGACTTTTCTCTTGCATGGAGGTATCAAGAGATGCTTGAAGCCTAGGTTTTATCAGCATTAAAATTATTTATATAAACTAATATTGCTCGGAAATCAATTTCTTGAAAACGGCATTTTGTTAACCCCGTGTTGCCCCCGCACTGCTGCCCCCGCTGACCCCGTGGCTTCAGCCCCTTTGCCTAGCAATCTATATGTAGCTCATGTTTATGAAAATTACTATTTACCTGTCTTTCATAAAGTGCTCGATGCCGTATTGTCAGAGGTTTACACGCTTATGTTGTGTGGAATAGGACGGTTCTAAGTTCCTTCTCCTAGTTTCAGGCTTAACGCGACCATCAGGCAACTGCATCTGATATCATTTCATCCTTTCATATTTCAAAAGTGTTTCTCATTCTTCAGCAATTTCGCTAAATTCAGTGGCATGGCCAGCATCAATTTCTTAAGGAGTGCTAAAAACATAATCTGGTGAACCATTCCTAATTGCGCAATTTTTAGAATATGAATTTAACCAAATATAAGCCAATGTAGCACATTGAAATACCACGTAGAGTGCAAGTCAATTGAATGTTACAGATTTCTTTAGATATCAAAACATATAAAGAAGCCAAAATATTTAGTAATCCACCAACAAAAACTCGACTCTTTTATCGATCATATCTCAGGCAATCTGTAGCAGATCTGCCTAATATTGAACAGTAAGAGGTGTTTTGTGGTGTTCTTTTTGTCATCATATGATCATAGTCCAAAAATGTTTGCGTAGGTTTTTATGAAATCATTGCTTTGCCACTTATCTTTTCCTTCTTGCCTCACTGGTCAACAAATTAGCACAGCAGAATTAGCATAAATGTTTCAACCCTTGATCTTTTCATTAGGCCAAGATTGAAACTTTGTTTAACAACGACTAAAGAAAGGTGCAGTCTTGCTGTAACGCATGCATTTGTGAATGTTTGAAATGTATGATAACGTTTGAAAATGTTTTATAGGCAGGTTTTTCTATTTGAAAAGTATTATCTCAAGTAAGTCTTTTCAAGTTTTATTGAAAACATGCCATTGTCCATGGTTTTCTTAACTTCTGTTTTAACAGATGTTTATTGTTTGTGATCGCAGAAGGTAATAGGTTGAAGGTTGATCTTTATTCAAAGACTGCTCAAAGTTCGCGATACATTCATCATAACATACTCTTATATTTCTTAAAAATTTATCCATAGATCCTGTTATTGCAATTTAAAACTGCTAACACAAAATTGCTCTGTTTGTTTAACTCTATCAACCACTACTTCAAGACCCGATTTCAAGATAAGTAAAGAAAAGATAAATGAGGATTTTCGTAAACTCTCTCTCTGTGAAGGTGATCTGAGCTGCATCGTTGCTTGTGGCTTCGACATGTGTTTATTTGTTACTTTCCTTTCTTCCCAATATATGCAGATTCAGAGATAAATACCCGGACCGAAATAGAATCCTTCGCACAAATCAGTAGCCAGCACTGAAACTCTGCATTCTGGTATACTGACTTTTGATCTAAAGAACTCTTTTGATACAAGCGGTTATGAGCTATGACTTCCGGTAAAAGCGTACGTGTGCCACAAGATTCATGTCTCGGTCCAATTCTCCTTATGATGTACAGCTTTAAAGAATAATAAATAGGTCAGGATGCATGGAAATAATATAATTGTTTTTCATGTCTCTGATGCCAACAGGATACTTTAGCAGTGATAAAAAAGATAAGGCCCCGACAATGCGATCGGCTCCCAAGATAAGGAACACAAGGCCCCGAAGAACTTAAAAATGATCTCCTTGAGCAATTTCTCTTGTTTGTGATTTTAGCCGCATTGATAAAATACGAACTGAGACTTCCAAGACCGAGATGAGTGCATTGATGATGTGCGAACTGATGTTTCCTGGACCATGCCTTTCTGGAAGAAAACTGATAGCCTTGCCATATAATAGACTGAGCAAGAGCTTTCTTGTCAAGATGTATTGTTAGTTGTCGAGAACCAGATTTGCTAACGTTGATTTGTTGGCTGTACAGCTGCTGTCAAACTAACATCGGAGTTTGCAAAATTTAGAAAAAAAACATGTCGGCAACCACTGTATCAAATTGTGGCCATCGCGCTTTACATTTAGGCTCTTAGTTAGGAGAAGAAGGCAATGTTTTAACCAAGCTCGTTGGTTTACGGGGCCACCATATTTGAGATATTTAAAATTAAACATAATAATGAACAACATAAGGAAAAAATCGTTTTTATTACAACAAAAATATCTATCCTCATAGACGATTTTTTTAAGAATTATAATGCTGTGCCTTTGAAAGTAGTTTTTGATGGACCAGCTCAAATTTACAAGGCTTATCGAGAACAGTTAGATGAAAAACAATGATCGATCTACTTTATCTAAAATCATCAAGAAACACCGTACTTTACAAAGAAGCGTTTCTTCCTAGTTAAGTTTGACATTGAGAAGTCTAAGATTTGTCTACAACAAGAAAAATTTGTATATATATTCGCCACGCTCTTTTACTCACATTTGCAAGTCCCATTATGGTTTTGTAAGAGCGATAAGCTCGACCTCCAAGTGCCCTTGTCCTGAACGCGCCCATTCTTTAACGCGCCCATTCTTTAACGCGCCCACACCCACCTCTTGAATTAAACATTCTAATCTTCTCACGCGCTACGTTGCTAAAACGATCTGACAGCCTTCGCTAACATGATCCATTACACGCTGTTTTAAGTCGCAAACTTGCTGCTTGAGCGCGTTGGCCACTGCTCCTAGTTCAATATTCTTCTCTTTGAGCTCCTTTACCCGTTGATCTAGTCTCGCCTCTCGCTCGAGCTTCCTCTTCCTGCATTTGGATGACGCTACCCTGTTACGTAGTTTCTTTCGTTCTCTTTTTACAAGCTCTTGAAGTTCAAGGTCAATTGGTTGATAGTGGGGGTTATTTTCTAGAAAGATCTTAGTTTGCTCGTCCATATGGCCTAACATTTGCATGTTTTCTATCCCATTGACCTGCATTTGCGAACGTTCTTGGAACCCAGGCTCCACATAAGTGTTTTCTTGGAACCTACCTTGGAGATGCCTGAACTGCATTGACGGATCTGCCATAGTGACATGTTCAATTAAAGCTTGCGGTATGCCATCGCGCTCTGGAATATAGCCCATTGCATGGTTTAAAAAGGCAATTTCTTGCTGCATTTGTGACGGCATCATGTGGTGGTTGGCATTTCCAAGAACTGCCATATTGTTTATAATAAACTGCTCTTGGGGCATCACGTGATTATTCATACTGACAATTCCATGATTAGATGGAACTTGAAGCCCTAAAGACATCTGCGCCCTCGCAGGTACTTGTTGCTGAGCGCAGCTTACATTATTTGAAGCTATATGTGAATCAACGTGCCCAATATTTCTTTGCAAATTATTAATAGCATTGGTGCCATTGTTGTTGTTGATGCATGCGATGTCGTTGTTATTAGTATTATTACTGCTGGCGTTGCTTACAACAAAAACATCTTCCTCCGAACGGTGGCGTTTTTGTCGTGCTGAAGACTGCTTCCGTTCCGCTACAGCGGGCGTTACATTTAAGACATGGACATTAGCATGCGAGCTTTTCCCTCCAACTGTTTTATTCGTTGTGTGCTTTTCTATCAAAATGTTTTCCTGTTGGTCATGTAGTTGCTGCAATGCTTCTGCAAAGCTGTTGTCGTTTGGCCCCGTGAGTTGGTCGCTGGGCAGTGTAAAAGCCGCATTAGAATCTTCGCTTGGGGAAGAAGATACATTGCCCTGAAAACTCATAAACATCCTTTCCAAATCAGGTGAACCAAGCTTGAGGAAATCAAGATTTGGCGAATCCATTGAATTTTGTGCCTGTCCCGGGCTTTGGTCATTATCTCCATGCTTCGGGCGCCCTGCTAGGTCCACACAGGACTGCAAGTTCAAATCCAGAGAGTTTTTGTCATAAAGTATAGATGGTGGTATTGATCTTGATAGAATATCATCTTGGTGGTAGAAGGGAGTCTCTAGCATTTCTTCCATTGTATGGCGATGTGCGGAGACTCCCTCTCTGCACATACATCCATTTGAATAAAGATTGGATGCTAATTCTTATGTATCCGTTCTTTCGCTCTCCTATTCTTTCCAAAAATTCAAGGCTTCAACCAGTGCAACTTGTTTGTGAAGGTTCAGTGAGCATCTTCACGCTTTGCCAGCGCAGCATTCAGCTGCATGCCTGCCCAGTGAAGTCACTATTTTTGTTCAATGCGACCTGTAAACACTGTCCACTTGCTTTTAAGTGTCTAGGAGAGGCAACAGAATACCTGTGATGTAATCCAATATTAACAGCACTAATTAATTTCGAATTTTTGCACTAGATTTTTGCTGGATAACCTGCTGGGCAGATATTTAGAAACATGTAGCAAATAATTTGCAGAAAAGGTAAAGAAAAATTACAAGAGTTGGCATGAAAAAGAACAAATCGCTTTCGTGTGACTGCGAGCGCTGTTTACAATTGCGCCATTATGTCAACTTTTAAACAATGCAGGCAACACGATATGCTATTCCACAACATTTTCAGAGGCAACTATTATTCTTAGGGACTTGGATTTCTTCTCAGTGGGACATTTAGCATAAAAGATATCTAGAGAGACAATAAGCTTGAATATCTAGTTTCTCCAACCAAAGACTTTCCTCCTTTTCTTTTGTTTTTTTGGTTCAATATTATAATATCCAAACGAAATTTGTCTGAAACACCTCAAGTTGAAGTTCTTCCATTCTCCTGATGAATGTTAACTTTCAAAACCTCAACTTTGCCTCGATTTAGTTGGTTTTTTCTGTCATTTGAACTTTTTTTATATACTCATCTGAATTCCTAGAAACATGTCATTTGACTTACATAACTTTAGAAACATTTCAAGACATTAAACATTTTGCATGTCTTGTTTTTATTATTCCTTCTCAAGTTGTGGCTTATTATCTATTATCAAATGCTGTGGCTTTTTCAAAGAGAAAAAGCAGTTATCTTGAAATTCACAAGCATGAGTAAAACGTAACAGAAACTTAAACCAAAGCATTAAAAAGCTTAGCTGGTTATTGGGGAATGATAAACAGTTCTTTTAAGGAAAAAGCATTTCAATATGACCTTATCTTTATCGTCAAGCTTTATTCCAGACAGATGGAAAGATCTTGCTTGGTGCAAGATTGTATTTCTTTGCAAATGTGTTGCATTAGTTTAAGTCTTTTTCAACATAACTCCCACCGGTTTTTTAAGTCAAAGACATTTAAACAAAATTTCATTAGAGAAAATGGACCTTACCAATGCAACTACAAGTTGAATATAACAAACTTAAATATTAATTGTTTTGCATTTTATTTTATTTTGAATGCTAAAAGCTGTTTAATATCAACATAAGTAATATCAACAAAAACGTTATTGGCACATCATAGTTGACACATTGTTGACACATACGTAACTTCACAATTTTATACATGATGATATTCTACAAGATTTATGACCTTTTTAATGGATCTTTTTACTGTGCTTTCTCAAGACTAAATTTGTAAATTATTTTGTAAAGCTGATCCTTATTAGCTATATTAGCTATGAATAAAGCCATTTCATATTAATAATGTTTTTATTGATTTGCCACAAATATTTCAAAAAATATGTCTTAATTTTTGACAGAAATATGTCGAAAGTTTTTATTGAAAACTTTTATCAAAATATTTATTGCGGAATGATTTGGCGATGCAACCTAGAATGTGCTCAAGAAAGTTATTCAGCCAGTCCTGGTTGGTTTGAGATATTGCTTTGAGAGTAAGAATTATTCTTCACAGTACTTTAATGTTTTGGTCTATAAAACATCTTTAACTTGAGGCTTTTCCAAACCTTCTTTAAATCTAAGTAAATAAATACGATTTAATATAAAGGAATCAGGGTTTTAGCGATGCAAGAAGATCAACAAGGCTCTCTCTAAATCAAATCTCAATTATCAATAGCAACAATCAGAAATTTGTCAGTTTTTAGGATCAAACAAAAGGAGTCGGTCCCAATAGATCTAAATGATGTCGGTACCAAAACGACGGGGGTGTGCACTCCTAAGATTGTTTTGGTGAACCGGCTTTAGAAAAAAAAGCTGAAAATGATACCCGGCTTTTGAATTTCTGGAAAAAAGAACAAAGGAAAACAAAAGCTTTGATGCCAGTTGCCATGGTTGCCAGCACACCACAAAAACAATGGGAGGGCAGCCTCTTTGCTGTTATTTCTGAATAGAACAAAGAAGAAAATCAGGCAACCGGCTTTAGATTATATCCTTTGAACAGATACCCGGCCTTAGAATAAATTGCTGAAAATGATACCCGGAAAGACGTGCAAATCCTGTCAGCAAAATATAATAAGTGGCCCCCCAGGATAGCTTCCTCTGGAGATTCTAGCAACAAATGCTAACACTGTTTCTAAAAAACAGCAATAAAAGCAGATAAATCCTTGCTATATCCGTGGTGGTGAAACTGTTCAGGAACAATATCCCATTATCTAGCAAAATTTATTTGGTATCTAGCAAAAGTTATTTGAAAAACAAATTTTAGGAAAATATATTCAAAAATCACTTTGAAAGACATATTTGGCGGTGTGGTAAACTTCCCACTCTTTTTCTGGGCGATTCTTCTTCGTTGTTGCGTTGAATACCTGGTAAGAAAGTAGACTTGTCCCTTTGCGGATCCAGCTAGACTTCGTAATCAGTGGCGTACCCAAGGGGGGGAATAGGGGGGTCCGGACCCACCCCCCACTTTTCTAAAATATGATCCTCCAGATTTGTCCAAAAACGATGTAAAACTCATTGGGGGGGGGGTAGTTAACATGAATCAATTAATGGCGGAAAATTTTGCAAAAAGGGCGTTTCCCCGCATTTGCGAGTGTTTGAAGTGTTTGAAGGGCGTGGTCCAAAACATTTTCTGGGGACTTCACTCCAGACCCCCTCACTACTCCGGCCCTGGGTACGCCACTGTTCGTAATGCTTCGACTGAGCATGCGCAAAAAAGTCAGAATTGTTGCTGTTAGTCTTAAAACACGGCTGTATAAAGAATTTCAGGGCCCTGCAAAGTTCGTTTCCAAAATATTTCCAAAATAGAATATTTCCAATTATCCTAAAAGAGACTGACAAATAAGACACATGTTTGATTTTTAGCTGACTTCCATTCTAACATAACATAAGATTGCAAAAAACTTTTTCCAATCAAATATGTTGAAGTTTGATGCAAGAAAACTTTCCGGAAACCTCTAAAAACAGCATCTCGTGTACCATATTTCCTAAGACCAAGAAATTGAATTAAAACAATGTGCTCTATCATACGGTATATCTGTATCTAAAACATACATTTATATACAAAAATTCAGGTAAATTATTTAATTAGTCAGTTATTACACACTGTGCTGCAAATACATTCATTAGATTATAGCATGTATGGGACAATGAAAAGGGCTTGCGAGGTGGGGGGTGAGGGGTGGTGGGGGCGGGGAGTTTGGAGGGATTTTTCAAAAAAGCTTTAGCTTTGCGTAAGTTTAATTGGCAAGGATTGTAGCTCTGTCTTTTTGTTTGTGTAATAGACCTGTCCACACGTGCATATATTAATGACCACACGTCCAATGATAGGGAAATTCCCTTTTCCAACTAAATAATGACACAACTCTGGTCATTTACACAGCTGCTGTTAAGAAATACAATGATCAGAATTTTAAAATAACCAACTGCAACTATGAACTTATCAAGAAGATTTGTGGCTCTAGCAATACCAATGCGTGGAAGTTATCGAATAAAGGAAGATCTAGAACAGATGTAAAAAATATCAGAAGAAGGAGGGGAGTTGCTATTTGATACTTAAAACGCAAAAAAACTGTTACGGCTCTTACTTCTTACAGCATCTGGGGAATGAAATTAGGCTCTTGAGATAAACAAATTTTCATAGATATGACTCTGACGTCAAACTTGAGTTGTGAAAGTATTAAAATAACTATCAACCGTAAATCGATAACATCAAAGGCAATGCTCCAAAAAATTAAAGAAAACTTCTACTGAAGTTTACGAGATACTGCAAAAATTGGTTTAATTTACACGAGGTATCCCTTCATCTAGACCCTGTCTTCGAACGGCCAGTATGAATATTTTAGCACATTTAGAACCCATAAATTACATTTGATAACTAACTTTAATCTACAATGTATTCACAATAAGTTATTAAAATTCAAAAGTCGAATACTCAAGAAAACACATTCAAGCTTTCGGAATAGCAACTTTCAGTTTCTTTTCAACTCGGCCTCCAAAATTATTCCCCATGTTTCTACATCAATAACAGTGATAACATTTCTGCAAGCAAGTTCATCGAAAGTTTCGAAGTTGCTAAATCTTCCTTTTATCCAGCTTCGAATGCATCCTTTCACTCCAAAGTTATTCAAAAACACATTTTTCCAAGTTAATCCTTTTGCAAGGTCCTCCTGGATGTCTTCCTCGTCGAAATGTTGACAAAGTCTCTTCCAAATTACGCTATCGTTGTCAATAAAGTTTAGCCATTTCTTACTCGTTAATAGCGAGGAATATATTTCATCAGCAGCCAGATTTGCGAAGATCATTTCTGTAACTTCAGGAGGCAGAATTTGCACAAAATCGCTTGGAAAAGTATCCATTCTGTGTCCAACAGCGAGCCAGAGACTAACAATTTGTACTTCAAATAGGTGCTTGTTTTCGTGTGATGGCCTAAGTGCTTTGACACGATATCCTTTTCTTTCCTCTCTTAACTTTACAGTAAAATATTCTGGTTATGATCCTCAGTTTTTGGTCTTATGTTTCGAGTAGCAAAGGGAAATTCCCCTCGCTTTCTTGCTTACCAGAAACAAAATATTACCATTCTGTCAAGTAGGCTGGTATATCAGCTGATTTTGTTGTAAACAAAAGGCCTCTCCTTTTTTATTTCTTCGGAAAAGGACTAGGCTCTACTTCCTCACCAATCAAGTCTCCAACAGCAACAACGATTCAACAACAGCAACAGTGTTGTCACATGTTGGGTAATGGCGGAGATTAAAGAGTACAATTTTCCCTTCGACAGTTCGTTTTTCCAAGAAATTAGTGGAGAAAGGAAACCTGTAGTTTTAAGAAAGCTAGAAATTGGAGCAGCATGCAAAAAATGGACACCAGAATATCTTGCATCTGCTATTGGCTCAACCCCAGTGAAGATTCATGTATGTCCTGTTCCCCAAATGGATTTTTTGACAAAAAACTTCCAGTACAAGTATGTGTAATACATTTTATGTTTCCAATAGATTTGTTTTACTTAATTGACGCATTAAACTCACTCAAAGCACTTTGTACTAGACCGTCTTACAATAAGTTTCTTTAATTAAGTTAAAAAATCATCCTTATATGTTGAATCGTTTTTGCAACAGCTTTAATTTTTTTCAGGACAATGCCATTCGATGATTTTATTAAAAGAGTAAGCAAGCAGCAGCAAGACAATTTCTTCATCTCTCCAGTAAGTACATTCATTTGAAAAAATTTTTATCCTTCATCATTGGACTTGTTGTTCTTTTCAAATCCATGCACAATCCATAAATCGAATGTTTGCCTCATAAGGAACCCTTAAAACTGTTAATAAACCAAAAATATTTGGAAATAACTTTAATAGATAAGAGAAGAGCTTTACAAGCAAAAAATCAAGTAAAATGCAACAATCTGTGCACCAAATACCTTTCAGGTGGAAATTCATCTTAGGATGAGCAACTGATTCAATTTGTATTATCACAAATTTTCATGTTATAAAAGATTGTCCAATAAATTGTATAAATTGTTGGTCTCTTTCCCAATAAAGGTACAGTAACATAAAAAAGAAGTGGAATAGAGGGAAATGGGCAAAAATTGTACCAAAATCAATTTGGAATCTGGTACTAGTTCAGAGCCTCTAGTGAAGCCTAACTTTAATGATTTTTAGCCTGTTTGTGACAAAATTTCCTTCAAAACTTACATGGTTTTAAGAGTCAGTCTATGATTAAGAAATACATACAATGCCTGCCAAAAGTCTTGGAACACTGATGACAATTTCCAAGATCAAAATCAATCAACCCCCTCTCCCCTACAGAACAATGGTTTACTATCAAATGGGTTAGGGTTTTAGGAAGCACTTTCTTTTGTGCTTCTTTTATGATATTTCTCCAAATTATCAACATTGTTTTAGGGGGAAGGGGCAGAAGTAGTAATTTTTTCTTCATGAAAGGAATTGAAGATATCAAATGCAGCATAAATTGCTGGGTGTTCCAAGTACTTTTGGCAGGCATTGTAGCTAGAGATAAGAATAGTTGTGATCCTGAAATATTTTCGGCAGTTTTACAGCAAAAGAAAAAAGTTGTCAACAAGAAATCAAATGCTTCAAAGCTACTATTAATTATCAATCCTATTTTGAAAAAAAGAAATAGAAAAGCTTTTTTGGCTTAAATGATTAAATACATATTGTGCATGTGATTTGTTCCTGCAACTATTACACAGCAAGGTTTTGCTTTTCATGCTTCTGGAAATATAAAACATAAATAAAAGACAAGACATTTTAAGCCAAGGAAGCATCTGTGTATGCATATATTTGAGAATCAAGACAGCTTACAGTTAACTTGATAAGGATAGGGGCAAAACTCACTTTGCCCTGTGAAACAAAGTCCAATGAATATATATAATGGCATTCTGTTTTGTTTCTAAAGATTTTTTGCATGAAGTTACTTTCATTAGCATTTGGTAAAATTTTGTTATCTTTTATACAGGACGAAAAATATTACTTAAGATCAATTGCCTCTTCAGATCCAAGAAAGGTAAGATAAAAAACAACTCTTTTACTTATGTCGTAACCTTAAGATTTCTTGTCTATTTTATTGCATTGTTATGCTTAGCTAGTGATGTGAAACAATTTCAAAGGTTTAGGAAATCTACATAGATTTGGGGATGTGCCTGTGAAATGTATGTCATTTCTTCAAGATTAATCTGAGAAGAAGTTATAGGATGGTCTATAAAAATTCCAGAATAAGGTAGAAGGCAAGAAGAATGGCATGTATTGTGTTCATCTTTCTATCAGTGCATGCAATAATTTGCCAAAGATCAAAAGAGAGGAGAGAGTTTTAAATCATAGAGATGCCTTGCCTACTTCAAACTGCTAATACGAATAAGACTTCGAACTGCAATTATATTAGATTACTTTTGTACAGAAATTCTCCAAAGAAACCAAAGAAATAAACCAAGTACCACATCTAAGCCAAATTCTCAAAAAATCCATAATCTGTCAGAATACTCCAGGTCCAAGAATGGTCACCTTTTTAATCTTGCCTTAATTGATAAATCAGATGGAGTATTTGAATGCCCAGCTTGTAACTAAATGCAGTTTTCTTGCACCTCTTATAGCATAATGTGTACTGAACATTGTACTGTTGTTGGTTGATACTCTTTTAGGTTTACATTAATTGAATCCAGTTGCTATGAAAATCAAGCAGGAAACTGAAGAATTAAAAATTTGCTAAAAGTATATCATAATTTCTCTTGGTTTAAAACTTGAATCTCACTGAAATTGAATTAATATGAATTTTAGTTCATTATTTTAAATACCACCACAAGCAATGTATTGAATACAGCTATACAAACAAATGAATTGAGGAAATTGCAAAAATCTGTGCAATGCCAGACAGCAAAACAAGTGAATTTCATGGAGAGGTTGACTTAATGGAAGGGCAACTAATTCTAATCCAACTTTTTTTCTATGCTCTAGTTTCTTGAACATTTCAGTAGGTCAACTAATCATTGAGATAATACTCTCTGTTTAATAGCCTCAATTTAAATTTACTTTCTTTTTACAGAGATTTGGACAAATAAACTAAAGGCTAATGTAATGAGAGCTTTTTTAGATAAAGGTTTACTTACTCCCATTTGCTTTTCACCCCCAGTGCGTTGCTGACATAAATAAAGATTTCCCACAGATTAGTATGGATGTGAAAGCTCCAGAATTTATTCCTTTGGAGAAGTTTTTTTCAAGTGTCTTTAGGATAGGATCAGCAAACATGCAGCTGTGGACGCATTATGATGTAGGTTTACGTTTTTGTCTTCTCGTTTTCTTCCTTGCAAGCTAATTTATGTTGTCTTCCATAAGTTTCCTTGGCATCAGCCTTTTGCATGTTCAACTAAATTTAGCCACCTCTATAGATCTAACAATATTTTTGCAAGTCAAAAAATCTATTCTAAAAATCATTGATTTTCATCTAAGTTTTAGGCATCATCTACATCTCTCATCAAATTTGACCAAAGATTTCCTTACGTTTCTGTAAAAAGCTTTTACCCAAATATCTATCTAAAACTTGCACAAAGTAGAAATTGTAATGGTCCAGTACCTTGTGGTTTTGTCTAGGTTTGTGAATCAAATAAAACAGACTGCTTAAGCTAATGTTTTTTTTCTGTTTAAGGTTATGGACAATGTGCTTATACAAATTTCAGGAAGGAAAAGGGTGGTATTATTCAATCCACAAGATGCATTAAACCTTTATTTGAAGGGAGATAAATCAGAAGTAATTGATATTGATAAGCCAGACTTGGAAAAATACCCTAAATTTCTGAATGCTGAGAGATATGAATGCGTTTTACAACCAGGTGATGGAATATTCATTCCTGCCATGTGGTTCCACAATGTCATTGCACTGGATTTCAGTATAGCAATAAACATGTTTTATAAGCATATAGAAGATAATTTATATGATCAAAAGGATGTTTATGGAAACAAGGACCCAATACCAGCTTCACGTGCAGCTCAAATGGTTGATAAAGCTGTTAGCATGTTAAATGAGCTCCCACCTGAATACAGAGATTTTTATTCAAGAATATTGATTTCGAAAATTGAAAGCAAATGTTTTCTGAAAGAGAATTCTTCAAATGGTGTTAAGTGATTTTGAAGATATTGTGAATGAAGGAGACAGATCCCATCACTGGATATTGGAAATAATTGGCACATGTTACATGAAGCCTCCATTCACCAGCTGAATATTCATGAATCTAGCTGTGATGTATGAGAATGCTATGCAGTTGACATTTTATCATTTTAAGTGGCAAGTATCAAATAAAATTTGAAAGCAGAAACCTTAAAAACAGTAATTCTTAGAGCATTTTCTTTCTATTTTGGTTTTTGATCCAAAAGTTTAAATTTTACTGTGAGCAAAGCAAAGCTTATTGAAATGTGTATTTATCTTCATAGTAACATAAAACTTTAAATCCCTGAAAAAGTGACTTGACTGTCAATATGTTTTTTGGTTAATGTTATTTATCAATCCATTATTTTAACAAACAAAGATATAAGGAGTTTTTATTTGTGTAGAAGAAGTTTTTTCATGTACTAACATGTGACAAACTAAACATATCAAAGATAAAAGATACAATCCTGATACAAACTGTTTTTTTTATTCTTTCAAAATAATGTTTTCAGGATTCGAATTTATGATGATTGCATTGTGATGGGAATACTATCCACAAGAAAATAAAATGTTTTGGATAGAAGCTTTTACGCTTGTGTAATGTACCAACTAGTATAAGTGTATGTCTTGCCCTACCAGTGGCTGATTTATGGTGGGAACAAGAGGCAGTTGCCTCCCCCCTGACCAATAAGAATTGAGTTCAGAGGGTTGTGAAAGTGGTGGGGGGACAGTGTATTTGAATTCAAGGGTTGCTGAGGTTGCAAACCAAGAAAGGCCCTTTAATTTTATTTAATTTCATTTACTTTAATGTGAATCAAGTTTTTATAAAAAGTAAACATCCACGATAGATAGACCAAATGGTTAACACCTATTTAAAATTAATCAATATATTTTTAAAATTGCTCAGGGAAGATGCCCTGACTGCTCATCAAAGATACGACACTTCTAAAAAATTATAGATCGCATACTTATTGATGGCATGCGCTAAGATCAGTGGTCTGTTCTCTTGTTCTCAATGTTCTCTTGTTGCAATTTTAAAGCGAAACGGACAATTAGTCTAGGAAAATGTTTACAAATAGAAAGAAGATATTTTTTGATAAAATGTATTTGATAAATTACAACTGAGAGAGGAAGATCGATCCAGTTTCATTGGTAACCTATAGGACAGAGCCCTGTAGATAGGTAGGCTACTAAAGCTTGGTGGATTATAAACAAAGTTCAATTTACAATTTATCGAATACAAGATACGTTAATGAAAGATGCAAAGTTGAGATTGAACGATTCAAATGCTCTAACAAAATTTGTAAGAAGTTGCCAAGGAAACTAAAAGAACACAAGCAGGGCGAGCCAGCTGAGGCCCAGGGGTGATTAGCAAAACAGGACCCCCTTAAGAAAATTTCCTGTGGCCACGTCCTTCAGTTTCCCGAATTATTCGAGAAATGCCCTTTTTAGTTACAATTATTGAACAAGTTTTTTTAAGGGTTTTTACAAGAATGTGCTAAAACATTTTACATGAATCAAGGACATGTGGACATTTCTCTGCGATAAACTTACTGGCGTTTGTTCAATATGAGTAGCTGAAATAGAAGCTTTTTTGCATTATAAATAGATCTTATTACTTTATTACGGGCCCCATCGGAGAACAGGCCCCAGACATTTTACCCCTCCTAACCCTCCTCTCGACGCCTCTGAACACAAGTGGCTCGGTAAGTCAACATGTCATTGTTACCCAGGGTATGTCATTATGAGGTACTTAACAGCTCATACTACATTTGTTCTGACAAAATAAATGGCCCCCACACCATAATACACATGCATAGGTCTCTTACAAGATGTTCATCAACTGTTCACTGTTTTTCCATTCAGGCTATTGTCACCCCTGCGACCATGTTGCTAATGCTACCGTTCAGGAAATATAACTCTGTTGATGCAAATTCAAATTCTTATGACGAAAGTAGATGGCTCACACTATTGTACACATTCACTTGTCTTAATGTTTCCTTCACAAGTCTTCGATGTTTTCATTTTAAGCCATTGTCACCTCTGCATCCATGATGTAGAATTGATTCATTATTCTGCCTATGCTACTGTTTCGAAAAGATAATTTAACCTTTGAACCTTGGTTATTTGCATCAAGATAGGGCGTGGCCCTGATTGCAGGCCGCACCCTTTACCGCCGCCTCTTTTCTTTTGCAAATCTGCCATTGAAAGTTTTATCTCTGGATCCGCACCAAAATTCCGAAGATGGATCATGTTTTGCTTGACAAATCACGCAAATCAAGCGAAAGAGGCTATCCATCAAGTTGTATTATTTAATCCCTGCCTTCATTCAGACAGTGTTCAATTTCTTGCGCTTAAAAATCTTCCTATCTTCATATCATAATGAAACCAAAAAGGACTATGGAGGATAAATTTGGTAGAATGATTGTCCCTTGTGCTTCGGATCCTTGGTTCTCAATCGATATTCTAAATATAACAGACCCATTTTCCGGCTATCCCTAGAATGTGACAGTTGCAAAATTTGTTAGTGTCGGGGTGCCGCAAACCATGGTGGTGGCCTTCACCAAATCCCTGAACAGGCAATTTTGCCTTATGCAACTATAACGCCCTAATACTGATAGGTGCATCAGGTGCTAATGCTGTCTATGCAGCCATACTCCCATTGAATATTAAACCAAAATTGGAAAAGGCAAACTTTCTGGGCCCCCAAAGTCAAATTTCCCTGTAAGGAAATGCACTCCAGCCCATCCCGGGTGTAGAGTACTCTATTTGCAGTTTCAGCCGCTATGTCAGAGCAGCGAATGTTCAGACGCCAAATATATCTACAATATTAAAGGGGAAACTATCATAAGATACCTCAGAGTGTGTATTGTTGCTTTGACACAATTATTGTGAAAATTGTCTTAGAACGTGAATAGAGAGCCCTCTGTCTGTAGTTACGGTCGGAAATGGTTGTATTCAGCGTACTCTACAAATTTCTGAAAATTTTTTAGAGCCCCCACTACCTACTTGTTGTGTTGTGGATTCCCCCCATTGTCCCACAAATCATATATCGATTTACGGGTGCGCTTTTGCACATTCGAGTGATGGGCGTGGTTCCGAATTAAAATGTTTTTCAAAGATCTCCTTTGCAGCAGGGATTGTTTGCAAATAGTCAATTGTTTGCGTTTGAAAGGCATTAACGAGGAAAGGCCATGCTTGATTTGTCTTTTTGCAATATTTCGGATACAGTTTTTGCTGTTTTTCAAGAATGCTGAAGTAGTGAGAGGGGGGGGGGGCAGATTTTCCTACAACAATTTTTCACAAAATTCGAACGGTTTTATCGGCCCTTCGTTTTTTCCTTTCGAAAACACATCTGTCGAGTCGTTGTTAGATCTAGCAGCCAAACTTTGATTCACCAGAAGAAATCAAGCTTCTGATTTGAAGATAGTATTTCTGTATTTCTTTGGATTCACCAATCCATTTCATGTTGTGATTACGAGGTTGGTCTGTTTGGTACCAGTGATCACGTGGGCCAGAGGAAATCATCTGGAACAAAAACTCTTCCTATTTAGCAACGTAATCAAGAAAGGCCTAAATTAACGAGAGAAAAGAGAAGTCAAGTTTGTAGGAAGGAGAAAGAGCGAGAGTTCAGCCATGCGACAGCTAAAAGGAAAAGTAGCCAAAGAAACGAGCAGGATGAAACGTAAAAGAAAGCAGGAGAACATGCAGACGAAGAGGAATTCACTATTTATTGTTATACCAACACTTGTTGTCGTGGCTCTTTTGATTATAACATACGTGTATGTAAACACCAACAAGAAGAAGATTGAACTTTGAATGGGAAAGTTAACCGTTATCACATCGTCTATGATCTTTAAAGAAACAAACTACGCTGATCTGGCATGTTGCCCCTCAAAGAACACTGTCTAATTTACCAATACGACATCCGCTTTCTCTTGGTTATTCAACGAAGAAGTTACTTCACCCTCGATGTACAAAAGACTTGAATTTTGTCAATTTAGATACGCATCTGCACCTTATTATGAAATAATTTTCTGTGAGGAAAATTGATATGGGACACCCTTGTTTTATTTTTGCTGTCTGTACCATATTTCTGGTATTTTATTCACGAAAACGCTGACTACATACCCTCTGTTGTTTTGATAGACTGACTGACTGGTTGCACCCCTGTTGAATGTGATGCTGTCAAATCATGAAATATTTGTCATATTGCGTGAATTTTTTTTTGCTTTCTTAAGTTGCCATTTGCATTTTATTGTAATATTGTATTTGTATTTGTTGCTACCTAGCAACCGAAGGTAGTTTTTAGAACACTGAGAAGCTATGCTTATCGAGCAGTGTCCTGGTCCTTCCTCTCGATGTTACCACACCTTGTGATTCCTACGCCTGGAAATTCAGAGAGCTGGCGACTCTCCCCACTCTGGGTGAAAGTTTGGTCATGGCAGGGACTCGAACCACGGACCCTTGGGTCTGTAGTCAGTGCCTCTAACAACTGAGCCATCCTCGCACCTCAACATATTGGCAATGTTTCTAAAAAGTTCTCTCTTCATATTCTCAACCTTCATCATTTTATACTGCAAAGATACCATAAAATTCAGACCATTGCCTTCCCTCCTAATATTCATTTCCTTGAAAGTTTTGTTTGTTATATGAAACTTGTTACATGTTTTACACTGTTGATGACAAATAAAAATGACTGGTGCCATAAAAATGGTAATATTTATATCAATGGAATAAATTATACATATGTTTATGATGCATGTATAAAAATGTCTATCAGATATAGAAAAAGTACTAACACTACTAAAAATTAAACACTGCCAATGTCTGGAAATTCTTGAACTTCCAATGGAACATCATCTTTGAAAAGAACAGGATCAGCCCTGAAGTCTACTCTCTCCAGAGGTATTTTCCCACCAAACAGACCCATAAACTTTTTTAAGCATTCAGACCGTTTAGTAAAGTGACTTGTTTCTGACCATAATGATTCATTACTTCCACATTTAGGGCATATGAACCTTTTCCTAGGTGTCACCTTTATCACTGCTTTTCTTGTGAGGTTTGCCACTAAAAAGTTCATTGCTATATCTTCACAGTTCATTCTTTGATCAACAAATGATATGATATCCCTGGGCATTTTGTAAGTAAACATGTGGTTATATACCTTGTGGTAGAATGCAACACCAGTCAAGACCATTGATACATCATTTGCCCATTCTGACTCATATATCAGGGTTTTTGACGGTCCAGAATCTGATTCCTTGTGATTTCTACCAGGAAATCCAACAAGGCGATCTGGGTAGGCTCTCCAGACCTGGTATCCAAATTCCAACTCATCCATGGTAAGCATTGATATATCATCATCAATAGAAAGGATTGCCTCAGTTTCAATCTCCTTGTAAGGAAAAAATCTGTTACTTAATTTGTTTTTCTTTCCTTTAATAAAAACAAGCTGTTTAGATATGCCAGGCACCTCAGATGTTGCTGGTGTTTCAAGATTTGGGTTGTTCCAAACAACAAGAATTTTCACCAAGCTTGGGCAATTATTGAGATGTCTTATGAGGTGATACAACATTTCCTTTCTGTTATATGTGAGAATAACAGCTGTGAATCCTTGCTTCTTTGATGGGGCAAGTGGGATATAAAGAGGAGGGTAAGAGCCTTCAAAAAATTGACCCTTTCGATAGATCTTTAGCTCACCATTCCATTCAGAATAGCCTTTTGCTCGATGTGGAGATATTCGCTCGTTCAAAATTTCCAATGTGGTTAAAACAACCTTTCCAAGAGAGGAAAAGTATTTTTGCCAAAGGAAAATTGATTGTTTTCTGTAAATAACTAATTGATATTTATCAATTTTTCTCAACATAGTAATAAGATCCTTGACCTGATTAATATTGAAAGTAACAGATACTCGTTTCCAGTCAAGAACAAATGAAAAAGGCATTAGGTTTTCTTGAAGTACAACTGGTATACACCCTTGCATCAAAGCATCTGTTAAAAAAGTTTTCCAAAGCCCTGTTGAAGGGAGAATCAAGCAAAAGGTGCTCTGTTTCAGAATATCTGGATAATTGTGAACAGTATTTGACATACAGCGTTCCTGAGTATGTCTCTGCAAATCAGAATGTCTGCAATATGACAGTTGCAAGATAGAATCCCTGTGTCTATTTAACATGTCATCAAGCTCAGTCTTAAGTGATTTTGTAATCAATCCATATGGGACTGCTAGAAGCCATTTTCTTTCAGCAGTGAAATCCATATTGGCAAATTCTGAATGGATATCATTAATATTTACAAATGAATTCAGGACTGGTATGACAATGTCAAATTTTGGTCTGAAATTGCCTTGGTTGAAGCTTCCACTTGCCACCACAGCCTTTCCAATATTCACAGTCAATGGGTTAGCAGAAGATGTCTTTTTTTGGAAGAAGTTAAATATAATGTGGTTTTCTCCATCATCCCAGTGTTTCAAGGATGCCAGAGCTTTTCCAGCTGATCCTGTTAGCACTGCTTTTTCTGATAGAAAGTCAAAATGGGGTATAAATATACAAGCATGGGCTGAATTGTTCGTCCAAAACCTGCTTTTCTTTATAGCTTGAACTATTTCTTGAAATTCTTTCGTAGTCTCAGGAAATATTTGCTCCTTGGCTTGGTTAAGATAAGTTACTTCAGGGTAGACAAAAACTTTAACGTCCCAATTTACGTCAACATGACATTTGAAGTGATTAAAGCAGGAATGGAATCTGCAGTCCCTTCTGGATTTAGTTCCCGTGAAGTCGTCATCATCCAGAATCTTTAACGGCAGTTTCCCTTCTTGTCTGTTTCTTGTAGTCAAAAGGACCGCTTCGAAGACAACTCCAAGGAAGCAACAGACAATAATTACAGTTAGACATAGTAAGAAATAGCGGAACTTCAGCTGCATTTTGCTATTATGTCATATATTATCATTGCTGCTAATACAAAAATCCAATTCAAAAAGTTATGTTTTCCTGTCATGCAGGCCCAGCTTGTCCGGCTCTAATTTTTACTCTCCAGTTCTGAGTGGCGGCCATGATTTAATCTCCTCCACAGGGCAAGCTTTGAAAGTGCCAGATTTGCCCACTGATGCACTATGCCAGTAGATTGAGGTATATGTATCCATAAAGTAGTTTTGGCGAGGGAGCAAAGCAAGAATGGTGTAAATTCCAGCTGATGTTGCGATTTTCTTAAAAGGTTGTGCATGGTTAGAGTAGCTTCAGATTGTGTGTAACAAATTGTCGCTTGATGTTTGTTCCCCATGAATCTGGATAGAAGATAGGCCTAAGGTCAATCAGTCGGTTTAACTATGGGGAACTCCCTAGCACCACAAATCGCAAATGCTGAGAAGACTGGAGTTTGCTCATTGAATGGGAAAGGCCTCAAGGAGGTTTGTATTTATATACGCATAATTTAGTTTGTTGACTCTTCTGGGTGCATAGGCTAAATAACAAATATTGACATGTTGAGCATGAGTTGTTGACATATTGATGTTGCGAAGGAGGTGTTGACATGTTGAAAAAAAGATGTAAGTCACTATCTTTTTTATGTATTTATTTTCAGAAATATTTCATTTAAATACCACAGTTTATATATTATGAAATTCAACACACCTTAATTAACAAAACTTTCTGCAGATTATTTAAAGAGTGAACCTTAACAAGGGCGGAGCCATATATGCCTTTGTTAAATTAAATGCAATTTTCATAATCCAGGTTGACATATAATAAATGCAGCAAAAATTACAGCAATCATTACATATATACACAGAAGATTCCAGTTATAGTCAAAGCAAATGTTGCTTGAGAAGTTGTGACTGTAAGTAGAAATGACTTCAGCCCTGTTACAGTACAGTGTGCAAAGTAGTTTTTGTCCACGGGGAATTGTCTTCTGCTGCTTATGCTTGCACAAGAACAAATCATGTTGTAAAAAAGCAGGAAAAAGCTGCCAGATTTTTTTAATAGCATTTGTAATCTTTGTGGTGAAGCTATGTGCGCGGGATTCACACAAAAGTCTGTTTTTCAACTGTGCTGATTAATCTATATTTGTAAAAATGCACTGATGGGATATGAGGGAAAAATTATTACCCATTTCCTGCCTTCCCCACGCATACCCAAACTTTGTCTGGGTTAGTCACAAAATTTTTAGACCCAAATATGCAAAGCTATTCATTTTAGCTCTGTTTATACCTAGAAGACAAATGTCTGAGAATTGGTTCAAATGAATTTTTTAGCTGCGAATTTTTATCTGGAATTCGAAGTTCAGTTTACGCTGACAGAAATTTTAGGGAACAAATAATACTGTAAATTGTTCAAAACCAATCAATTTCATCTCTGCTTTGAATAAAAATACAAAAATTATGCGATAAACAGTCGCAAGCAGTGACACACAAGTGCCTGAAAAGTAGTCATTAAAAACAGCTACAGTATAATCCGGTTATAATGTACTTTAAGGGACCGGCAGATTTAGTATGTTATATCCGAAGTCCGTTGTGACCGGGGTTTAGAAGAATTTGACTAAAAAACTATGTTAAAAACAAAGTAACTATTTATCATCCATTTTTTCAAGAAAACTATTAGCTATAGATTACATGGTTTGAAAAAGTCTGTAATGTGTTTCTGGATAGTCTTTTTTACCCAAATATTGTTGATTTCAGCATCAATTTTGCTCAGCATCTTCAATGCTTCATCTGCATTAGGCAAATCTGAAAACTCGAAAAACCGTTGTAAAAGTTGAACGGCATTTGCCCCATCAATAGCTGAAGGAACTGGATCAGTGCCATTAGCAAAATCCAATTCCTCGTCACCTTCATCCTCATCTTCAGTTGCCGGAGATTGTCTTTGATCTTTAATTTCTTTTGCAATCTCAGAGCTAGTCAAAATTGAAGAGGTCACCAATTCTTCGTCGATATTTGTGAAGTCATTTACGAGATGGTTTTCATAGGCGCTGAAATACTGGAGATCTGCAAGGTGCTCAAAAAGGTTACCCAGATTCTCTTCCTGTGTATCTGCCGTCCCAGATTCATCTTGGCCTTCACTTAGTTCCTTTTGAAAACCTGCCTTTTTAAAGCAGTTGGCAATTGTTTCTTGGGTGACGCCATTCTCCCAGACTGACTTTGACCAGCGCAAGCACTCCAAAACATTCACAGTGAAGTCATCTGATTTTTTTTCTTCGGTAGCTCTGATGAGTTTTGACAGCAGGCGTTTGCAGTAGAAAACTTCAAAGTTTTTGATGATGCCCATGTCACATGGCTGCAGTCGGCTGGTACAGTTTCGAGGCAAATACTAGAATTAGATTGATTTGAGTTTTGTGGCAATGTGTTGGTCGTGTGCACCATAATTGTCGACAATAAGGAGCACCTTTCTTCCTTCCCTTTGAAAATTTTCTGTCGAGGTTCAACACCCATTCTATAATTATAGCAGATGTCATCCATGCTTTTCTGTTGGATTTGTACTCAACTGGAAGATGTCTTACATTCTTGAAGCAATGTGGCTTAGCTGATTTACCAATTGCTAGCAGAGGTAGCTTTTCCAAGCCATCCATGTTTGCTGCGATCATCGAGAGTACTTCTCTTACCACCATGACAATTATCACCTTTGTATGTATAGGTCCTATCAGGAAGCAGCTTAAAAAAGAGTCCTATTTCATCTGCATTAAATACATCCTTTGGTTCATATTCTTCCAGCAGACTGGGTAGTTTGTTGCAAAGCCAATCATCAACAATATCTTTTGGTATTGAGTTTGCTTCACCACTAACTATACGAAATGTTATTGCTCTTCTTTTTTTGAATCGGTCAAGCCAACCATCGCTGCATTGGAAACCCTTGTGGCGAATTCCTGTGGCTAATTCATTTGCTTTCTGTTTAAGCAGAGGTCCGCCAACGAGGGCCCCATGTGATCTGGCTTGTTTCAGCCACAAAAGTAAGGCATCCTCAATTTCATCAAATGTTGCCTTTCGTAGCCTCTTGGTGTCATTGCCAAAAGTGTGATTTTTTGCCAAGTATTTTCCTCTCTCTTTCCAAATGGTGTTGACCGTAGATTTACTGAGGCCAAATTCTCTCGTGATTTTGATTTGAGTTTTATGTTTTGATTCAATGAGGTTGATGATGGTTCGTTTCGTTTCTCAACTTACTGCTTTCTGCTTTTGAATATCCATTTTTTGCTAACTGACATTAATCTAAAGTAAATGAGAATCCGCTAAATATACCTACAACAAATACACCATCAACAATGCAGTATTTTCTCATGTTGAATGTATCATTGTGAATTATAATCAATAGAAATTGTTGTTTAACACTGACAATAGCTTTTGAATTGATTAAGGAAACTATAAAACAATACCAAACAATTGCCCAGGTGGTTTAGGTGTCCTATGGCGGAAACATCTTGACATAAAATTAGATAAATGACGCACCACAATTAATGTTAAACAAAGAAGACACACGAAGTACGTTGTATCCGATGGAATTTATTTAGAAGGGTTGAAAAAGGTGGTATGCTATATCCGAAATTATGTTATAAACGAGTACGTTATAAGCGGGGGTACTTTCCTAATGTTAAGTACGGACCTTTTGCCAGGACCAAGTACACCAGTTTGTTATATCCAAAAGTACGTTATAACCGAGTACGTTATAACGGGATTATACTATATAAAACTGTCACTTTTAGCTAAATTAAATACTAATAATGAACTTCTGGATCACAAACACCTTAAAGGGATCTTGACAAAGTTCATTTAAATTTATCATGTGGCATTTAAAAGTAATCAATTATAAAGGTTTTTGATTGGGTTTAGCAAGATTTAGAAAGGTTTCAAAACTTCAAGGCTATCTAGTGAAATTTTTTTTGATATTTCAAAGGACATTTTTCTATATATTAAAAGTTGCCAATGGTTTGAAGTTTTTTTTGTTTAAGTTTTAATCATAGAATGATGCCTAATGGTTTCACAAAAGTGGTTTGAATTTTGAAGAACATGTTGTTCACAAGGCTGACATTATTACTCAGTTGTTGAAGTAGCGCAATAATTTATCTAGTGTACTAGGTTAGAAAAATTTATTCAGAACGTCTTCAGAAGGAGGAGTTTCTCATTTTTCGGTAAGAGATTTACATTTACATGATCAACAATATTGCAAGATCCTATTAGTGCATCTGTATCGAACAGATCTTGAATCTTTTATGACTGGAACTGTTGCTGTTGGGCAAACAATAAGCAGCTAACATTTCAACGTTTTGAAGAAATTCTTGCAGATCATTTGCTTCAGAAATATTGGTAGAACATTAGAACATTCAAGCCAGTTTTTCTCAATTTGAAAATGTAATGTTTGAATTAATCTGATATGAATCCACTTACATAGACTGTATGTGCAAAAGGAAATCAATAGTTACCAAACTTTTTCGTTGATGACCTTGTATACTAGGTTAGATTGTTTGAGAAAAAGAATGGGGAAAGACATAGGCCATCAAGAACCATAAAAGAAGTCAGCTTTTTTCAAATGCTGTTTTGTTGGTTTATTTTACAACTCAAAATATTTCAGAGCAAAAAAGTAGATTGTTGCTACTTTTTTCGAAGCAAATTATTCACTCCGAAGTTGCAGCTATTTTTTGCTTCTGTGCATATTTTTTGCACATTCACAGTGAATAATTGGCTTCGCACAAAAATTTTGTTTCATATAAATCAGGCTTTGGGCTCCCATCTACCCTTCCACGAATGCAAAGTCTGCAAATTTGGATTTACATATATCTAACTATATTTAGGCAGGGGTGTACTGCTGTCAAAATACCAATGGGGAATCTTGCACAAAATGTTGCAAAAAAAGCAAAATCAAAATTGGTTACTTTTTGACATTAACAAGGGGAGCTCAAACTTACTGAGCCACCTAACACTACTCTCTGATTTAGGGACTGTGAGGCTAACCAGCATCTTGCAGGCATACCACACAGGTAGTCATTGGTACCCCAAAAAATTCAATCTCTTCCCGTTTTTGATTTGAGAGTTCTTCTCTTCTTCTACTGATTTCAAACCAGCCTCCCACTTTTCAGGAATTCTTTATAAATCTGCTTTTAAATCCTATTTTAAATCCCTTTATGAATCTGCTTTTAAATCCCATTTTGAAGACTTGTTGAGCAAGTAACTGTTAGCAAGATAAAATCATAATTTAGATTAAATAAACTAAAAATAAAGTTTTACATTATTCAGAGTTTTTAACTACCAAAGGTTAAGGGAATAAATATTTGCAAGAACTTATTTTTGTACAATTTTTTTGCAAATTTTGTATCGAATTTAAATGCACTTTTGATTTTATCTTTACTTTATAGCTTCCTCCAGAATTTTCAAGGCTTTCAAAGGTTTTGCGTACTACTGACTTATCAAAAAATAAACTTCATGATCTTCCTGCTGTGCTTGGTCAGTTCACAAATCTAAGAAGCCTTACAATTGATTATAACATGATTGGTGAGTATGTACAGTTCTTTTGATGACACAGTTTTAAAGCTATACTGTTTTGATTTGTCTTGAATTTCCAAGCAAATGATTTACAACTAGGCAATTTTAGGGGAGACATCAATGCATATCTTATCAGATGTCTATTAAAAATTATTTGTTGTAATCAACTCTTTTCTGATGACTGGCATTCAAAATAGGTGGTATATAATTTATATACATGGTATAGATGATAATGAAGTGTTACAGCAAATGCTATACAGATCAAAATGGCTTATTTTTGATATTTATTTAGTTATATTTTGTTTAATCAAACTTTATATTTGTGTAATTCAAAATTTTGCTGATTCTGTTGTGGACATTGCTCCCTAAAAACACAGATATGATCCCAGGCCCCCCAAGACATGTACGCAATACCAGATGCTCTTCCTGTGCTCACCCTTTCTCTTTGCCAAGTATTGTTTTAGAATTCATCATTGAAAACTGGTTAACCATCCTCAGAAAAGATAGGGATTGGTTTGGTGATACTTTTCACAATACAGTCGTCTACTACAGGCTTCTAAGTAACTGCAGTAACAAACAAATTACCATGCAATACATTTAGTATGACAATTTTTCAACAAAGCAAGCCACATTTGGATGACTTTAAACATTGCATAAAATAAAACATCAAATAATGACCAAAATGCAAGCAGGACATATGCAGGTGCAAATTGAAAAAAAGTAACTTGAGTCCAATGAGCGACCATTTACTCTTGGTAACTAAGCCTTTAGCAATATTTTGACACCATTTTAGGGCCAACAACCCCAGGCACCCTCTATCCCTGCAACCCATCAAGAGCTTTTAAGATAACTTATCAAAAGTACTTTTCTCCTCAAAACACTATATCTAAATTTCAATAACTAAATTCAAATGTCTTCTTTTTCTTTCCTATAGAAATAAAATTTCTGATTCTTAAGTTTATCTTTGTTTTTACTGTACAGGGAGCATACCTGAGTTTCTGGGGAATCTCACAAAACTGGAAACTTTAAGTTTGGGTCATAATCATATTCGTGAAATTTCAAAGTCAGTCTTCCCAAAGTTGAAGAACTTAACATCATTAACATTGAGGAACAATAAAATCAAATCCTTCCCAGTTGAAATTTGCCAGTTGAAAAAACTTGATGCAGTAGACCTTTCCGGCAATTTGATCGAAAGCATTCCGGATAACCTTGATGGCTTGCATGCTGTTGAACTTAACATGAACCAAAACAGACTCAAGGAGCTGCCAGGGTCACTTTGTAGATGTGAGAGACTCAAAGTGTTTAGAGCTGAGGAGAACTGTATTGGACTTGATGCCATTTCAACCGATTTACTTAAAAACTCCCAAATAGCTGTTCTGGCTCTGGATGGGAATTTATTCCAGATGAGGTCACTACATGACAAGGATGGCTACGAGTCTGTAAGTAGTTATTAAGATTTGATCTGAATCCTGCCTTCTGGTTAGAAGGGAATTTTGATTTAGAATTGCTCATGCTGCCTTTAAAAATCTTGTAAAGTTCTGGCGCATCTCCCCTTTTTGCTACCTAAAGATCAATTTATCAAAGTTGTTATTCAAACAACATGAAGAATAGATAACCAAGATAAAATACTATGAATAAGAAAAAGTCTAACTAAAATTATTTGATTTTCCCTCCCTTTTCTAGTCTGTTTTACAGTTGAATAAGACTTATTACAGGCAACTTCACTACTTAGAAACAAGAGCTGCGGCTACATGTTGAAGAGTGCCTTCAGTGTCTCTTTTGGCAGGCAAATTATGTTAGCTGTCTTAATTATGTAAGCACTTTTAAGTCAATTTAGAGCAAGTTTAAGTCAATTCAATTAGGTTAAAAGGAACATCTCATTTTGCATAGTCAATTTAAATAGGTAAAATGCAACTGAACTATTAATGTAACAGAATCTGTTACATAATCATTAATTTAATAATCTATTAATGTAACATGGTACATACTCCAGATCCCCTGTAGTTGTGTTCATTTTGATTTTCATGAATATCTTAGTAGAGTGTCTTTGCCTCACAGTTTTGTCCAAAGCACCACCCCTTATTTAAAATATTCATTTTAGCTATCGAAACATTAAATGGCATTCTAACATGTAATGTGAATTACCTGATTTGGTAGTACAAGTGAACAGCAAGGATAAACCTTAAGGCTAGTCTTATACTAAATGCATCAGTCATATCTAATTTGCCTAAAATTATACAAAGAACTTAGAACTATATGTTTTCAGATTTAGTGTCTTTACCCTCGAAAAATATCTGAAACTGCTGTGTTCGGTGTAGCTCTCCTTCCCTAAATAGAGCATAAGGAAAATGACTGCTATTTGAATCAAGTTTTTGATGTGAGCAAAAATAATAAATTGTTGATTTTATCAATTATAGATATGATAAAAAACCAAGAAAGTTAATTTTTAGGACAAAATTTTGAATATATTTAGCAACTTAGAATATGACTTGCATTTTCAAAAAGTTTTATCAAGGCTTTGAAGCTTTGTCATTCGTTTAGCTTAAGACTGCTTAAAGGCGCTCCTACATGCCTTTTCACTTGCAGGCTTTTACTTCTCTTTTTTATTTTTCTTGCATTAACTCGCTGTAAAATATTTGAAGAATTTTGTAATGTAGTTAAGAGCTGTTTTTTGTTAATGCAAGCTGTTTATCTAATCTTCCTTTTAAGTATTTTATAAAATTCTCATATATTTTCTGTTTCTGTTTCCAGTACATGGAACGCTACACTGCAACAAAAAAGAAGTTTGTTTAGAAAGGATGTTCAAGAACCAAATTTCTTAATTATTTTGCGAAATTCATTCTCTGATTCATTCTAAAAAAAGGTAGCGCAGACACTATTTAATCGTATTTAAAATACATTTCATATATGTGCTCATCATTTTTAATCTTTTGATGACAATCTTGGTAAAGTTTCTCTCTTTCCACTAGAATAAGCATATTAGCAGCTCACCTATTCTTGAAAGAATTTCAAACTTGTATCTGCTATTTTTCTTATTTATTAGAATAAACATTATTTTTGCAAATAGATTAAGCAACCGATGTTCAAAAAATTCTTGCATATGTGAATAAACTTGTAATAATATAGTAGATTTTGCTGTGCAATACCGTGTAGGTAAATTATTAATTTTGTATATTAAATCTTCTTTTATCCTCTTTAATCTTTTATTGTGTTTTCTATCTACAAATATGCCTATAATTCTCCCTTATTGCTGTTATTCTCTTTCTTCAGATGAAATCGGCTGCTGTTCAGTGTTCTTCCTATTTAATAGATATATATATATATTGTAATAGATGATAAGTAAAGAACAACCTGATTAACGTTTTGCGATATGCTGTCTGTCCCTACCATAAAATTAAAAACTAGACAATATTAAACGCAAAATGCAGAGAAAAGAAAGAATCGTAAAAAAGGGGGGTTTTAGAAAATATTATTTTGTGGAAATAATAAATAGCTGTGAAAAGGAGAGAATAACCAAAGAGATTGGAAATGAAAATAAAACTGTTTCAATGTTTCAACTAACCTAATATTAAGGCCCCGGGGCGCGAAAGTTTCTAACTTTTACTGCCAGAAACTTTCACGTATCCTACCATTCCCATTAAGTCTATCTATAATCGTTACTTTAATATCTTCGAGAAACCCATGATGATCCTTTCCTGCAAAATGCCGGAAAAAATCAGCCTGAGGTATACCCGAAGAGCCCCCGATAAACTTACGATTGCACGCCTTGTAGTTATTAAACCTAAGCCTAAACGGCGTGCAAGTGCTACCCACATACTGTACACCACATACTTTACATTCCATAAGATACACAACATTAGACGAATCACAGTTAAACGGAAAGTTTATCTTATATTCCTTATCAGTTAAATGGGAAGTAAAAGTATCGCTGTCACTCATGACATTACACACTTGACATCGAGACTTGCCACATGGAGTACCACCCCTATTATGCGAGACCCCTGCTCCCTCATTATAAAGTTTCGCCCTAACTAGTAAATCTTTAAGATTCTTACATCGTTTGAATGATATCAAAGGTGGCTGAGGAAACACGTTCCTATGCTCTTCTGATGTTGTCAGCATAGAATGAAGTCTCCCGGCCACCTTGCCCAAATTATTCAAGGCTGGATGGTATGTGGTAACAAATGGAACCCGCCCATTCCCACTATTTCCTGTTTCCCATTAGCCTTATCCAGTAGTGTAACCCTATCCTGCTTACGTGCCTTATCTATCTGTTCTGTTATAAGTGATTCCTCATACCCCCTTGCCTTTAACCATCCAGCCAAGTCCCCTAACCTATCCCGTAACTGGCGATCGTCCGAACAAATCCTGCGTATCCTCAAAGCCTGGCTATAGGGTATCGCCTTCTTGGTGTGTCATGGGTGATAAGACTTCTTATGTAAATACTGATGTGTATCAGTAGGTTTACAAAACAAGTCTGTCGTTAGGACTCCCCCCTCACTTACACTAACCTTAACGTCTAGAAAACTTATACTCTCCCTGGAGTGCTCTCCTGTAAAGTTAATGGTATCGTATGAAGGTCTCAAGCTTCTCTTCGCCATGAGTCCAGATAAAAAAAAGATCATCGATGAATCTCATCCAGACTCCAGACCATGGGTGTGTCCACTGATTCCTTCAACAATCTTTCTTCCAACCCAGGCATAACCTACCTCTTCTGAACTTACTGCGTTGAATAATCTTAAATGTGATAGGAGCATAGTTATTAAGGAAGCGGACAAGGGATCAGCGGTTGTAGTTTGGGACAGGGGGGACTATATAATAGAGGCTAACCAGCAATTAGGTGATAAGCAAGTTTATGAGTGAAAGCTATTTGATGGTGTCAATCTATTTTCTTGTGTCGTTGTTAAAGTTTTCAGCTTATACAACAAAAATTTTTTCAAATTGGGACATCATCTCTCAGCTTTTTCTTCCTGGTATTTCTTATTATTTCAGTAAATCAAAACGCCTTGTACCCTCCCAATAATTTCATGAAATGGATCCTAATCTGGACAGTTACCGCCAAGCCCATAGCCTGTGCCGTAGACCCCCCCCCCCCTTCCAAACGAAGAAGGGAGGTCTTCGGCGTAGGCTACCAAGCCCAACGCGAACGGCGGGTTCCGTAAAACAACCCGCAACTCCTACCCCGGTTCGCCCCTGGTATCTACTTTGTGCGAAAATCATTTTGATTTAGCGTGCGATCTTATTAAAAAAGAAGAGGTGGTGTGTTACAAGGTGACTCTTGTTCTTTTCGCCTTTAGAATTGTTGGGTTCTTTATGTAAATCTTTCTCGCTTGCTTGCTATTTGGCAAGTGCGCCTTCGGCGCCCCTATAAAGTGAGAGTTCATTTTGGCGCCCCTGATATTTGATCGGCAATGGGGGCAATTGCCCCCTTGCCCCTTCTGCCAACAAGCCACTGAAAAAGATTAGTATAAATAGTAGTCAAGCTCTAAAAAGGGAAGTTTGTGTTGTCTTCTAAGAAAGTGAAAAGCAAACACCAGTAAGTTGAGAGGCTAACAAACATGTGAGAATAAAGTGGAAAGTCAGTCTTTTGTAAAAGTAGAGCTGTTTGGATGCAACGAAATGACTTTCGGAAGCATTCCTAAAATCACACTCTTAATTTTATGTCAAAACGGTCTATTTTGTCAAAAGCGTACTGTTTGTCTTTTATCTTTCTGGCACTACTCCTGTTAGTTCCATATAGGTCTGTAAAAACTTTTTTAATTTTCGTCTGAGAACAAGCATGCGAAGAAACTAGAAAATGTGTCAATATGGGGTCCTTGACAAAATATAATAACAAATGATTAAATTTTTAACTAAGTGCGGTACGCAGTGATGATGCGTGTTCTGTAACTAAAATTTGGAAAGTTCCATAAAAAGTATGCTTGAGCTTCACATTTTGATACGAAAGTGTGAATGGAGGAGGATGAGCAGTAACTCGCTTGCGTGATATCGCAAGCGAGGTTGCGTCATCGGCCTAGCACGGCTTAAAATGGCTGTTGCAAATAGTGGAAGCCGAGTGGATACAATTTATAGAGCTGCTATTCAAGCTCCTAAGTTCTTTTCAAAGGGATTGGGAGATATACGGCTGCTTGAACGTATATTTAAGCTTATGAACAGTGTGAGACATGAAAGATATACGGCCTGGGAGAACGGAGATGGCTCAGTTATCGACCAGTGTTTTAACATTTGCCGTAGATCCGATATTAAAATTCTAGGGTCTGGGAAGAACGGTATTGCTGATGTTTTCGAATATGAGTTCAAGTCACCTTTGACAAAAATTCTTCCGGGTGCTTTACCAAAGGAAAGCGAAAGAGTCAGGTTCCAACTTGTGTTGCCTACCAGCTGGAATAGGAACGGAGAGAAAAGCGGTAGCAAAGTGCCAGAGAGAAAACCGCTTTGTATACATCTTGCTGGGACTGGCGACCATTACTACTGGAGACGGCGTCACTTCATGGCATTACCGCTAGTAAAAGAAAACGATGTTGCGTCAATTATTCTAGAAAACCCATTTTATGGCACAAGAAAGCCGAAAGGACAGAATAAATCAGGTTTGAGATATGTCTGTGACTTGTTTGTCATGGGAGCAGCATTGAAATTCGAGGTCATGGCATTGTTGGCGTGGTGTGAAAAGCAAGGATATGGACCTCTTGGTGTCACTGGAATATCAATGGGAGGCCATATGGCATCAATTTCTGCAACATCTTGGAACAAACCAATTGGGATTATACCATGCTTATCATGGAGCACAGCTGCCCCAGTGTTCACTCAGGTAGCTTTGAATTTGTATTTTTGAATTTGTTTTTGTATTTGTTTCTACCTAGCATCTGAAGGTAGTTTCTAGGACACTGAGAAGCTTATGCTTATCTAGCAGTGTACTGGTCCTTCCTCTCGATGTGACCTCACCTCTTGATTCCTACGCCTTAAAATTACAGGGAGCTCTCCTCACTCTGGGATAAAGTTTACGAACAAGGGACCCTTAGGTCAAAAAATAGTTAAACTTTACATTGGATTACCCATCATTGTTATTGCTTCATCCTCATTCTTTGCCTTTCATTTTCCCATGTCTCAATTCAGCCTTGCAACAATTCTCCCCCAAGTGTCTTTGACCAGTGCTAAGCCTTCATTCAGATTTAGTTTCTTCAGATATTCTCTGCTCACCTTATTTGCCTTGATCTTCCAACTGGCCTTCTTCAAGGTATATCTAGCTTCGAGTATCCTTAGCATTCCCTCTTTTTAGCATGACGTATCCACTGTTGCCTCCTTTATCTGGTTCTTTTCTGTATCTCTTTCAAATCATTTTCCTTAGCCATTTCTTTTCGCTGATTACCTTATCTTGTTTATACACTTCTGCTATGTGCGTCAGTAATACTTCAAATCATCTTCATCTACATCTACATCTACATTGATCCTCCTGAGTAGGACCGAGTATCGGTATACTGCTCAGAGTGCAAGAAATAATAGATTCATGGATAAAAAGTGCTAGAAGATGCCACTGATCAATGATTAGAATGAACATTTACATGTCAAATGAGAAGCTGTAATTTTCTTTGTCGGCAAGACCGAATTAAAAAGGGACTGAAAATTAAAGGGAACATTGAGAGGGCATTGTGGTGATGGATTGGTCAGTGGCATCTGTGAATCATCTTTTCATTGCCAATGTTTTAGCCCCCATAAGCAAAGCCAATCTAGATAAAGAATACAATGGTGCACATGGAGTACACAAATTTGATAAGATTTTTATCTTAACAAACATCTAGTTGATAACTTATGTTTTGCCCTGGTACACAAGGTCTCTTCAGCTCTACTGTATTTACCAATGTAATGAAAGTATGTTCAAATGGATTTATCTATGTTCAGCAAGGGAACTCTAGAGTAGCAAAATAATAAAATTAACATCAAACAGCTTTGCCCTCAGTATTAATAGCAAAATACAAAAAAATCATACTTTCATTTGGCCCAATAGTGCAGCCCAAAATTTCTTAAAAATTTGCTTCTGGAAGTAAATGTTTTTGTGCATCTTGGTGAAGTGAACTGCTATTTTTAAGCAAATCAGAAGGTACGAAATAGTATTTCAGAAATTATGAGGCTCTTAAATGGTTCCGGGTCGAAGTTTTGAAAAAATATGGTGCCTGTTTGAGCTCCCAGAAAAGTAGGATGGAGTTTGCTTTGATGGTTGAAATTATTTTCACTCATGATGCTGGTCATAATTCAATGGAATCAGCAAAAAATCACGAGGAAGCATTGGGAAGTTGGAATTGTAGGGAATTGAAAAAGTGCTTAAATTTGACAAAATTTTTACAATTAAGAAATATATTTCATAATTTTTTGTCAGTAGTGCAGACCAACATTAAAACCATATATTTGAAATGCTGTAAGATATCAAACTGAAATTTCCAGAATATTTCTCTCGAATGTATATGAAAACTTTCACAAATTTTGAAATGCATATGGTGCATAAAAGTCTAAGATGGTGCACTTGGGTTCCCTGCAAAATTTTGTCCATATGGCATGAAATGACTCAGCCATATCAGCCAAATCATTAAGGTTTACTTTTTTCGTCATTTGAATTTCTTTAAAGTCTAAGATTTTTTCTCTTTCTGTTCTTACATTTATTTTTCTTAAAGGGTGTGATGAAATACAGTGTATCTTGGGATGTGCTGCAAGAGCAACTAAAATCTACACCTGAGTATGTGGACTTGCTTGAGAAATACTCAAAAGAATATTGTGAAAAATTGAACAGCAGGTCTAAAAGCCTCAGTGGTATTGGCAAATTTCCAAAGCACATGGAAGCATCAGGAAAAGAAGATTTACTCAAAATTGTTGGTGAGAGGAACACAAAACGTGCAGATAAGTTTCGAAATTATGATGTTGACAAGAAAAAGCTTGGAATATTTGCAGTTGATTTTGACTCCTTGCTCAGGCTTGACAATTTAACAAGTGGTTTGGTACATAGCATTTCAGAAAAGCTCAACTTTGACCTTCTTAGACAGTACTCTTTGATTGACAGTGGCAACACAAATGAAGTCAATCAAGATACTATTGACTATATGGATTCTATATTTCATGAACTTACACATCTAGAAAAATTCACTCCACCACACCCAGAATCATGTATGATCTTTGTAACAGCCAATCATGACAGCTATGTGCCCATGAATAACTTTAAGAGCCCTGCAGAAGTATGGCCTAATGCTGAGATGCGTAGTATTGACTGTGGACATGTCATGGGTGTTTTGAGATATCAAAAAATGTTTAGAGATGCTATCCGAGATGCTTTGAGTAGATTATGATAGCCTTGTAGTTTAAAAATAGTTTAATTTAACATTTTCAGTAAGAAATTCTGGATATGAAGTTATGCAGGCCCTAAATAAATATGCCTTTTTGCAACACAGTATCAAATTTTAAGAACAACATTTCGAAATTGCATCACTTATTCAACGGCTCCAGTAGCTTCTATTTAAGTTGAATTACCAAAGTTCTTTAAAGTGCCTGTGACATGATTTTTTTTATTCTCTTAATTGAAGCGTTGCACTGCTCTTATAGTAGATCTGAACTTTTTTTTAAAATAAAAGCGTTTTGATATTGAAATTAAGCAAAATAGTGCGGCCTAGCCAAGTCGCTTTATCATCATTCGCCATTCTCTTGTGACGTCATGGGAGGAACTCGTTATTGTAACAATGTAAGCGCTACCTTCAAAAATCTTATCCTCGCTGCCACTACTTTATCTGGATATATCGCTCATCTTGGACCTGTTAGATTTCCCTCATTGACTACGATACAAAAACTTGAAGGAGGAGGCGATCAGGTCCCTCCCGTGACGTCACTGTCTACTCATTCTGAAAACCATAACTCCTTCACTTCTCACGAAACGTAAAAACTAACCTCAGAAATGAAAATAACAGGCATTTTTACATAAGAATAGTTATATAAACCCAAAAGTACGAAAGTCATGTCACAGGCACTTTAAGGTCCTTTTTTATATCAATGTTAGAAAATCTTTATCATGGAGACAGGAATCTACAAAACAAAGAGTCTAGTAAAAGGCTGTCTGAAATATTCCTCTGTAGATTACTTTGAAATTTTCTTAAGTCACCCTGCCCTTTTCCCTTCACAGGCCAGTCATTCTGTTTGGTTGTTGAAGTAGGAATGGAGAGTCTGAACTCAACAAATTGTGACTTATACTTCCACTCTCTATGACAACATATGTTTACTTTGGCTGTTCAACACCCCTTGAGTATACTGAGCCTGAAAAGAGGTTACTTTTAATGTTTGCAATCTTCCCACAAGTCTAGATAAAAGATTCTGCATATCACCATAAACCAAAGCAGCTATCACAGTGTGAATTCTATATATCTGCAGATTTCAACTTAGACTTCATGCATTAGTAGTGTCAATAGTTGTGACCATAATAGTGACCATACTAGTGACCATAGTCGTGACCAGTGACCATAGAAGTGACCAAATTTTCTTCAGAAGCTTAGCTAAGGCACTGCTGCATCAATTAGAGCTGTTAGATAAAAATAATTTCTTAAAAAGATAAATATAAATACTTTTTGTAAAATTTGCAAAATGTTGATAGTAAAATTTATTTTCAGAATTTGCTATGCATTTAACTCTAAATGTGTGTTGAAATGCCAGTGTATGCTTTTCTTAAATTGAATTCTAATTGAATTTTTAAGACATTTATGAATATGTTCAAATGCCATTCAAATAGTTCATTTTTTAGCCAAAAATCTTCAATATGCACAAATTTAAAAAAGAAAAGGAAGATCACCTTTGAGCTTTTAATTTTGATCAGGCAGTGTGCTCACTTAGCACCATAAATTCTGCTCTGCTAAATATTTCTAAAGCCAGGTTTTATGAAGATACACAGAAAGAAAATATGTAGTCATATTTCTAGCAAGCACCTCATTTAGCATGCAGTTTAGAAGAGCAATTCAGGTTATTTGCTAAACTGGAAAGCGTATAAGTCAAAAGCCCTGATGTATTTTCTGCCTGGTCGACTTTTTATGTAAGCAATTGTTCACGCACCATTGTCAGTAATAGACATATCTGGCTGCTAGGTGTCGCCATGATTTAGAGGGTATTCTCTACTGCTTTTGTCCTTCCCTAAATACATTTGTCATTTTCGAAAGGTTGTGTAGTGTTTAGTCCTAACATCATTTATTAGCTACTTCAACTTGTTTTGGCGAGAATATACTGCATATCCTCGACTGTATGTGGTCTTCATCAAATGAATCTTTTCCACAAATCATTCTGGTATCGGAATCTTAGTTTCTGTATTGGCACAATCCTTTATATTTTCTTGTATACACCTTCTTGTCACTTGACGAAACCGACGGATATGCAAAATGTCCTTTGATGACATTCGTCTGTTCTTTTTTGACTGACTTCGCGTGTGACGTAGATTTCTCCTCTTCATAATCGGTGTTCTTCAATTACGAGAAAACTGCTATCTTGTCTTCATCAACTTCGACTCCAGAAAATCAGCACAATAAAAAGCAACATGCTGAAAAGGAGAGGAAAATGAAGATTGTTTTTGGTAATTGGTGAGTTTAAAAAACCATTATTGCTTATACTTAATGGGAAATTTTCGTTGCCTAATTTTTAAGAATGTTTTCTAATGTTAGTCGAAGTTAGCTAATAGGAAAGAAATATTGCCTCGCAGACATGGTATTTGTTTGTAATGAAATTTGGTAAAAAGGCCTTTGCCACAAAAGAATCAATTCTTTCTGTTAACTCTTAAAATAATAACACAATCTTAAGGTATTAATATTGTTTGAAATCATCTTTACCAGCATGCCAGTATTGTTATTGCACTGTAATGGTATCTCATTGTCCCTTCCACTTTTTTGCAGCATGTCGCATCTTTTGGCTGGATCAATTGGTTGCAGAATAAATTCAGAATCAAGTCAATCTCCTGAAATGAAGTTGCGCAAGTTTAATTTCGAGGTGAGTCACTTGTTCAACTCCCTTTATACTGGTAAACCATGGCCTTGATCGTGAAAGATTATGCACAGAAGGAACACTGGAGTTTAGCTTGGAATTGATAAGCAAAGAGTTTGAATACCTCTCTTGGATAGTTTTTAATTTTTTAGATAGTTATCAGGGATTATTTTAGATTCGATCAAGCATTCATCTATATTCTGGGCTTAAAAGTTAAGGATACATACCGCATTTTTTATATTTTTCCTGTGCTCGCTATTAATATCTTCAGTTCTGGCCATTTCATAGCTTGCTTCCATTATTCTAATACTGGCTGATTTCCTTAAAACAAGAAAATTTAATCTAGATGGATTTTCTTGCTTGTTGAAAACGTGTTACTTGTGAAAAATACAGCGGAAATGAAGGAAGATTTGCATAGCTTAGATCTTCCTCCCAGCTTAACAACGTGAGTGACTTGATACTTTGAATCTGGTTCATTTGAAAAAATGCATGTTTTCGAAGCTAAACTGATTGAACTATAAATCCAACATTGATTTGAGGGGGGGGGGACGAAGCTACAGGGGCAAAGTAAAGTGGAAAATTCTAAAAATCACTTTTTGTCTCAACAATTTTGTCCGTAGCTCATAATCTGCTTAATTTCATGTGGCGTATAAAAAGAAAGCTTTATACTTCTTTTGAATTTTAACTAATTGCCTGTCATATTTTCCTCCAAACCTTTTCAAATTATTGCTTGAAACTGCAAAACGCGGGTCCTTACATGATGGATCTGGCAGCAAGGTTTGCCTCTTGAATTGTTTCGTTTGCTTTGTTTGAAATGTTTCTACCATAATGTGACACTGAAACAGGCTCTGAAAAAGTAATATTCACAATTAAGTGGCATTTTGGCAATGTTTTGAAAAAGAAAATATATCTTCTATTAGCAAATATTTGAAATTTATTTACCTTAGCTTCTGTGCGATTTCTTGTACAGTTAGGTTTTAGCTCGCAAATTTAATTTTATGCTGCATTTATCATGTTTCTTTTGATAGATTTGATGTTTATTTTAGGACTGATTGAAGAGAAAGTGTTGTCGCCGCAATATCGTCGAGCATACTTAATTGAAGACAAATAGTGCAGAAAACTTTGCCTTAGTCAAATGTAATGGTTCTTGTAATGTTTCCATATGAGTTCAATAACAATTCAATTATATGATAGATTTAACTTCAACGCGGCCTTTTGTGTTAAGTCATTCCAATTTATATTGGCTTGGGTGTCGTACAATATAATGTGTCAATTTAACTTGAAATAATGTTAAGTTGAACGAGTAAATTAAGAGAGAATTTTGTAAACGACGTTTCGAGCTTAGCCTGCTATCAAGCTCATTTCTTTTTAGGTGAGTTCATTTCTGTTTTTCCTTGCTCATAATGCATTATTCAATGTTTTTATTTAGTAACTAAAAACCCTCAAATACCTTCAAGTTTCCATACAATTCGAGGTTGAATTTTGCCAAGCACCTTGTTTCGCTGGATTTGTGATAATTTGCTTAGAAATCTTTTATATTCTGTCAGATTCTCTGGTGAAAAAGCAAGAAATATTTTCTAGAATATCTGTTTATGAACTTTCATTTTTGCCAACTTTGATCATGCGTGGTGTAGTTGGCGATTTGGGTACTGACAACAAACCGTGCATTGCATTATGGTCCAATTATTGCATTAGAATAAGTGTCTTTTTAGCAAAAAGTAACATTGTGCCTCTAATTACATTATCAAATTAAAAAGTAAGATCCACTGTACACATCTGGTTGCTGTTTTTTAGACGTTTTCTCAAGGTTTTAAAATAGCTGAAACATGAAATATGCTTCTATATTAGCTTTCTGTGTCCTTTTCTGGGAAACTGGGAAAATTGATGTTCCTTTTTAAAACAGTTGTTGCCCGAGTGGCTTATAGTTGTGCTTTATTCTCAACATTGTTTTTTACATTAGAACATTAGAACGAGCTAATGGTGACATGGCACAAGTGGAAGGGGATTCTAAGGTAAAATCTTTGATGTTTTCAAAAAAAAATTTTAATGTATAGTAATCTAGTTAATTTTTAATGGATAGATAATAGTAGATTTTTAATTGGTTAGTTTTGTTTTGCTTTCTTAACCCTCCAAGTAGTGGGCCTGTTTGACTTCGAAGTAAATTATTTTGAAAATACTCAAGTAACTTCCTGAAAAGGGTCATTTTCGAAGAAGCCTGCTCAACAATACTGTGAACAAAATGTTGGTTTTTTCTTGTTTTATTAAAAATAGCTATTGTTTACAGAAGGTGTTTATCATAAATAAATGTGTCATAAAATAGGCCCAGAAATTTTCACGTTACCTCGATAAACTTCCATTGATGACTTTCCTTTTACCAGATTCTCCATCTATAAATAAATTCTTGAGTTATCTACAAGTCAGAAGAGTCTCTTTTGTTTCATGATATATTGCCAGTTTTGTGACTTTGAGTGCAAAACATCAGGATGGCAAGATTCATACTCGGATTAAACTAGTGCCATTTTTGCGGTTTCTCTTGATATCTTAGCATTAGTTTATTGTAGCTTTTTGAAAATAAAACGTCGATTCAGGCAAAAATTTATAATTTTACATTACTGTTTCTTAAATCGATATCTCGATTTTGCTTCAAAATTCAAGAAGGCACTTAAATATTCAATGTGATGTTTTTTATAGGGCAAAGTCGATTGGCAGCAAAATACAGCAAAAGAAATACCTGTCCGAAGGAGCTGATAACCAGACTTGGCACTTTGGTCTTTGCCTATCAATGTCGAATCGTGTAAGTAAGATTGTCAAAATATGCAATTGTTTAGAGAGATACAGAGCGAAAGAAGATGTTATCTTCGTAGTCACCATGACTAGATGCACAATATCATACCGCATACCCAGCCACAGTAATTCATTCATATAACTTGGATTGTGTCCTTTAAATTTGTTTCCTTCTATTGTAATCAACAAAAATAAGCTTTCTTTAAAAGCTGTAAACAACTAAACATTTCCTGACGTCGTGAGAGGTCTCTGACTATAAAAACAAAAATTCCTTCCATTAAAGTTTTTTTATAAGATATTTAGAACTGAAATTATACAATTGCTCACACTAGTACCATATGTGGAGGAGGGGGGAGGGTGTCACATGCTGACGATGGGTACTGGTATATGTCGTTTTCAGTATTTGATTTTACTTTAAAAGTACGGCTAAGCGTCAACAAAAGAAAAAAATCTTTCGCTCTCACTTGCATGTATAACTACAGGCAAAATTTAACGTTTAGATTCGCGCGAGAGACAATTCACTCTTGCAAATAGTGTACGAGATTCCTACGAAAACTAAAGGTTTTCCTGGAATTTTAAGATAAAACGATTTAGGATTTCCACCAAAGAGGTACGAAATTTTTATGGAGTGATTTGCTTCCAGATTTGCGAACAAAGCAAGTAATACCTGTTAAAGAATATGCTATGCTATATTAAAAAGGTTTTCTGTTAAATAATGAAAGGAAATAGAAGTTTTCTGTAAAAATATTTGTTCAATCAAATACTTCTGAAGAAAAGTTTCATATTTACCTTTAGCCATAGTTTTAACAGTCGGTCAAGTTTTTCTTTTGATGCAGGAATCGTTTGAATTTCCTAGGAATCGAGAAATAATTTTGCATTAAAAGACATTTCTCTGCTATATGCAACATCTCCATCATGAAATTATCACTTGGAAAATCCAGAATTTCGCCTAAGGTCAAAGTTACATCGACTTAATCAGGATCAGGGATTAAGTAGATTATTCTTGAATTTGTTTTCCTTGTCATCTCTATACGCATTATGCTCTAATGGATGATATCAAGCAAACAAAACTTCTCAAACTTTTAGAATGTAAAAATGTTTCGAGTTTCAGCATCTACGAAAAGGCGACTTCGATGTAATTTTTATTGCGGTATCTGATTATGTCATAGACCTACAGATTTACATATTGATTTCACTTTATGTATCCTACCACATTGCAGTAGAATCAATCCCGAATCAACGTGACCTTACCAGCTCGATTCCTTCGTGAAAATCCGTGTAATTCATATTTTCTCTCTAAAATGAAAGGTGGAGACTTTGCCAAATTCATAATCTTCAATATTTTGAAAAGAACAAGTTTTTTCGTGAAAAGCTTATTGAATCAAATCCAAACAATGAAAACGATAATTTCTTTTTTTGTCATGCGAGCGATTTAACATCTTTTCTGTCACTCTTAGCAAAATAGTGGCACTCTGGAGCATATAATGGACCAAAACGTATGTTACTTGTCGTACTGCATTGCTGTGGATAATAAAAAGGGTTATTTTTTTGCATTTGGCCGTGATATTTTTTATCATGTAGAGACTGTAGTTTTCACAAAAGCTCGTTATGTCACTTCTTTACATGACCTAATAAATTTTCCTTCGCGGTAAGAAAACCTTTTGCGTATGGCCAACGTTTTAAAACCCTGATGGTACCGATTTGCTATGACGACTTACCGGAAAATGCGTCTAATATCAATAAGTGTGAACGATATTTTATTCTTGAAGTTGCTAATTGGGCTACAAAGGCTCATTACAGCTCAGAAAATCTATTGTGTTTTCTGCAGCAAGCTCAATATTTTTCTTCAACGCCAATGAAAAGATCATTTGTAACCAATTATCTTGCTGTCATACAAGATTCATATCTAGCTCCATTTCTACCTACCGTATTATCTCTTTCCGTTAGACTTTGATTTCGCAATCTTTCTTCAAGCGTGTGATATAGTTTATGTAGTTTCAAATCACCAATGAAGTATACTTTGTTGTTTCGTAGACAAATTTCTATCTCACTAGAAGCAAGAGCACAGCATATGAAAACCCATTCTAATTAATGTTGTACCCAAGCTACAGTAAGCCGCATTTTCTCAAATCCAAAGAGCAATTCAGGCAACTGCCTGATACCTCTATTGCAAATAAAAACAAGACGGACCATGAGTGAATTAACACATCAAGCCATTTTTAATATTAAGGATAGCTTTTGATATCAAGACAACAAAGCACAGTTTGCCAGGAAAGTTTAATTGAAAGGCTCCTAGTGACGGACACAGTCCTCTTTGCCAAAGCTGTAGTTGTTCGACTTTTGACTCGTACAAGAATTCCAGGAAGGATTGAAATTAGACTTTTCTTGCTTTTTTTCTGATTTTTCTCTTTTTCATTGAAACTCAATTCTAACAGTCTAGCATGCACCAATGACCTTAATAACTTTAAATTATTGTTGGATAGACAATGGCTATTCTTGAATAGACAATGACTTCAAAATCCCTTTATGCTTGCTAATGCTTCAACATTATCTTATTGATGCAATGATTTTAGATACAATACCTTCGATATCCACAAACGAAAAAATAGTTATAATGTTTATTGAATCCTTTGTTCACATTTTTAGAGACCTTTACCTCGTTAAAATCACATCGTATTAAGTCACAGAAAGTGCGTGAAGTATTATTTGAGTTGAGCCTTTAAATAAGGGTCTGAAAGAACACGATGAAAAATATAAACCCAGTTGTGGATCGAAATAGGCCAATCAGAAAAACGCAAGCACAAGACCGGTATAGTTGACCAATCAGTGCCGCGAGCCTAAAGAAAAATTACCACTGGAGTCTAATTCTCTTATTGATGCAATGATTTTAGATACAATACCTTTGATATCCACCACCTTATTCTGACGTTTTATGCTCTGAGGAGTGTCAGACGAAAAAAGCTTTTAGTATGTTGCATAATGTATAATGCTTTTTTCAAAGCCATTTTCAAATTTTGTACCGCAAAAAATTGTTAAAATTAATATCAAATGTGTTCCAGTTAATAGTATAAAAGTAATGCTATTGTACCTTCTTTTGTAGACATGAATCTCGCAAGCCTTTGGTTTCCAGGTATCACCAACCCATTGTCCTTCCGCAAATAACAATCGACAGTTGTCTTTTTCTAAAGAAAAACTTCTTGCTAAACCTAAATGACACTTTGGGGTTGTTTTGTCTCAGCAGTGACAGAAAAACGTAAGTTATTTATTGATTTAAAAGATTGTTAAAGGTATAGATTTATAATGTATAGTAACCAGTGGCGGACACTTGGTCAAATATTGGGGGGCAGGCCTATTGTTTTAATAAGATGACGTCACATTTCCTATTGTTTTAGAACAAAAGACCATTGTTCTCTAAAGTATTGGGGGGGGCGGTCGCCCCCCCTCGCCCCCCAAGTGTCCGCCACTGATAGTAACAATGTAAGTGTAACAGATATCGGTTATCATAACTTGCTTAAAAATATTCGTGATAGAAGGTTTCACCGAACTTTATCGTGTACTCGGTATATTCTCATCGGACCTGCTTTTCTATTTTCGCTGAGCTTCCTTTGTAGAGATCCTGTGCAGAATAGTGCACGAACCCTGCTGCGGACTTTTAAGTTCGACCTTGATAATTGAAGCTAATGTTGCAGGGTTGAAGACTTTGTTTAGTAACTGAAGCCGATAGGCATAGATATATACTGCGTCTTGCAAGTTTTATTACCTGCTCAAAGATAATTTTCATTACACTATTTTCTATAAGAAGCGTATAATTTTTGCATATGCTCGATGCTATTGTTTTGGGATAATTTGAGGCTCGAGTGTTCTCAAAGTTGCTCTTGTACTTATATTGACTTTTCGACATTTAGATATCATGGGTTGTTTCTTAGACTACTAAATAACAGTTATGTTTAGTTGCACGGTTGATTAGCTTACAAAATCTGCTCTGTTCTGTTAACACACAAGTAAATTTTCAAACACACATTGCTTTTTCATTGAATTTTCTGTATGTTCTAACGGTATTCTTATGTTTTGGCAAATCGAGCTTAGATGTTCCTTTAAAGTGTGTTCTTATAAGAACGAATGTAGCGGTGTAAAGATGACCCTAGTTAAAAGCTCACCCTGCATCAGAGAGTACGCAAGATACCAACTGAACGTCATCAGCAATGCGACGCCTATTACCAACTCGCTGGTGTATCTTAGTCTCTCTTTGATTGACTGCCATGGTGGATGGTCTCGTTCCGCGTTTGCTTGGTCCACTGCACTTGCTTTTTCTGTTAAAAAAATATTCCTCTATCAACCTCTTTCCCTTTGGCTTACTTATAATAACCTGTTGTGGGCTCAAAAACACTATGGCTCACTTAGAGCAGCCTACGGGAAATTTGACAGGCCCCTCTAATAGAGAGTTTTGTATTCTTTGCATTTCCTAATAAAATCTATAAAGCAACAACTGTATTAGCTGTATTGGAAGAACTTTTACGAAATATTTTTGTGGATTTTCTCTACAAAATTCAGTTTGGAGTGTTGCATTGGTGCTGGGTCAGTAAAATGAATAACTTTTCGGTTATGAGTGTCAAGGCGGCGCGTTAGAGAGGTGTCTCCGCTTCTCCGCTCCTCTCTTCCATTTCCTCGCTCTAATTTCGTGGCTCTGGTACCCATTGTAGCGCCAAGATTGCCTGCTTTCACCGATGCTATTTGACATAATTTCTTTAAAGTTTTTGGTAGAATAGGCCAGTGGTGTGTGGTGTCTAAAAAACCTAATTGTTGAGTTGAGCAATACAGTATAGAGTTTTGCTGATAACCAAGCAATGCAAAGTAGGAGAGAGAATTTCCTCCAGAGTTCAATGGCAAAGTGAATGCTACAGTAGGAGCATATGGGATGAGGGTCAACATTAAAGAAGGGCAAATTGATTTGGAAGAGCAGAATCTATGTCCATCCATTGCAATTGAAAGAAGGTGGATGAGGTAACGTTATGCACAAATGGAATGAAATCACCCGGCAACTAGCAATTGCCCCAGCTGGGTATTTCGGAGCAATAAACTTGAGGACGTCCACCCGACCGATTTTGCGTGGTCATTTTGAGAATTAGGATATTTTTGTAGTAGAATCTTTTATTGAATCTTGTCCGTTTTAAACTTTGATTAGTTTTTATTGCGAAACACATGAAGCTATAGTCAACAGGAATCAAAATATGTTTCTATTTTCTTCATATCCAACAGCAAATTATTTATTCTAAGTGTAGAAACTAGAAGATAAACCTTTTTCTGGTTCCTTTTCCTGGTTTTTTAGCATTTTTTCAACCAATGTGCACTTCATGTTTGTAGCAACAAGATATATACCCAACAACAACAAACCTGCAAACCTTTAATTGAAACCAGTCCAAAAACACGTTCTGATCATTATCTTTGACCCATGTCGTGATCACGTGCACTGGTATGCCTGATGTACTTCTATTGATTTTTTTTCACTGTCCTACATTTTGGGATGGAAAATGTTTAAGACTTCAATGAGAAGAAGAGCCATTTTGAAACCATTTTAAGTGAGACGTAAGACAAGAATTGAAGTAAGGTTTTAATGATTAAGACAAGCTACATCGACAGTTAATCTCAGGAGCTTCATGGCTTTAGTTTCGTAGATTAAGACAGAAAATTTGATAAATGACATATCCAATTTGGGCGTGGCTCATTTAAGTTTTGAAAAGCAACGTTAATCCAAGGAAGATGTAGTTTTCTTGTTTGATAAAAATTTTGCCTGATGGAATAAACTGACAAAAACTAATGGAATAGACAGAACTGGAATTAAGTCACTGCAAATTTTGAAAAGTATTATGAATGTTATTTTTCATTAATCATGCCATGGGGAATTGTCTCCTGCACGGTTCGGGAAATTGTATAAACAATTCAGTATTCAACGGAAATTTCAATACGGAGAAACAATAAACAGTATTCAAAAGTTTCAAACTAAGTCAGTTCTCCTTGGGGCAAATTCACGCATCAAAAATACGCCGATCACGTAATCACGCCAAAATACCTTGACCCCGTTTACACGCGTTTTTTGCCGCTTCCCAAATAAGGTTCGCAGCCTCTCCGTTTACACTGTACCGGTACGACCTAGATTTAATGGTAGAACATTGTTTAGAATAATCTGTATTTAGTCAACCGAGGCTTTTATTTTGCCACCAAAATCAACAATCGAAATTTTATTGAGAGCAAAATTTGGAGAAGAAGGCCACTAAAAACTTCACTTGGACGGACGACGAGGTGGCTTTAATTCTCTGTTATTTTAGAAATAGTCAATATGTTTTAGACTACAAAACTGCCAAGTCCAATCAAGGCTTAGACTGGGAAACAATACAAGCTTTTTATGTCGTCGTCTTTTCTTCAGAATTTTCTTTATCCTTAGAAGTTTTGAGGTACTACCATCGAGAATAGATTGTAAATGGCGTTGGCGAAGACGGTGATAACAATCGTGAATGGCTGCTAAATATACATTCAGCCCAGCGATCGCTGCCACTGAATTTAACAAGACAATAAAGATTTGACAACGTAGTTGCGCCAAAATCAAAGCCTCGATTACCTGAAACAGCCATACAAAAGACCTCTTTGTGAATACGTGACAAAATCTTATCGGATAGGTGTTTACACTGTTCCCTACAAAAACAGAACTGTGACGGTACAAAATTTGTTCGCTTTCAAAGCAGGGTCAGAGCAAAATCGTCTCGGTTCCACAGTGCTAGTGTAAACGGAAGGGTGGACCGTGACAGTTTTGTCACGGTTCCAAACTTGCACGGGACAGTGTAAACGGGGTCTAACACTTAGCGCAATTTAAACCGAAGAATGGCAGCTTTCATTCTTTTTAAAACCGAATTTAGCACCACGAGTTCTCCTGTATATTTATTTGCAAACGAAGCAGAAAAGCCCTAAGACCTACATGAAAACTTTTCCCACAAATCCCTAAAAGTATTTGGAGCTGATTTCAACTCAGACGTAAATCCAAGGGTGCAGTGGGACCTCTGTTGTAGGCTGGGCATGCTGACTGAATTTCCTGACCATAATTCTTTTAACTTGAAATCAAGATTAGTTATTTATTTTCGAACTTCCTATAGTTGACATTTGCCCCTAGGCCGCTGCGCACCTTCAGAGATCGTAGTAAATAAGCGAAGCGAGCTGCGAAGTATTCAGAATTACTTTGCTCAATAAATAGACAAAAATGGAACAAAGAAAAATCATAATAATTTAATGTGAAAACCCAAAGTACAAGGAGCAACTGTGGTAAAATTGATTCGTGTTGATAAAGTGTTGTTTAAATGATTTACCAAAGAAAGAGCAAAGTTCATCAATGCGCTGGAAGGTTAAACCTCTAATTTGTATCTTGTTCCCCGCTTGCCATGAAACACAGGTGACTATACACTGTGATCTCATAATTCTTGTTCTTTGGTTGGCCTTGAAAATCAATCTTTAAAAACCAAAATCGATGGGCAAAAGTTGAACCGAAACACGATTTCTTTTCATTCAGCCTGGAAGATGGCTTTCCGTCTAGCTGACATATTTTTGCTGCACGATTTCCACAATGTTTTTTCTTATACTATATGGCTACCCCCACAAATCGGTTAACACTGTTGACAACATCAATGAAAATCTCCCCCCCCCCCCTTAATAACGAGAATGATGCTCTCATTCGACTTCCTCTCTTACAATTGTTTGATGATCCAGGTGAAAGCATTGAGAAAGCATTGAATAACAACGGTCCTAGCACAAAGCCTTGACGTACACCAATCTTTTTCTTTCAATCGCTGTATGTTCTGTCTTTTGAAATCTATCTTAAGATTCTATAGGCCAAAACCTTTCGCCATGTCTCCCAATGTCATGTCTGCAAAACCCAATGTCATCTGTTTCTCCATTGAGCACTAGAATACCTTAGACATCGTTGACACTACATAAAAGAGCCTATATCTGATGATAGAGAGTGACCTAAAATGAAAGACAACCATCAAATGAAATTCTGAACTTTTGACTCAAACCACATAATTCAGAGAGATTTCTGTGCAACAACTAACCCCCGCACCCCAACAATTTACACCCCTGCCTTATAGTCTTCACAACATTCTTTTTCTTGAAGAATCGCCTTAGAAATCCATGACTTGTAATAAGGGGCTGCATGACATTCCAATTTCTTCACCACGCTACACCAGGTGCTTCTATTAACATGGCTCAAAAGGCTAATGCAATCTTTATCCTTGTTTGTTTTGTGTTTGAATTTAATATAACGCTAAACGCTAGAAATTTCAGTGCTGCAGTTCGACAGGGTCATCTTCCTGCAGCTGCATTTTATTTACTACATCGACAGGCAAAGTTAGTGTTTGTCTTTGGATGAGCCCGTGTAATCCTCTCCCATTGCATTAGTCTATTAGCAAGCAAGTTTGAACTGGAGTGGATTTGTAATGAAATCGAGGTCACTGAAAGTCATTGGAAGTTAAAGTAAGGATTTGCAATGTTTAGCAAAGCAAATTTACCAAGAAAGACAATCATTGTCAGTATGTTAATGATACTACGCTGCAGGTGCTGCTGGTGTTTAAATTGTTCAATTCAAGCATGGTGTTACTGTAATTTAGCCAGAATGAGTCACCTGTATAGAGCCTAATGATATGTGTGTGCAAGAGAAAATTCGGTGATATTATATTTTGTTAAAACAGGCTATCTAGATGCAAATCATGTTGCAATAGAGAGATTAACTGGAGTTGAATATGGAATGTTTCCATAAATAATGTTTACAGTCATTTTCTCAGTACGGAAATGAGTTTGTTTCCTTTTCAGTCTAATGCTTCTTATTGGCAATGAAAGGACACAATAGTAACAAATAAGAAAATATCGAATTAGGATGGGTTGATCCAAGGTGTTATCTGTTGAAAAGCGATGATGCACCATGTTTAAGAGTGCCTAATCACAGGCTCATCTGAATTGAATTCAGAAGCAATAACTTACGTGTGTCACGCCATTCTAAACATGATTAACACGAGTCAGGTTGGTTTGTACCCTTGGTACCAGGACCACAAAGTTTCGAGCGAGGAAATAGACGATAGGAGCGGAGAGCGGAGGAGCATTCTGAGAAGCATCTTTTTGAGGCTCTGGAACCCAGGGTTTGGATTAGCGTGCCTGAAAAGTATTCCTATTTTCATCAGGCTTTTACTAACTTTTGAAGAGTATCTTGGCCCATCTTGATCAAGCTAACCTTAGAACCAGATGAAAAAAGATTTAAGTACAGTAAATAGAAATCTAGGCGGAGAAGCGGAGAAGCAGAGAAGCGGAGGAGCGTCTAGCTGAGAGAATTGAATTTGACTTCTTCTGTGATAGACGCTCCTCTGCTTCTGCATTCCTTTTTTTCTATTTCCGCGCTTGGGTTTATGTGGCTCTGGTTTCCTGGGTACGATCAAGCTTGCAAGGAATAAAGGATAAAGCCGCCCAAATTGTGGTTCAGGTTTTATGAATAACAAACAAATTTTTTGCAAAGATAAATGTTTTGTACATCCAATGGATTTATTTAGCTGTTTTTGTTGAGGCATGCTTCCGGAACCTCTGCAGGCCCTTCGTTATAGGGGATGTGTTGGGTGTAAAACTCCCAACATTGCACATTGTTAAACATTGCACAAACGCGGAGTTTTTTGCTATATAGGTCGGCAAATAAAGGATTGCTCACCCACTTTGTCGGCAATGAGGCTTGAAAACCCTCTTTGAGCACAATAGCTAAGGTCAGGCTTGAATCTTTGCTGCAAAAAGGAGCAGTTAAGTTTCTGCTCAAAGGTTGGACTTGCTACAAGTTACTGTCTCTCTCTCTCCATTTTTAGTCCGAAACCCCCGTTGTCTGATAAGTCTGGAAATTGCGAAATTTAAAACATAAAGAAAAGAAAAAAGAAAAAAGAAAAAGGAGGGGGCTGGAGATCTTCGGAGAGAATGAGAAGAAGGAGAGGGAGAGACTTGTGACAAGTCTTCCAAAAGAACTAAAGCCAGTGCCCAAGAAGCAATCTTAAATAATTTAGGAAAACATAAAAAGGTTTGTGTTTTTTGGAAAATAAAAAATTTCAATCAGCCAAAATTACATTGCATTGTATTAAATTGAAAAAAATCTGAATGTATGTCAGCATCAACAAAAATTTTGCCACAACAGGGCGAAGAGGTAAGAGGACAATTTTTACATTGCTGGCCCCCCAAGTTTCGAATCTTTGGTGTTTCCCTGAACTAGAGAGCTCTGCAACTGATAAATGCTTAATGTATTGAAAGTCTACAGGGGCATGAATGAATCTTTCTTTCCGGAAGAAAAATTATTTCTGTGCGTAATGTCTGGATTTGGATAAATCTTCCATTTCCTTTTTGTTTCCGAAATATTCTGCGATTCTCATCAAATTACCTTCAGTAATTGGAACATGCTATTCATCAATTGTTTTTGACTGCCTAATTTCCTATTTGGGAAGCAATGTTTCTACAAATCGTCACTGATATTTTTGGAACAGGATGGAACTAACAACTTTAATTTGCTAAGTTTGTGTATTACGTCATCTTTATTTGGACTGCTCCTCCTTTATTATGTCATATCACTGGACAAAAGATTCAGAACAAAAAAGAAAAGAAGCTTAATATGGCACTAATATGGTTTTAAAACTTTTTACAGGAAACTCTGTTATTTTCACACTCTATTTACATGGAAATATACAGATCTTGGAATATGGGCCAGACACTACACTTATCACAGCCCATACACGAAGCAGAAAATGAAGGGGGCGCTCAGCAAATCTGAAAATTTCTATATAAATGCTCAAAACTATTTGATGGCGACAGTTTCAATTGAACGATAATATAGGATGAATTTAGCATGCACCACAAATCAATGGACAGCTACGTAAGAAAACCATGTTCAAACGTCGAAGGACCGAAGCTTTGACGAAGAGAGGAGGTCCGGGGGTTTCTCCCAACCAGACAGACATTTGAAGACTATATGCCCCTTGGAATGTCTTAAAACTATGATTTCAACATGACTGGTGACATAGTCAATAGTCACCATTCCTGCTTGAAAAAAATATGTGGATAATCTTGGCCGATGTGTTTGGTATTGCCCTACCAAAGTGTTCAAAGGCCACAGCCCCCCCCCCCCATCTCACATAGTGACCTACGATGAACGGGCCTCGTTTTTTTAGCAAAAAGGCACTTTACACTGATAAATGGGAATTTTTGCTAAAAAAGTGGTACCTTTTACAAAAGCGATACTTTTGGCAAAAATTGACACATTCTGAAAATTGGCGCAATTTATCTGACAAATGGTGTACTTTCAAATTCTTTAGAAAAATATGGGAAGTCACAGCTTCTTGGTGCTTCCAGACTCTCACACCTATGGCTCTTACATCTATCTCTGTCGTTCTCTGCTGCTTGTGGTGATGTCATCTTTATTTATGTGCAAATACCAAGCAGCGAATGACTATCTCTGGCTCCCTGAAACGTTCTTGGAGAAAAAAGAATGAAGTAAAAGAATATGTTTATAAGCAGATTAATACCTGACGTCATGGTGTTTTCGTGCTTATTTCACGCAGGACAAGATATTTTTGTTGGATTTGAATATAATTTCAATAGAATTGAATAACTCGGAAAGAAAATTACAGCAAAAAGGTCTCAGGTTCGGCAGGAGCTCAATGAACATAAAGAAATGACTAAGATCTAAATCAGGGATTTGTTATCTTTTATAGGCCTCTGTGATTGATGATGAAAACTTGTTATTTCGATTCAATTAAACTACAATTACAAAATTCTCTATTACATAGGTAGTTTGCAACTGGCTAGTCTGGGTTTACAAGATAAAACTATTACAATCGTTATTGCAAAGGGAAACTGAGAGAAGAGAAAAAAATATCAAATTTAAAAAGGATGTAATTCCGGATTTTTTCATAATCATGATAATGATTATTATAATGATTTCGAGCTTTAGAAATCGCGTTAGCACAGTTTGCCTTTTTTAGCTGATATTCCAGATAACTTTCGTTTGTAATTGTTGAGATATAGCTTTTATCTATTTTCCAGACCAACGAAGCTTCAAAATAGTTAATCCGGCGAGTTAGGTCATGTATCCAAATTGGGTTTTACCTAATATGGATACATGAGTTAGTTTACTGGTCTGTTATCTAGTGGGGTTAATTCCTGACAAAGTAATAAGGACAACCAAATATGGGCAGAGTTTCGCCCGTCAGGTATTAATGTTCACAACAAATTTTGATGGTTGGCACAAATCATGAGGTTTTGTCTGATGACCATCTTTGTTGCGAAATAGCTTCGCTTTCATGTCCCGCTTTAAAAAGGGCTGGTTAAAAAGAAAAAGCTAGGATGCTGTCACTTTTCTTCAGTTTCATTTGATAGGAAAGTGCGTGTGCTCTTCCAGCATTGCCTCATACTTTGTAGAAGCTTCTATCGAGACTTCATTTGTTGAAACGTTCATGGTAAACATACCAGCCCACTTGCTGACTATGACGTCATGTAAATAATTTATTTTGATTGGCGTAGGGAAAGCACGTGTTGTGTTTATGGACTTCCGCTAAGGTGTGTTTGGTGCGTATCACGTTGATTTGCAAGCATTCTACCATTACGAAGAGAAGTGAAGTCTTGCTGTTCTTTTAGAATTTTGTAATCTGTCTTGATTTGTTTTCTCTGAACGGCGAAATGAGTGAAAAGCCATTTGCAGAAGTTGAAAGCTTTGATACTCATAAACTTAAACACGTGGAAACTCAAGAGAAGAACCCTTTGCCAACGAGCGATGGTGAGATCTGGAATATGGCTTAGGCCATTTTATTTCGCAACAAATCTTTTAATATAAAATGCATGCTTTTTTCAGCCATTTATGCACGTTTTAGCTGTAGCCAATACTGCATAAGTATCTTGCTTATTAATATTTATGTGTGTTTTGCATTTTTGATTCAGTTTTTTTCGGGAGGATGTTCCCCCCACCACAGGCTTGCTTGCTGCGAAGTGCAAGGACGCACGCTTTTTGTTGATATCAGACCTTTCTTGAATGTGTTGGCACGTACAATGTGCTTTCGTACGTTGAAAATATTGTTTAAGAACGTAATTATAGGAGGGTGGTGGTTTTTCGGAGTTTGCAAAAACATTTCAGAGATGAAATTCGAGTCATTAAGGAAGGGGAATGTTAACAGTAGACATCCAAATTTGGCAAGGTAATTTTTGGGATTACATTCAGTTCACATATATGCGCATTTTCCGCCCCCATCAGAAATTCAAAGTTTAAAATTACTTTTCTTAATCTACCTTTTTTCTATTGTTTACTAGAATCCAAAAAACGAACTCACATATAGCCACCCTAATTATTTGTCAATTTGGTTTTGTGACAATCAAGAAAATCCCCTTCAAAATTGATAACCAATAGTGTTTGATATGATTGGCTTTTACAGAAGAAAAGAAGAAAATCCGTTTACTTTTCCTTAATTCACCTAAAATGAGACACTCCTAGAGAGATCTTCACCATGTGACCGGGAGAAAGACTGAAGTTCACATTGCACAAGAAAGATTCAAAGTGCTATTCGCAGTTTGAATAAAAGCGATCTCGACAAGTTTTCACGAATCATCACGCCGTGAATTATTATGCTTCCAGTACAGAAATTAATCGAGCTTGGACAAATACTTGGCTAGTAAGTTAATGCACGCTCAAACACTACTGCCCTTTCAGTGTAAACAACAAGCGATCTACAAAATCTGTCCTAATTTTTTTTTGAAGCAGAGAATCAGAACTAAATAATTGATAGCAAATAATTGCATGCATTTATTTCATACTTGGAACAATTAATTAAAAGGTAGGAACAAAGGATTTGTACACATTTGTTTTTAGGCATCCATGACATATTTTGCAAAGCTCTTTCCAAATGCATAGTCGGTGCATCAAGAAGGGAATCTTTCTCAGTAGTTGACCAACCATGAAGACTATGGACCTAAGTTTTTTTGAGATAGTTAAATTTGTAATTCCTACTGTGGTTTATGGTTTCTCCTTTCACTCTAAAAATCTTCACTGTTTGTTTAAGAAGCCACAGTGCATTTGTAGAATCATTAAAATTTCAGTGAGTAAATTCAAGCATTGGTATCTTTGTCTTTGTCAGGTAATTGAAATCATGAAAACTGTGCCCAAAAATAGATACTGTCAATTAAACTGTATTAATGTTTTTTAAAATGTTGATACAATTTTCTGCTATTAATGAAAGAAACATAGACATTTGTGTTAAAAGCTTGCCCTCACTGTTGAGGCTTGCAGCTTGGATGTGTTTCCTTTTACCACCACAGTTAAACAAGCTTTGAAAATGAATCTCTTTCCTTGTTGTCTTTGTTGACACATGACCTTCTTAACTCGTCACATCAAAAAAGTTTATTCATTCAGCATAATCCTAATCTCTTTAGAAATATATTTTCTTTATGACCTTTGTTGTTATATCTTTCTCCTGAGTTTTTCTTTGTTTGGATCTGACATCATATAATCCTTCCTTATTGTATGGAGTTGAACTGTTGCTTTGTCATTGTATTAGTTACGCAGAAGCTCAACTGTGCTCTATACAGAAATTTATTTTGAAAACTCACTTGTGCTTAGTTTCAAGGGATAAGAAATTCATAAACAAAATATCATCCAAGTCAGAAAATAATGATATATTATGTTAGATAGTCAAATCTTACCTTTCATTAAATGCAACTTGTTATCAAATGATGCAGTGACTATTTTTGTTGAAACCTCATTTGGCATTGGGTGATGTTGAATTTAATCCCAGTTCCTTTCTTAAACAACTGATCTATGTTTTTTGATATCTTCCCCAACTAAGAGATCTATGTTTTTCAAACAATCTTTCTAATGGTATAAATTTTAGTATTGACAGTTTCATCTTGTTCTACTTCTGCTCACTGAAAACGATGGTAAATTCAATGAGTGTTATTCCTTGCAAGAGTTTATCAGCCTCTTGAACAAACTCAAGAGAGGTTTTGCCATTTTTGTGCCCATCATATATTGGACTAAAGTCTGTAGTCTCTCGTGCAGCAGCCTGGAAGTTCTAGAAACTGAACACTAACCAACAAGAAGTTCTGGTATCCAAGGGTTGCTAAGGGTTGTAAGCCAATTTATTCAAGTTTGTATTAACCATAGTGACCACAGTGTACTAGGAAATTAAATCTGGTAGTCATAACATGTGTTATGGGCGCTAAACATATATATATATATATGTGTTATAAAGAACACCACGAAATACCGCTTCAATGGCAAAATCTGATAGATATTTTACAGATTGCCAAAGCCCAGGCTCTTGCCCAAATCAAGTCCTGGTTCTAAACTTAAAAACAGACCAATATAAGCCTCCTTTGTTTATAAGCCACCCTTGATTATAAATGCTCTTGATTTTGAGCCACCCTTGATTATAAGCCACAGCAAATTGGTTTCAAAAAGGTGTGAACAGTCCTTGATTATAAACCACATCCATAAAAAACAAAGAAAGATACTTTATTTGAAATAAAGGGTGCAAAAACTGACAAAACCTGATTGTATCTAAAGCAATAGATACTACAAATTCAACCAAAATCATTATCACCCAGCATGGGATCATGGGAAGATCACTGTCATCCAGAAAATTTTTTCTTCTTCACCTTCTACATTTTCACCCTCAGCTTCAAGGTAGCAGGAAGGCTTTTCAGGATTAGGATAAAATAATGTAAGCCACTTTTATTTTTTAAGTCCCTTTTATTTATAAGCCCCCTTGATTAAAAACCACGGAAAAAAGTGCCAAATTTTAATTATAAGTTGTGGCTTATAATCAAATAATTACGATATTTCACCTTGCTCTTTCTTCTCATATAGTCAAATTTAAAAAAAAAGTAAAAATATGTTTTTCTGATGTCATCACTTTGCCACTCTACCTCAGTGTAGGATGGACAGTTGCTTCAGGCAATGGTTTCAGCAGCAAAGAGAAAGTTTTTAGAGAGAAAGATTTGATACTTGCCTGGCAGAGAGAGGAAATTGATGCATTATTTAGAGTAAATATAAAGTAATGTGGTGGTTTTATAGTTAGCCAAATGCAGCTCTGTTGACTCGCACAAAACTCCCTAGTGGCTCATAACTGCAGACCAGGCTACCAATTAAACTCAAAAATGGCAAGTGCTTGTCCTGAAACCTCAATCTTTAGATCAAAGTCATATGCGTCAACCATTACATCACGAAAGAGAGGAACCTTACATTTTTTTAAAGCAGTGAGCATGTTCTGTCTTGGTGGGTTACTTTTGAACTTTGTTTGATGAAAGGCTCAGAGCAATTACTTTTTATGCAAAGGTCAATAGCACAGTAAACATTTGTTTCCTACCCTTGCTGTCTGGAGCAAGGCTTTCAACTGTCAAATTGTGAAAAGCACTCAGTTTCAGCCTAACATCAGTTGCAGGCTAATTGTCTTATGCAGCCATGATGTATTGCCTATCATATTGGTTTCATGTTTAGCTACAAGGCTTCTTTTGATGAATGGCATCTTTTTCTCATTCTGTATAAGATTTGATATATTCAATTTTGTTCTTGTGTATAGAAAATGGGTGTGGTCCTGAATCAGTGTTGCACCCTTGACCACTGCAGTTCTTTGTCATCTCTACAGCTGCCATATTTTCCTGGATCTGTCCCTGCTTATATTTCCATAACAAAATCTTAAATAAGAAATGAAATGTCCCAAAACAAATAATAGCCAACAAAATTCAATTCCAATCACCCTATGGCTAGTTTAGGGCCAGGTCTAAACTGGCACGGCTCCAGAACTATGCATTGGTTCTGTGAAACTTCCTGTAGGACACTTGGACATACAATTCCTGTGTAGGAAGCAATGATAGTTTCAAATAGAGCCTATTACTCATGTAGACAGGTTATAAAGTACCCATTTACCACAAGTCCTTATGTCATTTTTCCAGTAACAAAAATTCTTCTTACCTTACAGTAATCAAGGAGGAGGCTGCTGATTCAAGAGCAGAAGTAAAGAGCTTTGATCATGGGAAACTGAAGCATGTGGAAACCGAAGAAAAGAACCCATTGCCCACACCTCAAACATTGAAAGAAGAAATGAGGCCAGAGGAGTTGCCAGATGTGTCTGGTGTTAGTTCATTTGACACCAGCAAGTTGAAGCATGTGGAAACACAGGAGAAAAATGTTTTGCCAACAGCTGATGGTAGGTTCAATTAAGCCTTTTGGAATTGAAATGTTAAGGATTCAGAAATCAATAACAGCTAGATTTGGCAATTGATGGTCAGGAATCAGGAATCGGGCTACAAGGGTAGGAGGAATTTGGGAATCATGGGAATCCATTGGGTACCCGTTAGTTGTTTTCATTCAATCAAACTGGAAAGTTTCTTCTGATAAGGCCAAAGGTTTCGTTAGGTAAAAATTCTAATGTATTTGGCTTGGATGGTTTGTTCAAAATCAGGTCCTGTGCATTTGTTCGTTGAGCTATGTTTATCAAGAAATATGGAATGTCCAAATTAAAGTGGTGACACTAAGCATCAAATAAATTCATGAAATTTCAAGTATTTTGACCACAATCACCGGTAAGCATAAGGATGGCCAAGAGTATGCACCACAATAGAAATAGGTTTTTATTGTGTGTTCTAATTGGATCTTAAATTTGTATAGATGATTGGTGACTGAGACCTTCAGCAATCAGTAGTAAGTTTCATTTGGGCATGATAATGTAATTTATTTTAAATGACAAGTATTAGAAATTAATCAGAGACTGTTTATGCTGAGAATAGATAACATTTTTTATGACCATTCAACCAAAGATTATAGCATCAAAACAGCATTTAGTTTGATGAAACCATTTTTGGCTTTGTAATAGATTACGGAATATGTCAAACTTTTTTCATGTCTTGACAAGCTTTATTGGACTTCAGTTTTGTCGTTAGTGCACAGTTGATCATTCTGATTTTCATAGTAGTATCGTTCCTTGATAAATTTTCATAGCATTATTTTGGTATAATTCTTCTGAGAATGTGCATGCAAGAATGAGCTCACATGGGAATTTGCACAAACAATCATTCAAAATCTTTAAACTGAAGTAATTTTAAACAGAATTCTTTGACTTGACAAGTTTTTATCAGATACTATAGTTTCAGTTTAGTGATTTGTGCCATTCCTTCCCATTCCCTTTGCTGTCTCTCCCTTTCCAACAAATGTATGCTGTTTAAGAACCCACCATCGGGCCTTTTCATTTGATGCGAGTGATCTCGTGATCGCGTCAGCACTCGCGCAAACTCAACCACGCGAACATCTTATCGCTCGCGCAAAGCGGTAAGTTGCGAGGAAATGTTTCATCAATTAACACAATTCCAGTCATCTTTTGTAACCCAAGCAAGCGACAGACAAAACAAAGCTGGTATTTCAAAACACAGGGAATATAAGTAAACTGAATTAGCCACATATTAACGGAAAATGGAAATTGAAAATCAGTTCCACTTCGAATGTTTATGAATACTATAGGCACTTAGTATTTGAACTAATTAGCCCTTCGAACATCGTCTGGGCAGTTAAAGTATTTTTCATTAAGGTTTGGAACACCACTTTGCGATCATCCGGCAAAAACGTCTATATCAAATTCATCTTCATCATCTTCGTGATGTGCATAAAATTTATGAACGAAGCCCATTTACATTGGGTATTTAATTTTTCTTGGAGTGCAATAAATAAAGATCATCATGAAGAGTTCGTTTTCATTTGATATCACCTTTCACAAAGGTACCTTATAATAGGATCATACAGTTTTTGTAAAGCCCTGGTCAAACGATCCAACATTTCACCCAACATTTCGCCCAACATCATGTTGGGTGAAATGTTGGATCGTTGGACCACCTTGTTGGATAACCCAATATCGTAAATTTCGATGTTAGACGAAATTTGACTGAGGTAAAAAATTTTGGCTGCCGATGTCCAACAATTCTATTGTTTTAAAGTGTTAAGTGAAATATTGGATCGTTTGACCACCTCAGCCAACATTGTTGGCTCTGCGCACGCGCAGTTGGTTAAAGAGCGCCAAATTTCAATCATCGGATCGTTGTTGTTTTCTTGGGCTGGTTTGTTCGTTTCAACAATCGCGTTTGCTTACAATCAGTTACTCTTTAACTATGGACAGTATAACGAAATTCGTTTTCTGTGCGAAAGAAGAGGCATCAAGCGTCAATGAAGAAACTGTAGCACAGAGAAGCTACAAGAAAGTGCGGGGGGGGGGGCGAATTTAGGCCACGGCCTTGATAGGCGATGCGACGCTCGTCCTGAGAAGCCGCGATGACAGTGAAAATATTTGAAGAGACAATAAATGGAGAAGGCAGCGATTACCTTTCGTTTTTTCGGATCGAAATGTCGCGAAACTATGCAGCCTTCAGCCCGAACTTCTACCCAGTCCTTTTTCGATCTGCGCGTGAAAATGTTGGGTGAAATATTGGATCGTTTGACCAAGGCTTAAACATTAAAGGCACTGAGCTTTGTTGATTATTAATATTACTTTAAGAGCGATCGTTCGCGCAAGAGAAATCAAGCGTGGGCTGCTCGCGTGGGCTATTTCTTACGAAAAGCCGGCACCTTCCTCTAAGCATACAATATTCACGAATTCTCCCTAATTTTATATTAACGATAGTTTTAATCGAATTTTTTTCACTCAGTTTTTGTGATTTTTGTTATTCTTTTGGTATTGATTTTCGAGATGTTTTGAAAATTGGCTTTAAACTATGAGAAATGGGTACAAAAAAGCCAGCTGTGGAGAATAATATGAAAAACAATAAAAAATATTTTTGAACTTCTCAGAAAGATATCTATCGACTTTAAATTATCTACTTTTTTAGATTTAAGAAGTGAAAATAATTAATTTGTAGTGAACATTCGTTAAATATGTTTTCAATCCTTCCAATTAAGTTATCCAAGAGGAAGCTACAGACTCACGGGCTGAAGTAAAGAGCTTTGATCATGGGAAACTGAAGCATGTTGAAACCGAAGAAAAGAACCCATTGCCAACACCTCAAACATTGAAAGAAGAAATGAGGCCAGAGGAGTTGCCAGATGTGTCTGGTGTTAGTTCATTTGACACCAGCAAGTTGAAGCATGTGGAAACACAGGAGAAAAATGTTTTGCCAACTGCTAATGGTGGGTTTACATAAATACAATTTTTAGCTGCCTTACTGAGAAAATATATTTTGGTTCTTAATTGCATATTTTTTTTGTTTTCTTGTTCTTCCCATTTGTTTTTGCTGTTCGTCATTTATATATATATAAACATATATATTGGCTCAGTTGAATGACAATTGTTTTTTTGTCGCATCAAACCATTCTGACCAAATGCAGTAATAAGAATTGTGCAACATTGTTTTGCAAAAAGATTCCTTCTGCCTCATTCGTCCTAAAGAGTGAATGTATATAATGAATTTTGTTTTTGATAAAAACTAGTTATCAAAGAAGAGGCAGTTGACTCGAGGGCAGAAGTGAAATCTTTTGATTCATCGAAACTGAAGCACGTAGATACTGTGGAGAAGAATCCATTGCCAACACCGCAAACACTTAAAGAGGAGATGAGGCCTGAAACGCTTCCTGATGTTTCTGTTGTAAAAGATTTTGATGCTTCAAAACTGAAGCACGTAGAAACACAAGAAAAAGTTGTATTGCCCACCAAGGAAGGTTTGTGATTTACTGTTCTTATAATGTTTTACCCGGGGGTATTTGCGTTTAGGCCTTTTTATCTAGTACTGGGATTAACGTTTGTTTTCGTTGTCTTCTTATTAAAATTCTTTCACTGCATATACCCTTTTTTGTATCAATATCTTGAATCCCCCCCGGCCATTCTCGTGTTTTCTCCTCTTTTTTGTTCGCGCTGTTAGCTTGAAAATAACCCCATAAACAGATTGTTTTCTGCAGTGTCGTATACACTAAATGAAATAATGGGCATGACTAACTATTAGAAATTAGCATATATACTCTATAGAAGAGTAAAGAACTTTAATTTTAGATGTAGATTTTAGGTATTGGCCAGGTGTAGTTAGTTGTTATTACATTGTCATCATAGTTTAGTTGTTCTGTATGCAGTGTCTGTCTGCTGAGTTTGGCAGGGTGTTATTAAGCCAGGTTTAGTCTACATTTACGTATCCAAAGGTTACTTCTTGTGAATGTGCCTTCTTGAGATTCTTACGATTGATGTGATACAGAATACAGTTTGAGTGCTGCCGCGTCGCGCATCGAAGAAGCGGTTGCGCTTTTGTTAGAAGAAGCAAACTTCTGAAGATAGACGACCTTTAATGATGATGGCTGACCATGGAAAGAGCTAAAGCTGTTCTGAAAAGGTAAATATCTTCAAAATTTGTTGTCGATTAGTTTATTTAAACAAAATCTGCTATGATAAGTGTTTTGCAGACCAGCCTTGGCTTAACCCACCAAAGATTCCCTGAGCTGTGGCTAAATAGCGCTAGAAATGGTTTAAAATCCTTAATGAGCCTCTGCAAGTTTTCTACATCAGTTTCAGCCAAAGCATTTTTGAAGCAGCGGTTACGTATATGTTTGTGCAGCCACAGAGCTACAGGTTAGCGAGATATTCAGTTCACAGTGGGATAATGGAGGCAAAATGCAAAGGATTTCTCATAGCAGCGGAAAACCTTTGAATTTGAATTTAAAGAAACTTGGTCAAAATGGCTTGTCTTTGATACCAACGATTAGACACGCGTAATATCCGTCGTTTTTCTCAATGATATTTTCAAATGAAAAAACTACAGGTTTAAATTTAATATTTTTGTTCTTGCTCATTCCTTAATCACCGAGAATAAATAGAACCATTAAAATCATTTTAACTAAATGGTAATGGTAAGGTAAAATCAGGCTTGAACATTCTTATAATTTTGTAAGATAAAAAATTTTATGGGGAAGTGTTGATCTATTTCAGAAAATTTGTTCTTGAAAAGCTTCGTAGGAGCCCCAATGCTGCGCTTTAACAAATAAACGTAGCAGGAAGATCCTTACATGTTTTAGTTTTACTGTACAGCTTTTTCAGTAATTTTACAGGGTGTTGAGGTAAGGATGGTCGAGGCAATGAATTCGGTTTTTGGAGGACGGTCAACAAATTGTTAAAACTCTGCTTAAAAACGATTTCTTAATTTTATTGAAGTTGCAGTTATTTTTTATTTGTTGCATCGTGAAATCCTTGGGGGTCAGGCGTTTTCGCGGTGATCTCTCGAATGGTTTTATTTCATAATCTGGCTCCAATTCGGTGTTGGGAAAAATTGTCCTGAAAGACGTTTTTGTAAATACCAGGTTCTCTATTATCTGTTATTTCGTAACAATGATTGTAACGATTGAAGAGGCCTAAAAAATACCAGCAAGTAATCGATACCAGCAAAGGCTGTCTGTCCCGGCCCGCCCCTGTCTCGTCAATAGGTGGTGTGTACATCGAGGCTCGCTTGTGTATTCATTTTGACGCAGCTTTTTAGGTCGATCTTTGCAGCTTAAGGTGATCTGCACATCCAGTACTAGGTAAAACAAAATCTCTAAATTGTTTAGTTGCACTAATGTTGCCTAGTGTGATAAGAAAACGAACAGAAGTTATCCGAATATGAAGAAAAAATTGATGACCTAAACGAGACCTCTGCGTGGGAAAATGTGCTTTAAGTACTGTTGTCACAGATGATGTAAACACATGATTCAATATCCTAAACATAAAGGCAGACCTGTTGACTAAAGGGCTTGGTGCCGACGCCCACAGGTTCTGTTCATTCTTTTAATGCACGAGAGTGGTTGAAACCAATTTTTAAGCTTTTAGGTCAAACTAATTGACCAATAAAACCGCTTAACAAGGAAAGGCAGATAACAACTGCACTGAACGCTCAACAACCGTAACGTCGTTATAAGATGTGGATTGTGGCATGAAGATTCGTTGAAATCTTTTTATTTCTCAACACTGTACCTGCTAAACTTTACTTGGATTTGACAACATGGCTTTGGAAGTCTGGCCGTCCTCAGGAGGTAACTAAAAAGTTTCTCTTCCTTATTCTCGACTCTTGATTTGGCTGTCGCTTGATAGACTCATCTGTCACACGCCAGAGATAAGTGTTATTAGATTTTTAATTCTTCAAAAGACTTTGCAGTTTCTAAGTTGGTTAATTTTCCGCTGTCGGGCTTCGATAGGCAATGAAACGTAACTCGTTTCCCGAACACTTCCTGGTTCAATCACAGCTATGTTTCTTTGGATTTGGTTTCAGATAAGCACAAAGTAGGAAAGATTTCTTAGAAAAAATAAGGTGAAAGTTTCCTCCTGGAATCATTCCTTCGATATTCTTTTAAAAGTCAGCGAACATGTAAAGTCGTGGCCTTATTTGTATTCTTTCCGCTTCGCCGGATTAACTTCGATCGGCAACCGGAAGTGGGCTCGATCTTCAATGTTTTGAAGTCAAGGACATTCTATAATTGATTCAGGCCACAGACCGTATTAAATTTGACTGATGAATTGAAATAGGTAATAAATAGCTTTCACTGTACAACCACACACACTATCTTTGGAACGTACACGAACAGCCCCCTTAACCTGGTGTACTTCCAACTTGGTAAAAAACAATTGAAATCTGTGTAACACTGACAAATGCATTATCTATCTATTTATTTATTGATAAGAAGTTTTACTATGAGAAAAGAGCATGATGGGGCATATTAATGCAGCCTCATCTTAATGCAGCTATATAACCCATCCTCGTAATGCACCAATGCAGCAGCGGTTTTAGGGACTGCGGGGCCAGGGACCAAAAGGCTACCATAAGCGCCGAGCCTGGGGTCATGGCCCCCTGGACCCCCTTAAAAACACCACTGCATCCTTGTAATCGTAATGCATCCCTCGCTTTTCACCTTCAAGCTTGCAGATGCTTATTTGTCAAGTTTCAAACTTTAAGCGTGACGCATTTCAGTTTTGCCCCACGCTTGTCCCACTCTTTTTAAAAGTACCACGCATTTTCTGGATGTGTCAAAAAAACACAATTCCCATAAGCGACCCCCGCCCCGCCTTTCCTTATTGTTAAGTTAGTTTGCATTGTTTTTCTTGCTTAAATTATTCACTATAAGTTGAGTGTAGCACTATAAAAAGGGATGTAGCCAAAATACTTTTCAAAGGTTACGCCCATTACATAGCTAGAACCCCAACTGCCTTCCTCAAACCTGACTTCTCTGAAACTTGGCCACTATATAAATGGAATATGTATCGCACGGTATCACTGTCCCATTTTGTTGTATCAACTTACTTTTTGAACAACATTTGGCCACTGACCTGTAGCATTGGTTTGTCTGGTGGAGAAAAATGACGTATTCATATTAATTTTTCCATTATCCTCAAACCCATTGAAACGCGGTAAGATTCTCTGTAAAGCAGTTATAATCCCACTTTACAACATCTTGATTAGATTCGTCAAATAGGCAATATCTTGGTGTTCCAAGGAAATGCCAATCTTATGTAAAAATACCGAGCTAAAGGTTTTTTAGGCCTTTCCTCTATTTTCTGTCGCAGACGCAGTTTCTAAACCAATTTCTAAAGAATGACGTTCAGGCATCCTTCAAAAGTTTGCTAATTTCTGTTTTCAAAAGTTTCTAAACCATTGCTTCCCGTATACACGTATTCCCGGAAATGGCCTTGGAAGGGCGAGCACGTCTTCTTTGTACCTTGCTTTTGTTGTACGGTTCCTTGTAAGGCCTGATAACCGACATCGCGATCAACTATAAGCCTTCATTAAACACCTCGTGTTTTTATTGCTAAAGGTACGATATATGAAAGCCAAACAACTTTCAGGGTGAAAGAAAAAGGCCGGCAAGCAATTAAGGTTATCGTCCAGCGAGCGACAGGTTATCAGTCGATGAACGATTTCGACATGGAATAATTGATTTTCCGTGGACGAATATCGCGAAGGGAGTTTAGTTATTGGTACCAGAAGGCTTTGTGAGCCCGGAACCAGAAGGCCCGCCTCAATTTGGGGACGTTGTGGTGCAGGTTGGAATTCGAAAATTTAATGTGGGAATTTTGAAGCCAGCAACTTACTTCTTGGGCAGTGCTGGCTTTTGATAAATCAGAGGATGGAGGCCTTTGAAGGTATCGGTTATAGTTTTGATAAAAAAGGTCAAGGACTTCTCAAATTAGTTGTGTTTAAATAGGGTTGAATAAGTTTTATGCTCGAAAATCTAAGATCAGATATTTCAGGTAAACAGGGAATTTTTTCTACGATATACAAGCAGGATTTATGACATTGTATTGACCAATTCCTTTTCTTTTTTTGCAGTTATCAAAAAAGAGTCTTTTGAGTGTCGAGCCGAAGTGAAGACTTTCGATACTTCGAAATTAAGAAGTGTTAAAACCCGAGTGAGAAACACGTTGCCAACGCCGCAAATATTACGAGCAGAATTGCGACCGGAGAAGCTGCCCGATATTTCCTCAATTCGTAACTTTGATTGCCGGTTGTTAAAACATGTTGAAGTAAGAGAGAGAAATTTGCTTCCTTCATTGGATGGTAAGGTTGCTCATTGCTATTGAAAAGCCCTTGCAAAGCCCATGGATTTATCAGTTTATTTTGAGATTGTTCAGCTGCTCCTTGCTTCTGGATCGCGCTATTGTTAAGTTCTTCCGTCAAGGCTAAATCGTCCAGTGACAGCCTATCGGGAGAGTTCCTTGAAAATGATATATAGATGAAATAAATATCTTTTGTTGTCAGTCAAATTTGACGATAAAGAATGCAGTGGAAGAATTGTGCATCGACTCTTTTGTTTTAAGTGTGTTAATATTGGTGTTTTATTACAGATCAAGTTTCAGATCAATTTTTTTTGAGGTTGCAAGGAATTTTTTTCATTCCTAACCCAGATTAGCTTTTAGCTAGTTTTCTGTAGAGACTTTTTTGCCTATAATAAACATTATATGATAATGAGGATGATGATGATGATGATGATAATGATGAATTTGAGTCGAAGTCTGAGTATGGAAACACAGCTGCGTTTATATGGAGTTGTCATCAAGGCAACCGAATTCCGTAAGCTTTAAGTTGGGTTTGAAGGTTATGTTTTATTGCAATCCTTTTCCGAACAAGCTATATTATGCAGTTTTTGATTTATGTTTATAGATTCAAAGAGATTGAAAATTTAGTCTGCAGGTGTATTGGGGTTAGCAATTAGTTTGTTAGTATAGAAGACGTAGCTAGAGAATTGTATCGTTAGAAAATTCAAGGAGGTCCTCGTTTGAAAGGTAAAATTTATATTTGATGTCTTGCAGGTGTATTTACAAATAGCATAAACACTTTCAACTATTCTTTATATAGTGAAGGACATTAGTAATTGTAGCAGTTGAGTGAATGCTGGCGTCCAGCAATAGCACGAATTCTAATGGGGATTCGTGGTAGAAGTTGTAAGTCCTCTCCCTGGATTAAAACATTTGAAAACCAAGCATTTTAAACAGAAAAGCGAGGCAGTGCTTGGTTGCGATTCGTAAATTCTTCTTACTTTTCCTATGATATTATTTCAGTAGCCCCCCTCACCATCTTTGACGGTCTGCCCGGCATGTTTTCTTTACTCTGGTCCCTGGATTAGGCCGATCGTTGTAGATTCATTCCTTTTGCTACTACATGTTAGTTTCAAGACAAATGTAATTTTTTTAGTTTCACAGCTCAAACAGTCATTAGGCGGGATATATTTTGTCCACAAGGTTTGGTTAAATCCACCACAAAAACGGATCTATGTTTTAACGGAGTAGCTATATTACAAACAATACCAATTCTTCCAAGAACACTACCCATTAAAGTGATCGCTGCAAAAACCTTAATTAACCTAACCCCCCCCCCCCACCTCACACCATTCTTAAGCAGTTATAGCCAGAAACATATGGAGAGAAGGCTTATTATTCTTTCACCAATCGTTTTTCAGTCAATTTTCTGACAAAAACACGAATTGTTGTGAGAAATTTCCCTGGCTTAGATTCATGCACCCCTTGGTGTTTGATAACAACTGTTATTGGGCATAAAAACCTAATATACTTGTTTGCCAAATATCAGTGAAAAGTTATTGAAACTGATCATTTGAATCAAATGTTATTCGTTATGTTATCTTTGTACGCTCTTCTTTTATTTGAAACCTGATGTTTTTTCATTTTCAGAGCTTACATATGTTTGTTTTATATTGTAGAAATTAATTAACGAAACAATGGCGTACCCCTGGGTACTAGCAATCCAATGGTTTCCTTAAGTCATTAGCAATCCAATGGTTTCCTTAAGTCAGTCATTAGCAATCGAATGGTTTCCTCATAGCCCAGTCCTCCAAGTTTGCTTTAAGAGCGGTATTGCTTTGAGCGATGTTTAATGTTCGAAGCCAGACAAAGGGTTTTATTTATTTGTTATTTATACAAGACATTGCCTGTAACTGAAATTTTCTCAAGCCAACTCAAACTTTCCACACTTAACAGCTGCTCCTCAGAAATCGTCATTCATTTGCTCTTAGAAAAAGTACTACCTTGATTCATCCAACAGCGAAATTACTAAATAACGATTCTTGGCTCCCCTCTTTCAGTTATTCAAGAAGAAGCTGCGGATTCCCGCGCAGAGGTGAAAAGCTTCGACCATGGCAAACTGAAGCACGTGGAAACTGCGGAGAAGAATCCTCTGCCCACTCAAGCAGACATTAAGGAGGAGCTTAGGCCCGATGTACTTCCTGATGTATCAGGAGTCAAAGATTTCGACTCAAAAAAATTAAAACACGTTGAAACGAAGGAAAAAACGGTCATGCCAACAGCGGATGGTGAGTTTCAATGGAATGATCGTTAGTTTTTGCAATAGTCCAGGACTGGAACATGCCTGCTCCTAGCTTTGCTTCTTTCTCATTTTACTTTCAGTCGTTTTTCTCCTATTAGTATCTCCATCAACTCAAACGAGTCCCTACTTTTCTCATGTTTAGTATATGCCAGTCACACACCCCCACTCCCCTATTGAAACTGCACCATATTAAAACCGAGGGGTATCTCACTCACGCAAACAGCGTATGAGATTTTCACGAAAGCAAATAGATTTTTAGGGATTTTCAGATAAAATAATAATATTTTCATCAGAGGTATACGAGATTTCCTTTGAGTGTTTGGCCCCTCGATTTAAGCGACTACAAGGTACCAAGGTAAAAACTTCATCCTTATGAGCCTTGAAAATACATATTTATAAATATATTTGTCCCATCCGCTTTGTAGATTATTTCGCAGCATTGCATCAAAGAGGCATGGTGATATTTTGACGGCGATATATCTCATTTATCCCAATCTTTGAATTATTAGTAGATTTTTTATACTTTCAATTACAAACTTGTTATTCAAACTTCCTTTGCATTCTCTTAATCCTGTCTTCTTACACCAGTTATCAAAGAAGAAGCTACAGAATCACGAGCTGAAGTTAAAGCCTTCGACCATGGGAAACTGAAGCATGTTGAAACCCAGGAGAAGAACCCCCTGCCCACCCCGGCCGATCTAAAGGAAGAAATGCGACCCGAAAACCTAGCTGATGTCTCGGAGGTCAAGAAATTTGACTCTTCGAAACTGAAGCGCGTTGATACAATCGAGAAAAATGTCTTGCCAACTGCAGATGGTCAGTGTTGTTTTATGAATTATATTTTATTGTCCAAATTAACATGGTCTTTTCGGAACATAGCGCGCGAAAACTCATATGCATATTTTCCAGGCTTTTAATAGTCAATATTGCAGCTGCAAATTGAAAAAGGGAAGATGGCTATGATGTGTACGGTATATTTCATTTTATTGAGACTTCTCGAATGAAGCAGAAATGAGGGTTCAGGATTTCAATTGGATTTCAAAAATTATATTAAGCACTTCTCAAATTTTCACTGTGTTCTTACCGTTTGCTTGCCAAGAGCCGAGACAAATTGAAATTATAAATTGTGAATAATTTTATACACTGATATGCTCTTCTGAATGCATGTGATAATTAGCAAGATTGATCGCAGTATATTTGTTGATTTTCGTTGTACTTTTTCGTGTAGTTATCAAAGAAGAAGCTACTGATTCGAGAGCTGAAGTGAAGGCATTCGACCATGGCAAACTAAAGCATGTGGAGACCCAAGAGAAGAACCCCTTACCAACCCCCGCCGACTTGAAGGAAGAAATGCGACCAGAAAGTCTTCCTGATGTTTCCGCTGTGAAGGAGTTCAATGCGCAGAAGCTGAAACACGTTGAAGTTCAAGAAAAGAATGTTTTACCAACGAAAGACGGTGAGTTTTGTTGATGAATCGGTTTAATCGAAAATGGTTAAAATGATTAAAAATATTTAGAATATTTAAAAATTTTATGAATGTTTGAAATCTTGAAGCTCCCTTTCCAAGCCATAACACGTCGTTGATTGTGAAAAGATCTGCAACGCACGTGGTTAAGTTTATCATTCAAAGAGAAGATCAATCTTTAAATATGTTTTTGCCAGAGGTTGTCTCGTGCAATGGATAAAAATTGGTTCGATAGATTAAGGGAGTGGTATTTTGACCTTGGTTTTTTTACAATTTATAAGCGGTTGGAATGTCAGGATATTTTGAATAAAGATTGTTCTTATTTTTGGAGGAAAGTAAGTTTTTTGGAATGTAGCCATGAAAGCAGACAACTTGGTGCTGAAAAGGATACTTCAGAACTGGTTTAGACAAGCTCTTTTAGTTAATACCTAGCTAAGTCCTTCTGATTCTACCAACTTATTGAAGATATATACAACAGTCTTAAACAAAGAAATTCTTACACGTTGAGTGTAGTGTCTTTTTCTAGCATTTGATGTAATACAAATCCTAGGTTGTATACATTGGTGTGTTTTGTTATGTATTCAGAGGAGGGTGCTTTCTTATGTTAAGAAACCGTAATTTTCAATCGCTTCTCGTACCATTAAGATTGCAAATACAACTAGTCTGTTTTCTAAAAATCGCAACGATAGTTCTCAAGAAATTTATCCACCCTGGATTTTTAAATTATTTTTCGTGATAGACCCGAAAAAGTCAGTACGTTTTTAAATATGTAACATTGCGTAACGACATCGTTATTGCGCTTGTTAGTGAGATACCCAGCTTCACGAGAATCATTTGCAGTTTTCTAATCTGTGTTTCACGAATTTCGGGGCTAGACCACATAGCTGAATGGGGAAAAAATTATAATTCACCTAACTGCTTGTGTTTATTTACAGTATATATGTTTTGTAATAATTTTAATGCAAAAGAACTCAAACTTTTTTAAAATGTGATATGTTACGCTTAATTCGCTTGCCAAAAAATAATATTTTGATATTTAACTACAAGGAGGGCAGTGAATGAAGCAGAAAGGGTTGAAGTTAGAGGGTCCCATATTTTGGAAATGGGAGTCAAAGTGATTGTGTAAGCTCGCACTGTTTTATATCTCAATGGTACCAATGAGTGAGCCATTGAACTTACAAAAAATCCAGAAGATTTTGCATTTATCTTAGTTTGATATGAAATGACCCGTTGATAAAATTTATAACGACTATAACAGCCGTCATTATTTGAAACGTTCAAAGTTAAAAAAGTTAAAAAAACATTTCCAATGTTGTTAACATCACATATGTTTGATGCCTGCTATAATTCAGCATTTCAAATGTAAGAATTAGATGCAATTTTGCTTTAGGGGTTATCACATTGTCTAGGATGTTTGTTTTTTAAAGTTTATCATTTAAGTGCTCAATACCCTTGTACCCTTGGCGGTTACTTAGCTTATAAATATCAGCTAATAGCTCTTTATCGTCAGAAAGGAATCTCAAGTTAAGCAAGGACTGTAAATAATTATTTTCCCTGCTAGCCTTTTTTCTTAATCTTTTTCGAAATTTGTTCTGTAGTTATCAAAGAAGAAGCTGCGGATTCCCGCGCAGAGGTGAAAAGCTTCGACCATGGCAAGCTGAAGCACGTGGAAACTGCGGAGAAGAATCCTCTGCCCACTCAAGCAGACATTAAGGAGGAGCTTAGGCCCGATGTTCTTCCTGATGTATCAGGAGTCAAAGATTTCGACTCAAAAAAATTAAAACACGTTGAAACGAAGGAAAAAACGGTCATGCCAACAGCGGATGGTGAGTTTTGTTGAATGTGTTGTTTTTCAGAAGTACTTTTGAATTATTTTAAAATAGTGCTGCAAATTCTTACGTATTTTCTCTGCGAAATCGTCAAGACGAAACGTAACGAAAAGTAGCGTACACTAGAGACTGTTGATTCATGGGGATGTTAAATAAATGAAATGTAACATTGTTGTTTTGACGTGAAAATCAACAATGGTTTTTTAATTTTCCACCATTGGCAAAAAGTGTTTTCTTTTACATTTTCTTGCCATTTTGATGTTTTATAATGTTTTCTACAGTGATCAAAGAAGAGTCCATCGATTCACGAGCCGAAGTAAAGAAATTTGATCATGGAAAGCTCAAACACGTTGAAACGCAAGAGAAGAACCCTCTCCCAACACCGCAAACCTTGAAAGAGGAGCTTCGGCCTGACACCTTACCAGATGTGTCCGGAGTGAAAGACTTTGAGAAGTCAAAATTAAAGCATGTTGACCCGGCAGAAAAAAACGCCCTCCCTACCAAAGAGGGTGAGTTAGCTTTGGATTCTTTCAACTATCTTTCGTCTAACAATTTTTTTTTATTTTTTGCCAAGGCGGGCAAGGTTGTACTGTGTTGCCTGAAATGGCCTTAATCAAAGTTCTTGAAATCCGGGGTTCTATGGTGTGTTCTCCAAATCGGGTTAACAGTTTTATTTCAGTTTTTGCTAACTGGGATGACCTTTTTGTAAAGTGTGCTAACAGGCATGTGTAAATTCTGACAGAAATAGAAACGAGCTAACAGATTATCAGCTTTCATGGGATCAGAATGGGTGCAAGCTTCTAATAGGCAACATTGCGCTTTGCATGATCAGGCACTTCTATTTTGCACGGGTTTAAATAAGAGGCAGGATCCACTTTAGGTCCGGTTTATAATTGTAAGGATCCAAATGTGTCTTCCTTTCAGGACTAACACGAGATGAGGATCTTCTCGTATTCAACCCGTACCCTTTTATGATTTATTATCTTTCTCAAGTTGCCTTTCCAAGATAGCTTTTTGAGCAATGCCTGCCACTTACTCGAGACCTGCGTGGAAAACTAAATAACTGCTTCTAAATGGAATGGATCCGGGTAGGTACGGATCCACCATGGCTTGTGTAAACGCAGGGCCTTTGCAGAACTTTCTAATGTAAACAGGATCTGAGGGTCTTATTCATTAGGCTACAAATAGGGGGGCCAGTGTTTAAAATCTTAGTTATAGTTTTTTTATTAGAGTTGTTCTGCTCGTGTCTCTATCATGAAGTACTACTAACCTAAAATATTTAGTAAATGATAGCTTTTACAATTTTCTAGTTATTGACGAAGAGGCAAAGGGGACTCGCGCAGAGGTGAAAACGTTCGACAAAAGCAAGTTGAAGCACGTGGAAACAGAGGAAAAAGAGAGCTTACCATCGGCCGAGGGTAAAGAAAAACCCAAAAAAGATTGCCTTATAATGTAGCCTCAAGCCTTTTTATTAATGGACTCAGACTGACCCTCAGGACACCATCTTCTGATTTGTCGGGAACGCCCCATTTTGAGACGACAAACGAATTGTGAATGTACTTAATGCCGCATAGACACTAGTACCTGATTTATAACATACATTGCCTTGTATCGTTTTTCATAGGCATTTCTAGTCTCAAGTTTCTACTTATAATTAAAGAAAAAACATACAAAAACGCTGCGCACCATTTAAGAGACATATAAAATGATGAGGTTACTGTCCTTGTTTAATTTATGAGTTGACCAGTTTTGCACCGTTGATGTTTTTTTTAACTTTCTTTTTCTGTTTGGTTTTTTACTGTTTGTTTGAAATCAGTTGGCAACATGAAGTGATTGCCCTTTCTGCTTTTATCCAACCTGTTGTTTGAGATTTTTTAAGAGAAAACACCCTTAAAGTCTGTCAACTTTTACAAAGAAGATTCATTTGCGCAATAAATTTAAGCAATAATCAAGTAGGACTGAAGGTTGATTAGGAATCTCGAATAGTTATTTCTGGAAATAGCGTGTTAGGAAATTTCCTTTCATATAAGCTGTTGGCAGTGTTAAAATCAGCTTCGACAAGTTACCATCGGTTTTTCGATAAGAATGACGGACAAAACCAATATCATTCAATTTTATTGGTATATTGTTTTTATCATTGGAAGTCTGACATTGTCTATCTTCGTAAGGTCGTATCAGAACCTCATCCAACTCAAACTGAGAAATCTCTGACTTTTGTAATTCCTTTATTTACAGGTTAGGTCACTTTTTAACCACAGATTGATCGTCTTTGTTGTTTTTCATTCATTTGTTAACATTTGTACGCGCATGCTATTAAAGTTGAGAATTGTTGACACAAGTTGAATTTTGACGTTTTTTTTGCCTATCGTGAACTAAATCTGAACCAGTTTCTTAGTTTTTGCGAATAATGAAACTTCAATCACCTTTCGAAAATGGCTTGAACGAGTTTCAAGTGCTGTTCGGTCTTCTGCCAAATTTAGATTGTACTTCAAAACGTGGTTTTAACCTCTAATTACTTCTTTCTACCGAACCAAAGTTGGCTTGATATCAAAGTGAATTTTCAATGCAGAGGCCACTTGTATTTTTACGCATTATTGCATTTTGGGTTTTATTTTCCCACAAATTGCAAAGATATGAGAGCTATGTAATTTATCTTGTCCGAAACCATACTGTATTGGTGATAAAGGTGTCTCGTTATGGCGCTAGAATGTCAAAACAAGGCTCCTGAGACTTGCAGCTGCGAATCAGGGTATGCTGCTCACCTGTCCTATTGTTATGCAAATCATAATTAATTGGGTTAACTGGGAATCAATCGACGCTGGCTTGCTTGAAAACAAACCATCAATTGTGTTGTTTGTGCTTTGGCCCGACGGCTTCCCCATGAAAACGACAGGGAGTCTCACAATCTGAATTATGTAGAGGACCGTACAAAAGAGTCGTCATAGAAGGTCAATTTTTAATTGAAGCGAATTTTCCGCGTCTTGCATGCGTGGTCCTGCGGTTCGCTTCCCCTTTGACGGTTAGGTAAAGCTAGGGAGGTTTTCTAAAACATAGCAGTCTATCCACAAGAATTTTTATTGTTGAATTTTGGATATTTCTGACTTTGAAAAAGCAAACACTAAAGTATATCTTTGGTTTTATTGCAGAAATCGCGAAAGAGAAATCGCAAAAATGATAGTTGATTCCTGTGGAAGATTCATGTCAGTAAAATTGTTGCGCCCAGTGGCTGTGTATGTGAGTTAGAATTTCAATAAAAAGAACACGATTTGTTATTTATCCATTTATTACAGTGTTGGAAAGTAAATTCTCTAATATTAAGCACAATTTGATACAAATATATTCTTGGTATTTTAAAGCTATGTTTTACAAGACACCCCACATCATCCTGGTTTAAATTAACAATCCACAAGAAAGAAATTTGTCATTTTGAGCAATATGATACAAGGGAACTCTTACTTGGTCTTGGTTTGAGTGCCACGGGAAAATACTTTTAGAAAAAGATTCCCCTTCAATAACTTCCAACGGTATTTTAGGGCTACATCCTTTATCACGCGGCTCAAGTTTTTCAAAAGGTAAAAACAGTAACTTGTGCCCCCCCCAACCTTATGGCATTATATAATAATTGGATAGTCCCAAATTGGGAGACCCCTTGAAAGGCAACAAGAAGCCCAGATAATAGAAACCAACCATTATGGGGCATGCGCGTGGGACGAAATCGTCATTGCGCATGGACTTTGACGGCAGGACGGGCTGTTGCCTTGCACTTTATAAGCTTTTCACTCGTTCTTCGCCCCAATAAATTTATGATATATGGTTACAATTCCCTGAGCTCAAAACCATACATATCCTGCCATTTTGAGACGGAGGAGTGTCCATTCTCTCATTCCCCTAAAACATCGAAAACATTTTTCCGTCAACAATGCCAAGCACTTTGCCTTAGGCAACTATGAGAGCGACATCTTTGACTATCTCGAAAAATGTTGTTGCCAGTCAGTCGATAGAAATTGAAGTGGGCCTAGCTTGAGTGGGGTTGTCTTAATCTTTATGCAATTTAAATTAACATGCCAAGTAATAAACTGCGTGGCTGGTCTTTAAAGTTTTCTAAAGTTTTAGATATTTTTCGATTTCTATATTAGAACATAAATTTCGCTTTAGTGATTGCTAACATTGCCAATGAATCGCAAAAACGAAATTATTTGTTACAGTTTCTATATTTCATACTACATTTCATAATAAGGTAATAAATTGCCCCTGCCAGCGAGCCGGAGCAGTTGAAAAGTGGGGAGGGGAGGTCAAACAAAAATTGACACTTTGATACATTTTTGTTTGAATGCCACGCTAATTCAAATAGTATTTTGTAGGAGAAGGTTTTTTCCTCTTCAGTTGCCTTGATTATTTTCTTTGTTCAAAAGGATCTTTCAGCAAACAGGGGCATCCTTTTTTAAAAAAGGAGTTCCTTTTGTCAAAAGAGGGCAGTTTTTTAATGTCTGGGAATTGTGAGAGCTATGACCCTTCATTTCTTAACTTCTGTCAATTCAGTGTGAACGAAGACTTCAGGACAGCATTCCTGCCTGCTAACCAAAAATCAGTGAGGCCAGTGATGATCTAGATCATAGTTGAATAAGGTTCTGTTTACAGTTTTTTTGCGGTACAGAATTTGAAAATGGCTTTGAAAAAAGCAAACATTTTACAACATACTTAAAGCTTTTTCGTCTGACACTCCTCAGAGCATAAAACGTCAGAATAGGTTCCGAAAAACATGTTTGAAAAATATATACCCAGTTGTGGATCGAAATAGGCCAATCAGAAAAACGCAAGCACAAGACCGGTATAGTTGACCAATCAGTGCCGCGAGCCTAAAGAAAAATTACCAATGGAGTCCAAGAGAGAAAACGAAAGGTTCTGTTTCTGTGAGAAAAATTATCAGGAAAATTATTCTACCATGAAGGCAATGGGCTGAAATTCTAAGCCTTTTTATTTATATTCTTACAAACTTGACAGGAACAAACAATTGATTACAAAATGATACCTTTTTCATTAACAAGCCAAAGATATTAAATGATTTTTCCAACTGCCTTTGAGTAGATAAAGTGGAAATTCACTCCAGAAAGAAAACGATTATTTTCATAAAAAATTGGAGTTCTTAAACCCTTCAGATCTGATAACCAACAGACATTTCAGAATTGTTTTTCTTCTTCAAACTTTTGTGTTTTTCTGAATGCAGAACAGCTCAAATGCCAAAACAGTATATATAAATACTTTCTTCAGGTCCTTTAAACAGGTTTTTTAACCAAGAAATAATAATTATAACTGGGAATTAAAATATTGTTCAAACAGCTTCCATGAAAATCATTCCACTCAACAGGGAAGTTGATTGAATTAGTAAAGTAGGCTTTCAAACAAATTTTATTCACGAAATGATTGATAACATATCATGCAACATTGTATAATGAGAAGTTAAAACTGACCATTAGGTATTGCAATTGTATCTATTTGAAGAAAAATATCGATACAAAATCAGGTAGAAAGCAGCAAGATTTTCGTGAAGATAAATCTAGAGCCCTGAGGTAAAGGGCTTTTATTCTATCCATATGTTGGAATACACGAAGAAAAGTGCATCATATGCAAATGCGCATTTGGATAAATTTTGGGGGAAAATAATTCATAGAGCTTCACAGCATTTAATCAAAACTATTGTATGCCATAAGTGTACCATAAAAATCAGAGTTTTAGTTTCGCTCTTCTCATGAAACCCTTTATTTACTAACATAAAAGTTGTGTATATCATATGTACATTAAAATTGCAAATGTGCATATGATAAAAAATTTTGAAATCAAATGGACCTTAGAACAAATGCTGTTTGTCTCACTAACAAAGAAGATCTCAAATGGGAAAGCCCCTATTGGATCAAAATACCACAAAAAGCACAAATAGATTAAATTTATGATTTTTGAAGAAATTGCTTCCGAATATCTCAGATAACTTCAGTCTTAGGTGATTAATCTACAATCAAAACAAATCTTTCAAACTAACTCTTGTCATATCAAATTATCTCAAAGATAAGAAAGTGCCTTTAAAGTTTTGCTTTTTTGCAATTTGTATCTCAAGTACAAATTATGTTTAATGGACAAATCTTATTCATTAGTCTCATTTACGTAATAAACATTAATGAATAACAAGTGCTATATACAAATTTCCAAACTGAAATCTTCCTATCCTTTCCAAAGATCAAATGGTAAATGCATCTTTGCTCCACTGCATTCATAAAGGAAATTCAGCTCTGTTATCTTCTTCGACCAGCCTTGCTTAGTGCTTTCTCAGTTTTCTTTCCTGTTTTTGGATTTGAAAACCACTTGGCAAACACATCTGAAATCTCTGGTAACTCTCTTTGGTTTTGAAACATGTTCATGGATGACTGCATTTCCTTTTAAATAGAAACAAAGTTTATGTACAACACTTCAATTTATGAACTATTATTGAAACAAATTCTGATATCATGAATCATCACTTCTTTTATTAAAGTTATCTGAACTGACTGAATAAACTTTTTTGACATAAACACTAGAAAGTGAATATCTAAAATTTTTGTTTACCTTCTGTGTCTCTGGATCTGCATTGGCTAGGAGTTTTGGCATGACAAACAAAAACAACAAAGGTAATACCATCATGATAACCTGAAAAGCAAAAGGATGCAAAAGGACTTCAAAAGAATGTGACCAAATCTGATTATGATAAATGTAGTTTTATCATAAGATAAAAGTTCATTGTTATTGTAATGGTGCTGAGAACTAATTTATGATAATATATGCTGGACAATCAATGACAAAATCTTCATGTATAATCTTCTTACGACATAAAAGGCATGTTTCCTTTGCATATATAAGGGAAATAAATAAAAACATTTCAGATATATCAATTTTATATGTTGTCTACCTCAAAACATAATAATGTACCCTACATATTTTAATCAACACCCCCACTCAAATATCTAGATTGATAGCACTTGGCTAGCAGAAAAACAAGGGCACCTATTAGTTGTGAATGGAGAAAGCAGTAGGGGTATTTTAAAGAGGGTTGCTGCTTCTACTATCAGTCAAGAATAGATCTAAAGAGTGCCAAGGGTCAAGTTGCCACATCATATGGCAACTCTTAAATAAGCCAAAGTAAAAGTATGCAAGTAACAGGTTACCATTGGGTTGAAAAGAACATCTGTGACCTTCCAAGTTTCTCGTATTTCAAAGAACGGAGCTTGTCCATCTGCATGAAATCTCAAAGGGTAGGGTACAACCTCCACAGCATTTGGCTGCACAAAATTTGCTTTCCTTGCTCGAATCCTTCCAGCTTTGTTTATGTCTACTCTTATCTTTGTAAAAACATAATTTGGTGACACAATTTCAACCAGATGTGAACCAGAAGGTGCAAAATTAACCACAAATGTTCCATCTGATTTGATGAATCCCATAAGTTCTCCATCATTTACTAAAACTTTGGTTTCTGATATCCAATCTGAAAATTATATTTAAAGCCTTAAATACTTAAGTTATATCAAAGTTATATACTTTAGGCCTTTAAACATGAACATGAGAGTTTTTAGAAGAAAGCTAAATTACAAGAAGTGCTTGCAAATGGTTTTCTGCAAAAATAGTGAGAAAAGTTAGACAAGAAATTTGCATCATAGACTGTCAGCTGCTCCATAAGTGCATTTTTCATTGTGTAAAATATTTTTAAGAACAAGAAGAAATTTACCAAGAATTGGCAAACTGAAGAAGTTTCAATGGAGAGAGACACAAGGTCTTTGCTCCACAAGAAGGAAATGCTCTCAGGTAATAAAAATTAATCATTGCCAGGAAATACATTGGCTCCATTCTCTCTTTTAGTGCTACTCAGTTTTAGAAGTAGACTGAGTTTCCCTGTTATGCGAATGCATGAAAATTTGAAAAATTAAATTTGTTTGGGCATCTACAAAAAATATTCAAGGTCTTTTTAGTCTGCGGTAATTTTGACCGTACAACTTTTTTGCATAATTTGGCTGTTATTTACAGGAATATCGTAAGAATCCTATGTTTTCATTGTTTTGATTCAAAATTGAAATCACTTTTTCAACTTTAAACCACTCATCAGGGATGTAGGCCTTAGATTATTTTAAAAAGACTGACCATATATGTACATGTTTTTGTTGCAAAACCGAATCCAACGCAACGTCATAATTCTTCCACGAAGGCGTCCCAATACTTTTTTAACTAAGTGTAGGCCTACAAAAAAGCATTCTGATTATCTCTGATTTACAAACCTCCTTTCAATTTGTTATCGTGAACCGAAACCTTCCCTTCGATCTTGAATGTTTGCTGTGTTGTTTGCGTATTTGATGAATCATCATCTGCTTCGTATGAAACTGAGGATAAACAACATTTTACCAGACAAATTAACAAAACAGCTACCTTAATTTTCGACGCCATGACACTCGTTGATCGTTGACCAAAGTGAGGTTTCATCAAAGTGAGGCATGGCTTTCTGAAAAATGACTGGGTCGAGGTTTTCATTGTTTTCGGAGGCCAATCAAAATCCTGGCGGCAATCTAGTCTTGTTCTCAAAAAAGAGCGGGAAACAGCATTTTGTAAATAATGGAAAGGCCACGGGAGCAAAGTGCCAGATGGACTCCATTGAAATACTTGCGGCAAAAAGTCGATAAAAGGTAGGAAATAAGGAGCATCGCAACGCACCGAGAACAAACAACAACGAGCATAATTGAATTAAAGATAGATAATATTGCACCCTGGTACACGGGACAAACCAGTGTGATAAACATGAAGAAAAAACCAGGCTTTCTAACACATGGAGACTTTGAGGTAAGACGTGTATTTCCCATCACCAATTTTTTGCCTTTTCTCGACTGAAAGCGTACTTGTTATTATGGCAACCTGAGAAATAGAAAATGTGATTTGCGACTTTTAAAAACCTATTCATGCAATAAAGCTCGATTATGCAGGGGCCGCGCCACGAATTTTAAAGTCGGGGGCCAAGGCTAAAAATGTAGGAGACCAAGGCTTTTTACCCTTTTAATTGCAGTTTTAAAACTACTTCCTTCGCAAAAAGTGGGGGCCATGGCCACCCAGGCCCCCCCAGTGGCGCGGGCCCTGCTATGGGACTTTGACATTTTGAGCACGGACCTATCTCAGAAAAACTGAGCGCACGGAGAAAATTTATACACACAAGAAGTCAACGAGACTCAAAATTTATTTAGGTTGTTGTCATTTTTAATGATTTTTAATCAATCTCACTTCCAATCAAAAATTTTACTTCATTGAATTTTGAATTGATAAAGGATATTGTTAATTTCATGTTTGATTGACTCATGCCTAACAACTCATAGACTAGTCAAACAGCCAATTGCATATAAAAATTCGAAATATTATGATGTATTTAGATTTTTTTTATTTGAAAAAGTTTGGCGCCCTTTTGGTCGTGCTTTATTTCTTGTACCCCTGTGCCAAGAAGAACTTGCTGCCGCGAAAAATGGAGGCCAGCGAAAGCATTGCAGAAATTCTTAGATACTGCAGTGGGCTATGCGCGGAACGGCAGACAGAGCGCAAGGTTTTCATTTATCATTTTTGAAAAGCATGATGTTTTTTTGGTGTAAACACTGCACTTTAGATAGTTCTTGTTTGGTTTTTAGCAAGTCTGATTTTAGGCCATCATATTTTTATATCTAAATAAATAATATGCAGACACGACCCACGTGCTGCATATTATTTTCCGGAAGCAGCACATCATTTAGATAACATGCCGAAGAGATTTGTTTTTTTAGATGAAATGTTTTGCAAACGTCTTTCACCCTACAAAATCTAGTTCTTTCTACGTCTTGTCTTTGTCTGCTTGCCTTTTCCACCACCCTGTCTATATTTGTATTTTTGTCCACCACCGAAGCATCCTTGTTTTTAATTTTCAAGCGAAAGTTCTATCGTCGTTTTTTTCTTGTTACACAGAAAACTCGTGAGCAATGCCACAATGTAATTCTTATTTTTCACCTATTTCTAATGGCATGGAATTTCATTGTTATTTTCTTTGCCACAGTCATTTGCAGGAAAGTTGTTAACTCGATTAAAAGACCCCTGTGTTCAAAAGACCATTGACGCAGCTTCAGCGTCGAAAGGAAAAAAGAAACTTTCATGGGGAATAATTTCTCAGGCTGTATTTAACTATGTGTTCAAGGAAGCAGACATTTTGAAAGCATCATCAAAATTAACAGAAGATACAATAAAAAGAAAGGCAAAGGTACTGTGCTGATTTTTTTAATTGATGTACTTTTTGATGGGAAAATGCAATTTTATTCCGTTTCATTTTAAAATTCTTCATGATACATTTTAATAGAACTAACTGCAAAATTATCAAATGAATAAAATACACATTTTGGCTACTGCAAAATTGTAACATGGGAAATTTATTCAAGAGGAACTCTCTCTAAATATATGAACAAATGGATGCCAGAGCCCTCCTATGAAAATGTGGCAAATGTGATGGTCTAAAATAGTTAGTGGAAAAACAAAGTGCAACAGTCATGAGAAAACACCATTCATCAAGTTGTTTTCTTTTATTAGCTTACAATTACACAAGTACATACAAGAATTCCCAAACTATTGGAGATAAATATTAATATACCTTTTAAATACAAACATGGAAGGCTATTTTAATTGGTGAATCATTTGCAGTTTTCCTTCCATACTGTATAGAGTTTAAACAATATTGAAGATTATTTCTGATTTGCTAGACTGACCTCCCAAAATGAAGTGATATGTCTCCACTGAGGTTCATTTCGTTACATTTTGTTTTATTTTTTCAGATCTACTCTGCTTTTGTCATCCTTGTCTATTCTTTTCTGGTTTCAGCATTCTCCTTTTGATTGTTTCAAGTATATAGTTCTAATTTCTTCTTAGTTATCTCCACCAGCCTTTTTTTGCCAGAGATTCTCCCCAACATTACAAAACAGTACTCAAACACTTCTACTTTTTTTAGGATCTACCATTCACAGTTCAGTGTTTTTCTCTTTAAGCAACATCAGCTAACATTTTCAAACTTGATTTTGTAAAGAAGGTCTGCTTTACTATTTCAGCAATTCATAAAACTTGATGGAAACTTAAATCTTTTTAGGACATCAGTGAAACCTTCAGAGCTTTCATCCAGTCAGCTGAAAAGAGTAAGTCTTTTAACCTTGTTAATGTTAAAGTATGTAGTATGTAGAAGTTGAGATTTTTGCTTTGAAGATTCTATTTGAAAATTACATTATCAAGGTTGCCAGATACTCTAAAAGGCTTTGTCGAAACATTCCTGGTGGATTACCAGAACCTTCCGTTTTTTTAACTTTGTTGCACCATTTTCGGTGGATTACTAGAACCTTCCATTTTTTTATTTATTGAATTATTTATTTACAGGGTGCAAATAATCAGCAGAGTAATATTTTACATGCAGTTGATTTTTGCAGGAGGCCCTTCTCTCAAATCTGGAGATGTCTTTCGTCATATATACAAAATAATGTCAGATGAGAAAACTAAAGGCTGGTTTTGCAATGAGTACACAAATGTCCTTGTGAAAAACTTTCTGTCAGTAGAAAGCCATGTTTGTGAACTAACTGCCAAGGTCTGGCATGGTAGGTTTTTTATTTGGCAGTCCATTTCTGGTCTCATCTTTTTTCTTTCATTCTTAATTTTCCTAAATTCATCCTTATTATTTAGCTGTTGACTAATATTTTTAATGAGAAAACATTGTACTTAAGTCCATTTTTCTGAGACTTGCACAATGTACCATCTAACTTATTCATTTTAAAGATTCATTATTTTTAATTAATACAATGCAAGTTATTCATTGGACAATGAAATATAGATTTATTTTTGCGAGCATTGTTATTTCATGTTATTTTTGCATGTTTATCTTTTCAAAATTATATTTATCTTTTCAGAATTATAAAACATTGACTATTATTGTCATTCACAGTGTACACGTGTTAAAACATTTTCTTTCTAAACTTTTAATGTTTTGTAATTTCTATCTTGAAGATCTGGTATACATTTATTGCAACTGTATACTGTCACCACCTCCAAGAGGAGATACAAGCTTGTTTGCACAAACTCTCAACCATCTGACACTGGTGGCCAGCAATTTGTCTCATATTCGTGGAAAGGACTTGTTTAAGTTCTTTTCTTGTGTCTTCAAAGATGTCAGGTAAAGAGCTTTCCCTTTTAAGAAGGTTTCTGCCTTTAAGTAAAATATTCTTTAATAAAACATAATTAGGGGTTTTTTTAGATCAAACCATTTTTTATACTAAAAAACTGACCTAAATACAGGTTTTAAAATTTTTTACTACTTCTTTGTCTTGCAAGTTCTGAAATTAAGACAGTGTTGAGTTTCAGCTGAAATTTTTAGCTATTAAATAATTAAGATATTTGGCTCCGATCGCTTATGTAAATCCTTATCACTAAGAAGTTATCATAGCTTTAGAAGGCACCAGCCACATAACTGGGGGAAGATTTGTACTTTAATATTTCTTCCAGGTTGCCACACAAAAAACGTTGGCAAATAATGGTAAGATGGTCCTCAGAATAATTGATCATATTATTTTTGGGCTGTCTGTGTGCCTATCGCAAAGAGGGCCAAAAACAAGACCCCAACCGTTCTTGAGTTGGTTGCAAAAAAGAAGCAATCATTATGGTCTTCTTCCACCAACTAGCAACACATTGTTCATGCAAAAGACGCAGACCATTCGATCATTAACTAATAAACAAAGAAAATAATTAGAAAGTTAACATACATATATAAATCTCAAAATACTAAGACATAAGTTTCGGTATGGACTTGACATACTCCATTTCAATTTCTAAATTCTTCTCAGGTCCTCTAATTGCAATTTCTTTCTTGCAAGTACCATAGACTCTGCAATTACATATGCTTATAGTCACACCAAATGTTCCTTTAAAACTTGTGACTGTAAATGGAGTATGACTTTAAACAGAGCTAGATTGAGGAATTTTTGCATATTTGGGTCTAAATTTTGTGTGACTGTATCTCGTAGTATGGCTATAACTCGAATCAACTGTACACAGAAATAGCTAAAATGTGCTCTCGTCCCAATTTTTTTCTATTTCAAAGTCGAAGAAAATAATAGAAAAGGCTATTCTTTCTTCATTTTGAGTTTTCATTGCTGTCTCTAATGAGTTGTTTGATTGCCAAGTAATAAAATAATTATATTATTTTACGTAATGAATTTGTTGTTGCTACTGTATTTAATCTCTTGACCTTGTCTCTTATCTAGGAATGACAGAAATGAGACCGTAGTTTTTTACCTCATCAATGCTTTGAACAACTTCAGCATGAACATTGCCTCAGACAGTCGTGGACAACTTTGCATTTTGGGCGAAGATTTGTTTCCTCTTTTGCTACCTCTCTGGACGAAATCATCGGCTCACGTTAAGGTCCACAACAGCTTTATTTTTGTACCTTAAAAATAATCATCGTAAATGCTGTGGCTCAAACTGCAAATGAAAGCTCAAGGCAAACCTTTTTGTAATGTCTTGTTTTGATTTGTACCAAAACCTTTGCACATTGTGATATTTTTTCAGCTGTAGGTATGATTTGAGTTGGCAATGTGAAGTAAGTAGGGACGGGTTTACTTAGCAATGATTGGAGGGTGTTAGATAATCAATGGATGTTAATACCACACCCTTCAGCTACCTGAAAAATAATGGGAACCCCCAATTTCAAAATCCAGTTTTCAACTTAAAGATAAAAGAGATAGGAAGGTGAATAAAGTAATTTCTTCGAATAATTTTGTTACATGTCATGCCCACCCCAGCATTCCCCGGTGAATCCATCCCTAGGAGTAAGATGCCTAAAAGTCTTTTGAAACATACCTTTGCATATATCGACATTTAAACAAGTTGATTATTCTTTAATCTTTTTTATTTGCAGGACAAACTGATAGATTTCTTTCGATTGCAAGTTGATATCCATCATCCCTTTGGTGTTCATCAGGAAGAAAATGGTGCCTGGTCTTCAAATGAAAAGTTATGGAAGGTGAATAGAATTCGGTTGCTCGTGTATGGAAGGACTTTCGATTCTGTACCATATAATTTTTGCAGATTTTAGCATTATTTGCCATTTTTTTAAAACTGATTCTTGTTTACAAAATCGAAGCACGATTGTTGTTAACTTGTAGAATGTTGTGACTAACAATTTCATGAAATGTTGTTGTAAAAATGTCTTTTTTTCATTTACTGTTTAGAAATGCTTGACAAAACTTTACGAAGCTATAAATGGGGAGTTTCATCAGCTAGCTGGCAAATTGCAATTATCTGGGTGAGAAATGTGGATTTTGTCAAACTTTTTCTGGTATTGGCTTGCTTTACTTAACGCTCAATTTGCGACAAACTTATCTTTCCATATTCGCTGATACTATGTAGAAACAGTTTTGAAGTTTGGTTGACGCTTTTTATCTAGCATGTCTCATCAATTATGTTTGTGATATATACTCTATGATTCTTTTTCTTCAGGTCAAAGGCAGGACTTGCTCAAAACAGCAATTTTGTTGAATTAGCAGTTGGCACTTTCCATCAGGTTTGATGTTTTAAGGGTGTCGCATTCTAAACTAAACATTTATTTCACAATTCTACATTCCCTACACTTGAAATTTACCGTAAGAACATTTTAGTACCTGCATGAAATGTCTTCAGGTTTCTGTGATTTCCAGGGGTATGCAAGGATTACATACAAGCTAAGACAGCTATTTTACTACATTTTGTAAATTCCAGATTCTTTTTATCTGATCTTCCCTTCGATGTTTTGCCACAATTGTATACATCAACTGTTATCTATAAGGTTAAGCTATCTTATAATACCTTTCTTTACCTGTCTGTTATTTTAAGTGAAACTCAAATTTTGTTGTTCGTTTTCAGATGTTTTATTTAACCAATAAGAATAACAAAAACAGTGATTCACTGGCAGCTGAAAATAGTATTGGTAAGATTAAATTCTTCGTTCACTTAAAAGCGAATGACTTTCGAAACGTGTATGGAAAAATGCCTCTAGACCATTTGTTATGAAGTATGATTTGATCAATCGATTTTTTTAAAATGGCACGCAATAGCGGAAATATGGCACGTTTTTACGTTAGCAAAAGGTCTTTCGATAAAGTCGATTTTTGGTTCATTCGATTTTTTAAATTTAGAATTTTTGAAGATGATTCTATGCCTTAAATATGCGTATTTTTAGAAGTTCCTAAATTTGAAACTGTTACTCTTGAAGTTTAGTTTTGTTTCCTTGTTATTTTTTATTATTATTATTCTATGCATTTGCGTCTTGCCGATACAGATAAAAGAGGTGTCATTTACAAAGAATAGATAAGATCTTGTAGGCAAAAAATCAGCCTATTCAGCTGTATTTTTCATTTCATTTAAGAATCAAGTAGAAAGAGACGAAAAACAGAATCTGGTTGGCAATCTGTTATTGATGGGATTTCACTTGTCTCCTGTCCTACTGCATGTGTTGCCTGGTGGGTTCTAACTACCCTTTTTGAGCTTCTGCCACATAGTCCTTCTTCCCACATGATTTATTGATCAATCATTAACATTTCAAAAAACATTATCCTGAACTCTTTGAAATTCAAACCAGTGTCACACGCTTATTACGTTGAAATTAGTTTGATTTCTCAAGAAGAGAATAACTACTTCTCAATAAAGTTCCTACGTTTTGGTTTTAATATCTTTTCCAGTTGGGGCCATAAACATTATTTGGCTAGCAAACTTGCTTTATGAAGATACTCTCTTATTTCTGTTTGTTTTTGTAATTCTTTAGCCTTTTTTCGACCATGTTTTTTCAAAACAGATCTTCGTAAATTATAACCATCTCGTGCTAAGAATCGACGCCTATTTAGTAAGGAATGTCAATTAGTGATCGCATTAAGTGACACTAAATCAACCGAAGTTCTTCTTTTCCTAAACAGAACTTCCATTAATTTTAATTCGAAGTGTAACCTCATTTTAGTTTGTAGTGTCAAATACTCTTTTTTAAATAAGCTTGATCTTTCTCTCCCAGGCTACAGTTTTTGGCTTCCTATGTTGGCCAGTATGCATCGAGTTTTCCAAGTTCAGAATACCTTCGATTTCTCAACTGTCTTTATCAAGCAATCATCAACTGCAAAAGGTAAGAGTTAACAATATCACCTTTTTTCTTACGTTAACGATTACCTTGATTAAGCGGCCTATCCAACTCATGTACACACAGTAATTGTCAACGATAAATAAGAAAATGGCGGCTCCAAAACTTACATTCTAACATTGATTGAACAAATCTTGCTGTTTTGGCGGGATTCTAGAAATGGCGTCAGCAAAAATGCGATTCCTAACAAATTCAGTTTATTTCCTACCTTTTTATGATAGAAAAGTAGCAAAATATCAGGGAGAAATTGAAAATATCAATGTTGTAGTTTCAATGCCGAAAACACAAAAATGACTAGAAAGAGAACGAGAAGCAATAAAATATTTGGGTCTAGCGAGTCATTTGTTTGCTGAAACTGAAACTGCAAGAAAATTTGCTTGCAGCAAGTCTACAACACATGTTATTTACAAGAACAATAAGTTGACAATTCGTTCCAAAATTGAAAGAATGGAAGGCTAGGGTAGGCCAACTATTGGTTGGGCCTAATGGCATCTGCAAACTGGCGTTGTATGCGGAGTCAATCAATGCTGAATATTTTGTCCAATCATTTGAGGAAAGTCCCCAGGCAAGTACAGAAACAAGTAATGATTCTTTGCAAATACCATTTATTTTTGAGCAGGACAATAAACCTAGTTATGCTGCAATTGTGACAAAAATTATAACATCGTGGTTTTTCAATAATCTCGTCAAAGCCTTGATGTAATTAAAAACAATTGGTTTTCATAAAAAAATTCAAGAAATGAAATTTTCAAGACCAAAAATAAACTCATTTGGAATTTTCTTGAGATTTCCTACTGTATCCGAAGATATTTCGTTGCAAAATTAATTCAGCGAGTTCCAGTGCAAATGGTGGCTGCCAGTTTCCTGGAGGTCACCCGAAAAAGATAAGATAAAATTGTACTTGTCTAAAAAGTCTAAAAAATTTTTACAATTTATTAAATATGTCTTTATTTTTACAATTGGGTAAAATTGCAATTGAAAATCTCAACCAGCAATCTCGTTATGTTCCACCGGTTTTCTATGTTGTTCTTTGAGCAAAGGGTTAACCACATTTGCTTTGAGGCGATCGTCCTAATACTTTTGTCACGTAAGTGTAGATAATGCACTAAACCCAATTTATAAAGTTCCATGTTTTGAATCCTGGCTCGGCCGTAGAATCTGTTATTGTCTTTCTCTCAACTCAGCAGTTATTGGGTACCAGCACGGGGGAAAATTGTATTGCACATGCGCCTAAAAATCACAGGATGCTAAGATTTTTCAAGTCAACAAAAAGTCTGCCATAATGGATTTTCATCCTCCATTATTGTTGTCATGGATACCGCGTCCTATAGTAAATTCCTGCGTCGATAATACTTCAATGTTCATATTTTAACTTCGAAAGAATCTATACAAAAGTAAAATTAAATTAAATTTTCTGCGTCTATCGTTGCTGCTGGTTTTCGAGCTAACCAATTTTTTGAACGCAGCAAAAAACAATCGTTTTTATTGCGAGAAAGGATGCGAAGGATGTGGAAAGAAGACCCAGAAAACGCGACAGTTTTCTTTAAGCACCAAATATCCTAATGAAATTTTGGAAAGCGCCTTCGGGAAAGTTATTCAAGGTGGCTATATATGTGAGTCATGTGATAGAGCATTAAGAAAGTCGATTCAGACTAAGAGTACTGACAAAATGGTTAGTTTTGAAACTTTTTTCTAAAATGTATCTTTTATTTCTCTACACAGATGATAGTTATTACAATTTCCCTTAAAGGAGAACTGACACGCAAAAATAACTTTGGCTTATTCGATGCAAAATTTGTTGCTGACTTCAAATCTGGAAAAAGTTTTCTTCTAAGATTCGCCCTTTTTCTGATATTTGCACTTTTATCCGGCAAATACGTCACAGCCAGGACTCGGGAATTTTCCGAAGCGGAAACAGGATTATCGCCAGGAGTTGTTAAAATTATCGGTTGACGTCACAAGTGACATGTTAACAATGCCGTTGTAAAGGCTTTCACCGCAACGGTGAAGGTACAAATGAAGTTTCGTGTTTTATTAAAAATAGTCCGCGTTGAAAAGACAAAAAATTGTCAGGCATTTCATTTATAAGTATAAAGAAACTAAAAAATCCTAGCTACATGTCTGCTAGGACGCTAATATCCACATGAAATTTATTTTTATGCCATGATATCTTCGAACCATCATGCTTTGAAACATTGAAAGAGCCTCTAAGCTTGTGAAAAAAAGGAGTCGACTTTGTTTGAAAACTGATGCCGTTTCTTCAAAGTTTTTATTTTTATAATTACAAATAAAATCGCAAGATGAGGGGACGGGGGGAGGGGGGTTGAAGCAATAGCCAAAAGACAAACGAAATCTAGTGGAGACAGCGGTAAAAGCGATCCTGCAACCTGCTTTGGGTGCAGAAATATGAATTCAAGAAAAAACCTTGGTTGCTGGGAGCTGCGAGTGTGACTAAATAATAATTTCACTGAACTTGATTATTGTAACAGAGGTTGAGATACTAGGGAATAACCTGGTCTTGCAAAAAGACCATCCCCCACCCAAGTCAAAATTGCTTGCAAAAGAAGATAATGCGCCAGTTGATATTCCTATGACAGCTAAACAGCATTTTTTTCGACTAAGATAAGAAATAAAGTTCTTTGACAAAGAGCTAAGAGCCTATTCCGTAAATCCAGATTTTTCGACTGCCAGGTAACTTATCAGTTCCCGAAACCCTTCACGCCCGGTGAAAATGGCATATAATCCGCACAAGTCGACTTTTAACCCGCCTTTACTATTTAATATCACTATACAATTAACGCGTTTGAAACATTGAAAAACAATCATGGAATGTTATATTAACAATGAATAACTTGCAGTTCCGTTTAGGGCATCATAGGCATTTCAGCGAATTAGGCCTTACAGACAAAGCAGCCTGGACAAAGACCCCTCAATCTGAAATGAAATTCTAGTTTTAGGATACCTGATCTCATTTAGATTGTAGCAATAGCATTTTTTTAATAAAAATTCCATATCAGTTTGTAATTCCAGTCTGTACTTTGTTCATAACATCGTCACTGTTGAGCCATGGGACGACTGTCTGCCCAAGCAGCGGCGCTGGTTGGTAGCAAAAACTCAGACGGCTGAAACTCTCCATTTGTTTCGAAATCAGTGTAATAAAACTCGGATTCAGAGTCCCAAACCATTGAAAAAGTCAATTATGTGTCAAAAATGCAAAATTAGCTCCTTTCAAATGCACAAAATAAAGATTTGTCCGCAGCATTTTCTTAAAGGTTTCTATAGAGAAACACAATACGTGCTGAGAACATGTCACTTGTGACGTCAAAGATGATCGCTCACTCGGGACGATTTTCGCCTCGAGTCTCAAGTTGTCGGAATAATTGTCGTTTCTCAACTTAAAACGCCTGTATTTCAAAAACGGTAACTGTGATTTAAAAAATTTTTTCGATCCCGGAATTTGCTTGTCACAAGCTACCGTTTTAGCCAAACTTATTTTTGCGTGTCAGTTCTCCTTTAATGATGAAAAAACTTTATAGGAGAATTTGTCCCATGAAGTAGCAATTAAGGTCGTGAAAAATAAGCCAGCTATAATTAAAAAGTTGCATAGCAAATAACACAATTAATAACAAAAGGAAGACGTAAATATTTTGGGTTTGTTTTGGGAAGTCAGGCCTATATTTCTCTCGGAAATTTTTCATATTTTTCCAACTTTTAAAAAGCTAGCTGCAATGTCACTTATTCAAATTTCTAAACCATTCTGTTTCAGTGGATATATAGAGAGAAATAAGGAAGAAGGCCAAAGTGGAGAAAAAGTGCAATGAAAGACGACAATCATTTAAATGGTGAGGAAATTGAAAGTACAGCCCTGCAAAACGATAAAGAGAACTTGCCTCAAAGCTCATCAGAGATTGTTGTGCAGTATGACCAGGCAGAAGGTTTTACAAGGCAGCCATTGGTCCGAAGACGATTGTTTGTCAATATTACCAACTGGGAAACTAAAATAACGACATTTGGTACGATCCAGATGAGCCCAGATGGCAGAACGTTAATCGATGCTGCCATTTCTAATAACATCATGCTGGCCGCAGACCAGTTATCGTCGAGTGAGTTGCATGCTTTGAAACTTGCATCAATATAGACTTAGTCTAAATAAATTCAAAACAGCATATATCTTCCCTTAGTGACATTTCAAACCTGTTTCAGTTATTCAAGAGTTAAGATCAACCCGGCATCAGTGGTTAATTGTTTGCATCATCGATGACTACATAACAATTCATGCCAAACGCCGCCCAACCGAATCATCTACATCGAAAGTGCAGCATGAATAACATGTGTACCATCGTCTGTCGAATTTTCCCTGAAATAAATGCAATACCTCTAACGTCTTTGAATTCTCTTCAGAACCCATTAGGTGTCGATTTCGGTAATCTTCACAATAAACTATCCAGTGAACAGACAATGCACAACTTGGCAATGACTTTCTGTGATCGAATGCCAGAATGGTTTGCAACAGAGTTTATTCGTCCAGAGGCAGAACGTAATAGACTTCATGCTCATATGTATAGCGAGTCAAACAATGTGAGGAAGATGAGATGCCTTGATAACGTTCATTTGATCGAATTTACAAATCTTCAGCTGGAAAGTACTTCAGACTTTCAAGCTGCTTTGGAAATCCTTGGAAGAACAAAGATGAAGCAGCACATGGCAAAATATGCATTGTTCATCCCTGGAGATTGGCCTGCTCAGTTCCACGAAAGAAAAGTTGTTTGTTCTAGATGTCCCTTCCAGCCTCCTGTTGGTTGTCAAGAAAGAAATGCAAATGAAAACACAAACACTCCTTTCTGTGAAAACGAAGGGCTGCATCATTACGCAAAGCCAAGTACAAGTGGTAATTATAATACCACACAAACAGTCAACCAGATCCATTCATTTGCTGTGATGTGCCTGGCTGTACGTTGCTAAATACTAGTGAAGAATAGCTATTGATAGAAGGATGTTTCCATTCGTTCCGTATAAATTGTCTGAAAGGCGCATCATTCTGTCCCATTTGTTCAAGCCACATAAAAACCACAGTTGGCAGTCTGGCGACTACTGCTCAAAACAGTTTATTTGAAACAATAAACGTGGAGCAGGACAGTGATGATAACCATGAGGTTGCGGAGGAGCAAGCGGATACCGTTGACGTCGAATCAGTCTGGAAGGAATTTGTTGACATGAAGATTGAAGATCTTTCACAAGAGATTGCTAATTTGAAGCCATATAATCCAACTAAGGTGAGTTGCAACAAAGACCATGCCGTTGGAAGTTGCAAGCTTTCTAAATTGTTTGTTGCTGGAACATTTAGTCTTTTACATACCTGCTTTTTTAAGTATATTTTACCTTAGAATATTTAATATCTCCAAGAGTTTTTTGTTGTGCCCAAAATAGATTACCCAATAAAATTGCGTTCTTTCCATTTTAGGCAGCCTTTCCACTAGCCTGGGTTAAAACAGATTCGGGTTAAAAGTTATCCGTTTTTCAAGTGAGTCAATGGAAACGGCATTTTTCTTCGACCCGTTTTTAATCCGTTTTTGATCGTTCCCACTAAGCCGGGTTAAATTGTATCCAGGGTGAAAAGTTGTAAGAGAAATAAGTATTTGCATCAATAATCCTTCAATTTCTATTGTTTTGGCCAATGGAAGCAACATTGACATCCAGGATTTTTTTTTGATTTTTGGCGCTATCTCAATTTTTAAACGTTGCTGTTGTTGCAAGTGGGTCAGAAGTTATCCGGGTTTCGGCGTTTCCATTAACTCGCAGGTGGGTCAAAAGATACCCGGGTAAAAACTGACCCACTTTGAGACCCGTTTTCAAACTTATCCGTTTTTCAAGTGGGTTAGTGGGAACGCAACGCAGAAACGGATAACTTTTAACCCGGATATGTTTTAACCCAGGCTAGTGGAAAGGCTGCCTTAGTCAAGGTTCTCATTGATCGATGACCCTCACAGGGTATAGGGGCATGCCGGAATATAAAATAGCTGTTAATTACCTATAGTATCGGTCTGTCTCCTCAGGCCATTCATTGTTACTTTAATTTGAAAAAACACCAGTTTTCAGGGTCAACAAAGAGCAAGAACGGCCAACTGCAAATCTAAGGTCCCAAAATCAAAGATGCTGCATTGCAAAAAATGCACTCATCTGGTTCGTGGACATAAAAGAGGAAGAGCGGGATCTTGTCCGATGTGTCCGAAAAGTTTATGTAGTGCAGAAGGAAAAGAGTATCCATGCAGATGCAAATGGCATGCGACCACAAATGGCAAAGAAAAAGGATTTAAAAAGGAGGAAGTGAAGGTGCGAATGGTTGGCAATATTATTGAGTATGTGCTACCAACTCAGCTGAGTCAGTCTGGACTATTGGGATGGGGAGAACACATTTCCTCGTGTACAGTTATCTCCACAATCGCCTGTTCTTCTGTTCTCCGCGGTGAGATTCTTCTTCAAAGAGATGCTTCAAAAGTTGTTCCAGAAATTGTCGAAATTTACAAGGGAATAATGACGAAGGGAAACAATCTCTATGATTTTATTAGTGGAAGGGCACAGCAACTCCAGTCGAGGAGGCTATTTGATACTCCGAGTTACTGGTGTACATGCCAGACGGTATTGTATCCATTGTTGATGTCAGCAATCTGGCAACACATCTGTTGGCTCTTCGCGATTCAGCCCTTATTTTGGCATTTGTATTGATTTGCCCACCCGACAAGTCTGTAGCATTGTGCATCCAAAACAGAACCATTTGCCTACTTGTTAGCCACTATCATCATAGACAGGACATATAGCCTGGCAATCTGACATTCAAGCTAATGTTTACTTTCTCAACGGATTCTTGTAGTAGGGAGTCCAGGCTTTCATAATCTGCCAGGTGACTTTTTTTAAAATGTCTGGATGTTACAGGACTGATGACGTCATTTAACGGTAAAAAATCAGACAAAACCATCGCTAGCTCTTTACTGGAGTGTTATTTTTTGACGCAAATTACATATTTTGACTCGTCTCATTGCAAGCTTTTAATTGATATATATTTAAGAATGATTTGCCACCATTAGTATTTTCATTTTGACGTCATCAAAAATTTTGCATGACGTCATCAAAGAACTTTGTTTTATTATGGCGCTGGTTGTCAGCAAAAGCATTTCTTTCATAATTTTTTCGTCCAAATAATTAGTATTTGGATCATTTGAATTAAATTTGTGCGCACCGCAATAGCCAAGGAAGTTCGAATAAGGTAGTCACTACCTGACGAGTGGGTCATTTCTTCCTCGGAAGGCATTATTGCCTGGTTCAGAGTCATGGTCCAACTCTGAACCGTACAATAGGTTCTCTGCATCTGCATTTGACTGTTGCACTGCGTTGGAAGAATGTCTTCGCACTATTATAGGCTGTCCAAGATGTCTTCGGACTATAGGTCTTTAGCGCTGGGTATGAAGGTGCATGATTTCCTTCAAGGGTAAATTCATCTTCTGGGTCATCTTCATATCCTTGTACTGTAAAGGAAGCTTTCTTTTCACACCTTGGATGTTTTTTTTACTTCTTTTGAGATGGGAAAGCTGCTTTCCTGCGGACCATTTAGACTTTAAACGATCAAGTATGTCGTCCGAATTTCAACAGCAGGCTTTTGGGCCATGTCTTGTAGTAATTGCATCTAAACACTGTAGCCAAAATAACCTTGTTAAGCTGACACAATTTAATTCTTCTCTGATGTGGATCTGTGGAACTGCTGCAGATGACTTTGTTTTCAAATTTGATAAATACGAATCCTTGTATTTGTCAAATACGAACCCTAAGCGGCTTCAATATAGATTTCCACTATGTTCTACAGTTTCGCGAATGTCTTTGCGTCGGCGATAACGCTTTCTGAGAGTCTCAGCCCATAATTCCATGGATCTGTGGAAAGACACAGCAATTTTTGGAACCAAAGTTTCAGCGATGCCTCAAATCTCGACGATTTGTTTGTTGTTTATGCACATGAACCATTCATTAGTGGGTTTGCACTCCTACATTGCATGGACAAGCATCACAAATACATCAGTATCCTTCGCAACAACAACTACTTTTGCATCTTGCGAGTTAGCATGCAAAATCATTCTTGTTTCAGCCTTTTTTCATCTTGGAAGGACTTGCTTTTAAAAGTCTCCAATGCTTCCTCCCCTTGAGTTATGACCAATGGAATTGTCTCGAGCCTGTGACCCTCAGCGCTTCGAAACAATTTGGGAGCATATTTTATTAGATTCTCTTTGTTTGCATCATTGTAAACAACCCTTTTTACCTTGGAGTATCTTTTGCTCTAAACTTTTTTTATGCACTTGCCTTTATGACTCACCTCTACTTTGTCGTGCGCACAAAGATCCAAGAAAACATCGAAAGTAGTCTCAATAATGAACGAAGACTACCAAGCTTTCGTGATTGGCAAGGCTGCCTTTTTCGAAAAGGCATTTGCATATCCCATCAAAACCATAACTCTAGCCTTGCAATGCCTGAAGGTGTACTGTGACAAGGAAATGAAGCTGTTCTTCTTAATTTCATGTGCAAGGAGTCAAATCCATATGTAAATCTACCACTAGAAAACGCCAGATGGAGTATTGATGAGATGGTCATATTTCGCAGCAGAAGATAGTCTTATTGAAGAAAGTCATGTACCTTCAGCCCAGCGCGAGGGCATCTTGGATAGCCTATAGTTTTTAAGACATTCTTCCGACTTACTGCAACAGTCAAATGCAGATGCAAAGAACTTATTGTCCGGTTCAGAGTGGGAGCAAGACTTTGCAACTACGGAGGAAGAAGTGACTGACTCGTCAGATAGTACTACCTTATTCGAACTTTGGCTACTATAGTTCGCACAAACGTAATTTAAATGATCTAAATACTAATTATTTGATTGAAAAAATTATGGATGAAATGCTTTTGCTGACATCCAGCCTCATATTAATACAAAGTTATACCAACTTATCATTTAACGACAACAAGATATTTGATGACGTCATGTACATTGTTTGATGACGTCATAATAAAAATACTAATGGCGGCAAATAATTCTTAAATATATATCAATTAAAAGCTTTCAATGAGACGAGTCAAAATATTCAATTTGTGTCAAAAAATAACAATCCAGTAAAGAGCTAGCAATGATTTTGTCTGATTTTTTACCGTTAAATGACGTCATCAGTCCCGTGACATCCAGACATTTTAAAAAAGTCACCTGACAGATTATGAAAGCCTGGACTCTCTACTACAAGAATCCGTTGAGAAAGTAAACATTAGCTTGAATGTCAGATTGTTAGGCTATATGTCCTGTCTATCACGAGTACTGGACAGTAAGAAATGTTGAGAAACTTCAGTTACCTTAAAACTGTTCGAGTTGCATCACGTTCTTGAATTTTTATGTTATGTCGTGTTAGATTAAGGTTCGTTTGACCTATATATCTGCTATTACCCCCAGGCACCGCGGAGCAGGGGGTAATGCAAAATATTAAGAAGTGAACCAACATTAAAGCCTTTTTTTACTAGGTTTTGGCCATCGCAATTTTCAAAACCTGCCACTTGGTAGCTGGTATTCGATTGAATTTTGGAGATTAGCTTAAAATATAAGAAAAATAAAAAATTGTGATATTAAAACCTTTCGCACCTCTAGGAAAACATTTTTTGAAAGAAATCACTTATATCAATCGAAGCTGAAGAAAAATTGTGCTTACCATATTTCGCTACCCTATGTGGCCAAGCCTTATTTTCAAGATACAACTCATTTAAAATGTACCTTGTTCATTGTATCATTATAGGCCAGAGATGTTATCTTTTCAGCTTGAAGCAACAAGTGCAATAAGTAGTTAAAGCTGCTAGTTTCCCAAACATATTTTGACTGGTGTTAAAAAATTAACGATTCTTGCTTCTGTTGATGTACTGAAGATTCTGTTAATTTTGAACGTAAAGCAAAGGAAAGCATTTTATTTGTGGATATAATCTTGCATTTCTTGTCTCGTCTCTACGCATTGCAGCGCAGTAACACACTGCAAATGATAATTGGCCGCCATTTTTGCATATTACAATTTTCCTCCCGTGTTTTGGGTACCATTCTCAGGCCAGGGAAGTAAATGTGGCGAAAAAGAGGGTAACTCATTTCTCTTTTTAAACTGTCTCCAACTCACCTTAGTCTAGATTGTATTCGAATTTGCACTCTTATTTGTTAATAGGCAATGCTATCCTTCATTAAGTTAATCTTCCCTGGATGAGATCAAAGATTACACAGATTTGTAAATTTATTTTCTCATAGGCAAATTTAACATGGTGCTTGACGCCAATGTTGTTACGAGTCCCTTTTCCTAGGCATTTTCAACTATTTTAGTTGCCAAATGAATGTCGTTTGCCTTCACTGCCAAGTTTGTTGCATTTCCGCATTAAATTGTTGATTAACAATCATATTATTTTATTTTCAAAGGGCTGATGTTTTAAGCTTCGTTTTGCAAGCTTTACGATCTCTTGCCGATAATACGGACTCATTTAAAAGTGAGCATTTGAGAAACAGAAAAGAAATCGAAACATGCTGGCGAAATATTTGGTTTGAAACAATGAAAGCCATACATAGCCGTAACGTTGATGAGCCTGGGTTTATGCTGTTGACTGCAATACTAAAAGTAAAGTTACTTGTTAAATTATAATTCAGCTGCCCTCTTGATAATCAGCTGACAACAAATTTATATCTGTTGAAAATGTGGCTTTAAATCAATTTAGTAACATGAAATTAAATTATGTTATTCTGCAAGGCGCTTTGTTCACCCGACAAAGTCCTAGGCAAACTGTTAGATGCTAGTTTGTCTCCTTTGATACCAGATAATGTATTTTCTCTTGGATTAACGGTGGGGCAAGTCAACATTTAGTAAAAGGAATGGAGTTCGATAAACGGGGGAGGAGGAGGGGGGAGGGTGGTCTGTTGATCTCTTGTTAACTCGAATATCTTAGAAGGTAATAGAGGAAGATTCGAATTTTTGGTGGAAGATTTTCGTCCAAAAAGCAAAGGGGTTGAAAAAAGGATGTTTGGCCTTCAAATATCTCAAAGTTTTTTCACGACCTCAGAATATATTAAATTTTATCTGTGTTGTAGACCTATTCATTGAGAGATATCAAAAATGCATTCAATATCTTCATTTTATTTGCTTTAGAATTATGCATTAGGAATTATGTATTAGGAAACGGCTTATTCTGCCAGGTTAATGCATCAATGACAATCCACTAAGCTATAATTCATAAACCAAGTTTTGGCAGCGGATATTTTTAGATAATGCTTAAAAGTGAACACTCTAGGAATTTTCCTCAAAGTTGCAATTGTTTTTAGGCAGACCTACTGGTTTCGTTGGAAAATCCCTACAGGGCATTTTTCAGCTCAGGCACAAGAGTTTCCAGGTAAATTTGGACCACTTTGCTTTGATCACCTGCCTTCTACAGGGCTATAGCTTGTCTAAAGTCAGCTACACAGTGGACAACAACAATACTAGCGTTACCGATTGCTAAGGGAGGGATTCTTAGTCTGGGGGCTCCATCTAAAAATACTTCTGTTGCAGAAATTGTGGTGAAAATTGATTTTCCTGTATTGTAAGAGGTTTCTGTCGAAAGAGACCTTGTATTTTCACTTTATCAATATTATCTGCAATTAAGATATCGCTGTCATATGTCACGTTCCAAACATTTGCTTTGTAGAGAATCATTGGCGCTCTTGATATGTCTGCTGCAAGGGTTCCCCATACCAGAGAAACTCAATAGCCACATGGAAATATACAGCAGTTTTGAGAAATCTTCAAAGCATCAAGGGAGAAAGAAGATAATTGAACTTGTCCTACCCGATATTGAATTTATTATTGCACAAAAGGATTTCAGCCAGCTACTATCAAGTCGTTCAAGGTTCGTTTAAATTTTAACGTTCGTGTAAACATGTTTCCTTGCTAGCAGTCATTGTCATTTTCAGACTCTTTCCACGTGATGTTTTAGGTTTTTGCTAATATCAGTCGAGTTAAAAGCCATCTGATTCACCTCGCAGTGAGGTCCCGTATGTTCATGCTGTGTAATTGGCGTTGAGTAATTCCTTCTTTTTGTGCCTTCAGGTGAAAACGTTCATTTATAATCTCCATGTAACATTTTCGAACATTTCAGCAAGAATGATTGAACTTCTTTCCCTCATCGCTCAAAGAAGTGTTAAGACCGCTTAGTGGCTATGGTCAGCAGAAACATAATCCAACTTAAATTCAAAACAAAGTAGTCAAGTTGTCCTAAGCAGAATGTTGAATCATTACGATACATAATTGGTATTTTCTTAGATTCTCTTAAAATAAAACTTTGCTTTCCAACATCTCAAAATCTTGCTATAAATGTGGTGTTGTAAATGAAATATTATGCAACTTGCATTTAAGATCCTTTTTTCAGTGACTCAAATACGGCATCAGCTGTTGTGTTACTTTCGATGATTCAAAAAAATCCTTCAGCCTTTTTAAAAACAGACGTTATAAAAAGCAATTGGATGAGGTTTGTAGATTTTTTGTTTCTTTTTATGAACTTGCAACTTAGGATTTCAAGTGGAAATTATTTCTTATTCTCAAGAATACCTTTTAACGCTGAATATCTGCGTAGTTTTTAAATCATCAATGTATCCATTGTTTTTCATTTTTATTTTCCATGTAAAATTCTCATTTTTTAGTTTTTCTGCATTTTGGATCCTAGAATCTGCCTTTCTTCAACTTTTTCCTTCTTTTACGTTCAAATACTGATCCTTTCTAGCGCCAAAGAGTCAGACAGTTATGGAAAAACCATGAAGAAAATTGGAGAACTTTATTTGCAATCATCCTTCAATTTTGTATGTTATTTTTTCATATTTCCTTCTTTGGTGTGTTTTCGGTGATTTACATGTGATATTATTCGATTTATAAAGTGACTATGTTACATTAAGACTTTTCACACAGATTTTCAGAATTACAGCTGGTAAATTCGTCTGGATATTTATTTTAAGTTTTTACGCCAATTTGGAAGTGATAGGCCGAAAAGAATCTTCAACATCGTCATGACTAAATCATTTCTACCCGTTCAGTCTCTACATGTTTTTTATAGATTCAGTAGATACAGATTTTATAGATACTTTTTAAAGCTTTTAAAAGTTCTTTGATGTAAATGATCAAATTTTTAGTTCACTTTTAAGATTTTCACTAAGGCCAAAATTTCACAAAATTGATGATTTCTTCCACAATGGGCGAAATTTAAATAAGTCAAAATAATTTTTCAAGGACCCAAGAGTAAGCAATTCACAAATAAGAGCTGGAAAAAATTGTTTTATCTCATTTTCAGGTATGCTTTATGTTTGTCATTTTTCTAGGCAAACGAACGCTTGAAGCATGATAAGGAGAAACGGTATTTTCCTACTGTACTTATTTGCTATTCTTTTTAATGTCCTTCTATGTTAGCATGCATTATGTTGAACTGGTTACACGCTATTGAATGAAGTCACTGTTTTTGGTTGGGGCTCTTATAACATCGATCATGCAGATTGTGATACGAGCATGAAACACACCTCACAGGTTTGATACGCTTAAAAATTAGAGTCAGACCCCAACTCAATGTGCCATCAAATAGGGGTATTTGGAACAGTCCACTGAAGGGGTATCGATCATGAATAGAGAGATAGCCCGAATATGGAGAGAGTAACATCAGCACCTTCAAAACGATGGTAATAAAGCGAAGTTTCCTGTTGGTATGACAACCTGCATAACTGAACATGGTTTGTGACTTTAGGCCCTCCACTACCGATATATTGCCACATGAGTACGGGTTTTTTCCTTATCAAACCAAGCCAAGAAACAGTAATCCACGTTCAAACTTTCAATTTTCTTTGGCCATATCTCTAGAAATCTGTAGCAGATTTAACGGATTTTGCAAATTTGGAGGTATTTCAACGTGCTCTTTCTACACATGTGGTCCAAATCGAACATGCTCTTAAAAGATTTTTAAGACGTCATTGCCTTGCCTCTCTATTAACATAGGTTTTCGAAAATGTGCATTTCTATTGTTTAGATCTACTCTCATTCTAGAGCCACCACAATCCACGCTGCAGCCGTTCTCCCAGATATCTGTCAATACATTTCCAAAAGAATGATAGAACTCAAAGACTCGATCATAAACTTAATGAGAGACGAGGTTTGTTCTTTAAATTTCTTTCCAAGATCCCCATTTCCAGAAAGCATATTGAACTATTCTAAAAAATTGATTTGTTCAATGAAATGAGGAAATGGGGCGGGAGAGCAAGGAAAGTTATAATTGTGATCACAGGTTGAAGGCGTTCTTTATTTGAAGAATTCTGAATTCACATAAAAATACCAATAATAATAATGGAAACCTTCACTTTGAATTCCAGTAAAGACTTTAATTATAAATCTCACTATTACAAGGTAATTGGTAACTGGCTAGTCTGGGTTTACAAGATAAAACTATTACAATCGTAGTATTGAGAAAAGGGAAAAACGTTAAAACGGGAGTAGCTCTGGATTAGTCCAAGTTTTGATCCTACATCAGAATATATGTGGTGCGAATGGAGATGCTTGAAAGTTTAGAGATGATCAATGTTTCACGTTTCTGTTGATGATCAATGGACAAAGAGTCACACATGTCAATGAATTAGCTGCAGGGGTTGCCAAAGATACCAAGTGAACTAATGGAAAGATTGACAAGTGAAACTGTCTTAGACAGACTACCAATGCCAATACCAATGTTGCAATGCCAATACAAGTTAAAAATACCAATGTTGGAATCGTTTTATTTTTTTGTGATTTCGGCAATGCAAGAATCGTCTGTTTTTTGGTCTACCCTTGTCACTGTCAAAGTCTCATTTTCACCGACAGTGACAATCATGAAAGCTGAAATATATTTTCTTTGTATTTTGGATCGTCTTTAAATCATCTGTGAATCATCAAACTATGTGATTGCTCACTATATCACGAGAACACTCTTACCGTGATGCTCAATGGTATGGAATATCAAACAAGCTTTTCTGTAATGATTTGTTGTCAAACTACAGGATGCTGCAGAACCAAACAGCAAATACTAAATAAATTTGACATATTTTCCAATTTTGCAGTTAGGTAAATGTATCAATTAATGACTATCATATTGACAAAGTTTGGTTGCAAGGCACTAAAGAAATAATGAATTATCACCTTGTAAGGATATAGGTTTCAATATAAATGAATTAAAAAAGATATAAACTGCAGTGATTTTCTTTTAGGACTTTCGCAAGGCAAATAATCATCTGCACAGCTGGCTGAATATCTGTATCAAATATGCGACACTGTTTCTTGATGTCTACGCATTGCTGCTGGCATGCTTTGATAGTTCTGTTGACGAGCTCCGTGCAGTTGTAGCTGATTGCGTCAGAAGCCTGTTTAGCACTGCTACCACCAAAATCAAAGATTTATATCGCGATGGCAGCTTGGAGGAGGATGCCCGTGACATCACCATGTCGTCACTGCTTTCATTCTTAAATCAATCCATTAGTTTGGTAGGTAAAGATATTACGTACATTCTGGCATCAATTCACACAAATGATGTTCTTTCACTTGATATGAACAATAGCCATTTATTAGTAAAGATAATAGTTTGTTTTCTGGAGAGATGATAATAATAGTTATAATAATATGGAGATATTTATAATTTACTTATTTAGAGAAAAAAAGCACCTAAGCATGAGATGTTTTTCACAAAATTAGCATTTTTCAAGTTCATTTTCTTGGAATAAAAAAACATCTACCTACTTGAACTTGAAATTTATATACCTACCTAAGAAAAATATTTATAGTCAGAAATAAATTAATTATATAACCTGAAATTCACCTCCACTTCAAAAACAATGATACTCTCTTTGCCGAGTAGATAAATGTTTTTTGTGTGATTATTACAAACATACCGTTATCTAATGACCATTCCTCTAAGAGTATCAAACGTGAAAAGATTGGCAAAATGTTGCATTTGCAATACTTTGGTTCATCAATTTGCTCAAACAATATTTTTTTTATTTATTTTCTTTGCAGACTGATATACCTAGCCGCCGTCCTGATAAACAGACAATCGCGTTACCGGAATCGTTTCTAGATATCATTTTTGAAATTGTCCTTGGAAAGGTATGTCTTCCTCTACTTTTGTTTTTTGTTTTTTGTTTTTAGTGACATCATTTTTGAAATCGGTTTCTCAAAAACATCGACCACCACAGAAAATTTTTTTAAAATTGGTTAATTCAAGAAAAGTAAATTTTGACTTCCTAATCTGCTATTAGTACTGATCATTGTTTGTTCTCATGTCTGATACCTATATTCTTTTCGTAATATTTTTGCACTTTTCATCGAGTTTTGTTTTGTGGTTTTGTTTCTGTAAGCACATTCTAATTTTTGTTTCCAGCTGCCTCAAGCACCTGGACAAGACTCCCGCTTTCATTTTGGTGCATTCGGTTCCAGTAGTAGTGCCTCTACGTCACTCGGGGATTTCGATGATCTCATGGATACAAGTAGTGGAATGGTGGATGCTAAAGGAGTTGCTGCAAGTCTCCATTCAGCGAGTGGTTAGTTATGTTCGAATTTATCTATTAGTTCTTGAGTTTTCATACAGGTTTTCAGTCCTTTGACATTCTTATACTGAATCATAAGTAACAAAGTTCTTGATCATTCCTGTTTTTATTGATAGATAGAACTATTTCATGATACAGCCTATTTTTAAAAGACTCGCACAAAAAAAGGCATATTTGTATGTGACTCCCCATCTTTTAGACTCTCTAAATAAAGGATTTTAATTTGTGATAAGATATTTTTCCATCGAAGCTGATATTGATAAAAGGATATTGCTGGAAATATAATGTTATTAAAACCTGACCATCATTTGTGCGGAATGCCTGCTCTATTGGCTCAAAAAGAACCAACGACAGATCTTTTAAGTTTTTTACAAATTTGCCTAGAAGTTTTTTATTGTCGTTTGATTCCTGACCGACTCAATAACTTCTGCCTTACTCTGCAACACAGTGTAAACTTATTCAGCTTTTCAGAATCATAACCTGGGTTAATTTTTTCGTGCATTGTTTTCATACCCAAATTATGCAAACTTTTGGCATTTTTCATATCTTTAGGTTTTCATACCGCTGCTAAGGACATCTCAATTTCCAGATCAGATTTTGTTAGAATTGAAGCCTTCAAGTTTCTGTTTCATTCTGCATTCAATGAAAATGAATCAGCTGTAGTGCGAATTAAAGGAAAGAGTTTAAAAGATTTGCTGCTGGATTTCTTGGACGAAGTAAGTTGCGTCTTCTATCTTAAAGCTGATGAAAGTCATGCCATGGACTTTTATGCATACATTTTGTCACTGTGTTTAGTTGGTGTGAAAAAAACTTCAATTTAAATCTGAAGCGAGCAAGCTAAATAATAGGTTAACTAGGTAAACCCGGTTAGAATCGGCGTTTTCAAATTTTTCGACCTTTATATTTCTGTAGTGCGCATCACCCGAGGATTTCAAACTCGAATGACCATTTATCTACCTACCAAATATGTGTAGATCTCAGCTATCAGCCTTATAAAGCTACGTAAAAATCTGGCATTGAATGTACAAGCTTGTGTTATTAGCAAATGCAGTAACCGTATAGTCTTGAACTATCTTTGCAGAGTCAAATACAGAACTATCAAATTTATCTAATTTTTTCCTTCAGAATTTTGATACAAACAAGACAATGTGCTTTCAGATGGTACGTTGATATTTTTTAAGATAACAATCATCAGGGTTTTGTATAGTAATGTTATTAGCCACAACAATTTTTGCATAAGACTTTTCATTACTGCTCCATATTTTAGTTCTAAACCAGTGCAAATACGAATACTAATAAAAAAGGAAATGCAAGTACTCTTACTAATACTCATGCTGATACTACTTCTTATACTAGTACTAATACCAATACTAATACTAATGCTTACACTAATACTAGTATTAATACTAATGCGGATATCAATACAAACACGAGTACAAATGCAAATATGAAAACGAAGACAAATGCAATGTGAATTTGAACACGAATATGAATACTAATACTAATACTAATACTAATACTAATACTAATACTAATACTAATACTAATACTAATACTAATACTAATACTAATACTAATACTAATACTTATACTAATACTATTCTAATACGATTGCGAATATAAATACTACTACGAATATTGAAGCGACTATGAATACAAATACCAATGTGAATGCTACTACTGAATACTGCTGCAAATCTAAAAGCAAACGCAAAGACGAATACTAACACGAATATTAATACAAACGCGAATAATATACGACTAAGAATGATAATGAACTACAAAGACTATTTGACTAAGGTTAGCCACTGAGACTGTTAAGAGTTACTGTTTCCTCGTAGAATCTTTTGTATCTTTTACCAATTTTGAGAAAGTCTAAATATCGTTGCTTTTCTTTCAGTTAAAGAACCTTGTATTCATCTTGACGAGTGGAACTGCAGCTCTCCCGCCTGCTGATTTAGAGATTGTATTTGAATGCATTCGGTAAAGTTGTTTTCTTTACTAAACAAGAATTTAAGAAGAAATTTGGATTTTTTTCATAAGTTGTCCTGGATGGGATTCTTAGGGATTTTTTTATAAATTGTCAAGATTTTTGTCCTTTATTAAAAACGTGCATTTTCTCCTCGTAAATGGGCTGACAGTTTTACGGAGTTCTTGTGTTTTTTCTTCTGCCAAAAGGTTGTCAAGTGTATTTCCGTGCTGGCAACTAGTCTAGTCTACACGGATCGACATATTCTAATTTGAGATCCTGCAAGTAGAAAGCAGGTCTTTATCCTCGGCTGCAGTATTAAAGTTGCTATCAAAGGGTTCGCAATGATTGTCTTCAATCAAGAGTTCATTTCCAGCTGTCTGCCCTTTGTTTGGACCATTCAATCATTCTAGCTTGATGCTTTGTGTTAAATATCCTACCTTTTTGTTGCAGACGTTATATATCAGAATTCCGGAGTCACCAAGATGCGTGTCTGGATGTCCTACAAATGCTCCGTAAACTGCTCTCATTTTTAAAGGCATCAAATGAACGAGATGAAGATCAGTTGAGCCAAATGAGGATGATAGCCAATAGAATTCTTTCTGCCTTTTGGTACACCATCTATTTTCTCCTCGAGTTTGTTGCATCCTCCCCTTAAGGCAACTTGTTTTTTCTTGTAAAGCCATCAACGTGTGAAGCAACTTTTTTATTTAAAGCAAATCTGGCTGCTTTTAGTCGAGGATCCCAACCTGAGCAATATAGTTTTATATAGCTTACAGTTCCCTTCTTCCCTTTTATATTTTTTATACCAGTGGTGAAAATAAAGATATTGTATGACTTTTAATAGTTCATTACCAGCTTCTGCTATAAGTTGCCGAAAAGAAAATATATACTTTTAGCTCAAAAAAAATTTGTTCTGGATTTTGGTAGCAATATTGCATCTACGTTTCATTCATTTTTTACGTTTCATTACAAATCTAGGAAGCGTATGTAGTTATTCTAAAGTAATAAATATTTCTTTCAATAAAATGTTTTGAGCGTTTTTCTTGTTTTAAATTTTGTTTTGTTTTGTTGAATAAGAACCCTATACGAAGGCCTTTCACCCTTGAATTTTCATATGCACCTTTAAAGGAAAATCTAAGGAAAGTTTGACTCTTCTGTGTGGGGATTTTCTATTTTTTCTGTTTTTTTATCCCTATTGAATTTTATATTGCTTGATTAGGAAGCAAAGAGATGACAAATATTCACCCCATGTGCGTTTGCAGTTGCTTGAATGTCTGGTTGAAATGATGCAGGTATTTGCTTTAAGTTATCTTTAAATTTCTGATGGCTAGAACTGTCGAAAGTATTGCATGTGAAATGCTAGCTTCATGAGTGTTTCCCACCATGATGTTTTCCAACTCGGATTATTATTTAAAAACAACTTCCTTTTTTGAGATGCAATCCTCTGAGCAATCCACCCTTCATCTTAGAGTGTATCCAACTTAATTTAAATGCTTCAACAACCCACCCTATGCTGCGACCATTTCTGATATTGCATCTAGTAGAATACTTTTGTATATTGCTCCCCTTTAGTTTTGCAGACTAAAGAATGTGTTTCTTGGCGATTTTTCGGTAATTAATTGCACGAACAATTAATTGACGGACAGGAAAACCATAGATTAGCATTTTATATTTTATTTTTCCTTTCCAGATACAAGCATCCCATCTCATATAATGCATTTATGAACTTTTTTGGTTGTTGGCACAACTAGTCTATCTTTTCCATAATTCTCTTTCACAGGTTGATCCTGCTGGAACCTGGAGCAAAATAGAAGGATCAAAACAAGGTCTGTTCCTTGATCGCCCACTTTAAATGAAACCATCGCGTTCATTTTTTATTTGGGATCAAAATGTTAGAAGATTGATTCAGGAAAAGGGCCTGCTTACTTGATTTTTACCGTGAATTTGATGATGTAATTTTCCCTAAGTTGGGTTTTCACGAAAATCAACAATTGAACCAGTCATTTTGGTGAATTAACAGCCTTTGTAAGGTATAGATTTGTCAGTGTCCTGTTTCAGACCAGCATACGTATCTCTTAGAAGAAAGGTTTTTGAAATGTATTTATAATCACTTGATTATTCTTGTAAACCTATTTACCCAACCTTTCCTTCATTCGTGTTTTTTATTGTCTTTAATATTTCTTTTTCATTTATTTTTCATAGCATCGTCGAGTGAAGAGTTATCCTGCAACTTGGAAGACTGTTTGGTTCAGCTTTTTTCTGATAAAAGTCATTGTGTGCGAATGCGAGCTGCATACCACGTGGTCATTATGTTCCAATTTCTACAGGATTCCTGCAAGCCAAGGCCTACCACACAACAATTAAATGCTTACGAGAAAGTGACAGAAGCACTGACTGAATTGATAATCATTAAGGTCAGAATCACGTTTGAGCCACCAAATTAAATGTTCTGTCTTGTCGCGGAATGTTTTCCGAGTGCTTTTACACAAAGGCTGCTTTCAGTAATTCTTTCTCAGAACAGTGTAGAAGCTCGTTTGCAGCAGCCCTCATTTATTATCCCTTTTATGTTTCTCCTATTGCATCCTCCAGCTGTTTTGCAGTTGCACCCTCCAGCTCCTTTGCAGCTGCATCTTCCAGCTCTTTTGCAGCTGCATCCTCCAGCTCTTTTGCAGCTGCACCCTCCAACCAACCCTTTTGCAGCTGCACCCTCCAGCTCCTTTGCAGCTGCATCTTCCAGCTCTTTTGCAGCTGCATCCTCCAGCTCTTTTGCAGCTGCATCTTCCAGCTCTTTTGCAGCTGCATCCTCCAGCTCTTTTGCAGCTGCATCCTCCAGCTCTTTTGCAGCTGCATCCTCCAGCTCTTTTGCAGCTGCATCCTCCAGCTCTTTTGCAGCTGCATCCTCTAGCTCTTTTGCAGCTGCATCTTCCAGCTCTTTTGCAGCTGCATCCTCCAGCTCTTTTGCAGCTGCACCCTCCAACCCTTTTGCAGCTGCACCCTCCAGCCCTTTTGTAGCTGCACCCTCCAGCTCCTTTGCAGCTGCACCCTCCAGCTCTTTTGCAGCTGCATCCTCCGGCTCTCTTGCAGCTGCCCCCTCCAGCCTTTTTGCAGCTGCATCCTTCAGCTCTTTTGCAGCTGCATCCTCCAGCTCTTTTGCAGCTGCATCCTCCAGCTCTTTTGCAGCTGCATCCTCCAGCTCTTTTGCAGCTGCACCCTCCAACCCTTTTGCAGCTGCACCCTCCAGCTCCTTTGCAGCTGCACCATCCAGCTCTTTTGCAGCTGCACCCTCCAGCTCCTTTGCAGCTGCACCCTCCAGCTCTTTTGCAGCTGCATCCTCCGGCTCTCTTGCAGCTGCCCCCTCCAGCCTTTTTGCAGCTGCATCCTTCAGCTCTTTTGCAGCTGCACCCTCACAGCTCTTTTTGCAGCTGCATCCTCCGCTCTCTTGCAGCTGCCCCACTCCAGCCTTTTGCAGCTGCATCTTTCAGCTCTTTTGCAGCTGCATCCTCCAGCTCTTTTGCAGCTGCATCCTCCAGCTCTTTTGCAGCTGCATCCTCCAGCTCTTTTGCAGCTGCATCTTCCAGCTCTTTTGCAGCTGTATCTTCCAGCTCTTTTGCAGCTGCATCCTCCAGCTCTTTTGCAGCTGCACCCTCCAACCCTTTTGCAGCTGCACCCTCCAGCTCCTTTGCAGCTGCACCCTCCAGCTCTTTTGCAGCTGCATCCTCCGGCTCTCTTGCAGCTGCCCCCTCCAGCCTTTTTGCAGCTGCATCCTTCAGCTCTTTTGCAGCTGCACCCTCCAGCTCTTTTGCAGCTGCATCCTCCAGCTATTTTGCAGCTGCACCCTCCAGCTCTTTTGCAGCTGCATCCTCTAGCTCTCTTGCAGCTGCCCCCTCCAGCCCTTTTGCAGCTGCATCCTTCAGCTCTTTTGCAGCTGCACCCTCTAGCTCTTTTGCAGCTGCATCCTCCAGCTCTTTTGCAGCTGCATCTTCCAGCTCTTTTGCAGCTGCATCCTCCAGCTCTTTTGCAGCTGCACCCTCCAGCTCTTTTGCAGCTGCATCCTCCAGCTCTTTTGCAGCTGCATCCTCTAGCGCTTTTGCGGCTGCATCCTTCAGCTCCGTTGCAGCTGCCTTCTCCAGTTCATTTCCAGCTGAATTTTCCATGTACATGTCCATGGACTCTTTATCATTATCATTTTTCGTTATGGTGTTTGTATTGCAGCATTTTTATTAAACTTGTTTTAAATTGTTTGAACTTGTCATCACGTTTTCTTTGACTTGTATGCATGTTCCATATATAGATGGCTATTTTAAATTAAGTCAGTTTTTCAAGGAAAAGAGGTGTAGACTTGTGTGCATTTTTAATCTTTTTTGTTGTTGTGGAATCTATTGATTTTCATCTTTTTTCAGGATGACGTCACGGAGCAGGAAGCTGAAGACGCTGGGGCGAATCGAGCGGCCACACTCTTGTACATTCTTAAGAAGGTTGCTTATTCAAGTTCAGTGTGTGAGAAGAAGGCAATATCGTTGCTATTTCACGATTACAAGGAGCGATATCTTGATCTAAAGTTGGTAGGAAAGGTATGTCTTGCTTGAATATAGAGGTATGTCCATATGGAAAGTATGTCTATTCAAAGGTATGATCTAACTTCATATTGAGTTACAGAAAGGACCATGCTAGGCTGACCCCTTTTAGATGCTTAGCTCGTTAAACTCATTTATTCTTAGGTTTTCAGAGAGATTGCTGCAGAGAAAGGCTTCAAAGATCCAAAACTGTATTTAAAAGACCATCTTGGCTTTCTCTGCAATGACTGGATGAAAAGGGGATTTCCCATCGTCGAGTTCCCAAGCAGCGTTGTTCATATGGAAGCTTCTGAATTTCTGAGGTAAAACCGATTTATACGAAAAGTTTTTGTAAAAGTCGTTTTACAGTTGAAAGTCAATTTGAATATGGACGCCATGACATCGTTTTTAAATGCCATTTTTCTCATTCTGGAGCTTTTCAGTTGTGGCATTATCCATTTAGTAGGAATGATATTAACATAATCAAAAATGTTGAAATTTAATTTTTGTTTACTGTAGACGCTCTTTTGGCTTGGTAATCTGTTTTCTGTAATCTTTCACTGTTTGGGGAAGTTCCAGTGTCTTGATTTGCGCTCTTAAGCAAGCCACTAGTTGCCCATGAAATTGCTAGGAGCTACTGGTTGCTTGGGCTCAAAATAGACTGATTGATGAGCCCAAGCAACCAATAGCTCCTAGAAAAGACTGATTGAAGAGTTGTGATTTAAAAAAGTTGGTTATGATTGGAAATCGATATTGATTCCACTAGTGGCAAAAAGGAAGATATAAAAAGAAAAATGAAGAAAAAAGAAAACGCTCTAGAAGGAAAATCTAAAACCCCATAGTGTGGATACGACACTAATATAGGTTTTTTTCATTAATAATTGCAATTCAAATTCAATGTGAATGCATTCAAGTCATCTTGGTTTCTCTGATTTTGCTGACCGCTTGTTCGTTCCCGCCATTTATTCAAGCAGTGTTTCATTGTATACTTGCGTCGTAAACGGTGAATAGAAAGTCATACGACGAAAAACATCCCCATCGATTACTGTTGTAGGGCTTGCCACTTAGATCGTTCTCTTTCAGGTCATTTTCTCGTGAAATTGTTTCTTACCTGATGTTCTACCGAGACGAAAACACATTCGAGAAACTAAAGGAAACTCTCGGATTACATGAACGATGGATTGATTTGGTTATTGAAAATTTTGATCGCATTGTTGTGTTTTCTTTGCCGTTTTTTGCCTGTCAAAGCAAACGAATGCAGTCCGGTGACGAAGAAAAAGCAAAAATTCAGGAAATGGAGGCTGAGAGGAAAAAAGCTAAACTTGCATACGAATTTCTGGAGAATTGCCTTACAAAACAGGTATTGACGCAATAAATTTATAACGTTCTGTTTGTTTGTTAGGTTCTCATTATTTTTAGGTATTGCATTTATTATAGCTGAGTTAATTACAGTTGTGAAATGGCCACATGATTGAAGCACTCGACTTCAGCGCTGAATTGAAGTTGCCAGCTCGAATCTAGGCAAGGCTCAAGGTTCGCCTGCTTGTCTTCTGGCAACTCACCAGCAAATGGGTACCGGTGTCTACAGTGCTATGAGTCTAGAACAAATATCCTCTTTTTTTGCAATGTTGTCGTTGAATAGTTCTTGGTATCATTCTCGAAGATGGGCTTTGGAAACTTTTCCAATTGCAGTAACAATTTGAATATAAGTGACAATTAATCAATGGTGGATAAAAAAGTGAATATGTGTGCGACTCCCTAACGTGAAAAATATTTACATCCTTCGAATTCTTTTTGTTACCTTAATCATTTTTACTGGACTCGATTCCCCCGTTTCAGGTGATCGACAAGCTCCTTCTTCAAAGATTTGATGACATTGTTATCGAGCTTCTTCTTCGAATGTTTGACCCTCCTTCGGAGAGTTCTGATGCTTCTCAGTTCATGAGGTGAGGTGAATGAAATTCCACTGCTGTCGCGTATTTCAAAGAATGTTTGCTTTTTATCATTGATGCTATGACGCATCTCTTTTGCTTAAATTGGCAAATGTAAGGTGTTCAAGTTTATTTGCTTTTTAGTTTTTCTCGTAGGTGAACTTTTGAAAAGTTGGGCCAAAAGGCGGGAAAATGCCGTGTAATTTGGAAATCTATATTACCCATAAAGAACCCATTTACCCCATGGAATTGCCCCCATAGATAATTGATTTTTTTATTCTTGAAGTTCTTTCATTTATTCAAAGGGATACCGACGCTGCACCCAATCCACCCCATTTCACATCTTACGCGATCAGAGGAACCCTGGAATATCTTGCAAACTGTCATCAAAGTAAATCAATATTGCAAGTGCTCTCATTGAAGAAGGTACGGGGTCCTTTAATATCTGTTTGCACTGTTTTAGCAATATTCTCTTGAACACCTTTTAGATATCTTTGGATCCTATTAACTGGCCTGGCGTTGGTCAGAATTTAAATGCATTTTTACATTGCTTTGAGGTTATTTGTGAAAAATAAATCAAAATAGTTACAATAAACAAGTCATAGATTAATTCTCTTTTGTTGAAGTAAAAGTTTGCCCTTTAGATCCCCCATTATAGACAAGACAAAGTGGCATCTTTGTAGATTTTTAGGGGCATCTGTGAAAAGGCACATCATGGGGAGGCCTCTTGAAAGTCACAATTTTGGCTGAAAATTTCTCCTTCATTAAATATCTATCGTTGAAAATAAAATAAAGAAAGACCAAGATACAATTATTTTTTCAGGACAGCTGTCAGAAAATCCTTCTTGCTCTGGCTACAAATATCACAGATGCAAAATCTGAACGGGAAAAAGTCCGAATCCTATGTGCTTTTCGTTTACTGGTCTTGCTTATAGTTGACGAACTGCAAGGTAGACTGGGACCAAAGTGGGCTTACATTATCCGTGACGTCATTTGCAGATGCTGCCATTGGCTCAATTGGCACTTTCAAAATGGTCATGGAGATACCTTCTTTCTTTGCGTCTACCAGATTCTGCGAAAACTGACTGAAGCTAGTATTGCTTCTTTATCTCAGGTATTAAAAATCTTCTTCCGGTTTTCTTCCATTATTCACTAGCAAAGGACAAGACCATTTCATTCAAATGCTTATAACAACAGCCAGCAAACGCTAGTTTTCCATTCGTAAAATTTATTCATATTTGATGAAATAAGACTTTCAAAATGGTACAAAAAACTGGCCAACAATAGTTGTTTCTGTTCAAAAAGTGTTATTTACGAGTTCATTTAAGAGCATTCCTCATCGTTTGCTTGAATTCCTGAACCCATTCTTCCTCTCTCTTTGTACTCTCTCTTTCTATAGAAGAATATGCTACCGAATTTTGCTTTAAAGCGATATTTTGCGTTTGTTTCGATGCATGGAAAAGATGAAATACATTTAATGAACTGTCTAGTTTCTGGACTTAATATGGTGGTGTCATCTGCTTCTAGTGCTTCGTGGAATATCTTCAGCAGAAACAATATATATATTTCTATATTTCTTTTCAAAGGAACTTGGATGCCATGTTTTCAAGATTGTTAACACGTTTACAAAATACGCCAAACATGAGGATGAAAAAGGGCGAAAGGTGACTGCAGAAAATCTAGCCTTTTATCTAAAATGTTATATCATTCACCATTTTTACCATATAATTTCGTAAAACGAGAGCCATCTTGCTCTACATTCCAAAACATGTACAGCTGTGCCTATAAAGGATGAGCAATATGTAGCAGACCAGTCAACATTGTATACTTCATAAATTTTCTATTGTATAAATTTTTTATATAGGTTTGATACTCTCATTAATTTCTGTGATTGCGCGTAAACATTCCCGCCATATAATGTTGTTTTAAGTAATAATTGCCTACAAGAGGATTTATTTCTATTCGATAATTGTCTTGCAATTCATACTCTCTAGGCCTTGCAGTTTCTTCGTTTCATTGTTCTGGATAACAGCGAACTGCTTAAAGATGCCCTGGTCAACTTGCCTCCGTTTCCAGACACACTTAAATTTGGACCTCTGTCAAAGAGACTTGAATGCCTTAAAGAAGAGCATTACACGAGGAATGTGAGTTTATTCTACTTTTGTGTTACAAAAATTGAATTTCTTGTCTTGTTGATCTGGTAGGCTTAGTTTGCTGTGGCGTTTTTGGTTTAGAAAAATCCTAGATTTTTACACTTTTTATTTACTCGTTTCGTAATGGACCGATGCTTGTTGGTTTTCTAAAGAAGTGCTCTATATGCCTGAATATTTTCAGTATGTATTCTCACATAGCGTGTGCTTTTAATCCATTAATACTTTTGGCTTTTGAAATAGATTTTTGAAGATTTCAAGACATTGTATGAACAAGGTTTGATATCAAACGAGGCAGTGAAAAATTTACTTCAAGTGCTGGAAAAAGACAGATACCTTGTTCAAAGATTCATCGAGACAAACAAAGGTATGCAAGATTTGTTTATCGTTGCATCTGTACAGTACCCTTTCTTGTCTACTGCAGACAAATACAAATTGAGTACATTTTCATGGGATCTCGCACTTAATGTGCACCATATTATATCTTTAAAAGAGCTTGAAAATTTTATCTTATAGTTCTAATTCGACGATAATTCTAATCATCAAATTCTAGATGGCAGCAAAACTGTTCTAGCTGTTGTTTCATGCCTGCTTGAGTTGGCATTGACTTGTGAACAGTCAGAAGAAGACGAAACAAGCAGAAATTTACGAATTAGTATTGCACAGTGTATTGGTGAAATTGGTCCTGTGGATTTCCATGCTTTAGCTCTCCCGTCTTCTAAAGGTAAGTTAAAAATCAAGGGCGGATATGGTAGCCATATATTGTTTCTTGTTCCGCTTTTTTCTTCAGGTACTTTATGCAGCGTATACTTTATGTAGCATATAAACTGCCATCGCTATCTTCCTTGCAAGTAATCGTTTTTTCATATTATCTTCACCGGATGAAATGCTCCACTTTGTGCTCGGATCGATCACATGTGATCACATCAGTAAAGTGATTTCGATTGATAAAATTTAATCAATGTACATATCATCTTAAATTTTTAACAAAATCATCTTAAGACATTAAATGTTATTTTAATTATAATTAGTTGTCTATCTTGTCACTTTCTGTAATCTTTTATTGAAAGAAACCTCAGCAGATAACTAAACTCAAAAATAAACTTCAATGATTTAACTCAATAAAACTCTATATATTAAGTTGCCACGATCTTTTCCTTTCGCAGGTAGCGTTACGGCCGAAGACCAAGAATATTTTGGCTCCAACAAATCGGCCTATCGATACCATATTGTTTTTGACAGACTCAATTCCCTATTGACCGACGAAAGGTATACTACATGTGATCACCTACGTATATTCTTTAACTACTGTTTCATTTTATGCTCTGATGGCAACGAATGATTTCATTTTCACAGCGTATAAGAGCAGCTGATTGCCTTGATCCGAGTAAAGCAAGTATTGAGACACTGTTTCAGTTTATTCGTAAATCCCTGCAACTAAGAAGACAATTCGCACGCAAAACTAGCTTCTCATTATTTGCAAGCAAATTTGCAGTCTCCTGTAAATTCTCAGCGTGAATTTCTTTTTTTGTAGCACTGAGGTTGTTGCGGCAGCTGCAGCTGCCTTGAAAGACGCACTTCATACTAACAGCGGAATCCAGCATTTGAATATCTTTGACCTTGGCAAAGGAGAAAAACCCAAGTTTTTCTTGTACTGTGAGCCGTTTAAGCCGATGAAAATCAAAAAGGTGCGCGAGAAGATACTGCATATCAATAAAACTCCCAGTCTTTGTTTTACAAATATTCTGATATCTTTTCGCATACGATTTGTTTGTAGTTCGTTTTTTATGCTACCTCGTGAATTCTGCAGGGTTCCATTGATATTGCAAATTTTGTATACAGCAGATAGGATGTTACCAATATCAAATCCGGAGGTTATGTAGGCTTCAACATCCAACAGTAATTTTTCAACATCAAAAAAGATAAATGAAGACGATCATGACATAGCTATTTTTGAATAATTTTAGAAATGTTATTTTCCTTCTCTTTTGATTAATTGCTAAAAATCTTAAAAAGATAATTGTTTTATGCTAGAGATAAAAGAGCAGCATTTTTCTGGTACTGTGTATCAACTATATCCTCAAATGTCCTCCCTCGCAGCTATACATTGCCCTTGTAAAGGATTTCGTAATTTGTGATAAATTTTTCATAAATTTACATATTTTTTAATTTCAATTTGGGAACCCTGAAATTCTGTAATCGTCCCCAGGTGGGGGTAGATTTTTCAGATACAGTGTTATTGAGGGATGGGATATACATTTAAAGAGCATATGAAGCCCAATCACAATGAAGTAAAAATCACAAATAAAATAGAAAACTTAAAGACTCATTGCTAACAATGCGAGCGTGACGACGGTCCAAACAATGGCAGTAATTGATTTTAGACAGTCTAAAAATGCATTATGGGATGCTTACAAAGCGCAATGGCTCATTGTTAGAAATGAGTCTTTAAGAATTTTGTAATATCCATTACTTGGGAAGACGGTGGCTTTTTTTCTTCCTAAAACGGGGGTTATAAGCAAAGAAGGCTTAAAAGAAAAAAGTGCTTAAATATCGGTAATAATTTTCTGTAGGATCCTTAATATCCAGCGGTCCATATTTTTTCATCTGATTGGGTTTATTCGTTTTCATATTATTATCCCTTATTATCTCAAAATATAAAGCTTTATCAACTTTTTAGTGTTCACATTTGCCTCAAGAGATTGCAAATAACACTGATATTCTATTCATTTTCATCAATTTCAGTTTTCGGATCTTAATTTCTTGCAGGGATCTCAGAACTCCCAGCCTCAATCTGCACCAACAGTAAACAATTTCATTGCTCATGTTGGAGGGGCAGATTTATGGGAACCTGACCTAATGCCTTTTAATGACTGGGTGAAGGAGCTCGCGTTCAGGCTTGCTAGCTCAGGGGCAGTGGAGGATGACATTTTCCAGAAAGTTGCACCAGTGTGCAAACTAAATGTGAGTTTTTTCTGTAAAACAAATTTATGATCGAATTTAACAAGGCCTTTGCAGGGAATCAGAATTATCGAGAAATGCGTTATTTTTGTGCCGCTTCCGTGTAGGTAGCTGCTTATAAGCTTGCTGAACCTCTTCAAAGCAGCTTGTATCACCCATTTTTGTTGTGAAGCTATTTAAAAGTAAGTCAAACTTTCATATTTAAAAGGTTTTCAAACTGGCTGCACCAATATGTTTTGACTGAAGTATCTAAAGAATTTAAAGTAAAAGAGTGTAGGGCTAGATCTTATGGAATCGTATTTTGGATCAAAAGAGTCTCTGTATCGATAACTCACCCAAGTTCACCGTAATTTATCAATGTAATTTATCAATATCGTTGAGGCTTTTTGCTGGTTCATTTACATATATTTCATTATTGTTATTCTTCCCAATGATCCATTCAGTTCCTTTTTTCTAACCGGAATGATATTTTAATGCATTTCATGAATTTAACGTTAATTTAGAATAAATTCCGTCAAATTTCCAGGCAAACTTTGCTGAGTTGCTGCTACCATTCCTCGTACATAACATCCTGGCCAATTGTAGCAATGAAATCAATTCAACGCTGTCTTCGCTTTTCAATCGGTTTCTGTCCACCTATCTATCAAAGCGCAATACTCCAAATCCTTCTCATAGCCAAGGGCCTAATTCGCAAAAACAAGTTTCAAATATCGGTATGTAGTTTATATCAAGCGCCTTTTAATATTTTTGTCCTCTTTGCTGAAACGATGTATTTTCTTTTTCGCAAATTTTGATCAGCATATAATTCATATACTAATCAAATATATAATAAATAGTGTAATTACTTGATGATGTTTGCGCATTATGGAATGTTTATTGGAGGTAGACGAATATCAACCCATTTTAGGCCAGAGTAATTATTTTCAAAAATATTTAAAGTGCCACTGAATTGAAAAAAATGAAATTTTTTTTATTGTTGATTCTGGTAGACTAATCATCGCTGATTTCGTAAAAAAAGTTTAGTTTTTTAATTTGGAGCCCACAAATAGGGGTTTCTGGGGTTCTTTTGCGTGTAGGTCGTGCGAAAAGAGGCTGGGGCGAGTGACGCATTCAGATTTATATAGTCAATTCAGCCATAGTGAGGGCTGTAAGAAGATAAAAAGTTACAAATTGTGTAAATCATGATACAAGCATGAAACTTGATAGAGATAGGCAGTTTGATACGCTGAAAAAGATAGGATATGAATTGACCCTGAAAAATCCCCCTTGTGCTATTTATAGAGTGGGGAACTAGGTTCCAAACCTCTAAGCAGTAGTTGACAAAATTTAGCCATTAGATCGCGAAACCAGCATGGAACGTGGTAGTAATAGGCAGTTTGATACGCCGAAAAAGATAGGATATGAATTGACCCTGAAAAATCCCCCTTGTGCTATTTATAGACTGGGGTACCAGGTCCTAGACCTCTAAGCAGTAATTGACATAATTTAGCCATTAGATCGCGATACCAGCTTGGAACTTGGTAGTAAATGGCAGTTTGATACGCCAAAAAAGATATGAAGCGAATAGACGCTGAAAAATACCACTTATGCTATTTATAGACTGGGGTACCAGGTCCCAGACTTTTAAGGAGTGATTGTCATAATTTAACTTTTAGATCGCGACATCAGCATGGAACTTTGTAGAGATGAGCAGTTTGATACGCTGAAAAGGATAGGATGCGAATAGACGCCGAAAAATTTCCCTTGTGCTATTTATAGACTGGGATACTAGATTCCAAACCTCTTAGCAGTAATTGTCACAATTTAACCATTAGATCGCGATACCAGCATGAAACTTGATAGAGATAGGCAGTTTGATACGCCAAAAAGATGGGGTATGAATAGAAGCTTAAAAATATCCCACCGTGCTACTTATGGACTTTTAATCAATTCCATTTAAAATGAACTTCTTTACTTTTTGAGGTCCCCTGACCACGAGGTTCTGGGGCAACTTATCCCATCTTGACGGCCCTGGCAATAACTGATGCTTTGACAGTGGCAACGCAAGTTGGAAAGTGGGAAAAGCGCCCAGAAATGTGCAATTTGTGTGGTTCTATAATAGATCAACTTTTTCCCTTGATCAGTTTGCTCACTTTTATTCATAATTTGTAAAGCTGTTCGTAAAAGCATTCTTATTCGACACGCTCAATAATTCATAAAAGGTAATTGATCGGCATGAAGTCTTGGTAAAAACTGCACGCAAAAAGTTTGCTTTTTTCGTATGGGCTCGAAATTTTCACAAGAAACGCACTATTTCCATCCACTTCACGTTTTTTTTGGTTTTTTATCGAACTCGAAATACAGTCTTCAGTACTGAAGCCCGCATCACTTCCGCGACTTATAAACGTTAATGCGTCACACATTCCTGAAATTCCTCACAGACCGCGCACAAATTTTCGCACAAAAAGTCTTGAAAATCGCAACTTTGAAGCGTTGTAGCTTCAAAACACTTCACAATTCCGAAAAGCGAACTTCAGCATCGGATTCAGGAGCACCGACTTGAATTAGAACATCAATAAAACAAATTTTGATTTTTTCAGTTCAGTGGCACTTTAACTTGTCTGTGCCAGAACTTCACAATGTCATTATGAAAATATTTCACATGTCGCCTGTCCATTTTTACCCTATGTTCATTTGAGTTGCTGTTGGTCTCAAGATGCAATGTAACCGTACTTTTGAACATATGCAATGAAAAGCCCATTCAATGAACTATTTGTATTAGCTTTCGTGTCACTATTCTGTCAAATGTTTCCTATTCTAGTGCTAGGTAACTCCAGGCCTTGCATTCTCTTAGCTAGTTCTGTTCTTTAGATGAGAAAGCGAAGGCTGCAAGGTTGTTAATCGACGTGGTGAACTACCTAAGAGATCAGGACAAACCATCTCCAAATGCCAGACAGCTAAACACAAAGTGGGATAATAATTTCTGGCTGGACATCAGGTACTTAGATTTAGCGCAAGTAGCCTCAGAATGCTGTTCACATTTCGCTGCAGTTATGTATACTGAAATCTGGTGTGACATTCAAAGGTAAGCTATGTAATTTATGCTTAAAATTTTTCTTCTTCCACCCATCTATGAAAATATGTTAAAAAGATTTTGCAAGTTCCATATAAACTCAAGAAAATGTAATGCAGGTCTTCTTGTCTGTAAGTTTGAGTTAGAATTTGTTTCATATGTTTTTCTTAAAACTGCATGTACTTAGAAGCTGCCAGCGACCGTCTATTTGTGTACATATGGTTTTGAAAGCTGCCTCACGTGCAGTGATATTTATGTATATGCCAATGTCGTTTTTTAACTTGAATCTTTACAAAACGAATCTTGACAAGGCAAAGCTTAGTCTATCTACAGTGTTTCATTTGCTATTTAGAATATGTTCCTGCATTATGTGTTGTGAGACAGAAGGAAAAGGGATTTCTCCAAATTAAAACAGAACAGATATCAACAGAATAAATTTAACATAAAGTCACGCTTAATTACCTAATTCATCTAATTCATACGTAACAGTCATGTCACTTCATTATAGAACTTTTACTGCGGCCCTCTCCCAAGCATTGGTTTACTCAAGTTGCCTTAAGTAACATCTTTCAGTAGGTTACATTAAAAGAAATTTTCGAGAAACCTTCCTGTGGCTGTTGTGTATTGTGAAGTACCTTCAAAACGTTTATCTACTACTGGTTTCTACACAACAGATATTGAATATTATCTTGCAGATCAAACTCAAAGGATGTCTTGAATTCAGATCCAATAAGTTCGAGTCAATGCACCCAGTTGGAGGAAATGACGGACACGAGCAGTGGTAGCGAGGAAAAGGCATCTTGTCAAAGGCTGTTATTCGAGGCTTATCGAAGTATAGGCGAACCAGATGCAATGCATGGAGTTGGCACAGGATACTCCACTGATATTGACGCCAGAATCAAAGGCTACGAGTTTGAAGAGGAGTTCGGCAAAGCACTGCGTAAGTTCAATATTTCACATCAGTGTCACCTGTGGGCATTTATTCTCTGCTGGTGAATTTTCCAGCTCAATTTTTCTCTGATTTTTTATTTTTTATACTTTTGCATAGTTGATTGACTTTTTTCCAAATGTTTAGCCTCCATTTTTAACCCAGTTCCCTTCACAAAATAAATTTGAAAAAAAGTTGTTGACGAAAAAACTGATGTTGTTTGATCATGAAGTAATGAAGCAAAATTTTCAAGTTTCAAGAAAAAGGTTTTTGCTCGGATTTGTCCAAAGTCATGCACTGTCATCTTTTGAAAATGAATTATTTTTCTTACGTAAAGAAATTTTTCAGTCTGATCTAACGGAAGGTTTCTTTGAAAAAAGTTATTCATTGCTTTTGCCCGTTTTCGGTTCAAAGCCAATATTCCCATTCATAAGAGTTTTGCTCTATTGCTTTTTTCTTTTTGCATTCGCAGTGACCCAAGATTTGCAAGTCGATGCGGATATTTCATGCAGTCCTTTGGCATTAGCTCAGGTATTGCACTGTTTGTTTATCAACCAACAAAGTCTTACTTTTCTACTGGTAAAAATGCATCAGAACTTTCTTTCTTCCCTCATCTGGATTGTGTGTATATCTGAATCTAGTCTTTTCTTATTCTTTTTATCATTTAGTAAATAAACAATAATTCCTAAGGGATTTCTAGATACCAGAGTTAAACTCTAATGTCGATGTTTGTTTACATTATAATCTTTTTCTGCTTATTAATCTAACTTAAATCTAGCATGAATTATTTTTCCCCAAAGGCTTTATTTACACAAATAAAAATATTCCCTTAGTAAATTTTATTCAAATCCTTGTTCTCGTTTTTCCCTTGGGCCAATGAAATCTATCTTTCTCTACTTTATCTTTCGCCTTGGTTAAATCGATATTTTTTCAGTTTTTTGTGAATTTCCTTCTGCACATTTGAATATCCAATTAACCTCTAAACGGCTCGAGCGGAAAGATTTCAAGATTTTATTTATCTCTTTTTTAAAATTGCAAACCTCAACAGAACTTAGAAAAAGCTGGCCTACACCATGTTTTGCTCACTTACATGCGTGGACTCGACAAAACATTTGTTCAGGATGCAGCTGCGGTATGAATTTTTAGCTTGAATTCTGCAATATACAATAGCACAATTTCATTTTCATTATTTTTTTTCATTAATAATGTGCCTGATTTATTTTTATACACTGGAGTCACACAAAAATGGAAACGGTGCTAAAAATGGTAATTTTTTAAAAGTTTTTAAAACAGAAGTTCAGCGCTAAAGGGTTTTTGTAACGAACGCTTTCGCCACGATTTTTTTGCGTAATTTCAATTGCTTTTGAATCAAAATAAATTTGAAAAATTACCTTACTGTTTTGTGGGTAAAAAGTCAAGGAAAACGTTGGACCAGTGCTTCAGAGAATTTCTGCAAAGTATTTTCGAAGGATTCATAAAAAAATGCCTCAAAGTACAGACGAAATTCAATAAGCATAAGATAATTTAATTAAACTTGAAACTTAATACGTGGGCCTTTGTTCTGACTTTAAGTATATTACCGAGAAGATCATTTTGGCTGAGATATCAGGATTTAAGTTATTAAAAGTGATATCAGGTGAAAAATTTCTAAAGCTGTCATTTAGCGATCAAAATAGTTGGCTTGCTAAATAACATAGACGCTTTGGGTTTAGATGATTCAGAATTTAAGATCATTAGATCATTAACTTCAAAAGCATAATAAATGTTTAACGTATTGGTTTAATTTTTTGATTGTCATGTGCTTAGATAATGAGCAAATCAGAATTTAAGATAAACATGTTATTAACATCATATGTAGAGCAGCTCACCTTGTGTCACTATTGAAACTGCTAACATAAATTTCTTAGTTATAATTTTTTAGCAGTTTGCTTCAAATTTCGACATTTTTAGTTCACGTTTCTTCAATAAAGTGACACTACATGGTCATCTTTCATGAATACTCAGAGAATCTTTTACAGATTTTTTTTGAAGCAATGCTTCAAAGTTTTGCCGAACTTTTTCCTTCAAAACAGCAAACCAATGATTTAATTTTCTTCTAACTGAAAGTCGAAGGAATGGCGAATTCATTTTCCCGCCATAACCTATCGTTTCCAAACCCCTTCACCTCATAATTCTGATTTTGAAATTGGTCGGCTTAGGCCCGTGGTCACCATTTTGTTAGCCGGCATTTTGACCTACCGTTTCCATATTTTTGCGACCCCAGTGTAGTTGTTATTCTTTAGGACGAAGCCCCTACCTTAAACACCCTTTCGAAACTGACTCATTGGCTCGTATGGACCTATTTTATTTCAATTTATTGCATGCAAAGTTTTCAGCCAGTATCGATACACAATTTTCTTATGTTTTTTAATTATGTTACATTTTCTGTACGGACTTTGACTTGCACTAAGTGGTTCACTTGGTTTGCTGGATAATTTAACAGCAGGACATTTTTTTCATCAAATTGTTACAAAAATGATTCACATTCACATATTCATTGTGTTTTCCCTCCTCGTTACAGTACGAGGCACTGCAGTTAGAAGCTTGTTGGCGCAATGGAGTATGGGATATAGAAACCCAATCGAGGTTTGTAACGAACTTCTTGGTCTCAAGTTTGACCATTTTCTTTACCCTGACGTTGAATCGTTTGTTTACACATTGGGTGTATAGAACAGGGCGGTCCTAAGTTCATTAGGCGATTGTCAGTCTACTGTTCATGTTACAATTCTAGGCCCTTCGCCGTGTAATAAGAGTTTTCATGTTAATGGTTTCATACAACATGAACCTTAAGCGAAAATTTATTGCCACGATCTTTATAAAATCAAATCTTTATCAAATCATTATCATAGCCATCTTGAATAGAAGTACCCACAAACTGCTTATATTTTAAGCCCTACAGTCTGCTAGATAGTACTATAAATTGGGATGTATTCTTCAAGACAGCTTCCACCAGCGAAGGTGTTTCAATGCTGTTTGGCCTCATGATCACTGCCCTTTAATCTTTAATTACCTTTTACCAGGTCCTTATCTACTATTGTTCTTTGAGAGGGGTGCTCAAACCCCTTTGTTTCCAATGTACCGTCCTTGTTGTTTCTATTTTTCAAATCAATGGTGCCCTACCCCCCCCCCCCCCCCCCCCCAATAGTTCTATTCTTCCTGTGGCAGTTCACATATACATTGTTCGATGCTGCTTTAAAAAACGGCTTGGTGTATAGTGCAAACAGACCGCGATAGCAGGATCTGCCTTTTTCCGTGATTACGTGTTAATTCTATGATTTATTAGTCTCTTATGCACAGAGGTTCTGGCTATAGCTACGAGGCAGTGTTATAAGTTCATCGTCAGCTCATTTTCTTTCTATTCATAGTTCTCCAAACCAAGACAAAACAACTTTCTCCAGCAATTTGTACGGCAGCATAGTTGCCCTGAAAGATGGGGATCAGTTTGGTTTTAAGTCTTTCATCGACGATGCGAGGCTCACTCTGCTGCGCAGCGATGAAACAAGAGGCAATGCTACCACTTCGAGGCTGTATGATTTCTTGTCAAAGATGCACGCGGTTACACAACTAGAATTGTATGGGCGGCAGTACTTCAGGTAACTCATTCACAAATGTCACCGTTAAATATAACTTGCTATCATTGCTATAACAACGACATTATGGGTATATTTCAGTAAATAGATTTCCTTTTTGTTTCTCTTCGTCTTTTCTTTAGACTTTAACCACTCTAGATATGCTTAACTTATAGGAGTTCAGGAAAATGTCGTTAAAGAATTTGTTGATCTGTGTTTGTGATATACAATGGCTTTTTTCTATTTTTTGGTCCCTTTAGGACAATGTAAAACTGTTGTCCTTTAGAAAGGTATAAAAACTGAAAAGCTTTTCGTTTTAAATTCATTATAGAATACACGCTTTGTTTTTGCTCTGTCAGCAAGGCATCTGATAAATATATGACGGGAAAGGAAAGGTAAATATATATAATTCTTTTGTAAAGGAAAGGTGTATGTAGATTTCTTTAGGTCATGTTTTTTCTTTTGAAACTTCGACTAGATTTATTAGCCAGAATTTGTCTATCTTTCAGCAAAGATCTGTTTGGCGCTAGAACAACTGCCCTTCCTAATGATTTCAAGCATTATGAGCTTTCGCTTTCCCTAAAGGCGGCTGCTTTCAAAGCAACCCTAGCAAGAGAAACTGCAAAAAATGAACAACCGAATGCAATGATAGACGACATTGCGAGGGAGGCTTATTCGCATTTCATGAGTTCGGCGGTGCTTGCGAGGGAGGCATCGAGATACCAGGTCTGTGAATTTCTCTGCTTGCTTATTGACTGATTTATTATATTTATCTAATAAACGTGAGTTTTTCACTATCAATGATGCATGGTTTCGTGCAAGGTCAACTGGCAAGTCGCCAAAATTAACATTTCTTGTGGATTCAACTGTTTTTTGTGGGTATCCAATTGCCGCTGGGCTATCTAATTACCGAAGCAAGCTTTATCTACCCCGAGCATTAGCATCATCGCTAAAAAATTGTATTCACATAAAATCTAACTAGCTTCTAATGAAAAATATCGCTCTGTTTGCCATGCTAGGAAGATAAAGCTTTTTTATTATGAATAATAAAAAGTGCTAAAACGTCTGCAAATGATGTTCTTCACGTGAATATTAATTCTCAATTCATATTATTGAACATTTTTGTTTTAATATAAACCTTGCCTGAATAATATCCACTGTACATTGGTCGTTACAATTCGTTTTTCTTTCATCCGTTGGTAGGAAACTTGTAGAGATTTCTTGTTACTCTTTTAGATGCTATTTTCTAGGTCTGCGAACGTTACCTTAACGACGTCAGCCATTTAGAGCAATTCGTTTCCATTCCTCCTGAATGGAAAATCGAGCAAGCCAAGATGTTCTGGGATCGAGGCGAAAAGAACAGGGCGATGTATCATTTACGATCCCTCATCAAAATATGCGAAAAAGTAAGTTTTAAATCAGTATAAATTAAAGATGAATGCTTCTCTACGTTTTTCTTTTTGAAACAGAGGCTTCTTATATCTATAGTTCTTCTATTTCATTCCATTTTTCTATGAAAATGATTATGATTTCTTTTTCTAAAGTTATGCTGCCTAGTAAGATAAAGTTTTTTTCTTCTCCAAAATTTTTTCAACGCAATGATTTTGATTGTTAAGATGTTTTTTTTGTTAAAATGTTTCACTACCATAACTTTTTGTGCCATTTATATTGTTATTTTTAAAAAAAGTTGCTTTCCCAATGTAGTTTTATTATTACTCTTTGGCAGAAGAGTTTTTTATTCTTTCACTTATTTATTCCTTTTTTCATTTCCCTTCGGAAGTTAATTTTCTGTTGATTTCCTCCTACAGAATTAAATGTTTTGCCTTTTTCAATTTCTGTTCTTTCTTGACAATTACTATCTTTTACAAAAGGGAAAAGACCCAAGCATGGCCGAGCTCTACCCAGCTGCACTTGGCATTTATGGCCACTGGCTGGCAGAATCTCGCTCTGAGAACCCAGGGATTATCATCGAGGATTATATGGAACACGTAAATATCGATTCAGTTTTGCTATCAATTCCCATTCTATTTGGTTATCAATACCGATTCTATTTGGCTATCATTACCATTCTATTTTGTTATCAAATTTCTTTTGTTCATACATATTAAATGTCGATTGTGCCAATTATACGTTATCTGTTGATATTATTTGTTATATAGGAAGTAAAAACAGCCTTTTTAGGACTATTTTGTGTAACATAGATATGTCAATGCTACATTATGATTTGCTATGCTCTTCTTATTCATTATTTACCACGTAAAACTTTTATAAAATCGACGAAATAGTTATACCGACCAATTTCTTATATCCATTGTACATCTCTTTAACGCTTATCCAGAATTTTTCAAGTCCCAGCATTTGTCTTGGTGCTTAAGAATCGGCCCAAACCACCTTCATTTTGTAACTTGCTCTCCGGCACCAAATTAGAAGGTGATTGTAATGGCAGGCATGAGTTTGTATTATCTCAGTAAATGAAAAATATATCTAACGGGCTGAGATGATGTAGAGCAAATGATTGGTTACAGAAAGAACTACTTCTGCAGCTGCTAAAAACCAGGCTGGAAAAAATTGAAAAGATAAAAGCAATTGTTTGGAGATTTTTGTGTGAACACGTTTGTAGCGAATAATATTTTGATATTTCACAGTTTTTTAGTTTTGCTTATACTTGTTAAATAACCTCCATAACCAAACGTAGTGGGGGTCATAAGATTGTGAAACGAGTGAGTTATTCTCCAAAGAATGTAATATTACACCCCTACCTTTTCTAATGGAACACCAAAGAACTGCACTCTTTGCTTCTGGGAACTCGTTTTGCTTCTCTCCTTTTCTAGGCAGCCTGCTTGCTAGAAGATTCCCAATGCACGCACTCCGAAAATCCTTCCGAGGTGAGTGAGGTTTAGCTCCTAGATTTTTAGATTTTGCTCAGTTCCCACAGTGGTTCTTCCGAGCTTTGATTCGGGCTAAGTTTATTGTATGTGAAATTATCCAATATGAATTATTTGAGATTCAATTATTCTGCTTTGTCGTTTGTTACCATTTACCTCTGTAAGTTTCTTGAAATATTAATGTGTGTTTCCACAAAACAGAGGTATTTATTTGAGATTTATTCAAGCCCAAAAGGCCTCGAAAAAGTTCATCGTTATTCGGTCAAGGGGAAATCGGTATTTGATTGTCTTGTTTTTAGGCTTCTTCTTGTTTGCTTTTAGGCGTACTATCTTCTTGCCAAATACGCGGATACCCAGTACAAGGCCATCAAAGAGTATATCCAATCTTCTGCTTTTGAAAACAAACAGACAGTTATTAAAAATGTGAAGGTAATCTTTGCTTTAAAATCACGCAAATATGTTTCTTGTTCAATCAATGTTTTTATTCAATTTTTTCAAAATGAACGAATGCAGTAATATTTAGTTCGAAACTGTATCTTTAGGTTTTGAATAGGACCTCGCGACAATTACATATAGAATTATTCATAGACATCCGAGAATTAATAAGAAAACCTTATTTTATCACAAAGCAATTGACCAGAGAAGCGTCAAGTTAACTCATCCAGAATTTTGATATTTCAATATTGGCGTAAGAATAGATCAGTTGATATCGTTATGATCTTGGTTGAGTGCAATTTTCAACTTGTATAAGAAAATAGAAGGCTGGTATTGCGTGAAAGGATCGTCAGAATATATTTGTGAAAATTTTAAGACTGTAAATTCGATGTTTGTTTTAGGATGAAGTCAAAAGATTGGATGCTATGGGAGGCTCAGCTCAAGTAACTATGTATGTTTGAATGCATTTTATCTGAAAGCAGACTAAACAGTGCTGCTATCGAGATTTCTCTTAAAAAGGCTGCATTTTTATTTAGGGCATCGCAGTGGCTGCGCGAGCAACAGTTAAACTTGCAGATAGTTACCGTTTTTGCAATAAAAATATTGCAATCGGAAATCAAGGCTCAATGTTTTCCCAGTGTTCTTTGTATTTTCTCCGCATGCCATGTTAGCTGCTAAGCACTTGCTCCTTCGAAACCTTCTTCAGCCTACGCAGCTCATATATTATTCCCGAAATAATAATTCCAAAATCTATGTTTTTTCCATTTCTGAGTTATATTCTTGTGTAATATCATCTAGACATAAATACTGAAATCAATCTGAAAAGTTTTACTTTGACACTTTGCTAACGAAACAGGTTTTTACGGCGCACATTTCCTGCTCCGGAATTGCAAGCAATTGAGTTAGAAATCCAGTCCCTTCCCGAGATAACTCGCCAAGGCTTTGCAATGCCCGATCTGAAGATGTCAGCGTGACAATAGAAGGGGCTTGGAAGAGTCAGGGAGACTTGAGGCGGTGCAAAATACAGTTTAAAACAAAACAAATGTGTATACTTGCACTCCAACCATCCCTTAAGATAAATCTCTTTCCGCTCTTCTTGCAACTGGCCATCAAATACCATTGATATTCTATAAGTTGATAAATTATATTGATTTTGCCATTCTTTATCCAACAAATCATAAATGATTTTTGTGTACTTTTATTGCAGAAACAATAGATATTACCGCAGTCTTGTTGTTCAGTGTGAAGAAGATGAGAAAGAACTTCAACAGATGCTTAACGACAGAAAGCAATTCCTGCAAAAAGCTCTTGAAAATTACGTTCGCTGCATGTGCAGAGGGGTGAGTAGAACTAGAACCAATACTCGAATTCGCTCAGTGATTTGACTCAACATGACAGTTCCACGCGTTACCTTTATTTTCTTGAAGTAACCGTAAGTAAATGTTGGTTACTCATTTCTTAGCCCTTCTAGTCTGTTTTGTAAAAAGCCACGGTACATCCCCTATTTTGCTTTCTATTTGAAGAAACATAGTTCTTTCAGTTATGTTTTAAAGTGCAAATAGAATTATATATGTGGTAATACTATATATTGCTTGGTATTGTTACTTGATATTTTCTGTTTCTGATATTTTCTCTCATTTTCCTGTATCAACAAACATTCGTCATTTTGAAATATCATTCCCAAATTTCAAAATGTATAACAAATTTAGAAGCCAAAATTCTGAAAAATTCCAAGATGTTAGACTAACCGTATATGTTTCTTTTAAACACAAGTTCATGCTTACCGTAATTCTTACCGTAATTCTTATCGTAATTCTTATCGTAATTCTTACCGAAATTCTTGTGGTAATTCTTACCGAAATTCTTACCTTAATTCTTACCAAAATTTCAACTGTTTTTTTATCCCGACAGGACAAGTATGATTTAAGAATATTTCGACTGTGCTCATTGTGGTTAGAAAATTCTCATGAAGAAAGTGTTAACAAAGTTATAAAGGTAGTAATTTTTTTCATTTTGTTGTAGTATTAAAGTTGTATAGTGTCCTATTTGATTTTTTACCGAGGAGCATTCGTAATAATTTATTTCAACGTAGGGTCTGTGACTTTTCTTGTGCTCGTTATTTTTTTAGGCTGAGTGATAATTTTCTTTGTTAATTGTAAATTGCTTGGAAAAATATTAACGAAGTGTGAAAGTGTCATTGAAGTGTGAAACAGGAAAGTAGACTGAATCCGCTTTAGTTTTGTAAAATATCGTTTTAAATAAGTAAAATGAAGAAATGCTCGAATTTTGGCACCCTGGTTTTTTCTCTCGATATACTCCCTTCAAATAATGAATGCTCCCTTCATATACGCATTTCATATGGCATGCTTGGGTTTTGTCGATTATAATCAAATATTCATTCTTTCATTTCGTCTTATTACGTTTTTAAGTTATCAGTCAAATGTGACCGAGAAATCACTTATCGAGAAGCAAACCAGTTGTGAATGGCTATATTTTTCATTCGTTAAGACTCTTCTTGCTTCATTTATACTGAGAAAATTGGATACTTTTCCATAGAACTGCATTGCGACAATGGAGTCACGAAAATTTATACCGTTAATGTACCAACTGGCTGCAAGATTAGGATCTACAAAATCCAAGGAATCCCACCTCTTTAATGAGAATCTTGAAAAGGTGAGTTTGCTGTTAATTCTTTCTTTGAAAGAACACAAAGTCCCATATATATTCTTTTAGATCTTCTAAATTTGATAGAAAATTAATGCCAAGTAAAATACTTTAAAGATACATTCATGAAATGTAATTTTTTCTCTTAAGCTGAACTAGGCCCAATCAAAGGCTAGATTTTCGAGCTTAATCTCGGAACAAGACTTCAGGTCAAACATTGATCACATTCAGGACTAATTTATTGGCTAAATTTGCATCTATCCAAGACTAAATTTTAGGCAAAATTAAGTCTGATCCAAAACAAAATTTTGATTAAATTTTAGTCCGATTGAGTGATGCTGGAAGTGTTTTCCCTTGATAAGCTTGCTTTTTGGAATCAGAATTTTTATGCTACGCAACTCATTTCTCGCAAAAAAACCAAACAATTTTTGTATGAAAGATTGGCTCAATAGAAACTTCACTGAACAATTGATCAAATTCTATTAATGACGGATAGATTTGCTCTTTAATCTGCTGTAGCCTTTTATTAAATCGAACTTTCCACAACAATGACAACGTCGAAGCAACAGCTGGACTAAACTTAGTTTCCTTCTGAGTGCTGTGAAAAAGCTGTTATCTTTAAACATCTATTGAGAACACTGCTTAAGGCCACACTTAATTATCTCATAAAATCACTTGAACAGATGATTACGGGAAAAAAACTCTTACAAGTAGAGATCCGTAGCAGGTAATTCTGATACAAGTTTTTCAAGAGGCCACTCTCAGCAAAATGATGCTGTTAAAAGTTTAAGAAAAGGGCCATCGAAAGGTGTTACACATTGTAGGGTCAACACAAAACCTGACTAGCATATCATATTGCGTAATATAATGGACAAGAGGCCAAGCCTCCATCCTGCTGCTCTACTGTATTACAAGGCCCTAAGTAAATCGTAATTCAAATTTGCGGCTAATTTTTAAGGTTAACCGTCAGTGGTTCGGTTCATGCCGTTCGGTATGAGAGTGTTTGCCAAGCCAATGAGGTATTGCCCTTTGGCTCGTCGAACACTCTCTCGTTTGTCGTTAAGTTGCAGTAATGGTGTTATTGTAAGGTCATTGATGGTATGTTCTAGGCTGCAAAAATGTTCTGCAACACCAGACTTTTTTGTTGATAATGTCTCGCCTGTGTTCGTTAAATCTGTCTTTCAATCGTCTGCTTGTTTGTCCGATGTATTGGCAGTTCTTGTGTCCGTTAGTTAAACATCGTGTGCATTGTAATGCGTAAATAACGTTAGTAGAGTTGCAGTCCAGTCTTTGTTTTATGTCGTAGTTTTTGTCAGTTTTAGTAAATTTAAATGTAGTAGCACCGTCTGTGATGTGTTGGCATGTTATGCAGTTACGTCGCGAGTGGCATTTTTAAATGCCTCTGGGATTACTGGGTGTGCCACTTTTTATTCTGGCACGAACCAGTATATCCCCGAGGTTATTAGGTCTGCGGTAGCTAAGTATAGGTACGTCAGGGAAGACTTTGATTTCATATTTTGGAGCTCTGTAATATGTTGATGTTTTGTTTGAGGATAGTAGATAGTTGTGGCAAAGATGGGTGATAGGTGGCAACAAATGATGTTCTGTGATTTTTACGTTGTTTTGTGGTTTTCCGGCAGTCCGGCCTGGTTTTTTAGAATCCTTCCGTATTTGTTTGCGTGTCTGTTTTGTTTTGTAACCTCGTTTTGTCAAGTATTGTAGTAGTTGTTTTGTTCGGAATTTGTAGGTTTCGTCTTCCGAGCAGATAGGTCGTAGTCGTAGGGCAAGACTGTAATGGGATTGACTGTTTGGTGTGTTTGGGGTGTGCGGAGGTGCTGAGGCGGAGGTGCTGAGGAGATACTGGTGTGTGTCTGTGGGTTTGACATAGAGATCTGTGGAGAGGGTGTTGTTTTTGTTGATAGAAATTGTGACGTCAAGAAAATGTATGGATTGTTTAGATTGTTCACTGGTGAATGTAATTGCTATATTTTAACAGCAATAATAAGTTGTAGCCATTGAGAAAATTATAAATTGAGCAGCTGAGAACCATTGACAAATTGTGGTGTTAACTTTTCATCTTCTGTTCCACTTGACAAATCTACTACTTTCTTTCATATGCTCCAACCTTTAATTAGAAAAAAGTTGTTGAATTATCGGTCTATCCGTTCATGTTGTTCTTGTTGTCTTTAAAGTAGTTATTTCAACGCGTGTCATTAGGAATGCAGAGTCAGCAACCGTGTTTTGATCTTGCTTTTTATATTTCCACTACAGCTGTTGGAAAAGGCAGCAAAGGATCATCCGTATCACGTGACTATCATTATCATGGCATTGTGCAACGTTGAAAACGAACCAGCAGAAACGGCTGCAACTTCAAGAAGGGGCAAGCTAGGCCGAAAGACTGCTGGAGAGAAGAACAGTTTTGCAGAGAAGGTTTGTTGAATTTTTTTAAGTTAACCTCTGTGAATTTGTACAAGTGATCCTGCAACCTATCAATTGGTGAATTGTTTACCTATACGCATATATTGACTTGAATCTCATTCCCAAAACGAGGTCTTTTTTGCTGTACAATTCCTCATAGATAAAATGCTTCTTCGTAATAATTGCAAATATTACTACGTAATATGCTAATATTTGCGTAAGTACCGCATGTAGTAGTCAATGTCTAGTCAATGTCAATGTAGAAAAGATCCTTGTTAGGAATGTCTAGAAAACATACTCTAAAATGCACATTTTGCAAGCAAGTTTTTTGAACCCAGCAATAAAATCCTTAATTATTTCATAATATGTAACCTTTGAAATATTGCAAAACACTGCACAGTTCAGATTGACATTAATGCTACTAAAGATTGATAAACAAAGACTGTACCCTTATTCTTCTCTCAAAAAGGGCCGTGTTCACTCCGCAAGAGCTCTGCTTCAAAAACTCAAAGCCTCAAACCCTGAATTGATTGACACAATGGAAGCTGTTACAAATGCCTACATGGAGCTTGCTAATCATGACATTCAGCATTTAAAAAGACAGACAGGTATGAAATTGTTAATTTTACGGAAGTCAGTACAAATGATAGTCATTTGGAATTGCTCACCTGTCTTTTTACTATGTGAAATAATTTCTCGTGTAATTTTACAGTGCAATTCTAGGTTATCCTGGATTTGGAATCATGAACAGTTTTTGTTATCCTTCAAATCATTACAGAATTGATCCCACCACTAAACTGCTCTGTGCACTTAATAAAAATCTAATTTTTATTTTCGTATTTGCACGATTTCTATCACTATGACATATCAATCTAATAGCATATTACTTAGCATATCAAACCCCATCGAATTTACCGAAAATTCTTAATAAGTTTTGGTTTTCAAATATTGTGGGAATTTTTGAGTAACAAATGCTTGCATTTCAATAATTTAATATAATTTCAATAAGATAAATTTCCTGCTTGTTGACACTGTTATGTAAATTTGTGAAGGCAGATATTTAGAGCTCGGTGATTTGCAAGATAATCCTTTCCTTTTTTTAGTTGTTGTAGTTCTGTGGCATTCTAATGTAAATATAGGGGCTCCCCCTATCAACCATGATTAGACCAAAGACCACAGTTGCTCTCGAAATTTTATAATCAAACTGACGGATTTTAAATCTTGGAAATCATGATAATCATTTTCAACTTAACAAGTGCCTTCGAGCGTTACTTTAAGGCCGTTGAAAAGTATAACAGTTTTCGAGCTAGCAAGAATTTCTCTGTGAATGAGAGCCGAACATTGCACTGAAGCAATTGACGTAGCAGTGTCACCAAAGTGATTCATTTTGTCTTGTTCGGTTTTGGCTCGGGAAGGGGCGGCTTTTAAAAGTTACAACTTTATGAAATTTTGCAGCGAAAAAAGTTTTACCGAACTAATTCCCAGCAAAAAGCTCTCTTTGAAGTCAATAAAGGTATATAACTTATTTTGGCAGGAAGGCCTTTAGGCTCAGCTAAAGAACCAGAGCCTTACTTTGGGCGTTGGGATGCGAAACTTGCGGAAAAATAGCTCAACGGCTGTCTTCCGATAACTTCTAGTCGTTTTGTTTACCATTTCACGTTTAATTTCATTTTTAAGCCTTATTAAACATTTATTAATCATTAACTGAGCAGCAACCACCAAATCAATCATTCACATCTATGTTTTTGTGGCAATTTCTCGGCAAGAACCACACCCATTTGCCGAGGATTAACCAACCGCATCCTTCTCTTTGCTCAGGCCTGTTTTGAATCAATGTGACCATCCTGTGAACGTGGTGGGCATCAATTTCTTTGTTTACATTTAAACTGTGTCATGCCACATCAGGTTTTACCAGACCCCCCGCGTGTCTTTAGATTTTTTTCTATATTTTACGTCTCTTTTAAAGTTTTCATTATCGTTCAAATTTATTCCTATCTGACAGGCAAATTTGATCTGCCAAGCAAACTGTTAATTCGTCGAATTAGAGATGCCAAACATTTTGCCATACCAACACTGGATATACAGGTAAATAAGTTCATTTGTGAAGGATTGTTTCCAGGTAGCCGTAATTAAGAATATGGTATGCCAATTCTAGGTTTCACTTGAAAAAAGATCGTTGAAAGCTTTTTCAATTGCTTTAGTCGCGGGAGATTAACAGACGGAAAGCACTATGAGGGAAGCACTCCCATTTTTAATAAGAAACTAAGCTTGGAATTACCACTTGGTTTTTTTTAATTTTTTTGTGGTATAGATTTTTATTTTTGTGGTATTTTATCGCCGGTGCTAGAGTCACTTTCTAGAAACCCAAAAACCTAGTATGAGATAACATGAAATGGAAAACCCAATAAATTACAAGAAGCTAATTCTCTAATTATTTCTGTCAACTTAATAGGAAATAAATTGCCTTATTGTTAAAAAGATGCATTTCCACCCCATCTTTAAAAATGAATTTTCTAGCAGTTTCTTAAGGCTACGGGTGATCATTGCTAAAATTTCTTAATTTTTTTGTTCGTCTTGGGGCTTGGTGTCGTATAGACCGTTCTTGTTTATAATACATTGCGACTGTTTGGCAAAAGATTTACACGATACAAGAGAAATGCGAAGATTTTTACGTTGGATAACTTCTCGTGTGATAGTGGATACTCTGCCAGAGACATTTGATCTGTGGCCAATCCATAAAGGGCTCATCCTCCCCATTTTCTCATCTTTTTCCTTAATGTTCATCTTCAGGTTGATCCTTCCTGCAAATACAATGACGTGATATACATCTCGAGTTTTGATAATACATTCACCCACTGTGGAGGAATTAACCTACCGAAAGTGATCACGTGTGTTGGATCTGATGGCAAAAGAAGACGTCAGCTTGTGAAAGTACGATCCTTTTTTATATTCCTAGTAGACTCATTTTTCGGGTATTCTGTCTTTTGTTTTTAGTCAAACATTGATTTTTTACATCTGCACACTTTGACCACTGAATAACAGTTCTGCATGACATTTTAGTACTCAATTAACTACCTGATAAATCGTCCCTGTTTTATTAAGATGAGATAAATTTTTCAAAAGCAAATTGTTTTCTTCTAATTTCCAATGTTCTAACCTTTTCTTATTTTTTTGGCAAAACGAACCTCGGTATTCTTATAAAGTATAAAATGATCTGATAAATAAGAGTGTACTTGATAGTATCCATTCAAATCCTATTAAAAGATGTAAATGATAAAACTTAATATGAATAATTAGCAGGGTCGAAACCAATCGACTATGAATGATACAATATATAGGAGAATTGCTCACAAAACATAGTAACAGTCAAAATTATAATCATGAACTTATTTACAGTCTGTTTGTTTCTAGTCAACTCTAATTTACACCAGCTATCTACATTTTTGCAATGAAAATAGAAAGATTATAGAAACCAAATTAAGTTCAAATGTATCACCTACAGTTTTTTGCATCAGCGTAATTCCTCTCTGTATTTCACAAGGAGCGTTGTGGATTTTAAGTCATCACTAAGGGGGGTCACTTATTCTATAGGAGAGGGAATTTATTTCATAGCGCCGAGAATCAACCAAGGGGAGCTTGCATTGCTCCTTAGTACCCAGGTCTATACATCTTTTAGTACTATTCAATATCACATTTCTACATTTTTGTTTAGATGTTGCAATCGCTATTCGGATTTAGAGATCTTTTCTCAAATGCTCTCATTATTATCATTCAGTTACAATTATTTGAAATTACTCTCAAGACAATTGGTTTTAAATCTGGCTAAAGTTTTATCAGCCCTTTTTTCTCTTTTTGATTTCAGACCGCATCTGATTACTATTTAAAACTAAATCTAAAATTAAGGCATCGTTTGCATCTTATCTGGCTTTGTGTTGATAAACGATGAATTAGTTTATGTGGCATTTATATTTTAGTACCTGTTGCTATTACGATAAAGATAAAGATAAGATTAAAAAACAGATGGGCTTTAAGTTTAGCTAAAGTGCTTTTATCTGAGCCCTAAGTACTTTTAACTATTTGTCCATGAATCAGTATACACTTTTTTTATATGAACCAGTAAATTTAAGTTCAGGCTGACTGTTCTTAATTTTTTCGAAAATCTGAGGCTAGATTGTTCTTAATTTGTTCTTAATCTAATAAGGTGTAAGCAGTGCGAGTGCTAGCTTTTTTGCTCTAAGAAGGTGTTCAGGCCTCATTCGCCAACAGAGTGAGTGAGACAGCCTTAATTTGCTTATTCACCGAAAAAGCACCCACACATCGCTAAAAATCCTCGATTTTGAGAAAAAACGTTGTTCAAAATTGCATTTTGCAGAAGCTCAGCCTCAGCTTGTTCTTAATTTGTTCTTAACGTTTGACCAATTTTGAGGTTCGTGTTCTTATAAAAAAAAGAGTAACGCAAACTGTCGATCGTGTTTATCTTTTGACTTGCTCTCTGTGAAAATCTAGTGTGTATTGAATGCACTTACAACCTGGTTCGATTTTCCATGTTAGCCCGAGAATAATTTAATCTGTTAATTTGTATTTGTTAAATTCAATGTTATGCCAGCTTGGTATCGTATGTAATTCACAGTCTTTTGTCCCATCTCCAGCTTGAATGGGGACGCATTGATTCCTGTTGATTTAATGTTAATCTCGTCCTTTAGGGAAAGGATGACTTACGACAAGACGCTGTGATGCAACAAGTATTTGGAATGGTGAATCAACTACTAAAAGAGAACGCGGAGACGCGAAAAAGGCAACTGCGCATTCGAACATACAAGGTAGGCGTGGCTGTCACATAGATATTTATTACTCGATCAATGCATTTCAAAATGTAATTCTATGTACACGGATTGAAACGGGTAAATCTTTGCAGTGACTTCCATTCTCCCTTCAGATAGGCCCGTCATTATTTAATAGAGTAAATGTTAGTGTTGCTGAAAACTTTTGGCATGGATGGTAGCATCTGTTTCCTTTGTCTTTCCACCTCATTTCTCTTATCATATATCATGACTAGAAGATTTTCTTTTTCTAATGTCTACTATAATGTAAACACCACCCGCTGTACTCCTCTATTGCTGACCTACTCTGTCAAGTTTACCCATATCATACCGATATTTCATGTCATTTCTCCAGCACTGAATTTTTTCGCCCAATAACTTTGTCTCCTCCGTTCCAATATTGCAGGTTGTACCACTGTCTCAAAGGAGTGGTATTGTCGAATGGTGCGAAAACACATTTCCCCTTGGGGAATATTTAGTCGGCAATCGTATAACTGGAGGTGCCCATGCCCGATATCACCCCAATGATTGGTCGGCGGGAGAATGTCGCAAAAAATTTACCGTAAGTATTGCCGACTGATCATTTTCTATTGATCTGTGATAACCATTGACTTATTTGAATTTGCCCAGGTTCGTCGAACGTAGCAGATATCTTAAGGCAGAGCCGATGTTTCCGGAACTATACACCAAGATATAGCAATGGTGTGTCTTCGTAACCCGTCTCCTGCCGGGCTTCTTGCGCACCTGAATTTCTGGGGCATTCCTGAGAGCTTCCCAATTCCATGACCTCACACCATGTCAATTTGGCTTTTTATCTTCACTACCTACTTATTGCTCTTCAATGCATGACTGTACTTGCCAGCTAATTTTTCAATCCGTTGCCTCATAGTATGCCAAAGCAAGTAAGACAAGGTGCGCATTTATCTGGCCGATTGGAGAGCTATTTAAATGATCGTTTCTATTTGGATGATAATGTTTGTTATCTTTCTACGTACTTTTTTATAAAAAGCTGTTCATAACTATACTCGTTTCACATTTGCACAGGATGCTGCAAACTCGAATGGCAAAAAATCCCGATACGATACCCTCCAGGTATGGCTTCTTACTCCTTTTGATTACAAGCAATTGCAATAATACAGTTTTCCAATCTTATTTTTTGAGCACGCTTCTTACAAAGACACGTCATCTGGCCTGTTGACCATGGGTGACCGGGTGCCTTGTGCCTAGCGGGGACTTGAATGCAGTGAGAAATTTTCCCAATCAATGTTCAAATGTAGCTTATCAAGACAACATTGAGAAGATGATGATAATTTTGGTCGCATTTTAAGCAACTCTTTCTTCAAACCTTTTGCATGATTTCATTTAAAAATCTTTCAATCAATATCAGCTGGTTCGATTTCAGCTGATCTTATGATGATGCGACGCTTCAAACCACTGAGCATCGAACTTTAGAAGAACTGTTACGATCCTCTAAAAAGCTACCGTAACTGAACGATACATAGAACTGTTACGAAGAACTGTTACGATCCTATACGATCCTCTCAAAAGCTACCGCAACTGAACGATACATAGAACTGTTATGAAGAACTGTTACGATCCTATACGATCCTCTAAAAAGCTACCGCAACTGAACGATACATAGAACTGTTACGAAGAACTGTTACGATCTTCTAAAAAGCCACCGTAACTGAACGATACATAGAACTGTTACGAAGAACTGTTACGATCCTATACGATCCTCTCAAAAGCTACCGCAACTGAACGATACATAGAACTGTTATGAAGAACTGTTACGATCCTATACGATCCTCTAAAAAGCTACCGCAACTGAACGATACATAGAACTGTTACGAAGAACTGTTACGATCTTCTAAAAAGCCACCGTAACTGAACGATACATAGAACACAAACGTCATTCTTCATAAATTGATGCTTTGGTCTTTCAATCTTGACTCTTAACTCTTGTTTTATTTTTTAGAATATTATGTCAAACTTCCAACCTGTTTTTCGACATTTTTTCTACGAGAAATTTACAGACCCCGTAGAATGGTTTACTCGTCGTTTGGCTTACACGAGAAGCTTGGCTTCATCATCAATTGGTGAGAAATTCTAGAATCAACGTTAATTTTTGGTTTTCTCTTGATTAACGAAAGAAGTTTAGGATAAACTAGAATCTTGTCCATTTTATGTTAATGATATCATCATTTTTATGTCCATACTTTCATAGTTTCTTCTTCGTCAATTTTCATGGTCACCTGTCATGATCTTCACTAGAGTTATTTTGAATCCAACACAAAACTGCCTTTGATGCTATACCATTTTCATTCAGTCCCAGCCTGCATACAATAAATAAACTAATGGAAACTTCTGTCCAGTTCGTATTTTTCAACCGGATTCCATGATATGGCCTTAAATTCATAGCATTATTTGTAGTCGAAATGCGTCAAGAAGCTTTGTTTCGTGACAAGAGGTGACCTAGCTCTAAAATCAAACATATTGGTAGATGATTTTCGAAAAACAAGGCAGCTGCTGTTGAGAAGAAGCTACACAGTTGTTTATGTTAATTCAAATCAATTTTCAATAGTGTGTGCAAACCAAGCATTGTCACTCAAACCAAGAAAAAACTTTATTCCCATTTTGTCAACATCAGCCTTTTTTCTTTTGTTTGCCAAACCATTAAAAGTCGACAGGTTTTTTTAAAATAATAGCAGAAGTTTTGTGTTTTATGAACTGTGGTAAGAAGCAGAGCGGCCTGAATTTAAAAAGTGAATTTCTTGCACGCAAGCTTTTCGTGTCCATTGTTACTTTGATAAAACATGGATCAGACACCTATTTTTCTTTTTTAGTGGGATATGTTCTTGGTCTAGGCGATCGACACGTGCAGAATATTCTGATTGACTTCATAACCGCAGAACTGGTGCATATTGACTTGGGTTAGACATTTTTATTCTATGATTCGCTGTTGTTTTATCTTTGTATTCCTCTGGCCTTTGTTTAGAGTAAAAATGATCCCTCGTATTTTACAGTTGTTTTTTTAATATATTTTAATCTCGAATTCTCAGGAATTTTCTTATGTAAGCAGACTTGAAATTAAGTGCGAGAAACACTCTACTTATTTCTGTAGAGCCTTGCAAGCAGTTACATTTTATATACTTAGATATTAATAACATTTTAGTACTTATTCAGAAGCCTGCAACCTATGGTTATGCGATAAAAATTACACTCTGTCTGAATATTTAAGATCACACCACAGGTTTCTTTAAAAGGCTACAATATTTAAAATGTGCAACGACGTTCTGAGGTACTGTCACAACCGGGCCGAAGATGCACGAAGGTGGGGGAGGGGTGCGGGTGGGGGTGGGGGAAGGGTGGGGTTGCAGCCCCCAGTTATTACCAGACTGTGTTTTATTTCCTTTTTAACAAGCAGTGAATATAAGCAACTAAGTGGGTGGAACCTTTTTATGCTTTTGCTAAATACCTTTGTTCTCAATCAGGCTTGATATTGAAATTCTTATTAACAGGTATTGCATTTGAGCAAGGCAAACAGCTACCAACCCCAGAGACTATTCCTTTTCGCTTGACACGTGACTTGGTCGATGGAATGGGCATCGCAGGGGTCGAGGGTGTGTTTAGGCGTTGCTGTGAGAAAGTAATGGGCCTAATGCGAAGCTCACAAGAGGCCATATTAACGATCGTAGAGGTGGGTTCATTCATGAAGCTCCGATGTGACTAGTAATTGAACGAATTGACAAGTTCACAGTTGTTAATGTACGATTGTAGGCCTAGTCAACATGCTAGTCAAAAAACAGGGAATTAATTATTATTTTGACTGATCTTCTTTTGAAGTGCTCGAGTTTCGTTGGTACAGTGATAACAATTACCCGACATTACAACTGAAAAAGAAAATTTTTAAACTTTCGACTGAAGCAAATATTAATTGATACTTGGAAAATCCCATCATTGCAAAAAGTAACTTTTTATGTAGCTAACAGGAAGAAATGCAGTTTTTAGCAGAGCAAACGAATTAAAGCTTTTGACCATTTTCTCTAAGAATTTTCTGTGAATATAAATAATTATCAACAATCTATTTGTGACGATTGCTGATCAAATCTGGCGACAAAGATGTGATGAAGAAATGTTAGCTGAACAAGAAAAATGTATTTGTAGCCACAGTAACTGTCAGTGATTGAAATAAAACCCAAAAACCCAAATAGAAACCCAAGAAATAAAACAAATTAATGATTAAAAGAGGAATAGTTTTTTGTCCTAGTGTCAAGTATTTATGCTTCAAGTCAAACATTCTCGCACTTATTCTTTGACTTTTAATTTTGATGATGTAATGATTCGCTGTTTCCAGCGTTCTTCGGAATATTGCGGGCTATTTGAAAGAGTTTTAATCCAATGTTTTGAATGCGATTGTCTGCGAAATCCTGTCGATTAAGATTTGCTATTCATTTAGGTTTTGTTGTACGACCCCCTGTATGCATGGACACTGAGCCCACTGAAGGCTGTTCAGATCCAACAAAAGACTACGGAGGACGCGGGTGAAACTTTGCAGAATATATCAACCCTTGGCGACGACAATCTAGACACACTTCTTGGAGAACTGCAGTCCATGCAACCACAACAAGATCAGTCAAAAAACAAAATGGCGCAACGAGTTCTGATACGTTTAAGGCAGAAACTCGATGGCAACGAGGGGGGCTGCTTCCTGAGTACCGAAGGACAAGTAAACTTTCTTATTCAATCCGCGAGGGATACAAAAAATTTATGTCGTTTATTTCCTGGTTGGCAACCCTGGCTTTAGAAGCAGGAAATTTGATCTCGTTGTTTATAGAGACCCAATTAAGTCAAAGTTATTTATGCTCTGTTTTCCTATAATTTCCTGGTTTAAAAGTTGATTTTCTGATACACAATTTCTACGCCCTAATCCGCTAGGACGTGTTGACTTAAATCGTTTTTCTAAACTCAAAGCGACTTGTCATCAAGACAGGTCATCAAGGCATAGACAACTTTGACTTCAGTTTTAGTCAATGTTCAACTAATCTGGCAGCTTACATTAATCCCGATTTTATTTCGTTATTTCAATACGTCTGCATTCCTGGTGTTCTCGGTCAGTGACGTCACGTACGACGTTGCTTATAACTGTATTTTCGTTGACATTTAAAGTTTCTCTGGCACGCCATTCCCTGCTTGAATTTCCTTTAATTTCTAATGAAATTTCTTTTCGTGGGCTTTCAATTTGTTTATTTGATGATTAAGTTTGTTTTCCTGATCACACCACTTTAATTTTTGGGTAATTAGGTTTTTTGATAATTCTTCAGATTCCTGTGGTAAGTTCGAAAAGTAAGATTGTAAAATCTGTGGTTTATGCTGCAATACAAAGAGCTGTCGGGCCGAGATTAGGAACAAACAGGTCAGCCACATCCAACACTGCTAGGTAATGGAAAAAGAATGTTATGCCTTTCATTGCTGTATTAAGACAGCAATACTCAAACGTATCTTGGATTTTTTCATTTGCCCCGAGCAACAATATGTTCCAATTAAATAAGGCAGGCTTGTTTCCGAAATGGTTTACTGGATCTATTAGTGTTGACCGAAAATCAACAAATTTGCATTGCTGAAAACCGATTTATCTTTGCTTTATCAAGTAAAAAATCCCCGATAATAATTAAATTTGTGTTCATGGAAACTAACTTCTATTTGCTACAACCTTAGCCCCTGAAACGATAAATATTTTCGCATACTAATTCGAGCGATTGTTGCTCTTTTTTTTAATAACTAAAATGTAAGGATCTGAATCCAGCTATCTTGCCTGCTCAATAGAAAATCAAGTGAGTGACCCCCCAAAGTAACCTCATTTTGTGAAATATAAAACAAAATAGGAATTTTACGGGAACGGCGTGCATGAATTACATACAGTGTAGTTTTGAGAGTTGTAGATCACCTTGACCCCTGAAATGTTGTTGATCATTTGGCTTTGATTAATTGTTTCATGAAAGCTATCTTAATTGTGGCAATGTTATGTTCAATGTACATATTGCAAAAGTAAACGTTTTTTCTTGTTGCTCTATGGTGTTTACAACATCAAGTGATTTTTAACTGTTGTTTTTGTTGGATGTATCGTCATTGTAATAATTCTAGCCGTCTCATTTGTTCCCTCTTGTTTTTCGTTGTTGTAAATAACTGCATGTTGCGCTAGGGCTGTTGCCCGTGTTTATTTTCAGTGTGCAAAAATCAGTGTCACTGAAGTAAACAGTTTTTTCAAGTGGTGAAGTAGATTTCTTGTTTACTTTAATTGAGTTTTGTTCTCGTTCTTTACCTAATAGCATCATCATCAATCTTTTCCTATAAACTAACCTATAGTTCTTCTTTCAGAATATGTTTCACAAACCAGAGTTTAAATTGTTTTTGATTTGAAAATAAAATGATTTTAATTATGCCACTAGCGTATTCCGGCTACTCATCTTCTTATAAGGACCTTAATGTCAACTCGAAGGAAACTACCATCCATATTAAATCAATCTGAATCTTATTATATAAAGCTATCATTACAATACAATACAATACAATACAATACAATACAACACAATACCAGTGGCGTAGCGTCCGGGTATTCAAGGTATTCAGTGAATACCCTGAGATTTCTCAGAAAAAATATTAATACGACGTATAATTGTAATAAGTAAAAAATGTTTTGGGGCTATTGATTCTGGTTGAATTCGTTGCCTTCGATATTCTACATTTAGTACAAGTACAAAATATCACGAAATTCATGGAAACAATAACGCTGCGAAGCATAGAGAAGCTGGGAGATCTTTGAAGCTAATTTTGAAGATTGAGCTACTTCATGTTGTATGGAGATCGGTCATGAATACGCAGTGAATACCCTAGACGGTACTTTAACCAATCAAAATGCTCCTTTCCATGAATAATATTTGCCGTTAATCAGCTAAAACAATGGTTCTGTACGCTGAGAAATATGCAGCGTACAGCCTCAAAGTTGGTTCAAAATAGTCTCGTTATGAGATCGATGTAAACAGTTAATGGACGTCGGAGCGGTTGGAGTGATGGAGCTGCATCGAAAACAGTAAACATGACTTAATTAAAAAAACTATTGCAATGTCTGTATTACTGTTTCATAATCATTCTCTCATTTGACCCCTAATCTTAATCTACCAACAGCAAAGTGGAAAGGAAAGGTAGGCTGCTACATAATACTACACTGATTCAGATCTGTTCCCTCTTGAAATGCCACTTTGTTATTGCTTGCCAATCAGGGATGTTTCTGTTTGTATTATGTGATAGAATTAAAGTAAATGCAGATAGGCCTGGATAATATCCTTATAGTTGCCTGGTGTATTCAGTTATCTTGTTGGCCTATTTTGTTTGCATTATTCGAGCGCATTTATTTGCATTATTGTGCAGTCTCGTCTCATTACCTTCGATTCTTTCAAATATTAACTTGTATTGAAAATATCACGATTAGACCCTGAAGAAAAAGTCTATACTGCATAGCACAAAATCATTTATAACTCATGTAATGCCCTAAGAGAATAATTTTGAAACTTTCGAAAGCCCTTTTGTATTAAAAGGTATTAAGAGTAGGTGTTTACAGTTACTTCCTCTTTACATCAGTGCAAATTTTAGAGGATTCAACAACAACTATTGGGACATATTTCGACCAGCAAAATTTTACTGATTTTCAATGATACGTTTTGATTTGAATTACTTTTGATGAAATGGAATTTTGATGCAACGAATGAGTTCGAAGAGTATATTTGAAGGGTCCTTTAGCAAAGTATCGTTTTTATCATAGCAATGCCCTGACAGTGCAGTACTTGCCAACCGAACCAAAAAGAAAATTAGATAAAATGTCAATAGCTAGTCCTTTTAATCTTCCTATTATCCCTCCTATTTCCATCAAGCCCCATCAAGCCACACCCTGTCCCACCCTTTTGATTAATAGAGAATACCCAGTTGAAAAAGTCACGCTACGCCACTGCACAATACAATACAATACAACACAACACAACACAACACAATACGATACAATACAACACAATACGATACAATACAATACAACACAACACAACACAACACAACACAACACAACACAACACAACACAACACAACACAATACGATACGATACAATACAATCATCAAACAGCATCACCAAACGTTATTATTGATCGTCATCATTCTCAATTATTAATTACGCAAGTTTAACAATAATGAAAACTTTTTAATTCAATTAAACTACAATTACAAACCTCTCTATTACCTCTGTAAATTGCAAATGGCTAGCCTCGGTTTACAAGATAAGACTATTACAATCGTAAGGTAAAAGGGAAAACTGAGAAAAACAACCAGAATTGAAAGAAAAGTAATTCCGGGTTTGTCCATGGTTTATTTTTGTAAATATGTAGTGCGTAATACGGATGGCAATCTGGAGACGAGATTTTTGTTTTTGATCGATGGAGAGAGTCGCACATTTTGAATATAAGTTGCAGGAATTGCCGAAGATGCCAAGACAGCTCTTAGAAAGATTCACAAAAGAGACATTTCAACTGCCGTTGTAAATCAGATAAGAGAGGGGCATAATTATAACAATTAAAATTTTTATAAAGCGCCAAAATCTATCAAATATATATTTTTAGCGCTGTACAAGACTAAGACCTAAGACCTAAATTTAAAAAATACAAAAGACGTCTACAGCAAACAGTAACAAGTTCCAGAAAAATGCAATTGATAAGCAATAGAAAATAAAAATGTCTTTAATCTAGACTAGACTAGTACCGGTGCTCTGCGAGTTCCCAATGTCAAGGGGTAGACGAATCCGCAATTTCCAGTCGCGACTGGAAATGCTCTGTCTCCACGTGTTTTTTTGAGATTCTGCGACGGAACCCGAGTTGGCTTTTGTGACATTTATAGGAAATATCAAAATAACTCTCAGCTCTAGTTGAATTTTTAAAAATATGTAACTTGCAACGATCTTGTAGTTGGTTTCGACCGAGGAAAGAATGCAGAAACAAATAGCAGTTGAGTGAAATTCCAGTGCAGTAATTTTCTGTGTAGATTATCAATATTCATTTTTCTGGTATTCTTTAAGGTGCAGTTTATTGTCTCACGTGGCTTATTTGAAAACGAATCAAGCACTGGGGCAGATTATCGCCAGGAAATCGTGTTGGATAAAGAATCTCCAGGAAAAGCAATTAAGTCCAATAAACACGGGCTTTATTGAAGCCTTTATTAATGCTTATCATAGACGGGGGTTGTCTTACAGATTTCCAACCGAGGCGGAATTCTTAGTTTACGTGCAAATATTGACTATTTTCTAGATGACCAATTCGTCCAAACACATCTGAAAATAAACGCCTTGACAGTGGTCCCATGATATCAATAGCAGTTGGTAGATTCTTGACTAATGAGATATTTCCAGTAAGCTTATCATAATATACAACTCGCATTTTATTCATTTAACTGTTACTATTGAAAAATTATTGTCTTTTTTTATTGCTTTTCAGGGAATGAGTTATGTACGGGAATTGGTTTGAAGCAAACACTTTGACCTTTTATTGTAATAAAGCCATCTTTAAGAGTGTCCTTCTTCTACATTCTGTAATTCAAATTCTTGCGATCATTTTTTTTAATAAAGTTATGACTTTGATGGCATTAAACAAATAATCTATGAGCAGAAAATATCTTGAATAACTCAGAATGATAATGGTCCACTAATTTTTAAACAAGGTATCTCCTAATTACCATTTTGATGTTCTTTTTAAGAGCCTAGGCCCAAAAAAACCGCGCATATTGACAGAAAACGATAAAGTAATAATTAAGTAACTACACCTCAGATACATGCATTGCTACGTCTTGAGGAGAAACATCATTACATGCGCAGATTGACTGCTGAATAATATTCAACTTTGAGGCTTTAGTTATCAATTTAATTATCATTTGCTAAATCCTATCTAACAAAGTGGCGAATTCATATAATACGTCATCAATCCACCGCCCTCTTGAGAACAATTTGCAATGTTTACCTGAAAGAAGTCAATCAGTTTGTGGTTTATCTTTGCGAATCCTCAAAACCTTCCTCTTGACCGAACGCCGTAACCGGAATGGATCCAGTCAAGGTTCGAAGGTATCAGATGATATGCCCGTTGAGAATATCTTATTACTTTCTGGGGCAATCTCTGCATTTATCATGTTTCTCGTTAAAAATTGATTTTAAGAATAAATATCATTAATGTTTATTGGTTTTTTTGTAGCTCAGTGCTTGCTGAAGGGAGAATGGCATTTAATGGTATCGTTGGTGGCAGGGGCTTCACCACAGGGAACAGGGAGGACTGGGGTTGACATGTTCAATACTGAATATAAGCATTTAATGGTATCGTTGGTGGCAGGGGCGTCACCACAGGGAACGGGGTTGGCATGTTCATTCCAGTTTTCCCATCCCCTCAAATCGTTTTGGGGGTGGTTGTCGATTTTCACGGTTTTGGAACAAACACTCGTGACAGATTCTGTGATATACACGTGATCACACCTGTGACAGATTCTGTGGTATAATTAGAGAGAAGGAATTGACATAAATTGATTATCTACTCATAACTGACAGCAGTAGACCTATAATAATATGCAAGGTTGTTCCAAACCGTTCGGGTTTTACCACCGTGTTCTAATTTATCAATACTTGGATCACAACATATCGATTTGATCAATACAAAGTGTAATTTCTGTTTCGATGTTCCTTTGTACGAAAACGCCCACTGTTGCAAAATAAAATTTAGCATGTTCCTTTTCATCAGCTCTTTTTTAATAGATCTACGTGGGGCAAATTACCCCTAGAACCCCCTAGAACCCATACTTTTTCAACTCAGTCTTCGTTGGCATGGCGACATCAGCGATTGGTGATTTGATGCGTTTTAGCGGCTGACTGCTGGCAGAACCACGCGAATTAGAATGTCTGAATTTGCTGTACCCCTCTTTGAAACACCAAAAACTGGCGAAATGCGAAGTTGAATGAGCCCAGTCACTAGCTGCAATGAGCCACCAGTGAGCAAGAAGTACCGAAACTATCAAATACCAACAATAACCACAAATACACAATAAATAAAAACAATCGTGTTCTATTCAATAGCTTTGCTATCTGCATTACATAACCCCCGGTATTGCTATTGCTCCGCCATATTGGATTGTTGACGCCTTTATCGGTAGGTTTTACATGAAGTATAAGGTAGACAATCGAATACTTCAGATGGAAGCAGGCTATCATTGTTTCGAGTCTTCTTTCAGTTAACGCCGATATAGATTACTTGAACGTTTGGAATTTGCCAGTTATTTAAAGACTAAGGAGTAAGAATTAGCGCTTTCAAGGCCCGTAAAAACCAAGGCTGGTGAGTATTATTTGTGGTTTGTTTCAAAGTTTGTTCAAGTTGAGATGCAAGGAGGTCTCTCTTCCCGAACACCTTCGACAATGCACATTTCCTTTGGTGTTCGTGTTTGACGCCGACCACAAACCCAGAAAGACAATAGTGAAGTACAGTTAATGTCGGCAAGCACGTTTTGTTCGTTGGCAAATCAAACCAAACCTCTGTAAAAAGTTTTTGCCCCCTCATTTTCTATGTACCGTGTCTTTTCCGGGGACAAATATTTCCTGGTACTAAAACTTGGTACTGAACATTTGTTAGGTATTAATCTGTTGTGACCTTAAAAGTGAAGAGAGTTCGACTCCGTAGATAGGTCTCTGAGAAGGGTGCCCTGCTCACGTCACCTGGGTAATTCTTGTTAGGTAATTAAGAAATAAGTTGTTTTAAGATCTTCTTTCTCGTGTACGTGTACCTCACATTCTTGACTCAACTCCAAGACAAAAAAGCTTTGACGAGACGCGAAAATGAATCCTTCGGTGGGATCAAGCTGGCTAATAATTCGCGCAGGCGATTTCCTTTAAATAATCGTTTTCTTGTTGATTGATTAGAAGCCATTTTGTTGTTTGTGAATGCGCTAGCTATAGAGCAAGAGAACTTGGCCCGGCTGCAGGTTCTTTGAGTTTTGCCGGGCAAGTAGTTTGGGTTACAGCTGCAAATTGATACTTGCTTTTATTAGCTATTCAAATTATTATTTGCAACCTGTTGTGTGACGGCTTTATCACCAACAATCTTGCTGCGACCCTCTCCTAATCATTCATGATTGCACCCCAAGTCTCCCGTTCTTGGGCCGTAACACCCAATTCATTAAAAATCTCTGTTTCTGCATATGAACCCTAGCTTGCTTGTTCTTTAACTAGGGTGAAGATCGATACGTGCCAGTTTTTCTTCCGCGACTTAGAAACTTATCGCGGAAATGATCGAAGTAAACACGTCCTTGTTTACTAAAGGCGTGCTGGTGTTTATTTTCTACTTTTTAAATTCTAGTTCTTTAGTTACCTCTGTATCTATTTTATCTTTGATAAAAGCTTTGCTTCAAGCGATTCCAAGACAAAGGAGTCACTAATAAGATCGATTTTCCGTTTGGACAAGCCTTTGTTCTGTTTCGTTTATATGCTTCACAAAGCCAACATCATATTTGCTTTTTTTATACCCTTCCTATTTGATCAATGGCATCGCATCTTAGCCATCTTTTGCAGACGCTAGTTGATACGTTTCATGCTTTTTGTGTTAAATGTAAAGAAATCTTTCGAGTTGTTCCCCTTTTTGTACTCTTTGTTCTTGTCGTGAACCAAGCCACGTCAGTGAACGAGTCCTCTCCATTTCTAGTAATGTGACTCCATAAACGCCTTGTCTTTGTCCTCGCAACACGCCAGCAATCTTTTAAAAGGTGGTGCTCCGGTTTCCCCCAACAGGTGATGTTCTGGTTGATATAACACCAAAAGAGGTGATTTGACAGTAAACCACAAATTTGAATGACTTTGGCTTCATATACTTTTTAAAAATGCAATGAGTATTTGGTAATGCCAAGTTTTAGTAAATTCAGCTTCTTTGTGTTCATGATGATTCAATGAGATCCTGATTGTATATTACTTTGAAAGGATGAGACTTGTGCTAAGGCCCTGGCCCAAAAGCCAGAAATGTCATTAGGGTGGAAGTGCTTGCCCCAAGACCATCACCTTTTATATGATTGTTATACAATACAGAAGAGCTGCGTGGCAGGTGAGGGACAAAGTGCCAAGAAAAGGGCAAAGCATTATGGTTATACAGAAAATTGCTTAGTTTTGCAAGGGCTGGGGGCCTGTGTGCCCCCGGTTCTGGCATCCCAGTTGTCATATTCTATTTGTCATATTTTAGCATTTTGCCTAAAACTGAGAGTTTGTATGTCATGTTGTTATGCTTAAAGAGAAAGTAAGTTATAGCCACCTGTCATTGCAAAGAAAAGAAGCAATTAAGTTATTCAACAGTATTGAGGATATTAAATTACCTTGTAAGTAATGGAGAATAAGGGGAAATTGACAGACATTCGCCTTGTTGAACTGGAGATCGCAAAATGGACTCAATTTTAATGGAATGAGGTGCATTATCAGATTATTTGTAGAAATTCCCTTTTCGTCACTTCCTTTTACAAAAGAATATGTATTCGTGAACAAAAGTCATGCGTAATAAGCTCATCATGTTGGTAGGAAAAATTTTGATTTATGCACAAGCCTTCTATGTGTAATTTTGTTTTAAGTCCAGAAACAAGAAGAGACTATTTCATACATATTCATATGGACAGATACTTTAGAAGAAGTGAAATTATTTTTTGGTGTCTAGCTTAAGACTGCACATTCTGGCTTAACCTGTCAAGTCTTTGAGTTTGAACAAATTAAGCATGTTATTTGCAAGTTTTCAATTCATTCAATCCAATTAAAGCTGTCTAGTATCCACTTCCAATTTACTTGTCTGGCGCAATAAAAACAGTTTTAATAAGTGTGTGTGTAGATTTGTAGTCAGTTTTAATAAGATTTGTAGTAGTTTTTCCCTTACATACATTCAAACTCCTCTACTTGGTTTTATAATTTTTCTACTTAAATTGATTAAAGAATGTCTTTATTGTTGATAATATTTTCAATAAGTGTTTCCTGTATCTCAACTCCTTGGCATATTCTTCCTTATGCCAATAAACAAAACCTTCCTTAAAATATACATGAAGGGTGTGGTCAGTGTGGGTTTTTTGTTTTAAATGGACCTTGTCATTGTCATCAGCTATGTGAATGGCTTTTTTCTTGCCCTGGATTCGGTTTTAACCAATGATGTTGTAAGAATTGTTTTACTTAGCATTCCACTCTGTAAACTTCTTTTACTGTTGTATGGAATCTAAAGCTGTTGTTGGTAGCATTAGGATGAACAGAGAAAGTATTTGTCTCCAAGGGAATGCCATGTTACTTTCACAAAATCTCACCAAGGATGTTTGCATTTTCCTATGTATATTGTCCATGCCATTCAAAATTGTCGAAAGAAATATTGCTTTGTATGAGCACATCTGGGTACAGGTTTTTTTGTTAGAAATTAATCCTTTCATAACAATGGGCCTTTGTGAAAACCAGCTGCATTGTCTTTTGAGTGGGATGTGGGCTGTTGAACATGCCTAGTTTCCTTAATAGGGCAAACAGTTAGTCTATGAGGTACTTTGAATTCTAACTGTTATTTCAGAAGGAAGATATCTTGTTCGGTTTTGTGATATATGTCCCTTTTTACAGTTAATCCTTCTTCACAGTTGTTTGTTTCCTTTGCCTTTGAAAAATAATGGCCACATAAGCTGCAGGTTCCAAGATAAAATATGAAATGGCAGAGGCTCAAGTGAAAGTGTTAAAAACATGGAGGACCTGAACTGAACCCCCAATATTTTTGCTTGTATGGCTATGGAAGGCCACCTGACAAATGAAGGAATATTGAGCATCATTAGACCAAGCTTTACAATGCTCTAATCATGATTGATCTAGCCCTCAAACATTTTTCTTCACTTTAGACTCAGGTTAAATGTTCTATATCATTCATTCATTTTTCCAGGCACCCATTCATTTGAGGTATATACTTGAATAAATTCTTCACCTACCCCTTTTTAAATTGTGTGAGGCTCTTTCTTGAAACTAACTTAGATTTCAAATCTGTGATGACCTAATGCTGTAAGTATTATAATGGCTGGGTATTCTCAGGGAAAACCATTTCAAATAGCATACACTGGATAATCAATGAAGTTGTGTGTGTTGTACGTAAAAAAATGAACAAAATTTGATAAAATGAAATAACTTTGTACAAGAGATGAATATTTGGTACAAAGTTTCGAGCTTGACTCTTTATCAGCAAACATGGGAAATTACTATTCTTTCCAAATTGTAACAAAGACTGATATTTTTCCCTAGACCTTTTTCAAAGATGGAACTTTTGAAATGCAGTGAATTGCTCTGCTCCTTGTTGAAATATTCATCATCCTCGTAAAATAATATTTAAAAAGAAACAATGCACGAAAGTGGCCTTTGTATGATAGTTCTTTTATATTCCACAGTTGTTACATTGAGAAGTCAAGGAAGGCAAAGCATAATCCGAGAAATAAGAGCTAAGTTTGTGGCTTTTCTTCCTGTAAAAGAAACTTAGTTTAGATCAAAGGTCAGTTTTGTGGCTGCCATGCCAGAACATCAATGGCTTACTTCTTTCTCAATCATTCCTGCATGTCCTTGACTTGCAAATTTGAGCAATGAAGGACCAATTTAAATACAGACCTCACAAAATGACAAGTATATTTTGGAAAATTAAGCTGGAAGACTTCTTTGCCAATAATGCCAGCTTTACTATCATTAAAGAAAAACCGGAAATTGTTTCGCTTATGGAGATGCCATTTTCTGACTCTTTTGCAATACCAATTTGTGCTTAACCGCAACCCACGAGCAGAAAGAAACTGATATCATATTTCGGCCATGTTTATCTTAAGGAGGGACATCTTTGCCTGTTGTGGTGAAACGTCTTTGTTTTTCCCTGTTTGCCATTGAAACGATTATTTGTTGGGAGTTTTTGTTTAATAACTCTAGCCTATTTAAAAATCCCGAACAGTTAAGATTTTAAAAATATGAACGGGAAATAGACATATTTGTACAACCGAACTTTTCGCTAAGATCATTCTTTTTTAATTGGTGGTTACTTGTTTTCAACATCAGGTTTCCATTTTTTTCCAATTCTCTCCCTTTGTTACTCACACCCCCCGTATAAGTGACGGGGGTCCGTTGAAATCTACAGACACGTCAAGAATTCAGTTACTTAGTTGTGCCATTCATACAAGGCTCTTTAAGAATCGGTACCCACCAGATCAGCATTTACTTTTCGAAAAATGACTTCTCGTACTCATCTTGCAGTAAAGCGAGTATTGTCTTAAACAATCTTTTAATTTCCTCAAGAATCCATGCCCTAGATATTTTACCCCTTTACCATTCAAATTTTTTCTGGTCAGATCTCTACTTTGTAATTGTACTATCTATACTCTGCGCGACCTGTTTGGTGGCATGATGAAAAAATTTCACATTGCAGAAAGACAAATGATCATAGACAAATCGATCATAGACTATTAAACACTCGTACACTTTCACTTCTAATTCATCCTCAACAATAAATTCAGGAACAAAGAACGCAATCATATCAGCTCCTATAACACCCCGGTTATTATTTTGTTGTTTTCATAGACGCGGAACTGGGGGCATGTGCCCTTCCCACCACTTTATAGAATAAGGGCATATGCTCGCTCTTTACCTGCCTGTGCCCCCAGCCCCACAGTGAGAATGTTTTCTACATCAATGAATGTTTTATTGTTGATTGGGGGTGTCTAGTCGCAAATTTTGCCCTACGCTCGCCTTTTTGAGCTGGCATCATTCAGTCTCTTTGCACGAGGTTTTCATGTAATCTTCCATTTAGAGAAAGTTGCAAATGATTCAATGGCCGGATTTATGGATGCACAGTCTTTTCAATTTCCATCTAAAATTTAATGCTCATCATAAGGGAATTGTAAATAGTTTATGGTATCATTTCCAATTCCTTCTAAAGCCAAATGAGATCACGGATTAATTTTCCTTCCCAAAACCTCTCAGGACCTAATAAATCTTGTTTTGTGTTTTTAAAAAATATCTTTTGATGTGGATCAGTAAGACTCCCTTATGTAGTTAGTTTCTCACCGCAAAATACATGACCCTAGCAAATAGAACTGAATCTGGTACAAGAAGAGAGTGACCAAATTGATATCGCAGGCTCTCCGTTTTTCAAATTTGTTTTGTTGAAAGCAGCCGAGTCTTTAAATCTTCTTTGACCTATATTCCAACTTACGTTTTTGGCGTACCATAGTTAGATTTTGTGCTCAAGAGGGGTGTCCAGGTCCTATTTGCCAACGAAGTGGGTGAGTCATCCTTTATTTGCCGAAAGGTTTGAAAAGTTACCCCTAGATGGCAAATATTTCTCGTTTTGCGACTTTGATAAAAAGATAAATCTCATCACATCAGCCGTATATGGTCTAATGATGGTATTTCTTTGGATATATTTATGGATGTTTGGCTGAAGGCAATGCACAAATTTGGCACAATCTCTCAAGATTTCTTCCAATCTTTCCCTATGAACAAATCAAGCACATTATTTCTAAATATCGATTTCCCTTCTCAACCCCCCTGAATTGATTTAGCTCAGACTACATTAATATCATTGACAAACGACGCTGAAAAGAGATTAGATAAATCCCCCTGATCCAGCTTTTGTTACTAATCATTGTTCGTTACTTTTGCGAGTTTATAATAGTGCTTAGAATTTTCACCACGATCAAATAAGTGAATAATTGTCATCATGTGCCTCTTTCGATTGATAAAGACACCGTGGAAGCATGGGGGTGGCTAAGGGGCCCCATGTGCGTTTTAGCCTTTAAACAGGTTTGCGCCAATCCCTAAAAGAAAACTTCGCTCAAATATATGATAAGATCTCTACTTTTATAAACGTTTAGAGAGCATCTGGAACATTATATATAATACCAACACATTCACCATGTTTGTGTGTTGCTAGAGATTGTGATGTGCTTAACAGAAATGGGTTGTAGATACAAGCAATTGGCCTGTTCACAAATATTTAAAACGGGAATGGATCTAGCTAGAAACGTGTAAAAACAACGTTGTTACGAAGGAGAAGCCCATTTTGATATGGAAAGTGTTCGGTGAGGGTGAAATTTTTTAAAGAGCAAAACGCAACCTATTGAAAAACTGTAATTTTATTTTATTGCATTGAAACTTTTAAGCATTATATCACAAGTATAAGGTTTTATGTTTACTTGAAGAAAAGTCATGGTATTTTGTCCGTTTGATGTACTTGATCTAGAGTTGTTACACTGAGAATTCCAGCTTAGAAACCAGCTATGTTGAGAGGCCTATAATAGGTATACCCCCTCCTTTTGCGCAACGAATTCCTTATGTTACATCCTCCATATTGTTATATTTTTGACAATGTTGTTTTAAAGAAGAAGTTTTAGCACAAATATTCTAATCCTTCAATTTGATCTTTTTATGGATTCTTTGACAGCTTTTCCTTCTTTAATTAGCGTAAGTCCCTTTGCAACCCTTGCGCGTTCGCAATTCGCACTTATTTCCATTACGGTATATTAACTTGTCATTGTTAGCGCCGCATTTCTCATTTTCCATCATCTGTTACTTATAATCTTTATACATTTTTTTACATTTGCAGAATTCATCATTGCCAAATGACCCAACCTTAAGTCATCATTCGCTAAAAGAATTCAAACCGTGAAATGGCGAGCGAGACCGAACCGCAACGACTAGACCCAGTGATAGGCCCTGACCACCCAAGCACTTCCGTCCCAATCGAGCCCACGACCACCCAGTCGACGGGTCCTGCCTCGTCTGCAACAAGCGAAGAGGCAACCGAGGCGGCCAGTAGAGGCATAAAGAGAAAAGCCAAAAGTCAAGCACGGACGCCTAGGAAGATGAGTACTGCTATCAAAAGGTGCTCCTTGTTTTATTTTCTGATCCTGGTTCAAATGTTTACTTTCTTGAGTAACAGGGCTGTTGCAATGCATGTTTGGGAGGAGTGAGGGCTGCTAGAAGTGCAACGGTTCTGACATTTCATTTCGAAGCTTGATATTTTATGTGTAGATGATTAAAGCTAAACCTCGTCCCTTTCCGACGTCAGCGAGAAATACGTCCACACTGAGATGGACATATTCGCTCACACTCGAACCAGATTTGGACTCATAATTTCTTGCCGGTTAAATGCCGGCTAATTTCGAATTTAAGTATTGACAATCGAGCAAGGATGCGGTCAGAATGTACAAGTTTTTGAACGCATAAAATGTCTATACTTAATGTATATCGATATGCATAGGCTTCTTTGAAGAATATGGCTACAATTATCGAAAAGTAAATCTGTGATTTCAATGAAATTACGATTGGTTTTTTGAAGTGAGGTGGTTGTCCTGATGCCCTAAACGTCTCATTTCCTGAAATGGACAATTCCACAGCAAGGGCTCCTGCATCTCCTTTTCGCATAATGCTTAGTGGGTTCACTGTCTACCTGAAGCAGCTATTAATTTTTTGTACTTCTGTTTCTTGTTCGTTTAGTATGTTATTGTCTGTTGCTTTGAGAAGTATAAAACAACCTAGGTTTTGTCGTTACAATCCATTTCACGTTGCTGCTATTGTGTCATCCCCTTTTTACAAAATGCATATTATTTTCAGGATTCAAAGAGAATTGGCCGAGTTAACTGTAGACCCACCGCCAAACTGCAGGTCAGTTTTATTTTCGTAAAAAACTATATGTAAATAATATTTCTTTTTCAGGCATCTTTTCAGGCATAGTTTTTGAAGAGTTGATTATTTTTGTATTTATAAGTGTCACCTTCTGAATCAAGAAGCTGTACTAGCGAAGTACCTTCAAATCACTTATTAGGTGTGTACTGATCCAAGGATATGGGATTCGAGCCCCTGACATAATCAAACATCCTGTCAGTATTTGACTACCCGCTCTTTCCTTGTTTGAAGGTCTTACAGTACGCCACAGATCGATAGATATAGATAAGCGTGCTTTTGAACTATTGTATATTTCTGCACATTTCCAATACTTTGAAGGAAAATTGGAATAAAAGATATGTGGGGCGCAGTTTTGACCGTCCCCCCCCCCCCTGCGATCCCATCCCCAGCACACCACTGTAGCTTCTCCGTGTTCTAAAGACTAGTAATGTGTACGTAAAGGAGGGTCGCAATAGCAAACTGCTCGATGGACTACAAATGCAAATCCTAATGCAAATCAAAGATCTTGTTAGTTTCAAACCTGCCTGTCTATGTGTTATTTGCCTTTTTTGAATTTTGCATGCTTTATCGCGCTATCCTATTTTCATTTCTATTTCCATTATCCTATTTTTCATTTCAAAACCTCTTATATTTGATATTACTTTTTTTACAGTGCCGGACCAAAAGGGGACAACTTGTATGAGTGGGTAGCCACCATCCTTGGACCTCAAGGCTCTGTATACGAAGGTGGAGTCTTTTTCCTAGAAATCAGCTTCCCTTCGGATTATCCATTCAAGCCGCCAAAGGTAATAGAATCTTCAATTAAAGAACATGTTTTTGAAAATAAAGTAATCTTGAGCAAAGTCTTAAAAGACGGAGAAATGATTTGGGGGCTCCTTTTACTCTGGAACCCTTAGTTATCAAACAAAGGTCCCATCAAAAAAGACGGTTTTTGAGAACATTCAGAGATCTGCACTAAAGTAATGAATGGCAGTAGGGACAGTGTAAAGCTGGAGAAAGTCAGTAGTATGCGAAACCAGTTGTGTGCTCTTGAAATTTTCAAAAGTTTGAATAGCATATCGCCACACGCCTTTCGAAACTACTTCACTAGAGTAAAACACAGGCAGTGTACTCGTGCCAATGCAAAAAATATTGTTTTGTCCAAAGTACAATCCGAAGCAGGCAAGAAGGCCTTTTACTTTCAAGGAGCAAAGATTTTTAATAAACTAACAGACGAAATGAAGTGTGAAACTTTAATTTTAAGATTTAAGACTTTTTGTGAAAACTTTAACTTTGTTTTTTAAGACTTGATTTTCATCATGTATATAATTTTTATTTCGATAATCCATGTATATTTTAGACAGGTCCTTTATTGATAACAGCACGTTGTTGCTGAGCAAAGTTAACCTGTATAAATATGATATTATTATTGTTACCTTTATTATTTTTATTATTATTATTCTAAACTGCGTTACGCCACTGGTGTTGGTGATTGGACACTGAAGCTCCTGCGCCTCCGTGTAGAACATTTCTTCAAACAATGGACAAGAAATTTTGTCTCATTTTTCTTTTCTAAAATGCCTTTGGAAAAAACAAACATTTTACAACATGCTAAAAGCTTTTTCGTGTCTGACACTCCTCAGAGTATAAAACATCAGAACAAGAGTCCAAAAGAACACCATTGAAAATATATACCCAGTTGTGGATCGAAATAGGCCAATCAGAAAAACGCAAGCACAAGACCGGTATAGTTGACCATTCAGTACTGCGTGCCTATAGAAATATTACCAGTGGAGTCCAAGAGAGAAAAAGAGCTCCTTCTGTCTACACAAAAATCGAATCGATTCCAAAACTGCTAGATGAAAAGACGACTAGGCTCTGCTATTTATCTTAAACATATCGTAAATAGTTTTCCGCTATCAAAGCTTTCTAAAAGTAACATCAAAAACGGACACCTATCTATTGCGGAAAATATATCTCTTCCAAGATAGAAGTTCTACTGTTGTTAAGATATGTTAACGACCAAACAGGGGGAGGACATATTTCTGTTTTGCCGAAGAAAATTTTCGAGACGCCTCTGATAATTGTCCGATGTAAAGTTCATAATACTCGCCTATCCCGCTTTCTTGAAAACACAGCTGTTTAAAGAGTCCGTAAAAGAGATGATGGAAAAAGTATGGGATGTTTTAAGGCAATGGTTCTTGGAAAGGCTCGGTGATATAGAATTACTGAATAAAGATTCCTGACCATGGATTATACGATAAAAGAGCGAGATTTTACTGTTATGGAGCAAAAAGCTAAAGGTTTGGAATACCAGGGAAAAACTTTCATTAGTAAAGACAATGTAACATAACAAAAGGAGATCATAATGAGGATATGACAAGTGACCCTAAACAAGATTTTTCTTGTCGCTAGCGAAAGTGCACCTTCATGACGAAACCCAACGCCAAGTTCGTATTTGTCATTCACAATGAGTTCGTGCCCGCGCTCTTCTTTAATATTTTGTGTGCTAAAATATTGGGATAAGCTTAGCCCGTTCCGCTCACTTTTATTGATCATGGTTTAGGTCTTACGTTTTATCAAATATAAACCTTATATTGAAAATTCTTCTTTTCAGGTCATCTTCAAAACTCGAATTTATCACTGTAACATAAACAGCCAGGTTTGAAATTGTTATTATTTCCACCCGTTGCAATGCAAAATGTTGACCTAGCCTTGTAATTTCGTCATTGCAGATTTCTTTTCAATAGGCGAATAACTTATAGCACTGTTAATGATATTATGAGAATTTAGTTATTGGAATTCTTGTTCTATAAAATGCTAGGAAACAGCAATTAGTTTGGAGGCTTTGTGGAAAAGTATATAGATCTGGAACGGTCGTGTCAACAAATGATAATTGTTTTGTATTCGTTATTCCTTGCTTCTAGCTCCTTACTTTAAACTGACAAGTATATTTCATAATTAGGCGCAAAAACCTATGTTTTATTTATTGCTGTAGTTAGCAGTACGTCAGTTCTCTAACTACAGAAATTTTCATTGTTAAAAAGTCTTCTATGATTGCTAATTGATATCTTTGTTAATTTTATACTTTTTCATATTCGCAGTTTGGTACTCCTTTTTCATATTCATGAAGATTTTTCTTATATAGCCTGGTTTCCATATAGCCGTAAGGCTGCCTGCGACTGCCTGCGACTGCTTTCTGCCATCTTCCATCTTCCACTCTTACAGTAGCGCCGGCAAATGGAAACGTTCTGTTTTCAATTGCCTGCGGTATCGGTAACTATGCCGGTAACTAGGTAAAGTTTGAGCGGGAAAAACTGGCGGGCAAAATTCAACAACAAAGCCCTGTTTCAATTGGTTCTTGCACATCACATGATCCGTTTGAACAAAAGAATGCCGCAGGCAGCCGCAGGCAAGGCGTTTCCATTTGTAATTTGTCTGCCGGCGGTACCGGGAGGCTGCCGTAAGAGCCGGGAAAAGTTGAACTCGTTCAACTTTCTCCCGGCTCTCCCGGCAGTCTTACGGCACTTCAAACAGCTGCCTGCGGTACCGTTAAAAAGCGTTTCCATAAAGAATTATCTGCCGGCGATACCGTAGGGATGGATGATGGAAGATGGCAGAAAGCAGTCGCAGGCAGCCGCAGGCAGCCTTACGGCTATATGGAAACCAGGCTTATAATCTGATTCGTATACGCGAATTGTATTTTCAACGCAGGGAGTTGTGTGCCTTGACATCTTAAAAGACAAATGGTCCCCAGCCTTTACTGTTTCAAAGGTTCTTTTGTCTGTCATTGCCCTTTTATCAGATTGCAATCCAGGTATGTTTATGTGCCATAGGCGTTTTTTACTGTTGCTCCATATTTATCTAAGGATCACCTATTTACAAGATGGTTTAAGATATTTATGTGCTGGTAGAAGGCCACTTTGATTTGTAATAACAGAATCCTATTGATGAAAATAACAGAATCGATAAAAATGTTTGCGCTTGGCAACACCAAGTCAAAGCGAGTTCTGTTTTAGGCAAATCTTTTGCAGACTATTAATGTGAAAGTTGTCACCGATAAAACCCGTAATAAAACTTCCGCTAAGAAATTGGAAAATTTATAATTTTCAAAAATAAATTTCAAAAGCAAATTTCAAAAACCCGTCAGGGCTAGAATCGATAGAAATTTTTTGGATCAATTTACAGGAAAACCCAGGTTGTAAATACTGGTTTTAATTTTATTCTAATACCTCCTGTACCATTCCCACTCAGTGTGCTTAGCACAAAATTCTTAAACAGAGAGGTAAAGGCATTCTGATTTTTTTAAGAATAGTTTATGTAAAGAGAAGATAAACTCATAAGCTGTGGAACGTTAGGTCTCATGCATGCAAAAATACAATGCCTTTCCATAATTTCTATGCGTCTTTTTTCAGTTTGAAGTTTTTTCCAAAGCTCGTGGATTTTTTCTTCAGTTCGTTGCGTGTTTTCCCAGACTTGATATATGTTTTCCTTGTTGTTATTTATCTTTCCCTAAGTTCGATGTGTCTTTTCCCAAAATTGATACATCTTTTGTACCCGAGATCCAGGGTGTATCCAAGGTTTTAGCCTTGGAACATACTTTGAAAAGTTTACCTTTTGCTATTTTCTTTTGCATGTGTTTGGTTTTCTCTCAGTATTTCTGAGACATTACATATTAATGGTTTACCTAATATTAAATGTGCAGTGTTTTTTTCAGCTGATCCGCTTGTTGGCAGCATAGCGCAGCAGTACCTTACAGATCGAAAGGAACATGATAATTTTGCTAAAGATTGGACGAAACGATTTGCCACTTGATAAACCTTGTTAATTTATCAGAAATTTTGAGTATTTTCCCAAGTTTTTAAGGTAGTCTCCCGGAGCTAATTTGCATTCAAATCAGGCTAAAAATGAAAGAAGCATGATTGGCCTCTAAAGCTGGATCATTTGTTATGATGAAGAAAGGATGTTACGTCACGAGTTCGAAGGGCGCGTTCCAAACACAGCATGAAGATAGAGAAAGACTATGTTGTGGGCTTAAACGTCTCTGATTCTTGCTAGATATGTTCTCCATAGTCGATCAGCACTTTTTCAGTCATCATTAGAAATGAAAATTGAGATTTCCTGTTTTGACATTCACGAGAGTGCCATGTGGCTCATAAATTTGAAATTTCCCTTTTTGGAAGGCCTTTTCAGTTTAGACATAACTTACTAAACACTCGAGGTGATGAGGGCAATTACTGATACACAGAAAACAGTCCATTTGCAGCTAACTTTGATGCCTTTCAGAGATTTTCTTGCAATGGAAGGGGCATATGATGACGGACAAAACTGTGTCTTGCATCTCCGCAGTTTTTCGATTTTAGGCCCATCTGTTTCGATAGACTATTGGAACTAGAACTCGGCTTTCAAAATGAATTTTGTTAGTTGTATGTAAATAAATATAATCATTGTATAGTAGTATGAAACTACGGTTGTATGTAAATGGTGGTTTCTCCTTTCATTATTAAAAATTTAAATTATAATTTAGAATGAAATTTGTGGTTAGCGTAGTTGTTGCGTCGGTTTTGAAGAATTTTTGCCAGTTTGATGCGTGGAGAGTCATGGTTTGACCTTTGAAAATTGTCACATTTTTTGTTTTGGTTCTTGAATCTGCCTATGTTTGCTGAGGGAATGACGCTTCAGTTATTTGCTGAAAAACCAGCATTTTAATAGCTATCATTTCTTCTGAGTACTCAATATTCTCCTTGAACGTAACATTTTAAGTAAATCTGAAATTCCAACAACCATATTGTCTAATAAAGTTTAAACTCTTGTATTTCAAATATATTCAACGAACGCTGATTTCAAAATATGCCTTCATTTATTTAATCATTTCCAAGGCTTTTTCTTTTTCGCATAGTATTAACTTATCCTGTTTGATGGTATCTCAAGATCAAGAAATTTCAAAGTAAAGAATCATCTAATATTAGGAAACGACATTTTTCATGAATGTCATCTGTCAGTTAAAGTTTTAAAAATCTATAAATTTGAAAACAAGTCCATATTTCAAATTTTCCGTCAATCTTCATCGGATGAACTCAGGTCTTCAGAAGATGTATCCGACAAGAGGTGGAACCGCGTTCCTTCGTCACGTGATGCCTTCTGGATGCGGATCTTTGGCACTGATGGTCGCGATTCAGCTCTGAAAAGGATGCATTGCAAGTTCATTATATTTATTTTGATCTACAAGACTAGGAAGGTTTAAATAAGTTATAAAGGCTTTACAATTACTGCTTTAACTTGCATCATTATTATAATCATCATCAAATTATCAACAATCAATGATTAATCACTGTCAACAATCGTCGCCATCGTCATCATCATCATCATCATCATCAATTAACTTAACACCCAAATCGTATTCTTCATAGGAGTCATCAATGTAATCAATACCATCATTAATCGCCATATTCAATCGAATAATCAATCGCTATTTATCTATGTAATCATTATCATCATCAATCGCCCGCATCAATCGCCATAATCTATCGCATAATCAATCGCTTTCATCAACTATCATTCACATCGTTTTCCTTTATATTATTCATCATCATATTATTCATCTATGTAATCAACACCATCATCAATCGCCATCATCAATCGCTAATTATCATTACCATAATAATAACGACGATTCTTATAAAGACTTTAATAAGGGCGACAAGTTTTTTTTAAACCCAGCGTTTGCTGTCTTAGGTTGTTTCTCCATCCTATGGTTTGGACGATTAAAACTAATCGTTTACATTCTTACTTTTTTAAAGTTGAGTTTTCTTCTCTCATTAGGCCAGTCGTCAGTTCAACATCCTCAGCTTTCGTTTCGACATCTTTCAGCAACTCTTCGTGATCTCGCCTGCGAAAACGTGAACGTCAACGTGAAAAATGAACTCTGGAAAGAAGCTTAAAGCAATCACAGTCTATTACTAATCAATTAATGGATTTGGTGTGCTAGCGGATTGTCCACGTTTTTAAAGTTGAACATAAACTTCTTGATATGTGCCAATTCTTGTTACGCAGGTTGGTATATTCAAACAATGAAAATGTTGGTTTAGGATAACGTGCCGCTTTTGTGCGGAAAGATTTTGAGCTTTGAGACATGCTATCGAGAGGATGTTTCGCGTTTAGCATCAAATCAAGACATTTTTGGGAACTATTGCTGATTTAACAAGATGAGTGTTCTTTAAACTTTGTTTTGTATTGTGGGATAAGATCAAATATCGTAAGAAGAGGACCAAGGCATGATCCCTGAGGAGTAACGCAGAGGGTTGAGATCCAGCTAGATTTGATCCCATCGACGTAGCAACAATGGTAGTGTTTTGTCAGGTATGATGTTCAAATCAATTATGACATACTTTTTGTGTCGAAAACGGTGTCGAAAACGTTTTTGAGATGGAAAGATAATTTTAATTTATCTTCATTGCTAAACCAGACAGCGGTGACATCGAGATTCGTAGTAACTCTGCTGCGTAGTTTTCAAAATAATGCTGTCAAAGAGTAGTAGTTGTTTACATCGAATAGATAACCTGGTCATGCGTGAACTTTTTTATGGCTTGCAAGGAACAGTTAGAACCGATTTTCGTACTTTCTAATATCAGTTCATAGGCCATATTTTTTACAATCTTTCTGGTATTTGGAACGCTTCTTTTACGCCTAAATTTTCATCATATCATAGTCTGTTGCCTCGATTGATTTAAACTTTCGATATGGAATTGTCGTCATGGCTTTCTGTCTCTCTTTCTGCATTTGCCATAGTGTGACCCAAAACGTTCTCAGTTTTATGATTTTACGAAGCACTAATTTCTTGCGATTCCTGCAAAGATACGGGCAACCTTTTATGCAATAATCAGTCCTTCCTACGGGCTACGGGCTTCCACACCCCCCCCCCCCCCAATCGCCATTTTATCTTTCCGTCACTGGTAAGAAAGTATATACTCACTCTTTGATTCTTTTGTGACAGAAGTAAATAAGTGCAACTATGCCAACCAGTGCGGCGACGACGCATAAGACCAGAATCACCAAGACACTGATGTCACTGACTTTCTGCAACTGTCGGTCTGATTCAAGCAATGTTTGGACAACTACAGCAACCGGAGTGGGATTATTGGAGTGGGCGGCATGATGAGAATCTGGAATAAGGAGAAAAGAATGATCTAGCTGAAGTGACATCTTTGGGGGTACTTTGGCATCATTATTTGTAGAAGTAAGCATGAATAGATTGATCCAAAACCTTACTGAAAAAGGCATCGAAAAAGTGACAATTTGGGGTTTTCTGAGTCCCCCGACCCCTTGAATCCGCAACTGCAAGTGGGGTTTCCTGAGCTGAGGGATGCCACAGTCATTCCCCGTAATATGTCGAAACATAAAACTCGGACCCAGTTCCAACCCTTTTCCATCAACTCATAATAGATTATCTTACCTATTCATCATCAATCAACCAAGACTTAAATTTTCGAGAAATCTCTTATCAATAAATCCACTCTCGTGATGCCATCATTAAAATCGTTTTCTTAAACTAAACAACTCGTTTTTATAACATAAACAGCGCATATCTGGAAATTAAAAAATCCCAAACGACAAAATTTTCAAAAAGGTATTGAAAGTTATTTTATAAAACATCAGTTTATTATAAATGCCACAAAACTTAAACAGTTTCTCTTTTAAATGATTCTGTAAACTATTATGATCTACTTCTTTGTTCATTGTATTCCTGATTTCTTTGCACCTGAATTCAGCGTTGTTCTGAGTCAAAGAAAGGTTTTGTTTCGCAAACGCCTAAATATTGTCATAATTATTTTTCATCTGTAAATAACCAACCACATACAAGATTCTGTCAGGGTTGTGTGAGAGATAAAAATTCACGAATGCAAATTCTAAGAAATTAATAATTTGAGACCTAGAAATTGGAGAGAATAAGCAAGTAATGAATGAATAAATCGAGAAATAAATTATGGCTTGTAGTGTGTGCTTAATTTGATCTGAAATCAGAAATTTCAGAACGGTCTTAGAATAAACAAGCTGACGTCACAAATATCAGTTTGTTGTCAAATGTTTGCTTTTTTCAAAGCCATTTTCCATCTTTTCTAAAGAATCAATAGCCCCAAGGGGGTGCAGGATTGCGACGCTAAGGCCTATGTCACTCTCTGCAAATTAAACAAAATCGAGGCCCAATCGACAAATCTAAAAAGTAACTGCTAAAATATGATGGATGCTGAGAATTAATGCATTGAATTCCAAAACAGTACAGTGGGGTTTAAGAATTCTTTTGCGAAATGTATAAACAATTTAGTCACTTCTTTGAAAATCTTAATATCTCAATTTGACATCTCCTGTTAGCCACACATACATCATTACACTCAAACAACGTCCATTTAAAGTCCATGTTACGATGATTACACTGCAAATTTGTACATTGCACCAAACCCCCCCCCCCCATTCCCTGCTCAGGAGGTTTAGCAACGGTATTGACTTTTGGAGCAGACCAAGGAAAAATCTTGTTTCAGAGGCTTGAAGTTTAATATTTTACAATGCTTGAAATCTTATAATTTGGAACTTTGTCATTCGTTTCACTTTGTTTAAGAATTTGTTCAAATTAGAAAGCCTGGGGTGCGGGTGAATTGTTGCTACTAGAGGGTCCTAGAGAGACAAGATCTTCAAACATTGGGAATTTTTTGCATACAGAAAAGCCCACATAAACCGACTGCCTTTTTCTTATTAGAACGAAATGGATTCTATCGTTTCACATAGCTGGTCTTTTATTTAAAATTCTTCAATGGACGACAATCAGCCTTGTGGTTCTGAACTTTCGGTTTATTTTATGCGAGTTATTTTGCGGTTGGGCGTGAAAACAGAATCCATTTTGTGTTGGCTGATGGTTGGCAATGGAGCCATTAGTCAGAAGTTTAAACATTCACATTCTCAGATATTTACAAATTTCTCAAACTTCACGAAGGAGACCTTGGTTACTTTCTCTGAAATAATAACATAGTACTTTAATGCCGGAAATCGTTTAAACCAGCAGTTACTTTACTTCGTGAGATGTTCGCAGTTTCGTCACGACAAATTGCCGACGCAAGCTTGTTTGAGATGTAGATTCAAAACTGAAAATATTTCTTACGATTCAAGAGGCTCATAATTACATGATTTTGTATCACAGTGGCTAGCCAAAGCGCTTTTTGCAATTCTTGTGAGGCTTGTATTTAAACGCAATTAACCTTATACTTAGTGTATAAATTTAAATGTTCAATACTTCATCAACGTCTTCTACTTAGTATATAAATTTAAATTTTCAATACTTCATCGAAGTTTCTACTTACGCATCAAGATTTGCTTCAATGATCCCAAACTTCGAACTTGTGATTGCAGTCTTAATTCACCTTGATGTGCTTCTTGCTCGTTTTGCAAGCTCCATTTGTCCGATTGGAAAAATAATTTCCTAACGGCTGCTTGTAAAATTTAACAGCTGTTTACTCACCGGGCAAACTTCTTCTGCGGGCTTTTGCGTTTACAATAATGACGTCATTTGAATAGAATTTCGTGTTGCTGGCTGGCCTCGTTTCCAGCCTTTTGTCTAAAGTTAATGCGGCGAGTTGTAGAAACGAGTCTAAGTGTCAAAATGCGTTAATCTCTAAATCCCCTTACACATTTTCCCCTCACATTGGTGGCACACACTCGCTTTTTTGCCCGAAATCAGGTCTCGTGGGGTCACGATCTGCTGTTTTAGATCTCAGATGGAACCGCAAGATTAAAGGATGCGCCTTTCTCACAGTGGACCGGAGAAACGCAAAGTCCCATCGTGAGCAGAAAATTCCACGTGAAGAATATTTCATTACTTTTTTTTGTTTCAGTATCTAAATAAAGCTCGTTTTTCACTGCCTTGTCCAAATTCTCATGAATATATGCTCCCATGTATTTAAATAATCACTTGGATATTTCAAAAGTTTAGATTCCATTAACATACCATTAGTATAAAAACGAGCACGCATTAATTTCTCTCTCTCTCTTTCTTGGCCTAAGAGAAGGACGTTAAATTAGCTTCTGAAGAGTAAGTATCTGTTATTATCAATCTTTAATGCATCATCTTTCTATCTTTTATAATTTTGTAGCAGTTTTTCGATTTTAAAGTCATTGCTTTGCTCGAGACTCCATACTACCGCCCGTGTTTCTGTGAGCTCCATGTGGTAGCACGTGGTTGACATTCGTCCGAATCACTTATTTTTGGTTAAATACTGCCAGACTAACAATATAATATCTTTGCATCCTCCAGCCGTACTATTTGGAAATATTCACATACAGCCATGAGTCTTGCTTGGGCTTTTCTGTTGATGTATTTATCTTCGCAACACAGTTTGGGATTAAATGGTTAGTTTTGCCTTATTTTATTGAGAATATTTTCCGCTGAAGATGATCTTCGATGGCCAGTTTTTCTCTTGTAACTTTCGAAACAGTATTACTTGGTTGAACATTGCATATATTTGGCAAGCTTGAAAAATAGGTAACCAATAATTCTTTAACGACTTAGTCTAGTTCCATATTTGCCCTGAAACCCAATTGCTTAAGCAGCAGCGTGGTGGGAACTTTATGGGCTGGGAATATCAAGTCTTTAGGGCCACGCCATTTTGATGATGTCGCGGAGGCAGCATGGGGCATAACTTTAATTGTTTTTCTTGCAAATCTTATGTCATAAATGATAAAAACTTAAAAGGAAAAAAATCCAAGGGGCTCACATGAAAAGTTTGAAATGGCCGAGTACCGGTGACCTCAAGCACCTTAGCTCAAGCAGACGTCACGCCCTTGTTCCCTCTTTTTTTCCAGTTGCACTTCTTGTCTATAAAATTAGCTGTTTTCAAATCACTTGTTTTCAAAGGGCTGCCTATTTTGAGGCCTAACCTAGCCTATTCCATGATCTCCCGCAAGATTTATGCTCCCTGTACCCATACATGTTTTTAAAATGTCAACTCACTATAGATTTATAAATTTTGTTCGCTGTTTTACATATTACATTTTGTATGCTTTATGCTTCTTCTTAATTTGAAGCTCGATTTTTTGCAGTTAAAAAGGTGGATGACACAGCACAAACTGATTTGGCAACTGAATTGGAAAACGACGGTCACAGTGAGAATTTTCAGGAGAATGTCGGTAATTCTGGTATGTTTAGGAATTCCTTCTCGTTAATCTAATTTATCATGTGAAAATCGTATATTGTTTAGCAGTTTTTTATTTTTCTGCAATAAACATGACCTTGTTCCAGTTCACCTAAATCACCCGCCCCCAATGGGGTATTCTGAATTTAGAAGTACAGAGTGCTGGCTCGATATTTTAGGGTCTTCAACTTTGATAAGGAAAGTGTATTTGGAAGTTCTTATAACTGATTGGGGCAGTCGCGGGAGGGAAGTATCTGAAAATAATTAATGAGTGATTAGGATATGATGTTTTCAGATTGCCTTCCAGCTTTACTTGACATTGTCAAATTATAGGGGTTACGATTTTGTCATCTCATCATAGTAAAATGATGGGTGTACCTCTGAGTAAGTATTTTGTCCCTAGTGATTCTTTTCACCAAGCCGTAAGCAAAGCCCCTAAATTCCAATCAGGATGAATAACAATTCAAAAGAATACGAATTGAGCTTCTGATATCAAAGTTTTCAATCTTTCCATAGTTAACTCTCACAATACACGTAACTTTTAGAATGTTTTCTATCTACTCAACCTAAAGTTAGAAAATACCATTTTTTCTACATCTTTGCAATGTGGGAGATAAACCATTTTTCTTAGAATACCTCGATGAAGTTGAAGATTTGGAGGAGGACAACGATGAAGAGACGGCTAATGAACTTAGAGAGGCCGCCGGTGATGGAGGTGAGCAAGGTTTTGTTCTTTTTATATTGGTTTTATGTAGGGGGTGGTTTATGGAGATTATTAACCGACCTCCTTTTTTAAGAGCTTTATGTTGTTTGATAGGCAGAGCTGTGCACGCTTTGGCGTGTTAGTGGTTTGTTCATGGTTGCAAAGTGGATTATGTTTTCTTTCAATGGAACTTTAAGCTTGATTTCAGAAAAGCTTGTCATTCATTTACACAGAATATCCAAAAAAGCCTAAGCGAACTGTGCCATATTCGTTAGTTTATTTGGAGAAAAACGGATGAATTTCTCAATTCTGATCTTTTCACGCCCGTTTTGAAGCTCCTGCAATAACAAACACCAAGCTGTCCAATGTAATTATCAAATTTTCCTAACCCACCTATTTTATACTTTCAAAACAGCAACAAAAATACCTTTCTCTTAATGGAAAAAGCAGGTTATGTCCAAAAATATTATAAAGAACTATTTTTTCTTCAAAGTTGTACATTATGCCATTGAAATGATAGATCTTTATTTTGCCAAATGTGTAAAGATTCTTAGGGAAGTTAGTTTAGTTTTTATATAAGATTGCATAAAATTTACCCCATCTTTGATATCCCGGAAATCCGAAAATATACGATCTCTTTTGTTACATTTGCAGAGGACATTTCGAAGATCTCGAAAAATCTCGAAGAAGATGCACCTTATGTTAAAATGGATGCTAGGCCATTTTGGCGTTGCAGAAGAAGATGGTCTGGCTGTTCATCTCGACGTCGAAGGACAAGTGCCAAGAAGATATGGAGCCGCGTGAAAGAACATGCGAGAAACATTTTTGGTAGACGACGAAGACGCAGCAAGTGAAGATTTTTCAGAATTTAACAAAAGGGCCGTCGAGAACAAGGGCTGGAATGAAATGTGTTGCTACAAGAAACTTTTGCAACGTTAGTTGCTGATTTGTTTTGTTTTATCGTTCTAGAGCAAAGCTCTTACTCTTTGTTTTAAATTTTTATTGCGTTCGGTGCAAACTTTGTCATGTTGTCGTTGGTTTTATTTTAAAGTTTTAACTAAAACACTATTCTTTCATATTCAGAACGGCTATTGAGCTGATACACAGGATATATGTCATTAACATAATTTTGGATCAACATCTGAGAACCTTATTTGTCCTTTGTTTAAACTAGTCAAAGAATGCCTTGCCCACCCAATTCCTTTGTACTAGAAGAGTAATCTAACTTTATCCCGTTTGAATGTGACAGTTTTGGAGCTTTTGTAGGTGGGGAACTTTTGTTTGTTGGTTCATCATTTCGTATGTTTGTTCGCCCAGCACTGTTGTAAAAGGTTGTAATGTATTTTAAATTGAATCGTTTTTATTGAGTTTTAAAATCAGTGATTAATTATATTTATGATATCATTTGAGATGATCTGTCATTTTCTGTCGCTCTGTATTATTGTACGATTGACAAACAAATATAGTTTCCTCGTCTGGTCGCTATTGGAAAATAAATTGAATAGAAAATGAAACCAATTTGAAACCAATGTGTATAATTTCGAAACATGTGATTTAGAGAACTTTGCAACAATGAAGACCCTTTACAGTGTAAGAACAGTATTTTTGCCGTGTATTCAAAAGATTTGCTTGCCTCATGTCTTTTAGCCTTCCCAGGCCTGTCAATTCTCCCGGTTTTGCCGGGAGACTCCAGGTTTTGCTTGTTTTCTCCCGGTCTCCCGGTTTTTTATGATTTTTTCCCTGTTTTTCCTTGTCTTTCAGCAAAGTTTTTTATATAACAAAAATTATTGAAATGACTTTCTTCGCGACAAAGATTTTTGTTAGTGTTTTCAAATTAACGAAAACGTTAAATCCATTAAGTCGCTACCGATGATAATTGTTGTCAATAACTGTTTGTCCAACATGACTTTTTTGACAGGTATGTTGTCTATAAATTCAACAAATTCTAGGGATCTCTCTGTTTTTGGCCAAATCTCACTGTTTTTCTCAATCAAAGATCTGAAATCTCCAGGTTTTGAAAATTTTAGGTTGACAGGTCTGCCTTCCCTATTATAGCCATTATAGACAGGTCTGCCTGCTTTATAGGTAGCGTCTGAAAAAACAGGCCACGAAAACTATAGAACTAAATTATTGTTGTCTCCTTCAACAGCAACCAAATTTAACATTATTGAAATGCAACTTTAAAGGAATTTATTTAACAAGGTCTTATTTATCATAACTTTACATGTAAAAAATTGGATAAAAATAGTGCAATAGAGATAAGCCAATTTTTAAGATTTATGACGTCTTCGATGTGGTATGTCAAGAACTGAGCTCAGAGTAAGCACCATTAAAAAAGGCGAGGAAATATGCAACATATGAGAAGCCAAACGTGTTTTTTTTCTCATTGACTTAACTTCTAATACATTCTTCAAAGTTTTAATTTTATTTCTATTTATTGTGCATTATAACGATGGCGCTTTCATATACCTATGCAGTTTGCTTCCATATTGTTTGTTCAAAATGGGAATTTATTCGGGTTGTGGCATCAAGAATAATGGTGAAAAAACTACCAAAAGGTTTTTTGCCTACTTTTAGCTCTCTATATTCATATCAAACTTTACCTCCAGAATCCCCAACAAACTTTTATTCAAGCAAGATATTTTTTCTAGAAAAGGAGCTTATCATATGAAGAAATGGATTGGTAATTTATAAACTTTCTACGTAAATATTATTGTGAATCAAATTTTTAAAGTCATCGAGTAGATGTGAGAAGCACGTGATTAGCTGTAAGTTGAACCTGATTGGCTAAATTGGTGGCACTTGCTGGAAGACCATGTGCAAAGTCTAGGAAGGTTCTAGGGACGTAAACAAGGCAAGGATACTCTGGTAAAGACGGAGAAAAACTGAATTGATAACCTACTGCAATTAAAGCATTGTGAAAATTGGTAGCTGTTACCAGAGCGGCCTAATTTACAAGTAATCGGCTGGGTTTTTAGAGAGCGGACAACTATGACGATTCGCGATACGATTGTATTAATTTGACCGCTCGGTTTCTAGTCACTAGTGTTTTGAAAGTGGAGCTGAAATTGGACAGCATTTAAAATCTGTTCGAAAGTATATTTGTTTGTGATAAGAAGCGCGCGGTTTATTCAAAAGTGTTTTCACTGTGTAACTCAGAAAAAGGAGGACTGGCAACTGACAAGTCTTGGGAATTTGAACGCATTTCTAATGGTTTTGACGACATATTGACAGGGGCCTTCGAGCTAATTTAGGCCAACACCGAGGTTGTTTATTTACATTTGCTTGCTTCCTGCAAGTTGACATTTGGTCAATGCTGCATCAAATAAACTGGAGTTTTTTAAGTCCAGACGCAGTGATATTCCCAACATAGTTGCACAGGTATAATTGGAGACTTAATCTTGCTGTTTGAATACATTGTTTACTGTTGTGCGGGGTATGTAATAATCCTACTTATCAATTTTGTTTTCCTTCAGAATGGCGCTGTAAAATGAGTCTTAATTACGCAGATTGGTCTAAAGCTAGTAATTTCTCGATTAAATGATTAAAATGCCAGAGGGTTTTAATAACATTTAAGTTTTAAATGATGTGCTTGTAACTTTAAAAACGCTTTTTTTGCTTGAAAATTAAACAGTTATCAATAAATTGAGTTAATACACTCGTATTGTATCGAAATTGGAGTCAAATGCAAATTATTTTAGGTATAACGGTTACCATTTTTAATCATTTCTAGTCGTACTGCAGTTGGAAATCGGAAAATGAGCAACGAAGAAATTACATACGAGGAACAAGAATCACGCTACTTGGATAATGAAAAGGAGTTAGCTGAAAATTCACACTGGTTTGATGGGCCTGTGGTAAACGAGGATGGTGAAGACAAGGTATTAAAATAGCACAAGTTCGTCACTTTTGCTCTGCAGGTTTCAGTCGCGTTATTAAGCGTGTTTTTCTTTAGTTTTGAATTTTACTGTATAACAGCTGAATCGCCTAGGCCATTGTCTGTTGGTAAGCGTAGGACATGGAGTTGGTGCACGTTTTGTCTGCAAAGGAATGCCTTCTGGAATAGTCCTAAAGAGCGGATAACTATGTTTTCGGTTTAAAGTTTTTCTTGTTCATAGATTCTCTTAGCTTTTATTAGTGCTTTAGTTTATTTTTGTGTTGTTTTCGAAAGTTCACGTGCAACTCAGCTGCAGGTTTGATAAAGCAAGCGAACAATGCCTGGCTTTGTAGTTACCTTTTTCAGTTTACAAATCTTTTTCAAAATGTTATTAGAACATTTCAAGCTAAGCCCAAAATCATTTTATCCTTATAAAATTTGTATTGAACTCTTTTTTTATAAGAACCAGTAAATTTGAGTTCAGGCTGATTGTTTTTTTTTGAAAATCTAAGGCTGGATTGTTATACCCTAAATTTATAGGGTATAAGCAGTGAGATTTCTAGCTTTTCATTCTGTGGAGGTGTTCAAGCCAACAAAGTGAGTGAGAAAACCTTCATTTGCTGCCATTTTGAATACTCATGGAAAAAGCACCCACATATGCCTAAAAATCCTCGTTTTTGAGATAAAACATTGTTCAAAATTTCATTTTACAGTAGCTCAGCCTCAGCTTGTTCTTAATTTGTTCTTAACTTTTGACCAATTCTAAGGCTCGCGTTCTTATAAAATTGTTCTTACAAAAAGAGTGTAATAATTCAAGTCCATATATTAAACTTCCATGAGTTCAACATTTTTGCATATTTACCAATGAAGTGTTTCTTAGTTATTAGTTCAATTCAATTCAAATTTCATTTACAGTGTCAATTACTAAATACATGTCTTCTAATTTATAAGAAACTGGTTTTTAAGACACTAGAACGAGAATGGCGAAAAACTTAAGAAACCTTTGTACAAGTAGAATTAAGAAAATGTAAAATTTCCATTTTTGAAAAAAGTGCCCAAGAGTTTTTATTTTGTTAATTTTTCTTTGGGAATAATAGCATACTTTGAATTTTGATCTGCATGAGTTTTTCGTGATGGTCTACATTTTTATTCTTTAAAAAAAGCTCAACTTTAAAACAATAAGGCAAATTTAGGTCCTGAAATAAGAAACCAACTAAAAAGCTTTTAGTGCTGAAACGCCATACATATGAAGTTAGAAACTCCATACAAAATGAAAGGCCACTCAGAATATAAAGTCATATAATGAGTAATGCCAGGCGGAATCATTAAGCAGTGGGTATGTGATATGTTATCAAGAATTTAAAAAGCCACTAGGAATGTTAAACTAAGGATTTAAATGCCTTAGAATAACCTAATGTCATTAGAATTTAGTTAAAGATGTAAAATGGGGGTGAATTGCATGCGACATCCTTAATCATTCTGCAAAAAGTAAAATTGTAATATAGACATAAACAACTCTCCATAGATATACAGGCTAACAATGTAAGGATAACAGCAATTATTACATTGTCAAACTGCAGGACATATTCCAAGAAAATTGATGAGCTGCTTGCCTTTGTGTGGTGGATTATGTTGTGGTGAATTAATGTTAAATATCTGTTAATTAATGTTGTACACTTTTGTTTGAAAGATGATATTAGGGTTTTCCCAGATACAATGTTATAGTCAGGAAAAATTCATAATGATAATGAGAATCCAATGTTGTAAGGTAGAATTTAACTCATTGGTTACATTTACTCTGGCAAAGTGCTGTTTGCTAAGGTGAAATATTAGTATTTATCAAATTTATTTATATTCTATCTTACAACATTTGATTCACATTGTCGTTTTGCATTGTTCCCGACTATTACCTTCTATCATAGTATTTCAAGATTCAAATTATCCAGCAGACAGCCCATCCTGCATTATTCCTTCTATCATAGTATTTCAAGATTCAAAGAATCCAGCAGACAGCCTATCCTGCATTCTTCCTTCTATCATAGTATTTCAAGATTCAAATTATCCAGCAGACAGCCTATCCTGCATTCTTCCTTCTATTATAGTATTTCAAGATTCAAAGAATCCAGCAGACAGCCTATCCTGCATTCTTCCTTCTATCATAGTATTTCAAGATTCAAAGAATCCAGCAGACAGCCTATCCTGCATTCTTCCTTCTATCATAGTATTTCAAGATTCAAATTATCCAGCAGACAGCCTATCCTGCATTCTTACTTCTATCATAGTATTTCAAGATTCAAATTATCCAGCAGACAGCCTATCCTGCATTCTTCCTTCTATCATAGTATTTCAAGATTCAAAGAATCCAGCAGACAGCCTATCCTGCATTCTTCCTTCTATCATAGTATTTCAAGATTCAAATTATCCAGCAGACAGCCTATCCTGCATTCTTCCTTCTATCATAGTATTTCAAGATTCAAAGAATCCAGCAGACAGCCTATCCTGCATTCTTCCTTCTATCATAGTATTTCAAGATTCAAAGAATCCAGCAGACAGCCTATCCTGCATTCTTCCTTCTATCATAGTATTTCAAGATTCAAATTATCCAGCAGACAGCCTATCCTGCATTCTTCCTTCTATCATAGTATTTCAAGATTCAAAGAATCCAGCAGACAGCCTATCCTGCATTCTTCCTTCTATCATAGTATTTCAAGATTCAAATTATCCAGCAGACAGCCTATCCTGTATTCTTCCTTCTGACATATTTCCCTGATACTTGATAGTTGTTAGTGTTTTATTAAGAATCATCATTATCATGCCATCTTGATTTTTTCAAGTGTTCCCCCAAAGGAAAGGGTTGTACAAAAAGGGGCTGGTAAATTTTGGTAAGATGGTTGTCAATCATAATTTTGTAAATCTCTCCTAGGGAAAATTGAATCACTAATAGCATTTTCATTTTCATTTTATCATCCATGGATACTAAATAAAATTCTCAAGCTACAAAATAAATAAATATAATACTAAATTAAAAACATCAAATACTTAGGAAAATCAAGCTTGAGGAAGTGATTTTTGTTTTTTTTGCAATAACTCAAGGTTGCAAAGCGCTGTAGAATTTTTATATGAATAGTCTTTGAACATTTTTTATGAAATGTATGCTTTGTTTCCTGACAATCAAATTAAGCATGAAACTCAAAGTAGCAACTTAGAACCATCTTATTCTTTACAACAAGTAAAGTGTAGAGCAGAAAAGTTGCCTGATGAATGCATTAAGCGTGAATCTAGAGTAGCAACTTAGAACCATCCTGTTCTATACACCAAATAGCAGGTAAAGCTCTGCCTATACAGGCCGATAAACAGTAATTTTCATTATAGGAAATTTATATGAGCAGTCATTCATCTTAAGGTTTAAAGGTTTTCTTTTGCTTCTTATAAACATAGTAGTAATGACTTTTACTTGCATAACTTTGTTCCAAAAGCCACAAACTGTGAAGAAGAGGTAAAGCACCTTAGGCTTAAGTCATGAAGGTTGAGGGCCGACCCATATGTTAAGAACATAGGAGCCTTAATAATATGTTGTTTCTTTGATGTATGTTTTTTAATATCAGAGTGTTTTGTATGTAGTGGAATTTAAAATAAATTAACTGAGCTGAACTGAAAATATATCACGTGCTGAAAATATATGAAGCCTCCAATATTAATTAACACCTTGTGGTAATGGTGGCTACAAACTACAATAAAGTAATTCTAATGGCTGGTACAAGTTAGCGCTTGGCAATGCAAGGAACTTTCAACAGCCATAGTGGCACCAATGTTCATTATTTAGGGGCTTGGTTTTATTCTATAGAAAAAATAAAAACATATAGTGTGTTCAGAGTAGCCAGACTAATAGAAGAAAATTCGTCAATTTTTGTGTGTAATATAAGCATTCGTGTTTTGTGCAATTGAAAGAATCATGCACTGTACAAGAATAATTTAGGTACCCTGTAGGTAAAAGAGTTGTATATAAAAGCTTCTTGTTTAATTTGTTAAGAAAGGTAGATATCTTTTACAACCAAGGGTTATTTCCTGCTAATTTCTTCCATAGGAAAATGCAGAACTCGATTCCAAGAACTTGGAAGATGATCAGTATGACAAAATGTTGTCGTATGACTACAGATACGCACCTCCCTTTCACGAGGCATCAAGCGAGCAAGAATTCCAGACACCCAAGGCACATACAGATTATAATTTTGACGAGAAAGATTACAGGAGTAAGTTTTATTGCTTTTTTCCAGTTCCTGTTCAGTAGCGGCGCCACGGGGGATTGGGGGGGGGGGGGGGGACACGCCCCCCAGTTCTTAATCTAAATTCGGTGAGAAAATGTCGGGAGAGGGGTAATATTTTGGCAACGCCCTTTTTGTGATGTAATCCTTTGAATTTCATTGATTGGCGTGGTCTAAAAAGTTTGGTTTGTCGCCCCCTCCTGGTTTGTCGCCAGAAGATGCTTTGCACGTGCAACACCGTCAGCATTCATGAAGGGCATATTCCAGGGTGGGTGCTTTTATTCCCTTTATGCCGATTTTCTGTCCAGAATTAGGTTAAACCTTTATTTGCACATTGCTGAACTTTGTATCCTAATAAAAATTAAACATTAAGCAGAACCAAATTTATTTCATTTTTATTGCTATAGAAGAAAGGAGGAAACGAACCTGTAAAATGTTTTGAGCATGAACGTTTTATGCCTGTATTTCTGTTACGAGGGGCTAGTCCAGCGTCAAGCAAAATAATAGAGTAAGCAGTGATTACAAAATTTAAAAATTCTTTAGCAGGGATTTGTAAATGTTTTATTCTTTGGAAGTTATTATTTTCAGCAACTGTAAAACTCGGCAGGTACGGAGATTTGCAAATCTGCCTAATAACCAGTTCTTAGTGGCTTCCAACATGGTTAACGTTGTTTTCACGCTCATCTTATGGGTTTTTTACGATTTTTCATTGCACGGATTGGTCGGTTAGTCCACATTTTTAGCTACTTTATCAATTATTTATCCACGCTGTTTGAGTAATGTCAGAAAGATAATGTTTCTTGTCTCTGGCAAATAAAAGTTGCAGTGTATGGCCAGTTGGCAATTATGAAACGTGTGCTCGATTTTTCCTGGGTTTTTTCAGGTATTTTTAAGAACATATTTGTTAGTTCTGTCACATATAGTCATATTGAACCTATCTGTCAAGTTCACGACAAAATCACAGCATGTTCTTGCTTTCGTGCAGCACTCTTTGTTGTAAATTGAGCTAGTTGATTGAGCATGTTAATGTATGCTTACAGAGAACGCACATTTTTAAAATTCTGAAACGAATATCAGTTTAAAATAAAGAGAGTGTTCGATTGAATCTTTCTCTCCATTATTGCTTAATTCAAGAAAAAAATTTTCAAGGACCTTGCAATGCAATTTCAAGGAGATTTTGCTCAAATCGTTTGGTTTTTATTTGTTTTTGTATCTCATGAATATTATGAAGGAGCTAGAATATTATGTTATTATTTATCCGATGTTATCATTTAAAGACGTATGATTTTGAAAGGAATGTGCGTTCATCCAGTTACCTGTGAATCTATGAGGATACAGAAAAATATTTTTCCCCACAATACATTTTCGCTAAATTCATTAAAACGTTGAACGATGCCTCCATGAAAGCAAACGATTGGCCCCAGAAGCTTGGAATTGGCAATGTTTCTTCCCTTTGCTGTTTAGAAAGCATTTGCTGATCGATTTCACATTTTCAGGATCTGGATTTCAATTATTCATTGCAAATAGACGTTCGCTACCTGTTACAAATTATATGTTAGTCGGCGTTACGGGGTCCATCTTTCCCCAATTTTTCATAGTATGGCCCCACTGATTCTCCAAAATGTGGCAACGGCTCACACTGCCACTCCCCCATGTACAGCGGCATTGATAGGAATTGATAATGCTATATAACGCTCGTTTAGGGACCCATGTTTGCAATGAAGATATAAAATTGAAATTTTCTAATAACTTGCAAATGATCTGTTTTTAATAGGACATCGCAAGATATCACAGCATTATCACGAGCCGATTCGACCTATTGTCAAAGAAAAATCTAAAAAGAAACGTCGTTCGTCTAAAGAAGAGAAGAAGACTGAAAAGGAAAAATTTTCGAAATCACCACAGAAGTTTCCTGCCATCAAGGTTTTGCCACAAATTTCGGAGAACAAGGAGCTGACGCAAGAGCAGATATCCGACCACGAAACAGAGGGTGCGGTATGGCCAAAGGTGAGCTATTTTTGCGCGTTTAATGGACCGTCTGAGTTGAGCTTGCTTCTGCCAAGAGTTTGAGACACTGAGAAATTGTGTTTAGTACACACTTTTCTGGTCATTAGGTGTCAGATAAGTAATAGATCTAACCGGAGGGGGATTGTTCCACTCTTGGCTAGTCCGAATCTTGTTTTTCCTCTCGTCGTTTGATATTATTTCAAAGTATAAGGTATTGATAAAAATGGTTTTGAGGAATGCCGGAAACTTTTGCTTTTGCCGTGGGTTTTTGGGAAATATTGCTGACTATTTGCAATGGCTGTGAATCTTGTGTTTTCTCTGTGGCAGTTATGGGCCACCATAGATGAAGGCATTCTGAACTCCATCTCATTAGGTTCTATTGCCTCCACCCCCATCTCTATGTGATCTTACGACGTGATCTGTTTGGTGGATATTGCAGACCTAAGGACTTTCCCATGCATCTTTTTCATCTGATATTCATCTTTTAATCTGCAGCCTTTGTTATCTAAGTGAAGAATATTTTCCATGGTCTTATTTGAGTAGACGTAATTACATCCATGTTTTCACTATTCGCAATAATCTTGCTTTATCACTCCGGCACCCGCCTACACGAGATTTGATCCTTCACAGATATGACATGCAGCAAGATTGATCAGAATCTGCAGCGGGCAACGGCAATTTGAAATCGTAACCTCCAAATATACATCTATGAATTCCGAAAATAAAATCAATGGCAATGTCCATTAAGTAAAAAGTTTGTTCTGCTGCCAACTTCACAATAAAGAGGGAAAGTAAACATTCTATGCAAGTCTTGAGCAGCACCAGCCGTTCGCTAAAGAAAAGGCTGGTTACAGGAGGATGTGTGTGTCACTTACCTACTAGGGGATGTGTGTGTCATGTCCAGGCACCGCACAGCCATTGGGCTAGCAATATGACTATATGTTTAGGCTATAGCCCCCCCCCCCCACTTTTTTGCAATACTAGGCTAGAAAAGTTTTTTGAAATGTTTACAATAATGCAACTTTAGATAGTTTACTCCTATGTAGTAGCAGTTCTTCTTGACTGGGAACCATTTTTGTTCATTTTCTAGGTGTTTTATCTTGTTAAATGATATGATGTATTTTTCTAACTTGGCTAGCTTGGTGTTTTATTACCATCAATTTTTTTCTAAAATAATTTTCTAAAAGAGGCATTAAGCAAGTATTTTCTGAAAGAGGCATTTTCCAGCGTTCTAGAGAGCGTGGCCTCGAAAAATTCTCGGACACACCCATTTAAGCTCCTCCACTTTTAGACTGGTGTGCGGTCCCTGGTCACGTCTTCTTCCCAATATTTCCAACCCCAATTCTTGAGGTATAAATTCGCTCCTTGCTGGCGAAACCTACATGAGGCTGAAATTATTGGTATTTCATTTGAGCCCTTAGACTTACTATGCTTTGCAGGAAAATGTTAAAAATGGCTAAAATGTTTCGAGAAGCTGGTTGTCAATGTGTAGGAAAGTGTGTAGATCTTTCTCTGGACAATTTTCCCAAGCTTTGGAAACCTTCCTCGGAAAGGGGTTTGGGTGCGGCTCTTTAATTTCTTATGTTTCCATTGGCCTTCCACACTGTCATTGACCATATGACCGCCATGTTTTCGGGTTGTAGGGGTATCACCCGCCATACCTTGCCCTTTGGACACCCCTGTTACAGAGTTGTTTTCTTTCAATATATACTTGTCTGGTCAAACGCCGTGTTTCTTGTGAGCGCAGCGCGTACCATCGCCTGTGATAGGATCAATGCGGTGATAAATCTTGCTCAGTCAATAGTTATCTTGTCATGAAACTCTTGTTTCCCATCCACACCTAGTATTTATAATCTGCGCTTTGCAATAAAATATTTCTACTTATCACTAAACGAACTTGTACTGGATATTAGCAGGTGCAATGCGACGAAGCAAAAACTGGAGGGGGTGAGAAATAGGAATAACAATACTGGCCATTACAATATCTTAAGAAGAAGAATTAACGATGCAAAGAAAATTTATTGGGTTTGTTTGTGGATTCAGATAAGAATAATGCAGCATCATTTAGGACAGTAACTGGTGCCTCGTCTGCTGCCATTTGTTTGTTATCCTCTAAACCTTTTTTTCTCTGATATGTACTGAATAGTTTTCACAATAATCATCGACAAATTTTATCATTGAGCACCGCACACAGGTCGATTTTTGACATCCCAAAAATGTTTGAAATTTTACAGCGTTCACCACGATAAGTACTCCAAGTTTAATGTGCCACACCAATCTTTTAAAAGAGCAGACCCTTTGGATATATTTTGAGAATTCATCGATTTTAAAAGCAACGATTCCATTTTCTCACAAGCCTAGCAACTTTTATGTTTAAACCTTTCTTGAATAGACGAAATCATTGTGTCCAGAGCTTTAAAATTTTACAAGATTGTGACAGCAGTCTTATACCGTTTCTAAGTGGTATGCAGGTTCTATGCTTTGATGGCTGACAATGTAATGTAAGATTTAGTAATCGGGAGGTCTCGACCTGCTTGGTGAAACGGCCTCTTCGGTAAACCAGTAGGCTTTAGCACAGAGGGACAGAGGGGGGGGGGGTAGCCGGGGGTGACAATCACAGGGCTTGGACCCTAAAAACAGTTTAATAAACGTAGAGAGCTCATATCTTAATTTCTAACTCAACATTTAAATGCAGGGCCTGAACTGGCTCTCGGTAGCTCTGCATGTTGTAGTTGTCATTTCAAAAAGCTCGATAAAGACTCCTCATTTCTCATATTTTGAAGAATATTCGCAACCAGTTCGATTGTTAGTTTGCTGCTGATGTGTGTCTGTGAGCACTTCTCCTTCTTCATTGATTTCTCTTCTTCACTTTCGTTCTTGCTGTTCTTTTTTATTTTTGCTTTTTGAAAGAGGAAAATACTGCGTGGCAAAAATATCCAGAATTGGCATGGCCGAAGTCTAGGGTCATGTGGGGTGTAAGTTGAAATTGGTCGGTAACAATTAGCAATTAATGCAGTTGTTTGGCTGTGTTTCACGAAATGTTTTATTGCCGTCTCGTGGCAGTCCTGTTTCTGCGAGCAAACAGTTTTTGCTAAACTTTTTTAAAATCCATTAGCAACTCATGTGAGCTGTAGAGTTTGTTTCACCTGCCTCATATCCTCTCGTGATTCAATCAAGGACGTGGTAGCTGCAATTCTTGCCCTTTTTTCAGCTCTTTGTCATCTTAAAACCAGTTTTCGGATGTTATTAGTTGATCATGCTAGCAATAACGTTGAAGTAAGGGCCAAACTTATAATAACGTTAGGATCCATGAACAGCTGTTCTGTAAATTTTTTTGTAGATAGTTGGTTTAAATTAGCTGTTGTATTTAGCTATTGTGAATACCAACTTTAAATAATATAATAATAATAATAATGATAAAGTAGAAAAGTACTTGAATTCGGTTAGCAATGGGCCGTTTTTGAATTGGAATTTCCGTTCCCGGGCGCCGTTGATAATCCGGTATTCAAAGCATAGGCGCTGAAACTTTTTTATTGGCAGTGCCTCGTATTTGTAGGAAAACCATCTTATTTTTTTCATCATTCCGTCATGATTCATTTGAAAAGGAACTTCAATCACTTCCGCATTCATATCTTTATAGTCCGTTTTTGATGAAACATAGGGCTTTTTCTCAGCTCTCTTGAAATTGTATACGCTCGCATAAACACTTATGACATTGGCATCACCACGTGGCAGCATGTCACTAGCCATTACATCTCAGATGTCTTTGATTTGAACGTTTATCAAATGTTTTTGAAGTATGATTTTTAAAGCTGCTACTAGTTGGGTTTATTGTTCAAAGTTGTATTTAAACCTCTATTTTTTACTTATTTCATGGATATTTCTTTATTTTGACTTACAAAGGACCAGAAAGATGCAGGACAGCGCAAGCATCGCCACAGGCATAAACATGACAGGGAGAAACGTGGTCATCGGCGACATCACCATCATCGCGGCTTCAGCGAGTCAGACAGCCTGGAATCCAGGGTTCGGACTGGCCTTCAAACCCTTGAGGAGGAGAAGAAGGCTATTTTCGACATATCGCAGGAACTAAAAGAGGACCAAGTCTTAAGAACTTTAGATCTCAAAGATCGGGATACCATTCAAAGTATGTAATACAAATTTTCCCTTTTCCTTACTTCTGTTTCCCGAATGCTTTGCTCGATTTTGGGGAGGGCGAGGGTTGCAGAGGGAGAAAGACTTTCGGGGTGTGTATAAGAATCCATATGGCCTGAATCCCTATCAGTATTCGATCTGGAATTATAATGGCTTACGCTCGGCTTGCCGCCACGAGGAATGCTCGCTATTCTCGTCTTTTGCAGATGAGAACGTATTTGAATTCAAAATAAGATATTCCAAGTTTACTTACAGATCATAACTAAAAAACACATCAGTTGTATTAGAAAACCGCAAATTGGAAATAAAGAATTTTCACCTGAATTTATTAGCTATGGGGATGTAAAGAGACCCTCTGGAACCAGGTTAAAGAATCATGCCAACCCTTGACATTCTAGCTGGCTCCCATCTTCCATTCCAAAGGGCTCTGCTGTTTGTGCAACTGACTTGAGACCAACCTAGTGATTTCTATTGCAGGCTTCAGTTTTATAGGTATACGTCTGACAGAAATACAGTTCAAGCTAAAAGCTTCATGAATTTTGTGATGTTTTCAATGCCTCTTTTAATTTTTGGATCACTGGATAAGCAACGTTTCCGTAGATTTAGTGGTGTGCTTTCCTTGTAACACAGGGCCTTCTTGATCAGTTTCATGGATTCCCCTATTTGTACCCTCACAGGTCATCGTTTTGAAGACCTCAACGGCGTGCGAAGACGTGTATCCCGGCAGAGACCGAAATCTGGAATGACCACCCATATAACTCACGGTGAACCGACGGAAAAACCCGCTCATGTGCAAATAACGCTACCCAAGTACAAGTACGATCATGTCCCAAAAGAGGTAATGTTCTTGATAAGTGAAAGTATTGGTAACATGCATCTAGATTAAAGTGTAAGCGGAACAAGAGAATATAGTTCCTGTTGCCGGGCGCGGAATGCTCAATAGCACATACCCAGTAACTTGTGACTTAGTCATTTTCAAAGAGATCACATATGAGGAAGCGCATACTTTGAGAAAGGGGTGGATCGTTTATTGCAGGGGAATCGTTGTGAAGAAATCAGGGAGTATGCAAAGTGATGTAATATTAAGGAGAAAGTGATTTAACTGCATCTTCTGTGACTGTTATGTTTAAAATGCTTCGCGAAGCCTTTAATCACCGCGCAAGAAAATGGGGAAATTCGTGATATATTTATGCTGTTTTCATTTGCAGCCTGCCTTTTGCTAAATAAAGTTAATTTAATCGTGCAAATGTGTGTGTGAAATAATGTTAATTGAAATGATGTTGCTGTCTTCAAGGGCTTCGTCGAGCTAGAGGAGCTTACATGTGGCACGGACAACGAGATGCAATGGAAAGAGCGTGCAAGATGGATCAAGTTTGAAGAAGATGTCGAGCAGAACGAGCAATGGGGCAAACCTCATATTGCCTCGCTTTCCTTCCACAGTCTCTTAGAATTGAGAAAAGGCATAGAATCAGGTACGAGAATAATAAAGAATTGTGCGTTGACTTGATTTTGCAGGATTTGTGCAGGTGCTGATGTAGTGAGCCAATCGTCATCTTGATATCAGTAGATTCATTTGTTTATCGAACTTGATGTGGATGATTCAGAGCCTAAGAAAGTAAACACCATGCTCGAAGTAATTACAGCAATATGTGACAAATTAGGGGCTCTGGACTTGTGAGCTTTCTGCAAGATGCGTTTGTAAATACCCTTTGGTGATGTTGCACTGGATACCTAGGACAATTTTTTTGGAATATTCTTTTTTGCTAATAACTTATTATCTGTATAAGAAAATTCAAAAAAAAAATTACGTTAAGAGAGATTGCAATCAGAGGTGGCATTGTCTTATTTTATTTGGGAAAAGAGATTGAGAATCGCCTGGTGTGTGCCTCTTCACATTCTTTTTGGTCCAAATTACTAATTCATTACAGCGCTACGTAATACAATAATATTCACTTCGGCTAAGTATTCTTTCCAAATCATATTCTATAGATTAATATCATAGTGAGCCATTATGAAAAATAATAAACATATTAAAGATACAAAAGCAAAAAGGAGGAATGAAAATGAATATTCACCTGAAAAGAAAAATAAAAGTTGTGAGATTGATGAACTATAAACCACAAAGGTATATTATGATGTCAATATTTAAAAAGCTCTATCTTACGAATTAACAAGAGTAATTTGTTCAAATTTCTGTGCTTCAATTTCATAGCAATACGAAACTCTCAAAATGGCCGTTTTAGTCGGCCCCCAAAAGTGTGTATTGTACGAGCAGTGGTTTTCGCAGTGCGTTGTTTGGGTTGAAATAGCAAAGTCATTTGCACTGAATTTAGCTTGCGTTTGGATTGAATGCTGACTTAAAATAACTGAAAAATTATAGGATACCTTTTTTGGATGGTTGAAATTTATGATCATTGGAAGGACAAATTAAATCTTTTGCTGCCAAAACATAATATTCTTTCTAGCTTTACAGATTTGTGCTCTTTCCACAGGAACTGTTCTTCTGGACCTTGAATCGTTTGATTTAAATTCAATTTATGAATCGGTTGCGGAAAACATGGTTATAACTGACCAGCTAAGCAGAGCCAACAAAGAAAAGGTGATCGACGTACTTCTGTCCAAGCATCGTCATCAGCATCAACAGAGCAGACTGAAGAGGAATTTCTCATTTTCAAGTCTGAGCTCGTTTACAATGGATAACTCTAGTACTTCCGGGCGCGAAAAGGACAGTGGGATCGACAGTAACGTGGACGTTGATATAAAGCACGAAGAAGAACCCCAAAAGGATCAGACTCAAGTGGATAATAACGTTGTAGCAAATAAAGATTCTGTCGTATTTGAACTTGGCGATATAGAAATGGATTCGGACGAAGTAGATCATCATAAGGAACCTTTTATGAAAGAATCGTATTTTATCGATTCTGATGATGACGAAAAGGTTTGTTCCATATTTCTCTGTTTTTGTTTGATATTTGCTATTCAACAGCAGTTTCTTTCCCTAAAATTAGCACACCCACTCTGCTACGCATTTTCGTCCTTTTTCTCTAGCAGATAATGGAAAGCATTTCTTGTTTCTTTTTCAAGTTTTTTTTGCAGTTTTTGGATAAGTTATTCAGAATCTTTTCTTGCATTTCTAGCGAGCTACTGTGAAATTCGGACCAACAACGGTTGAAGAGACAGGAGAATTCAAAACCGAGTCTGATGTCAAAAGCCGGGTCCCTGTTGGTGCGGAAGCAACTTCCGTATTGGTCGGAACGTTGCCGGATCTTTATCAGCCAACGATGGCCTTCGTTCGATTAGCTAAGGGATGTTTTCTGGGAAATCTCACGGAAGTGTCTATTCCAGTTAGATTTCTTTTTATTTTGCTTGGCCCAGAGTCACGAAAGAAGGAGTACTATGAGATAGGCAGATCAATTGCCACTTTGATGTCTGATAAGGTAAGGTAGCTTTTAGCGATGTTTTATGTTATTCAACTGTAATCCAAGTGTATCGACTTTGAAGGGAAAAACAGTACGAAAGATATAGCACTGCACTGGGTGTGAAAACGCTCTCGGCGTTTGGCATCATTTTTTGCTCCGTATGATTTGTATTTTATAACAATATATCTCGTATTACTGGGAACTGATTAGGACAGATATGCTTCAGATTGAATTGTTATTTCCTTTGCAATTTCCTTTTAAGTTTCAATTTACCCAATCCTTGTTTCTTATCGTTTTTTTTCTTTTCTCTAAGACATTTCATTCTATGCTTAATATTTTCTCCAGATTTTTCATGACTTGGCTTATGCTGCAAAGAATAGAGACGATCTGCTGTCGGCCATTAACTCTTTTCTTGATGACAGCGTAGTACTAGCACCTGGAGACTGGGACCGACACCTTTTGCTGCCTCTTCTTGAAGCAGAGGTAGCCATTAAGAAACGACACCGTAAGATGTTGCTTAGAGAAAAAGGTATGTGGTTTTAAGCTATACTTATTTTCTACTTTTTTTTATACCGTAAATCCTCGAATAGGCCCCCAGTTTTTATTTCCAAAATGAATTTTTGGGTGGGGGCTTATTCGAGGGGGTTTATTCAAGGGGGGCTTATCTCAAAGTGCCAGAGCCATGACAAAGAGCAAGAAAATGGCGGAAATTCTTGTTGATCAATTGAATGGAAAAAAGATAAACATGAGCATTTTGAGCTTCTAGTAACAACAACTGATATCAAAAGAGTTACAAAGTGTTGTACGAAGATCTAACAAATATTATAATTTTTTATCATCACAAAAGTCGCTTATTTGCTTTTTGGTCTCCAGTCGAAGGAAGTTATACTTTATAGCTATTGTCCTGTGGGGGCTTTCTTGAAATAAGATATTATTCTGCAATTATGCTCCTTTGCAAAAAACTGATTTTTTTAAGTGGGGACTTATTCGAGGGGGGGGGGCTTATTCGAGGATTTGCGGTATTGATGAATGGTATATTTATTTGAAAACAGACTTTCAATCGTATGACTTATGTTACATTGCTCTAAATGATGAATTATTTACGGCATTCATTAGCAAATGTGCAGATTTGCCTGAATTTGTCAATTGTCTCATTTTGCAGCCGCAGCTCATGAAATGCCCGCTGATTTGAACCCCTTCATTAGAACTGGTCACATTTTCGGTGGTTTGATCCGAGAATTCCGACGCAAAAAGGCGCATTTTGTTTCCGATTTCAAAGACGGCCTAAACCTCCGCTGTGCAATCGCCTTAATATTTATTTTCTTTGCAACTCTTGCGCCGACGATCACTTTCGGTGGACTTCTGGGCAAAAAGACCGACGGATGGTTAGGAGTGCAAGAGACATTAATCGCCACGTCTTTCGGTGGAATCCTGTTTGCTCTTTTTGCTGGACAGCCGCTGATAATCATTGGGACGACGGGACCTATTCTCGTATTTGAACAAGCAACATATGAGGTGAGCTTGAAGCATAGCATTTTTCCCCATTTTGATCTATGTGATGTTGCGATGCAACTTCCATGAACGAAACCCCCAAATAATGGACGTCTCCAAATCGAAGACCAATCAAAGGCTTGTAAAGGTAACATACAAAAACGGACACCTCCCTTCGACTGACACCTCCCTTCGATCGACACCTCCCGTCGACCGACACCTCCCTTCGACCGACACCTCCCTTCGACGGACACCTCCCTTTGACGGACACCTCCCTTCGACGGACACGTCCCTTCATGGTATTTCCACCACATGTCCGCTATATTGAGGTTCCACTGTACTACCGCTCTACTTTGATAAGGTTAGGCATATTTGATAATGTTCTGTGGAAAGTTCGATTTGTTTTACCACCTTATTCGGTGATTAAAATCAAGTTTGAAAATGCTTGGGATTGTATTAAGTTGCTGGAATGACTTCAAAAACTTCTTTGAACTCGTCCTTTGCCCCCAAATTTCGGAGAAAATTAAAATTCAATGTGTTTGAATTCCAATGAAATTATGAAACAATTTTCCTCTCGTCCCATTTCCTATTGTTAGAAGATAGTCTAGGCGCTATGAATTTTTTATTAGCTTTGAAAAAAGCAAACATTTAGTAAACTAAAGCTTTTCGTCTGACACTCTTCAGAGTTTAAAACGTCAGAACATAGATCGAAAACTCTACGCTAAGAAATATATATACCCGTTGTGGATCGAAATAGGCCAATCAGAAACACGAGCACGTGACTGTAAAGGTTGACCAATCAGTGCCGCTTGCCTATTAGAATGTTACCAATGGAGTCCTAAGGTGAAAACGAACTCCTTTTGTCTACACAGTAGCGGTTTTTTCGTGCTTATGTAGATAGATTCTAAAACTGCTAGGTGGAATGACGATCGGGCTTTACCAATAATCCGAAACATGTCGCCATTATAGTTTTTTGCACAAACTGGGTTTTCTAGCAAATGCTGCCCGATAGCAGAATCGCAGGTCTTATTAGTAATTTTGGATTTGCAAGACCGAGGTGGCTGTTCTCTTTGGGGATGTGTTTTGTTCCTAATATTAGATGGAACGTGTTGTTTTATCCTATCCTCCAATCTTTGGGTGGTGCGTCCTACGTAGCCAGAATCACACTGGCACGTGAATTCATACACAACAGAACTTTTTTTTGTGGCAGGAACGCAGTCCTTTTGAATGGACGGAAGGGCCTTTTTTGTACTGTAAACAACACGTGGGTTAACCGCGAAGAAACAATTTGTTATGGCCTGTTTTATTTGGCTATTTGGCTATTTCTTAGCGTAGAGTTTTCGATCTATGTTCTGACGTTTTAAACTCTGAAGAGTGTCAGACGAAAAGCTTTAGTTTACTAAATGTTTGCTTTTTTCAAAGCTATTTACAAGTTTTGTACCACCAAAAGATTGTTTGAATTTTTTATTCCCATTTTTTTCATTCTTTTTGTTTACATGACTCTGTTTGACAAAATGTTCAATGCTCTTTAACAACCTTTTGCAGACAATCTAAGATTACCGTAAGCCCTCATATTAACCTCCTAAAGGCTTGAAATTCAGGAAGTTTATAGTTGGGGAGGGGGGGTGTAGGGGATAATTCGAGAATTTACAGTATGCAGATCTATGAAAATTAAATGCACTGTATATTCTCTTATCGTGAAAAATCAGGTATTGTTTTTCTTGTTCGTTTTAACTGTTTAGATATTCATTTTTATTTTAGTTTTGCAATCTGCTGAATATTGAGTTCATGGCAATGCGGTTCTGGATTGGTCTGTGGGTCTTGGTCATCCTGCTTGGCGTTGTCGCATTCGAGGGTTGCTACCTCGTTGAATATTTTTCAAGATTCACCGAAGAAGTCGTTTCGGTTCTTATTTCATTTTTCTTCCTTTATGAAGCAGTCTATTTCCTAATAAAGGTGAGAAGCATTTAAGAGCTTGACGTAAATTCAAGTTTGTTTTATATGTAACGAATACTTGACACCTTTTTCGTACCTATTAAAATGTCTCTCTACCTATAGAATTTACGATTGCCGTTACCATGGCTTCTATATTTATTAATGAGCAAACAGTTCCTTTTTTTGTTTTCAACTGGTCCCATTTCCTCTTTGATGAATGTTGGTCTGCTCTTTGCTGAATTTAACCATTTTTTCATGCAAAGTTAACCATGTTTTTCATGTACATACGAATTTCTATAGTGACTTCAGTCTAAAATTCTGTTTTGTTTTTTTCAGGTTTTCAAAGAACACCCATTAAAATTGTCATATGAATCTTTAGAACAAGCAGATCTCATAGAAAAATATTTTGTAAATTACACAGAGCAAATTTGTAACATTAGTTTACCTGAACTAGTAAGAAATGAAAGCATCACAGAGGCTCCTTCGCTGTCACCTAATAATGTTGGGCGGCCGAACACTGCCCTAATGAGCTTGGTCCTCCTTATTGGAACATTCTTAATTGCCTTCTTTTTGCGCAAGTTTCGAAATAGTCATTTTTTCTCCAGTAAATGGCGAAGGATTATGAGTGACTTTGGTGTGCCTATCGCAATGATATTCATGGTTTGTGTAGATTTAACAACTGACAATATATTCACGGAAAAAATAAACATTCCACAGACATTAAGACCCACCAAAGCAGAGCGACGTGGATTTTTCGTCAATCCACTTGGAGATAAGAAAAGACTCGAGCTAGGCTATATTGTGCTTGGTGTAATTCCGGCAATTTTAGTCAGCATTTTGATATTCATGGAGACTGAACTGACGGGAGTCTTGCTCAATAAAAAGCGGAATAAACTCAAGAAAGGTGGTGGCTTCAACTTAGACCTGTTTATGATGGGAGTGCTGACAGGAATTTCGTCTGTATTCGGCTTGCCTTGGATGTGTGCCGCCACCTTAAGGTCGGTGCAGCATATCAACGCGTTGGTCATTATGAGTAGATGTCATGCGCCTGGAGAACGTCCGTTTCTAGTCGAAGTGAAGGAGCAAAGGCTCACCAATGTAGCTATTCATATATTAGTAGGTGAGTCACTTCGATTTAAGTTGTCATTCTGTATTCAGTATTAGAAGCGATTAGAATCGAAGATAACGCTCTCTTTAAGGCCGATTTCCATTTGACATTTTATTGTGCGTGCGGGCATAGCGCCCAAGTCTGAGCATGCGTAATTAAAATCAAGTTGTCTCGATTTTGCGTCCTCTGTGAGCGCCAGAAAGTTGATAAGGTCTCAACTTTTTTGTGCGCTCGGCCACTTGACAACAGCACTTAGCTACGCATGCTCAAATTTGGGCGCTACGCCCGCGCGCACAAAAAATGTCAAATGGAAATCGGCCTTTAAAGTCAAAGTACAATCCATCTCAAGAGTCCTTGGAGCGCCCTGTTGCATGAGTTTGTTTGAAGAAAAATATCCTTTAACCGTACCCCATGCCTCTCCACCAAAGCAATTTGGGTTGTAGAGTTCAATGTCGTTTTTTTCCTGAAATGAATCCACACCAAACTTCTTACTTTGCACAAAACAGCATTTTTAGAGGGGAAAGGGGGATGCACTATAGAATGTTATAAAAATATTTGAATGCGATTACTTTGGCAGTCATCGTAGCTGATAGAATGGTATAGAAGCTTCATTTCGACCCAAATTGTCAATAAATAATACTTAAATAAATAAATAATTTGATATCCAGAAAATTCTGAGATCCTCTCAAATTCTTTTTATGTTTATATGAAGGAAGTATAGCTTCTTGCTATGAATTTTCTGCAATTAGAGTTTCTGATTTGACTGGCCTTATTTGACAGGCATTAAAATTCTGTCAGTCAGTTCTCTCATTTGCAAAGATAAACAATGAAGTTGGAACAATTGTGTATTACGTATCTTCTATTTCCAAGCCCTCTCTTCGTCGCCATTGTTTGTTTATTAAACGGACTCGTGCCCCCTTGAAATAGCAATCCATTTTCATTCCGTAGGTTTAGTCCTCTTCATGTCTGACGTCATCAGAGAGATCCCGTACGCTGTTCTACTTGGGGTGTTTCTGTATCTGGGCCTCATTTCATTGTTCAGTGGCATTCAATTTATGGAGCAGATGCGACTTTTCTTCACCCCCCGAAAATATCACCCTAACAAAAGATACATTTATATGGTATGTAATTGCAATGATTTTTTCCACTAACTTAAGGCTGCTTGATGTTATGTTGCCTGATCTGTATCATATTGAGGCTGCTAAAACGCATAAAGCATAATGTCAGAGTCATGAGTACTCTTATTGAGATAACTTCAGTCTGCTCTCTCTGCACATTTATGTAGATAATCGAGTATGAAAGATAATCAATTTACTTAAAACCATTGCAGCTTCTGTAGTCAGTTTTTTGTGAAATTCTTTCTCAATTTTAAGATAATTTTTATGCAGCAGTTGTTAACTTGGTTGCCAGATTAATTATGTTCATTTGAAGCTGTTATTTTGTTTTCTTTCCATTTCAGATTCCTCTTTACAAAATTCTGATTTACACTGCTGTGCAGCTTTTGTGCCTGATCATTCTATTTGTAATCAAACTCACTCCAGTGGCGCCGATGTTCCCCTTTTTCTTCCTTATTATGGCTGTCATCAGAAAGTATCTTGGACGTTTTTTTACTGAAGAAGAGCTCGAAGAGGTTAGAGAGTGTTTTTGTCTTGAAATGTTAAATGAAATATCATTAATTCAATCAGAATAAAGTATCGATAACTCAACCGATCCTTTTGTTACTTCCCATTTTGTTTACTGAGTACTTCAAAATCAAATCTTCTACTGCTGAAGGTAGCAGCTAGAAATTGAATACCCAGTTCAAGCGCAATAACCTTTTTTAAACTCCTGTCAAGTGTGAAATTTGAAGTCGTATGTGTAACTTTAAGGCTAAGCCGATTGTTGGGTCAGGGTGTGGTTACTCATAATTGCTTCGGAGGGACATTTATTCGATTGCATTTTAAAGTATAGCGGATCTCCGTTCTTTCAAAAGATGTTTGCAAGTGCCTTATGAAAGCAAAACTAACGTAAGAAACAGCTTTTTATTACACCATGTATTGTATGATATACCTACTTGTTATACCTACATATTATACCAAGGTTGTCCTCTACAATGTCCCATGATCAATTTCTTCTTCAGATGTTTGTTATGATGTCAAGCATCGAAAACCCGCAAGCTTTTTCTTCTTGTTTGTGCCAATATTGAACATTGTCATTTCATATTTTCTGTTCTCTGCCTGTTGCAGCTTGACAATGAGGAGGATTCAAAAGAGTACGACAGTGATCTGGATGAATATGATACGGTGTATCTACCAATATAATTTCAGAGCAAATCCTTTGTTTGTTAATGGCTAAGATACCCAGTACGAGAGCCAATCGTTTGCAGTGCAGAGGTATTTCATTCATCCTAAATTCTAAGCTTGAATCTAAAGCTGAAAATGCTCAAGAGTTTTTCCAGGCTGTTTCGCTTTTAGACTTGTGACGTCATTGTGAACAAATTTCGATTTTCTTGAGTTTGATTAGCTGTTTTTGTCATTTTTATTGTTGTTGTTGTTGTGGCTGTTTTGTGGTTTGATTTCAAGCGTGTATTTATGTATGAACTCATTTCCTAAGCGGTCATTTCATTCTGGTTTTCTTTCATGCAAACCCTTTTGACTTTTGAAAGTTCAAAAATTCGAATAAGCATGTCTGTATGCACATCTGCAATCCCCCGCTTGTACGCCTTTGTTAAATAAGCAAAATGAAAATTATTAGTTTAAATAACACTTGGTCTTTTCGACATTGGAAGGACCAATAAATACTGTTCTCTTCATAAAATCTTATATCTTTTTGAATCATATCAATTGGCAAGAACTATGTAATGTAAATGAAATTGGGATTCATTAGAAATTATTGAAGGGCCCACCCATACCACTCCCTGTTCTGATTTTCTAGGACGTTAGCCTGTGCGAAGACTCGGCTGGTTTTCCCTGCGATGAATTTTGTTGAATGGATAATGGGTTTACTCTCCCAGTAGAAAATCATTTAGGGTTTCTTGTCCAGAGAAAAACCTCTGGTGATAATAAATTCAGATTATATAGTCATAATTCCCAACGTGTTAACTTCCTTATTCCATTTAAAATTTACTAACTTTGTTTTAACAAGATATTACTTGGTTCTTTTACCTATTTTATAATGCAATGAAACAATTTTTAATAAATGAATCTTCCTTATACCTTTGTGACCGTTGAGGAACAGAAGCAATTTTGTTTTGTTTTCAATATCTCTGATTCAGATTCGGTTTAGAATCTCATTTTGAAGAGTAAACCAATTTTGTTCAGAATTATTTTTTTTTCTGTGAAAATTTATAATATACTATATATATAGTTGTTCATATTTTGTAGAAAACAGTCGAAATTTTGTGTGATTTAGTAAAACTAAATTAATACAGCTTGTCTAAGGCAACAATGGAGACGGATGATTTTGTAGGTTTTTATAAATGCTTCACTGTCAAAGCAAGACACTCGGTGTATAGATGCATATCCATAGTACCTTGACCCATTACATTAGCTAGAGGCTCAACATACTTCATGTGCCTTCGATGGATTAACATTTCTCCAAGCAAGCATCGACCATTTGACTCAGAAAAACAACATTTGTTCAAATTTGCACTCATTCATAGCCTTTTAAGTGAACGTTTTCGTTATGTAATAACAAAAAGTCTTAATCCCACTCAGTATTCAGCGACCTTGACGTAGGCGAATTTTAGAGCAGAGTGCAGGCGTTCTTTAATTGACAAAGTACAAACGAAGTATTTTGGTGTTGTAGGGAATTTTAAATGTGTTTTCAAGCAGGCTTTAACGTGGCTATTTTTTCACTTGGAAGTAATTATGCTTGTTTATATGTTCTTTTGAAAAAGGACTGAGTTTCCAGATGATTCTCCACGCCAATTTGTACATTTTTTAATTAGCCTTGTTATGACGTGTAGAACTAATCCAATTGTGCATATATACAAAACGCATTAATCGATCATCCAATTCAAAATTCTTATTTTATTCACCCTCTCTTCAAATGGTTAACACAGTGTCCGTCCCTGTCTAAAGGGGCCATTTTGTTGTGCTCTCGTACTGATGTAGGTTGCTGGTTTCAGTTTGTCTATGGTTATAATTTCGCATATCTAGATTGAGTATAGTATAGCTACGTATGTGAAAAAAGCAACGGTAGCAGGCATAGATCAAGGAAACATATTGGAACATTTAGCAAATTGAGGGGATTCACGTGTAGGCAAAAGGGATACCCCTCTGAGAGCTGCAAATAGGCACTTTACCGTGATTTGATACGACAGACTTAACCAGTTTACTCTGTCCTCCTTTTAAAGTGGGCAGTGTAAAGGTCCCGCTCAAATCTCTCTCCTCCATTCGTTTAATACTTCGTACATCCCTATGAGTTTCAGAATTGTGCGCATTTTATCAGAATTGTACAGCCTTGTGTATTATACAGCTAGAATGTATCCGTTTTCAGTGAACAAACAAGTCGATAAAAGAAAACTAATAAAAGAACTGGACTACTTGTTAATGGAGTTGCTCCTTTCACAGCGAACCCTACTCCTCCTCTGCTGACACTGACAAGGTTTCAAAATACTGGACTAATTTTTTTTGTTTCGCTCTATCCACTTTATATACTGGGGGGGGGGGCTTCTTTTTAAGGGCTCATACTTTGCAGTAAGGAGTCATCGATAGAGACTTAGGCTGCGTTTAAACGATACCTGATTCATTTCATATCGGATTTGCTGCACCGTATCGGATTGGTTTTATACCAGGTAGGGCTCCTGTTTACACGACAGTAGTTACTCCGCACTGCGGGGTGCAGTCTTTTGTTTCGGGGCCTCTGCGTTGGTATTTGAGTCGCGCCAAAAAATTACCTGCCACGTGAGCACTGGTGTGAGTCACTGAAACAGAAAAATGGCGGGGAGCAGGGAAGAAAGTTAAGGAAGAAATTTTTCCTGGACTTGAGCTGTTGCTAGAGACCGTGAGATCGCATGCAGCGAGTTCTCAATTCGAGGGGAAAGGATGGGAGAGTGTGAAGTCTTCTTTAAGATAAGGAATATCTTGAAAAAAAGATCCATGAGGTGGCTACTGATCTGAAAAATGTGTGCAAGTAAAATTACTGTGGTAAAGAATAATGTCTCTTTATCAGCATCCATCTTGTTTTCTTGATAGTGAAACCACAATTTGTTGAAAAACGCGCCAAACGTGGGGTTGAGACCACCTGAGGCCACAGGGATCGTAACTGAGGTTGCGGAGCAAGTTGATACCGGATTCGAACGTTTAAACAAGCACTTTACCCAATCCGATACATATCGGATTGGTTTCAGAGCGATAGCATATCGGAACGGGTCCTCGTCGTGTAAACAGAAGGCCTATCTGGTGTTAAACGAATCCGATATGAAGTGAATCCGGTATCATGTAAACGGGGCCTTAAGCATTTTATCCTTTTTTCAGATATTTTCGTATATCTTGTAAATATCTTGGCTTTTCTGCCTAGAAGCTAGAAGAGGAGATTCCTTGTTCTCGGAAGGTCAACGGAGATCAAGAGAAACAACATGTTTGAAGGAAAAAAGTTAAATATTGGTTTTAGGCCAATCATAGGTAGTGATGCTCGGCGTGTGAAGTATGGACCCAAGTCCCGCAAAATACACAGCTATTTCTGTATCCTTTATGGAACCCTTCAGAGAATGTGGAGTGAAGGCAAAGATCGCGTGATCTGGATGAAAAAACGACATTGTAGGATTAAAATGTTTAAGCGGTGTATCTCAGTTCTGATAAAATAGCATTATCAATTCCAATGGTTGTTACACAACACTACAATAACCTTTTGTTTCTGGCATGCCAAAGACACTCGTTAACCTTTCATTGATTTTTCCCTTGAGACTTGTATAATGCAGTTTTTTATTTAGATTATTTTCACTTCCTGTTCTGAAAGCGATGGGCCTTTCAAATCTAAAGCTCGTTGCGCAACAGAGGAAAATCCGGATAAACTGTTTTCTATTAACAAAAAAGCCATGTGGTTCTACACGTCCAGTAGCCTGTGTTCCAGACCCCTAACTTCGATGTAGATATCTCGAGCACAGGCTACATGTCCAGAGACGCAAGCATCAATAAAAGGCTATTTGAAAAAATTCTCATCTTCTATTAATCCTTTTTGTAATTGTCATTTTATCTTCTGTAGGTGTCTTGAAAATGGGCTTACTTCTAGCATAAGAGATTTTTGACAAGTTTTGAGAAATGTCGTCATGAATAAAGAACTACAGTCAGAATTTCATTAAATCTCTTGAGTGCCTATGAAATGAAATTTTACACATGTTGTTGCAATATAAAACGATAATTAACTCGAAAATTTGCACATGAAAGTTTGTTCTGGGGAAGTTAAAAACAATTAGTGACAGAGCAAAAGAATCAGTGACGTCACAAGGGTTTCAGTTGATACCGTCTTCACAAACACACTATACAACTTAGTCAGGGCTGTTAGTCAAACAATTGTGCAAATTGTGATATCAGCATAAAATTTTGCAAAAAGGGGTAGTTTGATACGCTGACTTAAAATTGCCCTCTTCGGCAATTTTAACTGTAGTTCCAGTAGCAAACTCCATATTCCTCAGTGTACTAAACGCCAACTGCTTCCGTGTTTGCAAACCTTGTGGCTTGAGAAGTTTTTCAGCGCAGAGTCGAGAAACAGTTTCCCTAATGTCGATACTTGTTTCTTCAAGAAGAGAGGGGTAATCTCCGGAAGCTTTTCAAAATCGTCTCGTTTAAAATGATTAAAAAAACAGCTCTGTTGAAAGCTTTCAAAATACCAAATAACTTTTTGAAAATATCTCTGTGTACCCCAGGTGCCGTAATGCTCGATTAAGCCTTCAAAAGCCCCCTCCCCCTCAAACAATCCTTCGAACAATTACTAGCTTATACAAATTGTTTTGATGATGATGAAATTGACATAAAACATTTACTGGACTGCTAAACTTTGTTTGCAGCAGCAGCAGAAGCAGAAGTTTTCGTGCAATGATTGCATGTTGGTTTTCCACTGCCAAGTCTTTTTGTGGAATTTTAAAAGCACTTAATCCAGAGTATTTAACGATTGAAAGTGATTTTAATTCAAGTATTGATACCAGATTCAACTCCAGATTTGTACCATTCAATAGTCACTACTAAAAACAGTTGAGAAAGAATATAAAAGAACTGGTTGTTGAGTGTTGGAATCAACAACTGTCGAAAAGAACTACCATCCAAATACAATCAATCAGAATCTTAGCTCTTGAACTATGTAAAACCATGGTAAAACTCAAAAATCTAAATCCTATTTTGATGAAGGACTATTTTTCGCCCAAAACTAACGTGCTCTAACCTTCGTATTCAAAATACAAAAGGTAGTGCTACAAATTATGGATTAAGATCGCACAGTTTCCAAGGGTCGAAAATCTGGAACTCGCTTCCGGATGAAATCAAAATAGCCCGAAGTTCAAGAGAATTAAAAATTCTGATTAAAACTTGATTCCATAAAAATAAATGCACGTGTTCTCTTTGCAGTAAATGAACTGTTTAATGCATTCCTTAGAAATGCTTCATGTTAAACTGATATGAACTGGTGTTTTTCCACTATTGTCACAACTACCTTTTAATAAAGCATACAATACAAAACAATACAATACAACAATAATTATGAAAGTAAAGAAATTTTGATACTAATTCAGTGTACAATCAATGTGCTTAAGAGTAGTGTGAAATGGTTTGTGCCCGTGTAAAAATGGCGTGTAGTAAAGGTTTGTGCAAGTAACAAGCTGAGTCTAGAAGAAAGACTGGAAAATTTTTGCCGAATTTTCAATTTTGCACCATTTGTCTGTTCTTTTCTTTATTCAATTTGCTTCATTGTTGTCATAAATTAGTTTAGTTAACTTAGTGTAAATAATTTATGCAATTGAATACGAGATAATTAATTGTTAACGAGTTCTGCCTTTCAAATAAATTGGTGAAAATGATTGACATCATCTGCGTCGGTCTGACAAACTTTCGTTTAGGAAGCAAAAGCTTGAGCAACAAATTTTAAATCTTATCTAAGCAATGAAACATTTGGCCTTCAAGAACATGTTAATCATTATTTTCTTTGATGACATCAGATTTTTTCGCAATTTTTTGTTTTCTTTAAAATTTTCCACGTAATTGCTAAAGTAATCTCGTGGTTCCTTTAGAGTTTGACAAGGACTATATTTTCTTCAGTCAATACAACAATTATGCACCCAGTTTGTACCAAATCTAGGATACATCACATAGATATAAAGATTATATAGTTCATATTAGTTTACGACCTTGTATACATTTATATTTCTTCATCTTGTTGTCATGTTAGTTGTTATTAATTAGCTTATTGTAATTTTTTATAGTTAAGCTAGAATTTTTATCCAACTTTAAATAAAGTATAAAAAACGATAACTCAGGAATGGAAATCAAATGTTTTATCAACGTCAGATTCAAAAGGGCTTTCCTTGTTATCCTTTGCTGCAAAAAACCAGTTCCCTTTCAGCCACCCACCCTAATAAATTTGTTTTTCGCATCTTGTCAATCTCGTGCAGACCTTGAAACTTGCCGAAAAATACTGTCCTGTAATCTGCGTTATAAGATAATGGCTTTGTTATGACAAAATTGCAGTAGAATTAGGTACGAAGCCTCCTATGTTGCTTCGATGAGTACAGAAATTCTATTCAATCGTTTAATGTGAAGGATATGGACTAAAAGTAAATATTTTGTTCGCAAATATGTTTCTCCTAAACCTATAAGACACGACCAAAAAATATACACGGAAGTTCATTGTTTGAAAATTTATCGTCCAAAAATTTTGTATCGAAAATTCGAAACCAAAAAAAAAGAATTCAATGATTCGGGTCGCCCCTTTTATTCACAGTAACAATTTCATAGCGATGCAATTTGTGAAGAAATTTTTTCGGCCGATGTTTCTTCGACCGCGTTTACCCTTTACGGCTCCAAACACTTTTGCGGCTCCATAAACTCCTTTTTGTGCCTCCGCCTCCGTGTTGAGCTCCCTGTCACATGTTTGATTCCAATTTACATTTTTCCTTGATTGCGGAGGATTAACCAATTGAAATGCAATATTCAGATTGATGGACCAATCAGAATCAAGGTAGTTGAGACTGCGGCGAACCCTGCACTGTCAGCGATCACAGGGCTCGATCAAGAAATGAACAAGCAGCAGCAGTTGTGCTAAAAAATGCGATTCTGTCGTCTATGTTTTGCTATAGTTTCTTCGCTCTTTCTTTGTAAATAGTTAGAAGCTAAAATTGTAAACAATATCTGCAACGCTGGGTTCCACATATATACAGCTTCATATGGACCCATCGTCCATAATAACACAAGTTCCAAAGTCGCAAAGTGAGCAAGAATGTAATGGAGAACCGGTAGCAGATTTCAACGAAAAAGGTTTGGCGACTTTCTGTGGTTTGCTTTCAAAATATTTCTTGGTTACATTGAGACCGTGATTTTGCGATTTTCAATCATAAATTTTCGCGTATTTTAATTACTGATAAGCAATGTTATGGTGTTTTTGCATATACAGTTTAGATCATTGGTAAACAAAGTTAAGCTTAGTGACTCGAAATCATAACTGATGTTGATAATTTTGGACGTCAAACTGCAAATGCAGATGGTGTGCATGCGACAGATGTTTCCTGAAAAATGATGCTGTCTAAAAGTCATTAGTTCTATTTTATATGGGCCGATTTCCGCAGCTTGCAAGGTTTTCAGGGATGTTTGTCTTCAAAGATTCTCGTACGCTTGGATGTTGTTCCAAAGGGTGCAGTTAATTAGGCCCATTTCAAGATAACTTCGTGCAATTGCGCGTGTCTCTTAGCCGTTTCTTAAGGCAGAAAGTTAAACCGTGACCGCTAAAAGACAAAATTTCATAGTATAAAAACACCTCCATTTTATTATTTGAGTGTTTTCGATCTCAGAGGACTCATTTTCCTCCGCCCAGGAACGTATCCGATGAGCTTATCAAATAGACGGCGCCTAACTACACATACGCCGCCGCTGCCAGTCGCTTACGAGTCAATCTATAAAGCAACTGAAAAAAGCCCTTTGCCATTTTGCTTTCCGGTTTTGCTCTGATTGTGATTGAATGTTTTAATAATTAATTTCCGTGACACCAGAAACGGGTTTCTCTAGATTTAGTACTGAAGAGTCCAGCATAGTATAGCAAAAAAACTATGCTGATTGATTAAAAGGTACACTTTCAATCATGACTGAAAATTTATTTTCTTATTTATCAATATTTCAAAGATAGGGTAGACTGGCAGTAAATTTATATACGTTGTTTTAGGTGAACTGTTCGTCTCTAACTACTACACCGGTGTTATCCCAAGCGCGGTAATTTGATCCGTCGCTTTGTCGTAATAGATAACAGTTGGCGGAAGAGAGGAGTTAGGCCAGCAAAGTGTTCATTTGGCGGTTGATCGCCGCATTCTGGCAGTATCCCAATCTGGTATTGCAATGTAGCCATAAATTGGGAACATCGTTAGAGTTCAAAGCCTTTGCAACGATTAGTCGTCTCGGCGTAAGGTCTAGATTACCAAAGGTCAACCTAATACGGGATCTTTTTCAGTTCGAATATAGTTTTAAATATTAGATTCGTCGTGCCTATGACTGTCCACTGTCCTATTGAAATTTGAAGCAAAGTCTGTAGCCTTGTGCAAGTGTATTACCTTGTCAGGGTCAAAACGATACAATGTGTCATAACCTACTCACAGTTTTAAATATTAGATTTGTCACTTCTTGATCTAGCAGTTATAGACAGCAGTAATCAAGAAATAAAAACATATCAAAATATGTATGTATTCATTTCTTTTTAAATCCCATATTGGCATATTATTATCTTCAGTTGGACCACATCAGAGCCCTTTTGCTTTCCTTGTTAAGTGTTTTGAGTATTTTGTTGGAATAGGCGAATAATTTTTAATAGGCAAAATATTTTTATTTTGCTTCATTGGTCACCTAAAACCAAACTGTATTAAATATGCACCATTTCTGGATTCAGGGATACTTTTCCAAAAGTGTAATTCTCCTGCTGAAATTCCTTGTTGAAATTTGATAACAAGCCAGGTGGCAAATAAAAGTATTTGCTTTGATATGTTTTGAAATAGTTATACAGTAGATTGTAAATGATATCTCTTTCAAACTCCTGATTTTGTTTTTAAGAGTTTTTCTTTGCTAAATATGCATATAAGCCATCAAGAATATTTTTTTTGAATTGCAGAATTATGCACTAATCGAAAGAAGATTCGAAACAGAGGACTTCTCTCATCACTGTTTTGCTGTTTTGGAGGACGTGGTGATCCAGCAAGTGCATTTGTGAGCACAAGCCTAAATCCGCCTGAAGAAAGTATTAACCATAATCATTACTCTATCACAAAAAGTTATGAAAGTGAACCAGAAGAAGAAAATGCAAATGAGCCACAGGTATTTTCTTTACAGTTATCCAAGTCTTTGTCCACTGTTTGCTAATGGCTACTTAGTGATGATATTTTTGAAATTTCTGTTGTGGAAGAAGGTTACCATGGTTTGCTGTTTGCTTATCATAACTCAAATTGATTTAAGATACATCGTGCAGGCACTATTTGTACCTGAAAATTTCATTCATCAAGTGTGCAGGCATTGTGATAAGCAAAAAGCAGACACTTGACAAACTGAGCACCCTCAAATTTCTAGGTGCTTAATTGTTCACTCAGGTTAAAGCTTTCTTGTTTGATAAGTCATCAAGATTTTGTTTGCTCAAAATGCATAAATTAAATTCTGTTTGAACATTGTGCTTTGATTTAACTTTATGATTTATCATTGTGCTCTGATTTAACGATTTAACTCTTGTGTGCTTAATTGTAGGGGGGAGGTTGAATAAAGAGGAAGGGTGGACATTTTCCTAGATTTTCATAAAGCGGAGGGGTCATAATTAAATGAACTACAGGGAAAATCGTAAAAAAGCATCTAAAAGGGGGGGGGTGAAAAAAATGGGGAGTGAGATATTGCAAGTGCATACGCTTTTTAAACTAAGTATATACTAGTTCGAAGTCAAAAAATCAAACATATTTTGCAAACTGTGCTGTGAGATTTGCAAATTTGATAAATTGGCAAAATAAGTAATACAGCTCCCTGCACTCTCTCATTAACGAAAGTATCATGTGATTTTACACAAGTAACTCCAAAAGAGTTTTTCAATCTTTGATTAGAAAGCCAAAACAAAGTGTGTGAATAATAGCAAATTTCAATTAGTCGATCGATTTATGAGTTTTGAAAAGCTTTGTTTCTTTTTAGCGAGTGAGCACACTGTAGTTAAGATGAAGTTTAAAACCAACAAAAGGAAGTTTCCTCTCGAAAAAGAGTTTCTTAAAAAGAGTTTTGTATGGAGCCAAACCATTTTTTTTCTGAGAAGTTTAAAATGTCTAATATTGATAATAAAATGGGGGGGGGGGGGTTTGGTCATCCTTTGAAATTTCCATAAAATGGGGGGGGAGGAGGTCATTATAAAATGCCATGAAGGGTGAAAAATTTTGAAAAATGCAATATGACCCTCCCCTATAATTAAGCACACAAGAGTATCTGTCATGATTATGATTTGATGAATTAAAACTAAAATAAATTGCATCCAATATATAAACGTTGGTATGAGCAGGATGAATCGCCCGCACACAAACAGCTTATGTACAGTTGCCTATTTGATGCTTTGTAATTACAAGAATGTTTGCAATTCCATTTAGAGAATGCAAACAAAAATATTTCCAATTATTATCAAATATCATCAATAGCAAAATTTGGTTTTTTGAATTTAGTTTTAGACAGCAAAAACATGCTATGTGCTCAATCAATCAAGCTTAGCTCCTAGAATTTTATAAACATGTGTGGCGGCACTTGATCAAGTGTGAAGGGCATATTTACATTTCTCAGCAGTTCCTCTACTGTTTTCAGTTTATACATTTTTACAAAATGTAGCTTTCAGAAATATTGAATATATATTTTATTTGAATGCTTTAGCTTGAAGAGGTAAAGTACCTCTTGCCCCCACTGAGGAATGGTGACAAGAAGAAATGCATTGTTATAGATTTGGATGAAACACTTGTCCACAGTTCCTTCAAGGTAATTATATGATATTTGGTTTTGCAACCTTGCATTATTAATGATGTCTGTAATTAAAATGTGATGTTTTGACTCCAATATAATTATTTTTGGGCTTCTTTATTAAATTTATTTATCTGTTATAGGACAGAAAGAAAAGCATCAATACATGTTAGATTTTTTTCTGAAAATAAGAAGATTTTCAACAGCTGACTGTTTAGAATGAAATTAAGTCTCTTTTATCACAATAAAATTGTGAAAAATCACTATCTATTGCTGAAAGTTTTTCATTATGATGATGATCTTGCCTAATAGGTAGCAATCTTGGTCTTTCAATCTTGAATTTTAAGTGGAGATGGTAATTGACACATGAAAGTTTGGAACTTTCATTAAGTTTTTACGAAGCCTTGAGATTTAAATGCTGAAAGAAACCAGTCTACCTACTATTTGAAGTTTTCAGCAGTTTTCACAATATTTGCCAAATTCTATCTTGATCTGAAATTCAATAATAGAGATAAAATTTACAACAGGAAACAAATGAAGAAAATTTAAATGTTTAAGTTTAGCAACTTTGTTGTTGCAAACAGTTATCCTTGCTTCATTAAAAAAACTCCACCCTGGAACTCCACTTTATTAACTTTATTTGCTAATTAGAGAATTCTGTTGTTTTCTCTTGTAATTTCTCATATCATAGAATTCTGCATTTTTCTCAAAGAAATTATGAAGTTTCATGGCTTGAGCCCACAAATTATTTATATCACTCCAATTTAAACCACTATTGTGTTTTGAGAAAGATTGGTTTGACCATGGACATATTTGCCATGAATTCTCAAATCAGCCCCCTGGGGGCTTATTTGTTTTTAATATTTTGAGATGGGGGTTAAATGAGGGGCTTATAAAGTTTTAGTGGACATTAAGAAGACATTGATAAAATACCGCATAAATTTTAGTAGGAATTTCTTTATTAAAATTTAATTAATTATTACAAAAAGTATGAATTTTTGTGGTAATTCAATAAAATGCCAAAGGCAACCTCAGATTGCAATAATCCAGAAATAGAGGGGGCTAATTTGAAGATTCATGGTAGCAGTGGAGGCTTTTTGGAGGGGGTTCTTATTTACAAATTGTAGCTCTAGGGTGGGGACTTTTTTTGGGGAGGGATTTTTGAGGGGGGGCAATTCAAGGATTTACAGTATATACAAAAATGGATGGAACTTATGTTATTGTATCTGAAGAATTGAATTTCTGATGTCTTATCAGCCTTGCCCTTTAACATCATATAATTCTAAGATGTAACATTAAATGGGTTGACGTAAAAAGCGAAATGAAAGGGTCAATATTTCCTACCTTTGGACCAGAAGACCGCATTTTTTCTTAACCTTTATTTTGCAAGGACAAGCAAAAGTTTAAGTATTTTTTGAAAATGATAGATAATTTAAGGTCTTAATTTATTAATCTTAACAAATACCAGGATATTAGGTCTGGGTTGTATAATCTTTTTTAAGCATGCTGTCAAACAGTTAACAAGTTTAGTTTCTTTCTCTAGACTTTCTTTATTTTAGTATTTGTTCCTTTAATGTTGTTTCTTGTGCTGAAGGTAATCATTTGCAAAAATATTGAATTAATCTGATGGCAAAGATTGTGTTCTCTATATGAGATTGTGTACTCTTTGAGTCTTGGATTTGCAAATATGATTAAATGTAAAAGATACTGTTTAATTTTATTTATAAAGTACACCTTAGAATTGATGTGATATAGTACCCAAGTGTGACGTAAACACTTTGGAACTCTTATTCCACATGATTCCAGAAGATCAGTGCTTATCATGCTAGGACCATTCATTCGTTGACACTAAGACTTGGTTTCAATTATATTTTATATCAACTCTGTTGAAGCGGGCCCTTTATTAAGTTAAATCAATACTGCTTATGTAGTATAAATGGCTTTTTTGTCTTGTGTAGCACTAATGGATTTTTCTGCTGTTTCAAAATAACCCCAGAATGCATTTGGAAGCTTCCCTCTATATGGATTTGGAAGCTTTCCTTTCAGTTTTCATAACATGTTTATGCCAAAAAAGTCTGTCTAATGGATAGATAATGTTAATATATTTTACATTTGGAGCATCATGTTAATCAGTGGTTTTTATCTCTTTTATAGCCAGTTCGTGATGCTGATTTTATTGTGCCAGTTGAAATTGATGGCAGTATACACCAGGTGAGAACTTTGAATGTCTTTATCAAAAGGTCTTTCCAACCAAAAAAATTGTTTTAATTTTTATTGACTCAAAGCTATTTTTAAAGGGAGATTCTTCTCAGCTTAGATGTTGTCTTTTGTCAAGGTAAAGTAAGATTTAAACTTGAAGAACCATTTATGTCAAACTAAAATGCATTATTTATTCCAGGTGTATGTTCTGAAACGGCCACATGTTGATGAGTTCCTAAAGCGAATGGGAGAATTGTTTGAATGTGTTCTATTCACCGCAAGTCTTGCAAAGGTTGGTATGCGGCTTACAAACATCTTCCAGTACTTGTAGATTGGCTACCAGCAGTTTTTTGTTTATAAATATTACTGATATTCAAGAGAACATATATTATATGAAATGAAAATGGAAATAGATGCTTTTCTCTTCAGCTTAAAAGTATTGATATGTTTCATTTCAATGTAATCTTATCTTTTTGTGATGATTTTTACACATAATGTGATCCAAAACAGTTGGACATTGCTAATAGCTCTAAACATCCAAAAGATAGTGTCACAGGGTCTAATAATTTTTGGATTTTCGCAATTTTTCCAAAAACTGTCCTTTTTATGACTAAGATTCTCAACCATTTTAAGTAGAGGCTAGCAACCAAACATATGTATGCCATAAATTCTCAATTGAGTGCCTGAGTATTCATCAACACTCAAGGGATACTCCTTCAAAAGATGGCGCTTGTGCAAAGGGTGGGTATATGTTTTTCATGCAGGACCATCGTGAGGCATGTCTTGTTGGGGTGGTGTGAGCTACAAATTTATCTTATTGAAAATTGCCTGAAATAATTGCTAATTTTTTTAAAGATATTTTAAAGATCGCATGTAGCAAAAAGACAATTAGATTGCTGGAAATTAATTAGATCCAAGCTTTGCCAAAAATAAAATCACGGTTTATATTTTAGCAGTCTGCCAGTTATTTCTGTAATAAAGTGAATCAGCGTAATCCATGAATTAATACTTACCCCCTTATTAACACCTATAAGCAGTTGAAGATTCTGGTACCTCCAGGGACATAACAACTTATTATAATAACAGCCAGCGAGAGACAGTTAAATGGTAGTTGGATGACCTCATTAAGTGTGAAACTCGGAGTTGCAACTAAAACCGTCCTTTTTATGCAGCAAATCCTGGTTATAAGGTATCAAGCGCTATTTGACAAACAATTAAAATAGCAATTTGCCTTAAATTAGTGATTCATCTACAGAACGAACCACAATCCTGCTAGGTTGCCTTTCATGTTGAATATTTATATCAACAAATTTCCCTTTTTCAATGAATTTAGAGGCCCTTTCACTTTTTTTCCTAATTTTTTTACAGTTCCGCACGTAAGATTTCTAGAGTGGCATTGTGGCAATGAGGTACTATCTAGTTAATTATTGTTTCACTGATATAACAACGTTCTTTGCAGTATGCAGATCCGGTTGCTGATCTTTTGGACAGAAATGGGATTTTTGCTGCTCGTCTTTTTCGAGAATCCTGTGTGTTCTACAAAGGGAATTATGTTAAGGTATGCGCTTTGACTAATTATGCTAAGGTATGCGCATAATTTTGACTGTGCTAAGGCGGAAGTGTTATAGGTGATAGGCAACGCTGGCCGTTTGCAGGATGACGAATGTTTGTAAAAAGAACAAATCAACAGAGTCCTGCATAAAGCTATTTATTATCAATTATGGCGATTACAAATCTAAGCTGTGACAAGAATTATTTCGATTTATTTTAAGTCAAATGAATCTTTCTTACTTCTAAACGCGCGGAAATTAAAAGCGTTATCTTTAGATGCAATTTGATTGTGGTTTTCTCTCAGACATGCCATTAAAAGTACTTCTTTGTGGTTTTGGCAAAGAGGAATGAATCCATTTGATTTCATGTAAATTATTCTTCGGCTTTGAATGCTATCTGCCCGGTCGTTTACACTTCATTAGATGTTGACCATAGATATGTCTAAACGTTTTTACCAAGAAGTAATCCAGGAATCCTTTTTAGTTTTCTCTTAAGCTGAAATGTTATCAGGAATTAAAGTATTGCGGGTTTTAGGAATTGAATGCTTATTGTTCGGTTCGGTTTTGGGTTTTTAGAAGCTGTAATCCACTGTATATTGTAGGCCTTATACTGTAAAACCTTTTCGCCTTTGAATTTTTTTTTGCCTCGCTGCAAAGAGACGATCAATGGCCTGTAGTTTAAGTTTATTCATATTACATACTTAAATGCATGCTAAAAATTTTATTATCATAATCAAATAAATTACATTCGATACGCTGTCGTGATTTTTTGTCTTTTTATTTGATGTTTCTGTATGCCGCAAAAGTTCTCCTCCGTGAAAAATATTGTAAATTCGTTTTATAAAAATATTCTAAATCTTGGTGTTTTTTCATACAGGATTTAAGTAGACTTGGCCGTGAGTTAGGAAAAGTTGTAATCATCGATAACTCTCCAGCTTCGTACATTTTTCATCCCGACAATGCGGTAAGTCCTTGCTTTGTATGATCAACACTATTTAGTTTCAACACTTTTGAGTCCTCACTCACTCAGTTAATCAAGAAAGCTTGAAATCGAACAGTTTTTGCGCAGTGGCAGTTGCTATCTCTGTTTTGAAAATATCTATTATAAGCTTAAACACTTTCCTACTCTCAGAATTCATGTATTAGATGATATGATCAACATTGCATGATGGGAGAGATGGGGGTAAAGCAATTTAAAAGTAGGCCTGACAACTCAGGGGTAAAGTTAGATCTTGGGGTTTTCAATTTTCAAGCTTCAATATTGTAATGATAAAGTTGTTTTTTAAAGAGGATAAAAACAAGGGTTAAATCCCCGGTCAAATCAAATGCATCAATTTCTATTTTCGAGCTTATTTTTTGCCCCCGAGTTCCTTGTCGATCATTTCAGTGCTCCTTTTTTAGGTACCCTGTACCTCATGGTTTGATGACATGTCAGACAGAGAGTTGTTGGATTTAATACCGTACATCGAGTCTCTCAATGCCGTCGATGACGTAGTTGTCTCCATTCGAAATAACCGCAATAGACGCTTTGTTGACATCGCCAACTCGGACGAGGATGGCTAGAGATCGAAGTGAAGTCTATCTGGTTTTTTAAATTCAAATTGTGATCAGTTTATAATTGTCTTGACGTATTGGACGCTGATGATTTCTCGGAGAGAAGTCTCAAACACACGCGAATGCTTAGAGAAAAATTGTGGAATATTTCAATGGGATTTGTATTCTACTTTTGATAATGTACAGTTTGGTAAGTTTGTATCGCCGAAAGATTTTATTTTCATAATTTTATTTTATACCGTTTTTTATAGATTTCTATATGCTAAATTGTTCCATTTAGATTAAATGTATAACTATATAAAGGCATGCCAGGTTTCAAATCCAGGTTTCAAGACTGGGAAAGAAACGAACAAAAACTGGAGAATTTGGTCATTTTTCTCCGAACTCCTTTTCGCAGCCCTCATAAAACATTTTTGTCTTTTGCTTATATAGTGCTTCTTCTGGATAAGCAAAATGTATTGTTGTTTTGGATTCGTGCTTGATGTGCCTAAAAAATCGTCATTTGTGTTTTGGAAATTGAATTTTGTGTTGTTAGTTACAGGGACGTTATGCTCATTTTAAATTTGTCTTAGTCTTACAATGTAATTAAGCACATATCGAATTAAGCTCTTAGATACAGGATTGTGTTCAGATATCGAGAATGATCAAAGCGAGGTTCTGTTGTCCTTTCGCAAACGAGATCAAACCTACAATGTTTGGTTTTTGGAAGCCTTGCAGAATTTACTGCTGTTGATTGGCGAAAAGGACAAAACAAGGGCCCTCACGGTTCCAAACAACCGTGTACCTTTGACCGTTCAGGTTACTGAACTCTGCAGGTTGATTGTTCTATATTTTGCAGTTTTTCCTGTGGTTACTTGTATTTATCAGCAATAATTTAGCATATTGCCATGAATTTATAGTCATTCCAGAGAATTTGACCGTCTATAGTTTTGTGCTGTTGATGTTTCTCGATCTTGTTTTGCATTGAAGTATTGAAACTATTAGCAGGTCACAGTAGAAGCAACCTTTCCCAATGGTAAACAAGCGTTTGATGTAAATAGACTGTCATTTGCTTTTAGTTTCTCATCTTCAGCAAATATACTAGAATCATGCATAGATGTATTTTAACTGCAGACAATGCTCCTTTACCCGCTGTGTGGTCCCAGTGATCGGTAGGATTTCAACCTCAATGAAAATATGTTTTTGTTCGTGAGGCGACTGAAACTTAAGGAAACCTGTTAAAGGAATCTGTCATTTGATTTTGGCGTTTTCCAAAACTGGAAACTTGGCTCTTCCTTTAAATAACTTAATATGAGTTGATACTTGTCAAATATCAAAGAGAATTTGGAATCCGAAATGTTAACAAAATTGCAGATTTCCCATTCAATGGTGAAAGCACTATAGCCTGGTTAACGGCAAATCAAATGTCCGTTCTGATGTTTTTGCATACTTTTTTATCCAGTTAAATCGAGTTAAGTGTATTTAGTATGATAGATATTGCATTGATATTCCAAATAAATCGTCTTTCATGAGGGTGGATTGGTCTATTCTGGTTATGTTTTTTGTGTATACTCCGCCATATCTTTTATATCGGCAATGAATATGGGTTGTGTGCAAATGAAATTACCGTAGAAAATCGGAAAGGCGCACTACGCCACGAAAGCACACAGTGTTTTCTTTTGTCCGGTGAAATCTTCTTTTTTAGCATTTATAAATCATAAAGATTAATCGCCTCTTCCTCTTCTCCCAAGAGTTCCTTCCACCCAAAATCAATAATAAGAGTATCCTTAATGTTTGCAAAAATGGCAGTCTCTCTATTTCTGTCGTAGAAAAACATCTTTGTCAACGTAAAAATTTGTAAATCTTTTGGTTAATTGCACTATATCATATAATAAAGGATAGAAACGTATTATTGTGTTTGTGACTCAAAATTGTACGAAGCGCGAAGATTTATGTTAACGACTGGTTGTCTGTTTTTGAACAAAGATTTTGTAATGAAATATCTGGAAAGTCCCGAATGTCAATTGTAAATTATCCTTAGCTTTCTATACAGTTGCTCACTATTAATTAGCATATCGAGCCGTTCTTGTCCAATATGAAACCTTTGTATTCAAATAACCATTTCTAATTAGAAAATTTTCTGTATTTTAAAATGTGAATTGCTTTCATATGGAAACACAATTGTCATTTTCAATTTTTGTACTATTTTTAAGATTGTAAATTATCAGGATACATCACGTGTTTTTGCAGTTCTCTCTTTGTTGTCATTTCTCTGTGAATTAAACTGTGAGTTCTCCTGTAAATGTTTTCATCATAAGTCATGCGATTTTAATAAGACGGCAAAAAAATATACTAACGATAGTTTTCTTGAATAGAAGCCGCGGCTTTTATTGATTGTTTTGTGGCTTCCATTCGAGGGCGGCTTCTGTTGCAGAAAAACGATATTCTTTCTCCCCAATAGATAAATCGCCATATTTAAGTAGCATAAACCTTGATTTTGAAGATCTCTCCTAGTTGTCCGGGTGAATCCTGAGGGAAAGTATTAGGCAAATAATTATACTAGGTGTTTGGCAATTGTTATTAGCACCCCCCTCTTCCCCTCAAAACATTGTTGTTCTATTGGTATAATACCCTTCATAGGTAGCTTTCTTGCAATAACCCACGTTATTGGGCTAAGCTTGGGTGAGTTTTTGGGTATTTTATAAGGTTTAAAGGTTCTCATATGGCAATAAAACTGTAGATTAGATATATTGAAATGCTAGAATTAAAGTCTAACTATTTTAGGTAAATTTGTCTTCAAATGATGTTTTCAAATTGATATTTGAATCCCAAGTCCATGTTAAATCTTCGTTTCCACAGCAGGACTCTATGATAGTGATGCTTGTCGTCCTGCCTTGTACAGTAAAATATTACAAATTAAAAAAATAAGATCTTAGAAATGGGTTTCCAACTCAGATTACCATAAAATAAATACTCATTTACTCAAAATACAAAAATACCGTAAAATACATCAAAACGATGACAAACTTATTTTTAATGACGTCATTCAAATTTGTGGTCTATTCCTCGTTTCCAAGCCCAACACCCACAAGAGGCGATTTCACATCTATTTTCGTTACTTGAATCACTCCCCAAAGTTGGGGAAGTTGACGAAATTTTAGCGAAGTGAAAAAGTGGTTCAATTTGCATGCTTCACAGAAGTGCTTATTGTCAGAAGTCATTAAAGTCTTCATAAATATCCTTGGTTTATTGGTGACAGGCCTAAATTACTCTGACATAACGTAGATCATTCCTTGGGAGAAAGAACTTCGTCAGCAAAATGGAGTGGTTGTTTGGCAAGAAAAAGACCCCTGAGCAAATGCTTAGGCAGCATCAACGATCATTAAATCGTGCAATAAGGTAAATTTTCAAATTACTATCTTTTTATGCATTTTATGGCTCATGAAAAAGAAAAACATTGAAAAGTGAGCTTTGGATTTACTTTGCTCCTACGAGGTGTTTTTCAGCTCAAGAATTAGTGTTCTATACTTAGGTTTCTAGAGGCTCGAAGTTCCATGTCCAAATATTACACCTAATGCTTTCATTGTTTTCCGTGTTAACATTATTGTGCTTAAAAGACTGTGCGTGTGAGATCGTGTCGTGAACTGTTATTGCAGGAAAATCTGTTTAAGTCTCAACAGAATAAATGTGAAAATGTACTTTAACTAGATCTGAAAATAGACTTTCAATGCAAACAAAGAGAAAATCTCAAAAAATGAAAGGCATTAATATTTCATTGATTGCTATTAGTATTTTTGGCCAGAGCCTTTTTTAACATGCTAACAGGAGGCAATTGCCCCTGCAGGCCAAGTGGCTTTCTATTGTTTTAAGCAATAGGGTTTTGCCCCCTTCTTTATATAAAAAAAGTTTTGCCCCTGCAGCTAATTTACATTGGGAACGGCTATGTTTCTGGCTCCAGTAAATATAAATTTACAGATGCATGGAATTAAATGAAGCATTTGTTTGGTAATGGAATAATGTTTTAGAAAAAAAAATCTTGTGATGGTAAAAAATTAAAAAATGGCTTTGAATAAGCAACCCCTAAACAACTATTCATTTTTGAAATATACCAAAACATTTCGTCTGACACTCTTCAGAGTATGAAATGTCAGAACATAGATTGAAAACTCTAAGCTTGGAAATACGTATCCCAATGAGAAAAAGGCCAATCAGAAAACGTGAGCACATGACTGTATAGGTTGCACAATCAGTGCTGCTTGCCAATTGAGAATGTTACCAATGGAGTCCTAAGGTGAAAACGAACTCCTCTGCCTACACAATGGTGGTTTTTTGTGATTATGTAGATAGATTCCAAAACTGCGACAATCCTTGTCAAAATTTTTAGAACACTTGTGTAAAGCCAAAGCTTTAAAAACCCTCCCCCTATAATACAATGTTGTTCAATTTTGCTGGTTTGATGCTGAAAGTAAAAATCTTTTCACTGAAAGCTGTATGAAGGTATTGAAAGTAATCCAAGTTATACTAGGGGAGGGGGGCAAAATTTTGGAAGCAACCGTGATATATTAGTAAGGTACTCACATTGTCTGTTTGCAAGCTGTCAGGGAAGAGCATTTCAACTATTTTTTTGGCAAGAATTGTACATGAAGGTGATCTGGCTAAACATGTTGCCATTAGAGCTTTTTGCATAATCTGGCTTTTCACGTAAATGCTTCCTGATAGCAGAATTGTTTGTTTTAGTTATTGTTTTACAGTCATTTAAGAGTTATTTTACTTGCTTTGAATAATTTTTCACCATAGCATCATTGTGTGACAACTGTAAAAATCTAAATGAGCAGATGTAAGGTTGCACACATTTTAAAACAAACATTTTCTCTTTCAATTTTCCAGATATATCTATATCAGTTGAAACATGGTAAAATAATAACATCATTGGTCTCAAATATTAAAGCAAGCTTTAACAATAATGTAATCCTGGTAATATGAAATTTGCTGGCATGCTGGTAATTGCACCCCTTGAAAAGTTTGGGTGATGATGGTCTGCCATGGCCTGCAAAGGTGGGCAATCCATAAAATGAAGAGCTCATGATTTTAATGAAGACCTAATTGCATTTCAATTGCCATGTATGTAATTGAAGGGGTGTATAACTGTTTGAAAAAGCGTTCAAGGTTTTCATACAACCAAATAATTTTTATTTAATTTAGAAGAAGTTTCTTGAAAATAAAATAATTTAACAAAAGGCATACAAGTTTTTAAGCCCTGTTTCCACTAGGCCGTTTTCGTGTTTGAACCAATTTGAATGAATCCATTTAAGATTTTGAGTTCCATTTATGCGCTCAAAAACGGAGTCATTCGATACCAAACCAAAGTCATTCAAAAATGATGTTTAAATTAAAAAGTTGAATCATTCAAAAAGGATTCATTTGAAAACCCATTGTTTTATTGGGAACAGCAAAGATAGAGGCATTCAAAAGCAAAGTCATTCAATCTCAGCAAAAGGAGCTCAAATGAAGGATATATAAACTGATAAAAATGGAGTAATGGAAATGCCCACTTTATCGATTTGACCAAAACAGAGCGGCTCTGGGTAATGTGTTCTAGAAAATTCCTAGATGGAATGAGAAAAATGAAGAAAAGTACAAAAACAAAGTAATGGAAGCCAGGCCTTTAACAGTTAATACGCTCTCTGGAAATGCCATCAAGATAACACACACAAAAGAGATCAAAAATTTCTTTAGAGAAAATAAACAAGAAGTAAAAAGAAACAAAATAGAAAAAGAATAGTAATTCATAATGTGAAACTAGGCGTGCGATAAAAAGCATGTCTCAGCAGTTTTAGGCATGTGTTGAGACTGTGTTGAGGGGTATGTGTGCACACCTACTATTACCAGGATTAAAAATTGAATAGAAAAATGTCTAGTTTTGATGCTTTTGGTGCTTTACAACAAGTGTCCTGGGGATTGAACTTCCTAAAAGCTTCTTTGAAAATTCTCATGCTTCTTTAATTGCAAAGTAGTTTGGTATTACAATCGGAAATTTTCAAGAAGTTAAGTGCACAAAAAGGAAGAATGTGTGTGGAAATGTGTGTGGAAATATACTCAAAACTTTAGCTTAATGGACAGAATTAGTCAGGAAATTCACCCCCTCAGGCAGACATCATCCAATCTCTTTCAAATTTTTAGAGGTCTGTAGCTTTAAGAGAGAGTGACCGAAGCAAGTCTAGAGAAAGCAATTCATTGGATTTAGGATAAAATGTATGAATTACAAGGCAATTATACTGAAACCATATGCACTGAGTTAAACAAGTACGCCATGGTTCAAAGAATCAACTGCTTATAGATTAATCCATCAGTAGTGCACTAGCTGCTTGTTGAGTCTCTAAGTCCCTTTGCAACTTTCTATAAACATAAATGAAGGCAGGGTTTACTGTCTTTTGGTGTAACCTTGCTTGTATCAAGTTTGTTTGTCTGATAAATCCACACCAAAATCCCTGAATTCAAAAAGTTACAGTTTGGGAGGGAGTTCCTTTTTTCTAAGATACTTTGGTGGTTTTTAAAGCAAAGCTGGCTTATACCATAGAAAACTCCTTGAATGCTTCTCTATTTGAAAAAAATTGCCATGTTGAAAGCAGGATCGTTTACAGTAAACACTTGCGAATAAAAATTGTATATTTTGCCTGTGGTTGGTTTCTCAATGGCTTTTTTATGTGGATTATTTATATTGTCTCTCTTGTGAGATGAGTCCCATTTTCTTTAATTTTAGATATTCTCAAAGTTTTTATTAACTACTGCTGTCTAATCTTGTCTTTAATCTAATCTTGTAATCTCAAAATGCCTCATGTTTCTTTTATTCAGAGACCTTGACAGAGAGCGCACCAAAATGGAAAATCAAGAGAAGAAAGTAATTAATGACATAAAAAAGATGGCAAAAGAAGGGCAAATGGTGACTATATTTTTATTAGAAATTAAAGTGATTTAGGTAATTTTTTATGATCTAAGCTCGGTGAGCACTTACTTTCAGCACTGCATGTATTTTCAAGAATAAAAAATCGCACACACTACACTTTAAGATTACACTAACTCTTGGATTTCACTTATTTTTTGAACTTTAGGGCAGGTACTTTGAAAAAGAAACTGAAGAAAAACAATGATCATCTGAAGAAGTCATTGCCTTCCAATCTTTAAAATGATCATTTTCCAGCAGTTCTTTTAAGATTACGGTAAAAGTTTTCTGGACAAAAGCATCCATTTTTCGATTTGTTCACATTCTAGTAGCCGAACTTTCAAATCATACAATGTTTGAAACTAACAGGCATTTTGTTAATGGAAAAATCCCATGTAAATGAAGGTTTCCATAATTTATTTATCAAAATTCTGCCTGAAAATCTCTTGACCTGTTCAGCCGATTATCGTTGCTTTGCGGTTGTGGTCGCATGTCTCTTTTACAATATCCCATGACACATCCATGTATCCCGTGTCGGGCTGTGTTTATTCAAACGATCTTATTGGTCTTAAACCTTCAAATGACTTGACCCGGATTCCACTGTGGTTTACGAGTGTACCTTGCAAGCGTGATCAATAAAATCCAGTTTTCTCCGGACACAAAATTCTTCTACATACAGGTACAAAAAAGCTATTTTGTACCCAAGGAACAAATCGAATGGCTCATGGCCAGGACAGATATCGGTAAGCAAAGAGTGCCTCAAAATTTTTGTATTTGCTCTGGTCCGTCTTTTATAGCTCAATACAGCTATAAGAGGGAAGAGAAATTGCTTGCCAATATTTGACAGGATATAGTTTCAAGGCAAGGAGGAATTTGAAAATTCTGAGACATAATTTGGTAGCTTTGGATCAGCCCTTTCTGCTGATATAAGTTAGATTTTGTTACCTCCAACGCAAGGGTACAAAATAGCTTTTAAGGGTGGTACACTTTTTTAAGCAATAATGTTGCCTGGAAAATATCATTTTACAATATTTGCCAATTAATTTGATATGGTTGGAATCACCAAATTCTTGTGAATGGAATGATGTATAGTTTAATCTGATTCTGTAAATAGTATGACTTTTAGGGAGAAAAACCATATATCATGTCAAAAACGTTTACCGTAACCTTAAGATGCACTTTCTTATCCACAAAAATGAAGAAGAATGTGAAATAACACAGTCACTCTGGGCAAAAAAAGGAATGCAAATCTTTTTGCATTGCTGCAAGACTGCCTTTTTACCAATGGAATTTGAGCAAAGCAAACCGATTAGCCCGATCACACAAAATATTTACGCAACACCCAGGCCATGAAACAGGGGTACAGTCATACCTAAAGATGAAGCAAGGTACATGAAAATATTGTATTAAGTACCACTTTATACCGTGAAACAAGCAAGAAAAAAGCAGTAATATAATCTTAGGAAAGAAACATGGAAAAATACCTAACTCAATACATTTTTCCGCCCTGCATGCTTTTCATCAGCTCACAAGAACTTGCAAGCTGTCATAAAAATTTCTCCAAATGCAAAGAGTGGCATCCAGGAAAAATCAGACCCGAGACCCCTATGACTTGACACCCACCTTAGTTGTTGATCGATCTCTCACTTTTAGCAAATGAAATTTATTCAAGCATGAAAATTGTTGCACAGTTCCAGATTAATTCTTTAAATTTTTGAAAACTCTGTACTAAGTGAGAAAAATGGTTTTTGCGAAAACTAATGCTTGCGGAAAATTTTTACACACAAAGATTTTCTGCAGAGCAATATTTTAAACAATGAAATTTGATTCCAAAAAAAGTATTATTAAAAATTGCCCTTTGTGTTGGTTTTATTGACTCCAAGCCCCAAGGTATTGGTTTTGAGATTTGAAATTTGTGTGGGTTATAGTTTCCATGAATACATATTTTTTTGGGCCTGAAGAACACCAGTCCTAAGAGGGTCAAAAGCAACTGTCAAATAACTGATACATGTGTGTGACAAATCGCAGGTATTAAACGACAAAGAATGTAACTAATAATTATAATTTCAATTAAGGATGCTGTAAAGATCATGGCAAAGGATTTGGTCAGAACAAGAAGATATGTCAAAAAGTTTATTTTGATGAAAGCAAATCTACAAGCTGTCTCTTTGAAAATACAGGTAATTTTACGTTATGTTTCTTGGCTAACATACAGTGACTCTACCGCTAACAGGGGCTAGAATAGCTAAACAAGTCTGAATGTAATTATATTCTGGAGTTGTTTTTTTAAAGCTGAATGTTAGATTGGATAACATTATTATATTTTACTTCACTGCCTTTGTTTGTTTTTTGGGCAGTTTACTCTTCATAGAGTGATCATTGTTTCAAATAGTAACAATTGATTCATCAGTTTATTTGATCCATTGTTTTGTTTGTAAGATGTTTTTATTACCGATTAGTGACTAAAAAGAATTGTTATTACAAATCTAAGTAAATGAAAGAAGGCAAGCATTATAGTCAAGATGCTCAAAGCATCTCTAAAATTGAAGATTAATGCAATTGATTATAACTTAATTTATAGCTTGAACTATGATGAGCACAAGCCAAGTTGTCACAGTTTGTGTGAATATTTTGACACCTTGAGGCCTGCATTTTTTGATGATTCAGAAATAATTTATATGAAACAATGTATTGCATAAAAATCTTGAATCTAGTCTAGGGACATTGGGAAAATTTTCTTATAAAGATAGCTGTTGATGGAACTTTCCTGTATGTACCTGTAAAATGTTTGTACCAATGGTGTTAGATCTATTGCTTCCTCTATTAGTTCATTTGTTTCTATTCTACTTTCAAATGTTCCTTCCTTTCCAATTTTCTGCTCTATTCTCATTTGTTGGGAGCTGGATTGTCAACCTTCTTTTATTTATGTAGCCAATTAAGAGTCATTTTCTTCTTATAGACATTGAGATCAAATGATGCAATGGCTAGAGCCATGAAAGGTTGTGCCAAGGTATGATAAACCTTTTATTGATTGAATTTCATACGTTTATACAGAAATACTCCCTCTTTGTGTAGCATTCATACCTATCATGCTGCTCATGACCATCCAATGCTGAAAAATCATTTTTTTGGTGTTTACTTTACTTTTTATAAGAAAAATGCACATGAACCCCTTCAAAGGTGCTCTTGCCACAACTTTAAGTAACAGAACCCCGTGCTTTCGATGTGACTCTGGTTCCCAAAGGTTTGGTAATGCTTCACAACAGGATAGATGCAAAAGAGAACAATAGCTAGCAGGGCCAACGCCACTTAGGGGGGGAGTGGAGGGGCCATGGCCCCACCATTTTTCTGCGAAGAAAGTAGCTTTAAAGCTGCAGTTATAGGGGAAACCCCCCACTTTCAAATTCGTGGCTTAGGCCCTGGCTAGTCATGTCATTTTAAAGGCTCTTGCGCAACCTGCACGCTTTGCGACGATAATTCAAAAGACCAGGCCTAATATCGTACTGCATGAAAATACAAAACACATTCAATTTCTCAAGACAACGTCCGCTAAGCATGCCGGTTGACCAAGAGCCTTTAAGGCATGATCATCAAATCCCAGAAGGGGTCATTCATCAATTAAGTACGCATGAAGGGAGGAGGGGGTACCTGATGAAAAGCGTACGTTTGCGTACAGGTGGAAGGGAGAGGGAGGGGGGCTAACGGAGTTCGAGTATGTACGCAAAAAGTTTTTTAAGATATATACAGAATTTTGTAAAAAACACTACATCAATCGACAATTTAAAGGTAGAGCCGTGAATCTGGGTTCAGTTCAAACTCTTCGCTGTAATTGCTTCTGGAATGTGTGCTGAATGAGAGATAACAAGAGGCTTCATTGGTGGTTCATTTCTTAATATTCAGGGGTGGGCTAAAAAACCTTAAAAACAAACAATTTTACAGACAAATGACAAAATTTACTGATAAAAACGCTTCTGTTTTAACTGACAATTTAGCTCAAGCTGTGGTGGCTTAAGCCCCCCATACCCCCGTGCTTTATGAACCGGCCAACAATCATTGAGTTGAACTATCTTTATTTGTTAAACAGTGTCAAAGTCTTTTGTACACTTTTGTTTGCTAATAGTTGGAACAATCCCTATAAAGATTGACAAATGAACCAGAATAGTGTGGCCGTTATGAGACAAACGTGTTCACGATGGAACAAGATAATGGCTTAATAATAAGAAAAGTTCATTTCAACAATTGTTTTGAGTACACTTATAAGATTTTCTATGTTTAAATACTTTCAAATAAGAGACATTTTGGCCCTCAAAGTTTATCTTTTTAACTTTAAAGAAGTTGTTGAGGTTTTGCGAGTGAACATATAGATTTAGTTTTTTTGTAGTTTACATTTTCTTTGTACCAATTTTGTAGACAATGGCTCAAATGAACAAGCAGCTCAAACTACCCGAGATTCAAAAGATTATGATGGAGTTTGAAAAGCAGGTCAGGTTTAATTTTCGTTTCAATTTCTATGAATTTCGTTTGAATGCACATCTTTGTATTTCTATCCTTTTTTGGATGCCCTTCCTAATGGTGACCGAGGTTATTGATCAAATCAACCAAACACCATTGTTGCTCAACTGCCACTTTGGTACATTTTATGCTATCTATTTTTACTAATGCACTGATGGTTTTTATTGTTATCAAAAATGAATTTTACAAAGTCTCAAGCCTTTCATGTTTGCTTCTCAATCAAGTGGCAGCTCATTAGCGAATTTGTTTGACTGCACAAGGTTTTTGGAAAAAAAATTTATTTAGATTGAGGCTTATTGAAAAGATTGACTTACGTTGCCTTGTTTTGTGACCCTGGAAGAAGTATCTGTGGCTACGTTTTTAATGCTTTAAAATGCCAGTTTGTGTCAAATTCTTACTTAAGACCAATCTCCACTGGGCGAAATTTTGTCGAGTTTGCGCTGACAAAAGGCGAAAACTACGTGACGCACAATCTCCAGCTCATAGTAGCTTTGCGTGCCAAATAGAAAGCAGAATATCAAGATGTCAGATGAGAATACAAATATTCTGATTTTGCTTTATTTGTTGAGGCGTAAGAGAAAAGAAACATAAAAAGCAAATAAATGATTTTGGGTACGGAAATTCTACAAAGAGAGAGAAAGTAAGGGAACTTGCAGATACCTGGTTATAGATCTACAATTATATGACAACCAACTATTCTTTATATATTTCCGTATGCAAAGTTTGAGCAACTGTTGTCTTAGGTGGTTCCATATTTAGTGAAGGAATCGAAGTTTCGCCAACCAATAGATGCTAAGAGAGATATGTGTGACAGTTGGCATGTGGCATGAGCTGTAGGATTAGCCCCAGAGCTGTTGGTAGGATTGTAAAGAAACATGAGTGTACTTGTAACAAGAAATTGTATTATTCCCTCATCCAACACGAAGCTCCTTTTGGACTCAGACTCTTTGCTATATGTACATAGGACGTCAAATTCGCCGGCGACAGAAAAAAAAGTTCAAATAGTTTGAACTTTCAAGGCGAACGTCACGCAAAGCACATGAAACGAAAAAGTTCAAACACGCATGCTCATAACCTTTTGCCCACGTAGAAGCGAAAAAATTTCGGCAATGGAAATTGGCCTCTAGAAACAAGAATAAAGCGCCTCTGAAAGATAGTAGTATTAAATTTTGCATTGTGAAACTGTAAGTTTTTTTGCAGTCAAGCTGGTAAACTTCATAGCCCTATGTATGATACTGCTGTACTGTACACAGCTTTTTTCGTCTTTATTACTAGACTAGAACTTTTTATGGTTAGGGATTTTTACGTATTTATGTTGGAGTGAGAGGTTTTTGTGAAACAAAGATACATAAAGTGGAAGATGCAAAAAAGATGATAAAATGGATTGGATAAACCTGAAGTGCCAAAATCCGCTTAGTCATGATTTTTATGACTGCGATGCTATTGGTTGACCTTAAATTGGTCACATGAACTCATCTCGTACTGATTGACAAAACAACTTTCATCAATAGCAAGTTGTCAACAACGGATGCAAATACCACTTGAAACAGCAGCGATCATGCCGAAATCACGATACTTACCACGACTCAATGCCTTTAAGGTTTGGGCCTAAAGATTGAACAGGGACACTATCCATTTTCCTAGTGATATTGAGAGTCATGTGGCTTTTCCAAACTTTTCAATTCTACTTGAGATTCTCAGTTCTACTCATGAAACGACACATGAAACTTGCTACCTTCTAAAATGGAAATCCGTTTTATGGAAACGCTCGTTTTTTATCCTTTTTGGAGAACAGCATAATAACCAACGAGCCTGGCGATCATTCGCTTCCATGATATCAATTCAATGTGCAGATTTCGTTTTCAAATCGCGTCCTTAAATGGAACTGCTCCTGGTGTCTTTTCTTAACTATTCTACGAAACTGTAACACGGAAAAGCAACAAGGCCTAATGATATAGACCTGAGGATGTCAAAAGTCAAATTGGAAAGTTCGAAAAGAGGGATCTTCTACAGTGGAGTAAAAATATTCAACGCTCTGCGACTTTGCATCAAATCAGAAAACTACTATAATAAATTCAAGAACGTTTTGAAGGAACATTTTAAAGATTAAACTTGTATAATAACTGTATAACCTATATAGGATGTTGTCTATTTTTAACGCCTTTTTATAATTATATAGTTGTAACTTTCCCTTTTAAGTATTTACCAATGTTTTTTGTGATTTTAGACAGGGCTTCTCTTGATAGCAATATGCGTTTAGCTGATTGAATTACCCTGTAAAAATAATGTATTATTATTGTTAGTAGTATCAGGGTTTTCAAAAAGTGCAAATGCTTCACTCACCTTGGATTTGGCTCCGATTTATGCTCTAAACTGCTATCAATGTCAGTGTAAAAGCTCCGTACGTTCTGGTGGTGACTGGTTGGTTTATAATGTAAGTTATTTTAACATTCTAGTCAGAGATAATGGACATGAAAGAGGAAATGATGAATGATGCAATAGACGATGCTCTTGGGGATGAAGATGACGACGAAGAAAGGTTTAACGCATTTCTTACTGATTGCTATTACAACATAAAGTTGCATAGGTCGCATGGTCATTATGAAAGATTGCAATGAGACAGAATTCAGTGTATTGAAGGATATTGTAAAATTCAGCATAAGAAAATCAGAGAACGGAATTTAGAAGATAAATCCATTTTGAGTTTTCTGGTCTCTACTTTACTAAACAAGATTCAAATGTCAATCCACATCAAAATATCTGTACGTTTTCATTCTGAAAGAGTGGAGTTTTTAAATCCTAGACCATGGCTTCTGGTGACTTTGTTTAATGCGTTAAGAACTTTTATTATAAAGAAAATTAATTGATAAATTGATAACAAAGAAATCAATAGCTATTTTATTTTTAGAATTTAAATATTTGCTCAGTATTTCAAAGCGGTCAGTTTGTTCAATACTCGTAAAAGATTTGTTCAATAGCCAGTATTTCGTTATTGTGCTTTTTCAACTTTTGCTATGTCTCAAAGATGAGAAGCGTCGTCTTAAGGCAAAAAACGTAGATAATGCTACACAACTGTGATTCTTCGTCAGTATATAATAAATACCTTCTTAATGTTTTCTAGCGAGGCCGTCGTTAGTCAAGTTCTTGATGAGTTGGGTCTCAGCTTAACAGATCAGGTATTTAACCGTGTCATCTTTACAGTTCTAGAATAGTCTTGGATTTCATTCTACATTTTGTTTTATTTAAAGAATGTCAGCACAAGGAACTGCTAGTATTTTCTGTGTCTATTGTCAAGCCCCAGTATTTCAGCAAGCTTAAATGGGAATTAACTGTCAATTTGCTTTCCCACATTTCCATTTTTTCATAGCTTTCAACCATGCACTGTTGATATGAATCAGTAGACATTGTCATATATCTAGATATCGTAGTTGATTTTTCAAAACCATCTTTAGATTTAGCCATGTCAAAATGTATTGAAATGCCAAAAGAATTAGTTGAGTTGATTGTAAACATTGTGATCGGCCCATTCTACTTTTGCCATCTTCCTCCCCCCTCACTGCTTTGATAGAAATGTCGATATGTTTCATTGGCAATGTCTTTACTATTTAAGTATTAGCGTAAGTATAAAGAAGAGATGTGGACCGGACCCCCTGCAATTTCAACCGATCTTTTTCATATAATCACTTGGCAACAGCAACGATTTTATCCCATCAACGTAAGATTAGTCTTGCAAAATCCAACAAAACCATTTCTTAAAACTATAAATATGCATGCTTTGTGTACACTTGCTTCGAATAAGTACATTGGGCTTTTAGAACACGTGCTGTAATTCTTTTTCTAGGCCTGTCTCCTAAAAGTCTTTACCACACTAAAGGGCTTCCTTTCTCATAAGCCACACTTTTAGTTAAAGGGTTTTGATTGAAATTATTCATAGTATCAAAAATTTAAACTGTAAATTGTTACTAAAACAAAACCAATCTTATCAAGAAAGGAAGTAAATTTGGAGACCAAATTACTGTACACATAAGCGTTGAAACCTAGCTTTTAAGTTGTGGATGTCACTTTCTGTAACACTGTGCACTGAGAATTTTCTCAATGGTGATTTGTTTCAATGCAGTTATCCGGATTGCCTGAAGCTGGTGCATCGTTGAAAACAAGCCAGAAAGCACAACCAGCTGCAGCCGCTGCAGATGCCGATGCTGATTTGCAAGCAAGGTTCGCATTTATTTTTTAATTTCCTTCACGGTGCTTTAATCCATAATTACGTTGTTTTGAAAATTTCATCATCGTCACATAAGTGAAATATTTTTTCGCTGTGATGATTAGATTTTCTGTTAATAATTTAAAATCTTATGGAAAGTTTCGACATCAGGGGAGCCATTGTCACATATTTCATGTGAAGGTGGAGACTTCCTACACATAGCATGTTCTTCCCGCACATGAAATGATTGCCTCGCACATGGAATGATTGTCCCGCATATGAAATGATTGTCCCGCAAATGAAATGATTGTCCCGCGCATGAAATGAATGTCCCGCACATGGAATGATTGTCCCGCACTTGGAATGATTGTCCCGCACATGGAATGATTGTCCCGCACATGGAATGATTGTCCCGGCAAATGGAACAATTGTCATTCATATTCCCGCCTATTCAAAGCTGCCTGTATTCCGAGCTGAAATGCTAAATTCTTTTGAACGCAGAAAATATCCAATGTTGTCATATTTATGCCTAGCGAGAATGCAATGACTGACATCAGCATGACAATGCAGCAAACAGTTATCTTCTATGATTTGAAATGTTTTATTTTCCTAATGAAACATATTTAAGTTTTAACTGAAAAACAACTTAAATATTATGTTAAAGTTTGCAAGAATGTGTCAGACTTTGCTAAACATATAGCTACTGCCTCGATATGTTTTGCTCTACACCCTGCTGCTCTGTTGCTGTATACATAAGAATTTCCTCTCCATTTTCAGGACTACGTCATCAAAAATGCAAAGTGTTGATAATATTTGCTTTTGCTTTTCAGGCTGGACAATTTGCGGAGGGAATGATCGAGTTAGAAATGGGAGTTTCCAATCTTCACTTATCTATTCACGGAACAAAAGATTTGTATATTAATTTTTATACCTTATACAATATTAAATAGACTTTTATTGGAAAGGTTACATTGTTTAGACAGCAAGGTGCATCTTTGAAATGAGATTCTTTACAGCATTTTAGTAAATTAGCTAAAAAAATGTTGTTAGCTTGTTGATGCTAATTTGTGCACCTATATATTTGTCGACGAACACTCTCTTTCTGTTATTTATCAAAGATTGGTTCTAATCACGTGACATCTAATAAAATTCTACGGGACATCCCGCGATTTTCTGCATAAGCCTCTTCGTGTCATTGCCTTTCGCCTTGACGAATCAACTTAAACTTTAAGTAAATTAAGTTAAATATTTTATGGACCAATAATAGCTTTCGATTGTAACTTTGACAACTAAACTCTGCTGACAAATAGCTTTTTCAAGTATTAAAGTATATCGTTTATGTAAGGTGGCTCATCAGTCCAAAGTAAAGTGATTACTCAATTTAGGCTCATCAGTCGAAAGTAGTTTGAAGCAATAGGGGGATTAAATGGTTAGTTTATGGCGTTTAACAAATATAAACTAAGGATTAAAGCTACTTAACGGTAAAGTTTTATTTGTAGAAGCTGTTGATTATAACCTTAAATTTTGTTTCTTTAGCAACATGGGAGGTGTCAATTTTCGTTAGGAAAAGGTGTTTTATGTATAATCAAACGTGTTTAGTTTGAAGCTCGTTTTCGCGAAGTTAATCACTTTTTGCCGCGTTTGTATGAAATATTACGTTTTCCCCTTACATTAAAATAAATATTGCATCTGGTTATATTTCAAATATTTGTGCCCGACTTCTAAGTTTCTCTTTCACCTGTCGTTTGCTGGATTTCGTTTCTAATTTCTTCATCATGCGGACATAATTTGTCAGATTAATACCTCGCAACCGTCATTTAGTACGTTCACAATGTCTGATGACCTCTACCAAGAAATTTCAGTTTGTAGCCTCCTTCTCGTTGTATCAACACACTTTTTCTTTGGTGCCTCAATAGGCCTCAATAAATAAAATTAACCATTTCAACCTTAGGCCTATTTGCTCTTTTTTGACGCATTGAAGATCCTTGTTGTAAAGTGTTCTCCGACTGCAATTATTTTGCTCAAAGCGGCTTCTTTACTTTAAGAATTCGCTATTTGCTGTTAGCTCTACAAATTCAGCTTCCGAAAATTTCATTACCGAAAAGAATTACCTGGTTCTTGCCTTCAAAAAGTTGGTATTTGTTGATTAAGCTCTTTCTCTGAAAAATTATCAGGTAATAAAAAAAGATTGAAAGTTGATGGTTGAGATTTTTGAATGAGATGATCATGTTCGCGTCGCGAGTGAAATGATCATGTTCGCAATTTGTGTTTCTTTTTGAAAAGACACATGGCAAAAGATGCGGTGTCGTTGCCACGGATACCTGTCACATCTTTTACGGCATTCTGTGTTTACGTGATCTCTATCTCAAATTGCAAGATTTTATCAGAACATAAACATCTCATTTTTCTTTTATTTGATAGAATTTTGTTAACAATGTTTTGACAAGGATTCAGACAACTTCAGACGGGGGTAAACTGCTTACATCTTTATTAATCAATTCTTCAAAAGCAGTTATTGTCAGATATGCATGTGTGACTTACGGAAAATCTTGATGAATTCCCCCAGCCCGTATTTTAGGCCAACTGACAGCACAATGAAAATGACAAGTTAAATGTCATTAGAGTCACCTCAAAACATTCAAATGGGTACAAAGTAGGTGAAATGGAGAAAGTGTATCAGACTGCTGGGCTGCAGTTTTTGCATGTTACTGTTTTTTCATCAATCCATTTCTCACCAAAATGATGCCCCTATCAAGAGTATCAAGAGAGAAGACTATCAGGTCAATCTGGCTTGCATTTCGAGGAATATTACACATGACACTTTTTCTCAGTAATGGCATCGTATTTCGTTGTTCAGAATCCTCGCCACCGGCTTACGATACCCGTCGGCAGCGTCGAGGATGCGTTGGCTGAAGAAAACCATTTTTCAACACATGCATCAATATCACAAGAACGGCAGATTGGCCTAGCCACGCTCATTATTTACAAAAACAGTAAGGGTCCCCCAATCGATTTGTATGACAAAAAAGTGTAAAAATGAATCGAACTCATAAAATTTTTAGATATTTGACCATCACATAAATTCTTCGCTTGAAGTTGTTATTTATGCAATTCTCTTGCTCAGTCAATTCTAGAAATTTGATTTTCATGTTCTTGAATGATAGAAGAAATGCTGATTTTTTCCATGACCCCTTCGTCATTACTCACATTTTTGCCAATGTTTGCATCGTTACGCAAAAACCTCGTTCTGAGATATACAAAATCGCGTTCCGGCATGCCCTCTTTTGTCGTTTTGTAGCAATGCGTGCTTCTTCGACGGTTTTCTATGAATTCTGTTTTCTATTTGCACATTTCTTTTTCTATTAATTAATGTTTTCCATTATATTGTTGCAGCATTTCAGTATGCCATAATAAAATAAATAATGCGTTTGTTGCCAATGTCTTTTTTGGAGTGAGATGTTTATGTTACCAATAACAATCATTTGCTACCTAATGTAACTAGTTTGAAGACAGATGGACCAAAAGCCTTTGTCTAACCAGGTGTTATAGAAAACTTTCAATTAGTGTACAAAAAGTACACAAAAATGATTACAAACTAAACATTCAGGAAAGGAATAACAAATTTAAAGAAAAAAGCTCCTACGAAAGTGTGAGAAAGTGTGATATGATGTGATAGGTTGTAACAGCATTAAAGTATGGAAATTATTTTTTGTAAACTTGAGTTTGTAAAACAACTAACGAATAATAGGAAAAATAGCTTCATTTGTTACTTTCTTGTATCGAAGATGTGCAATAGAATTGAAGCTTTTTGACTCTCGATCTCGCTTAAAGAGTTCGTTTTTACATCAACTGGTATGCAGAACCAAGTATCGTTAAATGGTAGTGCATAATGATCAAATCATGTTGTGTAATTTAAAGATGTGGGTTGTTGCAGATTTTAGTATATTGTAGGTATTTTTAGCTGAAATTTGATTTCGATTTATTTCTTTCTGATTTAGCAAACTATGTTGTACTTTTAGGAGACACCGTTTTTGATACATAGAATTATCAGCTAAACTTTTAGCCTTTATTCGACACCATCTTTAAAAAAAGATGGTTCCAATCTAATTAACATTATAAATAGACATAAAACTATTATTATGAAGTGGTAACATGATTTGGTATCTTATGAAAAACTTCAAAATATATGTCGGTTAACTTCAGTATAATGTCACGTGATGAGCTTAAGATCGACTTCCAACGTGATGACTTCCCCGGCTTTTTTCACCCAGGAATAAATATAACTTGCGTGGGATGCATTCATGTGGATAAGCACGAAAAGAAACCTTGCTTCCCTGCAACAAAAGCTTCTTGTGTTCTCAACGAAAGCCATACTAATAGCAGGGAATATTTTTTCCCAGCCACATATTCTGGTTTCAACATTCGCATGACTTGTTGTTGGTTGATAACTCTGTTTCACCTGCCGACATTCGCAGATGCAGCATGACCCCCGTCTTATTACTGCATTGTGTCGGAAAATTGGACTGGTACATATCGAGTTTTGTAATGAAAACTGCGCTTTTATGTTTTCGAAAAATGACGTCCAAGTTTAAATTTGCCTGAGAAAGCAGCCTTCTTTCATACAAGAAGCAACTTCAGCAAGACAGAGGCAAAGATGTCAGGTTCCATGTTTCTGAAGTGAATCAAGAAATTGAATCAAGAAATTGAATCAAGAAATTGAATCAAGAAATTCTTCATACAGAGTCATGTTTTTTCCTACGCCTGCAATTATATGCTTTTTCTTCTGGACTGCAGATGCTTTTGCGTCAAGTAAGATTGTTAATTACAAAATTTTCAATGCTGTATTTTGATTAAATTTAAAAGCATGTTATGTAGCTACTAATTCAATGTGCATTTTGCAATATCTAGCTGCTGATTTGCTTCTCCAGGCTTTTTACTTCAATATAGATTTACTTTTGAGATTCTGTTGCCTGGCTGTTTAACAATTTTTAGCATGTGAGATTATTTCAAGCTGATCTTGTTTTTCTTTATTTCCTACAGTAACTGCCCATCGCTATTTCAGGATTCCACTCGCTAATAATTTACATCGAAGCAGATTTCATTTCGCAGATCAGATACTTCACTTACATGAAGTAGTAACTTGTTTTCAGCCTTCAGCTCTAACTGACATACTCAGAATAACATTAATTTCCCCTTGCAAGACTATCTGTTGAGCGAATTCTTAATAACACCTGTCTACTGATCGACCATATGCATTGTTATCCCTTTCATATCAGCAGTGGTAATTTTTCCAGCATTCGCTTTTCCAATATTCTTTAACACATAAGACACTCTCTTCATAAATGAAGATTGGAGGTAGTCGAAAGTTACAAAAGCGATTAAGTAAGACACTGTTAACTTTCATGCAATTTTGTTACATTTTTGGAGTTGTCTACTTTACGTGGTTTTGTTCCGATGCCTGGCGTTTATTTGGAAATGTTGGTGAATATGCGACATTTTTGACGAAGTTCTTGTTTTTTAAAATGTTCGTTTTCAAGAGCCCTAAAGTCGCTACAAATTATGAATATGGGCAGTTCGTTGTATAGTTGTTCGCATCTTCGTTGACACTGCTCTAAAATTGCTTTTCATTGGATTCTTACCCATCAAAAACAGGTTTGTAAGCTCTGACCCCTCGTTGCACGGTGGGGTTTTTGCAAGTATTGACTACATTTCTGTCGCATATGCTTGCATAGCCTAAGAACATCTTTTGGCGCATCCTTTAGGGCCTTCGTAGATAAAGTTTTTGCATAGCCCATGACTGTTACATTATCAAAGTCACAAACTGCCTATCCCGAGCTCTCTTTATTTCTTAGGGACAACTCAGCTTCGAATCTTGTATAAAGTTAAACTAAAAATATAAGTTATTCAGTAGGTATCGTTGGCAGTTAAGAAACTCTAAGCTGCAGTTTTCTATAAATGAAAAGCATTATGTCTTAACATTGACTTTAACTAAAATGATGATGCCTTTCTGCATCACCCTATATGTCAATTAACCTTAGCTCAGTCTGACATGACTTCACAATTTTCTTTTGCCCAAAACCCCCTGCATATTTACGTGAGATTGTCCACATTTCCCATTTCTTCAGCAAATTCTTAAACAAATTTTGTTTCAGCCATAACAGGTAACATCTTATTCTTCAATTCTTTTTCCAAGCTTTTTTCATTGACTTTCGCCGCAGAACAATTGTACAATTTTCAGGATGAATTTTTATTGCAATGCAAATTGAGCATGGAAATTGAAAGGACGGTTTCAAGTTACGTGGGAAAAACATCTGAACAAACGGAGACTTGTGCTTGATTGTTATTAAACAGCTTTGTTATATTCTCTTTTGGTCGAGAAAAGTGGCAGTATGCTAATGTGGATGTATAGCCTTTTGAAGACTGCATGAAAAACGTTAAGGCTCTGCTGTCTGTCTATTACGAAAGGGCAGGGTTGGTTGTGCAGGTTTTTCTTCCAATTTTCACATCTCGCATAACCTGTGTTATAACCATATAACTAACTAAAACTGTTGCCCAGCCGTCATCTAATTCTTCCTCTTTTGCTAGCACGAAAATACTTCTACGAAAGCACTTCGTCACAGACACCATACACTATTTTCTAAAACATTTATTCAGTACCGCCGGCTGCCCCCTCAGTACCCTCCTGAAAAGCAATCGAAACAGATTAAAGGGGCTACCG